TTACTATACTTCCCTAAACTAATATGGACCTTATACACGCGAGAATACGCTTAGTAGAAGGAATATTTAGACACTATAATGGCACTATAATTCTTAATGGTAAAGATAAGATCGTGACGACGCTTAGTAGGATGATGGTTAGTAGGCATGATTCTTCGGGACGAAGAATAGGAAGGGAGGGGATGATGTTACGAACTAGAATGCAGAAGGGTGGAGCGGGCGCTTATGAAGGTGTGAGGATGTAGTGGCAGGGTTGCGACGAGACAAAGAACCGCCAAGCCACTTAGATAGAAGTCACGTGACCTGCTCGGCTGCTCAGGAGCCCTGAGCAGCCGAGCAGACATTCTATATAGGAACACGCGCATGAGCTCTCATACTCGTGTTCAACCTGTTTATTAATCTATCGTTTGGATTACACTTAGGCCATATTGTTGACTCATTATATCTCTCCGATACTATCGTCTCGACAAAACCCCTTCCCTTCCCTCAGTTGTCTTGCCCGAGAACCAACCCTAACCCTTTAGGACTAGCTACCCTTCTGGATTTAACAATGTGCTCAGGCTGCCAATCCATGAAATCCTTCGCCGCGAAGTGGTGTCATGGCGCGAGTTGTCAAACTTTTGCCCAATGCCTTCAAGCTTTCTTGCAGACACCACTTTGCTTCTTGGCAGTGTATTGTACCTATGTTACGTCTATAGCTCTGTGCACGGCTGCCGTCCAAATCTCGAGCGAGGCTGTATACAGAGGGTCTGAGATTCCGTACGAACAAACAGTAATAGTTAGTACTAATGGTGATCTTCATCTGCCACATAAAGCCAACCCGCGCAGTTTATCTCTTCTCGGAACTCATTTTAAGGTCGTAGTCGCCATGGATTTAACACCGACACACAATCGGCCTGAAGAACACCTCGCTCTCCAACGTAGAACTCCCTTCTCGGATTCGCGAGCAACTCCCAGAACCGGTCTCCAATCGGGTTTTTTGTCCTTCAATAGTATATCCCTTCTCGCCTGTGCGATCCACGTATGTGTCCCTCAACAACTGATCCCTTCCACCCGCCTTCAAGCCTGTAGATACTCCTGCAGGCCCTGACAAAGCATCTGTCATGTCTGTCTTCGTCTGCGTGCACCAGTACATCGTCGACTGTATTGGAAGTCAGCCTCGCTCAAATGAATGGTCTATGCCACGCTGAGTTCACTCCTCTACTCACATCGCAAGCACACGCCATGCACGTCGCACTGCACTGGATAATCCGCATAGTGACCCTTCAATCGATGATAATCTGCAAAAAAGGCTCCGCAATTGGCACACTGTTCGCGCTCGGGGTTTGCCGTAGCTGTAATGCTCCTTGTGCCGTGCACATCTATTGCATATGTGAGTTGCGTCACAGCATGCGACGAACTGAGCTTCTCAAAAGCATATTCCAGAGGCTTGAGACTCGATAACATCGGATCACTGCCGTGTCTATGACCGAATCCCTCGTATTTGTGGCTCGATTCCGGATCAAAGCCAGCAAGGGCGAGTGAATTAGAAGATGAGTAAGGGCGATACGGTACGAGCGCATCGTGGCTACCGCGGAAGCCTATCTGCAGAGGCTTGCGCGGCCGATGCGAGTGGTGCATTAGAGCGCCGGTGCGATAAATTATGCCGTCGGGATCAGAAGCGCCATAGTAAGTCTGGAGGTAGGGTTTGTGGTGGGCGCAGTAACTACCACGGCCGTTGAACGGCACGCCACATACTGTGCAAAAGGAAGGCATGCTGATAGGGACTGTATATGCTCGCGCGATGGAGAAGTTTGAATAAAGTGGAGAGCATGCGAACAAAGGCTCCAGGCAGCAGACGGGGCTAGAAAGCTGGAACTTGGATTGCGAGCAACGCAAGGGTGATTTAGTACAAAAGACGTGGGGTGTCCGCACTCATAAGGCTGGTTAAAATGATTGGCTTGCAGGCTTGCAGCGTTCACCGGAAGCCCGCACTCGTTCCTGAGAGTGCACCATTCGTTCATAAAGATAGTAAATGACACGAGCGCAATGCGACCGGTCAAGCAAATGAGTAATACTTAGCACTAGACATAGTCCCGAACAGCCACGTCTGAAGCTGCAGCCATCTTGGCAAAAATAAGGCTGAAGAATGGACATGAAATATTGCCTACTTACACAGTACTTGCTTGTAAAGTCTTTCTTGTCTTGCAAGTCTTACTACGCGAAAACATAGATCCTGCCCGACCGGTCTGCACTGACCACCATCCCGTACGGCTGCTCTACGAGCGCAACGTCCATGACTGTATCCAGATGCCCTCTCAGTAAGTGTTGCTGCTGCACGGTGATCAACCCAGAGCGACTGCTCTTCGTAGATGTCTTCTTATTCCCGCTTCGACTATCGCGACTCGCCAAGGTTAGACTTTGACTCTGAGGTTGGGATAGTCGCTCGGTCACGACCAGCGTTTCTGGAGAGGAGGGGGGCTGACTAGTAGCATATTGTGGCCTCGCCTCGTCCTGTTCCATACCGCTGACTACCATGGATGCGTCTTGACGCGCAGTATCCCAATAGCGGACTTTCCAATCCGGACCTGCTGTTAAGAGAAATGTGTGAGCTCGGCTGCCGGGTTTTTGGGTGGTGGCTTGACTTGCTACAACTATGGCTCTTACGCACTTGTCTGGAGCGGTATTGCTTGTCGGCTCCAAGGTGGAAAACCGATCGAGCATACCGCCTGTTGTTTCGGAATCGAGATCTATCAGAGTGGTGGTCTTTGATCCGGTGTCCTTTGCCGTGCCCGTTCGGTATACCTCCTTACAGACGGTTTTCTCAATGTCCCACACGGTGACCTCGCCCTGTCCAGTACCGCCGGTAATATAGACACGTGACTTTCCGGTGCGACGCAAGTAGAGGCGATGTATGGCGGTTGCCGCTTGGAAGGCCCACGACTTGAGCTGGAGTTTGAAGCGAAGATCCCACAATTCTAGCACACCGTGCGAAGTACCAAGTAGCAGCCAGTGTGCCTTTTTATCTACGCAAAAACAGGTGGGGTAGCCGTGTTGAACGTGACTCTTCAGGGTGTACATCTCTGTCATGGTCTTGAGGTCCAGCGCAACAACCTTTGAAGTTTTGGTTGCCATTAGGAGGACTGATCTGGTTTCGTCGTTGTAATGATCCGTCCAGGTCACATAGTCGCTTTCGGGCAACTGATACTCACGCAACATCCTGGGTCGTGAGAACTTCCTTGTGACGATGATGTCACCTTTGTTGTCTTCTTCTTTGTCTTCATGAAACCTAACCTTGACAACATGCACACTGCCGTCGCTTCCCGTGGCAACGAAACAATAGGTCTGCTCAACGAAGCATAGACTGGTCACATTGACGCCTTCACCAAGGCTGTATGTCTGTCGTGCGCCCAAAGAGAGATGCCGCTCGAAGCGATGTTGATCCCAAATTCTGACAGTGCCGTCGTCAGATCCAGTGATGAAGAAAGTTTGGTCCGAAGCCACCAATATGCGTCGCACAGTGGCGGTGTGCTCACCCAAAACCCCCAGTAATCGGCCCTCCGGTCTCCAAGGGAGCCCATTTTGTGGCAAGTGTCCGTCCTTGTACCGGATGAAGGAGGGTTCATTGGATGTCTCAATCTTGGGTCCAAACTCCATCGCTCCCATGGGAAATCGATCGAGAAGCATAGAGTCAAGCAACTTTAGCACCGCCGGATCGTTGCCTGTATAGTTGTGTGCATCACGGAGACGGCTTCGTGAAGGGCTTCCGTGTCTACGATCGCCTGCTAAAGACGAAGGTCGGTGACGAGTGCGCGAAGCCTCTCGGGCAGTGGCGCCGTCAACTTTCCCAGATGCGTTGGTGGACGTAGTGCCGATCTCGGCTTGAGCCTTGTCGCCTTTGTTGAGGAGCGCGAGAGCACTGCCTTTGTGTCGTAGCGAATGAATATGATCCCCAGCACCAAACGAACCAACTGGTGAGAGTACATTAGGCGAGCCGCGCCGTGGTACCTTTAATGAAGTCCTCTTAGGGTCTGTAATATCAGAGCCCGGCGAATCTATTCCTGATCGAAAGTCACTCGGAGACGAAGATAGCTTTGGTCGCGCCGGTATAGAGATTCGACGCGGTCGCTGTCCTTGCACTAATCCATCGGCCTGGCTACCGCCCTTTGCAATGTTACGAGCAGCTTGCGCCTCAGTCTCGGTAGTAGAAGCGTCCAATAGAGCATCTCTGATAGTTTTCGGTTGATACCCATAATCCTGCACAGACCCACGGCGGGCTTCTTCCACTGTTTGCTGAGCATTTTCGAATAGTACCGTGCGTGGCCGGATGTTCAAGTCTTTCAGTGATACCATGCTGTTAAACTTTGCAGAGCTTGTCGCCAAGTCGTCTGAACGTCGTCGCCGCGTTACCCTCCATATGAACTCACGTAGCGCAACTAGCTTAAAGTCATCATCGAGAGTCAGGCCCGCGTTTCTCAACTTTCGTATCCACTGCTCGTCTTCGTCTGTTTTCTGCATTCGATGCAAGACCTTCAGATCCAGCTCTCTTCCAGATATTGTTGGCAGAGCATCTTCTGACGAACCGAAAGAAAATGTCTGTTGCTGTTTCGCAGGTGCCCAAAACACCCCTTTCTGCGCTTGTGTTACCCAATTTGATGCCATGTCCATGATGAGCCTTGGCAGAGGCCTCTTGAGCGAGTCTAGCAAACGAAGTTCTGTGAATTCTGACGGTATAATCTTAAGATATGGTCTGATCAGATTGATGAGGATGCTGTGCTTGTCGGCGACCGAAAGACACTTGGCCACAGCTGCGATAAACTGCGCAGCTGCTTCTCGGATCCAGATGTTCGGATGCATCGTCAGACGAGCTACGATATCAATTAATTCCCAGGCCTTGGAGCGCTGAAATAAGCCCTGTTCAGCTATCGCCGAGAGAGCTCTAATGACTTTCTCTACCACGAATTCTTCCGGGTCGGTCAGAGCCTGTACCATTAGTGGGAGGATGTAACCTTCTAAACTAGCACTGCCAACGAAGACGGCAACGCCCACTATGGCTTCGAAGAATGCGCACTTGAGCATCCAATCAGGGTCATTTAGGTAGGTGTTCAAATGGCTCAAGACAACATCGTTGGCCCTAGGGCTTCCAAAGAAGACGCACAGCTCGCCTACAGATCGCAGCATGGCTCGGCGCACAGATGAGTTGGAATCTATGAGAAGAGACTTTGTGTGCTTCTCAAACGCTTCCAGTAGGTTTTGGCGGTCTAAATCGAATTGGTTACGGTGGACGGAAGATGTGAGTTCCTCTTCAGCTTCTGGAACCGCTGCTGGAAGAGTGCCTTCAGCACGCAGCGCTTGAATAACGTCGAGGTAGCGCGCTGCCGTGGTAGCCAGGGTTCCAATACACCAAGCGTAGTGCATCCGAACTAAGGGATCTATTGTCGTGGAGGAATCTGGCAAATAGCGCTCCAGACGAGGCAGAACGTACTCGGGAAAAACGTATGCATTCACCGGCGACACGACACGTACCATGTCTAGGATCTGCGTCATTGTGCGTAGCGCCGCTATCTTTACTTGCACGAACTTGTCCGTTAGTAGCTGTGCTACATAGGGCACGACGCGGTCTAATTTGGCCTCATCTGTAAGCCTCTCAGCGAAAGCTAAGAGCAGCTCCAGGCCCCGCAATCGAGCGGATGCTCTGGCAGTCCCTCGCAGGGACGATACAACGATAGTAAGGAAAATGAGGTTTCCATCGTCGACAGCAAGGCTGGGTGTAGGAGATGTCTGATGTTGATAGTTTGGTATATCGATGCAAAGAGGGAAGAGTCTTGCGTTCGGCTTGGGTGGCGAGTGTTGGGGCTTCTCGGGGGCGTTGCCTTGGCTGCTCGAAAGGAGATGGGAGATCTTATCAAAGTCGCTGTAGATCTGCTCTATCCTATCATCAGGCTCGCCAAGGTGCTCGTTGGCGGTTGTGACGGGTTTGCGACCCGAAGAAGGATCTGTGATGGAATGCATGTACTGTTGGAGGAACCCATAAAAGTAGTGTGGGAAGACTTTGCCTTGCCAGTGTTCCAAGTAGTCTTCAGCAGACATCCGCGAGTTGGGGTCCATCTGTATCATGTGCGTGATGAGCTCGCGTACGTGTTTGTCCTTGATCTTGCTCAAGTGCACATGCACGGGGTCGTATTCGCCCGTGCGATACTTGTAGAGTTGGCTAAGGTTGAAGATGGGAGACTCCAAGAACAGCTCAGCAATCACACAGCCAACAGAGAAGATGTCCATGGCCCACGTGACGGTACCTTCGCCTTCTGGCTGCGCTCCTGGACCGAGGAATCGTTCAGGTGCAAGGTAGCAGGTACGGCGTCCCGACATGTCAAAATAGAAGGAGAAGTCGGCAGGGTTGTCTTCGGGAAGGTACGGCGGCTTGTAGGAAGCCGAGAAGTCTGTGAGGTACAACCAGTTCCACGAGGTCACGAGGATGTTTTCAGTCTTGATGTCGCCGTGGTAGATGGCCCGCGCGTGGCAGTCGCGGACAGCACATAGTAGCTGGAACGACAACCACTTCTTCTCGATTTCTTCCAAAAAAGGACGGGTACTCAAGCGGTCGTACAGGGAGCTATGGATGTACTGACGAACAAGGTAACCTCCGACGGCGGTCTCGAGGATTCTGTGGTAGCCCAGAGCGTTGGGAACTTGGGCGAGCACATTTCGCTCTTCCACGAGACGTCTGACATAGCGGTCGAGATTGAACTGGGCATACGGCTTCATGACGACGCGGGCAACGACCAAGCCATCCTTGTGCCTGGCGCGGACCGACTTCATGAAGCGGGCCGCTCCGAGAGACTTTTCATAGCGGAGGTCGGCCAGTTCTGGCACGTCGATGTTGGCCGAGCCGGCCGAGAGCGTGGTGAGGGAGAAGCCTTGGCCCATGGTGGTGGTCGTGGGGGGCAGGCACGGCCGAGTCTGGGGCGCGATGTTGAGGCCTCAAGCGCGCATGTCAGACGCGTGCTGGGCGGCTTGTCGCCATGTACGGGCGAGCGTCACGGAGATGCAGGCGGGGGCGTGGCTGTGGCGAGCAGCGGTGATGTTGTGCTGTTGTATCTGCCCTGCAGAGGTCATGTTCAGGCCAAGGGCGTTGTGAGGTCACGCCGTGCACCAGCCAGACGGCGCCTGCCCTGCCTGCGGTGATGCGCTGCAGCCACCTAGGCTAGGCAAGAGCCGCCAGCAGCTATGCTTGGAGGGGCTAGGACGCGTGTCGCGACTGCCCTTCAGGTGATGTGCGCAACATGCCTGCTCGCTCGACCAAATTGCCAGCCAGCCAGCCGCGCCGGGCGATGCAGCACATCGTCTTCTTCCACCCCGACCTGGGCATCGGCGGCGCCGAGCGGCTCGTCGTGGACGCAGCCGTGGGGCTGCAGGAGCGCGGGCACAAGGTCACCATCTACACGTCGCACTGCGACCCCGCCCACTGCTTCGACGAAGCGCGCGATGGTGAGTTTTCCCCCAGGCGCTGCTCCCCAGGCTCATGCCGCGCGCCAGCCCGGTCCTGATGTGCTCGCAAAGGGACCCTCGACGTCCGAGTGCGCGGTAACTCGCTCGTGCCGCCCACCGTCCTCGGCCGCTTCGCCGTCCTCTGCGCCATCCTGCGCCAGCTGCACCTCATCCTGCATGTCGTCGTCTTCTCCAACGAGCTGCAGCTGCTCAAGCCCACGGCCTTCTTCGTCGACCAGCTCAGCGCCGGCATCCCCCTCCTGCGCCTGCTGCAGCCCGCCGTGCGTGTCGTCTTTTACTGCCACTTCCCCGACAAGCTGCTGGCCCAGCAGGGCGGCCTTCTGAAGACGCTGTACCGCCGTCCGTTCGACTGGCTGGAGAGCTGGAGCACCGGCTGCAGCGACACCATCGTCGTCAACAGCAACTTCACCCGCGGCGTCTTCGCCGCTGCCTTCCCAGGCCTCGACTACCGAAACCCCGGCGTCGTCTATCCCTGCGTCGACACGAGACGTACTAATGTCGACGAGATAGTCCCGCTCTGGGCCAACAAGAAGGTCCTGCTGAGCATCAACCGCTTTGAGAAGAAGAAGGATGTGGCCCTTGCAATAAGAGCGTTCGCGCGCTTGGCCCCGCACGAGCGCAAAGGCGCCCGCCTAGTCATTGCAGGCGGCTACGATCCGCGCGTGGCCGACAATGTAGCGACCTACACGGCGCTCTGTGAGCTGGCCGACTCGCTCAAGCTCAGCCATGCGACTGCCAAAACCGTCATCACTGCCCAGCGCGTCCCTGACGACATCGCCGTACTATTCCTGCACTCCGTACCGACTGCATTCAAGACGACCTTATTGGCAACATCTCGACTGCTGGTATACACTCCCTTGCATGAGCACTTCGGCATAGTCCCACTCGAGGCCATGCTGGCAGGTACTCCCGTGCTCGCTGCTAACGAGGGTGGTCCGACTGAGACGGTCGTGGACGGAGAGACGGGCTGGCTACGTGATGTCACAAAGGTAGACGACTGGACAGAAGTCATGCGTACCGCACTGGCGGATGGTCAAGGTGAGCAGACGCTAAGGAACATGGGCAAGCGGGGTAAGAAACGGGTCGAAACCCTCTTCTCCAAAGAGAAGATGGCCGAGGTTTTGGAGACGGAAATAGCAGCCATGGCGAAAAACGCCCGCCCGCCTCTGACTCCCTTTGCAGCTGTGCTGTTCGCAGTTGCCATTATGGGACTGTTAGCTGCCTCAGCTATGTGGTTGGCACTCAAGCAAGCACAAGAAGCCGCAAAACCTTGAGAACGTTGTATGATACCAATTTCTCATAGAAATTCTCGCATAGCTGTCACGATCTTGTTTTCTAGAGCATTCATAATAAATCAGCTCTTTTAGAGCCCTCCTAATACACACAGATTCTAAAAACATGAGCCGCGTGCACCTTGTGCACTGTCAAGCCGCAAAAAGATGCAAAATGAAGGTCGTGCCCGGGCTCGAACCGGGGTTGCCGGAAGACGATGCGCAGAAGCTTCAAAATCCGGAGTGATCACCACTACACTACACAACCTATTGGTTGAGTTGAAACAACAATCGATGTGATTGATGACAAAACGTTCATTCTACAAATAGATAATGTTGAAATATTGCTCTCGATCAGCCTCATGCTCACTTGAATCGAAGACTGAGTGGGGCCAATGAATCGAGGAATCACACTGACATGGTGGCGTAAAATTAGTTCGCGACCAACGGACTAAAGGGTGGGGCAAACTTGCTAAGGTGAAGTCGGATATTTTTCGGAGTTCGGACTCACAAACCGCGTGTGTTCCAAACACAGGCTGAAGCAAAGTCACTGTATTGCTCCGCTCTTTACATTCATTATTAATTTACTCAAGCAGCTTGCTCGTTTTAGAGATACTCTTGATTGTGCGATTCATGGCAAAGCCGCTTGTACGCCGCAAATCGTCGGGAAGCCCTTCGCAAAAGCTATATGACGCACCCGTTGGTGATCACATTGCAGTGTTCAATTGCACGTCATTGCGAAATCGAACCGAGTCAAATCGAAGGATGGACCAGTTCGATCACGAAAGAATCAAAGAATTACTATCAAAGCGCCGGATTAGATTCTTGTAGCTTCAGAGGCAGACACGAACAGCTGGCCGCTATGGCAAGGTCTGCGCACCGGTCTTTCTCCACCATATTTCACAGCGATACTTAGAGCACCAGTTATCCGTACGCAAGAATTGTCGACGATACAATGGTCAGAAGAGACTAGCGTGTTCGCCATCCGAGTGCGGGTGTGAGTTTGGCCTGTGACAAGCACAATACCTAGGTAGAGCACTTAAGGTTTTGTTGGGTGTGCAACGATATCCTTAAAACAAGAAAAGCGCAAAAGCATTTGGCTACGCTCCCCCTCAGACTCGAGGCAAAGAGTGCATCAACATGTCCATGTGGCCTTCGCAATTATCATGGTGATTTCGAACATTACACCAGAAGAACTTTTCTGAACATTACCCCAAAAGAGCATTTCTGATGTATTTCCGGAGCTGTTCGCCACGACAGATAACAGCTTATGACTTCCTTAAGATTTGGTCATTGACGCAAAGAGAATCAACAACACAACAGCTGTCTTTTACCGTTTCTATTGAGCAGCCCCCAGGCATTCAACCTGTCCACCAAGGATCACAACATTCGAAACTTCTGACCGGAACCGCCAACATGGTGATTCCATGCGTCGCTGGGACGATCCAAGATCCTGCATCATACCACTGAATCTCACTTGGTATATCTGTCCGGATACGAAGAGCGCGTCCACTTTCCAGCTCTTCAATCGAGATTTGGGAGCAAACCGGATCGTCGGGTCTCGATGTAGAAAAAATCACCATCATCGTCAGACTCCAGCTTGATGGCCACGTGCGCATCGTGTCAACTCGTGTCGCCCTTCGTACGTGCGCGCTTGCCTCCGTTCACGGAGCCGTCGGTTAGATCACCACGGCTGCGCTTGTTGGAACTGCGCTCCTCATTCAACGTCGCAAATCCTTGCGAAGACAACACGCTCAAGCCTCCGGAGAGCGAGCATTGACTCGCAGTAGCAGCCGATGCCGGAAGTGCAGGTGTAGGCTCAAGCTAGACCGGTGTCAGAGTCTCGTGAGTTGGGAGAACACCGGGGACTGGGCTTGAACTTATCCAGACGACTACCGGTGGATTCTCGAGGAGTGGGGAGCACTGCTGTGCTTGGTGACGGACTGCGGAAGCTGCAGCAAGCAGGTTGCGCTTCACGTCATTGCCTTTCTCTTGACTCTTCTTAATCTGTCGTATGTGATTATGCGAAAGCTTAGACGGCTATGCACAGTGTGACCTACCTTCAGAAGCGCAAAGGGAGCGTGTACGAGCTGGAAAACCTTGGAGTCCTCGGTCAAGACATCTTTGCAGATCCTCTTATCGAGCTATCATGGCATCAGAAATTTTGTTCACAAGATGATGAGGAAAACGCAGACTCAGCTTCAGTGCGTTGACGACGGAAAGCAGGCGTTCTTTGCACGTCAGCTTCTTATCATCGCGCGCAGGACCGACAGCACATAGTCTAAGGCCGCAAAAGCCGACAACGCAACGATGGATGAGAGCTATCTGTTTTCGATTAATCCTATGGAACCTTCTTTTTACGACAGTGTTTACCAAGGTCGATCGACACGCAGCCTCGACAGCCTTCTTATCCAGCAATGGTGATTTGAACATCGCGAGCTCGATGCTAGTAGCCTTGTTTCGTACGTTTTCTACGTTGCAAATGGCTTCATACAGAGCATCTACCCAGGCTTCTGCCTGCAAGATCACTTCTTGAATGGTGTCGTCTGCCCGATTGGTCGGCGTAGCCTCTTCGAGCGGGCGATCGAGGTAAGTCAGAGCGCGAGCCCAACTGTCCTTGAATCGGGGATGCTCAGCATCGTGGTACAGTAATTGGAGAGCCTCAGTCGCTTCTGTTTCATGTCGGTTAACGTAAAAGTCTTGCAGCATTGCACCGGGAGTTCACTCACCGGCCGCCTAGACACATCTGAGATGGATTTCGAACTTGTCAGTTGTGTTCTACATCCGATGATTCATTTATTGCGCTAGAATTTACGTCTCTGAAGAACGGTTTTATGTTGGAGTTCAATCACGAGCGGGAGAATTACCGACTGCGATGACCCTCTTCATCTCGCATTCTTCTTGATCTACTTCCCCTCCTACAGTATGTGGATGTAGGTAATTTTTCTCATCTCTTGTCTCAGCTGGCCCCATAGGGTATCGAGATGCAATGATTGTCCCAATAATATCGTCGGCAATACGGACTGTTAAAACGACATTATACATTCCATTCCACTGCATCAAGAACATGAACTACGAACGCTAGCATTGCTGTCACACTTTCATGTGGGACAACGAAAAGAGACGTTACCTCAGAACTAGATTTACAGTGCAAGCCGAAGACAACGTGGGTATCATTAACAGAGGCAGGCAAGAAGACAAGAAATGACAAAGAGATTGGAGACAGTAATTGTAGGACGCCCTACATCCGATATTGCTCCTCAAACACCTTGACATCGAAACACAGATACGACAAGCGGATATCAATAGAAAATGACATGCGATACTCGCGGTGCTCATAGCTGATCGCGTGTGTCTGAGGCTCCTTGGTACGGAAACTGCTGCACCCCCTGTTGGGCATCCCAGTACTGCGAGAAGTTCTGACCATCATATAGCCCATTGGACTTTTGTTTGAGACTTCCTGCCATATCGGCCATTTCTGGATGCTGCACAAAAAGGTTTGCACTCACACCAGTGCATGCTTGGCCCTGCCGTCCATCAGACGAGATCCAGAGTCCGTCAAAGAGTGGCTCAGTATGGCGGTGATAAAGGTTGGCATACTGCTGCATTAGCGGCCATTGCTCGCTTCCGGCATTGTGTATAAGCTGCCCATCGTCTGGGCTCACGGGTGCGGAGCGGTTGCCATGTGACAGGGCCGGAGGTGACATCAGTGGTGTGTGTTGTTGCGGCGGTACTGTTGATATGTGCGAAGCATAAGGGGAGCCCATTGGTGGAGGCGACATCGCGTGGATGCGCCTCTGTATTGCTGGAAAATCTCGCGAAGGGGCAAGCCTCTGAGGCCTGGACATATCGAGGCTACCTACTAACACAGATGGTGGTGAGAATCGGGCTTGGGCTCGTTGAAATGGTGACAGCTCGCGTGGTTGGCTTTCGAGTCGAACGCATGGGTCTGCTCCAGCGTCCTTGTTAGGTCTACTGCGGCGAGCCCGGGTGACTGGCCTTGGGTTCAACTTACGGACCTTGGAAGGTCTATTTGCTGGATCAGAGTCCTTATTTCGACCTCTTTTGCTATTTCCCACGCGATTTTGGTATTTCCGGTTTGCGTACGCCTTCGGGGCGTTGACAAACATGCGGATCTGGCAAGCGGAGTTCATTACGTCCTCGCAAATCGTCTTTTCCTCTTGAAGGGCACATAAAATGCTCTCCAGTCGTTCTTCGCAGGTCACATCTCGATCCTCGTCATCGCCCTTGCGGTCATCCGCAACATAGTCGTTATGAACCTAGTGGTGTCATGTTAGCCACTCTCGAAGCGATGTGTGCGGAGAAGACACTTACCCAGCCGCGAAACCCCTCTTTTGCCTGTAGTAGCAGACAGTCGAGAACCTTATGTGCATACGCCTCGACCAAAGTGGACTCGTAATAGGCTCCATGAACCCATCTCTTCATGGCAATAGAACCCTTATTGTCTCTTGCCGCATCACCACAAGTCATGGCATTGTAGACTCGTTCGACGTGATAAAGGCGGTCCTTCTCAACCTCAGAAATGGTATAATCGGTATCCGGGGATCGATAAGGCTTCCTGTCAAATCGTGTCGCTTCCTTGCGATGCTGGCTTGCGCTCTCAGAGGAGGAAAACCGTGCTTTGAACGGACCATATCTCGAATTGGAAGTTGGCGCAGGCTCCTGGGTATGCATATGCGAATAATGTTCAGGTGCAACGGAGTGAGCAACTTGCTGGGTTTTATATGAAAGTCGGCCCACGCGTGCTTGCTCTCTGTAGCCGAAGCCAGATGCTTCATCGTACTTCTCGACGCTGCGTGGAAGGACTTCGTCATCCAGGAAAGTTTGTCGGGATGCCTCCGAAATGCTTCTTTCTGCTCTGTTCCCGGGATTCGGAACAGCGTAGCTTGTGAGGTCGGAAGTGTTTGCATGCGGCTCCCAATCGTCATTTGCGTGGCAAAACTCATTCAAATCGAAGAAATTGTCAGAGTGTTGATAACCACTGGAACACCCTTCAGAATTTGCTTGAAGGATACTTTTAGTAACCGGCGGATTCCTGCAGGACTGATAGGGCGTTTCTTCGTCCCCACTACTGGCTGCAATGGAGGGCTGCTCTGCCGTCGACATACAGGTGCTGATGTGGTGTTCTCACGGGAAGTGGGGTGCTAGGAATCCTAGTGCGATGGTTGAAGGTACAGAAGAGTAGAGGCTGTGTGGAGATGAAGTCGAGACATCCGATTGTGCGCACGAAGGGGTGGAGTGGGTGTCTGAGAAAGCACAGCGCTGGAAGGCGAATTTATGGCACTGTGAACACATCACAGCCGCATACTCTCGAATTCACGTTGCCAGTAGCCGGTTCCGCTAGGCGATTGCGTTCTTCAGGGCCTGTGACTTGGCTATTTGCGTTGTTTGAAGCGTGTGGATGGACCCCGATTGAAGGATAGCTTGTCAAGAGGCTCTGCGGAACGTTTGCGCTTCATACCCGCCCTTGGACCGGGATAATCGGTATACCACTGGCGCAGCCTTTCTTCCGACCGGTCGAAACTTCCGCTAGATTGCGCTGAATAGAAATATTAGGCGTAAGGCTCATTCCACAGGAGTCGGATCTGGTCTACCAAACTGTTAGCTCTCTCCTCTCGGGGCCATGTTAGATGCAGTTGGTGATAAGGACCATCGGGGCCTAGTTCTTTGCGTACTAATGACGACTCACACTACACCCCTCTGTATCCCCGCATTGTGTTAAAAGTGATACCACAATTGGATTCCTGGATCCCTGAGTCAATGACTGTACGATAATTGAATATACCACACCCATAACCTCTCGGTAGCACAGTTCACATGCTGAAGCCACGAGGCCGCATGGACAGACATTCTGATCTCTGGCTAGCACAGCAACCGGACGCAACGAACTGTCCCCTTCCAAAAGCGGTGTCAGACTTTCGTACAACTATATCGATGGAGAGGAAGAAATCATTCGCAGCGTGTTAAATGTAATGGTCATAGATGTCATTGGATGAAGACCACACAGCGAGTTTCCAGATGGTTCATCTGCTGGTCTCCACTGAAGAGATTCTCCGAAGTCTTTCGAGCGTGAGGGTATTGAATCATCCAAGGGGAGTGATGATCGTCAACTGGGACTATGATGTTACTCTGGAAGTCGTACGACAGATATTCCACAACAATACCACACCTTAAGGTATCCTTGCACCAAATGTATATTCTGGTGAGGTGGTGGAGACTGACATGATTGGACGTGATGATGGAACCCGAGGAAGTTAAGTCACTATCGACGGATAGACGCAGTGCCTCCTGTGCTCAACCAACTAATGCTTCAATTATCACAGCCGCGTCCTGTGCGAGAGGGCCACCCTAATATATCGTTTCTCGACGTGACAATGTCAGCATAGTACTAAGGCTTTCGCGTAGACGGAGCAATGCCGTACCTTCACAACGACCCCGTTGACCCGCAAAATTAACACCAATGTCTCCAACCTCCGAGATCGCTAACAACCGTTCCCAAATTATCGACCGGTATTTTTCCTGGAAGCTAGCCAAGCTAGTAACAGGTTCAAAGCTCGTCTGCGCGGCACTACGCGATCTTGGGCCCGGCCATTAGACGTTCCGCAGTACGGAACATTTCCGCACATTCCGCGACGAGCGTTCTCACCCCTCTCCCCGCATGACGATCCCGCAGTACCGGCGGTCGTGTGGGGAGATTTCTCTGGGTATAGATAGCTACTGCTGCCGCGTATACATTTAGCCCATTGTCCTTGCTGTATGTGAAGATTGGGAACGCCCACCGCATTGTTCTTTTTTCCTTGAAGTACTTCACCAAAACGGAGACGAACTACTCACTCGATACAACAACGCACCGTAATCTTTTCACCAGGTCTTGAATATTGAGTTTGCCTGGAAAGGGATTTTCGGGTTGACGGGATGATCTCGACAGTTCTGCCATTGCTGTCGAATCAGTTACTCGAACACACGCTTCGTTCCGTCCTTGTCTTCCTCATTGGTATCCCTGTTACCTACGTTCTTGTCAATGAGTTCGTACGCCGTTCTCTACGGGTGAAGGGGTTCGATGGACCGACGAATTGGCCGCTTGTTGGCAATATCCCGGATATCAAGTATAATGCCGCCGAAAAGTACCGCGAATGGAGCAAGATCTTCGGGGATGTTTACCAAATACAGCTGGGTAATGTACCTGTCCTTGTGGTGAATAGTGCAGAGTCTGCAAGGAAGATATTCGGGCAGAATAGCCAAGCGTTGAGCTCAAGGCCAGTATTTTGGACTTTCCACAAGGTATGTCGAATGTCACAAGATGGAAATCAATGACTTTCTGGCTCACAAGAACCAGGTGCTATCAAACACTGCCGGAACGACGATCGGAACATCGCCATTCAATGAATCTTTGAAAAGGAGGCGCAAGGGAGCTGCCTCTGCTCTAAACAAGCCGTCAATTGCGACGTACATCGGTCACATCGATGTCGAGACCAAGGACTTCGTTAAAGAAGGGTTCGTGAACGGCAAAGCTGGAGTGGTTGGCGTAGACCCTATGCCCATGATACAGCGCCTTTCGCTCTCCTTGTCGCTCACACTGAATTGGGGCACGCGAATGGAAAGCCGCGATGATCCCATGTTCCACGAGATCACCGAAGTAGAGGAGGCAATATCGCTATTTCGAAGCACGACCGGAAATCTCCAGGACTACATTCCGCTCCTCAGATTGAACCCGTTCAGCGCCGGATCCGTGATGGCACGCGACATGAGACGGAGGCGGGATGTGTACTTGACCAAACTGAACAAAGACTTGGATGATCGCATGGAGAAGGGTACTCATAAGCCTTGCATTCAAGCGAATGTAATACAGGACAAGAGTGCCGCATTAAACAAGGAGGAGTTGACATCAATCAGCTTGACGATGCTCTCGGGAGGTCTTGACACCATTACCACGCTGGTGCAATGGAGTGTTGCATTGCTTGCACAGCGACCAGACATCCAGCGGAAGGCGGTTGAGGAGATTGGCAGGTTTTACTCGCACGAAGAGCCTTTGTGCGATGCATACGACGACCAAAAGTGCGAGTACATTGTGGCTTTGGTGAGGGAGTGTTTGCGCTATTACTGCGTTCTTAGACTGGCGCTCCCCCGAGCCACAGTCAAGGACATCGTATACGAAGGGAAATTGATTCCGGCTGGTAGCACCATCTACCTGAACGCATGGGCATGCAACATGGGTAAGCTGAGAGCCGTCGCAACGTGGAAGTGAACATGAACTGACGTTACCGCGCAGATCCCAAGGTGTGGCGCGACCCTGAGGTGTTCCGACCTGAGCGGTGGCTTGAACAACCTGATGCACCGCTTTTCACATATGGTCTTGGTTATAGAATGTGTGCTGGAAGCCTGCTGGCTAATCGGGAGCTGTATTTGACATTCATGAGGATGCTGAACAGTTTTGAGATCTTGCCGGTCACTCAGGTTGATACGCATCCCGTGAGGGGAAGCGCGGACCCGTGCAGCTTGGTGACGATGTGCAAGCACTACGAGGTTATTTTCAAGCCGCGCAACGAGGCCGCACTGAGGAAAAGCCTCGAGGACGCTGAACGGCGGCTGGCGGAGACAGCATAGATACTGGGTGTTTGCAATTTGAATTTGAGTACAAAGCCGGCTGAGGTTCCGCTGTGTATGCTTGATGCCACAAGTGTTGAAGAACCCTCTTGTGTGTGACTCCACTGTACATGTAGTGTGCAGTGTGCAGTGTGCAGTGTGCAGGGTGCAGGGTGATGGTCGGTCGTAGACTAGCCCGAACGATGTTAGCGGGAGGACCTGGGCAACATGTCCTCAAGGCGCAGGAACAGCCGTCCGGAGCTCGATTGGATTGCGCGCGTCTCTCCACTCCTCTCCCCTCCCTCGCCGATTGCCTGCCTGCGCCGCCGTCTCCCCCCGCCTTGCCTTGCCGCCCGCGCGCCCTTCGTCGGCTCTCCGCGTGCCTGCAAGCTTCCTTGCGTCAACAGCGGACGGATGCATATAACGCCATGGTGTGAACCGCGCGCATGCCTGGGATTCTACAGGAAGGCCTGATTCGGGGGAACATGCTGCGATCGATACTGCCTGGCGACGAGGAGCTGGGCAAGAAGGACGACGACCATAAGCCGGGCGCCGCGCGCATGCCAAAATGGACACCGAGGAGCACGCCCCTGCGCTGGCGACGCCGGCGCATATTGCTAGCCGTCGTCGGCCTTTGTATGGTCTATCTCCTCGTCAAGAATGTGCCGTCCATGGGCGGCTGGACTGATCAAATCACCACGGCGGAATACGCAAGTGCGCCGCCCGGCAGGTTCAACTACGCCCACGAGCAAGCTACCAACGAGGAACCCACGGGACCGCCGCCAGGATACAGAGCGCCCAGGGTGGGTGAGCCCGCGCCGCACACCTTCGACGGTCAGTTCAAGTTCTACCGCCTCGCTGCCTCGCTGCACGGTGCCTCCCACACGTACGGCTACCGCGCCGTCAATCGCAACATCGTCTTCCCCATCTCCAGCCTGCACAGCGCGTCCACAATGCTCCCTATGATTTGTGAGATGGCGCGCTGGAGTAGAAACTATGTGCATGCGGCATTCATGGGCAGGGAGGACGTTGATGTGGCTCGGATACTGGAGATCAATGGTATAGACCAAATCAAATGCCCAGCCATCTGGCACGATGCGCGGCCAGACTGGACCGAATACAGCTCAGACGACCGAGCCGAGCTCAGTGTCATGGCCGCCATGACCCACATCAACACATTCCTGCACCCACAGGCTGCTATAGTAGACGATGCTCTGTCCGAGGATGGCTTCTTCACAAGAGGTGTACGCGCCAAGACAGAGGCGTTGCACATGCCCCTCATCGAGATACCCAAAGATAAACTGGACAGCACCATGTGGATAACTCGGCTCGATGCTGGGTCCTTGCGGAGCTGGAACCTGCCCACTGTCGATATACTCATCCAGGTGCCGCCAGACTCTGCGAGTGTTGCTCGTCTTCTCAAGTCGATCCGATCCGCTGACTACAGTGGTCTGAACCTGCCTCATATCACACTCGAATTGCCTGCGGATCTTGATGAAACAGTGGAACAATTCTTGGACGAGTTCAGTTGGCCGCCCTCGGGCCATCAGAGTCACATAACAACCAGACGCAAGATTGGAAATCAGCGCGCGACGCAGGAGGAATCTGCCGTCCGTTTCCTCGAGCTCTTCTACCCTAGCTCCAAGAATTCGCACCTCTTGCTGCTTTCCCCGCAGGCTGAGCTCTCGCCGCAATATTACCAATATCTTATCTTCACTTTGCTGGAGTACAGATACTCCACGTACGCCGAAGATGACGCCGCGGGCGTAATGGGCGTGACGCTGGAGCTTCCTTCCGTTCTACTTAACGGGGAGACGAAGCTCAATCCACCTAAGCCCCCCGAGATGCATTCCCCGCGATACTCGGAGCTTTTTGCGGACACAAAAAGTGTGCCGTACCTTTGGCAAGCTCCTAATAGCCACGCAACATTGTATTTTGGCGACAAGTGGGCAGAGCTGCACTCATTCCTCAGCAACCGCGTGGCAAAGCAGTCAAAAGCACCACAGCGGAAAAAACTTGTATCGGAGACTCTCCCGGCCTGGATGGAGTACACGCTGGAGTTCATGCGTGCCCGAGGCTATGCCTTGTTCTATCCCGGAGCCACCTCCGAAGAAGCTCTGGTCACTATCCACAATGAGCTGTACCACATGCCCGAAGAGTTCGCGTCGCCAAAAGCGAGGCATGGAGACGATGGGACTGCTCTACCGATACAGACAAACGAACCATTCCTCCGTGGCGACATAGCTGCACCGACACCTAAGCTGTCGGAGAACAAAGTAGTTTCCCACTCACGTCCCCTGCACCTCATCTTACCTTTCGAGGGTGATCTTCCCGAAATACCCCACCTCCCGTACCTCCTACATCGCGGCGACTTGATACCCCATTCCAATGTCTCGTCTATCGCGGAAACATACGCTGCTGAATACCGGAAGGTAATTGGCGGTTGCACCATACCGACAGGTAAACACCGGAAGATTGCCGCGGGAAGTGCTCGTGATCTGTTTTGCTTTGGGGATGAGGAAGATGACGACTGGGAGAACGATATAGAAGTGTTCGACGCAGACACTGACGACGATTACCGCGACATACGGGATAGTGCACTGACGAATAACGAGATTGTTGCCATAATGACAACGACGGGGAGCAGTGTCAGTGCGACACCTGAACCTACAGCTACTTCTAGTCTGTAGTGATACAGTCTCGCGCGTAGTTTGCACGAGACTCCGAGACTCGTTTCGCGGCACTTCGTTGATCGTCCGCTCTGTCCTTGCTTGTGTTACTGCGAGGATCATAGCGGGACGTGACGTGCAGTATGATTTGATAGAACAGCAGAGCAGGATCATGGGCATTTCATCGGAGTTTTAGGCCTTGGCCGGCCGTTTTGCAGCGTTTGGCATGTAAACTGGATGGTCAGTTAGTAGACTGTAATGAGTGTTCGAGACCGACAAATGCGAGGCTTGCATCAGTGTTGGCGTTGGCAGGAGCGGTATGGTATGATGGTATATTGGTGCATCTGCATACCATGTCTTGTTTGCCAGAAGTCAGAGGTTTGCTTCGTGTAGAGTGTAGATGCATGCATGACTCGTGCGCAGCCCTAAGCATGCCTGGTCTTCCAGAATATCACGTGCAGCCTAGCTTCCCGTCCCGCATGTGCGACGCGCCGGCCGGATGCACGGGCCAGCGAAATTCTTATGTAGTAGAAGGGGTTTTGCCATCTAATGGGCCCTCCAGTTCCAACAGCTGCCACATCTGGAGCTGCCCATCGTCCCTGCGCTCTCTGCAGGCCCATTCCTTCCTTGTCTGCCTAGTCAAGCGTTCTTCTTTCTCTGGTTCCCTCTATAGTACCTTTAATACGTTATTCTTTCTCTTGCAAGATGCTCGCGCGAGCAGCCCGGCGGAAGCTGCGAAGGGACGCCTTCCGGTCGCCCACGCAGCTGGCCGAGCAGTTGACGCTCCCCTGGCTCTGTCCGGCGCAGATGCGATGGGCTGCCAGCGTAGGCCCTGCGACAACGACGACGCACGACGCACGACGACCACGACACGGCGCGCTGTCGCCACGGCACGAGACGCGCTCCCTTGCTACGCAGGCCGATGTCCAGCACGCACACACGCCGACCATAGCCTTCGATGGCCTAATACAGCCCTGGAGCTCGCGCAGTATCCATTCGCCACGCATGGCACGGCTGGAGCCCTGGGATCCCGCAACGCCGCTCGTTCTGCGAGAATCTAGGGACCCTCCCACCACGCCCTCCAAGTTCGGCATTGGCGGTGACCCCATCGAACTGTACCAGAACCTACATGCTTGCCTGCGCGTCGGCCGCATGGACCGCGCCACGGCCATCATCCAACGGCTGACAACCATGTACAGCCCGACGGCGAGCGAGGTTGTCGAGGCGCACAACGCCTATCTGCAGGCGCTGTTCGAGCTGGCCCAGCAGGACCCAGAGGCTTACTCCATGGCCACCATCGAGGAGTGGTACGACTCACACATGGTGCGCAAGGCCATCGAGCCCAATGCCGGCACCTTCGTCGTCCTCCTACGGGCCTCCATGTCGCTTCTCGAGGGGAACACGAGGCACCGCTCGCTGCACAAGTACCTGGCCATGGCCGAAGCCAGGTGCGGCTCTGATGTCATGGACGCTATCAACTACTCCGAAGACTTCGACGACCACGAATGGGACGCCCTTATCCGTGCCCAGCCGGACCGCTTCCAGGAACCGCCTGTGATGGAGCAGCCCACCAATAAGGCCTACCCCATCGAGATGAGCACGCCACTTGGAACCCAGGCGCTCATCGATGCTAACATCCTCCCGAACCCTGCACACAGTGTAAAGGAAGTTCCACAGAAGGGCGAAGGTCTCATCGCACTCAAGAACGCGCTTGCTGTATTCGACCAAACCAGTCGGGTTCCTTTTCCTCACGAGATGGATGGCTCGCAGGATGAAAAAGAACGTGCTTTTGCGTACATGCGCCAGCTGCAACTCGAGCAGGATGCGACCGAGGCTGCGACCAATCGGTGGAAAATCGAAGACGAGAAACTTCAAGAACTTGGTATCCACGGCGTGCTCAAGACCAAACCAATACAAGCTTTGATGTGGCAATGGTATTCGGCGCTTCTGCCCCGCCTCCAGAAAGAGTACGCACGTGTCCAACAAGTGCTTTCTGCGCCTACTCCGCAGAACCAAAGTGACGAGAGGCACATCTACGGGCCGTATCTCGAGATGTGCAAACCTGAGAAGATGGCAGCTATCACCGTGTCGCGCATGATTCAGGGCGTTGCCATTGGTCGAAAGGAACATTCGAGCGACCTGAAGATCTCCCAGCTCTCTTCCCAACTTGCAGAAGACATTCGGAACCAGTCCATATCGGATGCGAAAGAGAAGTTGCTCTCAGCACGGAAGAAACAGCGCAAGCAAGCTCGTCGTGCAATGCTCGATTCTCTGTCATTGCAACCGCAAGGCACCAAACCAGAAGAGAAACCCACGACGAGAATTGCCGAACTTCCCACGGATTCCTTTTTGAAAGCCGAGGTGCCTAATGCAGTCAAGACTAGGATCGGTGCTATGCTGATCGAGCATTTCCTACAAGCAGCGATGATCACCGTGACAGTCGAAGATCCTAAGTCGGGCAAAACTTTGACCAACACACAAGCTGCCTTCCATCATCACGTTGGTTTTGCTAATGGCAAGAGAACAGGATGGATTGTTCCCCACCAGGAGATTCTCAACAAGCTAATGAGAGAGCCTACGCATTCTGTTCAAAGTGTCCAGCTCCCCATGGTCTTCGAACCCAAGCCTTGGACTGCTTTTGACGAAGGTGGCTACTACACGACCTCACAGGCTGTGGTTCGTCTGAAGAACCATGATCAAGCGCAACGTGCATACGCTCAATCAGCCATAGAAAACGGCGACATGGAAAAGATGTTTACAGGGCTTGACGTTCTTTCGAAGGTCCCGTGGCAGATCAACAAGGATGTGTTCGAAGTCATGGTCCAAGCGTGGAATATGGGAGAAGGTATTGGCGCTATGGTTGGGGAGAAAACCGGTCCTACGCTCCCCGAGGAACCCCCACAGGACGCATCCGCGGCCACAAAGACGGCATGGAGGAGAGCAATCGTCGCGTACGAAAATGAACGAGGAGGGTTGCATTCCCAACGCTGTTATCAAAACTTCCAACTGGAGACCGCACGTGCCTTTGCTAAGGAAAAGAAGCTATACTTTCCGCACAGCGTGGATTTTCGCGGCAGAGCTTATCCTATTCCCCCAGTGTTAAACCACATGGGATCCGATTTCTCGAGATGTCTCCTGAGATTTGCAAACGGAAAGGAGTTGGGCACTGTGGGTCTGCAATGGCTCAAGGTCCATTTAGCAAACCTTTACGGGTTTGACAAAGCTAGCTTACACGAGCGGGAGCAGTTTGCTATGAACAATCTTCACGAAATATACGACTCTGCGGCGAATCCTCTTACTGGAAGGAGATGGTGGACGAAAGCAGAGGATCCCTGGCAATGCCTTGCGTGTTGCATGGAGCTGAAGAACGCACTAGAATCCCCGGACCCAACTCGTTTTGTCTCGCGCCTTCCCGTTCACCAGGATGGGACTTGCAACGGGCTTCAGCATTATGCGGCGCTGGGAGGGGATACTGCCGGCGCTAGCCAAGTCAATCTCGAACCATCCGACCGACCGCAAGATATCTACACTGGTGTTGCCGACCTCGTCAGGAGCATGATTGCTGATGACGCTGCACAAGGCCATAGATTGGCAACAATGCTTAAGGATAAGATCTCCCGGAAGGTTGTCAAGCGAACTGTCATGACCAATGTTTACGGTGTTACGTTTATCGGCGCTAAAAATCAAGTTGAAGATGAGCTTCGAGGTTTCTTCGAACGGGAAGACGAGACGACTGAGATCTGGCAAGCGGCATCCTATGTCGCCAGCAAGATTTTCTTAGCCCTGGGCAAGATTTTCAATGGGGCTCAGGAAATCCAATACTGGCTTGGCGAATGCGGCGAACGCATATCAACATCAGTGTCCGCGGAGCAGATCAGGAGGCTTCGTGACCACCTGGATGGAAAGAAGAAACCATATGACAGCAAGTACAAGAATCCCAAGTCTGTGAGCAAGAGCCTGGAGAAGAAGATTGTCAAAGACATTGAAGCATTCAAGACACCGATCATTTGGACAACGCCCTTGAAGATGCCAGTTGTGCAACCGTATCGTAAGCCAGGAACTCATGTGGTCAAAACGAAACTACAGGAAATTGTCGTTTCGCGCAACCTGGGCAACGCGGCCATTGACAAACGCAAACAACTTCAAGCGTTTCCGCCCAATTTCATTCATTCGCTCGATGCTACTCACATGATTCTGTCGGCACTCAAATGCAATGAGATGGGTATTGATTTTGCCGCCGTCCACGACAGTTTTTGGACGCATGCGGCTGACGTTCCCAATTTAAATATCATCTTGCGCGACGCTTTTGTACGCATGCACTCCGAAGACATTATGGGTCGGCTTGCCGCCGAATTCAAGGCTCGCTATTCTGGGTCAATGCACAAGGCGCTTCTCGTGCAATCCTCGGATGCTGCGAAGAAAATTCTGGCATGGAGAAGGGCACAGCATGAGGGCGAGGCAAGTGCTCGTGGAGCCCGCAAGGCACACAAAGACGCTCCCTTCGATGAACTCGCCCTCGAGGCTCAGCGGCAGGACCTGCTGAACAGCGAGGACCTAGAGATGAGGGAGCAGGGTCTGAAGATGGTCACACCGACAAGTATATGGCTAGCGAACCAGGACCCCAGCTCCATTGCATCGTATCGCCTTGCTCGCATGGGTGAAAGCAAGAACACCGCCGGTCCTAAACTTGACGAAGTCAAAGAGAAGCTGATCACAGCTGAAGCTGAACATGTCACTGGGGAACTGGAAGCTTCTGGTACCTTGGCCAATGATATTTCCGATGCTGATCTTCTCGCCGCAGAAGAAGAAATGGAAGAAGAGCTTGAAGACGAAAGCCCAATGAAGACAGGAGAGAAGAAGAAGGCGAGGTCCCGTCTGACTAGCACGACCGTCGCTGTGTGGCTTCCATTGACATTCCCACCGGTGCCAAAGAAGGGAGACTGGGATGTCTCCAGGCTACGTGAGTCGAAGTACTTCTTCTCTTGAGGCGAGCACTTTTTGCCTTTGTATTCTCTTGTGGATCATTACGCGTGGAAACGGGCATCATTCATTCGGCGCGGCGTTTTATGACATTGGGCAGCATTTCTGTGGCGTTTTCCCTCTGGAACGACTTCTCTGCGTTCAGTGCGTGTGTACTATATTGTACAGCAGGATTGCGATATATCCACTCCATTTGCAACGGATGGCGGTTGTAAGATGGTCAATTGTATAGGAAAAAATGAACTGAAATGAAATGTGTACATCAGTATCAACTTACCTGCGCTTCAGGGCTCAACAGTCTCTCCCGAGGAAAGTGTGATGTCATGGCAGTGTTCCACAAAACCTGTGCCTCTTACCGAGGGCTGTGGAACCCTGTTGTGGGATTGCCTTGCAGCTGTGATGTCCGCATTGAATATGCTCGATAAGCAGCTGGTCCTTGCGGTCAGGATACCGCGTAAGCAGAGGCAGCGTTTGACACTACTGGGTGGGGACATCAACTACCATTTCTTGGCAGGTTTTCCTGTTGATAGACTGAACTTTTCCCATAGCCCGGTGCTCGGTGATCCTGACCAAGTTGCCACGCGAAGTTGTGCTGTTGGTTTGTCAAGCTTAGTCAATCGGGGTCGGAAGTCGGAAGCGAGGAAAACATGACGAAAGCGGGACGTCGACGTCGATTCGCGTTAGTGTGACGAGCTCCAAACATCGGCCCTGTGACCATTGCTTTGCTTTATATTCCCACATCCTCCTGGCTCACCACGTTACATGTCCGCACTTCTCTTCCGGTGTCGCATTCGAGCATCTTCAACTTTACCCGGGTTCCTAACACAAAGATCATCCACCGCGCCTCCATACCGCGCCTTCAGATACTCGAGCAGAAAAGGCGCCATGGACAAAGCACCTGAGCAAAAAGGCAGCATCACCGACTGGGTGAAACCGGGCGACAAGTCGGGCGAATTCAAGAGGCAGACGTCCGTGTTCAGGAACTGGATTGAGAACAAGCCCGATGCTGAGTTCCCTCCCGAGAAGGGAAGGTATCACTTGTATGTGAGCTATGCATGCCCATGGGCGCATCGCACCATGATTGTGCGGAAGTTGAAGGGGCTGGAGGACTTTGTGGGCATCACGAGCGTGCATTGGCACATGGGTCAGAAGGGTGAGTAAGGTCATAATGACGTGGGACATGGAGCCGGGTCAGATCAATGCTGACGACTATGGCAGGATGGAGATTTGCTGAAAAAGGCGAGGAGGTTGCAGGGGACTTGGCAACGCCGGATCCGATCCACGAGGACTTTACGCACATTCGTGACATCTACTTCGAGCAAGATCCCAACTACGAGGGGCGCTTTACGGTGCCTACGCTGTACGACAAGAAGGCCAGCAAGATTGTGAGCAACGAAAGCAGCGAGATCATCCGCATGTTTTACACGGCGTTTGACGACCAGCTCGAAGAGAAGTATAAGTCGGTGGACCTGTTCCCGGCTAGACTCCAGAAAGAGATTGAGGAGATGAACGACTGGGTGTACAACGACATCAACAACGGCGTGTACAAGAGTGGATTCGCTACGTAAGTTCTGTCTTTCCTTCCTTCTGTAACTTTGTTCTCGAGTCTTTTCGACATCCATCTTCTTACGTTCGGACTAACGTGATTCTAACATCTAATCTTAGCACCGAAGAGGCCTACACCAAAGCGGTAACCACCCTCTTCTCCTCCCTCGACCGTGTCGAAGAAGGCCTCTCCAAATCTTCGACCCCGTTCCTCCTCTCCTCCCCCACCATCACCGAAGCAGACGTGCGGCTCTACACGACGATTGTCCGCTTCGACCCCGTCTACGTGCAGCACTTCAAGTGCAACATCCGCGACATTCGCAGCGGATACCCGCACCTGCACAAGTGGCTGCGGAACCTGTACTGGGACCACTCGGCGTTTGGGGAGACGACGCAGTTTGAGCACATCAAGAAGCACTACACCAAGAGCCACTCACAGATCAACCAGTTTGCGATTACGCCTGTGGGACCGCTGCCGGATATCTTGGCGAAGGACGAGGACGTTCCTGCTGTCAAGTTTGCGTCGAAGGCGTAGATGGGTGTCGAGGTGTACAGACAACGAATGAATCACGATATCACTGCTGCAGCTGACAATCACGTGAAACCTGCAAACCGAGTTCAATTCGTGTCGTGTCCAAAGACAAGCCCTTTTGGTATCGTATTGTTGTACATAGAACGCCGTGAATGCAGCCACCCGCTCCTGAAGCACCAACGGCAGAAAGTTTCCCTCGTGGCCATCTCTTGGGCCTACCAATTTCCTCGGCCGCGTCCGCGCCCTCTCCCACCGCCTCCACCGCCATGGCCGCCGCCAAAGCCACCTTGGTTGCCGCTCGGACCGCCAAACCCACCCATGCCTCCGCCGTTGGACATTTGCATCATCATCTGGTTGAAGTCCATGCTGTTGGGGTCCATGCCTGAAGCGGCCATCTGCTGCATCATCTGCATCATCTCAGCCTCACCAGGCATGCCAGGTATGCCGGCTGGGGCGGTCGGTGCTGGTCCTCCGGGACCAGGCATGCCGCTCATCATGGCTATCATGGCCGCCTGCTGTTTCTGTTGTTCGGCCAGCGTGTCGGTCATGGTCTGCTGCTTGAGACGGTACTGTTCCCAGTTGAACTCGTCGAAGCCGTAGTTGAAGTAGTCGGACTGGTCGGCGCCGGGCAGGCGCCAGGGCTTTGTCTCCTCGGCCAGGTCTGCGTCCATGACGACCTGGGTGATGGGCTTGCCTACGGGCGGGTAGACGGGGTCGCCGTTCACGTCGACCGTGGACGATCGTATGGCGGGGTACGCGGTGCCGGGCTGGGTCGGGTGCTGGGGCGCTGCGGTGCGGGCAGCCTGCGAGGGCGCGGTCGCGGCCTGGGGCGGCGCCTCGATCTTTATCGCCTTGGACTCCTGGGGCTGCTGCTGCTGCTGCTGGGCAGGCTTGGGCGCGACGGCGGGCTTGTCGATGATGATCTCGAGGTCCTGCGCTGTGTTAGCGGGCGCGGGGCGCAGTCAGACGGGGGCGGCGCGTACCGAGTCGCTGTCGTCGCTGTCGTCGTCGTCGTCGTCGTCGTCGGCCGACTCCTCCTCCATGGGCTCGTCGGCGCTGTCGTCGCCGTCAGCGTCGGCGGCCGTGGGCGCCTCTGCGGCCCCGGGCTGCTGGGGCTCCGAGGGCCCGTAGAGATCGTCGTCGTCGTCGTCCATGTGGCGCGCGTCCCAGAAGCGCGGCGGCTGGCCCTTCTTGAAGTCCCAGGGAATCAGGCGGTAGCCGTGGGCCTCGAGGCGCTGCTTGATGAAGCGGGCGCGGGTGATGACGTTGCGGTGCTTGTCGCGCTCGACGTCGTGGGCCGGGTGCTTGAACAGGTACAGCAGCTTGCCCCTCTTGAGGCCGATGCGGACGGTGCGGTCGTCGAGGTCGCTGGGCCCGTTAGCGCCTGTGCCTGTGCCTGTGCCTGTCGTGGGCCGGTGCTGTCGGCGGCTCTGCGGCATGCTTGGCGTGCAGCTCGCTACCTGGGGAGCTCTGCGGCCAAACCAGACATTTACTCACGCGCTGACCCTCTCCATCCGGCACAGCGGCAGGTCCACGGGCTCGTTCCTCTCCAGCCGCTCCATCGCGAACCCCACCTCCCACTCGCGCCGCGCCACCACGTCGCTCCACGACGAGAAGCTCGCCGTCGCCGGCCCGCTCATCGCCCCAGACACTCCCCGACCGCGACCCAGGCAGCTCCCCGCAGAAGCCCAGCGGGAGCGGACGGCCGGACTTGTTGCGCAGACACTCGGCTTGCGTGCGGCTAGACAGACGGCGGCAGGCTCATCAGAATGGCGGGCTTCGGGCGCTCCAACTCGCTGAGCATCAACACAGGCAGCAGTCTCTTGTGCGTATATATATCCTCGGCGCCGCCTCGACGTCTCCATGGCGGCCATGCGCGAGTCCTGTCCAGCAGCCTCGGCCGCATCCTACAGGAACCGTACCATCCGCCCCTGGGGCCAGCGCCATTGGGGTCCGATTGCTCTGACCATGCCCACCATGCTAACGGACCTGCAGCGGAAATGCCACGAGCCAGGGGCAACAGAGTGCCCGTCTCTTCGGCTCCTCGACCGCAGCCTCGCAGCCCCAGCAGACGGGCGGGCTGTTCGGCGGTGCATCCCAAGCGCAGTCCTCACAGCCACCCCAGTCGGCCGGCCTCTTTGGCTCTCTGAACAAGCCCCAGCAGCCCGCGCCCACCGCCGGGGGGCTCTTTGGCGCATCCACCCAGCAGCCCCAGCCCCAGCAGGGCTCCAGCTTATTTGGGGGCGCTCTGGGTGCCAACGCCAACACCCAGAATCAGACCCAGCCTGCCCAAACGGGTGGACTGTTCGGTAACTTCGGCCAGAGCCAGAACCAGAACCAAGCGAAACCCTCGTTGTTGTAAGTAAGGGATGCTGCAAACGCTACACAAGGGCTAACGGCGTCCCTCAGCGGCGCGTCTACCGCACAACAAAACACCGGCTCGTCCTTGTTCGGAAATGCCCAGCAACAGCAGAACCAGACCTCCACCCCCTCGCTCTTTGGGAACCTCCAGCAGAATCAAACTCAACAGTCGAACACGCTGTTTGGCGGCATGAATTCGCAAAACAACACCCTCGGCGGCCTCGGCCAGAGCTCCAACCTCGGTGGCTCACAGGTCATTCAGATGAACGATCTGAGTCAGATCAAAGGCACCACCCGTCTCAACGATCTTCACCCAGACATTCAGAAACAGGTCTTTGGGCTCGACGATGCCATTCAAGCAAGAATCGACGATGTCAACAAGATGCGCGAAACCTATCCCGGCCACATCCAGAAACTTGAGACGATAGCACCGGATGTTGAATACGTCGAGAAGAAGCTCGCGACGGTCGCGTTGGGTCTGGAAAACGACGCAGCCAACATCGCGCACTTGAAGACTATAGTTGACCACGACGCAAATGACGCAGAGCTCTCGTTCCGTGCCATTGTCAACCAAGCGCTCCCTGCTCAGTTCCGCTACGGAAACCCATCAAATCTGTCTGCATCCACTGCGAAACCTGCATCAGCAGGCTCCCTGGAGAACGACGACCCCACGAAGCCAGTGGATCTCATTGCTTACTTCAACCGCCGCACGGATGATCTGGGCAAGACACTGCAGACCTACCAAAGCCAAATCCGCGAAATTGAAATGCACCTGAAGACCATGGAACACGGTGTCTTGGAAAAGAACCAGCAGCTTGCGGGCGCGCGGAACAGGTCGCTGGACGACAGACAGCAGCTTGTCGAGGCCCTGAGGGCCATTGAATCCGCCATCATGGACTCGGCTAAGAAGGTTGGCAAGGTGCGTGACGATGTCACGAGACACACGCTGGGCGGCGCCGGAGCGCCTCTGCTTTGAGCACGCACATTGGCAACAGCGGCAACGATTGGAGTTGGATGCGCAAGTCTTGTTTATTTTTCGGTCATTTGAGAGGAAAGTAGCAGCGCGAGGCGGTGTTTGCATGCTCCGCGCGAGCCGTGAGCCTCGCGGGGGACGGATGGCACGCAGCCAGGCGAAAAACGAACAATGTAGATTCAGATACCCATGTACAAAAAACGACGCAACAGATGACCCGGCGTAATGATGCAGTTGCCTGTCGCATTCTCTCACTCTCGGAAATAGCATGTGTGATGATGGTGTGAGGTTGAAGATCTGAGGCGCAGAAGGATCGGCAGGATCGTGGCTTGTGCGACCTGTTCCTGCGACTTGTTCGGGGGATTTTCTATGGGCATCGCGAGGCTGTGCGCTACGTAGACCTCACCCAGACGAATGGTAGGCGTCGAGTCGCTTGGGGTGGACGAGGGCTGCGACTCTGGCAAGGCGGCAGCCACTTGACTTGCACAATGTACTTGACACGAGTACGGCATGTGGCTCGCCTGAAGATTCACTAAGCATTGTCCATGTTAGTAACGCATCACACACACTTGAGTCAGGGTCCGCATGTCGCGCCCGATGGGTGCACACAGAGGGTGGTCTGGTCTCGACTCGTCTCGGGAATGCCCGAAACATGGCGTCCATACAACAGCATTACGAAGTGATGGGGGTGTTATTGTATGGGTAAGCTTTCTCACTGAGTCAACCTCTTGCCTGTGCATGTTTGTTCGTCGTGACCAAGAGCATGTCGCTAGAGGCTGGTGAAGCATGTTTTGATAGATGGAAGTGCATCCGTAGTCTCGGCCCGCTGAGCAAATGAGTCGGACAGGACAAGCCTGTTTGTCTTCCAGACTAGTTATGGCAGGGCTCTACGACTCGCGTAGCGTATACTTGATGTTGAAGGATGGGATGGGGGCTCGAACATCCTGGTGTGATAGTGGCGCAAGCTGCTCATGGCGGCGAAAAAGTGATCAGGCCAGCACTCCGTTGCTATATCACGGTCAATGCAGCTAGTCTAGAAATTGTTTCAATACATCATCCATCATATTAGACAAAGCGGAATACTTACTCCGGATGGTCCGACTGTTAGCTCAGACGCTCTTGGGAGACAAGCTATCGGTACCGATGTAACCATGGCACTCGCTTGGTTTGGTTGACACTCGGTCCCCGGGCAACTGCATCGATACTAGGTAGATTTCATCTCTCGTACGAGGAGTTATGGGGTGCGGGATGCAATGACGCATGCGCAGCCAGGTGAACGCAGGTCTCACTCCTCCCGGGTGCCAGCATGATGTCGGGATCTTATCGTTCCTGCAAGATACCATCAACTACTCTCGTACAGAGTTAATTATCGCCTCGTAAGTAGTGAGCATGCACAAGTCCGTTGTCTAAGCAAGATCAACTGTAGGCTGTCTCTGAGAGCCTAGAAACGACGAGGGCTTTTCGACCGATGCCCTCCGCCTCGCAGCAAAGATAGTCGGACTCGTATTGACTTGAGGTCCACAGCGACCGTTGAACCCGAGCCCTCCTGTGGCCCGAGACAAGTATAGGGCTGACAGGGGTTCGGTACCGAGGGCGCAGGAGAGGTCCGAGCAAGGTCTCAACCCCGGCATTCTTACATATCTAAGATCCTGTGTCCGCACGCGTAACGCCTTGCACTCGACGCCGAATGCCTATTTTCCGGAAGGTTATGCTTAGTAGCACAGTGCATGAGAAACTCCGCAGCCTATCATACGTGATTTCGTGTCCGCACGGGTTTGAAAGGTAATGACGCATGCTGATGAGAACGCGACATGTCTTATAGTAAGCTGGGGCGAGGCTCCTACACGCTACCCTGTGTGTTATTTCTAGCAAGGTACATCTGGAGGCGTACGCAACCTTCAACTGATGCACTATATATACAAGTGCCGTAGCGAGTTTGCCGCTGACCTTTCGTGGTTCGTGGTGTAAGCCTCGACAAAACATCGCAAAATGAGAGCGCCGTGGGTGAACTCTGAATGCTGGTCTATAGGTAGGAAATCAGCACGGACCATATTCTTAGACTCGATGAGCGTAAATCGATGTAAGAGCGGTACGCGTGAGGTTAGATGCACTTCGAAAGGCGAGGCATCAAACGCCGCGGACGATGCTTTTGACTCGTTCGGCATGTAGTTTTTGTCGATATTGAGACTATATCATACATCTGACGGGGGCTTCGGATCGATCTTCGAATCTCCTAAGTGCATGCGAGTTACATAATTACATGCCTGACGTGGGCCGAGTGCGCAGCCCATGCATCTCAGTAGTCAAAACAGCGTAGCAGCTGCATTGATCGATACGCATTCTATGCGCTGCTGCTATCATACATCTGATTAGGAACCGGGTCGACTCTTTCACAGATGTCATGATATATTCGAGGTGTGATCGGGCGCGAGCGTGGACTCGTCCGAAGTCCGAGCCTGGCAGCTTAGGCCGTCGTCCGCGGTCGATCAAGGTCACTTCTTGGTTGTGCCTTGTAGATGAGATTCCCGGGATCTCTGTTATCGAGTAGTCTCTTTCACCATTGAATATCAGGGTAAACTAGTGTTGCTACTGGAGGTACCTTTTGAAAGAGCCGCTATGGCGTGCAGGGTTCGATCGATGGGCCGGGCCCCAATGACACGCGTCGCTCGTAGCTGACTTCGTGCCCGTTTACGAAAAACATGGGGAACAATCGGGCGCAAAACGAAGAGTTTGTACGCGTAAATAAGTGTTGTTAGATCATACGCAGCTCTAACACCTAGTGTGCCTTCTGGCTGAGCACGCATAGATCGCATCGTGCTTCTTTGGGGGCCTTTGTCATGCGACAATACGAGTTGTGGTGCGCTTGTGTGGAAAAGCTGAACAGTAACAGGTTGGTGCACTTATTGACTCATTATGATTATTGGTATCGCTCGCGGCATACAAGCTGGCGACGGGAAATACGAGTCTAGCGATGACTGAAGTCCAAACTAGCCACTCCATGGATATCGAACCTGAGTACGCATATAATGCTGTGACAAATACACATCAACGCCCGCTAAAACGCAACGACTGGATAGTACTGAAAAAGGAGTTGCGGTCCTGTTATGACAAGTCCATTCGTTCAAAGACAGTAAGGCGTATAGGAGAAGAAATGAGACGTTGATGCCGGTCGATCTCCATATAGTACACTGGCAACGAGAGAGGCTCGAGAGTACCAAGGATTCCATCGTATACTGAGTACGTAGGGCTAGGCTGTTTCCGTTCGTGGGTTGGTAGAGATATAATTTCGAGAGCCTTCACTCGACTTCAGTGAGCCAGCGTCGTATGCCTTCCTTCAGCGACGAGTCAGTCGCAGTCCGAGCAGTGTCGCCCCTGCCTTTTCTTTCTGTTACTGTTTCATCGTTTGCGACCTGCTTAGTCTCGCGTTCAGCCGTTACATTCTTTACCACTATCTCAAGGGCATCGAAGATCACGGCTTTACAATCGGTTTGCGGGACTTCGACGTGTGGTGGTGCATCCGTTACTGGACGACTGTCGCGGCGTCCTCGTCGAGAACTTGAACGTGAAGAGCTGGCGGATTGGGCGCGGGAGCCTTGCCCCGACTGTGCCAGGCAGCGATCAACAGCGTCAATGAGAGTTGCATCAAAGTCCATGATTTGCTCTTCAACGAACTTCTCCGCCAGGTGCATCTCGGTCATCATTGGCGCTGCAGCTCCTGTGTTATAAGGATTGCCATATTGCGACCGTCCGGGTGGCATGCCTGAGACACCAGGTGTCATAGCAGATGCTTGGTACGTTGGAGTAGGGATGAGTCGAATGAGGCGTCGCAGGCTGATTCGCTTGATACTAAACGTTCGAGTATCTGCGATGAGTGCAGAACAGACATCGACCCATCGCTCGAGCGGCCCTTGCTCTAGCGTAGGTGTGGCAGCCGAAGTAATCGGACTTGGCTCAGCGCTCATAGCCCATTTGATATCACGCTCTAGTTCATGGTATGGCCTGATCGCCTGAACAGCAAAATCCGGATGGAATTGCTTCAACCATCCCGCAGCATTAACCGACTGTTCGGGTTCGCAATAGGGCATTGATAGAACCGATGATTCACCATAGCTGGAGCCTTGCTGACTAGGAACGGAGCCGTATCCTCCCAACAGAGGTGATTGAAGCGGAGAACCAAAATCGGGTAGCGGGATATCCACGTCAATAACTCCGTCTTTCTCGTTCACAGACAGCTTCAGAGCAGTGTCGAACGTCTTCGGACGTTCTGGGATTGGTCGTGCGGCTGAAGCAGGAACGCCGCTAGAGCCAACTGGATAGGTCTCTGGGGAGTCTTCGCCAGTGGTACCGGGATTACTCGCTGACGGATCAAATGGATCGCTTTCGCCAAATACACCATCCATTGAAAGTTCCTGGACCATCTGTTCCAGTTGAGAACGAGGCCGCTCCTGACTTCTATAACCCGAGCCTGCAACGCCTAGGCCATCGTCCGTTGTCTGCAGGTAATCGCTCTGGTCGGTGGAAGAGCCACGCCTGCCTCCCCAGAAGCTCATGAAGCCGCTCCATCTGCTGTTGCCCGACTCGGTACTGGGATTGCTCGCGTGACCTGTGCTGCTTCTCTGCAAAGTATTCATCAGGTTGGCGGAGGCTAGACTGTCGTTACTTTCAGGTCTGTAATCAGGCATCGGTCCAGACTTGGTTCTGGGAAGCGCGAAATGAGGTACAGGGGCGTCGTTGTGGGGTGCACCAGTAGACACGGCAGCGCTTGTAGATTTCGCGAGAGCAGCGGTGTCAGACATTGAAGGCATGACTAGGCTCGTGCGTATAGAGTGCGCAGAAGAACGGCGGGAATGGCGCGGCATTTCCGGGAATTCAGTTACACCGGATTCTGTACTTTTGTCGAGAGATTCAAGGTTGCCTGGGCCTATGTCGTCTGCAGTGGGGGGCTGAAGACGTATATTGATTTGGCTGTCTTTACCGCGAGGTCGCCGATTGATTTGCCGACGCAATGAATGTTTCCGAGATGGTGGCATATTGGTTGGCGGGGATTGCGAGTACCCACGTAAGGAAGCAGATGTGCTCGGTCGCATAGGTGAGACATCATACGAACTTGAGGCGTTTGGCGGAAGAAAAGCAGCAAGGAGAAAGATTAGTCGCCGTGCAGCCATCTTGTCTGGCGAAACGATGACAGTCCGATTCGGAATAATGAGATTATCACCTGCATTGACCTTGTGCTGCTCTCGATGTCGTCTGCGATGCAGCTTCGGGCCAAGCACGTTGAGCCATTCAGTATGATTTCCGAGGAATGCAGTCAGCAGAATAAAGAAGAAGAAGTTTTCTTCTTTCCCGCCTGCCCACCTCCCAAGCCATCGTGCTTCTTCGCGCCATACACCCCATTTCCCCTGTCCAGTCAAGACACGAGGAATTCGCATGCCACTGACCACGCGACTGCCTGCTAGGTCGACTGCCTTCTTAATATCAGCGTCGAACATGAGAGCATTCGGCTGCAATGCCACAACTCGGCGGGCTGGCAGGCTGGTTGTGCTTCGAAGGCTTGAACGGGATGGCTGTACGCGAGGTTGATGAAGCAAAGGAACAGCCGTTGCCTGCGCTGTCTTCAAGTAGGCTAATATTTTCTCTTGTACAACGAACTGAAGGCTGGTGAGAGTTCGCATAATGACATCCCAGTGTTGGCCCACGACATCGACACGATCATCTACATCGCTGCTCAGAGCCATGGACAAGAGCGAGTCGACACCGAAGTTACCATCGACCCAAGACCATCCAGCCCGACGATCTGAATCCAGCGACGACCCCAAGGAGTCGTTCCCTGGTGCGGAGGTAGACAAGTGTTGCGTCTTGTACTGGCCCGGCCGAGACGGTGGTCGTAGTGTGGACGAAGGGGCGCCTATTGGCAGGTGCAAAATAATGGTGATGGCATACATGGGGCTTTTCCGGGATGGTGGTAACTTCTGAGGGCCTCTAGCAGTCGGACTTGGAAATGGAAAGCCGTTGCCTGTGCCAACAGAGCTTTGTGGCGTCGGCGTGCGCACGTTGGACGTGTCTTGCTCATCATCGGGCATGGTGACGGAGAACATGCGCGTAATGAAGATGGTACGCCTTCTGGACTCTTTCGGGGTGACACCGCTGCTCTCGCCGACTGCTAATTCGGGAGGAATGTTGCCGGGAGTGAACGACTTGGCCAGGTTGCTCCTCTGTCTGAGGCCTGCTGATCTGCCCAGCGAGCTTGTGCCGTCTTGTAGAGGAGGAATCGCAGCAGTTGGATCGGCCGGCTTAGACTCCAGTGGTACAATGTGAATCTTGTTCGAGTTGCCTCGGTAGTTCATGGGCGTGTTGCCGAACATGCACTCTAGAGCAGCATTGACAAGATCCGTGGACTCTTTTGATTTCGCCTGTGCTTTTGCCTGTGTCTGCGCGTGCTCGTCGATGTTGGGCATGGACGAGATGGAGTTGCCGCGGGTCCGCGAGCGTGCAAAGGCAGCTACGGTGGGCGAGCGCGGGGTGGACTCGGTGACGAGCGAGGCACGGCGTGCATGCATGCCCCCGAGAGAGGGACCCGTGGTGCTTGTGCCGCCGAGTCCGCCAAAGGCCCGCGAGCGCGTGGCGGGCTGGGTGGGCGACTCGGCGCGGAGAGGGCCCGGCTTGGAATCGAACAGGAGCGTCTTGTGGGTGCTCTTGGACTCATCTTGGGCGATGAGGATGCGGCAGTCGCGGGGGAACTCGAGGTCGATCTCGGGCAGCGGCCCGTCGTGTGCGGTGCCCAGCGAGAGGGCGGCTCCGTGCAGCGGGTACGGCTGGCCGTCGGGGTGGCAGAGGGTGCTCGTGTCGGGGTAGAGCAGGTGGCGCGTGTGCGACTCTTCGGTGGCAGAGTCGAGCGTGGGCGTGCTCGAGGGATGCGCATTCGCACCCTTGCGGCCGCTGAAGAATTGGCCGAGCATGTCTCCTACCGGGCGCATGCCGCAGCCATGGAAGCAGCCGGGGCGCGTCTCAGCAGTTGTTCAGGAAGCCGTAGTAGAAGGCCTGGCGAGCAACTTGGGGGAGCGTCGGACGTGGACAGCCCATGGCAGCGCGCCGTCTGGCTCTGCGGGCGGGTCCCGGGGCGAGGGGAGGCTTCAACGCGGCGGCCGAGTCGACTCCGGCGGGCTCGTCGTGTGGGGAGAGGCAGCGAGCGCGCGTGGGCGGCGTCGTCAGAAAGCGGGCGGCAGCTCCAGGTTTGCAGGAGAGGTGTGGGCCACGATGTCGCGTGCGCGAGACGGTCGGTGGAGCAACGAGGGGCGCGGCGTGAGGCGTGAGAGCCAGGCTGATGACGCGCTTAGTTATACAATGGCGGTGAAGGGCTGCGGCACCAACGGCGATGGAGCGAGCGAGCCGAAGTGCATCGTGCGTCGTATATATTCCGGGCGGCCTGGCCCTCCCTTCCCTCCCGTCTGATGCTAAGGAATGACGCGCTGCGATCGGTCACCTTGTCTCCTGCGCTCTCTCGTCCATCACATCACATCAACACGCCCGTTCGTCAGCCTCAGTCACCGCGGGTCGGCCGCTGCCCACTGCTACACAGTTCGCATCCCTACCTGCACATGCAGATCGCCTGCCAGGATCCCCCGGTTGCAACTTGGAGACACTGGCCAGCACTGTCAACTCGCTTACGTCTCACTGCAGCTGCAGCCTGGTTCGATGCTTCCTGTCCACATGCGCTGAGTTATCAGACTCGATTTCATAAGAGACGATCGCTATCCTGCGCCGTGCTCGTCATGTCTGCCTTCCGAGCTAGGTCTAACAGAAAGACAAACTTGTTATTGGACCCGACAGGACGCAGCGCACGAATTTGAAAATCGGGCGTGGTCTAAGATGCACCAAACGACCGACCGCAGCCGCGCGTAAATCACCCCATAGCAAGAGCATCGTGCATATGCGAGCGCGACGCTAAATTCAGCGTTCAGTCGAGTGACCTTGCTGCAGGCAAATACACGCATTCACTACTCTCCGGCGTGAAAACGGTTTGCTATCAGGACAACAGCATTTTGCCGGCTCCACATCACTCTGCCTTCCTATGTAGAGGGGCTATCATCATCTTGTGCAACGATGCCAGCTATCATTGGCCCACATCTGTCGTGCGTCGTCGTACCGCTCACGTCTCCCGGCAGTCGCCACTATTCTTATCTCCAGTGTCATTTTTGACTCGCAGGTGGTCTCACTTCGTCGACTGTACCACGCTTAAACAGGAATTCTAGCACGACATCCCTGCCCCAGCCATGGCAAGGTATGTATCATGTCGAGCTGCTGCTCGCGGTATTCTTGGTATATTTCGTGAGTTCCGTCTGCACCCGTAGTCAGAAGCCACAGCCACTAGTACGCTTCATATTTCGCCTTTCAATCACATTCAGCGCAGTAGACCTGCATGAATTATTACCCCGCCTACGTCAGATATAGACAAGGGATCGCGGCTCGCGGTTTTTGGAGTCCCCGATACCGGCCCAAATCCTGGCACGTTTACAATTTGGTGCTCTTGCAAATCCACAACCATCCCAACCATATGCTAATGCTAACCTACACTAACTACAAATGAACGCGCGCTCGAACGTGTAAACCGTTTTCTGGTGGTCGACATCGATTATCTTGAATCAATATAGTTGGACTGCCTGGTGTGGTAAATACGAACAGCTTGATTTCGCCGAGGACGTACCCCAGACCCCCAGTTTTCCCGTCGATACCAACGTCTCGTTGCGGGCACTCTGCCTGTTCAGCGTCCTGACATTCGGCTCGAGGCTAAACTCACCGGCATGCAACTCCAGGCCTCAGTGGCACTTTGTCACAGCTTGATTTCCGTATTCACCGTGTCATTCTGCGCATGTACTCTCCGCAATCTGGTTAATTCACGTTCAGTGCAAGTTCTGCCGAGAGAAAATCCATGCGTACACAGTATCGACCGATTCAATCTTGTGTGGTTGTGCCTCTCGGACATGGGAAATTTTCCCACCGCTCATATCGCAAGCAATTGTTTAGTCACATGAAGAACGCAAAGTCTTCATCGATGTCCGATATCAAAAGCTTGTAATTGGCCTAGTAGGTTAAAGTTACCTGGATCTTGAATCATGGTGCGACTAGAGATGGCTAGACTCGAAGGTTGTGTACTGCGAGCATGTCGTCTGTGTCGCACGCGAGGCTTCCTGCTGAAACACCATTGTGAGGACGATGTTGTCATCTGTAGATCGAAGGAAGGAAGGTCAACGAGCGCTGCCTTGTATGGGTATAGGGCCAGGGAACAAACGCTCGTCAGAGCTGGACTATCATAGTTAGCCTGAGCTTGCGGAACCTCCCTGTACAATATTGTAGGGAATGTTCACTACCCTAAAGACTGTAGATAGAAAGGCACTTCGCGTGCCGTCCAATGGTACTTGGGACCTGGCCCCTAATTATCTCAAGCTGCTAGGTTGTCGTATAGCCGTATGATGTATTTAATGAACCTACTACAGCTCTCTATATCCTGTTTGCTTGTCTCCATTGTGTGGTATTCTCTCTGAAAATTTAGTGTCACGTGATGTAGCTTTGCTTACTTACAGTGCCTAATGCTAATGGTCCACATTGGTCTTAGCGCAAGCGCGCCAAGAAAGCTCACGCTTGAGCTTTGGCAATCCTCATAGCTCGACGTGCGCCATCCACACCTAAGCACCTTCACCATCCATGAGCATAAGTGGTCGCACTCGTTAGCTTGTGTCATAGCGTTCTGAGCCTGGCGGTGATGCGCTTCCAATTCTGGCCTGATGACAACTCGCAATCGAAATGAAAGACGCTTGCTCATACCTATCAGTTAGCCGTCGCTGGTGAGCAAGTCTAAGATATGTCTCGGTCTACCCACCACGGAAAGCGTACGCGAGTGCAGAAGATTTGCACACTCTGGACACATGACGATAACTTCTCAAGAGACGATGTTGTTTTCAATAGCGATAAATTTCCGGAGCTCCCAGCCACACCGGGGTCCTTGATTCAAGTCATAGCTATCAAATACGGTACAGCTACCCGTGACTTTCAGTCGTCGTCGAGGAATGTCGGAGACGATAGCATTCAGGCGAAAGTCGAAGAGTCCAAGGATGCGGCTACAGACTCAATATCACGAAGAAGTCGTAGAGGATCCATAAAGGTCACGCTTGATGAGAACGGATCAATTATCCAAGAAGACCGTGAAGTGGATACGGAAAAATCCTACATTTTTGTTGCGAAACCTTTTCCAACCGATCTGAAGTCAAAACATTCCAACTTGCAAGTCTCGATCGCCGAAAAGATTGCCAAAGTATTCGGACTGCGCAACCGCATGCAGGTTGTTGTTACATTGGTATGACCGATCGTACAGATTATCGTGATGTGCGATGCTGACATGGCTAGGCCGATGAGCATAAGCACTCTGCTTCTCACGTGGAGGTCACCTTCCGAGATGAATACCTGGCAAGAGCTGATATGTGGCGCATGTCGATAGCAGAGCTGAGTAACCGCACCGTGTATCGAGGGCAAAAGTTACTCTTCATGGGAACAATCAAGGCAACGGTGAAGAACGTATATATCAACGGACAGTCAACCCACTCCGGTTACTTTTCCTCCCTAACGAAGCCTGTGTTCCGCAGCGAATCTGCTCGTTACACGCTCTTCATTCAGATGTCGAAAGAGATGTGGGATTTCGACGCCGAGGGTGCTGGAGAGATCATGTTCAACAAAGTGGTCAATGGCTTCTTACCGGATCTCTTCAAGCGTTGGTTGAGGATTAACGCACGACATCTTGTAACAATCATACTTTTCACTAGGATGCAGTATGACCCTGAGTCTACACCGAAACAACCTAATGAAACCACCGACAACAAAGGTTTCGACCATCGAACTGGACGTTTTCGCGATTACTACCGCGTTGTAGTCTCAGACATGGCCAGTGGGGACTGGGTCGATATCTTATACCAGCTAAAGAAAGAGTTTCGTTCATTCCTCAAAGATGTTTCGCTGATTCCTAGACAACAATATTCATCATCGACAGCAGATGTTGCGACTCCGGGGCTTCCCGAACCTCAGCTTGTCATCGCGGGTAAACCATCTACGGCTGCCCAGGGCAACATTCTAGAAGCAATTAACTTAGCTGGCGCCCAATTTGCAAAAGACTACATTGATCGAGACCTGGTGCGAACCGGCATCTCCGTTATTGTTGTCACCGCTGGTACTGGCGTCTTTGAGGTCGACTACAACATGCTCAAGTTGACCACTGACACTCTGGTGGGCTCTGGGATAGGTATCGATCTCGTGTGCCTGTCGCCTATGCCACTGCACTCTGTACCACTATTCAAATACCGGAGCCCTCGTTCTATGTCGAGCTTGCAAGGAAGTGCGAGCGACGTTGAGGAACAAAACACACCGGTAAAGGATTTTGACTACTATGACGAAAAGACACCTCGCCAAAACAAACCGAACTTCGGATCAGTGATACGAAGATCTCCTCTACAGGCCCCTCCAATCATTCTCGGGGACCCACCAGATGTCCAAGAACAAGAGCAGTGGCGGTATGCAATGCCCCACTGGGTCGATATATCCTTCTGGTCCGGTCCATTCGAAGAAATCCTTGAGCTTGCCAAAGTGCGAAAATCTGAGAAAATTATCAAGAGAGTGCAGAAGAAAAGCGGCTCTTTTGCGCTCAGATGTCGAATGTATGAACTGCAAATGATGGGAGTCATGGAAAATGAACTGGGCGACATATCGATACCCTACTTGGAAGAAGATCCGTTTTACCCCCAGCGACTACGCGAGAGAATAGAGACTGCTTCGACAGCTGTTGCCATTCGAGACATAACCGGGATGACGGGGAGACTACCCTCAAATGGCACCGAAGAAAAGTCTGGAAGCGAGCTTGATGAGATGAGAAGATTGCATGAGAGGTGGATGGATGATTTTGACAGCAACGTGTTCACTCCTCGGATGGACAAGAACATACGCCATACTCAATCTCAGCTCGCAAAGCAACCCAGTATTTCGACTGTTAAAGTTGACTCAGCAGAACAGGCGGTTAAAAGCTCGCTATTAGCATCCTCTTACCGTAGTGTCGCAAAGTCACATGGAAAAGCATCTCGAGTTCATGCTGGCCTAGATCCTCCGCAGCCCATGCGAGACGTATCTGAGGAGACTGATGTGCCTTCTCGTGTGAGCGCCTTTCAGACACCTGAATACAACGGCCCTGGTGTACCACGTGCGGATGTGCTGGCCCGACAAATGGCGGGCGATCAATCGAGCACTGTGAAACGTAGACCAACATCGCATAGAAGGGGTGCTTCCGGAGACTCGAACGATCATCGTACTTCACAGTACTCAACTCCGCGCGATTCGCCTGCGCCAAGTCGAGGCCATAGCCCTCCAGAAGATAGCGGACTTCCACCATTGCCTCGCACGACCACTGCAACTTCTATGACAAATGAAACGAACCCTGCACGGTGGTTTCTTAGACAGATCAGTTTTGGCGGAAAGAGAGGTACAGCCCCGAAAGCGGCCACAGAGGCAGCCATCGGCCAGGCTACCATCGACATCACACCGGGGAAAGTCAAACTAGCGAAGTTGGCCGCGGGGGGTGTAAACCATACAGGTCCTATTGCTGAGAAGCTAGCAAGTACACGAGTGGAGAAATCACAGCCCATCGCCATCAGAAGTGTATCTCGAGCAGGCTTGTCGTCTGAGGAATCATCTTTGCCAGGAAATGTGGGCCGTTCGGTTGAAACAGTCAAGGGTTTCCGCTCAATGAAGACTTCGATTCCGTCTCATCCGAGCTCGGTTATCAAGGATCCTGGATCCACTTTCTTACTTGCGGGCTCGCGTGCCTTGGGTGACTCAGTTCCTCCAAAACCGGACTTGAATATGATGTCGACAAGTGGCGGCGCGAAAGGAATTCCCCGGACATTATCACCGACCAGTGCCATCGCTCCCTGGGCTGTCCTGGTCAATCCCTGCAACCCAAAGAAGAACAACATCAGCATTGCCAGCCAGTTCCGACGTTGGCAGCATGTGTTCCCCAAGCGATTGAAGACTGCTTCCGTGAAGTGGAAATCACTTTGCTCCCCAGCTGCGGTACCCTTAACAAACGAATACTTTCCTAGTCCCGAGCAGCTGGCGACCGAGTATAATGAAAGTCCGTACAAAATCACACAGAACGATGACGAGGAAATGCTCGAAGCTCCCAAGTCCAGGGAGTCTCTAGTCCGCGAACTCATTGCATTCCGTTTATCTCATGGTTTCCAGATCATCGTTGGCCCAGCAGTAGCGGAATTCTCAGGACGCCGTGAACTAGACCTTTCCAACATTTTCGATGCGAATTACATGTCTAGTGATGGAGACACCGTGTTCCTCAGTATCGGCAATAATATTCACCAGCTTGTTTGTGTTGCTGGTGGCGAGGTTGAGATCAAGCGGTACAGTCGCAAACCCACAACAGCGCTCCAGTCGTCGGCGGGTATCGATACACCTTTCCCTTATAGACCGTACATCCGAACAGCTTTTGAAGACAACTATGAACCACGGAATGTCATACTTCGTCCACCTCGAAAGGAGTATAATTGGAATTTCATCGATTCCTTCCTAGCTGGATACCAGGACGAATTCTCCGAGGTGCTGCGGTTTTGGAGAGCTCGTTTCGTACTGATACCGGTCGATCTTCCAACCATCAATAGACGACCGCTGCCAATGCTAGCTGAGGACTCCGAGGAAGAAATCCGGCTCGAAGGTATTCGGAAGCTGACTCAAGTATGGCAGAAGTACCGCTACATTCCGCCAGAGGAGCGTCATTTTCAGGCAACGAACAGTCGAAAACAAAAGGACCCAAATCCCCTGGCGATAGAATATCAAACTCGTGATCCCTCCGCTATTGTTGCTGCAGGTGCGGAAAATTCTCTCATCGACGACACCGCTAGCGAGTTTCCGACGTCAATTTTCTCCGAGACGGAACAATACCAGACATCCAATATTGATATAAAGAAGCTTGCTGAAGATATCCAAGGTGAAAATGGTATCCCTATGCTTGACCGACGTTGGCACATGCGGTTGCATTACAACTGTTTCCTTGGTTTTGACCTTACGAGTTGGCTGTTGTCGAATTTCAAGGATGTTGAAACGCGCGACGAAGCTGTGGACCTAGGAAACCAACTCATGAAGAAAGGGCTCTTCGTCCACGTCCAAAAACGGCATGCATTCCGTGACGGAAACTTCTTCTACTCAGTCGCTCCCGAATACCGGGCCCCGCGACCTGAGTCGAAGAGTGGTTGGTTCGGGCTTCGTAAACCTGATCGATCTGTCCCCTCTACGCCTCTTTCCGATGGCCCACGTACTTCACCTTTAGCTTCGAGAGGAAGCTTGCGCTCACGCCCGAGTACTAGCGACTCGTCAAGCGTGGGTTCCGAGAAGGACGGAGGGAAAACGCCTACTCGCTCGGGCACTCCCAAACGTAAAGTACTCTTGTCGCGTGTCATGCGATACGATGTGGACCCTCGCAAGCGTTCCTATCGGCCAGAGATCATCTCCCTGCACTACGACCGGTTGTCTAACCCAGACAACTGTTACCACATTCGAATAGATTGGATGAATGTAACGGCAAAGCTGATCGAGGACGCCATCGTATCTTGGGCCACCAGTGTTGAAAAGTACGGCCTGAAGTTGGTCGAGGTACCAATCGCGGAAGCGTCGAATATTGCCGACCATCACCCTTTCCGCGAGCCGTACATAGTCAAGCTTGCCCTACAACCACCTCAGACGCAGAATGAAGCTGGCTGGGACTTCTCGGCGCAATACGCCAAGAATGACAAGTTCGCTTACCATAAAGCTCTACTACGCAGACTTAATTTCGTACTGGATCTTGAATCTGCTGATTCATTCCCTACCGATGTAGAGGTGGCATACTCATGGGGCAGTCCGGATTACAAGTATACACAATTCATTCACAAGAGCGGCACACTCATGGCACAGATTTTGCATGATGGCAACTTCGCAGTATTGGCCAATCGCCTGGCGCACAATCGCGCAAAGGACACGAACAGGTTCAGACCGACAGATCCGTATGAGCACAAACGCGCAGTGAACGACAAAGACCGGATGCCCACAACCCCAGCAGAACGTGCAAATCCCCATCGGTCGCCATTCTCTAGTCCCCTAGCCCGTCCAGTACAGGACTCTAGCCTCCTGCACAGTGCGCTGCAGGCTCAACCATCCACTACCCCTACTCCAATCACAGCGACTGCAACGCCAGCTGGCACTGGCATAATACAAACCCCCGAGCAGGTCAAGGATGAGCTGGAGGCATTCTGCTCGAATGCTACTCTTCTGCAGGCGTTCTATGCTACCGAGGCGTTCAAGCAAGCGCCACACCCTTCGCCGTCTCCCCGCATACTCCCTGTTCTCGACAACAATATTCCAAACCTGGGCTTGCCACCGGCAGTCTTCGTCTCCGGCGCCAGCCCAGCCAGCAGCCCATGGTCACTCAGTGGGAACGTGATCAGCAGTAGCAGCACAATTGCGGGGCGTAGGCAGGGCAATGATGAAGGGCACGTAAGTTCAGCCGGCAGCATACGACCAAGTCTGCTCGGAGCAATGGGTTCGAGGAGGAGAAGCGTAGCTTTAGAGGAGATTATGTTGCCTAAGCGGTCAGATAGTCAGTCGAGTTCGGGAACGAGTTAGGCACGCGTATGGCTGTTAGAGGTTCATTTCGTGAGCATGATTGGTAGCGCCATGCTCTTCACATTTTGAGTGAGGTTTCACTGTATGCCTCTGTTTTTGTACAATGAGCGAGTCGACCCGAGTCGACCTTGCGACACAGTGGTATTCGCATTGTGGATTCTTGAAGTAGAACAATCTTTAGCTTTATGACAGGGCAGTTTGCTCACTCTAGTTTCTTAAAAGTTCTTCTGCACTTCAACTCTAGCGGTATGGCGAGAACCAAGACCCTGGCGAGGAGGCCTAAGACGCGCTCATCTACCGACAGCCGCGTTGATCACCTTTCTGAAATCTTCCGCGAATTTCCTGGTGTCGTTCTTGTTGAGGAGAACGAGTTCAGTTTGGATCGTTGGCAGGGTGCCGAGAGGCCATATTACCACAGGGGTAGTTGGCCACCCACAAGCCTTGAAGACCTTCTGGGGTCTCCCCATCAGCTAGAGGAATGTGCCGTCTGTCGACAAGAAAGCTTCTACCTTTGCGAGTACCAAAAGCTCGCGGACCGCACGGAGCTGTTCTCTTCAGACGCCGTTACCATCGAGCTAACGCAGAGCAAGGGGTACGGATTGTTCTCTAAACTTGGCATCAAAGAAAATCAGGTCCTTGGCGAGTATGCCGGAGAACTTGTCCCACTAGATTTGAACAGGTCTGACGAGGAGACGCGGTACATGGCCGACATCCCTATCGGAAGGGCGAACCTGACCCAGCGGGGCGCCTTGGCTGCGGAAAGTCGACAGCCAAAGTGCGGGATTGATGCCGGGCGTATAGGCTCTATCTTCCGATTCATGAACCACTCTTGCGACCGGAACGTTAAGTTCTTCTCCGCACGCGTTGGTATGGAACGGAGGGTCCTGATGGTCGTTACGACTAAGCCGATCGAGGCCGGGGAAGAGATTACCATGAATTACGGTGAGGGCTACTGGAAGGCTAATGAGGTTTGTCATTGTGGTTCGGAGAACTGCCGGTTCTCCAGTCCTCCAGCTGAAGATGAGTCTTGATGGTACCAAGGCCTCCGAAAGTCCAGATAGGTGCAGGTGAGTTCAACAAGGTGAAATGGCGCGGAAGAGCATGGCGGACCGCGTCGCTTTATGCGAGCAATTGAAGCTAGGCCTCGATCGTATTTTGGCCTCTCAAAGTGAAATTTCAGGTAAGTCAAGTCAGGCCCCATAAAACTAGGTAAGTGCAGGTAAGCTCAATATCAGTCAGTAAGACTGCGTGATATGTCTCCTCAAGCATGCAGAATGCGCCGTTCTGACGCTGGAAGACGCATAAGAACCGCTCAGTTTTCACCACTTAAACGTATCCAACTCCATAGCAATTGCTCTCACTTTATTCCCATATTGCAATTTAGAACAGACGAATAACTATATCCAGACGCCAACAAGTATACACATGCTAGACCCTTACCAATACAGCTTTCCCTTTATACACATGTAAGCTTTCCAATCTTCTGGCTCCTTCTATTTCCATGTGCCTTAGCTACGCTCCTGCCGTGGTTGCGTGTTCTCCTTGTTCTGATCTGCCGTGAAACAAAAGCTGCACTGAGCATGGCCTCCCTCCGGACCAGACTGAGGTAGGCGTTCGGGAACAGTATCAACATCGCAGACTTGGTAGTGCAAGACATCCTCTTCGATCCTGTTTCCAATGACGCCTCGGTTTTCAGGCTTGCTTAGAGCTGTCCGGTAGCGTGTACAGAATGGTGGCACCCAGTCATAGGGACCGTCTCTGGAGCAAGTCGCACAGGTATAGACTTGTCGGCGACACATGTTGGAGTGGGTATGTAAGTGGAGGGTTTTTGTTGTCGGCTATGTTGAGATGGCAAAGACCGAGACGTGCGGAGCGGTTCCGAGATGGTCTCACGATGACTACCGGTATTCGTCCAAGTGTGGTGAGGCGCATAGACCTGATGGCGCATCGGATGTCCGATAAGGTTTGCGCTTTCGAAGGGATGAGCGATGGCCGAACAAGTCTTTATCGGCCGCGACAACGGTCTGAGGAGAACCATCAGTAACAAACATGCTTACTGCACATGTGGCGTCGGAAACATGTCATGTGACGCATAAGAAAGATCGAGACGAGTGAAGGCAGTGGAGCTTCAAAAGAACGAAGTATTTACCTAATCTATAGGCTCTAAAGTCACAACTAGCGGGAGTACCGAGCAATGACCGAAATGACAGAGTCTTATACTTCGTGAGCCATTGGCAGGCCGCCCCGTGCGTCTAAAGAGTGCACCGAGTCAAAGTTATGTAAGGCGCATTCCATCCTTTCATGACACGGGCCACCTTTATTCGTCCCAACCCATGTGCTGACATTTCCGCAAACGGTCGAAAGAACACACGGGATGAGGGGTCCCAGTATCCAGATTTGAGATATTGATTTGCAGATGATTGAGAGCGCTACCTCATAGACCAATTCCCGCATTGCTGCAGTCATGTCTGCATAGGGTATTGGTGTAGACAGTGGTCATCCCTGCATCCAACGCTCGGTCCTAACGCATAACGCCTGACGCCTGTAGCATTACAGTTTTGCAGAATGTCCTACTTTTTCGACGCCTTGCCCTTCGCCTCCGTATCACTTAACTCACGGATGTAAACCTTGATAGCGCCATCAGGAACATCATCCGAACCGTCCTCAAATCCTGGACTGACGCCCATTGCCACAAACTTTCCGTCAGCGCTGAAGTCGATTGTCTGCACACTTGCTGGAAAGCGCTGGTATTGCCTTATCCTCCTCTTGTGCACGGCGTCCCACAATGCAACTACGCCATCTCCTCCGCCAGATGCGAAAGTACCATGGACAGGATGGAAGGCCAGTGCATTGACAGGGTATACAATATCTTGGCCGTCGACGGTCTGTCGGTGGCACTTGAAAGCGTATTTGCGCGACTGTGATTCCTCGCTCGGGTCGAACCATTCCACAGCTACGCGGCCTTCTATGCTTGAGCTGGCGTATCCAGCATCGTTGGGCATACACGATACGGCGCGTGTCATGTACTTCATGCTGCTTTCCCGCTGCTGCCACGGCTGCACATCTGCGTCACCGCCCGCCTGCGCTGCCTGCGCCAACTTGTCCAGCTCGTAGATGTAGACGGCGCGATTGGCCATGGCTACCACGAGCTTGGTAGGCGAAGCGGTGAGGGAGAATGCTTTCGCGGGCAGAGCAACGGTCGAAAACTCGCCGGGTTGTGACAGGTCGTGCAGATGCAGGGTAGAGTCCCACGACGCAGAGACCAGGAGCTTGTGAGGCCGCGAGTAGAAGACGCTGCGCACGCCGGCTGAATGTGTTGAGAGGACCGTCTTTTTGCCGCTCTCCAGATCGATTCTGCGCACTTCCCAATCCATGCCTGCGCTGAACGCCTCAAAGTTGTCCCGCCCGAAGCACACATCTAGCACCGGGGCCGGGTGCTCAAACTTATGGATAAGCTTGCCGCCTGGCTCAGCAAGCGTGTCGTAGAGGTAGACATGTCGGTCCCACGAAGACACGAGTAGGCGCGAAGACGACTGAGGCGCAAACTTGACGGCGGAGATTGGATCGGTGGGATTCTGAGCGAGCTCAAATTGGCCTTTTGACGACATTAGCAGCGGACATAACTTGGAACAAAACAGCGGCACTTACTGGACATGTTTGCGCGGGAAGGCAATGAGTGATTGTTGCTTCGAACATGGCGGCGCCTTCCAGTAAACATGGTCGGCCCTTCCTTTTTCCGGCTAGGGAAGGTTCGAGCTGCAAGCTACCCCACGCCTCCCTTGTCGATGCGCCCCGCGCCTGCACCTTTGTCTTCTCCGACCTCAACGCCGCGAAATCTCCAAGATGCCATTTGCACAGCTGGTCATCGGGCCGCCGGGGTCCGGAAAGTCGACGTACTGCGACGGCATGGAGCAATTTATGACCGCGATCGGGCGCAAAGTCTCCGTCGTCAACCTCGATCCCGCCAACGACCACACCTCGTACCAGCCCGACTTGGACGTCAGGGATCTCGTCACGATAGACGAGATCATGGAGCAGGAGTCGCTGGGGCCCAACGGAGGCATACTGTATGCGCTGGAGGAGCTGGAACACAACTTTGACTGGCTGGAGAAAGGCCTGAAAGAACTCGGAGGTCCGCAAGCACCCATGCGCGCGCCGTAAGAAAAAGCAAAGGCTGAGTCTGGGTAGATGACTACATACTGTTCGACTGTCCCGGCCAGGTCGAGCTCTTCACACACCATGCGTCGCTGCGGAATATCTTCTTTCGCCTCCAAAAGATTGGGTACCGAGTATTCTCCACCTCTCTTCGTCGCCGACGTTTACTGACGCCCAGCAGCTCGTTGTCGTCCACCTGACCGATTCAATCATACTGTCGAGACCATCGCTATATGTGTCCTCGCTGCTGCTCGCCCTCAGAAGCATGCTGCAGATGGATCTCCCACAACTCAACGTCCTCACCAAGATCGACAACCTGCGCGACTACGGAGACCTGCCCTTCAATCTTGACTTCTATACGGAGGTGCAAGACTTGAATTACCTGCTTCCTCACTTGAACCGAGAACAGACGTCTGGTATCCCAGGGCCAAGCTCGGCCCAAAAAGACGGCAAAACGGACACAGATATGGAAGACGATGAGGAACCCACCTCAAAGTTCTCGGCGCTGAACAAAGCAGTCGTCGAATTAATCGAAGATTTTGCGCTAGTCGGCTTCGAAACCCTTGCTGTGGAGGATAAGAGGAGCATGATGACACTACTGCATGCTATCGACCGAGCAGGAGGTTACGCGTTTGGGGGAGTTGAAGGTGCAAACGATACCGTATGGCAGATGGCTATGCGATCAGATGGTGTCACGATGGATGCACGCGACGTCCAGGAAAGGTGGCTGGACCGACGCGATGAGCTGGATGAAGAAGAGCGACGTGCATGGGCAGAAGAGAGTAAAGAAATGAAGGATCCGCCGCATGATATCCCGCCAGCGGAACCTACGCCAGCTGCTAAGGAAGTTGCCCAGCCCAGGAAGACCACAGGGGTGGGTGACGATGACGAAGACATGGAGGACGATCTTGAAGAGATGCGCAATTTCATAGATAGTAAGAAGGAAGGTGGGGTTAAAATAGTGAAGAAGTGAGTTCTTCTTCATGCATCGGGCGGTGTTCTAGGACCATATGATACCACAATTGAGTTGATAGATTTGGGATCACCTGTTTGACTCGAGGTGTAAGACCTAAAGGTTGCGGCCGATTATGCTCATGATTGTCTTTGTTTTGTGCTATGAATTAAGCGCTAGAAGAATGTTGATTGCCAGCGTAATTCCAGTCTGTTGAAGAATATACATGTCCGCACACTCGACGTCCACGCGTCTCGGTCATAACTCCTATATAAAACGGTCCAGTCAAAGTCAGCCACCTGACCTCCAAGTGTAGGCCCTCTGGCCACTAGTGCGTAATGAAGCGTCGCGGTGAAACTCGTGGCCGCGCGCGAGGTTCATAAACCCCTCCACGCCTACACCGTAAGCCGTTTCGAAACGGATACGCGCCCACTCGAAAGACTGCAACTCGACCAGATCCCGCAACATTAATATCGCTTATCATCCGAAGAGCGGATCCAAATTACATTATTACCGTCTCATCTTTGTTGATGGTTAACAAAGCACGCGTAGGCACACGGTTCAGAAGATCAAAGTTAAGCAGGCAAGATGCGCGTCCTCAAGCGCAGGTGGGACGTCAGTGGCGCTAGTCAGGGTGCCCCTGCACAGCCGTCATCTCCAACTGCGCAACCTCAGAAGCGACTGTTTAAGAAACCAAGGTCGCCGGGCTTGCTACGCCGACGCGGCCCCTGTCTTCGATACCGCAAATCAGACATGACTGATCCGGTAGAGTATATTCAGACGCACGAAGAAGCCTTCAAGAACCCCAATCGGCTTGCTTCGCTCTACTCCGATTTCAGAGCGCAGCAACACATCAACCCGGACGGTTACGTCGCGAACCTCGACGCCTGGAAGAGGGCTCTCGAACATGCCGCGCGCGAGGGTCTGCTACCTGGTTCTGGAGCCACGCGTAATCTTTTGGTCATCGACAGCGGTCGGGAGCTCACGCGTGCCTTGCAGCATAGGGACTTCGGGTTGCCGACCTGCTTACGAGAGGTGCTGCAAGATGCGATCAAGAAAGGGGCTTTCGTATCAGCGCAAGACTGGTTAACATCGACCCAGTCGATCTACGACAAGTCATGGTTCAAGCTTCCAAAGGTGTCGGTCGGCGGTGTGCTGTCTGGTGCATGGGAGCTGGGCAGGAACAAATTACTCGGTCCTTCCACCCAGCTGCCGGCTGGGCCCTTCGTGGTCGTGGCGAACGTTGAAGCTGCCGCTGAGGCGATACTTAACCAGCAGCGCGACCAACCGAACGTCTCGATCGCCGACCGAATATATTCAAAGGCAGCCTTCCTCGAACGCTTTCGGAACGTACTCAATCTCAATGCGCCAATAAGCGCACGCGACCTAGACATTCTACTTGTACACATGGCCCGCGACAGACATGAACTAGCAGTCAAGGGAAACGTCATCAAGTTTAAGGCTGATGCGGAGGATTTGCCTTTGCCAGTCACTCAAGAAGATGCAGCAATGGCCGAGCTTCACGATGCGATCAATCGGGTGCAAGCACGCCTTGCTCTCTTGCACGAAAACATTCAAAAGTCTGGAATGGCCGCCAAGGAAGCCGTGCAGCTTAAACAGTTGACTCGCGCAAAGACTTGTCTACGTTCGAAGAAGCTGAGTGAGTCATCGGCAGAGCACTACACCAACCTGAGCGTGCAGCTCGAAGAGTCTTATATGAAGCTCCAGCATGCCGCGGACCATGTCGGAATGCTGGAGGCCATGAAAGCCGGTGCGGAGGCTATGGCTCTTCTGAACAAGCAGGTTGGTGGTGCCGAGGGTGTGCAGAAGGTGATGGACTCAGTCAATGAAGAGATTGCCACCACTGAAGAAATCACGAACATCATCAACGAATCTGCCACCCCGATCGACGAGACTGAGATCGATGATGAGCTCGCCGAGCTTGAGAAGGGTGAGGATGAGAAGCAGGAGAAGGTAGAGGCAGAGAAGACTGCTGAGCTCCTCGCCGAGCTTCCAGACACCAAGAAGTTGCGGAAGGTAGATGATCCTGAGACCGCTGAGATCTCCAGTCTCATGTCTCACGTCACCGTCTCGCCAACTGAGCAGGAAGAGAACGAGAAGCGGGTTGGAGTTCCTGCTTAGTTACCTCGGGTTTCATTTTGAAAGTATCCGCCTGATGTTGAGGCATCCCGGGCACGTTCGCCACGCTGCGATTCGTCAGGTCACGAGTTGGGGTATGATGATTAAGAATTGGAGTGGACTACGTTGAACAGGAGAGGGGAATGATGAATTGCGACACAAGTGCATTGGGTACCAGAGATGGGCGTTCAGGACTTTGAAGCATTTCCATACACGCGGCTTGAAGCGTTTGTTGCTACCGTGATAGACGAGTTGCCGCATGATATATACAGGCGTTAGGGTTACAGATGATGTCAGCCTTGTAGATAGTCCAGGCTTCGCATTTAGACAATGATGCGACATTCTATCTTGACAAAGACTTCCATGGTCCTCGCATTCGCGTGTATGACAGGGACGTCTTCCGATAGACGGAGCCTCCCCCACGCCCGCAGCCGCTAAGCCGAAACGTGACTCCTTCCGCCAAGCTTCGCCGTCTCGCCGACGACAACCTAAACCCGCCCACGACGACAGCTCCTGCACAACTCTACGCCGCCTTCTCGCCTCGGCGCCCACCACGACTCACATATCTCCACTCACCGTACACCGCACACATATCCGCGGGACCCAATGCCTTCGCTCGCCCCCTTCCGCGCCGCCGCGCGCACCTCGACCGTCGTTGCGACACGCCAGCCCAACCTCAAGTTCCCACTGTCCTTCCGCCGAACATTCACGCAGACGAAGAGCGCGCAAGGTGGCCACGGCCCGAGCTACGATCCCCCGTCGGGATGGCTGTTTGGCGTCAAGCCGGGCGAGAAGTACCAGAAGGAGGGGTGGGAAGGCGTCTGGTACTGGGGGTTCTATGGCAGCTTCGCCGTGGCGATCGTAGCATATGCGTTCAAGCCGGACACTAGGTACGTGGAAACGTCCTGGCACATGCACAAGCAGAGCAAACAGCTACATGCTTGGGCGGCGTGACGAAGAGTCGCGTGGATGACGTGCTTGAACCGTGTGCATAGGGCTAACGCTGCGTAGCATCCAAACATGGGCTCTCGAGGAGGCCCGCCGACGGCTGGAAGCCGAGGGCATCCTTCAGGACCCCGACACGAAGGAGTAAGGATCTACGACCAGCGTCATGGTCATCGAGACAGAAACGTAGAGGCGGATTGTACATATGACGACAGATGGCTGGTTTCCTTTGTGCAAGACCCGCAAGACTCATACAGTCGGACCCGTACGCGGCTTCAGTGCCGGTGCTGCTGCTTTAGCAATGGATTTCTTTTTCTGACACGAAAAGATTATTACATGTGATGTACAGCGCGTTCCCTGGCCGGTAGAAGACTGAATCTGGGAAAACGCAAGGTATGTGAGCGTCAATCCGAAACTGAATTGGACTGACCATCTCGAAGTGAGAACACGGGGAACAATGGCGCATACTTATTATTTAACATTCAAATATGAAGAAGTAAAGCTAATTCGACAGACACAACGATTATCTGTCTTACGAGGGCTTTGCATACCTGCATCATGGATACGCTCGCGATGCACCTTAAGGATATACGAGTGAATGATCCCGTGTCACGATACGGACAACGATTATGGATAAAAGCAGTATCTACAATGTGCTAAGAATATATACAGTGTGAAGAAATTAGTCGGCGAATCGCCCAATCGATCCGTACATCCCCTAACAATCTTCCTTCTGCGCTTAAGAGACAGTGATGGAAGCAGAGCCGGAGGAGTAGTAACCCTCGACAGCAACGATCTGGTAATTGTGCGTTCCGAGCTTGAGGCCCATCTTGGCCCAAGCGTCGAAGTGTGTCTTGGTGGTGACAGTACCACTGCTGCGCTTGTTGTTGCGGACGGACCAGTACTGCTGAAAGGTCGAGGTTCCAACGATGCTGGGGGCGTTGGTGCGAGTGGTTGTCGCAATCTTGTAAGAGCTGCCGTCTGCGGTGACGCTTCCCTTCACGGTGGCGGCAGAGGAAGGGTCGTAGGTGCCAAAGTTCTCAACGACTGGTCTTTTCAGCATGTTGTTCTTTTTGGATCTCGGCATTTATGGGGATACTCACTGTAGTACTCGATGAGAGGGTTGGTAGTCCATCCGTAAATCGCGAGGTAAGAGTTTCCATTGGGCTGGTAGGTACCCTTGTAGTTGATGTTCCTCGCGGAGCCGGTCTGCCATCCCTTACCACCAACGAAGTTACCACCACTGGCCCACTTGACGCTGTAGCTTCCTGCAGCACCGTTGGTGTAGGTGACATCGGAGCCGCCATCGGTCCAGAAGGAGTAGTAGTAGCCGTTGTTCATGCCAGTTGAAGAGGGCGTGCCGCGCTCGACAAGCTCAGTAGGAGCGCGCTTGGCGAGGTCGGTAGGCGCGGCAAGCGCACCTGCGAACGCAGTCGCGGCGGTGAAGAGGGCAGTGAATGAAACCATATTGATGGATGGAGATGATTACCCTGTCAGACTTTGGTGGTGATGAAAGAGGGAGTGCTCGACGATGGGTGAGGCAACCTGAGAAAAGGACTGGACGCTTTATAACAACCCACTCATGATGAGAAGAGGAGCTCCTTGATATGCCTAACAAGCTTCGGTGGACTACTTCGGTCTTGGTGAAGCGTACATTTCGGGACCACCTAGCCGGACCGAGCCAGATTTGTTCTGGACTTTTCCATGTGGGTACGAACAAAAAGCTTGGAAAAGTAAAAGTTCCGCGAACCAGGGCGGAGAGTACGAAAAAATGCATTGGGGATCGCGAGGTGATTGGTGCAGTGCTCGAAACATAGCATTGGCTCTAGATCATGGGGGATGTTTCAATGTGCTTGGCGGGGAGTTGTCACTGAGCACCACGCGTCACTGCGTTCAACCGTCGGAAGCAGATTTCTTGGTCCCGCGGTTAATATCATACGTTTAGACCGTAGTATGATGTGTAGACTTTAATGTGCTCCGTAGAGAATAATCATAGTTCTCGTCAAATACTGTAGGGAGGGCCCTGACTGAATCAGGATTCCGCAATCAACTAAATCTGACATCGATGCCTATGGAAACCGAGGTACCTACATTGAAAAATTTATGCCTGAAAACCGCATAACGTCATTTGAAACCCATTTCGATCTCCACTGTTGATAGTGTACCAAGGCTTGGTATCACAATTGGTTAATTTATGGAGGGACCAGTTGAGGTGGTGAAGCGCTAGCGGGGGTAGGAGATGAAGGGGGGTCAGTGGGGCCCACAGTTGCTACTCCAGAATGTTTCGAAACAACTTCGGGAACATCGTCATTGCCAGCATCGCTACACCTCAATTATATCATAAGCATGTACTTTCGCTGTTGATAATCTATTACACATTGTGTTCTAATCATGATAGTCCTTCAAGGCTTGGGGTAGCCAAGCGCAAACAGGTTTTTGATCTCATCGTAATCGTAATCCATCGTAAGGGCAAGCTGTAGCAGTACCCGCGCCTTCTGGGGGTTGTAAAATCCAGCAGCAATCGTAAAGCTCTCATCTGTGCTAGGCACAAAGCCATCCACGCTGCGGTGGCTCGCCACGATCGGGATACCTGTAGCGTTGAACAATCCTTCAGCAGCCTCGCTCGCCTTTGAGGAGATACCACCGGCACCCACACCTGCGAAAACGAGGCCCTCCGCACCAAGAGCATACGATGCATTGAAAAGCGCGGGGTCCATGTCTTGATGCGCGTAAAGAATGTCCACATGGGCAAGGGAGGTTGCGTTCGCAAGGTCAAAGTGGGTGAGTCCAATAGGCACAGATGGGGCATAGTAGAAGTAGGGAACCTGGTTGATGAAGAATCCAAGTTGACCGGCTTCGGTACTGAAGAACGTGTCGAGCGAGTTGGCATTGTTCTTCGTCGTGTAGAAAGCAGATCCAATGCGACTGCGTATCGTTAGCTTGGGGATCGTGCATATACGTTGACAAGCACGACTTACTCGTTCAGTGTGATCATGGTTCCACGGCCTTTTGCGTTATCGCTAACAGCCAACGTAACAGCTTGCAGCAAGTTCAATTCACCGTCAGCACTCAGAGCTGTTGCAGGCCTCATCGCGCCAACAACAACGACCGGCTTGGTCGAGTTCACAGCCAGTTGCAGGAAAAAAGCCGTCTCCTCGAGAGTATCCGTTCCATGGGTGACAACAACTCCACTGACATCGTCCCTGGCTAACTCAGAATTGATTTGGTGCGCTAACTTGAGCAATATTGTCTGGTTAACACTGCCAGAGTCTACATTGCTGATCTGGTATCCAGCTATATTTGAGATGTTCAGAATTTCGGGAACGGCATCTACCAATTGCTGTACGCCTAGGCCAACCTGGTAGCCGACGGTTTGGGTGTTGCTGGATCCTTGTGACGCGATGGTGCCGCCAGTTGCGAAGATAGTGACGTTGGGAAGGGAAGCATTGATCGCAGTTTGGATGTCTTGTCGGATCCAGAGAGGATGTGACTCCAATGCTGCAGGGGTTCTTGGTGGATGGACAGGAGAGCCTAAAGCCAGGGCCGCGAAGGCAGGAAGGTGAGCAGTGATGAAACGCATATTGACTGGGAAATGCTAGCGATTGAAGGACACACGACTGAACAACGATACCTAATCACTGATCCAAATGCCTCTTCTTATACGTCGAATTGTACCTGGGCGGTAGTACGCTCAACAGAGTTCAGCGCTGGACGTCGGGCTGGGGTAAGCAATGGCCTGAATTGTTATCTCTTCCTTCTCGGCAGCATCATCCCCAATACTCACCGAAGGCGCACGAGCATGCTCGTCATGACAGCACATGGTACCAATGGCAGGTTGCCAACATCATGGTATCGTGGGGTTAGGTAAAGTCAGACGCGTGGTTTTTGATGATAACGTACCGTTATCAGTGGGGATCGCCGTTAAAGGCACGCTGCCAAGGGCCTACACCACTTGTTGGTAAGTATCGCGGCTCGCTAAGACACTACCACATCCTTTCCCACTTTACTGGCAGCTGGTACCTGGCATATGTTCGGTGGATCTGTGAGCAGCAACTTTTACCATTGATTCGGCCATCGGAAGCTTACGGACTTAGCCGCAAGGTCAAGACAATTCGCCCACAAAAACTGATAATGACATGCTGTAATTGCTACACTCGTGGAGAACCGCAAACATCATCTATGTTGTGCATATGCGGTCACTTCAGATCAAATGCTTCCTCTCCCTTATTCTTGCACCTTTCGTTCCTTCGACCCAGCCTAGCTTTCTTCTCTCACGGTCGTTTCTATTTCAATTTGTTGAGGGAAAAAAGGCTCTTGCCATGTCGGAACTCGGTCTTCCCTATACCATCGGTCGTAGTCTCCCATCTTTTTCTGGGCTAATCCAGGATTGGCTTGCAGCTCTTTTCTGCGTGCGGCTATGACCTCTTCGTGATTCTTGGCTGATGTGCCTTTGAAATCCCAGGCGGTTTGCGATGAATAGTCGGTCATCCATTATTTTGCGTGTGCTTCAAGGCGCGCCTAGCAAAGATCGTGCGGTGTTAAACAGTGACGAGCTCGGGCGCGTTGTCCGAAATGATAACCACTATAAGTGAGCGGGAGCTTTTTCGTCTGGAATTGTTCCATTGGAACTTTGGCTTAGGCTCTATGTGATCAAATGGTACGTTGATGCGACTAGTTCAACTCTGTGTACAAAGGAGGATGACATCACAAGTGCATTCTGGTGGGGTTCTTCCAGTCGCTCGGCCCGACACAGCCCCAGATGAACACCAGTCTTGCTGGACTAGCCCCCACAAGGTCTCGATTGGACATTATCAATCACCATCTTGCAACCCCGCTTCCTTAAATCCAAACCAACCGTTACATTCTTCGAAAGACACAGAAACCAGTGGCAAAATATTGATAGCGCACGCTGAAGACCAAAAACATTAGACGAATGTAACGTAACGGCAACTACATGAACCTGGGAAAATCCATATGTCAAGATATAGACCTTGGCCTTGTAGATAAATGTCCCTGGACTGGCAACACCATCAAGAGCTATTGTAGACAGGCGGAACTCTAAGGTTACTAGAAATCAGCAACTTCAATTGAAAACCAAGTAGTTGAGCTGTAGCTGCATGTCGCAATTGATCTGAATGTTGCTGCGCCTCGCGTGAGGTGAACCAGCGACGTCATGACTCCAGCGCTAGTGTTGCAGGCTCGACAACGACCATTTGTACTGTCACCCAGAATGATTGGCCTTATAGCATAATTTTTGCGCCTACCAAACACGAAAATGTCGAATTCTATCACGTCAAACCGGTCCACGTTGAAAGAGTTCTTGGCCTCGATAGCCACGATACAAGGGGATCTCAGTAACATCACAGCCCCACCATTTGTTCTGGGCGAGTTTTCAACCGTCGAGTTACCACAATACTGGGCTGATCACCCGTCATTGTTCGTTGCACCAGCGCTGGAGAACGACCCAGAAAAAAGAGCGTTGCTAGTATTGAAATGGTTCCTCGGCTCACTGAGAAACCAACAATACGCAGGTCGAAGGGAAGAAGAAGGAGTAAAGAAGCCCCTGAATGCATTCCTTGGGGAGTTGTTCTTGGGCTTTTGGAAAGATGAATCTGGCAGAACTAGGCTAGTCTCTGAGCAAGTCAGCCACCATCCTCCAGTAACAGCTTGTTACCTGTGGAACGAAAAATACGGTATTAGAGCTGAGGGCTTCACCCAACAGGAGATCACGTTCTCAGGAAGTGTGAGCATCAAGCAAAAAGGATATGCAATCCTACACATCGACAAATACTCCGAGGACTATCTGATCCCAGTCCCAAATGTAAAGGTCAAAGGCCTTCTGAGTGGGACCCCATACCCGGAATTAGTATCGAGCTATAGTATCATATCCTCCAGCGGCATTGTTTCAGAGATCAAATTTGAGGGAAAGGGTCTACTGGGGCTTGGGAGTGGTAGTAAGAACGGCTTCGAAGCGAGAACTTACAGAACTGCCGCGCCCACAGACGACTTGTATACTGCCAAGGGTTCCTGGAATGGTCAATATAGTATGCACGATGCACGATCTGGAGAGGAAATAGAAAAATTCGATGTTGGTGCCCAGAACTCGGTGTCAATCACAGTAGCAGAGCGCTCCGAGCAAGATCCCTGGGAATCTCGAAGAGCCTGGGGCGGTGTGATAGACGCTTTGCAAAAGGGCGACATGAAGGGTACCACTGACGCTAAATCGATTGTTGAAGAGGGTCAGCGACAGATGCGTCGAGACGAGAATGCGCGTGGCGAGCAATGGAAAAGATTGTTTTTCCGAAGACAAGACAGCGACCCCATCTTCGAGAAGCTGTATACAGTTGATAAGCAATCCTTCACGGTTGATTCTAAAGGCGGAATCTGGAAGATCGACGTCGATACGATCGCGAGCCTGAAGAAGCCATACCACGGTGACCTTCTTCCGACAGGTCAGGTGGTCAACAATAATGGTATACAGAACAAGAACGAAGTGGACAACAACGGTGGAAGCGGACAAACTCCCCCGAGAACGAAACAACAGTTGCACAGTGGGCAATCTGATATTGTCGGCACTTCTGTGGAGTCGACAGAAGAGATCCAACAGATAATGCTCGAAGACGGGACAGGAGAAGCGCAAGTACAGGCAATGCCTAAGGGAGATGCAGGCATATCCGCGGAAGAAATCCACGATATGCAGGTCGAAGCGATGCTTCGAGCCAAGTATTCGTCAGCTCCACATTGATGTAAAGTTTTCCGCGATCAGAATATTAATTTTGTTCTTCAGTGAGCCCGGGTCAGCATTATTCTGTCCAAGAACGCGAAACTATCGAAGGTTTCACGCCAGACGCGGAGCTCCCTCTAAGTCGCACGAGGGTGCTCGCGGTGTCATGCGAGACAGAGACGTGGGTAAGTCATAAACTATCGGACAAGCATCCTAGTGGGTCTGGCCGGAAACCGAAAGAAGAGCTTGGAGCAACAACGCGGCACTTATACGCGACCATACGGGCATGGTATACACGCCCATGAAGCCCCTGTAGTGTTCCGTTCGACTGACGCATTCAGAGAAAGACTCAGCTATTTACGCGACCGAGCAACGCAAAAAGGATGCGCGTATTAGAACAGCATGATGAGTCCAGGTAAAACTTGCAAGACGTATTTTCAAACACTTGTCGCCTTCGCCCCTGGGGAGCAGCCACTCTTCATGAAGATATTTGATTATTTCATTAGAACAAGTACGCTTTCAAATAGTAAACCGCTCGTCACATTTAGTGATGTTTGCTGCTTTCCAGAAAGACATCTGTCTGTCTAGTAATTCCACGAGCGACGGTCAGATCTTCATCGCTTCGATCGCCAACCTGGATTCTCCACGAGTTGAACCCTTTGCTGTCTTCGTTGGCCGCAACGAGGTCATTCCTCGACTTGGGAAGTGGCGCTGGTCTGCCTATTCGAGCTGCGAACTCCTCGTCACTCTCCGCGCTCCTTCTCGGTTCTTCATCTCCAGCCCGTGTTATCGACACAAGACTGAACGGCCCACTCTTCTTGTGATGATCGACGGACGGCGTGCGGTACCATTTCCGCGAGTCCGCCTTGCGTTCCGTGGGAAAAGTGCCCGTGCCAGCATCGGTCCATCCTAACAGGCGCTTCGTGATGTCTCGGTAGAGTGGGCGAAGGGTAGCGAGACTGCCAGCTGTGATGGCCAAGCCTTGCTCAATGTCGGACCAGACAGCTACGTCGAGAGTATCCCAGAGGAAATCAGGACTCTTGAACTTCATCAAGTAACCCATGCGGACGGTGACTGCAACACTCGCGCTATAGTTTTATAGTCAGTAATGGATTCCGCTGTGGTAGACTGCATTGTTTACTTACACGCATGCCATACTTAGGATCGGAATCAACATGAGCTTCTGGTTCTTTGCCATGTTCAAGTTCCACACTAAGAAGATGGGGAGTAGACCAAAGGTGAAGTCGCAAACCGATGCAACGCCGCTGTACGCGAAGGCGACCCCAATGATGATGTCGATGTTGACGCATTTTCCACTGCCGGTGAACTTTTGCCAGAAATAGCTGACCGGGTGGCATTGCAGCACTGAGACGAAGAAGAAAACAAGGCCAGTAGCGACTGTTGCGCCCATTACAATGTAGATGATGCGTCGGTAATGCGGTTGGACAGTGACGCGAAGGAGGAAGAGACCGACCGATATTTTTGCTGCTATCATGGCCATGCAGTAGGCGGGGTAGCATAGATACCAGTACTAATTCAAGGTGTTAACAAGCTGACGAGTCAACGGGAAAACCAAGCGTACCATCAGCGCCGTCTCAATTTCGGGAGGGTTGAGCATGCTCATGTGTCGCCCTGTTCCATACTGGACACCCATGATGGCCGACACGGTGAACATGAGTTGGAAGAGCAAGGCCGTGATCATAAAGGCATCATCCCACCCAAAGGCTCGCACAAGACGGACTCGAACATAGACTCTTAGCAGCACTGAAGCAAATGCCAAAGAAGCGAATGTGGAGCAAACCTGCCCTTTCAATTAGTATTCAGCAAGTCTCTATGTTCACATTTCGAATAGGATGGGATCCTTACAGCTACCAGCTGTGGGCCGCGGTTTGGAATGGTTTGTTCAGACATGCTGAATAGGCTCCACCCAAACCGACCCAGTTTGCTTGAGAAGATGACGGGAAGGAAAAGTCTAAAGAGAGCGGCAAGGCTGGAGAAGTATGCCCTTCAACAAGTGTTAAAGGGAGCATGAGCCTGCCGCACATACCTTTTGCCACGAGACCTTCGCCCACCTTCCGGGTCCTTCCCACGTGTCAGAGGCCGGCATGGGCATGGGCATGGACATGGGCATGAGCATAGTCAGATCCAGGGCTGCACGGAGTAGTCTAGAAGCGGAAGCTTGCGTGGAGCGCGAGTCGGACGAAGTTCCAATAGCGTGCTAAGGCATCTTCTCTTGGGCACGACCTTTAGTTAAAACGTGGGTGTTCCCCTGACTCGGTAATGACAGGATGCGGGTTCGTAATATTTCCATATGCACAATCATGTAGGCGAAGCGGGCAAGACTGTGCAGTGTTCTTGGATTGGTTTTGATGGTTGTCAAACCCCACACTAAAATCAATGGTAGTAGAACAACGGCGGGAGCTGTCAATTGCAGATGCAAAGGACCGTCCTGTTCGCGCTCACAGCTTTCGTTCTTTGATTGGTTGTCTACAGGTCTGCCGTCCACCGGTGCCGGCCGCCGGCCGCCGCCGGCCAAGGTCGGCAGGGCACACGACTTCTCGCCGAAGAGGGGTTCTGAACGCCCAACGAACATACGGGAGGAACCGTGGGCATACCGAGAAAGGTCATGGTTTGCTCATCCCAGATGGTCGGCGATTAAGGCTGGTAGTGAGACGCAGATGCGTCTGAATGCGGCAAGGATGGTGATATTATTCTTGGCTGGAACACGAATTTGCGACGATCGATTCGCGAGGGCTTGTCAAAATTGTGGAGCACACATAACCGAGGCCTCACTTCGTAACGACAAATCCACGCGCAAAACGTTCGCATGTTGGTTATTTCCAGCGGAAGCTCGTGCGGTGGTATCCGCTTGAAGTAAGGGTTGCTTTCGGGCGGGCCAGCTGTCACGGCAGCGTTGCTGGCGGACAAGCCCTGCATATGAGCTTCGGATGCGATTGTAAAGGAATGCGTTCGGCACTTGACGAAACAGGGCTTTTGCTATGGTCAAGTTTGATCTAGATACCCAACAGCATGGTTGTGATCATCCCCGGTGCATAGACCAACCTGTCACCGACCTGTCAGGTCCCGCAGCAGGAGGTCCGACAGTAACAACTGGATTGTACATCAACATCCGCAACCGCTTGCGCAATCTGCAATTGCTGGCCGATGATCTTCGCTTCCTCAGTCCTTCCCAGCTTGCCCAAACACTCAAAATACCCCTGCAGCGCCCAGACATTGTTCGGATGCTGTCGAGCCCTGATAATGTTATCGTCTAGTCCCAGATCTGCTGCGTAGGCTATAGCCGCCTCCTGAACGCGACCCTGCTCCAGGAGGAGAGCAGCGTATGCATGTCGAGAAGGCATCATCCATGGCCATGGCTCGGCGTAGTTGAGGCCATCTTCGAGCTCGACTGCCTCCTCCAGATGCTTGAACGCGACATCGTAATTACCTTTGCGATACTCAAGTTCACCGTCAAGCATCGCTTTCGCAACTTGCATCACCGTATGGCTCTTGTTGACGGGCGTCACAGATATCCGTGACTGAGGGATCCTATCCACCGCTGCATAAAGCAACTCACGCTCCTCGGAGGCCTTTCCAACGTCGCCTGTGGCAGCAAATGCGACGCCCCTGCCGTAGTGGATCATCGCGGTGAGTACCGCATACAACGTTTGATCTTCCTTTCGCGGAACCTGGAGGGCAATAAGATCGTCCCACCGACCGAAGCGCACCAGCACTTCCACGCGAATGCTGGTAAAGGCCTCAACCCAGTCCGCAAGCTTGGCCACAAGTTCGGGGGTTAGCGAAAGCTCTAACCGTGCAACCGCATCGATTGCAACATGGTATTGCCCTGCAAACATGGCCGCGTATGCAAGGAAATGATAATCATGCAATCGGTAGATCGTGTAGAAGTCGTCACCGCCTTGTTCGGAGAAGAATTTCTCGTCGGCGATACACGCCTCCGCATTCGAGGCGACGGCACGTCGGTAGTCCCCTATTTGAATGTCTATGTGGCTTCCCATATGGACCAGGTGGCCAGCTTCTGGACAGAGGTTGCGCAGGTGGTCTGCAGCGACCAAGGCAGCCTCCGGAGTTTTTGACATCTCCATCAGATGAATGAACATGTGCAAGACACCAGGGTGCTCGTTCACGCCCTCCTGGCTTAATGCCTTTTCGAGGATTGCCTTTGCCTCCAAGGTGCGTGCTCCAGGTCTAGGCTCTCCCGTTTTGAGATCCCAGAGGTCCCAGGCAGAAAGGTTCATGAGAGCATCTGCGTAGAGCGTAGCGACGTCGAGGTCATCATGGAATGCGTTGTATACGGAAGCCATAGCTTCAGCATAAGCCTCGTTACAAGCGCGGAAATGTTTGTCGTCCAAGCTCTTCGGCACCCGAGATTGGATTGCATCTATGAGAGCCTGTTCCACATCGGTCGCGTCGTCTGCATTTTCCTTCGCCTTTGCATTCGCAATATTGATCTGCTCGATGCTAGACTTTAATTCTTCCGGGTCGAAGAGTTCCCAGGGTTTGTTGTAGTTTGGTCCTAGTGCGAAGGCGCGCTGTGCAGATCAGTATTTAACCTTTGCACCTGACAGCTGTCAACTTACGCCCCAGTAGGCCATTGCGAAATTAGGATCCTCCTCTAAGGCGTATTGGAAACCTGTCTAACCTCAGTTCACGGTCTAAAAACATAGTGTCCTCTTACACCGATCTGCCTCTTCATGGTGGAATCCATAGCTCCATATCAGCCCCCGATCAAACCACACCTGGGCCGCTGGGCTTGCAGTGCTAACCTTGCGCTTGAAGGAACCAAGGTTATAGATATACGATTCTGGTTTGGGTGCCATCAGGGTGAAGTCGTAGGAGAATGAGTTGTGCAAACTACAAAAGAGCGTTTCCCCGCCAGGGCTGTATTGGTCTCTTTATGGGTGCTCTTTTGCTGCTTCGCCGCGGCGATTGATTCTGTGCCTCCGGAAGAATCGTGTAAGTTGGATGGAAGCTGTTGTTGCAGCTATCGTAAGCTGAAAGTCTTGTGGCGTGATTGGGTTGGCCCGAGGGTACAGTGGCGGGGTATTCGCCTGCTCGGCCACTTCATACTACTGCACACAACATTCGCCGACGAGGCACGCAAGCATTTTCGAGTAATTATTGGAGTGTACCTATGTACTTATTAGCGCGAATTAGAAGGAGGACAGCGAATAGGCGCGCACGGATCGAAAACCGTAGGGCTGTTCCGCAGGTTTCTCGGAAGGCAACAACCGCGTGGGACAGCTGCAAGAGGTCCGAATAAAGTAAATTTTGGCGTGTACACAGGAAACACGCCACCGCATTCAAGAAATTAGAAGAGGCGTAGCTAGACTATCGAAGTGGGTTAAAATTGCAAAGAAGGCTCATTAGGGCTTCTACTAGTGATCAGCGGCGTGTGTGCTATACGCAAATGATCAAGGTACCATATATATCTATGTTATGTGCTACCACGCTTCAATCTGGAAGTAACAGCCAACACGAACATTTATGTATACCTCTTGATCCACATGCAAAGCATAACATGAAGCCAGGTGAGAAGCTAAGCATTCTGTGTGATGAAATTTTCATCAGTGCTGTCACACCCACCAAGGCACCACCAGCTGTCATCAACATGTGTAAGAGACTTCACACATGCGGATATATTCCATGAAAAGTCTCCAAATTATTCTCGTGGCGTTTTCCTTGCTCGTTCATCACACTCGAAATCCATGTGCTGCACTCAGCCAGCGCTCATCCAGCAGCGCGCTGACCCTCCTCAAAATCCTGCTGCCGCCTAGAACCGCCTGGAAGGTTTGCACACGAGTCGCCGCTGGCATGAATAGAAAATTGAGTAACCCGCGCGTCTGCGTTGGGCCAGACTTATCGTCAGACGTGCCTTCCGAAAACTGTGGCCAGTCGAATGGATCCTTGAGGAGGGCGAGAATGACCTGTGCAGCGAAAGTATTGAGACCTGCGCGACGGAGGAAAATTTCCCACTGCCTATGTTAGAGATGATATGCAACATCAGCGTAAGATACTTACAGTAGTCTGGTCAGGGAGAAGCTTGATATCACCGATGTCATGGGAACCATGAGGCAAGCCGAACTTTGCCATCTCAATCACGACCGACCGTGCAAGTGCCTGTTCTCCACCCGGGATGTATCGAACGAGCACTTCGCCATCCAATTTTGCGGCAATCTTCTCGTACTCGGTGACGGCTTCCTGGTCCCTGCGATCTGAACATGGACCAAAGCTCTGTTGCTCCAGCTCTCGGCTTAGCCCTTCGCTAACCAAGACTACAAGTCGTTCATACACATCCTTGAGTGAAACCATTCGCTCCTTGACTGGTGAGCGCTCTGGCTGCCCAGGAAGAGCGCGCTGCTTCAATTGCTGCAATGTCGTCAACATGAGGCCCGTCGAAGGCGACAAGATGAGGTCTGCTTCTTTGCTCACTGCAATTTGCAAGTCGAAGTCCCGACACACAAATTCTGCGTCCGGATACAGTGTCTCAATCTGCTTTGAAAGACTTCGCCGCTGCAGTAAAGTGGACGAAATGACGAATGAGCAAGGAGGCATGGATTCAGGTAGTGGTGGTAAATTGAGTGGCCTCCGCACTGGTTCTGGGGCGTTTTGAGAATCAACTTTTGACAGCCCATTCTCATCATTACGTGCCTGTTTGGTAGGTCGGATAGGCGAACGGAGCGGGGGCTCTGGAGGTCGCTTTGCTAGAGGCTCGTTCCTTCCTATCGTGTTCGGCTTTACAGTCATTCCTTGTAACACTATGAAATTGTCTAGAGCACTAGATGCGGAGAACTTGCCGCCAAATATGAGACTCTGATCTTTGTCCCATTCTTGTATAGACTTATTGCGCATGGAATCGAGTTGAAGGTCCTTCTGCCGGACTTCGATTGCACGCGGCGAAGCGTTTGCACCCGACCCCGACGACTCGGTCCTCCAATGATGGCTCTCAATTAGATCGTGTCGAGGTTTCAGAGTTCCAGCGACGGCTGTGAGCGCTGATAGCTTTGGTTGGGACGAGTAACCGTGATTACCGACGACCTCTTGCAGTTTGAGCTGTTGTTTTCTAACCAAGAAATTCATATCCGTGAGCTCTCCTAGATCGGCAGGCGTCAAGAATTCTTCACCATGTTCCTCATCTTCAAGTATAAGGAGGCCGTCCCTCTTCCACATGCCAGTAGAGCTCGTAGCGATCTCGCCCACAGCCACTTCGGCGAGCATCTTGGTCAATGTGTCCTCTCCGTGAAGCTGCTCTTCGGTCGAGACTATTCCTAACTCATACGGGAAGGGCGCCAACGGGAGCGTTCTCTCAAGCTCCGACACTCCATGCCATGATGTTGCTGATTTCATGTAGTTGCCTTTTACCCATAAAAGGAATCGCGCTTGTGCATCAATTTCTGACTCAGATCTATCTCTGCGAGAAAATTCATCCCAAGGTGCGATCGGAAGTCGAAAATCAACATGCGGGACAGGCATCCTCTTGGTGGTATCAGCTTCCGAGAGCTTCTCATTCTCGACTCTCCACTTAGCGTCTTCTGCAGCAGGTTCAATGATGTCTTTGAAGAAGGCGTAGTCATCCTCCGGACTGAGGATGTCGTTGCCGTTCTCAAACTTGGAAGGAAGTTCTGGATCGCCTTCACGGGAGGAATGGGCTTCTTGGGAGTTGCCATCCCCATGTTCATATCCCATTGAGACATTGGGAATATACTCGACAAGCATCTCCGCGAAGGCAACCGTCTTTAACTTTTTCGCCGGTGATTCGGAGAACATGAGCGGGGTGAGCGGTCCTTCGATCTTCAGATAAGCTGCTCTACGTTTCGTAGAAGGTGAATTGGCATCGCCCAGTGACGGTTCATATTCGCCAGGATCGAGCATGTCCAGCAGCAGAGTGGTATCGCTTCCATCAGAATCACGTCGCATAAGTGCATCTGCAGCCATGAGCTGCTCTTCCAAGGCCTTTGCCTCTGCGGTAGTTGAGTTTGAATCATCTGAGATAAGCCCGAGACGATTTCCAGGTGAAGAAGGTATGTAGGGAGTCAATGGTGGCGTTAATGGAAGCAAGGGCGGGGTAACAGGCTGAGTCGCGGTGTTCTGCTCCTCTTAGTATGCGACTCGTAGCGCTGTATCTCACTCACTTTCCGATAGCTTAAAGCCTCCTGTTTGATGTTTTCGGAATCCTCGAGCAAATGAAAGTCCTTGATGGCGTTCTGGAGATGCAGCAGTGTTTCCCGCGACACTCCCAGCTTTTCGCTCTTCGCTCGATCAGTACACTGTGCTGGATACCCAGAGTACCTCGACGGCCATTCAAGGCCTTCTTCGTTCTCTTCATCAATCGGTACAAGCGGTATCTTGAGGTCATCAAAGCTAGGCATCACCGCGCTGCCGAATTCCAGCAAGTCTAGTTCGTTGTCAGTCCGAAGAATTGGGACCTCCAGTTTGAGGTTGAGGATTCTCATTTTTTCATTCGCTAACAGTGGTAAGTCATGCGGCGCTGCTGCCAGAGAAATCGCGGATTTGAGTATCATCGCAGCTTCCTTGGTGACAGCGAATCGCTCCCTTTTTAGCTCGTCTGCCGGATTAGTGAGCGCGAGAACATCTTTAGGATCCTGAAGATCCCGATCAAAAGTCTCATCCGAGATCGAGACGTTGTTGTAGCATTGTGGCAGCTCATGTGTGAAATCGCTGCAGAGGCCGTGAAAGCGCGCGTATTCAAGCACGGTCGGTTCGTGCTCGATCACATCCAACTCCAGATCGAGCTCCATCGTGAATTTCCACGTCTGGTAATTGCACACCAGTGCAGTCACTTAGCTCCGATGATCGTGAGTTCGGTGAGCTTGGGAGACGCGGACAGGCAACTGAGGAAAGCGCGACGAACATGCACGTGATCAACTGTTGAGGCAGCCGCGAAAGCATTGCGCGTCCTTTCCTACTTCAGCTATGCATTCAGGTCTATTAATCGGGTCTGTTAATCGGAGCTCGTGATATCCATGCCTTTCATACCAGCCTGTGGAAACCTAAAGCTGCGCACATCGGTCTGGGTGGAGGTGCAGGTGTAACGAGTTTCACATCCCGGATTCATGCGATCACTGTTAGATGGTAAACCACTCCGCCACGCCGTGTCACAGAGTGCTACATCACGCATCGGAGCACAGTAATGCCTTGCAACAGATCTGTATTTCCGTCTGCCCAATCTGGCCTTCTCGCCCATGCCATGTATCTGCTGTCTATTCTCAAGCACTCCGGCCTTCAGAGATAAGAAATTATTATGTACAGAACGGTTGCCCTTCAGGCCAAGCATATCGACAGTGAACACGCAATGCAACTCCGCTAAATGACAAGTACATGTTCGCACACCTGGGTTTCTAGTATACCCGTCTATGCAACCGGAGGCTTCTCGCCGAAACCAAGCGACTGATTGCCGCCGTTGAAGGCAACAAACTGCGCCTTAAACATGGTGTCACCGTAGATCTGAAGCCCAGCGCCGGAGTTACCCTGCACACCACCGAAGCAAGTAGTGTTGGCCTTGTCAACAGTGGCGAAGGTGATCTGGTTGCCGGGGATCTTGGCCATGTAAGAGTCGCCGATGGCCACGGATATGTCGGGAAGAGCGGCGTCGCAGGGGTAGATGAAACCACCAACCTGAGCATTAAGCTGTGCGCCCTTGACCTGGGAGTAGTATGCCTCGGCAACCTGCTGGTCGACAAGGAGGAGAGAAGTACCAGTGTCGGCAATGGCCTGGGAAGCAGTCGGGTTGTCGACAATCTGGTTACCAACAGCGAACTTGGCGGACGGGAATTGCCAGAAACCGGAAGATGCGTTGACGGGAATCCATGCCATCTCGCCCTGGAACTTGGTGGCATCGATCTTACCGAACTCGTAGACACCGGTGCCATCAGGGTCGAGGTCGGCAGTGAAGACGGGCAGGTCAAGTTGACCCATGACGTTGTCGAAGAAGGTCTTCTGGGGAGTCTTCTTGGTGCCGTCATTGACAGTGTTGAGCTTCGAGAAAGCAAGTCCAACGAGACCGTCAGTGTTGGTGTCCTGGACAAAGGATTGCGAAACAGCGTTGGCAACCTCGACAGCCTGGTTCTGAACCGTCACGCCACCAATGGTAACAGCGTCAGTACCAACGGTTCCGGCAGCACCTGATCCGTCACCGTAGGAGATCTGGAACTTGGCACCAGTCATCTGCTTGAAGGTAGCCGACTTTGTCTTGTCATAAACGCTGTGACCGGTAGTTGCCTTCGCAGGCAGGTCGGTGCTGAAAACCCAGCTGCAAATTGTTAGCTCTATAATCAATACAAATGGGGTTAACTTACAGGTCAGAAGAGCCGGAGTCGAAGTCCAAGTTAAGGGTCTGGCCACCAATGTCGACAGGCGAGAGAAAAAGAGCAGCATTCTCTCCAGGGTTGGCAGCGACAGTGCCAGTTCCATTGCTCGAAGCATTGGATGCCTTGATGTCAAGGCCGGTGAGCGTTCCAGTCTTCTCCTGCGCAATGAATCCACCCTTGAGGTTGTATTTGTTGAACACCTTTCGCACGGCAGCTCCTCCATCGAGACCACGAGCGTGGACAGGTGTGTTGATGTATCGAGGGACCTTGAAGGACCTCTTCTTTATTCTGGCTGGTGCCGGAGCCGCCCAAACCAAGGCCGCCAAGAGAGTGACGAAAAAGATGATGCGGAGGGTTGCCATGTTGGAGTAAATGCTGACCGGCAGCCGACGGAAAAGAAGGTAGGGGTAATGAGAATGGAAATGAAGGGAAGGAGAGAAGAGTAAGAAGGTACTCTCTCGTGTAGAAGGGAAAGGCTCGGCCTGGAGGTGGAGAGGAAACAGAGCGGCAAAGCTCTGCTTAAAAGAAAGAAGACGAAGTTGCAAAGATGGCTCGGAAGGAACGTCAGGAGCAATCCCGATGAAACTCGATTCTAAGACACATTCTGACGCATGAACGAGCAATCAAGAGTTAGGCGAGAACGTGAAGCCGGACACCAAATCGGGACTGGCGGTGCAGAAGCATTTGCAAACAGAGGCGTCGTGTGCCGCCGCCTTCTGCCACCCTGGCGTTGATCATGCTAAGCATTCGTAAGACGGTGAAGCAGGTAGGCAAAATCTAGTTAGTTGATTACCATAATCGGCGTCGTGACCTGTGAGCGGGCGCTTGATTGGATGACAAGAGACGAGTACCCGCGACGGATTTTCCGCCTCATACGCGTTCTGCTTTATGCCATGGGGTTGGTGTTGAAGAAATGTGGAGTCGATTGGTGCGGGAATAAAACAGGGGCTGAAAGCTTAGCAACTCTGTTTCAGCATTGGGGCCGCGCCACCGAAGCCCATTGATGCTACAGAGACGTGAGCAATTATTATGCCACTCGAAATACACCTTTGGATCTGGAAAGCTCAAGGTTGGGTTGTATCTTTGAACGCTAACAAACCGCTCTTAGACAATCGATGGAGACGTAGCGGAAAGGCGGCCGCTGTGTGGCGTTTCAAGCTCGTCACGCCTCTGGACATGCGAAACGCCCGCCTCCTTTGGGGCAACGACAAGGCTAAGTTTGACAAGTCTTCACGGCAAGCAAATCAAGCATTCGCCTCAGGCACACGCACCCCGCAAGCGCCTGGAACACGTTTCGCCTAGACCAACGTCCAGTGCGCAGCGGCTGCACGGCTCCACATAGTCAGCCTCAGGGAAACGAGATCGTAAGAGTCTCGGCGGCTCGCCGTTTGAGAGCATGAGTGTTTGTCGCTTCATACCACGTTTCGGGAAACATATGACCGGGGCGCGCATGCTTCTACATCCGGGGAGGGCTAGTTGGACAGTCGTCCTGCCGCAACGAATCGAGCGCTGTTCTTCACTTCGGACCGTACAGACCCGGGTTGACAGTTCCTGGGACTCTATTTTGGGGGAGTATCGTGTGCGATCTAATGCGTCTGAAAAGCTTGATGGATGTTTGAGCGTTTGATGGCGGAGGACAACTGCAAGGATTAAGCGGAGCAGTGTTGTGCAAAGCGCACATGGTGATAGAACTGGAGTGACGGCCGAGAACGTGCGGAAGGCGCAACGCACAGACGAGAACAGGCCTTCGCTTGCGTTCATCATGCACGCACGGAGTATCAGTCATGGGCCGAAGAGCCTTTCTGTACCGACAGCATTTCATTGTTCCTCCATTCACAGCAATTTCTCCTTTCTTCATTGCCGCGGACCGGTGGAATTTGATGAAGCAGTGAAACACTCAGCCAGAACGATAACGTTGATCAAGTCGGTGGCAGGTTCATCGATTCTCCCACCCGTTGGTCTCCAAAGCCATTGTTCAAGCATGACTCAATGATCGTGCAGAATGCTGGATCCCTCTGCTCAATATGGCAACCCAGAGAATGGAGTCGAAATCTACTGATCCAAGCAAGATGCGCAGAACATATGGTCTTCTCTATAGCATAAGCGGCGCACAAAGATCTCCTTCCCATGAATCATGTAAAACCGTACATTATCAGTACACCCAACATTCATGCTCATTCTTTCCACAAACCCCACAACCCTAAAGTCTCGACGCCGGAACCGCCAACTTTGTCTTCCCCCTCCTATTCTTCGTCTTGGCGGCCGCACTCTCCGCCTCCTTATCTCTCGCCCCCCTCGCACCAACACTGTTCCTCTCTTCCCACAGCTCCGTCCCAACTCTATCAGCCAAGCTCAGCACTCTCGTCTGCACCGTCGCGCCGTCCCTCCGATTCTTCCCCTCTCTCCTCGAAATGCTAATCCTCTCCGCAAACGTCCACAACGGGCCTTCTGCCTTGACGCCGCCCTTCGCATCTCTCTCGGGCAGCCACTCACCCGCCAATCTGATTGTAGTAGGGGTATTCTTCTCCTTAGACTTTGCCACAAAAATCATGCCATCCTCTTCAAACCGCTGATACGTGTTCTTCAGCGTCTCTTTGTTCACGGCTTCGAAGTATGAAAGATCGCCCTGGTGGTACAGCGTCTTGCCTAGGACCTGCGCCACATCCTGCACGTTCTTCATCGGCAGCCAGCTCTCCTTTGCTTCGACGCCCACGGGCGGTGTCAGCATCAGCAGGCTGATTGCACCTAGCCATGCCGCTTCGATAAACGGCCATATGAGGAAGCAGTAGAAATCGAAGTTCTCGCGGCCTTGCTCGCGCTCCTGGTCGCTTAGCTCGACCCATTCCACGACTTCGCTGTCGTTTGGATCTCGTGTGACTTTAATGACGTTGTCTGCTTCGAGGAGTGCGAGAGTCTTGGCGAGGTTGAAATCCAGGCCTTCGGTTGGGAAGATGAACTCGCCACGGAAAAGTTGCGAGAGGAACGATACTTGATCGCGGAGGGCGGCGAAGGAGATGCGTTGTTGGGAGGGAGAGCCACCTTGTTTGACAGAGGTATATAGGGCGGCGGAGACGAGGGACTGGAGAATGAAGAGGTGTATGGTCATATTACGATAGAATGAGAGCTGGAATCTGCATATGAATATCAGTAAGAGCCCTCGTCGATCATGGAAATATGAAGGAATAAAGAAATGGGGATCGCGTACCTATCCACGGCATAGAAGGTATCTTCTGGTAGTCCAGGCACTAGCCCCACGAGTCCAGGACCAAGAACCTCGAGAGCCCTCTCTACCACCACACTGGTCGGTAGTCCGGCGAAATGTGCAACTCTACCACCTTGTGCCTTAACACGTTCGCTCAACCACTCCACTCTTCTGATCAATTCCGACTTGCCCACGCCTCGCCCTCGCAAGGTCAAGAGAACAGTACCAACAAGCGCGGTTGGCATCACAACCGAAACGTCATTGATCTCGCTCAGGACCTTAAAGCCCAGGGTGCGTAGTAAGCGTATCCGCTGATCCTTGTCATCAATCTGTTGTGGAAGCTTGTTAGCGCGCCCCTGCTGCTCGTCGATGAACTTTCGCAGAGACCATGGCTCATGGAAGCGGACATCTACACGACCCAACTTCAATGAAAGTATGGATGACGCCGAGAGGAAGTCTTTGAGGTTCTCCTTTGGTTTGGGCTGGCCCAGGAGTTCACTGATATATGATCTGCTCGCGGTTAGCACATGAGCATAGCATACGTATCCCGTACGGATTACTCACTCGACTTCGATGACCTTGTCATACTGGGTTGACACTGGGCAGATGATGGCATCGGCGACCCTGCCACTAGCAACGCTATCCAACATATAACTCAATATACCGAACTTAGGCGGCAACAGCTTGCCCGTGCGACTCCGCCCTCCCTCGACAAAACATTCTAAATTGAAACCGTTCTGTAGCAGTGTATCTATGTAGGCCTGAACCAGTGTTTGATAAAGCTGGTCGTTCGCAAAACTCCGCCGGATCCACATGGCACCCGCATGCTGCAAGAACGCTCCAACGACAGGGAAGTTCAAATTATCGCCGGCGACCACGGTAGGAAGTGCCAGTCCAAGGCGATAGCAAATTATCTGGAGGGAGACATAATCGACGTGCGAGCGATGGCAAGGGAGGAAGATGATGGCCTGCTTGGCTTTTGCTGCTTTTGCGGCGACGGCGCGTAGGCGGAGGACTTCTTCACTTGAAACGTGCACGCCCTGGTGGTATGCGCGGGTGAGAAGTTGCGTCGCGAGGTAGTACGCGCCGCGAATGAAGCGTTTCGACTCCATCTTGCAAATCATGTTGTCCGTCATTGTCTCGCAGACCTCCATGAGGCTCTCCTCGATCTGTATCTGCCGCCGCCGCTTCTTGTCACCGTTTCCAGCGCGGTCCTGTCCATTCATGACTTGCTCGCCGAGCAATCCCTCTTTGGCCTCCACCTCCACTCTGCGCTCCGCAAGATGGCGCACTTTGTTGACGAGCATGGGGTTGTTGAGCACCATGGACTTCATGTTTTCCGAGAAGCCGGAGTAAAAGATTGGTTGCCCGACAACATCGTCGTAGGAGCGCCATCCTGTGCCTGAGACGTGGAGTGAGACCTCGCGGATGAAGTCGAGGGGCGAGGAGCGGAAGCGCGCCATGCTGTTGATCACTTCGCGCTCCGAGGACTCATTGTAGCCGGCGGTGTGGAGGTGGACCTCATCGTCGGCGGTAATGCTAAGGTCGGGCGCTTGTTCTGCCGTCGAGCTCTTGTGCGATTTATATGTGGACGGCATGGCTGCGGCGGACAACGGGGGCGTTCGCGTTGGGTGGACTGTTTGCGGAGGGACTGGAGCAGGAAAAGCCGCTATGGGACGGCCATGGAGCGAGGTGCAGAAATTAGGGGCGCGGTCTGGGATGTAGGTCGTGCAATTGCGGTACTTCTGTTCGCCCACCGAGAGCGTCGACAACACGAGTGTGCGTCGGGCAAGCAGCGCGAGACGTTGATCGTCATCCCCATCCGAGCTTTGGATCGTCGGTCAGCTGCAGCCGAGGCACCTGCATTGTGGAGGCGCCACCACCTGCATCTCCTCCGTAGCGCAACCGTCACCGCACCATGCAAAGACCTGCTACACGCACGCATCTTTACTTTCTTTAGGCGCAAAGCGTTCTACACGTGCGACAGAAGACAAGATCAATAACCATAATGGCATTTGCTGCAGAGATAGCAGCATCAGTCCATTTCAAAAACTCGTACATGAATCTACAGTGAGAATGCAAGACCCAACTCCCGTACAAATGTCCAGTAACGCCGTGGTTGCTCTCCCAGTGAGCTCGAAACCATGTTCCCCAAGTTTCGCTAATCAGCCGATACTCCTTCTTTTTCTAGCAACAGCAACAACAGCAATAGTCAATAACACCAAGGCCAGAATCGGTCGAAGCCACCACCATATGGATTCGGAAACGGAGAGCGGGGCACTTGCAGCAATAAAAGTCAGGACTGTGTGCTGAAAGCGCAAGGGGTCGAAATCAAGTTCATTTGGGGGTCGTGATTGCTGCATGGGTGCCTGGGCCAAAAGACTAACTACGAAATTATTGCTCCTTTTCGTACCCTGCTGGTTTGTCCATTCCGTTGATTTCGTAGAAGCGAGCGGTGCCTGTGAATTTTTCATTAGTGAATTGAATCTGTCGCGGATGAAAATGAACCTACAGCTGTATCCATTCCAGTCAAAATTGTCCTTTGGGTTGCAAGAGCACTTGTGGTCCAAGCGGTACTGCTCGCCTGTCGGGCAGTGGGTGAAGGGAACGTGGTAGTAGGCAATGTCGTTGAAGAAATGGATTTCTTCCTTCTTGAGCATAAGAGCGGCCGCGATCGAGTGGACAGGCGCGTCGCCCCAGCGCTCGTAGAAGAAACCACCGGCATGGTCCAGAGAGGTGAAGTAGTCGATGTAGGCTTGAGAGCGGAGCCAGTTCAGGTTACCGATCTCGAAATTGGACCAGAAATGGCAGTGGTTGTACGTCTTCCCGTCATCCTCGCTGATCCACTTCATGGAGTTGCCGTCGACAACGTGCTGAGGGTACACGGAAGTGAAGTTCTTGACAGCATCCCACAGGGTGGGAATGGTCTCGACGTATTCGTACAAGCTGAGGGTGAAGCTGTACTTCTTCTTGTGATCGGCCATGAACTTGAAAGTGTCGTAGTCGATGTCGCAGAACAACTTGACGCTGGGCTCAACGCGCCAGTACCACTCGTAATCCAGCATCAAAGGGTGGCGGAAAAAGAAGCCGGATTCGTAACGGCACATGTGCCTGTAGCTGATGGAGTCGCCATAGATGATCTTCTTTTCCTTCATCTCCTCACGAACCTTGGCAGCGCGATCCTGGTCGATGAAGTCGGGGAACGACCAGTGCTCCTTGGGAATCTTGCCGTACTTGGCCGTGCCAGACACAAGCGCAGTGGTGATCTTCTTGAATTCGTCGTTGAAATCATCGTCGTTGAGGAAGACCCAGTCGTAGTGGAACTTGCGGTTGAAGCGGTCTTCAATGTGGCGGATGGATTCGGCGATATCCCAGATGTCTGAGTTGCGGGCAAGGGTCACAAAGGTTGCGTTCATGCGCTCGCCGCCGGCAGTGGCCGGAGGAAGTCCATTCTGAGTGTTGGGCGTGGTCGCGGTCGAGTCCTTGTCGGCGCCAGCCAGGGGTGCTGCTGGCTTATTTGTGGTCGGGTCCGCGACGGCACTCTGGTCGCCCTTGTATGAGGGCCATTGCGCGGATGGAACGGATGAGGAGGACGAGATGAAGAAGAGAAGAATGATGGCCTGATGCTGTTAGCGGATTGCGCATTTGTATGCGATGGGAGGAACATGCAACGAGAGCGAAGACGATGTAGCGCAGGTAGCGCTGCTGGCCGGCCATGGTGCTGCGGGCCTCCTGCTGCTGCGATTGCTGCTGCTGAGGAGTTGGGACCGACGGCTGGCTCTGGTGAGGCTGGCTCTTCTCCGACGTGGAGCCCTCCACCTTGACGACGATATGGGGGATGCGTGCGGCGAGCAGGGCAGCTTGAGGCTACGTCGTCGGTTGCGGAGCCAGAGCTGCTGCAACGGGCCTCCGTAGCACGTGTCAACGGGTTGGTGGCACAGCTGTCCTCGCACGAAAAGAACGGAGCGACCTCGACGGCTGCCTGTGTATTAGAAAGGATAAGGAGAAAGGCAACGGGGAATGGGCGAAGGGTGCAGCGGACCCGGCGCAATAAAGAATGTGAACTGCGAAATAGGAGGCCCGAGTAGCCGTTGGGGGAGAGGCTGACGCGAACGCCACGCAAGGATGGTGGGTGCTGGGCCCGCGTTGAGAGATGCCCTGACGCACGCCTTTGGGGGCCTGCGCGGCGACTGCGGGTGCCTTGCACAGGCCAGAGAAGCAAGTGAAGGTGCAGCCGTCCCGTTTGCGCACCTCCAGCCGACGACGCTGGCGTGGACGCGCGCAGGCGGGAGCACCTGCTGCAGTGCTGCAGTGCTGCAGCGCTGCATGGCGCGTCCAATTGCACGACCCCACCGTGACGCCCCGATGCGGCAAGGGCCGTTTGGAATAGTTGCAGCTGTCTGCGAAACATTGCCCTCTCGCCCACGACGCCTCCACCCCCGCTCGCTGTCGCCCCGTCCATCACTGTCTGCTGCGCGCCCGGGAAAGGTCATCATTGCAGCGCTCCGAGCCCGCTCGATGCGTCCGCCGCCGTCTACCTGTGCCCTCGCTACACGTCACTGCGCAACCCACCATCTCCAATACTAGTACTACCGCGACTCCCCTCGACAGCGCCCTCAGTCCCATCGACACCACCCGCCCCCGCCCGCCCCCGGGCACCGCCCACCATGTCCTTCTTTGGATTCGATGCCACGCTGCCGCGCGACAAGGGCCACTCCACCAACGCCCCCGGTTTCGGCCACCACGATGCCTTCGCCAGCCTCGGTGGAGGGGCAGCCGATGACGATGCGTATGTCTTGCTACGCGCACGCCCGGGACCCTGCTGATCATGTGTGAAGGATTGATTTCGAAGAGACGTACGATGGCCTAGGCGATCAGCTTGATGAGACCGACGACGCCTTCAATGACGACACTTTTGGCAGCGCCCCAGCTACCCAGCAGGACATCGGCCGCGATTTCGACTTCCACGGCCAGACGTCCAAGATTGCGAACACGCTGCAAGAAGAGCAGATGGTCTACCAAGCTCGCCATCCGGCACCCCAGCAGCAGATCCAGCAGCACGTCCAGCAGCAGAGGCCTCCCATTCCGCACGCTTCGAAGCCCACCAGGACCGGCTACGAGAGCTACCATGACCCCGACTATATCCCCCAGCTGGAGGCTCGCGCCGACATCTGGGGTCTTAAGCCCAAGCAGTCCTCTGCTCCCAAGCAATCAGAGCCGCAATATCAAGCTCCTGCGCCTTCAAGGAAGATGATGAGCCTGGACGAGGTCGAGGCCATGATGCGCAACCAGCCAGTGCAGGCGACACCACCACCTGCCCACCAGCACATGGCGCCCACCCAGCCTCCCATGCCCTCGCACTATCCGCAGTCCTTGCCTCACGGACAGCCGCTCTTCCCGGGCCAATTTCCACCGCAGATTATGCAGCGCCCCCAGCAGCACCCTCAGCAACACCATCAACATCAACCAGGCCAACCCGGTCCACGACAGCCGCAGGTTCACGCTGAACTGCCCGCTCAACCGGTCCACACCCAGCCACCGCAGCAACCTACGATATTGCAGCGACCGCGACAATCAAACGAAACTACGGCACAGCAGCAAAGACCCAACCAACCCCAAGGTCAGCCCCAAGGCCAGCCCCAGCGGCCGCCCTCTCAGCCCAGGCACATTCTGCAGAATCCCAATCGGCTTTCTGGGCATGGGCAGCCTGTTGCGCACTCTGGACACCCAGGAGCACGTGGTCCTCAGCCAGGCCACAACAGGGGTCCTTCGTACACGCCTATGGTCATTACCCATCCAGAGCAGCTTATGGCTTTGTCACAGGAGGAGCGTGACGCTTATATCGAAGCTGAGGCTAAACGTGCCAAGCGCAACCACAAGATCTCCTTGCTAGCCAAAGACAACGGCCTGATGACGCCTCAAGACAAGAACTTCATCACGCGCATTCAACTCCAACAGCTCATGACTGCGACTGGAAATTTGGATGAAAGAGGCCCTGAGGCTGCCATCGCCGAGGACTTCTATTATCACGTCATGAGCCAGATTCGCGGTGGTGCACGCCAAAATCCGCATCAGCCTGCAAACCAATTTGCCCAGACGTACCTGTTCCAGACGAACAGCAGATTCGGACCACGTAGGAACGGGCGCACTGGCGATAACCACATGCAGCGTATGGAGCAGCAGGTCCAGCGGGCAGTTGAGGCAGCAAAGGCGAAGCCTAAGGGCAAGCAGCTCGTCATCGAGGGCAGCCTGGGAAAGATTGCTTTCAGCAACGCGAAGACACCGAGACCGCTCCTCAACATCAAACGTCCAGAAACCGGAGACAAGCATCCCAAGAACCACAAGTCTTCTGTGGCTCATCGCAAGCAGACTCTGCGTAACATTGAGGCCATCTACATGACTTTGATGAGGATTGAGGATGTCGATCGAGCAATTCCCCCTCCCATCCGTGAGGACAGCTCGCCTGAGGCTATCCAAGCGCACATGGAGTGGCGCTCGAAGATCGAAACTCTGCGCAAGGAGCTCTGGCAAAATCTCAAGATTATGGAGCCCATCAACCCTCAGTAAGTTCCAACTGCCAGACTCTATCATGTATCAAGCTCACGCCAGAAAGGTCGCCCACTCCACACCCCTTTATTTCCATCTTGTCTCATGCAAAGGGGAAGAAGGCGATACAGCGAATCTTTCCTCACATCGACGAGCAAGAGCGCATTACGGTAGTCACTATGATCGTCGTGCACCTGGACCAGCTCTCCGTAGTGTCCCACGGAACTGCAACACCAGAGGAGCCCTTGAGCCCCGCCATGCGCGAGGAGATTGATCTGTTTCTTGGAACCGTCATCCCACCGCTGTTTGCTCATGTCTCCGAATCTCCGCTCAACATCATCATTGGCTTGCTTGGTCTAATCTTGGACAGAACGCATATGCATGTTGTCGCTCGCAGCAAGGTTGGCATGTCGCTCCTCACGATTCTTATCTCTCGCGCCGAACTTCTGAAGCAGTCCGCTCCAGAAGCTGTCACGGATTGGGAACAGTGGGCCGACCTTTACAACCGCCTGTTCGATGCTGTGGAGCCGGTTCTTCCTGTGATCTTCCCCGGTGGTATCAATGATACCGACGATATGTACATCTGGCAGTTCCTTGCTGCTATGGGTGTCGGAGCCAGTCCGGACCAGCAACAGAGACTTGTCATCGGCGTGAAGGACCGCGTTATGGAGACCGTGACGGTGAGCAAGGCTCTACCGGCTGAGATGGCAGGAGCTCGGCTTGCCAATGTCAACCTCTTTATGAGGGCTATTGGCTTGGATGTTGAGTTGCTTGGCTGAAAGAATTGAATGGACGAGTAAGAACCACCAAGAGACGTGGCACCCTGGTGGGCCGATTGTCACAGCAGAAGCAGGTGAGCTGAACAGTGGAAGAGAGCAAGTCTTGTGGTGGGACTCATAATCTTCCTATCACCCACCGCTCCTGTGACCGGTCCGAAATGACGAGTACCCGCTCCGGGACTTGATCGGTTGGCGGAATGCCAGAGCTATCGAGCTCGTATCTGCGCGGTAGACAACGGTGGATGTGAAGATGAACGTAGTGTTAGTTTATTTTTAAATTCGAATCAAAAGTTTACACATGCGCACGACCTTACGGACTTCACTGAGAATGAAACAGCATCGCCTGCACGCTTTCAACCCATGTTGGAAAAATTATGAATTAATCTTTGACAAGCGCTAAACGCGCGTCAATCTAACTCCAGTAAATGCTAGGCGCCAGGGTATATGCAATCGTGCGTCGTAGGTGCTCCCCAAACCTCAACCAAGATCCATGCCTTTCTTTCCGTACACAAACACATTATACAATTACGTTTTTTTTTTTTTTTTTTTTTTTTTTTTTCGTCCTCTCTCACCTTCTCCTCAGACCCTCCTTCTCCAGCAGAGGCTCCTTCTCATCCCAACCCCCTTGCTCTTCACTGCCGTCTCTCCTGTACTTCTTGAGCCCCGCATACGTCCCGAACTTGACAATCGGCTTCGTCTCGCCCACAGCGCCAAACGTGCAATGCTCGACGGTCCCCAGCGGGCCCTCCCTCGGGTTCTCCTCCAGCAGCACTCCGAATCTCAACTTCGTCCGCGTGAGCTCCTTGGGAAATGGATCGCCGCCCAGACAGGCGCCCACGCTGAGCCGGTCTAGCGTCGGATTCCGCGTCGTGACCAGGATGCGGCTGAACAGCGTGTCCGACGCCACGCCGTTCTGGTGGATGGCCCACCCGCCAACGACGAGGCACACGAATGCGCCGGCCACGGCGAACGCGTAGCCAATCCAGAGGCCCTCGCGCTTGTACTTGTACACGTTTACGGACTGGTCCTTTGTGCAGGGCACGGCCTGTGTGTCCGCAACGATGAGGCGCGGGTCCGAGAGGAGGCTGATGAGTATGTCTTCGAAGAGGCCCTGGATCGCGGCGGGGAGGTCCTGCTGCGGGTAAGTGATTTCTGCGTCCATGAGCTTTGTCTCCGAGATGTCGGAGGACGTGACGAAGAGGCCTTTGCTCTTGGAGACGCTGCCGCCGAGGAAGTTGCGCAGGAGCTGCATGATGGCGTGGTAGGCGGCGGTGCGTTTGTAGGTTTGGACGTCACCTTTTGGGGAGACGAAGTTGGCGGAGGGGGAGGCGGTGCCTTCGCTGCTGTTGTGGGCGTCCGCGGTGAAGGTCGTGTCGACGACGGGGCGCAGGAAGTCGCGTTTGATGCGGGTGTAGTTTTGCTTTGAGTTGCGGTATTCGATCTGGAATGTGTAGTTTGTGTGGTAGGCTATGCACTTGATGAGCTTCGGTTCGTGGATGGAGCCCCAGCGTGTTTTGTAATCCTCCGGGGCATTAGCTGGCCAGGGCTGGTGGGTATTGATGACATAGCCTATCCACAAAGTAGGCTCTACGTCGAAGACACCGAGTGAATCGGGGTATGGCTCCTTGATGGGAATCCCGTGTGCGCCGGTCTCTGTTTGAGGCATCTTGTAGTCGCCCTGGTCGACAACAGCAAAGTAAAGATTGTCGCCTTTGGGGGCAAGCACGTCCATGCTAAAGGGTGCATCCCCAGCATCGGCATGGTCGCTGTCTGCATAGAGATCGCACTTATAGCCTGGTGCCTCAAAGTTGATCTCGTAGGTGCAATTGAAGCCCTCCCCACACGAGTTGATGGAAGCATTGGTGTTTGCTGCTGGCTCCTTAAGATACATGCTCGCAAAGACAAGGCGTTTGGCGTTTTGCGAGGGCCGGTCATAGTAGTCGAAGAAATCACCCTCGCCCTCGAAATTGGTTGTGTTGTAATAGACCAACGAAGAGCCGACGTAGGAGCTCTCCCCTCGGAAGTCGAATTTTGCTTCCTTTGCAAAGTTCAAAGTAGCTACTTGAGGACAGAGGTCTGTCGCGTTTTTCAGAACGGTCATCTCCGAGGTAAGAGAGCCCGGCGACAAGACGGACGCAATTGGGATGAGCCAGCTACAGATTGCCATGACTGTTGCGATCTTGGCATTGATCATCATCTCTCCGTTGTAGAAGAACTGGGTAGGATCCTCGGTCGCGGAGAAGAGGCCGTCAATGCCAGCAATTGTTAAGGCTCTCGTTCGAAGGGTGTGCCAAATTCGCTGTCTGTAACACATGACAATGGAGCCAACGAGTGCGCTCTTGACGAAAAAAGCAAGGGCGGTTCCGTAGCGCACCATGATCAGCTGGTCGGTGGCCGGCTTCCCTTCCAGAGACAGGTAGAAGAAATGGTGCCCCACCGCAGCTGCCACTCCGGCGACAAACAGAGCAATCATCAGCACCGGTGTTATCCAGTGGACCTTCCACTCTGCAATCTCCCCAGCCCTGCGGTCAACCAGCTGCTGCGCCTCCTGGTCTTTCGTCTTGTGGTAGCCGAGAGAGTGGGTAGAGTACAACGACATTGTACGCGAATCGGTCGGCGGTAGTGAGCTTCGTACTGGTTCGTAGCTATGGCCCCCGCGCGGGAACGACAGGCCGATTTCCGGGCTCCATTGAGGCGATGCGCCTGGCGAGGGGCCGCGGCGAAGGTCTGGCGAGGGATATGCGGCGGCGGAGAGGGTCTGCATCGCAATGGGGTCGGAGGGCGCATCGTCGGGATCGTAGCGGTCTGCGAACGGGTCTGGCGACACTGACCGGGAGGCATGATGCCTTCCTCGAAACGGATCCATGGTACGGACGAGTCGAGCGTGTGTGGTTTCACCTCTTCAACATTGAGAGGATGGGGGTGGAGCAACTGTCGCACAGGCTTGGGCGCAACGTCTTATCCAGCACAGCACGATGACAAGTGCCACGCAGACAGGCCGGCCCGGGGAGCGAGTGAGGAGCCGGGAGACAGCTGCAACTGCAGTCGCGATTGCGGCGCAGGCGGCGGTGGCAGAAGCATCTGGTCTATGTCGAGCATGGCTGATGTATGCCATGCTCTGAATGGGCCTAGAGGCGACATGCGCAGCCGCAGGGACCTACTTTCATAAGCGCTAGCACCAGCGTGCTTCAATTCACCCGACTGTGTCTACCAGAGCAGAACCACGGCGCCGTCCTTCCAAAGCGTCTTCGCGTCCCCCCCCCCGCGCATCGTCGCACCAGGGTTGCTGCGGTAGGTGCTGCGACAAGACCCCTCTATTCCGTTGTTTCGACGAGCGGCTGGGCATCCTTCCCGCGTGGTGCATAGCTCCATGAAAATGCTCCGTAGCCGCGTGCGAGAAACGAGCCAACGGCGTGCTAATCTTAGCCAGATTCACCCACAGCAAGGCTGCATGGATCCTGCATCAGGCCGCCACAAGTCCTGTTCGAGAAGCTTGGCCAAATCCGCTCGTTTTGCCGACCCAGACAGTACATAACAACCAACAGGGCAAATGCGCGTTGTCAGGGGGCAATGCCAAAGTGTGAGCCTTCCGACCGGGCTACTGCTAAGCCAGCGAGTCCCTGCGGCTGCGCTTGCGGATACTAAGCGTCGTACTTTACCTGTTGCACGGCGCACCCGTCAGGTACTGCCTTGGCTGGTTGAAGGAATACACGAGAGTAATCCGTCTGCTGCATTTCTAAGCTGCACTCCTCTGCCATGTACAAAATCCAGGGCGCAGCTAGCAATACTTTCCCTCTTTGGCGATTCGCCGAGCTCCCCCGAGCGATCCCCGCGGCAAAGCCCCTCAGTCTCGAACCATGTACCTGCCGCTGCCTTTGAACATCTGACCTAGCTCCCTGTCTTGTCTATCTTAGTATCCATGCGGCCAATTGCCCTTTCTCATGTCTGCCGAGCACCTATCACAGACACTAGTAGCTTAGAAATGTAGGACTGATCGAAGTCTCTGCTTTAATCGTTATTGCGTCACCACAATGACCCCACATTTTATACAAAAAGTCCCGTCGCCCTTGCCGACCAAATACCGCATCTATAGGCAACCTTTTTGATTGACCTGCATACTACGACAGACACTTGAACTTACTCTCATAAGCTTTTCCGTTGATTACTTTCTTCATTAAGCAACCATGGCTCCCTCAACAACCAAGCAGTGGACTATACAAGGAAAGGAAGGCTTCGAATCACTCAAGTGGGATGAGAAGGCGCCAGTGCCGTCGCTGGGCGACAAGGACGTCCTCGTCAAGTGTATGTCGGCGATGCTGCTACTGCATGAGCTTTTCCCATCTGATCATCTTCAGTCCATGCCGCGTCGTTAAATTTCCGTGATCTTGCCATCCCCAAGGTACGTGTCCCGCCACACGGGTGCTCTTACCACGTGATAGCGCGATCTCGCGTCTGACAGTGTACTCCAGGGCAAGTACCCGTTTCCGGTCAAGGAGGGCGTGATCCCGGGATCAGATGGAGCTGGAGTTGTCGAGGCCGTCGGCCCCAACGTTACAAGATTCAAGGTCGGTGGTACGTACATCGTCCTATGCCCATTGCAAGCCATAGACAGACCAGCTCACTGACGTCGCTCCCAGACAAAGTCGCAACCCTCTTCAACCAAGGCCATCTCGCCGGCTCCCTCAACCCCTCTATCCTCGGAACTGGACTCGGCGGCGTCGTCGATGGCGCTCTCCGCGAGTACGGCTCCTTCGACGAGCAAGGCCTCGTGCACATACCCTCCAACCTCGACTTCGCCGAAGCCAGCACCCTTCCCTGCGCCGCCCTCACCGCCTGGAACGCCCTCTACGGCCTCAAGAAATTGGAGCCCGGCCAAACCGTCCTCACTCAAGGCACAGGCGGCGTCTCCATTTTCGCACTGCAATTCGCCAAAGCCGCTGGTGCACGCGTCATCGCGACCACCTCTTCGCCGGAGAAGGCCGAAATCCTGAAGAAGCTCGGCGCCGACCACGTCATCAACTACAAGGAGAACCCCAACTGGGGTGAGCAGGCGCAGTCGCTTTCCCCGGGTGGCCTCGGCGTCGACCACGTTGTCGAAGTCGGCGGGCCCACGACGATGAAGCAGTCCCTCGTGGCCATCAAGATCGATGGCGTGATCAGCATCATTGGGTTCATCGGCGGCTTCTCAAAGGACCAGCCCTCGTTCCTCGACTGCCTGAACAACATCTGCACTGTGCGCGGTCTGCTTGTTGGTTCCCGCCAGCAGTTTGAGGATATGAACGCGGCTATCGAGGCCAACGATATCCACCCCATTGTCGATAATAAGGTTTTCACACTGCCTGAGCTCAAGGAGGCGTATCAGTACATGTTTGACCAGAAACACTTTGGCAAGCTGGCTATCAAGATCGCCGAATAGACGGAACCACGAATCTCATGATATAGAAAGTCGTAGACATTTAATTCGCTGTCAATCAACTCAGTATTGTCGGTTGCTGTTCAACTACTCATCACCTCGACTGCATCAAGATTTCTCTCCTTCGACACAACAACCTGTGCCACACGTGCAGACGCTCAATATTGTCGCTTTCTGTTAAACGCCAGCCTGTTGCATACCACAAGTTCCCACAGCCGTGTGAGCACTTCGCCTAAATTCATGATCTATACAAAGTGTCTGGTCGTTACCAACACACTCAAAGCATAACGTACGAAGATGGTTCTGTTCAATATCATTCAGGTTCTAACAGAAAAGTACAAAAGTGATCGCTGTGCCTCCCATGGGTATCGTAGTAAGCGCCAATGCTATGCAAGTCGTAAAGGTCATCCATGGCCATATTAAGACCTAACCCGAGCTCCTTCAAAACGCCAAACCGAAAGAGACACAAAATACACATCCGGGCCATGGTGGGCTTCGTCTAGGGGGTCGTCTTGGGACCTCGGTGCCCAATTCAAGAAGCTAGAAACTTCATAACGGATGACGTGAGGCCCGAAGAACCCTATACAAAACGCCGAAATCCGGGGGAAAGAAAAAAAAAAGAGAAGACCCATCATGGGGTATATGTTGTGTTCATCCGCGCATAAGCATGGCTCGGACAGAATCCAACTCAGAGCGTCGAGAAAGATACGGAGCAGGAGAGAGTCAGTCCATCTCCGTGGTGGCAGTCTTCGCAAGGAGTGTGGCAGCCACTCGAAGACGTGCATCATCCATGCCATTGGTGACCAGAACACGGTTGTGCTCCTCGCCGCGAAGTAAGACTAAAGCGTTGAGTAACGTGAAAATACCGCAATCGCTGGCATTTGCTTGCGCTTTGCTCCTCTGGTTTGTACAAATCGACCACTCCTCCTCGACAAATTGCTTTTGGAGCACCTCTCGCACCCATTCCTTGGCAAGCTGAGTGTATTCCCTTCCAGAGCCGTGTAGAGAGTCGTAGTATTCGATCAAACGATCCTTGGGTTTGATAGCGATGAGACGCCAGTGCGAGTGGTGGCAGATAGGAATCAGGACTAGGTTGCATGCGAGGAGTTTTTCCCCAAACAAATGCATTGGCCGAGCCCATCGGGCGGTTCCCGATGGATTCCCTTTCATTGATGTGTACCATTGCGATTTGAACGCGTGGACCGGAGGGGTCGATCCACCTTTGCCCCTGACGTAAACGTAGCCTTCCTGCCTCTGTGCGTAGTTGACCAGAATCTCGAGGTACTCGTTGATAATATTATCGTTGAGCCAGCCCTTCGCGTCGCCATTGAACATGTGCGGGAGCAAGGTTCCGAAATCGTGTGAAGTAAGCGTCGTGCTCGTCAGCTTGACCAATTCGGCACCCGGAATCGCTCCAAAGTCGCGCGCGAGCTGGTCCAATTTTGCATACTCTTCCTCAATCAGTGGAGCCACCAGCGGCGGTTGGGAAATTGGCTGAGGTGACGGAGATGGTGAGGGAGTCGGCTCTTGCGGCAAATTCTCGATGAGTTCTTTAGCGAGCTGAAGAGATAACATAGAGCGCTCCAAAATGGATGCGCGATCCTCCAATGAGCCATCAACATCGTAAAGCCCCTTTGATAGCGTCGAGTCCTCATTGTGTGCCACAAAGGCTTCAAGCAGTGTGTCATCTGCCACATTTTCCAACCCTTTGAGTGTTTCGAGCTGAAGATCGACAACGCAAGGGTCATTATAGACTTGTTCGGCTTTGGGACCGTAGGTGGCCTCGATGTACTTCTTGAATGCAAGGCGGTCGCCCACATCTGGTGGGCGTGGACTGGCCTTTGGTGGAGTCTGGATGTACTCGGGTGCCTCTCGTCTGGTCCAATGGTCGCGATCGAATCTGTAAGGACTAAGCGTGTCTGATGGGACCGGTTTGGGTGATTGGGTTGGTGCTGATTCAACCGCAGGGCCTTTTGTAGTTGTACCCCAGACATTGTCTGGATAGCTGTCGCCCTCATTGATTATGGTAGTCCTCACAGTACTATTCTTCGAGGGCGCCCAAGTGGATGCGTTGAAGGACTTCCGTGTGGATTTTTTCAACAATGTTCGAGTGGATGCGTTGAAGGGCGTCCGTGTGGATGCATTGACGGGCGTCCGAGTGGGTGTATGGAAGTAATCCGCGAAGGGGTGCGCATCATCGCTGGATTCTTCGAAAGTGTCGGGCGTGTCAGAGTCTGCGGCACCTGCATCGATGATGCGCTTCTTGCGGGCGCCATCGCGGATGACCGCCTGGACTAGGATCTTTTGCGGGCGTAACAAGCAGTCCGCAAGGCGGAATGGTATGCCGAACAGGTTCTTGAGGGCGCGTGTGGGAACGAATCGCTCGATGGTAGTGTGGTAGTAGGCCGCTGCAGTTGACTGCTCCATGCTGCGCGTCGTGAGGAGCTCCTTCGGCAGGTGAGCATCTAGAGGAAAGTGAAAGAAGATGGCTGTACCTACGTTCAGCTCGTCGCGCTCCTCAGGCGCAGCGCGCTTGCACATGCTGTGCGCAGTAGAATCCCAGTGTTGCGGTAATTGCGTTGCGCGTACAAGGCGTGCGCGGGGTAAAGTGGAAAGTGTGGTGGAGAGTGAAGTTGAATGGGGATTGGGGATTGGGGAAGAAGGAGCGCGGACCGCGACCTGACATAACCGCACTGCGCGGCTAGCGCGGCAGTCCAGCCAATGAGAGACATTTGAGTGGATCCGCCTATATGCTAAGCCTAATTAATCCTGCTCGGCCACGAGAGTCTGTGCTTGAAAAGAAGTGGCAGGCAAGTGCACACGCGAACCACCCCACGCGTTCACTAATTGGGACGCTGTCCTGCATTGGCTGCCGCAGCTGCAGCTGCAGCTACAGCCTTGCGACGAAATCTGGGCGCACTGATCGCAATCGTACGCTTTGCATTGTAGTGCATTTCTACAATAGAGAGCCGAAATCAGCAATGTCTAACGATAGCAACGCTTCCTCCTTCACAATGCTAGGGGTTCGCAAAATACTTATTGGTCGGCAAAGCTCTTGTCTTTGCGGTTGGCCAAATACTGGTGATTGAAAGTCTTCTGAGTTGCTAGTTTCGTGCAGCACCGCACTTATACACAAGTGCAGCCTGACGTTCCTGCAGGCCTCACCAGTGCGTAGTTCCCACTGACCACAGCGCATGAGTCCTCATAGTGACGAAGGATAAATCCACCACGCGCGGCCTTCAAATACTCTATTGACGGGCATTTGAGGATGCATGTGATAAGCGAGTCTCTAGGTAATAGTATGATAGGATTGTTTTCTAGACTGGGTGCTTCGCATTGCAAAACATGTTTCCAGTAGCTCAAACTGAGTGCGGCGTCCATATTTCCCATCTTGTCGCGTCGAGTGTCACTGCATCAGGAGCTGAACGGGCTTGCACAGCATCATTCACAAATCATACATGTAACTACCACTTCCACCTAGCCCTGCCTGTTGAGGTTCCAGATGTTGGCCGTCTTACCCTCTTTGGTCACCTTAACCTTCCCCTTCTCCCCAACCTCGACCATGAACCGAGAAACATCTGCAATGCGGTCCACTAGCTCTCGCATGCGCTTTGTTTCTTGGAACGTCTGGCTCAGCCATTCCTTCCTTGCCACGGCAACCATGAGGTCCATCGCTTCAATCCCATGCTCCCTCTTGTAGAAGAGGAAGGCCACTTGAAGGACCGCAAGGTAGGCCAATATGATCTCAGGGATGTATATCTTGTAAATGTCCCAGATATCTGTATGCCTCGGGTCGACCGTTGGTTCTAGGACAATGGAAATAGTTGATGTAATCCCTTCGAGGACATCTGTAAGTATAGATCCACCAGCTTTGGCGGAGATGCGCAATTCCTCTCCTCTGTTGCAGAACTTGTTAGCATATTTCGAATGACGTGTACCACCTAAGTAATGCAGGACAAGAACACGTACTGGATGAATTTCTTCTCTTCGTTGCGCCATTGGCTGAAGAGCATGATGAGGCGAACGAAATGAGGAAGATGATGATCCAAAGCCACGTTTATGCTACCGTCGTTGATCTGCGTAACGAGCTTATCGGCGGCAGCTACATTGCCAGCGCCTGTTGAAATCATTAGACGACGTCCTTCAAAACGAAGTCGGCAACTTACGAAGAAACACAGCAAGCGCACGTCCAATTTGCAACGCAATTTTGTCCTCATCCTTATCCGGAAGATGGCCATACCACAGCAGACAGTCAATTACGGCTTCGTCTTGCCATCGGATGGCAGACTCAAAAACTTGGTCTTTGAGGTGTTGCCCGTTTGGCCAGGTGGACGCAGCAAGACCTTTGTGTGGCTTGTCCAAAAGGTCGTATTTCGAGATTGGTTTTGCAACCTCCTGCTTGCGTCCAACGACGAGACCAGCCTGGCTCAGAACGTGATGGAAGTTTCGGGATATTGTTGATTCGACATCAACGCCGTATCCCTTCATTAGGCCTACATAACGCTGCTGGTCACTGGGATCGGCAATCTCCGGGAGTATGCGTGCGAGAGTCATAGAGGCGCGCCATTGTTCGATATGTGAAGCATATAACGGGATGGGTGACAATCTTTGGGCAAGGCGTAGGAATTCAACATAGGCCGCGATGACGTTGCCTCTTGCGAATAATGTAGACCGCTGCTGCTTCGAGAGAGGATCACGTGGCTTGCCGAGTACAATGAAGATATGAACCAGAATCCTCAGCGCGTGGGGGTCGTGCAGGAATTGTTGGTAGTAGTCTGGAACCACCACCGAACGCTTCCCTCTACAGGTGAAGATTCCATCGGGACCAGCGTCACGAACAGCGTCCTCGGGGTAATCCGGATCGACAATGAAAGTAGGAAGCGTAGATTTGGCTTGGATGGCATCGGCAATGGCAATGCCGACATTGCTCACGAGGTCATCGAGGGTCCCATTGAGGAGCGCACTCTGTATCAGCTTGATTGGGGTCTTTGCTTCCTGTGATGTGCGGCTGTCTTGCTTTAACAACTCCATCACCTTTTGAGTGGCATTCTCCCAGTCATTATTGATGTGTTCCATGACTCCCGGAAAGTTAAGCTGTGGGTGCTTCTGTGCGCGGGGCTGATCCTTGGGCTCCGTTAAGAGGTAGTTGTCGAACCTGGATAGAAGTAGAGCATTGTAGTATGCATAAAGGTGATCGTCCCACGAGGATGAGATAGCTTGTATCCTCTGGAAGTTTCCGGAAACCATTCCATACGCTGCACCCTCGTATGGATAGATGGTGCTTTGCGCAGCAAGATAAGTGGTCCGACGAAACAGGTAGCCGAAATCAGACGGGCCCATATTTGGGGCGCCCTCAATTCGCGGCTCGCCAGAGGCCCCGATACATATTGCACGGTAGCCTTGGTTTCTTGCTTTGAACCAGTCGTTAATCTCATCCAGAGGTTCACCGCGGCGAAGCATCTCATAGCAGGCCATCCAGAGAGCATGCTCGTAGTACACGTCTGGCTTCTCCAAAGCCAGCTGCTGTCGCGTTTGAGCGTCTGGATCCAGGCGAGTGACCAGCAATTTGCGTTCGCTGCGGCTGTAAACCTCATCATTTGCCAGCGGCCCTTCAACGCCATTCTTGAGTTTGGCCTGCTTGATTGTTGCCTTTGTCTCCAGCCACCCGCTCGTCCACGTATCGATGTCTTTGCCAGACTCTTTGGCCCATTGTCCCATAATCGAATCCACGTTTCGTTCGCTGCGCTTTGCTGTTTGCTGCAGCCATTTCAAGACAGCCATTTTCTCCCTAGCCAGATCGTCGCTGATAACGAAACGCTCCCAGACTTCGTCTTTGGGGCTGCGGCATTTTGTGTCATCCAGAGCGACTAGCTTCTTCCTCTTCATCGCCTCTCGGTCGGTTCCGGGTTCCGGGTGGTAATGGTCGAAGACCACGCGAACGAGTTCCCACGTCGCAAGCTCTGCCTGCCAACCTCGTAGTTCCGATTGCGTACTCGATGATGAAATTGATGGGGAATCTCTCCTGGACTCCGTCGACTGCACGATCTGCCTGCTGCGAAGACCCTCGTTGTTGACTAGGTGGGCTATGCGGTTCTTCGTGGACTGGTCTAATCCGATTGCAGCCGAGTTTTGCTTATTCAACTCCCGTACGTTGCTCTCTGCAATATCTCTGAACTTGTTGACGACCTTGAGGGTGGCTTTATGCTTGGCCTTTTCGTTGTCGGTGCTCTGGGTGTACCAGTGGTCCAGCCGTTCGGCGAATTCCTCGACCTCTTTGCCAACTCTGTCGGCCATTGCGCGCAGCGGCTGTAGAGGGTCCTGAATAGGAAAGTCAATGGCTGCGCCAGAATGCAGGAAATGCGGTCCCGTAGCACATGCTGAAGTAGCAGAGCCGTATGCGCGTGCATCGTGAGTTCGTGGACCAGACATACCTCGTGCAGCTGCATCTGCTGAGAAGCGGGCCGGGGAGCGGCTTCCATGGTTGTAAAGACGTGAGGGTAGCAAAGTTGATTGGGAGGGCGGCGCGCGAAGCCGTCGAGGCAGAACCAGGACAAAACAATCGCGACCTGGACCTGAAGCTCTGAGGTCGGGGCCCGAGCGCGCACTAGCGCGACCGCGTATAAAAACTCGGCAGCGGCGCCGTGCTGCTTCTTCTTCCATCACAAAATGTCTATAGGTGGTCATTAGAGTCTCGGTTCAAACTGTTCGGTGTTTGAGCAGGTCCATCGCGGCCTCTTTGCGCGCTCACGACTGTCTTAGAATAACTTACCACCTGGTGACTGTCTGGACTCCCTTGCGGAGTATGAAGGCGCAGATATAGAGGGGGTATTACATCTCACATTGAAAACACTTTTACGCGTGTGCTGCTTTCGCAAGCGGTGTGCTCGTCTGCCACCGTGACGCTGACATGCGGGCTTTGTGTGTCTCGCTCCCCGTGCGGTTGAGCATGAGGAAAGAAGTCGAAATTAAGACCCGTCTCTCTACATGATACATGATGTTTGTACAAAGATTTTATACGCAATATGTGAATGCCTTACTACCGATGACTCTTCCCTGACCTGGAGGCACGCTCAAATCGTATCCTGACTCCTTTGCTTCATCTTCAGTCTAATTCCCGTAAGCCGTTAAAGTTTAACAATGCAGAATTGCAGCCAGTACTTCAAGAGTTCATATTTTGGACAGCAGACTGAGCTTGCGTCCTCGCCCTTTTCTTGGTAGAATTTATTGCAGCACTCATACAAAGCGTCGACCTGGGATACGTCAGTTGTATGCCTTTCTCCAGGGCCTTCCAAGTGTTGGCTGGAGAGGAAGCTGCTCTCTGCGCATCATGCGCAGCCGCATGACTGGCCAGAGTCAGAGCGGGCTACTGGACATGGCATACCTCCTTTCTGCATCTTTCCTCCTTGTAGTTGCTCTTTTGCAAGCAGTCTGTTCCTTGGGTGAGTGAATATTTTAATACTATGTGGAGATGCGGGATTACTCTGGATGGCACAGGCGCGAGAAATACACGGCGGGTCTGTTCGAGTATCCTCCTTCGACCCCTCGTGTACTTCGTCAGCATTGAAAATCATTAACAACCATAGTGAGCAAACACCTACCATCTTACGTCACGTGAGGAGGCGGTTCCAAGGTTTCTAGATCTGAAGATTGGAGCAGAAAGGCCTGATGAGGTACAAAGAGCGAAGTCTCTCGGACCAATGCCACACAGCTGGAGATGAGAGCGCGATTAGGGAGCGACTGGAGATTGAGCGCGGAAGTAAGATAGAATTACAAGTTTCGAATGAGAGACGAGAGCCTGCCGTGGCCCTGCGCCTCGAGGTATTGGACGAGAACCCCACTAGCCACACGCTCACCTCAACTTCGCGGCCAGCGACGCACGCTCCCACTTCTCTTACCTTCCACGATCTCGCCACACTATATAAAGGGCCACCGACGCGTTTTTGCGCAACTCTCTACCCTTCCATCGACCATCTCCGTTGTTCATCTTCCTCGCACCGGCTCGCGCCTTCCTGCGCTACCCCCGCCATAAAAAGCACGTCTGCTTCGCAAACTTGCTGCTGTACGTCCCAGTCGCCTGCCGCCGCTCTCTGCGCGTTCTGACCTCAACATAAAGCTCTCCTCCGCTACAAACCAGCTCGCCACCCGCATCTAACATGTCGGACAACGGTTCGCCGATGCAGCAGAAGCCAGAAGATGGCCAGCAGGAGCATCTGAACATCAAAGTTACCGACAACAACAACGAGGTCTTCTTCAAGATCAAGCGCACCACCCAGCTCAGCAAGCTTATGAACGCGTTCTGCGACCGCCAAGGAAAGAATATGCAGAGCGTCCGGTTTCTCTTCGACGGCCAGAGGGTGCAGCCGGGAGACAGCCCCGACACGGTATGTGCATGGCCAAGCACATTGCTACCGAGCGCTGGCTCCAATCAATGTTAGCTTCCTCGCTGACACCTCATAGCTCGACATGCAAGACGGCGACACCCTCGAAGTCCACCAGGAGCAGATCGGTGGCTGTTAGTGTTTCGGTTGGCGATGCAACGGTCTAGCGGAGTGCGGGCCAACACAGCGGCAGTGTGAGTGCATGGCGTCTCAGACGGGAGCGAGAACAATTCACGACTATGATGCATTTGGCGAAATGGCGGAGGACGATTTTCTTATACTTCTTGCACCAAGGTGATGAGGGGTCTGGGTCTGGCGTCACTGGCAGGGTGCCTTGCGAAAGCCTTCGGCCACCCGACATGTTTTTCTTTGTAGCTTTTTACACCTACCTCGGGAGTAATGAAATCGATACATCACATAAGTATGACTTCCGTGTCGGAGCCTCGTGCCCAATTATATAGATCACTGGCCACCATGCTGGCATCACACCTGGAAGGAATCGTGCACGCATCACAACGTTTCATATATATACATACAGGGTGTTAGCGTAGCTAACTACAGACGAGGTTTATTTGCAGGTCTTCAGCTGCAGCAGTGTCTCAAGCAACGCTTGCGTAAACTTCCTACAGGCCAATGTCAGAGCACAGCAACCAGTATTCAACAACTCTTAGTCTTCCCACACGGACCGCTTTCTATCCTCAGCAGCCTGTTTCTCCAGTTTTTCCCGCTCCCGCTCCGCGTCCCTTCTCTTCCTCTCTTTGTCCCTCATCGCGCGGTCATATTCCCTTTCCTCCTCGGTCCTCCTTGGCGCCCTCACGCCCAATGCTCCCGCAATCAACCGCCCGGCGACCGCAGTAGTCTTGTCTGGCCTTCTTCCCGGGCTTGCCGCACCGCTACCTCTCCTGCTCCCGTCCCTGCTGTTCACTGCTCCTCCCGCGGTATACGGCACATTGTCCGGAAAATCAAACGGCACGCCTGTCGGGCTTGCAGGGGTAGGCGGCGGTGGATGCGGCGAATCAACAGACTTGACGGTTGAGAGTGGAGAGAGCGAGTCGCGGTCCTTGGTGCGTGAGGGGCGCGTATCCAAGGGCTTTTCAGTTTCGGTGTCAGAGCCGCTTCCGGAGAACTCGTCGTCCCAGGATTCGGCGACAGGCGCGGATTTGGGTTTGTTGGCGAGCTTCTGCGGCGATTTTGAAGAGAGCTTGAGCTGGGAGAGGGTCGTTGTTACTTCTAGACACGTTGTTAGCTCGCTGAGTCAGCGTAACATGACCATCGTATGCATTACCGGCTTCAGACGGTGTTGCGTGGGACATGGCGAGAGGATTTGTGCGGTTGTGAGCTTGAGAAACGGGCTGGAGTTGGTGATATGGAGTGGTTTTGCGGGGTAAATGCACAAAAACGATTCGAGATACACGCTTTGACGAGACCGACTCGGCGAAGCGTCGAGTAATCGAATTGAGTCACTGGCCTTTCACTGTGGGCGATGTTGAATTCGGACGGTAACACCGCTGTCCTACATATTGCATGACGCGCAACAGGGTTCGGGTCTACCTCTGACAATGTGGAGTCCCGACCTAGCCGCGGCAGCTGAAGACGCTGCAAGCGCGCCCCGTCGCCGAAAACTGGGGTATGCACGCAACGTCAGGCATATTGGCGTCATCGAGCCACAAGAATCTTACAGATCGCAGCGCTCACCTTGCGAAAAGCACCCGCTATTGTGCGGCAGCCAAGCATCTAGATTGCTGAGCTGGATGCCAGCTGCAAGTTCTGCAATCGGTCCAACGTTGAATCTAGACCGTTGGCGCGAATCGGCCTGGGGAGGGCTGTACGAAAGATGGAGCAAGTTTGCGCGTCTTCCAGGGCCGGTGGATCCGCACAATAGCAGCTACGTACGTTTGACGTGGCTCAGTTCCTTTCTGCTCCAAAGACCGTTGGAGAGTTAATTTAATCACAATATTGCGCCAAAGACCGCCACAGGGACGTACAGAATCCTGCCGACGTCCCTGTAGATCCGAACATACACAGAAATGGTGCCTGTAGATCCCACATCCACCGTGGAGCCACTTGCCAAGGCTATGAGCTGTCACTTCTCACGTCCCCCACTCACACCTTTTTCCACAGCCCTTGCGGTTCTCTTGTTGCTTCCATCACATTGTGTCTGTCTCGCCATCTGCGGGCTTCTGTCCCCTTCTGTGAGCAAGAGCTAGTTACGGGTCTGCGTGTCGAGAGTGATGGCAGCACTTGCAGATCTCGTTTCCACACAAAGGTCGCATTGAAGCTTTGTAGCCGATAGAGCTCAAACAGTCAGCCCTTGACGTACACCTAGGCCAGGATGAGTCCTCCAACCCGCGACCTGATGGTCTAACGCCAACGTTCATACTGATGCGGGAGCCTGCGCCACCATTGCGTTATGCTTCCAGCATGTATTCTCTCCCTACACCCGCCAGAACTAGACGTGTACGTATGGACTGTCTCAACCATGCCTACAAAGCTGACTGCTGTTCGTGTGTCGTTCTTTCTCCGTTCACTCGCTGGCTCTTGCCATTCTTGTCCTTTATTGGCCATTGTCAAACAGGGCCACCCGTTCGTTCCCAATGCACATACATGTCTTTTAACTCCTTAAGCGTGTCATTTCTGAATCCGTCTCTGTATGCTTTCGTACGACCGTGGCTACGTGCATTAGCTGCCGCCTTCCGTTTGCTCTTCACTCGTTTGTTAGGCAACGCCCGTCACGAACCGACGCGTCGCAGCGTGCCTCATATTTATCTTGCATCACACCTAACTACTGCCGTGCTCTGTACCTACCACTGACTCATACCTCGCTTCAATACTCTGGGTTGTACCGCGCGTAATCAAGATGGGGTCTGCAGCGGTTACGAATCGCTTCGCTCTTTTTACCGATGGCGACGAAGAACGTTCACCAGTCGTGCCGTTGGCTCCCGATTCCAATACATTCGTCAACCAGGTCACTGATAATGACGCTCCGTGGGAAGAGGTAAGACGCGGCGGTCAAGCCGCAAAATCCAACCTGAAGACGCTGGTCATTCGCGACGAGAACAAAACTACTGTACGCTGCTACACTAAGACGCGCGACGTTTCGGGATCTACACAAGACAGTGACAACATGAAGCTGAGCGACCCTCACGAGCATTGGTGTGGCGTGTGCCATATCCGGTTTCCGAACAAGAACGCGCTGCTTACGCACGTCAAACTTTCACCTCAGCAGCACAAAAACTACTGCAACCTATGCAAGCGTGTATTTGTAAGTAGACCATGTTACCAAGTAGATATGTCTTCGCTGCAGAAGCAAAAGTTTCTTTCTTGCTGAGACATACTCCACGCTGACTGAACTCGTACTGACTCTGTACGCGCACCTCAGGTAGACAGGAACGGTTTGAAGAACCACGTCGACAATGCAGCCGGCCACGACGTGACCTGCAATCTCTGCTTGAGTGCCTTCAAAGACGCGTGGGGCCTGAAGAATCACTTCGAGAACAACTACTTCGTCGCCGGGCACGATTTTGTTTGCCTTACCTGTCTTCTCGGATTCCGAACTCAGAAGGAGTTGGATAAACACCTGTTCACCGGAGCGAAGCACATTTTGTGCCATACTTGTCACCGAAAGTTCCGCAACCAAGCGGAGCGAGACGAGCACTGGCGCTTGACAACCAAGCACAGGCACTGCCTCCAGCCCGGCTGTGATTTCGACGCGCCGGACGAGAAAGCCCTCGAGGCTCATCTTCATGACGACCACTTTCAGTGCGAGGGATGCAAGCGCATCTTCCCGAGTCAGACAAAGCTCAACCTCCACTGCGAGACTTGCCAGTTTGAGGTCACTTGTAACTGTGGCTTCGGATGCGCTGGACGCGCCAAACTTGAACTGCACATGGAGAATTGCTTCTACTGCTCCGAATGCCGGTATCAAACTTGCCATGAGAGCAACTACCAGATTGTAAGTACTATTATAGGCTAAGAAGGATACCGATTCCTGACATTCAACAGCACATGACCAAACACGACGCAGCTGCCATCCCTTGCTGGCACTGCTCGGTTCCCATGCGCAACTGCAGCACACTCATCAACCACCTTGAATCTGGAAGCTGCGTTAAGCTTCCAGACCCTACGCAGCTCATGCGTTGTCTCGGCACTTTCTGGTACTCTACACTCTACATGGATGTTGATATCCATGTCCAAATTCGTTCCAACCGGGTTGATATAGGAGAGACAATCAGCTGGATGAAGGAAGGTTTGCTGCAGCCATTCATCTGCCGTAGCTCAGGCTGCGGAAAGACTTTCAACAACTTCAGCTCCTTGGTGGCGCATGTGGAGAACCAGGAGTGCGAGTGGGATGTTGAGAAATTGAGGCTGGATCTTGTGCAGGCTGAGTTTCGCAGGATGTGCGCGCGAAAGGACAGTTTCAATGCAACAACATGTTGAGAGACAGAGGGAGTTGCTCAGTGGACGGTGGCGGCGCAAATAGTAGCGACCGCACTAAAGGGATATCCAACAACCGGACTTTTCATGGGGGGAGATTGCATGGTCTCACTGGATCATGAATCATGATGCAAAGGCGGTCAATCTTAGCACGGATGAAAACCTCGTATCGTACGTAGGCATCAGTAATATATCAATGATCTTCTATTGACGGCCGTGCACGAAGAATTTGCGACAACTTCCAGATACAGTGGTAGAACAGGCGATGAGGACCTCACGGAAGATATAACCACTCCAGTCTTCAAAAACAAAAAGTTTTTGTAAACTCGACTCTTTACCATTTGCAGAATTGCCACGGAGTTGGACGCATATCTGGATGCTGATCTACCTGGAAGCAGACAAACGTTAGGTGACCGTGTGTATGTGGGCTGAACATATGATTGATGATGATTCAAAGGAAAAACATAGCCCAGATCATTGACAAGACCCAGTGGCGTAGATACTGCAAACAGATTGCCTTTGGCTTGGATTCTGCTTGCCAACTATCCTGATGGCGTGCTGGACTGTCTTGCGCATGCAACAGCCACAGAGATATTATGAGTCTGCATGTCTACGAGGAGCAATGAGGAGCTATAATTACGATCAAATATGAATATCTGGACCTTTGATTGCTGTTTCGAATAATATCGCTGGCGCCCGTTCTGATCTATTACCGCCTACGATCTCGCCTATATCTGCAGCATGATTCACCACAAAGGCACGACTTATCCAGGCCTGCCCAGTAGCGGTCGCCATAGTCGACAGATATCTCGACACCCGCTTCAATTCCCTTGCTCACCAATATGACATGCTGGGTATCCAACCAAGTGAACTGTGAGAACTGGGCGTTGGCTTTGCAGCTGTGGTTGATGAAACGAGTGAAGTTGCCCTGTCTGCCTTGCCAGATCTGATAGCTGGTTGTCGCTGTCGCGCTGTCCATCACATCGACGTGACGCACGCCCTTGGTGATGAGCCCAACGAACTCTCCTATTCCCGATCCGCGCTCGAAAGGTGCGAGGGCAAGTAAGCCATTGTTCTGGCCTTTGTTGGTACGATATATTTGGACAGGCGGCGGTTTCCGTTTGACGCATCCGAACAAGTTTGGGAAGCAATAGCAGGAGTTTAAGGCCGGCTCGTCTGACTGATTCTGATCGCAGACAGCGCAGACGTAGATGCCCGGGCCGTTGGCCTGGACAACTGCGTTGGCTTGCGGGACCCAGCGGGGGTCCTCGCCTCTCCACTCGCGTTCGTCGATGACAGACTCCTCGAGCTGCTCAAATTCAAAGTAAGACTCCCTGTCGAGGTAGGTAGAACGTAAAGGTACTGGCAGAGCTCCGTCTTCTGAGACCACCCAGTCATGCGGGTGACCTGCGAACTGCAGCTTAGAAGAGTCCCCGATGATTGTTAGAAGCCCCCTCCAATGTGGATGTAAAGTGTCTGCCGCAACCTCGAATTGGGGTCGTAGATTTCGCAGGCGCTTCATTGCTTCCTTTGTAAACTCGACGCGGTACTTGCAGAAGCGGTAGATGCCCATGCCAGCGAAGATCAGGGCTACCCAGCCCGCTGCATCCTTTACCTCCTTATAGCCACGCCATATCGCCATCTTGTTCCGTAGTTCTTTCTCCGACCAGCCAAAGTCCTGGCATGCTTCGACGAAGGCTTGCTTGTGGTGTTTTGTCTTTGAGATGTGCGGCATAGTGGCGATAGACATTTGGATTTTATCTTCGAAGAGCTCGATCCATTTGGCCTGAACCACGATCTCAATGGAACGGCAGACTCGACTCGCTTGAGTAACTTTTCGGCAGAGCGTATTCATCCTGTGAAATGCATCGTTTTGTAACGCTGGCCCTGTGCTACGTATCTCAACTGCTGTATTATCATTTGGTATAGATACGTTCGAGCTGACTGGTACAGTAATCGCGTATTGTTCAGAGATGATTTGAGGATTCAAGTCGAGCGTGCCATGGAGTTGTTCCCAGATGCCTATTATGAGCTTATCGAGTGTTGAGGGTCGGAATACGAACTTGTCAGATGCTACTTTCCGACGCTTGGGAAAACTCCGCGTATCGGTGGCTATTTGTCGCTGGTGCTCAGTAACGTCCTCCTCGATCATATGCATGTTGGCAACACGAAGTCTGCCGACACCTCTGCGGTGCGGGCTCCCTGGCTCAGACTCATCGCTGCTCCTAGAAGATACTTCTTCGTCTGGCTGTTGGTCCAAGGCGCGTCGTGTTCGTCTGGCCCGAAAAATGGGGGCTAGATCAATCTTACTCTGCGAGGATTAGTATGCTCTTGAGAGGGCCCTCCTGTGAATTCTGCACCGAGGAGTGAATTACGCTTTCGTGTTTCACAACCTCTGACATATGCAGGCTCACATCGTTGTTCATTGCCGCATGCTAGTGCTAGCGGTGCATGATGAGCCAGGGTCTAGTAGTGAAGTGATGGAAAGTATGATAAAAGAAGCGATTGAAATGGTGGATGCACGCACCGAAGCGACTTGAAAAGGTCTTAAGGGGTTGTCCTCCTGGTCTTGGTCCGGGCCCTGGTCCTCCAAAAAAGCTTCTACGCGCAAGATCGGATGTTTGAATTCTTGAGGCCATCCGGTACTGTCCTTTAACTTTGAGATGTGCTCTTCGATTGTCCGCGCGATTGCTTTGGAAAGTCCTTCAAAGTGATCTGTGGAGTCCATGGTGCTGTCGATAGTGCTGCCCCCCAGTTTGTTGTTTTGGCCAAAATGCAAAATGGTCGGGCAGAAAGCACACTGCGGGTTGGCGAGACGCGCTTAGACACTTCGACCTGACTCTCCATGACGTCGCTTGGGCCACATGGGCCTAGAACTATCTTGCGCTAATACGTTTTCGGTGTGACCGCCAGGGAATGTTACACGTGATCTCATCTTGCAGCTATGTCCAGTGGAGGCGAAGTAGCCTAAGAAATAAATAAAAACGTAATCTGGAGCTCCCTTGTCGTAGTGAGATCCTCGCGATGGTTTTTGCTTCGGTACCTGCCCTTGTCGTTGTGACGCAGCTGTTAAAGTATGCAAGGCTTTGGTGTGGATCTCAGATCGGCTGCCCAGGCAGTTCGGAAAAAGCTCTCTACACACTTTTCTCCGAGACTTGGCGTACCTCAAGTTCCATCGAAGACCCAGCGAATTCACACGTTCCTACTTGTTGTCATTGGATGTGATCAGATCTCATATGCTTCAACGAGGATAGCAGCGGAGCTTCATGCTGTTTTGTTGCTGTACTGCGCAGTGGTTTGCAGTAACGTCTGTCGCAAACGTACCGATGTTGAGGATGAGAATGCCATGGGCATTGCAACCTGCTAAACCGCGTACGATAGCTTCGGCTAGCGCCCATTTGTTGATCGACCAACGCCGTTTCATGACCCTGTTGTACTTAAGCAGCGGATTGATATGCTCCTGTAGGGCAAGTTACATTGTATGGCATTAAAAGTGCTCTGGCGTTATCATCTGAGGCCAATTTTTCGTTTTCGACGCTGTCGCTCTGGACAAAGCCAAGTTACTTTGCGCCCAGGTACCATCGATTGCAAATTGCCTTTGACTTACACCGTCTCTACTCAAGTCCGTCGATCATGGACAAACCAGTGGACCTGGGTGAAGAAGGGGTCGGCCTGAAGAGAGAATCCACGTCCTCGTACACTTTTCAGAACCAAAGAGGGTGGCGCAAATGGCGCATCCTACGTCCAGGCCGCGGCATGTATTACGACATCAGAAGGCGATTACCATACTATTGGAGCGACATCACGGATGCGTGGACATATCGAACTTTTGCCAGCACTGTTCGCATGTACTTTGTTAAGTAAGCAGACCAACTCTTTCTCTGTGCATTGGCTAAACATGCCAGTTTGCTTCCTGCCATTGCTTTTACACTCGACATGTACCGGAGAACTGGCGAGTTCTTCGGCATCAATGAGGCCTTATTCTCATCAGCTCTTGCTGCAATGATCTTTAGTATCTTTGCCTGCCAGCCGTTGACCATCGTTGGCGTCACCGGACTGATTGCGCTCTTCAACTACACTATATATGACATCGTTAGTCATTACGATATCACGCTATACCCACAAGTCATGGCATGGACGGGCATCTGGGCGGCAATATTCCATTGGATCGTATCTTTTGGCAATTTCTGCGATTATATGGGTTACATAACAGACTTTTCGAGCGAATCGTTCGGCATGTATGTGGGCATTATTTACATGGGTAAGTGTGTCCAAAAGATGCAGTCCTCCGCATAAGGTACTGATATCTACTATAGTCAAGGGCGTCGAGGAGCTTGTCAACGAATTTGAAGTTGCAGGCAATGATGCCGGTTACCTCTCCTGTGTGATTGGAATCTTATACTTCGGATCAGTCTACGGGTTGGAGAAGCTGGGCGGCAGTACGCTCTGGAAACCTTGGTTTCGAGGGCTGCTTGCTGACTACGCCTACGTTTTCCCAACTCTATTCTGGGTGGGGTTCGCTCACATACCGGGTCATCTAAAAGGCACACATCAAACCTTTGTGCCTGTTTCGAAAGCTTTCCAGCCAACCCAGCCCAGAAATTGGGTCATTGACTTCTGGAACCTCGACGTCAGTTGGGTCTTCGTCTCATTGCCGTTCGGCTTTCTCACCATGCTACTCTTCTACTACGATCATGTAAGTATTCTTCCGTCAACTCGGATCGCTCAGCAACGGCAAGGCTCACACTGTGTAGAATGTCAGCAGTTTGACCGCCCAGGCTCGTCAGTTCCCGCTCAAGAAGCCAGCCGGGTTTCATTGGGACTTCTTCCTCCTCGGTTGCACCACTTTCGTCGCTGGTGTCATTGGACTACCCATGCCAAACGGACTTGTTCCTCAAGCACCTGTCCATACCGACTCGCTGACAAACTATGAGACGCGTTTGGATATCATCAAGACCAAGGACCATGATATCCCCGAAATCAGAAGACCTTTGGTGGAAGCTACGTCAGTTGTGGAACAACGCGTTTCGCACTTTCTCATGGGTCTTGCGCTCTGGGGAACGATGTCGGGCCCGTTGCTGATCGTACTACATACCATGCCAGCTGCGGTGTTCGCTGGCGTGTTCTTTGTTGTTGGTGTAAGTGCATTAATCCTGAATTGTCTCAGCCTGTCAAGGCGAAGCTAACACGAATGACAGTGGGGCTCCATCGAGTCCAACGGCATTCTCCAGAAGCTCATCTACCTGAGCTCGGAGCAGCGCTTCCTCGCCCCCGAGAACCCACTCAACGATATATCGCGCAAGAAAATCGGCCTGTACATCGCCCTACAGGTCTTCGGCGTTGCCGCTACGGTCGCAATCTCGCAGACCATAGCAGCCATCGGCTTTCCCGTCCTCATCATCGCTCTCATTCCTCTCCGCACGTTCCTGATGCCTCGCTGGTTCACCAAACACGAACTGTCCGTTCTTGATGCCCTGACCGCAAACAACAAATCCGTTTTAGCGAGTCTGGGCGGACAACCGACAAAGATGAAAGAACATGTAGACAATAGTTCTGATGGGGCGTTCGAATACGAGGAAAATGTCCTCAGGGAAGCTGAGGGTATGGAACGCACAGCGTCAGGGAATGAGAGCGATCTGCATCGCCAGCGGAGTCGCAGTGCAGTCAGGCAGCGCATGGGCAGTATCACGCGGCAAACAGCCCACAAACTTAGGTCGCATTCGGCAGAGAGGAAGAAAGAAAGGGAGCAAAGTCACACGCAGCGAGAATAGTTATGCAGTTGGCAAAAATAAAGTCTACGAGTGTTTGTACGCATTGATCGGTGTCATGATTGGGTAGTCAAGACATGCATTGAAGCAGCGAGTCGCATAGCGAGTAGATTTTACATGTAGTATATGCATTCCACAAGATCAAGGTTCATTCGTCTCCATATTGATGATTACAACATAGCATGAGCGCTCGCTAAAATATTCCGGAGCCCTCTATCTATAACATCATATCCCATTATTACGCTTTCAACCATTTGACTGCTCTGTATAGTTAGTCATGACTCCAAGCGTGACTTTGCGAGCCGTGGAAAGATTCTTCTCTTTCTTACGATCTATCTCAAATTTGACCCATGTAACTGCATGTGTAAATCTACGAATCAGTCTAAGGCTCAGAGCCTTATTTTTGATTGTATGGTTTCGACATGGACTTCCAAGCCTTACACTTTCACGACTCATCTCAATGACGGATTGAGTTTATATGCATTTTCCTACTGTTTATGATGGTGTTCAGTTGAGTATCTGGAGCAGAGTGTAGTGTTACCAACTCGTGTTCAATCTGTGACGTCGACTTCGCCAACGCAGCTCAAGTCTTTTGGGAATGAGGTCTTATGGCAGTCTTGCTAAGGCAAACTTTATGGTTCTGGCATTACTTTGCTACTGCGAAAACCTGGAAACAGCTTCTAATGTAAGTAAGGGGACACTCTCTTTGCGGGGGGCTCAAGATACGAATTTGACCATCTACGAGCTCGCAAGATGTAGCTTAGTCTGGCTTACGTCGTAGAACAGTCTTATTAAGGCATTCGAATAGTCACGTTTCGGCAACTTGATATACACGATTGAAGAGAATGTCTGAAGATCGAGTTCCATGTTGGGTTGTCAGATATGGAGCTCCACACATGTCTACCGAGCGTCGTATTCTAATACGGAATGACCGTGAGTACGGTTCAGAGAATGGAAAGCTGCTATTCAAATAGTTTCGACAGACGTGTATCTTCGACTTCGGCGACTTGAACATGTTTGATGTTGCGTGAAGACATCAAACGATGGGTGCCTAATAGAAGTTATAGTATAAAGTAGGTATTCAGGCGCACCATCAGCCTCGCAAAATACCCGCCCTTCCGTCACCGCCAATTGATGCCTTGTATACTGGGTATACGATGAATTCGGTCCCATTCATCCTGGTAATCGGACGGTGTAAGTTTCTACTGCCAGCTGAAAACTTCTGGTCGGCTTTAGGTAACCTTCGACTTTACCCAGATGCCTAAGGCAACCCGCAGTGAAGATGTCGTGTTATGAACACACAAACAAGTGGACAACTTTCCTCGATCGGCCGAACGTGTGGAAACTCCACTGTATCATCTAAAGAGTACGAGTTTTAGACACCTCGAAATCAATACAACGACACCACACATTTTCTGGCGAACAATCCTGCAAAAACGAAGCTGGTATGATCGCAACTTATGAATATATTGGGCAATGGGGGTATCCAGCGTATCGCTCCGAACGCCCGTAACTCCGATCCAAATATCATACACGTCAATTACCCCATAACGAACTCCCTTACCAGTTCCAAGTGCGGCTCGCCGCCGAGAAAACTGGCGGCTTCCAGCTCAACCGTTCCGGGTCAATCACTCTCCTTCCTTTGATCTTTTCCTTCGCCTTCTGCCTCTCTCTCGCTTCCACGACCGCATCCGTCAGCACAACCACATGCGCATTCTTGCTATACCTCAGCATGTTCAGATTCTGTAGCGTGTGCAGCACGTCGTTCGTGGTCATAGCTGTCTGCGCCCCAAGATCCTCGATATTCGCTTCCGCCCTCCCGTCCATGAGCAGGTCTACTATGATTTCTTGCCAGTAGGCACGATAACCCAGTAGCCCGAGATCAGACAAAGGCTTTTCGGGAGAGCCGAGCTTGCCTTCGCGCTTGGAGAGCAGGTAGGAGAAGTCGATGAGGAGCTTGCCGAAGCCTTTTCGTTGGTATTGTGGGAGTGTGAGGATACAGGCGACGTTGTAGCCTTCAGCGGATTCTTTTTCTTTGGAGAAATAGCCTACGAGGTGGCAGCCGTGCTCGTCCCGAGTGGCCATGCAATAGAAGAGGAAAGGGTCGACATCATAGTACAAGGTCTTGTGATCGAGGAAGAGCTTTGACAGGAGACAGAGATTACGACACCAGGTACGTTGCCTCCGACCGTCTATCTCGAAGAAGGAAACGTAGTCATCGCGGTATATCTCGTTGCCCGGTGGGTGGAGCAGTGTGCATTTTGAGCGGTGTCGCTCAAACTGCGTTACGTCGCCGTAGTAGTTTAGACAGAACTCGCAGATGTAGACCATGTCGACGTCAACGAAGTCGATTGGATACGGGGAGAAGTACCATGGCTCGATTTCGTACTTGCCCATTTGGACTTTCTCGATGTTTCGAACGCGAGCGATCTCTGTCTGGTTCTGCGTCATGGAGCCTGAGGTGCGCAATTTTTCGATCTCGTCTTCACGGGAGTAGGCCTGATCGGGCACAGCTTTGGCGGCGGCAGCCGCGTCCTGTACATCCACGAGGTCCATCTCTTCATCTTCGGGCTTGGGCGTCGTGCCATCGGTGATCTCAGTAGTGACGAGCAGCTCTTGGTTTTCCTTTCCACTTGCCTTGGTAGGTCGCTGTGCTTTTCCTGGGATATTGCTGCTAGATGACTCGGATGCGATGGATAGCTCACGGTCGAGCTTGCTCCGAGAGCGCTTGAGATTCTTCTGGTCTGCCTTTGAGGTTGTCTTCTCATTCTTGTTGGAAGAAGACTTCTTCTTGTCGGGTTTCTCAGGGGCGGGCCACTCGACCTCGCGAGCGAGGTCGATGCGATCCGCGTTCACCCATTCATCGAGACGCTTATTGAACTCTTCGTAATGGACGTAAAATTTCGGTTCTCCCCTTCTGGTCTGGATCATTAGGATTTCCGCCTTGCGCTTCTCGCCATCCTGCTGATTGTTAGATTATGAAGACTGCGCTGGTGATGCATGGTCTGAACTTTGAAAAGATCTATGGGGGCTAGACTGATCACCAGAGGGAAAGAAAGAAAGAAAGAAAGGAAGGAAGGAAGGGAGGATCAGATGTTCCCCATGTGATGATGCTGGGGAATGCATATGGTGTTCGCACCCGTAGCATCTAGGCGAGGCGGTCACGGCGCGCGTTTCCAGTTACTCACTTTTTCTACGAAAGCCTTCACGCCAACCCTGCAAACGCATCAGTATTCATCTCCCGACTACTTGCAGCCGTGCCGCACGTACCTCAGCTGCGCGAGGGTGGCATATCCCGTTTCCACCGGCACAGGCGTGCCAGAGGGCTCGTGAGAATTTTCGCGGGGCGCCATAGCTATGCGCAGCCGTGTCCTCAAGTATCGCAAATTATGGATCGCGTTGGGGGGTGTTGGCGTCGCTTTTGTCGGAGGCGTGCTGCTGTCGCGACGCGGCGGCAAAGGTTGGCGATGGCGGCGGCGGTGGCGGCAGCCTATCACATGCGGGGCGCTCGGGCCTGCGGTCTTAACTTTTTGTTGCGGAATGCGCGAGCGGGGACCATGTCCAAGGCTTCAAACGCCGCAAAGCCCAACAACGAACAGACACCCCCCGATATGCTGTGCAGGTGACACGGACATGGCGCCAATCGACCTACCCAATCTGTCCAGTAACTGGAGGGTCCTGCAGAAGAGACTGCAGGCTTCAAAAGCCGCCGAGGCCATCACCGCACAGCCTGCAGACGCAGACAAGCCGTTGTTGAAGCGCAAGCGGTCTGGCAAGACGTCCGAGGCGCGTGCGACCCAGTCTCCAAGCGGAGCAGTGAAGAAGGTCGCATACAGGCAGCGGAAACGGCAGAAAATGGAGGAACCAGCCGCCGTCGGCGCCTCGATCAAGCAGCATGAACCCAAGTCGCTGTCGCGCAGCGTGTCGATGCCCTCGCTCAAGCACTCGAGCCTCCTCGCCTCCTCCAAACGAGCAGCCGAATCCATTTCCGTACTGACTCCGTCCGCCGACTTCCCCGACATCGAGAACGAAGGCGTCGCCGAGAAGGCTTTGCCCGCAAAGTACATTGCGCTGGACTGCGAGATGGTCGGAATAGGCCCCGAGCCCAAGAAAGACTCTGCGCTGGCAAGAGTATCCGTGGTGAACTACCATGGCCACCAGATCTACGATTCGTACGTGCAGATACCGGAGAAGGTGACCGTCACCGACTACCGCACCGATGTGTCCGGCATTGAGCCCAGGCACCTTCGGAAGGATGTCGCGCGACCTTTCAAGGAAGTTCAGGCCGATCTCAAGATCCTTCTCGCAGGGCGCATTCTCGTCGGCCATGCTGTCAAGAACGATCTGGACGTACTCATCCTAAAGCACGACAAGCGCTACATACGAGACACTTCCAAGTACTCCAAGTTCCGCGAACTCGCCCAGATACCCGGTCGGACGCCCTCGCTGAAGATCCTTGCCGAGAAACTGCTGGGAGTCGAGATACAGGTGGGAGCGCACAGCTCGGTCGAGGATGCAAGGGCAACCATGGCGCTTTTCCGCCTGGAGAAGGAAGGTTTCGATCTGGAGGTGCGGGAGAGATACGGAAACATCAGCGTCGGCGCTACGGGCGTTGAGGTCGAAGTCGGAGCTGACGAGTCGAACAAGCGCAAGAACAAGCCCAAGAAGAAAAAGAAGAAGAGAAACTAGTCCTCGGATTTGTTTGAAGTATTGTGTTGTATATACTGGGGCTGGTACATACGGGTGGGCCTTTATTCCCTTGTGGGCTTTTATTCCTTGAGCAGCAAATGTTAGGTACGATAACCTGAAGTTACGATACCCTATGTAGATAGCGAGCTAAATTCTCTCGAGCCAATCCATCAAACTTGCTGAACACGGCTTTAAGGCTTGACATCGACGGATCCTCAATCTTCTTCATCCTCCAGCTTAGATTCTCTCTTCCACTTATAGGCCATGCGGCTTCACCGGCTGCGGGTGAGGGTGGTTGTCCAGCGGTCCAGCAAACTTGAGCAACCCAACGTCGCTCGGGCCCATACTGGTCTTGTACTTCGCTCCACCAAACTCAAACAAGAAGCTCATCGGGAACCCAACATCGAAGTCAATCGCCGAGTCAATATCATCAATCTCCTCCTCGCTCAACTGTAGTCCTAACGCCTCGATATTTCCCTTGAGATGGTCCACCTTCCTACCGCCCACAATCGGCACCACGTACGGCGTCTTGTGCATCACATACGCCAGCGCGACGCTCGTAATGAGCGTGTTCTTTGCCTTGGCAACCGTGGCAAGCTTCTCGGAGACGCGCTTCTGGTTTTCGGTCTGCGGGCGGAAGTTCCGGCCTTGCTCGCCAGCCTTTTCTTTGTCCTGCACCGTAAAGTTGCCGCCGCCGAGGGCGCCCCACGGGCACAGCGCCATGCCTTCTTCGCGCGCCATGGGGATGATTTCGCGCTCGAAGTCGCGTTCTGCGGCCGACCAGCGCCCCTGGTAGACGCTGAATGGTCGGAGGCCGTGGTCGCGGGCGTCTGTGGATGTCATTAGATCGATGATCCTGGTGGTATACATGGCGCATCGCGAACGGGCGTGGTAGTAGGAAAAGGAAAAACGTACATTGATTGGCCTTGCTCACAACCCAGGCCGGCGTATCGCTCACACCCAGATATAGCACCTTCCCGCGCTGTACCATGTGGTTGAGGCTCTGCATCAGCTCCTGCTGCACGTCAGATGTGCATAATGCATCCATATGAGTTGCCGCTTACCGGTATGCTAGTCGTGAAATCCCACCAATGCACATACAGCAGATCTATGTAATCAGTCTGAAGCTTCTTAAGACTCGCCTCAAGGGAGACATGGAGACTCTTTGTGCTGTTACCCGCGAAATTGATGCGCTGGCGGGGCGTCGACTTTGTGGGATCGGGGAAGGTGGTTGTGAACTTTGTGGCAAGTACAATTTCGTGGCGGACATTGCGCTCTTTCATCCATTCGCCAAGCCAGGTCTCGGATTCTTCGTTTTGATAGTTGTTTGCTCTGGATCGAAGATTAGCTGCATGCTGGCGAGGGCGTTGGGGAAGAGTTGGAGAGTGTGGGGCGTATGAAGTCACCCCACATCACGACTCCACCAGGGCATTGTACGCTATGTTGGAGGCTTCTTACGTGTCGATAAAATTCCCGCCTTGCTCGTGGAAGAAATCCAGAATCTCAAAGGTAGTCTTCTTGTCGCACTTTCCCATTCCCTGCTCCCACGCATCGCCAAAGTTCATGGCTCCGAGGCATAGCGGCGAGACGCGGACGCCGGCATTGGGGGAAAGCACGCGGTGCCAATCGAGGAGCGACTTGGCTTGAGGAGGAGCTCCGAAGAGAGACATCTGGAAATGGTAGAGTTTGTTTTGGTTGGTCTGTAGTTTGACGATGCTTCTATTGGAATTTCTTAGAGCACGTATTCGTGGTGCCCCTCAAGTATTTATACGCGCACGCATGACGATCTTTCATGCGAATTGGTCCGCTACATCATTGTGGGGTACGCTCATAGCTTTCGACTGAGTCGCGAAGCGTGCAAATCCCGAGAAAAGTCGGCAGTCAGGGAGGAGCAAACGGTAGAGGTCGGAGGGGCATACCGGGATAGGTGAGGCGTTTAGGCTTAACTCCGATGCCCCGAGTCACCTACCTTATTGCCGTGAACGCAAAGAGTACTGTGTTCGGATTTTGAGTTTCGTGTTTCCGCAGAGTAGAACTTGTCAGGAGAGATTATGAAGGTTGGTTCTGTCTATCGGACGGTCGCCCGCGCGAAGGAGTAAGCGTGATTACTTGCATTTGCACAAGGAAAGTAGCTTGTCAGAATTTATTAATGGCTGTATTAAGCTAACTACTAGCATTTACCGTTCGATCAAGAAAACCCTATTGTAACGCAGACCAGAACCATTGAAAACCCAAGAATACAGACATTTCCGAAGTACCATTTCATGGACCAGATTGCATGATCCAGAACGTGGCTGGCTCTCTCAAGATGCGCAGGAAGGAGGAATAAGTATGTAGGAACATTGAGCTGTGAGCTATCCATACTTTATCATAGAAACCCTGAGCAAGCCCCTAGGAAACGTTGTCCTAATGTGTCGGCACAGCAGCGGATGCACCGCGAGTGACTTAGAAGAGTAACCCTGGACTTGTGCGTCGATGTATATTACGCGGTGCCGAAGCTAGTGACAGGCCTTGATAGACGACGACGACGACGCAAAGAGCCCTAATTCCCAAGCTTTTAGAGCAGTGCTGTAATTAAACGAGCCGAGCCCTCCACCTGGCATGTAGGTACTAAAACGAGGCATGTTAAACAGTTGTACTGCTAAAATCAAACCAGGCAGCTTCGCTAAAAAATATAATTGTAAATTCTTAAAATTTATTGTAGCGGAGATGATAGAGATTTCAAGTCTAGTACTTCATAAACGGGTAAAAGATACTGGGATCGATTCTAGCGACCTTCCATTGGACCACCAGACTCCTTGTAACTTTCTTGCCCGGATCGATATCGCGAAGTTCTGGGAGCTCCTCATATCCATCTTTCTCGAAGCAGTCTCTTGCAATACACGTCTTGAGGTCTTCAGGATGATCAAGCCCTTCTGGGCACCTCCAAGTAGTGTCATCTGCGTCGCTAAAGGAAGTACTAAGAAATTCGATTCTGTCCTCCACTATCCTTGCTGACCAGAATACGGCCTCCCAATCACCCTGAGGCGGGTTCTTTGTCAAAGATTCGGTCCTCGGCAGCCGTTATCTCGGTGTGTATGCCTGTTTCTGATACCTTGCAGATACTCCTTGGCGATTAGCCATTTCTTTAGATATTCTAAACATCATCAGTAGTTTGTTCTTGCCAGGACCTTGTTTCATAGAACATGATCAAAACCCTTCTCGCGGTCCACAGGAAGGGGTATAAAGTTGGGCATCGTATGTACTCCAAATTGATGCGGAAAACTTTGGGATCGGCATCGATGCAGAACGAGCCATAGGACATGTACTCCATCTTATCCTTCCATATTTCTATCCGTGCGTCCACTCTCAGTTCGTCGCATTCATCCTACACATTTATCTCCGCCAGATTTCATTCCACCTACTCGTCGCCAGCTCCAGCGGGCCATCCCAGCGCCCGAATCTCGGCTGCCCCATCCCTTGCTCCGCTAGACACACCCATTCCCTGACACAGCCGGGCACTTCCTGCCGCGAATGGCTGACACACAGGAGTGCCTGATGCTCCTGTAGCCCCAGCACTACAACCTCTCCCTTTTTCCTGAGCTCGCTTTCTACCGGTTTCGGACCAGCATCGGTGTAATGCAATTTCATGCTCTGCCCATGCGACAAGAAGAGGAGGCATTTATCGCGCGCGAGATCGTCCATTCCGGAGAATGCCTCATCAAGTATGACGATGGAGGAATTGCGGATGGTAGCGCGGAGAAAGAGGGCGATTCGTTGAGCGGAGAAGGATAGCTCGCCAAAGTAGACGTCGGTCGCCCAGTCAAGATTCCCACTTGGAGTTTGACCAGCTGTGAGCTTGGGGTTGAGTTCTCCCTCGAACCAACGGAGGCATGCGTCCACGCGTTTGGAAGCGTCAGCGTCGAGCCTGGGCTTTGTAATGGGTGTGTCGCTCCAAGCGCACTCTAGTGTATGCCGCACGGAGAGTTTCTTTGGGAAGAGGGCGTGCACTTCGGGTGAGGAGTGGCCCATTTGGGATTGGATGTCGAAGATGGTGATCCCTGGAACACCGGGAGAGGGCAGCCGAGAGCGCTGGAAGAGCTTCACGGGTGCAGAGTATGTTTGAGGGTGGTCTGAAGTGACCAGACTCAACAGAGTGGTCTTCCCAGATCCGTTGGCACCAAAGATGCCCCAACGTTGGCCCCGGTGTATGTTCATCCAAAGTCCCTCTTTCCGCTCGCCGTCAACGTCTTGTTGCCAGTCGCCTAGAACGGAGTTGGGGCCGTATTTGATCCGTACACCTTCCATCTCAACGATGGGTTCTCCAATAGTAGCCGCCGACGTGTCGATTTTTTCGAACCCGTCCCGGCTCAGCACCGGTCCGCTTGAGAGGTCTCGCTCTTCCGTGGAGCTTGTTTCGAAGTCACCTTTCTCAGAAAGATGTTTCCCAACCTCCCGCAGCTCTACTAGCTTGGGGTCGAGTTCATGGCCTTTACCGCTGCGCGCAATTATAGACTTCTCGATATCTTCGTACTGCTGTTTCAGGTACTGAAAAACGTCCTCCTTCTGCCCTAGAGCTTGAACCTTTCCATCCTCACCAGCATACACGATATGCGTGATCCATTCGGGGATGACATCCTGCGGTCTCAATGAGAGTACGATTCTAGGTGCATTGGCTTCAGCCAGCCTATGCAACACTTCGGATATATGCTGCGAGACGAACGGATCGAGGCCAACTAGGATGATATCAGCATCCGAACCAGAACATTGATTTTTCCACTTACTGAAAGGTGCATCCAAGCACAGCACCTCCGGCCTCGCCAATAACGCCTTCCCGATCCTCGCTCTCCGACTCTGCCCATTGCTCAGCGTGCTCACGGGCCTATCGAAGAACCTCTCAAGCTCCAGATCTCTCACAACTTTCAACATGACTTCCTTTGCGATGGCCTTCTCTTTGATCACATCTTCGCCCGGATTCATCCCGACAATGCCGGTCAAGTACTGCGCGAGCGTGAAATCCGTCTCTTCGACGCGGCTTTCGTACCGGGCAGAAAGATACGCGCCGCCGAACGCCTGACGTTCAACGTCGAAGCCCACATACTCAATTGCGCGCTCCGGAGAGCGTAGCTTGGGCTTCTCGGCCGCGAACTCGGGGCTAAGAAGGTAGGGAAATGACCGTGCTGTAGGAGGGAAACATAGTAATTCGCCTCTTAGTATCTGTAGGAACGCGGTTCTGACGGTCGATGACGAACTCAGGATAGCCCAGTGCTGGTTCGGCGTCGCGAATGAAGGGAGTTCCACGTTCAGGTCCGGGAACAATGGTGGGTTTGGAGACGCATCGTGGCCCTCTGGCTTGGTTGCTGGATGGCGGCGATAGAACGTTCCATTGGAGATGCGGACTATGGGCTCCGTAGACAATTTTCTCCTAGAAGTGTGGAACCGCGCACATCTCGATGCTGCGAAGAAGAGCGCTGGAGTTCTTCGCATGATGCAGTTGGCATGTGCTGGCGCGGGTCACGGTGTTGATATCTCATTCAGGTGGTAGCGCAAGTGGTACGAACAGTTCGCCCTAGCGGAGAGACGCCCGGCTCCGCGACATGACGTCGGAGCTGTTGCCGAGGTACAGCAATCTTGAGACTCGATGTGCATCGCCGTGCATGCGACATGACTACTACACCATGTTGCCGTCTTTACAAAGACATAGGCCTCAGGTAGGTTCTCTGTCATGACTGTGTACTGTTCTGACCATTTTTAAGCCACCACAACAGCCAGCGCGACCATCACACGCACATCAACAGACACGCACCGCGCACGTCACCCCACCCTCGGCGCCTCCGCAATCACCGGGATACACTCCAACGACAGCGCCACAGCTGAAGCCGCGATCGCAGATAGAAGCCATGCCGCCGTTCTCTTCTAGTCCGCTCGTACCGCCACGGAACGTTTACGACAGTGCCGTACGCCACCCCGTGTTCTTCACAGAGCAACTACGAAAAGCGCCGTTCCCTATACCAACTGCTGCAACGCATGGCTGGAACCCAGTTGCGAGCGGGTACATTTTCGAACAGCGGAAGGCAGAAGCGAACGGGATACCCAAAACGAAGTTATGATGTTATGCATTCGAATGGAGCGGGTCTCATATAATCAAATTTTCCAACGGCGCAACCGGAAACCTGCTATCACTTGTATTTTTGCACGTATGGGATGTTGCACGCGTATCTGCGCGATAGTCCAGGGGGCAGCAGAGATACTACGTAAGCGGTTGGAGACTCTTCAAGCAAGGCACATCATGAGGAAATCAGGGCTACATCAACGATCGATCAAGAAATCGTGCGTCCAAAGTGTTGACTGTTGCCACCCCTTTGATTATTCACATAGATATCTCGACTGTCGAAAAAGAAGGGGATTGTATATTCCACACCCCAGAAACCACATCATCCACGGACCTCTATTCGTAACTCCGGCCGTTCACAACAACCGCTCATTAATAGCCGCACCATTTCTGCCTACTTCGAAGTGTCCAAGACGTACCGGCCCACGATCTCGCCCTTCTGCATCTTCTCGTACACACTGGGAAGCTCTGACAAGCCAACAGTCTTGAATGGCGACTTAATTAGACCTCTTGCGAAGAAATCAATAGCTTCGGCGGAATCCTTGCGGTTGCCCACGTACGATCCCTTGATGGTGATCATCTTGACAACTGACTCGAAGACGGGAGCCTTCAGATATGCACCAGCTGGCAGACCAATGCAGACGACCGTACCGCGGGGACGGACGTACTCGGCGGCTTGCTGAAACGGTTTCTCGTTCACTGCGACGAGCAGTACGGCGTGGGGGCCTAGACCATCTGGTGTTGCAGCTTGTACGTCCTTGACCACGTTGCTGGACTTTGAGAAATCGACAAAGTGCTCGGCACCCAGCTGGTTGATACACATCTCTTTCTTCTCATCACCAGTATCGATGGCAATGGCCCTGAGTCCCATAGCCTTCGCATACTGTAGGGCAAGCGAACCAAGACCTCCACCTGCACCGACGATGGCCACCCATTGACCGGGCTTAGCACCAGACTCCTTCAGGCCCTTGTAGACGGTGATACCGGCGCACAACACTGGTGCAACGGCGTCTAGTGGAAGTTCCTTAGGAATCCGAGCAACGTGTGCGGCTTTTCCAATGCAATACTCTTGGAAAGTGCCGTCGACGGTGTAACCTGACAACTGAGGTTTCGGGCACAGTGGCTCGTCACTCTGTTGGCAGAAATCGCACGCAAAGCAAGAGCCGTTTAGCCACTTGATACCAACGTGGTCGCCAATCTAGTTCGCTGTCAGCTTCTGCAAAGTCTGCGCTATCCTGGTAAAGCTGACCTGAACATCCTCTACGAGTTCACCGCGTGCAACGACGATGCCAGCACCCTCGTGACCACCGACAAGGGGCATCTTGGTAGCCTAGCGCAGAGGTTAATCGTCTTGTTAGATAGCTTCGGATCATGAACGTACCAAAGGCCAGTCGCCCTGCCATGCGTGAAGGTCGGTGTGGCAGACGCCTGAGTACTTGATGTTTACGAGGACTTCATCCGGACCGGGCTTTGCCACGGGGATCTTTTTGTACTGGAGGGGCGCGCCCGTCTTCTCAATAACCTGAGCCCATTGCTCCTCGGGAATTTGGGGAGCCATTGTGCTGGTGTGTGTTGGAATCTAAGTGTGGAGGAAGAGGCGCTGATGAGGCTGTTGATTGGAAACGTGCAATTGAAAGCTACTGAAGCTGATGTTATGTAGACAAGGAGCAGAGTGCGGGCTGTATATATACACCTGCGGTAGGCATGCTACAGTCACATCCAATGGTCGGGCCTTCCAACCGGCAAGCAGGAAGTGGAAGCCCTGCTGCGATTGGAAGCTCACATGCTGTGTCCGTGAGTCCGAGCGAGAGCTGGGCCTGCCCAAAACAGCGATTGGCTTGGCTAGAGCTCCTGTAAAGCTCTAGTGGACCTGCGGAGGGGTGTGCACGTAGCTGCGGCCGAGTGCTGAGGTATCGGATGATGTCTCGTGGCTGCAATTCCGAGCGCTTCCTACCGGATGGAGGGCTATTGTGCAGTCTGCCGCTACGCTAAGTGGGGTGATAGACTAGAATGGGCCGATTCTTTGTTGATGGCGTGTTGCGTAGGGGTTGCAGACGCGAGCTGGTCACCTGTGGTTCGCGGATGGCACAAACAGCAGGGGTACGGCGGGTAAGCGACGTCATCCCTGCAAGGCTGGCAGAGGCTACGCACATCTCACCTGATATGTGCTGAGGCTTCATGGCTTCCGTTCGGCCACGGCCGACGAAAATCACTGCAGAGCGAGTGCAGCGTGAAGAAAAAAAATACGTTCACACTGCCTCAGCAAGCTCTTCTTTTCGTGCAGTACGCCTTGGAAGCGCCTGGGGCCATCTCTAGTGTAGCTCGCTGTGGTCCAGCCTAGCAAGGACCAAGCGTATAATCCCCTGCTCACTGTGTGGTGCTATCGCAACTACAATACCGAAAAGACTCTACAACAACACGGCTGGAGACCCACCCAGTAGGAGATCAAATTGACCGATTGTCGTGGCCCACTATACAGCTCCATGACCCCGCCAACACGAGCAGCATGGACGGTTCCGAAGATGGCGAGCACTCAAGCAATACGCGTATAGGCTCGAGTACAGTAGTGTTTCTTCCTTCTTCAATTGAGCATGGCGCAAGATTAAGATCCAGATCCATGTTAGATCCCTAGAGATGGCACGAAGAATGTCCTTAAAACCGACAGCCTTCCCGTTCTCCGTGGGGATCCAGCAAGGACTAGTGCGGATCAGTGATCCGGACGCGGGGATGGCGCCGGCACCATGGGAGCTGCCTTTCACTAGTGCGACACGTTTCGCGGGGCAAGGGAGCTTCGAGAGTGTGATTAGGATGAGACCTCTAGCCTGGGCTCTGCCAGGCATCCATTTTCAATGATTTGCAAATCCATAACTGACCATACTATTGATCGCCCACGGGACGCGTTCCCACAGCAAGATCCACTTCTGATTCTAGCACCGCACGAGAACTTCCATTGTTCACCACAGGTTTATTGGCTGCAGTGTTCAGTGTGCACGATGGTTTGCTTCGTCTCCGATGCCCAATGCCAAAAACTCTACAAAGAGGACAAGCAGACAGGCATTCAACCTAGGAGCTCGTACACCGGAGCGTTGTCGACTCGATGGTTACGGACATGGTCCTTGCCAGAGTCTGTGGAGAGAAGAGGCGACGCCATTGGCATTTTGTGAGGTCCAACACTGAACCCCTCTATCTCCGGAATCTGAGCTGGTTTTTCGTCTGCAGGTAGCTCTGCCTTGGTCGGATAATCGTATGTCTCACTGGTAGAGCCTTTGATCTTTTCATTCTCTCCTGCCCCGTCGCCCGAATTTTTGCCCGGCCATGGCTGGTCTCCATCACCTCTATTACGACGTTTTCGTATGCAGTATATGAGGAATCCGAGAATGGCCAAGAGCAGAGGAAACCGCAGTCCTAACCCGACAGCCATGCCTATCTTGTTTCGACTTGACGATCATGTTTCTTCATGCAAGACTGCCGTGGAATTGCTGGACGAGGTCGGGTCACCGGATCCAGATACGGATGTAGTCGTATTCAACGGGGAGTCTGTTGGCTTGGTCGATATGTACGGAACCGTCTGCGAACGAGACAACTCGCTGTGCCAACGAGTCGAATAATTGGAATGAGCATCCCACCACGCCGATACATATGAGGGCTGGGGCAGGCTCGCTGTAGACTCTATTGCCATTTTGTCCTCGAAAGCCACCCACTTCTGGTCGTGTTTGATGTTCTAGCAGTACGTTGTACGCGTGATCTCGAGTCTTGGGTCCCACTTTGCGAATCCAGAGAGGGGACAATTTGAAGCTGGCGTGAAACAGTTATCCGGGTGTTGGCAGACATTTCCACGTCAGATGCACCTCCCACAAACCAGTCATGCCGTCTTACCCAAGTGTCTTTCGGCGTCCCGTTCGTGCCATTGCAATAAACCAAACCCACAGAGTCCGCCTTACTTTGCTCTGTATCACACTTGCGCGGAAATTTGGCGCCACCATACTCGCTGGATGTACAGCCCTTCTGGTAGGTTATCGCTCTGTACTTGTTGTAGCAGGCCTGGTTCTCCAAACAGTAGTCTCCAGCCAAACAGCAGCCATACACGTCCCCCATCGTCTATGAACCCTTTGAAGCACGGAAGAAGAGAGCTCGACGGGAGCTCATTTTTGCCAGTATAATAAAGTCGCGGCAGATCGGTGGGGACATCAGCGAGTGATATGCGGGTCAGAGAGACGAGGGCGAGCAGAAGCCATCCGAGCTGTATGACCGCCATACTGCCCGTTAAATATTGGAAACGACCCGCAGTTATGAAGGGACTCAAGTAGGGACGATGATTTCCGGGGAAAGCACTCAATCGTGCTCGAGGTGGCGCAACTGTCGGGGAAGCGGCGCTAGCAAGAGCAGAGACCACGCAGAGCGAAACCATTAAACTCGCGGTAAGTGCGACGCTGGAAACCACTCGGGCCGTCGCCGTACTGCCCGTCAGCGCGTCTGCCGTTTGTCAAAACGCTCCTGCCTGTGCTTGCGAGAGAGCCCACGTCAGGAATTGACTTTTGTGGGGCCCATGCAAGTGGTCGTACATTTGAACAGGCTCTTTCCGCGGGCTATATATCTATGTCTATGCAATGTCTTCATGATCACTGAAAGTCTCCTTCACGGTGTCTATAAGCACTCTATGCAATCTCATCAGTCATACCAGCGAGCACACCGGCTCCTATAATGCCTCCATCAAGTGCCTCCCGCAAGATGACCCGCTTCGACGCGTTTGCAGCCGACCCTTTCGCCACCAGAATGTCAATCCAGCGTTGACACGTCTCGAGCCACTCCGGGTACTGTGATATGGTTGAGCCTGCGTATGCAATCACAATCTCTTCGGGCTTGCTGTCCTCGGTAGTAGCGTGACCATTTCGCGCAGGTGGGTCAATGCGGATGTCGTGCACGCAATCCAGCAGACCAACGCAGGCTGCGGCGATCAGTGCACTCGAGCGCTGTTGCACGGCGTATGCAATGTCTCGTAGCAGTTTGACGCGAACAGGGGCCCAGAAGGCTTCCGTTGTTGACGGGAACAACTTCTCAAGCTCAATTGTCACCGTCTTTTCCTCCGCTCTTGCTACGACCTCCGAAAGGAACCTCGTCTGCAAGGCGTTCTTGGTCTCTAGCGAAGCAGGCACATTTGCACCCGAATCCCTCGCTATCAAGTCTACGAAGACAAGCCGTACTATTTCACCAAGGTATCTCCCTGCGGTCATATATTCGAACGGTTGAAATCCTGGAGCTTCCGAATTGGCATCTAGAGTCTTGTCCCATATGGTCTTGATGCCAAGTTCTACCAACGGCTTGTCAGTGCCTCGTATGGTCCATTCAGTGTTGATGACCACCGTCTCCACTGACTCTCCATTGGCAAGGTCATGTCTTTTGGTTGGATGTAGATTGGTGAGTGACATCGGGACGGTAGCATTTGTTCCAGTTCCCACAATAAGCCCCATCGCAACTCGACTGTTGGGCGCCGCTTTGACGGCGTACGCCAGTGAAGCAAAGGTGGCCACAGTGTCGTTCGTAATTGCAGCTATTCGTATTCTCGGAAGTCGGGATGATCCGGTTGTCTTGCTCGATGAAAGGTATTCGGCATGGCTCCTGTTACTGTTTCGGTGAGGCTGAGAGATATGTCGAGAATATCCAGCACTCAGCATCTTGCCTAGATTTAGATCCGATGTGATTGCGAAACCTTTACCCATGGGTAACAAAGTAGCCTCTGACAAGGATTGTTGTCTAGTTCAGTGAGTGATATTACAAGATGGGGTTTATTGGGAGGACTCACGCCATAGGAAAGCTAAAGGTAATTCCGAGGAGAAGCTCGTCGCCAAACGGAGCCTCGACAGACGCAGGTATATCTTCAAGCGCATCCGTGATGACCTCAGCAATGCAATCCCCTATCCACGCGAAGAGGTCTTCCGCCTGGTCCATCTTTAAATGCTCTCCAATCGGCCATGATTTGTCGTACGACCTCTTGATCTTCTCGTTTGGTTCTATTGAGCGATGTACACCGTGTTCAGTTTCGCCCGTCAGCTCCACGAACCCTGCTCTGAGGTTGCTCCCACCAACATCGATACTGATGAACTTGCCCTTCTCTTTGCCTGTCGGAAGAGCAGTCACAGGCGTGACTAAGAAGTGTTCCAATGACGTCTTTGCCAAATGTGTATAGACCTCCGAAAACCGGGCGGCTAGGTCGAGTAACGTTTCTTCGTTGATGAAGTGCGTGAAAGCTGCAATGGCCTGAGAAGCTTCTCCTGCAAAGTCTTTCGCCATGTTTGGTTTATCTGAAGTAAAGCTTCAATCGCAATGGCAAGGAAAACCAAGAACAACAAGAAAGAGAGGCAAGCGTGCAGCGCCACACCATGCAAAGCTGTCTGAGTCAGGCTAAGGGGGTATCACAGCTACAGCAGACTCAGCCGCGCGTCTTTATTTGAGACAGATTTCTGATGGAATAGGAAGGCGCGCGACTATGAGAACAAGATGTAAATGGCGAGCTTTGAGAGGGCAAATTTCTCCATCGGTTGCGTAGCTGCGCCGTGATCGGCTCTCCGGCTCCTTGCATTTGGGGTCTGTATGTTGCGCTCGTGCTGCCACGCTTCTGCCGCGGGACTGTGCCTGGTAGCACCGCGCCTTGCTGGTTTGAGCCGCTAGCGCGGGATGGTCCGGTATCTGCAGGCATGGCATCATCAGGCCAACTGCGACAACAGCGAGCGATCCTCACAAACCCCCGCACGGAACCTGGACGCGAAACACCAGAAGCCGGATATGCCGCCCATACCAAAGTCCTCGTCTCTCGTGATGGAGAAAGAATCGCTCCTACCGCAGACGGAAGAGCCCATACCTCGCCAGGTGCCAGCCAAACGCTTCAGTCGCTACCATGGTTTTGCTTTCGCGCTCGTCTTGGGGTTGTTCTGGCTATCAGGCACATGGAAATGCGGGCATCGCCACACACACAAGCACGCGCACGAGGACACAGCATCAATGGTACCACTAGAAATACACATCATGTCAAAATGCCCGGACGCACGCGACTGCATAGAGAAGCTGGTCGTGCCTGCGATGTCAAACGTGTCAGACAAGGTCGACTTCAAGCTGTCTTACATTGGGAAGCAAGTACTTCGCAACCGAACAGCGCGCTCGTTCCTCGGATGCTAACCTTTTGTCCGTAGAACCACCGAGGACGACGGCGTCCTATGCATGCACGGCCAGACTGAATGCCTCGGAAATATCCTCGAGCTATGCGCCGCTGCAGAATATCCAGACCCCAAGATCTACCTAGGTTTCACAAGGTGCCTGTCGCTTCGATACCAGGAGATACCCGACACAAGCTTGATCAAGGACTGTGCGCTGGAGTATGGCATAGAGTTTGAGAAGCTCAATGATTGCGCCAGCCGAGATGATGGGGCATACGGGATGGGTCTACTCCGAGACAGCGTGACGCGGAGCGCAGAACTAGGCGTGAAGACTAGCTGCACAGTTAGACTGAACGACAAGACACGGTGCGTGCGAGATGGAGGCAAATGGAAGGATTGCGACGATGGCAGCGACCCGGAGGATCTGGTCAAAGACATCAACAAGCTGTACGCTAAAGCACAAGGATGGATATATGTTTAAAGACACCCGGTGCACACTCGATGATACCCAGCATTCGGGCCTTATTTCACGATTCTGAATAGCTTATTACACCTCCAAGTCAAATACAGTTCCAGCCCATAGATGACCTCCATAACGCCAATAATGCAAGCCTATGCTCCATGCAGCATGTAGGAACCGGCATCTACAAGTCCAGCGGCCTCACTGGAACTCGCCAAACTCCCCATCATCGAATCCTAGATCTTCCGGCTTTGGCTCGAAGCTTTGTCTACTCCTTCTCCGCTCCTCCTTCACGCTCTTTGCGCTTGGCGGCGGAGGCAGGAAGCCGCCTCCGCTCCCAGGAGGTGGCTTGATGCTGAATAAGGCGTCTTGCTCGCTCTTCGGCTGCTCGGGGCTCTTGCTATCGCCTTCCCGTCGTTCCCGTCTGCCCTTGAGCCCACCCAAATTTATGCTAATCGTTTGCCCTTCTTTGAGGCTGAAGTCGCGCTTCGGTTCCTCCGCTGCCTTGGAGGCTGCTTTCCTCCCCGGCGCCGCAGCGTTGGGATTCGCTTCGAACCCAAGCGCGCGCCGCGCGTCCTGCAGTGCGATGTTGAAGTCGAAGGCCTCGGTGCGCTCTTCGAAGCCCATGCCCAGTACCGCCTTTCGTCCCTCGCCTACTACTGTTATCGCGAAGAAGCGGCTGCTGTCTAGAGCTTGCTCGACTACGTTTGGTGCTGTGTAAGGCGCGGCTGCGAAGAGCTGGCCCGAGGAAGGGTCCTCGAGCAGCAGCGTTGTGGAGACCTTCTCGGCGGTGTCATCGGTCGCGGTGGGTGAGGGGATGGAGGTTTCGAGGATGCGGAGACGCGCGGTGAAGATCTGGCGCTTGGGGTCGGCTGTCCAGGATGATGCTTGGTAGCCTTTTGTGGAGGTGAGGGGTGGGATCTGGTAGACATGGACTTTTGGCGCAAGGTACAGGATGCGCTGGATGGCGGTTGGGGGCAAGGGCTCGCCTGTGAGGGGATCGGTATTCATGCTTGCGGTCGGTCAATCGCGTATCGACAGGAACTGGGGGTGAAGATGGATGCAGATGATATGCAATCAGTGCGAAAGGGAACGCGTCGATGTATTTGAACCGCAGTCGGTGGAAAATAAGTTCGCGGGCGCCTTCAGGAGGTTTGGCGGGGTAGCAAGACTGGCCGTGGCCGTGCTGCGGAGAAGTCAGGACCAATGTTCGAAGCAGCGCTTCGTCGGGTCAGCACAGAGAAATTGTCAAATGGGCGTGTCCAGTGGATTATTGGAGCAGATGTTCCTGCTTGCAGATCCAAATCTGGAACGAGTCGGTATGTGCTGGCAATGCAATGCTTGATGCAGGGAATCCTTGTAGAACCTCTCCACATGCAGCGCCCAGATACCCCGCCATCACGTGGCCTCCTTGGGAGGCGCTTCTAGAAGTGGACGCTGAAACAGAAGAAAGTTCTGGCTGCGTGAGAATGGACATTATGCTGCTTGCGGTCTATGAAATCTTGCCAATCGTGTCTATCATCTATGTGTTCTGAACAATGGCTCCTGGAACGGATCTAATCGGAATGCAAATGCTCGCTCTCAGTGCATCAGACAACACTATCATGCGATCGTAGGCTAGATGCCAGCGGCGCCAGCTTTGTATGCTTCGAAGCCTTGTTGAGCGGCTTCCTTCACGCTAGTCTTGCCTTCCACAATATCCTTGCATTTGGCCAAGATGTTGGTCCAGTCTGCAAAAACTGTGAACGGGACGTTCTCCCGAGCGCAGTAGGTGATGAGATCATGTCCCTTCTTCGCAAACAACAGATCGGTTTCGCGAGCTGCAGACAGGTCTGAGACGCCATCTCCAGCGTAGAACATGGTTGGGCGTACGTCATCCGGGAGCGATGAGTATTGGCGCAGGCAGATGGACTTGTCGTGTCCGAAACCACTCTCCGGGTGCCTGAAAACGATTTCCCATCCACCTTCTTCATCCATTGACTTCCCTTCCCTGGGTGCTGCGTTGTTTGCCAGAACCTGCATCTTCTCTGATTCGGGCCCGACTAGCTTCTTCAGCAGTGCCTTGATAATGGGTTCCATGCCAGATGAAAGAACAACAACAGGTATGTTGTTTTCGAGCGACCACTGGTAGAACTCGGCAAATCCAGGGTCCAGCTTGATATTGTCGACCAGGTACTGGATGCACTCGCTGTACGGCTTGGTCACACTGTCCATCATGTCGCGGAAAGAGTCCCGGAAGGAGATCCTGTCTTCCAGACATTCCACGTTCATCTTACGGCGCCTCTCCTTGCCATATCCGATTGTGTCAGTCAAGAAGTCATTGCTGTCCTGTAGCGTAATGGTGCCATCAAAGTCGGTGAAGAAGATGAACTTTGTATCGATTAGCATTCCGAGTGTCGGAACGGCCAGATGACACGAACTTTGGGGTTGGACTTCATGGCGGGCAATTCCGCTGCGGCATTTTGGATTCCCATCTTTGGCAAATATGGACTGTGAGGTTTACAAGTGACCGGAAGATATGGCTAGAATACGTGATGATGTAGGTGTTGAGAAAAAGTCGGCGGCGTAGCCTGAATCGGAATCCCGCGCGTCGGAAGAAGGGCCCAGCGTAAGATCGACAATGTGGCTTGGCGGCGCGTCAAAGCTCAGAGGAGCTTCGTCTTTTCCGCCGCGGGCGGCTATGCAACGCGTCCGATGTGAGTGAGCCTGAGTCTGAAGAATGAGGCCGCTGCTTCAGCGAGCGCAGCGCTCCTTAATCGCCAATGCCGGTCCTGGAGCGTCCAAATGTCCAACACGATCGTTTTCGCATGCAGTCAAGTCCGTCTCTCGAGCGTCTTCGGTGTGTCTACAATGCCAGTGCCGAACTTCCGTAGCTTTTCGATCGAGTGGCCACCCCCAATGGCCATCCTTTGCGTCGAATCGCCGTAGCCTGCACCAACCTTCGGACGATGGAAAGTCGAGACCAGACAACGAATCTCCAGAGGAGAGACTCGCCAGAGTACGGGCAGACATAGCCTTAAGGGAAAAGCAAGAGAAGGCGCGACTGGAGAATGAAAGGCTAGAAAACGAAAGGAAAGAGAGGGAGAGGCTAGAGAAGGAAAGACAAGAATTTGAACGACAGGAAAAGGAGCGCCACGAGAGAGAACGGCTGGAAAATGAAAGACAGGATAAGGAACGGCAGGCCCGACCTCAGAAGAAGTCGCTGCCGGATGTGATTGAGCTTGCATCTTCAACCACACCTGCTGCGCCGAGAACACCAAGCAGTCCTTCGCCACATGTCGCCGAAGCCTCGTTGAAATTCGCGCCTCCATCGATGAACGGAAGGACCAGCAGTGCTGATAACTACGGTAACGGGCCTACCAGAGACGCAATGAAAGATAACATTGAGCGCGTAGCAGCGGATCAGTTGCCGTCGCATCACCAAGCTCAACGGTGGGATCTGTCAAAGCGGTTCCAGGATTTAATGGACGATATCCTACCCAAACTCGCGGTGGTTACGCACAAGGTCAATACATACACAGGGACAGACTATTCTGGCATTGAAGCTCTGAAGCGGGAGATCAAGGACCAAGGTAGGACAACAGCTATAAAAGGCTCAGATTACGGCTAACGAAGATGTAGAGAAACTCGTGAAAACCCGCCGCGCCGCGATCGAAGAAGCCAAGCAAGCCCTCGATGTCGCTCTTTCTAAGCAGACATCAGCGCAGAAAGAAGTCGTCGCACTGCTAGAACGCAAACACTCCTGGTCGGATTCTGATCTCGAGCGATATATGTCACTGATCAGATCCGAACACATCAACGATCAGGCCGTACGAGAAGCCAAAGATTCCATTGCACAAGCCGAAAATGCACTAGAAGAGGCGCGATCCCGGCTGGAAAAGCGTGAACGTGCACAATACCACGAGGAGCAGATCTGGAGTGACACCATCAGACGCAACAGTACATGGGTGACCTTCGGCCTGATGGGCCTCAACATCTTCCTCTTGTTGGCGACAATGATAGTGATTGAGCCTTGGAGGCGGCGTAGGATGGTGCGCGAGATCAGAGCCGCTTTGGAGGCCCAAAAGCCTGCTGTTGTGGAACCTTTGACAGCTGCAGCCACACCGATCGTCGCGCAAGGGGCCGAGGAGGTGGTCGAGAAATTGAGCGAATCCGTCATCAAGAGCCCAGCTTCCGTGGACACTAATGACACCGCATCTCCGGTCCAACAAGACCTAAATGCCTCTTCCGAACAGCCAGCCAAGATGACTGAAGCACCACCTGTGTTCACAACGCCTTCGCCTGAACCAGCCGAAGTTCCGGGCGTTCAGTCAACAACGCCCTTAATCACAGATGAAAATAAAATTCTGCTGGAGTCCATTAGAATCGAGAACGAGGTTCGAAGTAGGCCCGCATCTACGCCGGAGTCATGGCAAGACAAGATCACATACATCGCCACAGATATTATTAGCGAACGTACGATCTCTATGCGGAGGATAGACTACACTGTCGCCATCCTTCAGGGGGCTGCCGCTGGTGCCGTCATAACTGCTGCCGTTGTTGCGATGGTACTTAACAAGTAGCCAGCAGCCCCACTACTCTTTGTACAATTTCCGGGAACTCTACCGGCAAACCTGGCCAATGAGAACAGCCCGCTGTATAAATAATCCTCGTAAATGTATATACCTACAGCCATCTGAAACTGTCCAGTCGGCAGGCATGGCCGTTATTGCTTCAACCCAACTCTAGTGTTCCACATCAAGCCGCGTGTAATCTTCCAGTTACGCGGACATTCCCCATGGGCTTATACTAGTAACCTCGGAAGTATACAACCGTGGTGAGAGCGGCGATCCTATGGTCTCAGCCTTATAGCTCCATGTGCTTGCACCAAGCGCTCACTGATTGATAGAATGCATTTTTGTTTTATGGTCGGTCTTGCAGGTCGCTCGCAGTTTCTACACTAGCGGTAGCCAACGCACGGCTGGGGCGAACGCTGTGGGGTCCAGCTCCGATTGAACCCTTCATCAATGAAATTACACTGGGCCTGTCTAGAACCTTCGATCATTACTGTTTCCGGCGAGATTAGTAGCCCATCCAAAGGTTATAGGCAAGATTCGCAAAGTGGTATCAGCAAACAGGCCGCAATTATCCGTCAACCAATGCCAATATTCACCAAGCACACAGTGGCCCATCATTGATGACGTTCCGGCGCAGTCCTCCTCTAGGGTTTGATGTCAACATCTTTCGATGGCCTCTCACCGTTCTCCAATTTAGCATCATGACTAGTACAACGCCAGCCCAGGTCGTATGGAACGGACATTCATACGAACGCGGAGCTTGCCGTGCAATGACAGCTATTTCTGTGCTGACTTTCAAGACTGCGGCTTACTTAACGGGGCTGAGGATTGTTGGCGCACGGGAGCTAGGGTAGGCGATCCTGTACGTACACCCCACGAATCAGATTTAGCACTGCGCTTATACACAACGGGGATGGTAAAAAGCTTGATTGCTTACGTGCAGCATGAAAAGAAAAGAGCTGGGACAGTATTGGTCGATAAACGAAGTGGAGGTGAAGCGGTCACTGACGCTTTGGGAACCTTACTGCGAAGGGTGTTCAGTCTCGTAGACACTAGTCGACCGGAGCTTTGAAACCGGAGCTGGCGAGAAAAGATGAACGTGGCTGCCGACGATTACACCATGGTGGTGGGCTGAATATATATCTTAGCGTCTTGGGTCGCCTTTCGTAAGTGCAAGAGAAGGATAGTCATCCGACATTGATAACCTCTCAGCCTAGTGCCGGTGTTCTTATACACGCAAAGCAGATCCTTGCCCTTCTCATACTACGCAACAAGATCAGCACAGGACGACTTTGTCATCGATTTAGTGTCATTAACTCAAGGTTGTCCCCAGAAACCGCACTAGTCGGCCTTCCTAATCATACAAGATGGTTTACACGGATATTGACATGCCTTTGAGTAAGCTATCCGCTCTCCGAACGGCCAGTTATACCAGCTAATACCTTCCGAAGGAGGCTTCATCGCCCTTGATTGGACTCTGATGACAGTGGCACTTGTCCCAATTCTGATCCGCATCTCGATGCGGACACGAAATCGCGGCCTCAGCACGATCGCATCCAACATCGCCGACAGCTTCCTTGTCCTCGCCTGGCTCTCGGGCTGCGTGCTCATTTCCATAAACACATGGAAGAACAATCTTCGCATGCGATACCTGCACGCTCCACCAGAAACACTATACTATGGCGTTCCGGAACCACTGTCAGGCCACCTCCTCTACGTCTCCTGGATCAGCCTCTTTTTCATCTACATCAGCCTCTGGAGCGCGAAAGCTTGTTTACTAGCTTTCTATTACAGTATCTTTTCTCTACAGGGTAGAAGAGCCCGAGTTGGGCTTGCAACAGCTTGTGTTTTCACCGCGGCAACTTTCCTGCTGCACATGTTCCTCATAGCATTCTGGTGCACGCCAATATCTTCAAACTGGTCTCCGCCTCCAGGCGAGCACTTATGCTCTGCTGTGCACAGCATGTCGAGCGTCACCATATCCACGTTCACTAATATTGCCACCGACATCGTCATCCTTAGCATTCCCATCAGCACGCTCCTCGCAACCAAGCTCAACCGCACACAGCGCGCCGGCCTCGCCTTTATATTCCTCATGGGAAGCATTTCCATCCTCGCGGCGCTCGTGCGCTTCATCTGCCTGAAGTTGGTGCAGTCTGTCCCACGGGCTAGCATCACGCATACCATCGATGTGTGGGCGCTGGTCGAGATTGTCTCGTCGATCCTGGCGGTGTGCTTGCCTTCACTAAGGACATTCGTGAGGAAGCACGGATTCAGCAGGCCGGATGGGGCAATTAGGCTAGTTAGCAATTCGTCGTCGAGACAGGAGCACTCAATGAACAAGAGTCTCACGAGGGTTGATAGTGCGAAGAGTGTGCCTATGCCAGTTGTGGAGGCCTGGTATGACAGAAACGAAGAAAGGTACTTTGTGATACGACCGGAGCAAGCGAAGATTGAGTCACAGGTCTGAGTGGGATCAAATTGTCGCTCTCTAGTCGTTGCCGTCTCACAGTGCTTCCTTTCCACGGTGTTCATTTGAGGTGGTCTCGGCCTTTTGTTGCGTTTGAGCGTGGAGTTTAGGTTGTCAGGGGTATGTTACGGCAAGGAGCTCTGGATTACTGTCATTTGAGAGATACCATTTCCTTTCTCTGTCATCTTATTGTTCAGTAGAATCTCTTCTCGAGGAATTTGGAGTACTATCGTTTACGAGACACCATTGTCTTCCTTCCTTATACGTTTGTTGCTTGAATTACTCCTCTTGTCTTGATGTACAATCCACTCGGTTTGCGACAAATGTATTGGCTCCGTGCGTTGAACAACGCTCAAACCATCAGATCGAGCATCCAGCTCAGCAAACAGTATTTCTACATCGTCTGGATCTTACTCTCCCCCATCAACACGACATCTTCACAGGACATTCAATCACGCAGTATGGATAATCCATCGCACACCGGTCGTATCAGCGACGACGAGGGAAAGGGCGAGTCATTCCTGACACTTCTGCCAGAATTGCGAAACGATATTTACGGAATGACGCTAGTCCGAGAGGCGCCCATCCAGATTACCTATCGCAGTACGAAAGGTCGCTCCAGCCCGCGCGCCGACCTTGATGAGATCTTCCGCTTCCACTCCTCTGGCTCCAAACGAACCGGTACAGTTTTGACATGGCTTCGTTGACTATGCGGTTAATGTGATGTCTCAAAATTTCGTTTCCTTGCACTAATTTGGCGTCTCGACTCGGAGGACGACAACGTACACATGGCATCGAAAGAGGTAGTACTGTACTCCATTCGGACTCAGTCTACATCTGTCAGTTAGCTCGACAGGGCGACTACAGCATTTGATCGTCTCCAAAGTTTTTCATTCCTCCCGGTTGAACTAGCATATGTTCCTTTGCACTCCACGTTCAGTGAATCACTCAGGCTAGCAATCCAAGGATGAGAGTTCTCCAGAGCGTTCCCGATACCGCAAAAGCTCCAACAATCACATGAACCACAGTACAACCAAACATTGTGTCAACGTTATTTGATTCCTTCATTCCACTATCCATGTATCTTTCTCATCAACTCCTTCCCACTTTATGATTACGTCCAACACAACAGCCAGTGTGCAAACCACGTGATACAATAGCACTCACACAACCGCCCAAGCTTCAGCAAAGGTATCGCCCTAAACAGTACAACGCGACCGACATGTCGCCAGAAAAAGTCAAAACAAACCAAGGACGCTGAAGTGTGCTTTTCCAAACGCCAGTGCAAAAGGCCGAGGCCATCGTGGTATCCCATTTCTTCTTCCCAAGAGACAGGTAAATTGCGTGTGGTGAGAAAGTGAAAGGTACCTATTGTACAATAGTGTGCGGTAAAAAAACAGAAGTCATTGGAAGGGAGGTGCGATGCGGGTTTGTTTGCTGCGTTCACCTCAAGAAACACGACTGTAAAGATAAAGAAGGTCGTTCCGTAGCCGGCCTGTTGCCAACGATTAGACTAGCACGATCTGGTATCGTCCCCAAGAATTTTGGAGGCTGTATCGTGATCCAGTTCCCAGGTGAAGAGCTGCGCTTGTGAGCTCAGCGAACAAGGTGGTGGAGACTGAAGTCGTGCTGGATAGCGCGCACCGTGAAGCTGGTGGAACAGATCCGGATTTGAGAAGTGCATGTTGACTAGCAACGGTCACCCGTTCTCAAAGTACGGAAACGCCCGCAGATCAACTCTCCGCCATGTCGTGAGTCCCTTCAAGTACCAATTCGGAGGCGCTGAGCGCGCCTCAATGGTACTTGCCGAAGAGCCAGAGTCTGTGCGGTGCGTGGACGACCTGTTGCCGGACGGATACGAAGAGCCCGGATCGGAATCTCAAGATTGCAATTCTGAAAATGACGATGGATCCAAGTGTGAACCAACGTCTTTCATTTCAAAAGCCTTATCTTCCTAGTAGTAAGGATAGGTGTTGTTCGAAGCTTGTTGGTGCTGTTGTGCTGCCCCGTGTTGTTGCAACAAATCCTGCTGCTGCATGATATTAATGTTCGGCGGTATGTAGTGTTCCTGATACGGGTGCTGAGCGTTGTTAAAATCAACGCCAGCCAAGGGATTCATCATGGGATACATGCGTGGCTGAGATTGCATTTGCGGTGGGGGTGCCTGCTGTTGTTGTGGCGCCTGTACCGGCTGATGCTCCTGATTGTTCCATCCCCACTTCTCTTTGAGCTCATCGTTGATGAAGCCTACACGCCAACCAGTCTCTGTGCGGATCTTGTCGACTATGGTGAGGACTTCTTCTTGAGCATCTCGGCGGGTGAGACACTCGGCTGCGATATGGAGGGAGCGGAGGGCTACGGAAGCAACACCACGGTCTTTGACGTGGGCGCTAATACCGCAGATGAGTTGCGAGTGCTCGGTAAGCATTTGATGCATCTCCGGAGAATGCGAATTTTGGAGAGGGTTGATTTGCGCTAGCAAGCACATACAGGTGTGATAGAACAGGCGTGCCACTATACTAGCTCGCTTTATCAGCCAAACCTCGGGGAAGCATGAGCCGGAGAGCGTCTGCCCAGGATACAGATATGCCATGGGGTGCATCGTCCGAGGAATGCACGTGTTCCACCTGTCAGCCAGCTCAGTGAGACCGAGCCACTTTACGTATCGCGCTTGCGCACTCTGTTTCGCAGACTCCTCATCTCGGGGTATTGAAGCGCGGAAGTTGCAGACTTTGGCGACAATGTATACGATGCGGTGGGTCCAAGTTTCCTCTCGTCCGGATTCGGTCTCAGGCTCAAGGTTCATATCGATGCCCCATTCATCAGGATCCCATGCCACCTGCCAGTTGAAATGCAAACAGCTGAGCAGCTCCATGCCAACATTGAGCCAGAAGCATGCGGCACCGATACCGCTCGAACGGGCATTCCAACCACACTCCTTGATGAGAGCTCGGGCGCCAGCAATATGGTTCATGCGTTGGAGAGCGCGCTCACCCATGATTTCGTAGACATTCAGGATAACGGCTGTGGTCGCGCATAGCACCGTATCTCGGTTTGGATCCTGCAATGCGTCCAGTAGGTGTTTTGTGGCCTTGTCGTAGTATTTCAGCGCTCGGTCTTGACTATACCGCTTGTTAACCAGCGCAAGATGTCTCGCGCCAGAGGCTAGGAAAGCGTTTAGTAGCATGGGTTCTTTCAGAGCATGGAAAGGAAGTTGGCGCGAGAAGTGTTTCTTGGCGTCCATGCTATCCATCCAAATGCCCACCTCTTCAACGAAGACCTGCATAAACAGCACCTCCTCCTGGTCGACGAGATAGTCCGGCCCATCAAGCTCTTGCAGATCTCGGGGGTCAGCGCGAGACAAATGATGGTCCTCGGGATTGGGCGTCATAAAGGCATTGACCGAGGCCTGTGCGCTCATGTTGTCTGAGGGAGTTGAGTGAGCGAGCTGGTGCTGTTGAGGATTTTGAAACGATCGCATAGGAGCGTACCCGCCCTGAGAACCGTACTCGGATGCCATGTCCGAGTAATTAGAAATGCGGTGATGATGGGCATACGTGGCTTGGTAGGTAGTCGGCTCGAAGCTGCGGTTTGCTGATTGCGCTGGACCACGTGCTGGGTACAACTCAAGGCCCCCTATGTACTCGGAGGCAGTCTTGCGCGACTCATCCTTGAATTCGACGACCCAGTTGTCTTTAGATGACACATGTTAGTCACGGTGAAGAGGACGTGGTCTGATGTACAGTGTACATGCAAGTGTAACCGAGGGCACTTACCACTAGGCGGGATGAGATGGGGCGGGGCCTTGACCTGGGTGTCGATCCAGTTGATGCGCATGCCCTTTCTGCATTCTCGATTCGACTTGAGACAGTTCTGACAGCTGGGCGAGCCTTCGTCGCACTTGAGATGGCGGTCCCTGCACGTGAGGCAGCCGGTGCGTGTGCGGGTGGACTTTGCCGACTTGCCCTTTGCCTGGGCGGGCGGCGTGTGCTCGGAGAGGGCGTCTGGCTGCTGGATGTCGTGGTCGGCGCTCTGCTGCTCTGCAATGGCGGCATGTTGGTTTGCCTGGATGGCAAGAGCGATTGCACCTGCCATTGGATTGCGCTTGGGCAAGATGACCCGAGTCAAGCCACGGCCAACTTTCCCAGAAGATGCGCGGGCGCAAGACGCGCGCAGTGGCCGCGCCCGCGACGCGCCTCGATGCTGGAGCGGTGCTAGAGCAGCGCGACGGCGGGAAGAGACGGTGCAGGCTCCACGGGGTGCTTGCAGTTGGCGGCGACGAGAGAGGTGCGTGAAGCTTGGCCCAGGGTGTGGGGAGCGATACAGTTTTGTTGCAGCTGTAGCCGAGCCTAGGAACTGGCTTCGCCTCCTCTATCCTTTGCAACCAAGCCGAGCCCTAAAATAGCCCCAACCCTGCCTGCAAGCGATCCCAATACGCACGTCCAGGTGCTGATGTGCTCCTGCGAGAGGAAGCAGCCGTGTTCAGCTACGCAGGCTTGATGAGAGCCGCCCGCAGCACACGCGTGCGCCTGTCGTGAGCTAGCGCCGCCCTCTGCCGCGCAGGAGCTCGCAGCCGTGCGTGACGCAACGCCTGGACCCAGCGTCGATCCGGCTTCCCTGATCTTCGCCTGTCGATGCAATCGTCCTCACGACTTCTGTAGCATGCCCGCTTCCGTTGACGTCGACTGCCAGCAGTCCGCCCGAGACCCCGCCCAGCCCAGCTACATCTTCCGCGGCCACACTGCCCAAGTCCACAGTGTTGAGCTTCTGCGCTGCAACACGTGCCTGCTCACGGGCGACGCCGACGGCTGGGTCGTCTGCTGGAAATTAGACACAAAGCGGCCTCTGGCTGTGTGGAAGGCTCACAATGCTGCAATCCTCGCCACCGCCGAATGGGGCCCAGAGAAAGTCATAACGTGCGTTCATCTCCCTCCGACCAATGAGCACGGTCGCTGATGCACATCATCTCATAGGCATGGACGCGACAACACACTGCGCATATGGCAGCTGAGAGGCGGATGTGCAGCCTACTCGACCGTGCTGCCCGCAGACGGAGCAGACACACACAGGCCAAAGCCGTGGTTGTTACACACTCTCCCGGTGAACACGCTCAACTTCTGCGCTTTCACAATGTGCTATCAGAGAAGTGATGCTGCAAGCTCAGTTACCGCGTCCAACGAAACCATCTACGTCGCCGTCCCAGGACGCGACGATAAAAAGGCTGAAGTCTATCAATTCCCAGAAGAGAAGCTGATATGCGCGGTGCCAAGGATCAACACCTCAGAAACAGGTGAGTCTGCCGCTTTTGCTCGCCGACTACATCGACTGCAATGTCTTGGCGAGAGTTTCGCAACCATCCAATAACAACCGGCTCTTGTGATGAAATCACGACTTTGGACTAACCAACTGCAGGTATGGTCATGGCCGTAAAGCTCGTACACCATCGACCCTCGAACAATATTCTGGTGATCGCTGGATACGAAGGCGGCTTCACAGCCGTGCATCGAATACCTCGTAACCGGACGGGAGTACGAGATGCCGTACTAAGTGTGGCTCAAACCATTTACCTTAGCCAGCCTCATACCCAGCCCGTGCTTTCCATTGATGCGCTGCCTGATGGCTCGACTTACTTCTCGTCATCTGCAGATGCCATCATAGCTGCGCACCGCATCCCCCATCTACCTCATGACGATGTCGAATTCGCGTCTCCGGAAAATTCCGTCTCCGCTGCAAATAACTTGGATCAAAACATGAAAGCTAATATCAACGAATTGACTGAAGATGACCGTACAGCGAATTCGTCCGGCGCAGTTCCCGGCGCAGCTGCTATATCTCCCAAGTCATCCGAACCCGTAGACAGTGACACGGAGCCAGCCGAACCTCTGTCCTTTCCCAAAACACGCCGACCCACCAACCCAAAATCACCCTCGGATATTTCAAAACCAGTCGGCCGCTCATCCGGCCTCTCTGCTCTCCTCGCATCAGCACCACCGCAGCAGAACCTTGCAGCCATCCCTAGATCCCCACCGCCCGTGACCATCCAACCCCCGCACAAGATCGCTAGTACCAAACACGCAGGACAGCAATCCCTTCGTGTCCGCTCCGACGGCCGACTGCTAGTCACAGGCGGATGGGACAGTCGTGTACGCGTTTATAGCACGAAGACGCTGAAGGAGGTTGCAGTGTTGAAGTGGCACAAGGAGGGTGTTTATGCGGTGGATTTCGGAGTAGTACTAGGACAGGAGGACGTGGAGAAACCCGTGGAGGAGCAGAAGGCCCTGGAGGAAGGCGCGGAAGTGGTGAGGAGAGAGACGGGATTGGCGAAGCTGCAGAGGCACAGGGAGGAGGCTGTGCAGATGAAGCACTGGGTTGCTGCTGGAGCGAAGGACGGGAGGGTCAGTTTGTGGGAGGTCTTTTGATGGTCTCTGGGATGACTGTGTGGTGCGGTAGGTTAGGGTTTCCTCCGTACCTAATGCCCTCAACCCAAGCTCACGCCACGACCCCAACCCCAACCGTCCACGCCCCACTCCTTGAGCACCACTGACTCGGTCCCAAGTTTCCCCCAATCTTTATGTTTTTCCTTGTAAGGACTTCAAACTCAGAACTGGGCCGGCAGCATCCCCTCATTTGTTTTCCCCTCCCCTATCACCACCGCGGCCCAGCCCTGCCGAGCCCCCACGCCCCACGCCCGCCTTAACCCCGGCCGCCTACGCCTACGCCCACGTCCTGCACGCAGGACCGAAAGAGGGACAATGCACGATGATCGATACGAATCATTCGACTCGATGCGATGCGATTTGAATCGATCAGATCAATCGATGAGACCGATTGACGGATGCGAGGTGATACATCCAGGGTTCTCGGAGATTGCCGTCTGTCAGGAAAGGGGACGGAAGAGTGCAAACAAGCAACATAGCGAGACGCAGCACTGTGGGGTATTTTTTTCGTGCGACCTGTGGATATGCCGTCGCCATCCTAACTTCGCTGCGACGCCGCGGGCACAGCCAAAACGTACGGCGTGCAGGACTGCCGTTCCACAGGGCCAAAAGCAAAAGTCCATCACCCGCCTTCATCTTGCGCGCCACGCCTACACACCAGAAGCACGATCGTCGACAATCCCTCCACCTTATCCATCCGAGCGGCACGCGCAGGATCTGATCTGTCCGCAGATGCCTGACACACATCATAGCAGGTGCGTGATATACATGCTTGTGAAACGCAAATGCGAGTGACCGCCAATCGGGGAAAGGTATGCCACAGCAATGTACCGCGAATGTAGCACACCGTACATCGTGCAGAAAGCATGTGATGGCTATTGTAAAGCTGCATCGGCTATGCAGGCCGGCAGTTGATTTGTATCTCTTGACATGCTTGCTGCATAGTACCAGTGTCCGATGGATACTAGCAAGTCCATGCATGTTCTGAAGCAAATGTGATACGAATAGAGCACACAAGAAAGAAGCACAGACTAAGAAAGGCATGAACGCTCGTCAAAGGTCCCGCCGTGCAATGCTAACGAGTGTGCCGCCCAAACATCGTTTCAACGCCGTGTTTTCCTGGTAAGCAAAGCTGTCCTGATAGTGTGGTGGGGCAACCCAAAGAGTGTACCAGACCGCCAAACTCATTGTGAGATGCTGATGCTCATGGACGTGGAAACGCAATAGTCTCTGCAAAGATGAAAAGGGCAAATTTCTTCTTGGATCGGTCGACAAGCCAAGCTCGCGTCTCGCTGGCGAAGCAGTCAGCATCCTTGGATCGCAACGTATGTGAAAGATATCGTGAGGCATGAAGGCACTACACGATGTTCCTAAGCCCTCGGAAACCCCCGGTCTTCTTCTCGGCGGTTTTCTTGGGATCCTTCGTTTCCTTCTTCTTGCTCGAGTAGTTTTGTGCGCCGCCTAGAAAAGTTAGCGTGAGACATTGCGATGAATGTGCCTTGAACACTTACCACGGCCGCCGTAGAAAGGTCGAGGATCCGCCTTCACGGCTGAGTTGGCTCGCTTGTCACCCTTGCTGCTACTCGTCTCCGCCGAATGCTCGCTCTTGCCGCTCGATTGATGAGCAAGCGTTGGGGGGGTCTGGTTCTCGAAAAGGGCGTTCAAGGATTGCTCATAGGGTCCGGAGAAGTCCGGTCCATAGGTGTGCTGGGGCCGTGCTAGGGAGTCCAAGCGTGGCTGCCGCGGAGATGCACCCGAAGTAGGGCTCACAGGAGACGTAGGTGACAAGTGTTGGCCATAGGCATCATAGCCGGGGGAGATGTCGGCTGTCAATGGAGGAAGGAGCCTGCTGTCATACATTTCACTTGAACGAGCGCTAAAGTTGCGATTGAATGCGTCTCTCTCCGCGTCGTTGGGCTCCGCCATTTCGGCATGGTGCAGGCGCCCGAGAAGAGCCTGATGCTCGCCACGAAGCTCGTGATATTCCATCTCGAGCTCCATTTTCTGCTCCTGCAGACGTTGATACATCTTCTTCATGTTGGCCATCTTTGAGTTGTTCTGAGCGATAACGGAGTCTACCATTTGTTGCATGGAAGGCGGAAGTTGGCCGGGTTTAATAGCACTCTTCTCTGCAGACTGCAGTCGCGATTCAAGTTCCATGATTCGCCGTTCATACGCTTTAACGGCTCGCTCCCGTTCCAGTTCCCGGCTGTTCAACCGCATGTGGGTAAGTTCCAAGTCGTTGCGTAGCTCGTTTCGTTGCAGGATGAGCGAGTGTAGCTCCTTGCCCTGGCTTTCAAACTCAGAGATCTTATCTTGCGCAGCATCAAGCTCCTGTCGCATATTGCCATAGTCCTGTAGTTCGAACTCGAGTGCCTCAGTACGTTGTTTAGCACGCAGTTCCTTGGCCTCTGCATTCTCCACGATCTTCTTCAGATGTTCGAAGTCCGTTTGAACCTTCTTCAGCTCAAAGCGAAGGGTCTCTTCCTCGCCCTGTCGTGATTTGCTCTCTTCTCGGTACGACTTGACTTTTCCGGTGAGTTCGCGTTCCCAATTCTGCGTCTGGTTGCGACGAGTAAGAGTTTCCTTCTTCAGCTGGGCATACTGCTCGTTCATCTTAGCAAGCTTGGCCTTCAGAGTCTTATTGGTATTGATGAGATTTTGGGTGTCGGCTTCGGCAGTAGCTTCCTTGATATGCTTCCGTTGTAGTTGTCCAATGTGAGCGCTGTGCTGAGCCTTGAGATACCGTTCAAAGTTGAGGTCGTTTCGGAGTAACATGATCTCCCTCTGTAACGCAGCCATGCTCAGGTTCTGAAAGTCTGGATGCGTAGGGGATCCTGGGGCACTAATGATCTGCGCGAAGTTGCCAGCGTTGGCTGTTTGCAAAGTGAGACGTTGTGGAGCGGCGGAGGGTGCAGAAAGGAAACTTTGTTTCCTTGGTGTCTCCTTTGCTGGCGGGAGTGTTGGCGACTCGATCACGTGTTTGCACTGCAATAGCGGAGAGGCTGATGCGACGGATTTGGCATTCTCTGGAAGCTCGGGAGCTTCCGTCAGATCTGGTTGACTTGTTGCCGAAGACGCCACCATTGTTGACTGTGTGTTCCTCCAACTGACTGTCGCATCGTTTGCAGTTGCGCCATCATCGAGAGTAAATCCGGACTCAGGAACGGGCGGGACAGGAAGATCAGGCAACTTGGAAGTGGGAGGTGGTCCAGGGTCATCGAGCGTGGTAGAGACAGCTACACATAATTCCATGCATTCGATGACTACGTCCGCAGGATCGCTATCGAGCCACCTGTTCTCCGTCAACTCGTCCTCGATCGTGGTCGAGAACATGTTAGGATGCATGAGGTGCACCCGTCGATAGGGCTCAGTTCTACTATGGAGCAAATCAGGATCCAGGTCGAAGTCGTCTGCGCCAGGAAAGTTCATCGACTTTAGTAACTTCCTAGGTTTCCGTATGAAGCTCATGAAATTCAGTGGGAAAAGACCGTAGAGGAAGGTGAAGTAGTGCAGAAGTGCAGTGGGTGGAGTTGACTCGCCATGGTCAGGAGCGTGTTGCAGCTGCTCCCATGACGGGTCGGGCTCTTCGTCGTCTGAGCTGTCTGAAACATCGTCTTCCAGAGCAATATCAGCCGATGCTATGCCACCTGGGTTGCCAAACTTGTCCCAGCATATTAGCCTGCTGTATATAAGAAACAGCCGTGGAAGGTGGTGATCAGATGTGAGTGCAGATGTGATGTGTGGCAAGAACATGATAAGCACGACCAGGGCCTGGCCAACGACGCTGGAGGAGGTGTCGATGAGCAAACACTTTTCGAGATTCTGTATGAGCTGCGTCTCGAGGACCACGTGCAGGTGAGGCGTCTGGAGTCGGACAAAAGCATTGAGCAGAATGAGGGCTTGGATCCGGTATCGTTTCTGAACGAAGAGCTCGTCCACGGCAAGGAGGAGCTCCTTCGGCTGTTTCCGTCCAAATGCAACCAGCACTGACTCGACCTCATTGGAGACGTAGTCGTCTTCGGGAGAAGCGATATGCTCGGGTTCTGAAGGCAGCTTGGTCCGCGCAAGGTACACGTCCAACGTCTCCCGCAGGAACAGGTCGGACAGCCGCGCACTCTCCTTTTCCTTGTCCTTGTCCTCGTCTGCCTCGTATATCAGAAAGCTCAGCAGTAGCTCCTTTGCGTCTTCCACCTCGCGTCTCTTATGGCCTACGCTGTCAATCGTGGGCTTGAGCACCAGGTCCCACCACTCGCCGAGCCGCGCCTCTCCCGTCAGCGCCGGCCGGACAGCGCGCAACACGCTAAGGAACAGTCCCAGATTGTCCGGATTGGCAGCAACATGCTTGTTGTAGAGGGACAGCAATTCGTCGTGGAAGCGTTGGGAATCGGCATCGTCGATGGCGTCATATTTCTCGAGGAAGCGGTCGATGGTGTCGCGGAGCTCTTCGGGAAGCGGGTACGGGGATGCCGGGGCAGCGAAGGTGGTGTTGAGCGCCCTGAACGTCTCGCGCATCGACCTGGCACGTGGTGAGCAAAGGGTCGCGGTGGAGTTGCACTGCTGTGCCGGGGGTGCGCCTACCCTGAGCCAGCCATGCCGGGCGGCCGCTCCTTGTGCTGCTTAGAACAGGCGGTATGCTCGCATCTGCAGTGTGTCCAAGGCCCAACGTGTCGTCGTCCACAATGTCGAGGTGTCGGGTGCGCTACAAAAAGCTTCGAGGGTTGTGTAGAGGACGTGGATTGACAGAGCTAGCGGTTGACAGCGGGCACGCGTGGGGTAACACAAGCAGTTGGCGAGCACAATCGCCCGGTGAATGTCGCGACAGACTGTCCGGCGGCGAGGCGGTGCCGCCCGCTCGCTGGATACAACCTGGCGCTCAAACTATCAGACGCACCCGTCAACGTGCAGCATCGCACAAAACCTCGATATGCGCCTCTGCGGTCCTCCAAAACGGTCCCGCTGCGGTCCCGCTTTGCTTCTTCGGGTGGCGGTGCTAGACAAGGGTGCCCTGCTGCCAATCTCTCCTCGGCCGGCGCCTTGAACATAGTTTCGAGTAAACTTGGGGTAGCCCTTATCGCAACCAACGTCTGTGCTTGTGTCTTGTCTTTCTCCGCCGCCGACTGTGCACGCCGCTGCTTTCCGGTCCTGCGTTGTGAGGGGACGCTCGCGTTCTGCTGTCGTTGTGTGGCGACGTCACAGTGCCTACCTGCAGGAGCATCTCACTTCATCTGATCGCATCCATATCAACTGCATCTCTTGGATGTCAGCACGGCTTGGCCCCTTGACATCAATCGCCTTTGCCTTCTGCTATCAGCATGTCTGCCGGCTGCCGAGCGCCACCGCGCTGCCGTTTATGCATTCCTGGGCTCAGACCTGTGGAAGCATTCAGGAACGGCCAGGCACCGTTCGCAACGTGGGATACCGACGCCCACCTACTCCGCGAATCCATCGGACCGTTTCTTTTCTTCCTCCGCTTGGCTTTATTCTTGCGAATTACGTTTGAACCCAAACTATTATCTGTGGTTTTATTGTCTCCCTAGGCCTGCATGCACCCCAGTCCCTCACGTCGAAATGGCCTGTTCGGCCAACACCCCAGATCCGGCCTACCCGCCTCTCCAGCATTATCAGATAATTTCTAGTGCTCACCACACCATGCCCCCTCGCCTAGAAGTCATCAGAATCTAGGCTTCGTCGCGTAGATAGGGAGCTTGCCTTGCATCCGATACGAATATACGGCGCGGCACTCAACATGTGAATCGCAAAACTCCTCGATCCCAATTGCCCAATGTACCGACGCAGTGGCGATGCTGACACCTGCATAAATGGACAAGGGTTTGAGAAGAATCTGGATGGTAGTACAAGCGAGAATGCAACCCCGCAACCGTTGCTCGTTCTCGTATCATACCGGTGGTGTGGTACCAATCGACTGGTGGTGAACGTCTGCAGGTTAATGTGATGCATCAGCCCCTTGTAGACCTTCCTGTAAGACCATTGTGCGTCTCTTTGTTGGAAGTATCACCCAAACACATCAACCAAGACAAGCTTCCGTTGAAGCTCGCACCGTCGCCCGCGTCACACGCCTGACACACCCTCGTGCATGTCTAACGTTTCAAGGCGCACCAAAGGCGCACTGATTCTTGAGGCGAGGCTCAGCAAGGCGGCGTACTTCGGACTCCATATCTACCCTGCGTTGGGACCATAGTCACGGCCTTGAACAATATGCAGAGCAGCATGTATCTGCCTACACCTTATCATCCTCGACCTGACTGCAATCAATTTGAGTCGTACAGCAGCTCGCTTGCCGCAACCCGGTCACGTCTTTCATGTATTACGCTCTACCGACATACGACATCATTGGGCAAAAGGTAAGCATCGTCTGCGGGTTCCTGCCTGATTGGCTACGGCCGTCCCCATCGTGAAGAGATGCTACCTTATACTGTGGGTAAGGTCCTGACCTCAAGCTTAATCAATGGTCAATCGTGACGGTAGTATCTCCAGCTAGTTTCTCGGATACCAGTGTCTTTGCTGATCGCCGTCGAATCATGAACACTTTTCCGGAGGATGATGGTCAAGCTTGACGCGTAACTCCTATAAGACGGTATACATGAGCAGCATCGTCAATATCATCTTCGATTCGATACCACCTCAAAGTTCTTAACCCAGAAGCACGCCCACTTTTGAGTCTCAAACCATCTGCACTTTGCCGCCAGATCCAACATGGATCCTTTTATTTGTCCTCTCTGATCGAGCGTGCTCCCCGAAAGGTATCCCAATCCAGTCTTGTTCCACCTCCTTGGTCAGCGAACTGGTTACGATGGATTACGCTTGTGTGACCGAAGCATTCGAGGCCACCTCACACGCGTGAAGCTTGGGGATATTTTTTGGAGGTCGGCAGATAGGGTCTCGTTGCGGGACAGCGCTATCGTGAACCCATTTTTGCGTCTTGACAAGTAATTTGATTCACTTCGAATTGTAGCTTCTAAGAATGCATTATCAACTAAGCCTACGTTTATTCATGGTGTTCGTGGCTCAACATGGCATGCTAGGTGCCTACATGGCAGAGCAGAGAGGCTGCTTCCAGTTTAGCTTTGGAAGCGAGCCAATCAGGTGCGGTAGGTGGGTGCCATCTCGTGGACAGCAGCCTAGGACCTAATACGAAAACTCCACCTTCACGTCGCAGGTCTCTATTGAATTCCTGATAACTGCAACAGGTTCTCCCGAATCGGTCGTCTCTACCTCCCAGGCGCCTGACTTACGCCTTCCCCTCTGCTGCCTAGCGTTGCTTCGACACTTCAAGCCTGCCACCGCCAGCCTCGGACTCCAACGCTCGAAGATGGGATGCAACAGCTCCAGAAAGCAACTGCCGCAGTTCGTTCTTTTCGGTGATTCGCTTACCGAATGGAGCTTCGACGACTCGACTCAGGGTTTTGGCTGGTATCTCACAGACTTGTACAAGGGCAAGGCTAAGATCGTCAACGAAGGTATCACGTCGAATCATGACCCTATACCTCTTCACAACTGAAAGGTGCCGTGAACAAATTGTATATAATTTCTAACACATCATCAGGCTACGCTGGGTAGACTTCACCACGCAGTCCCCTAGACAAACACTAATCACTCTCCCAGCTACACCTCGGAACACGTCAAGCCCGAGTTTTCCCGCATAATGACACGCATTACCGCCCCTTTCGCCCCATCAACCCTCCTCTTTACCATCTTCCTTGGCGCGAATGATGCCTGCTTCGTCGGGAAGACAGAATACGTGCCTCTCCCACAGTTCTCGGACAACATCCGCTCATTCGTCGAAGAAATCCTCATCCAGGATAATCTTGCGGACGCGAAAATAGTGCTGATCACGCCGCCGCCGGTAAACGTCCCGGACCCGCTGCCCGGTGATGACGAGGGTTTGGGTCCGGCAATGGCGAAAGCGCTGAAGGGCAAGGAGCCAAAGCAGGATCGGGCGTATTTGACGTACATGAGTAAGAAACGGTATGCAGATGGTATCATGTCCATCGCAAAAGAATACGAAGAGACAGACAGGGTAGTAGGGCTTAACTACTGGAGGGCATTGGTGGATGCAGGATTAGAAGAGCAGGGAAGGACAGGGGAGCTGGACGAGGATTTGTTTCCAGGGTGTGGGCTGGCTGGAGCGAAGGAGTTCGGAAGTGGATGGTTCACGGATGGGTTGCATCTGGACAAGAAGGTAAGACAGTGTGCATACGGGTGTCTGAATTCGGAAGCTAATATCGCACAGGCGTACAATGTCTTGTCCAAGGCGCTCACGGAGACGGTGATTGGGAAATGGCCTGAGCTCTCGCCCGAACGCATTGGGACGTGAGGTATGTGGGGGTGAAGATCCGGGGCCGGATCCTTCCCGCAGGGTCCACGCATGTAACGGCGACATGGCACGGCTGTACCCTAAGGTCTCAATCATATAGAGGTATCGAATTTAGCCTCATTTGGATGGACGAGATTATCCTCTGTTTATGGTGTTGCCGCTCCCCTTGGGGTTATCCTCCTTGAACTCGTCCCACGCACGTGCCTTCATCGTCTCCTCATCCGCCAGTCGTAGGTCATCCTCGTCCACCTCCGGTCGGATTCCGGACTGCTCGCCGCCTCCCTCGATAATACCGCCCCTCCTCTTCTCTTCCTCCAGGTACTCGTCAATAGTCATAGTGGGTAGGCTGTGATCCGGTCTGAACACGCCCTGCTGCAGACGTTGTCTAGTGTCAAGCAGCGTAAACGGCCTCATCGGCTTTCCATCACTGCTCAAGATAGGCCCGCTATACCTCAGACCAGGAAGCTGGCTATCAAGGCGCTCGGAGTACTTATCACGGTTGCGCTCATCCTCCCTACCATCCTGCGGTGCCGCCCGCTCGCCCTGCAGCGGGCTTGTCGGGGCCAAGGAAATAATATGCAGCTCCTGCGCGAGGCTCTCGAGCGCTGCGAATGCCTGGTGCACCATGAACGCTATGTTGGTCAGATGCAGCTCGCGGACGACCTGCTCGTCGTTCTCGGCCAGCTTGGGGTTAGCCTGAATGTACTCGATCTTGCGCTTGAGCTCCTTCTCCTCGCGGAAGCGCGCGATCTTAGCCTCACGCCGCGCGGCTGCGTCCCGCGTGCTGGCTACGGAGAAGCTGGACTTGTCGTCGAGGTAGAGTTCCCAGAGCTTGGCGTCGCTGGCGCTGAGCACGTCGTAGGTGTCGAGCAGCTTGAAGAAACGCTCGTAGTGGTCCCTTGCTCTTAATAGGTTTGCTTTGCGCTCTGAGACATTTTCACTTCGGATCTTTTGGATGAGCTCCGAAAGGTGGTAGCTTGTGGACATGTACCTGGTAGAGTGTAAGACAGGGTCGGAAATTGCGGGGCACAGAATATCGCGACTTTAGAACTCGTGTGGAAAATACTTACTGTATGTCTGACGATGAGATGTCGTCAAGGGATTCGTTTGGAGAGAAGAGTGCGACTTGTTCTGAGAGCTCGAGGCATGATTCGTAGGTGGCGATGGCCTTGGTGAGGTTTTCCTGGTAGGTGGGACTATTGGAATCGGGGAAGCTGTTGAGATTGTTGCGCAAGCGTTCCGCGGAGAGGAACAGCGACCGTATGCTTTTGGGCTCGTCGTCTGCCATCCTTGGTATTATCTGATGTCTTTCGGCGTGTTGGGGCGTGATAGTGGCGTCTGTAGTGGAGGATTGACGGCGCACGTGAGTTGGCGTCGATGAGTAAGCGGCGCTTGGACGCATTTCCCCTCCTCACGCGTTCTTGACCCACTCGTCTCAACATCCACGAGACTGTCATTTCATGCAGCCCAATACTCTGAACCATACTTGAGGTCATTGAAATAATTCTTAGCGTTGCATACTGTAGGTGAACGATCATGGCGCGCGACTGTGAAGTAGTTCGTGCAAGGCGCCTGCTTTCTGTTTGCTCCATGGCGGGTGGAGCGTGCCTGCCTTTCTGCGCGTCCTGTTTGCTCCTTGATCTCCCAATACAAACGGAGGACAGGCTCTCTTTTTGGAGCCCTCTGGATCTTTCCTGACTCCACCTCTGCAACCCCACTGTCACCCGCTTACACTTCTTCTAACCTTCTTTTGACTCGAACCACCTGATCCTAGTTGCACTCTTTTGGGAGTTTGCCCAGTCCGTCTTAGGGCAGACAAGCGCAGTCCGCAATGGTTCCACCTTGGGGTCGCTATGATCCAATCCAGGACGAAGAGTACGATTCTCTTGACGATTCCTGGGCCAGCGCTTCTGAGAACATCCATGGGCTGTCTAAAGACCAACTTCCTGAGCAGTCGGCCCTGGACTTGCATCCGGGAGATAATAGCGTGGACGAAAATGATACGACCTTGCAAAACCTAGAAGAGGCTGACCAGGATCCCGACAGCGACATTGACAAAGACGGCGCCCCTTGTCATGGACCTGTGACGTTGAAGGAAAAGCGTGCCGCCCAGAACGCCGTCTTTCGAGCCTTTGCACTCGAAAAGGAAGCTCAGATCACAGAGAAGGAAGTCAAAGAGGCGCTCCATGAGATCGAAGATGACAAACTCTCGATCAAACAGCTGTTAAAGAAACAGGAGACCAGCTCCATAATTGCGAGTCCCCGAGACTACCAGACCGAGCTGTTCCAGCGCGCCAAAGACGACAACATCATCGCGGTCTTAGGTACCGGCTCGGGCAAAACACACATTGCTACCTTGCTTCTTCGCCATATCCTTGATCTTGAACTTGATGCACGCAACAAGGGGCAGCCGCCAAAAATTTCGTTCTTCCTGGTTAACTCGGTCAACCTTGTATTTCAGCAATCAAATGTTTTGGATTGCGGTCTTGGTGGCCATGCGGTCGAAGGTATCAGCGGCTCCATGGGACCTAGTCTTTGGAACAAACACACATGGCAGAAGCATTTTGATAAAAACATGGTGATCGTCTGTACAGCTCAAGTGCTTGTAGACTGCATGATGCATTCCTTCATCAACATGGCTAACATCAACTTGCTCATCTTTGATGAAGCTCATCACGCCAAGAGCGGGCACCCGTACGCCAGGCTGATGAAAGACTACTACTTCACCCTTTCAAATCGCTCGCAGCGACCTCGGGTGTTTGGTATGACTGCTTCCCCTGTAGATGCCAACACAGACATTAAAGATGCAGCCGTCCAGCTTGAGGCCATGCTTGACTGCAAGATTGCGACCACATCCGACATTACCCTGTCTGCGAACGCCATCAATCGACCGGAGGAGGAGATTGCTAGATATTCACGACTCCCAGGTGGTTACGAGACAAAGTTTCATCAGGAATTGAAAGTCCGTTTTGGACACCTGGCCGTCTTCGGGAAGCTCTTCAATCAATCAAAACGCTTTGCATCCGAGCTTGGAAGGTGGGCTTCTGACGAGTACTGGACCTTTGCATTCACCGAAGCTGAGAGTCGTAAGCGCGAGATTCGAGAGGAGTACAAGTTCAACAAAACACTTACCAACGAATCTATTGACAAGCTGAACACACAAATCGCACAACTTCGTGAGGCAGCCGAATACGTGAAGAACTTCGACAACGGTATCCCTACAACCACTCCAGAGGATCTGAGCTCAAAAGTACTTCTGCTTCACTGGTATCTCGACCAGTATTATCATCGCCATGGGAATAATCGATGCATTGTGTTCGTGGAGCAGCGTCAGACTGCTCGACTTCTGCATCGCATCTTCAAGTACATTGGCGGACCCCACCTTCATGGTGATATACTGGTTGGTGTCAGTGGAAGCATTGGAGACTTTCATGTTTCTTTGAGCAAACAAATCAGGACAGTATCTGACTTCAGGAAAGGGGAGCTGAACTGCATATTCTCTACTTCCGTTGCAGAAGAAGGACTCGACATACCTCAGTGCAATCTTGTTGCCCGATTCGACCTTTACAGGACAATGATCGGGTATGTTCAGTCGCGAGGCCGGGCGAGACACCAAAATTCGCGATATCTTCACATGATTGAGAAAGACAACCCCCAGCAAGAATCACTCATTTTTGAAGCCATGGGTGCAGAACAGCGTATGAAATCGTTCTGTCTGGGGTTGAGCGGTGACAAATTGCTTGATGATGCGGATGCTCGCCTTCCCCAGCTTCTTCTGACCGAGAGTAATCTTCCCTCTTATCAAGATCCCACCACTGGAGCGAGACTCACATATAGCTCGAGCTTGTCAATTCTGGGTTACTTCGTGGCATGTCTACCAAAGGGCAATGAGCAAGTTGACCTTCAGCCTACTTACGTAACATCTCGGGCAGTCAACACCGATTCGAACGGTATGCATGAGAGCGGCTGGCAATGTGAAGTCGTTCTCCCGGAGAATTCACCTATCACCTTCAAGACAGGACGAGTCCACCGAAAGAAAGCCCTCGCGAAGTGTTCAGCGGCTTTTGAAATGTGTCTCGAGCTGCGGAAGAGGAAGTACCTTGACGAAAATTTACTCTCCACTATGAAGAAAATGGCACCGGCGGGGGCTAATGCACAACTTGCTGTTAGCGGGAAGAAGAAAAATCTTTACCCAATGCGAGTCAAACCAGATATTTGGCAGACCTGTCTGGGTAACGCGCCTGAGCTCCTCTACTTGACGGTTGTGGATGTGGACGCCGGTCTTGATCGGCCACATCAAGGCCTTGGGCTTCTTACCCGCGTGCCACTTCCCCACTTCCCCTCATTTCCCATTTACTTGCAAGACGACCGGGTATCCAACGTTGTCATAGTTCCTCTCAGCAAGCCTTTGAAGGTCACAGCTGGGGTTCTCAGGCTACTCACGAAGTACTTCCATCAGATTTACGAAGACATCTTCCACAAAGACTTTGAAACGGATCTTGCTAAGATGTATTATTGGCAGGTTCCGCTTCGCCATCCAGAAGCTCCGGTTACGACGTCAACAGATCCAGAAGATGTCATTGACATGGTCCAAGTGTGCTCCGTTTGTGACAAGCCTGAGCACCGATGGACACCAGAAATGCCCCCAGAGGTGCTTCCAGACAAATACATTGTTGATCGTGGTGCGGGTGGTCGCCGCTTCTATTCCATTCGAGTGATGCCAGACATGAAGCCATTAGACCCCGTCCCTGAAAATGTTCCCGCTTGGAAGTGGAATGATAACGTTCTCGATTATTCGGTCAGTTTATGGAAGAGGGATCGCGCGCGCCGAGTTTGGGACGTGAATCAGCCTGTGATGCAAGTGGAGAAAATTGGCCATCGGCGCAATTGGCTGGCTGTGGTGGACACCAAAGACGACGAAGAAGTCAAAGAGATCAAAGGGAACAACATCACCTATCTGTGTCCTGAGCCTCTTCGTATATCGGCCGTAAGTGAGCTTCATGAATATTTCTCGGCAGTAACTTACTCCACCCTAGCTACATGTGCCTTTTGTGGCCATGTGCTACGTGTTTCCAGCAATCATACATCGGGTGGAAGATTACCTGATAGCACTAGAGGCTTGCCAAATGTTCGACCTCAACATCGGACCAGCTCTTGCCCTGGAAGCCACTACGAAAGATTCTGAAAACTCTGATGAGCACGGCCAAGAAAAGATCAACTTCAAGAGCGGGATGGGTCCAAACTATGAAAGACGTAAGCTACAAATCACGTCTGTCTATTTGAGCAATTCACTAATACACAACTGAAGTGGAGTTCCTCGGTGATTGTTTCCTGAAGATGGCGACGTCAATCTCTACCTTCGTACAGCAACCCGATGAGAACGAATTTGAGTTTCACGTGCGCCGCATGGAAATGCTTTGCAACAAGAATCTCTTCGAGACGGCGGTTCTCAGGACTAGATTGGTCGAATACATTAGAACAGCAACGTTTTCTCGGTAAGTGATTTCACGTCGCCTCGAAGGAAACAAGCGCGTTAGCTAACATACGCAGACGCACTTGGTACCCAACGCTAAGGTTACTGAAGGGAAAGGGCGCCCAAGCTGGTACGAGAGCTGACCACCACAATCAAGTCATCCAGCATGGGTTGGCTGATAAGTCCGTTGCCGACGTCTGCGAAGCGCTGATCGGTGCTGCTTTCATGCAGCATAACCAACGGGGTAATTGGAAACCTGGAATGTGGGATGAAGCTGTTAAAGCCGTCACCAAGATGGTCATGAGTGAGGATCATGTCATGGAGACGTGGTCGGACTATTACAAGGCCTATCAGCTGCCAAAGTATCAGTTGGCGGAAGCGACTGCCGCGCAACTTGACCTCGCCGCCAAAGTCGAGGAACAGTGAGTACTGGGTCAACCCACCAGAGCAGAAAATTGACGAGACATAGGCATCCCTATCACTTCAAGTACCCTCGCCTGCTCCGATCTGCATTCATGCATCCATCGCAAGCATTCATGTGGGAGCACATTCCCAATTATCAGCGCCTGGAGTTTCTTGGTGACTCCTTGCTTGATCAAGCTTTCGTCATGCATCTGGTAGGGCACCGAATATGAATTCTAGCACATGCGGAACATGCTGATTTGCTGATTCCATGATAGTTCTTTAATTATCCTGAAAAAGATCCCCAGTGGATGACGGAGCACAAGACGCCTATGGTTTCGAATCAATTCTTAGGAGCGGTATGTGTGAAGCTTGGCTTTCACCAGCACCTTCGGCAGAACAATGCGGTAAGCACATGACTGATGTCTATTTAATCGAAGCAACCGCTAACGACTCTTTAGAAACTCAGTAGCGAGATTTGCGAGTATGTCACTCAGATACAAGAAGCCGAGAGCGAGTCGGGCGGCGCTGTCGACTATTGGACCGTTGTGGACAGAGTCCCCAAGTGCCTGGCAGATATGGTTGAAGCCTACGTTGGCGCCATTTTCGTCGATTCGGAGTTCAACTACAGTGTCGTTCAGGACTTTTTCGACATACATCTCAAGCCTTTCTTCCCAGACATGACTATCTATGACTCATTCGCGAACAAGCATCCACTTACTCGCCTCAAGAAGCGACTTGAGGACGAGGTAGGATGCAGGGACCATCGGATCGCTACGCATACAACGGAGAAGATGCTTCCGAACGAGAAAGACAGGGTCGTCGCTATGGTCATGATCCACGACAAAGTTCATTTCCACGGCGTCGCGGTCAGTAGCCGGTACGCGAAGGTGAAGGTGGCCAACATTGCGCTCGACGGTCTGGATGGCCTCCCGGAGTATGAGTTCAAGAGACGGTATGGGTGCGATTGCAGAGAGCTGGTTCCCACTGATGCAGAGCAAGACGTGGTGTAAGTGTGCGGCCTCACCTCAGTCCATCTCTGGAGAGCATTTGTGGTAGTGCGGTGGTTCGGGTATCTACAAATCCCGTCTTTGGATTCACCAGTCGCGAATCACCGGTTTACCTTCGACTAGATTGCGTACAAAGCAATGCACTCATGGACGGCTCAGGCTGGTCGCGTTTGGTCGCTCCCATTAACATGTTCCGGCTTCCTGCCTATAGCTTAAGGACTCCTTTTAATATGTCAAGATCCGGTAAAATCACAGTGTTTCTTTCAGCCTGCCACGTGCAGAAAGTATGACAGGTACTGATGCTCAGACCAGTCCTTCTTGGAACGCTGCGAGTCATTGCCGCTCATCTCAACAAGTCAGTCAGTTGGAGCCACGTCAGCATGCAGCAGCGCTGATCTTTCGGGCTGAGCAGCACTCGCTAGGCTAATTTAATAGCACAAAAACTGATCTCTACATAGCTCAACGTAGCATTCGAACGTACGATACTTATGAAAACGATGCAGTGTTGAAAGGAGGGTGCAACTTTCACAGCAAAAAGGAAAGAAACAACAGCAGAAGCCATTGCCAAAGGTAATCGAAACCTTACATTCGAAGATGTACCATTTTGTAGCTACTTTCCTATCAGAACATAGCCAACAAATAATTTATATACATTACAAAAAGAAGGCCTGCGGGCTGGAAGACATGTTGGAAAGCTCTGCACGCAGCTTCTGTATGTCAAGCCAGCCGTGTCGTACTTCCTGGAAGGCTTCGCGGGCTGACTGGCAGACCCCATTGTGCTAGGCAACAGTCTCACGTCATGTGACCATCGCCAAACCCTACAGCCCCTGGCCTTGACCCTGTTACCTGGATGAGGGTTGGCGAGAAGAGTAATGCGAGTAATTGAAAACGTGGGTTTTGCTACATCCGCAAGAATGAATTTCGTTGTCACGCAGCAAAAGGAGTATTACCCCGACCCACAAGCTGGGATGGAACTGATACGAGGCTTTGGGGCGGGCAATCATGTTTTTACTCCTTTTTCATTGGTTTCTGTGACCATGATCTAGCATAGATATATCCACTATGCACATGAGCCTCGGCTCAAGGCACAATAACATTTCCTAAGTGGATGCAGTGCTCAACACTGGTAGAGAAATGCTGCAACCTGGAATAAAGGAAGATGTGGAGGCAGGACCTCGCTCCCGACAAGTCCGTCTCTGAACATACGACGAACTTCAAACACCACAACTGGATGCAGATTGCAGAATAATGACAGTAGAGGTTGCTATCGACCCCTGCGAGTTAGTGAAGTTCATGAATGTTAGTCGCTGCGCTAACCCCAATGAGGTAGGTGCATGCGGTATCTTGCCCCGCAGCGTGTGACTACAACACGTCTTCGAAGTGCTTACCTACTTCGGAAGTCGTCAAGGGATGACTTCAAGTATCAATAAAACTCCGTGTGTGGTACTCTCGTCAATTACAAGCCCTGAACGACCGTACTTGCTAACTTTAGTGCAACGTAGTTAGTAGTCACTACTTTGCCTTTCTCGAGGTTTCTTCCTACTGAACTCATCCATTAAGCCTCGTTCATATGAGATGAAAATCGAAGATTCCCATCACCAACACTCGGGAGCGCAACAACAGTACATTTCGTCGAGATCACAGCACAGCAAGGTGACGATGGAAGACCGAGCAAGAATCCCCGTGGGCCCACCTATCGCCAACCCTCTCCATTCGTACTGGCAGCATCCAAAGTCACCACTCGCGGCAACAATCGAACCTGAATGCTCTAATCCTACCAAACCCTATGACTACGCCATCATCGGCTCTGGAATATCTGGGACGATGGTTGCATACAACATCTTCAAGACCTTTCCATCAGCGCGTGTCGTCATGATCGATGCGCGAGAAATTTGTTCTGGTGCAACTGGACGCAACGGTGGACATACAAAATCTGCTTCATATCGCACGTACTTGCAGCATAAAGTAGAGCTGGGGCGGGAGGAGGCTTTGAAGATAGCGAGGCTGGAGTACGCAAACATCATCGAGACACATACGCTCGCGAAAGAGCTTGAGATCGACTGTGAGAATCAAATTTGCAACACCGTGGACATCATCTACGACCCTGAAACCTTTGAGCAAGGAAAGCACGCCATAGAAGAGCTGGAAGCGGATGCGACCGAAGAAGAGCGTCAACCCGGGAAGATGGCGTCTTACAGAATTTACCACGCCTCAGACGGCATCCAGCAGAAATTCTGGGTTGACGACTCCAATACGAACCCCGCCGTCAAGCAAGAAAAGGTCGCCGGCGCATTCGAGTATCTCGCCGGCAAGATCCACGCCTATCGCTTCACAACCGGCGTCCTAAAAATCCTCGTGCAAGAACACGGCTTGCAACTCTGTGCCAACACGCCCGTACACGCGTTTCTCCCTGCACACTCCTCAACCCCAGATAGTCCGCTATGGGACATCTTCACACAGCGCGGCACCCTCCCCGCCCGCAACGTCGTCCTCGCAACGAACGGCTATACGCCGTACCTCCTCGCCACCCTCCAAGGCGCCATCGTACCCCTCCGCGGCCAAATCGTCGCCAAGAAATCCCCGCCCACTGCACGCCATCCTAGCGTCCTCCCAAGAACATATTCCTTCATCTACGCCTCGGGCTACGAATACATGATCCCACGACAACTCCCCGACGGCGGGCAGCACATTGTCATCGGCGGCGGGCTGGGGCGTCTGCCCAACGCAGGGGCCGGGGAGTACGGCACCGTGGACGACAGCGCGCTGAGCCCGGATGTATCGGCGTATCTCCACGGCACGGTCACGGGGTACTTTGGGCAGCCTACGTCGTCCTCGCCGGCCGCGCAGGACGTGCCTGAGTACGAGCTTGTGCACGAGTGGACAGGCATCATGGGCGCGACGGCGGATGGGAGGCCGTTTGTAGGGGGGGTGCCGGGGATGGAGGGGGTGTGGGTGAGCGCGGGATTTAATGGGCACGGGATGGTGCTGTGTGTGAAGGCTGCGGAAGCTTTGGTGGGGATGATAAAAAATGATGGAGCAGTGGAGGATTTGGAGTGGTTCCCCAAGAGCTTTTTGATCAATGAAGAGAGGATGAAAGCCAAGTTTGGAGGAAGGACAGATATGAAGGTGCCGGAAACGGGGGAGGGACCTGTTGGGGGTGGGAAGAGCTGGGAAGTAGAGAGTTGATTGTCTTATACTTCCAGCACTTGGACTGGAAAGTGCGATCACAGGGTCATGGTTACAGTCGATTTCGATGATCACTAGCAGAAAATTGGCAAGATAGTCATTCTTGGGGTCGTTAAGATCTATGGATATACATTGAACGTGTATTGGTGTTGTACATGGTATGCTCGCGTCGCATGCTTTCAGTGGCTGCTACGATGACTGGACTTGGGTAGCCGTAAAGTACAGCCAGGAACGCGCCTCGTTATTTATGCTGTCATGACGAAGTCAACGCAGTCCTCGTAGGTCTGCTGCGCGTTCGTGCCGAACCAGAACCATTGCAAAGCGCACTCTCCAGGCTGCTGGCACTGGGTTCCGAGGTCGGTGGGCATGGTGACGCTGAACTGGGTGTTGTTCAAGGGCAGCTGAGCAAGGGCCTCATCGGCATATGAGGCGAACGAGATCAGCGGCTGCCCGACCAGTGTGTTGGTTGCAAGGTCGACGACAGAGACATTGCACGGCCCTTCGTGAGGAATAGGTATCTCGGCAGCGAAGTCGACTTGCTCTCCGGCAGCGAACTCTTGAACATTGTTCTGGTTGTCTTCGAACTGAATGCCTTTGCAGAGGAAGATGTTGCAGTCGGGTGAGCCGTTGCTGGCGACGTTCTCAAGAGGGCCAGTGATGTCCGTGGTGAGCGCAGAGACAGCTTGTGCTCCACAAACTTGCTGCGTGACCGCACCTGCTTGACGAACAGGGGGAGAGACGATGTTGCCGTGGGCGAGCGCGGTTGCCGCGAAAAAGGTAGATGTGAGGAATGTTGAGGCACGCATCTTGAATTTTGTATTAAAAGTCGTAAGTTTGGGGTATCTGGTACAAGCTCAAAGCGGAATAAGTGCGAAGTGAAAAAAGAACGAGTGACCAGCACAAGGAAGGCTAAAGGATTGACTTGAGGGACTGAATGGGGAGGTTGAGAATGTGCGACGAGATGCTGTTATATCATACTGCCGGGAAGGTGATCTTCCGTTCAGCCTACAGAAGGCGTTCAGATGCAGGTTGCGCGGCTGTACAAAGTTGCGGAATGCTGATGAAACGTGGAAAGCTCAAGCTTTCCTGTTTGATCTTCAATGCAAGGGCGGTGATTGGATTTTCATGCCATGAAGAGATCTGTCAGTGACGATAGTGGCTGGGCTGGTCTTGCATGCATACCCATTAGCAGCCTTATCCGTCTGGCGTGGTAGACGGAATTGAGCGCTCTCAATGGCGACAGCCTCCATGGTAGTGCTGGAAGCTGCAGTACCGTTAGCTGAGATAGCACATGTTTGGGCTTGGGCTCTTCATTCGTGTTTGCTTGCTTGGCGTTTGACTTGGGTGTTGTGGAGCTTGCGCTGTCACGGCTACGTTTGAGGATGTTGAGGCCTCCGTCTTGGCAGAGCACTGTACCTGAGGCCCACACGCATCCGAGAATTGGGCCTCCACAGACAGCTATCCTTTGTCAGGAACGGAGGGCCGGGCGCGAAATTGGAGCCTGGTCAAAGTGGCAGACGACATGACATGCGCCACGGCCTAAAGGGTGACACGGGCTGCAGAGGATTGCTGTGCTGGCGAGTAACGCCGCAACACCCACGCTAGCGCGCACTTTCAACAGCCCCAGATCCACTTGCGGGTGACTACTGGTAGGCTCGCGGGGAAGGGCATCCGCGAACAGCTGGGGACAACAGGTGAAGGCGCCGGGCTGCGGTGGGTGCCGACTTTGCGCCCTCGCAACGGGCGAGCGTGAGAGGAACGGGGCTGGGGCGTGTCGGTGAGCGGCGCGCCACGAATCACAAAAGCAAGCATGTCGCGGCAGGATCGTGGGATGCTGGTGCGGGGGAAAGACGGTGAGAAGGCGATGAACTGATCATGTTGGGTTCAAACGGGTGTTGTAGACTACGGGTGCATGAAAAGTGGGCTGCCCGCGCCCACTCGCCAGCCCACGCTATTAGGTGACGTAGTGCTGGTTCGTTCCTGCCCTTGCAACCCACTGCGCCTTCGGTGCCAACTCACCTGTCCCTGCGCTCTCACCTTTATTTATTTACGTCGGCGGGCCCAACAAATACCCCTCCTTCCCACACCTCTCCAACTCCCCAACCTGCCATCGTCGTCCGCCCTCAATTGCACCCTTTGCGACCCGCCCAATCTCGTCCGCCCTGGCACCACCGATCAACACCAGAGATCAACACACCGCAACCATGGGAAAGGTGAGCCACCCGCGCGGGCTGCCCCACCTGCCCCGCGCTAACCGAGACCCAGGCCAAGTACATCCTGCTCGACTGCGACAACACGCTCTGCCAGTCCGAGCACCTGGCCTTTGAGGCCTGCGCCGACCTCACCAACAAGGTGCTTGAGAAGCATGGCATCACCGACAAGCGCTACACGGCCGAGAGCCTCCTCGAGGACTTTGTCGGCTACAACTTCCGCCGCATGCTGCTTGCCCTGCAGCCCAAGCACAACTTCAAGATGTCCGACGAGGAGCTCGAGGAGTTTGTCGAGGCCGAGCTCGGCGCCGTGACCAAGAAGCTCAGCGAGAAGGCTGTCGAGTGCCCTGGCGTGACTGAGCAGCTCGAGTGGCTCAAGAAGGAGGGCTACCCCATGTCCGTCGTCAGCACGTCGGCCAAGAGCCGTGTTGTCGCCTCTCTCAAGAAGACTAACCTGGAGCGCTTCTTCACCGACGAGCACGTCTACTCGGCCGCCACCTCACTCAACCCCCCTAGCTCTAAGCCCGACCCCGCCATCTACCACTACGCCTGCAAGGAGCTCGGCGTCAAGGAGAGCGAGGCCATCACCGTCGAGGACAGCAAGAGCGGTGCCACGGCCGCCATGCGCGCTGGCATCCCTTGCATCGGCTACGTCGGCATCTATGGCATTGAGGAGGGCAAGGAGAAGATGGAGCAGATGGCCAAGCTTCTCACCGAGGAGACCAAGTGCGTGGCCATCATGTACGACTGGAAAGAGTTCCCCGAGGCGCTCAAGAAGGTCGAGGCCAAGTTGTAAGCCTTTGCTTGCACTGCGAGGGGGACTGCGTGGTCGACTGGAAGGTCTTCAAAGGCAGAAACTCATTTGATTACACCTGATAGCGCATCATACATGGATAACGAGAAACACGGCTCACGACTGAAAATACCATAGGTAGACAAAGGATCTGCATTAGATCTGCTCCATAATGTCAGCATTCTGGATCTGTGTCTCTTCTTCTGCCTGTGATGTTGGTTGACTGCTTCTACGAAACCGTACCCTCCAAAGCAGATTGGTGATGATAATGTTGTTGACTCCGTCGAGGCGTCGTGGAGCGGCCAACAGGCTCACCCTTACCTGGCAGTCAGCTGGCTGGCCTCTCACTTTTTACAACCTGACCATAAAATGAAGCCAACATATCTGATGGTGATTTGGCCACACTCTGGTCGGAAAAGCTCGCTTGAGACAATGAAACCATCGCGGTCGTTGCATAGTTCAGTTGAGGGAAGAAGTGACGATGCGCATTAACTCCGGCGTCACGAAGAATCACTAACACCCGACCTTCAGCTCACCATGTCACCTGCCAATACCCTTTGAACGAACAAAGTCTCTCGATGTCGCGAACCTTTGATACACTGTCGGGGAATGTCTCTCCATCAGAACAGGACAGGCATTTTTGTATGTCGATCTCGATACTTCGTCCTTTGCCCATTCGACCTGGCTATTGCGCTACCACACCAATTAATATAACGATGCGTTGTTGCTATGGGCTCCGATAAGACGCAAGCTTCAATACCGATTCACCTTCCGTTCGAGTCGCACTCGGCGAATCGGAGCATTACGACTCTGGTCGTTCATGCGACACATCACTGCGGGTGCAAGCGAAACGGTGCTTGGCTTCACTAACAAGGCCAAACGCGTCGAAAAACTGGCAGAAACGGGGTTGTTCCCGCGTTATATAACATGTGCTATATCTTTATCGTAGTTAAGCCTACGGGATCGGCACTTTGGGCGCACTCGGCATCGCGTGCTCTACTTTTTGAGGATGGGGTATCGCTGTCGCCAAGGCCTGTGTGATTATCCCTCCTTCCAATTACACTTTTAGAAAAGACTCGGCAGGTTCTGGTTAATATATCCAAGCCAATGTGACCCGCCAGTCGCCATTACCACTTAACAGCCTTTTCTTCGCTGGAGACGCGTGCTCGCAAAGACCCAAATGCTTAGGAATGACGGTATCAGCGCGATTAGGAAGGCGCTCTGTCCACCTGCCACCTTGGACGAAACAAATGGTTGTCTATCAGATGTGGGACCGTCACTCTCGCGGTTATGGGGCGGCATATAAGGGTGGTGGTGAGCTGTTGTGGAAGTCTGTTTAGGACAAGGTCTTCCTGTTCAAACGTCACGAGACTTTGCTGCCACCATGTTTGTGCGAACCGTCCTCCTCTCATTGTCGGCTCTCGCGGCTGCCAAAGAGCTTCCCAAGGATGAGGTGAAAGCTGCTCAGCTTTACGACTCCGGGATCAAGCATGCGAACAATGTAGCGCTCAAGAGGGTACTGTCGAACAAGTGTATCTCAGAGATCTCGACTGACACACGTAGGAATCTTGGGCGAAGCATGAGGCAGCCGGTGTCTACGCATCAGAGCAGTACGCTGAGGTCGCAGACTTCGTGGCATGCTCCAACGGTACCGCCAAAACAAGCACCGACACCTTCAGGTGCAAGAACGTCAGTCCCTGTTTGTTCCTGTCAGTCACATACTGTACACTAACACAAGACTAGATTGACTTATACCACTTCCTTTCCCACTCGGCGCTCGGTAGCACCAGGGGCTTTGGCTCTTCGTCTTGGGGTTGGACCAGCTCAGATGGACGTGAGTTTGTTGCTATCGGCCAGTCTGACGGTACTGCCTTTGCGGAGATTACCAACGCTGGCAAGCTTTCCTACTTGGGACGCCTTCCTCAATTCTCGACTCCTAGCGAGTGGCGCGAGATCCGAGGACACAACGACTTCGTCATCATCGGCAGTGAAGCATCCGGCCACGGCATCCAGATCTTCGACTGGAAGAAACTCTTGACCATTGATCCTGCCAAACCTGTCACCTTCACTAACACTGTCGGTGGTGGTTTGGTCGGTCACTACGACAAGCTGCCATCGGGCCGTACCCACAATGTTGTCACCAACCCCAAGGGCAACTACATCTACTCCGTAGGAGCTCAGCCTAGAACTGATGCCTGCAAGTCTGGCATCATCTTTATTGACATTTCCACTCCGTCGAAGCCTGTCAATGCTGGATGTGCCTCTGCAGACGGGTATGTCCACGATGCGCAATGCGTCTTCTACAAGGGCCCCGATACGCAGTACAACGGACGTGAGATCTGCTACGGCTACAATGAGGACACTCTCACGATTTACGACATAACTGATAAGAAGAGTCCTGTAGTTCTTTCCAGGACTTCTTACACTGGAGCCTCATACACTCACCAAGGCGCTCTTCTTGACGTGGAGAACCAAAAGTACCTGCTCCTCGATGACGAATATGACGAGTACGATAAGACTGGTCCTGGCGCTGCTGGAAATCCAATTACCTACATCTGGGATATTTCTTCCCTAAAAAAGCCAAAGCAGGTAGGCCTGTATAAGTCGGGTGCCAAGGGCATTGACCATAACCAATACGTGTCGGGTGGATTCGCCTACCAGTCTAACTACGGCACTGGCTTCCGTGTTCTTGACGTCTCTTCGATCCCGAGCGACCCTTCTGGTGCTGGTGTAAAAGAAGTCGGATTCTTCGACATCTATCCTGAAGACGATAACCAGGCTGGCGGTGGTGTCATCGATTTTGTTGGTACCTGGAGCAGCTACGCCCTTTTCAAGTCCGGCTATATCCTCGTTAACACAATGGTGAGTTCTCTGACACGAGCAAATATTAAACTTGTTAACTTTTGGCAGGAGCGAGGCGCCTTCGTCTTGAAGAAGCAGGCAGGTGCATTTTAGAAGGCAAATACGATCGGACCCACCGCCAGAGTTCTGTGATGCGCTGACGGATTGGTGGAGGGACGGAACATCTAGAATCATGCCAATGTCAATGCCTTCGTATTCAGTCATGCCCCACCAAATGTCGCTCCGTATTTCCTCAATGGCTTTACTCCGCCGTTCTGTGCCCAACACAATGTCGCGATAGCACATGCCTTAAGCAGTTAGACCAGGAACGCCTGTGCCGATCAACGGTTGTGGAGCCGCCGTCGTTTCCTCCATCCTTCGGCCAGCAACCATTCAGTACTCAATCATGGCTCATACATATGTAGCCTCATCTCATCCATCTCTCCGTCACTGTAGACTACATCACACATCAACGGCGTCGACGCGCAAAATGGCCACCGCAATATCCGATCGCGTTATCGACCTCACAGATTGTGGCGCCTTTGCCTCCCCCGCCCACAGCTTGGCAGCTGGGCATTCTTGATTTCCTTCCCAATCAGCATGCGCTTGCGAGCGTGCCCATGGGGCGCCCAGAACAACCCGTCATGATTCTATTCGACGCTCCTTCCCGAATTATACCATATCAAGGCCTTGCAGATTGTCCATCGTAATGATGCCCGGATCCATGGCAAGTTGCCATACCGCCAAGAAGAGCGAAGATGTTGTGCACCCTGTCGCCAGGTTACTGGTGCTGTCCATGGCGCGGAATATCACCTCGGCTGACGGTACCTGGGCGATGCTCGACTGCGAGCTGCCTCATTTGGAAATGAGCTGCCGTAGAGGCGATGTTGTGCGCAGGATATTTGGATGACTATATAGAGCGGCGTGTGTATCGTCCTCCATCGCACCACGGCTTTCATCCGCTTTGTCCTTCCCGACTCCCGCTAGGATCTCAATTTGGTCAACATGAAGATTTCAGCAATCATCGCTGCGGCGGGCCTAATTGCTCCTGCTTTTGCCGGAGGAGATAAGGGAAACAAGAACAAGAAGCTTGTCACACCAAGGGAGCTCATCAAGGACGTCAAGCTCAAGAATCTGCTTGCTGGATCCCAGAAGCTGCAGGACTTTGCGGACGCAAACGGTGGAAACCGAGCCTTTGGAGGCGGGGGGCACAATGCCACGGTCAACTGGCTATACACGGAGCTCAAGAAGACTGGCTACTACAACGTCCAAAAGCAGCCTTTCGTTGAGCTCTTCACTGCTGCGACAATCGACTTTTCTGCGGGCGGTACCGAGTATGATGCGTTCTACATGGTATGTGAAGTACTCTCGGGTCCACTCGCGCTACTCTAACGGCTAAATACCAGACGTACGGGCCTTCTGGCAACGTGACTGCACCCCTGGTCGCAGTGGCGAACATTGGTTGCGATGCCGCAGACTACCCTGCAGAGGTCTCTGGGAACATTGCTTTGGTCTCACGTGGAACCTGCACATTCTCTCAGAAAGCCACACTGGCAGCAGCAGCTGGTGCTGTCGGAACCGTTATCTACAACAACGTCCCCGGTGCGCTCGCCGGCACTCTCGGTGGTGTCGGCGACTATGTCGCAACAGTTGGAGTCACTCAGGAAACTGGCGCAACTCTGCTGAGCGCCATTCAGGCTGGTGAGGTCTCGGCCACCTTGCTTGTAGACGCCATTGCGGAAAACCGCACCACCTACAACGTTATCGCTGAGACCAAGACTGGCGACAAGAACAACGTGCTCGTTCTTGGAGGCCACACGGACTCCGTCTTCGCTGGTCCCGGTATCAATGACGATGGCTCAGGCACAGTGGGTGTACTCGAGGTCGCCAAAGCCCTCACCAAGTACAAGATCAAGAACGCTGTCCGCTTCGGTTTCTGGGCCGCTGAAGAGTTCGGCCTGCTGGGCTCCTACCACTACATGAAGACCCTCAACGGCACCATTAGCGGTTCTCCTGCTGAAGTCGCCAAGGTTCGAGCCTACCTCAACTTTGATATGATCGCATCGCCCAACTATGTCCTTGGTATCTACGACGGAGACGGCAGCGCCTTCAACCTCACCGGCCCTACCGGATCCGACACCATTGAGAGGGACTTCGAGGACTTCTTCAAGAATCGCGGTGTTCCATCTGTCCCATCCATCTTCAGCGGTCGCTCAGACTATGCCGCATTCCTGCAGAATGGTGTCCCTTCAGGGGGCCTGTTTACCGGAGCAGAGGAGCTCAAGACTGAAGACGAAGCTGCTCTCTTCGGTGGCGAGGCCGGTGTCGCGCTCGACGTCAACTACCACCAGCCCGGTGATGACATCAACAACCTCTCCACTGAGGCGTACCTCATCAACGCGCAAGCCATTGCGAACTCAGTAGCCAAGTACGCTGTGAGCTTCGAGGGCATCCCCAAGGCGAACGTCACACACAGGAAGAGAGATGCGGAGATCTCGCGTTACATGGCTAGATTCGCAGATACCATTGCGGAGTCTCACAAGGGCCACGTGCACGCCGCGCCATGCGGTCAGGGTGCGCTGCTCGAGTAGAGGAGGAAGTGGATTATGAGTGATGCATGACGACTACTGCACGTTGTATAGTAGAAGTAATGAGTAATGTCAAAATGTAGATTGCCTCGCTGAAGGGTCAATGTCAAGTGTGTTCTCGCTCCCCGGTGATCTACGTAATCGGGTCTTCTCGCCTATCCAAGTTAACGAATGTGAAGTCCTGGGACCGACTCTAGGTGGTGAGAAACACGCGCCCGCCAAACCTATAAGTATACCACCATGTGCTGGCCACACCGTCACACGGTGCGATGGTTTACCCGGCGGTGGCCTCACATCGCATGAAGAGTGATCAATTTTTCCGCATTTCAGTGCCCATAACAGGCCGGAATGCTGTGGTTACAAGCAGAATCCTAACACAGGTCTGCTAAGTACCGATTGGGTTTAGACTCCACAGGTCCCATGAGGCGTAGTGCCCAAGTAAGCAGAGATATTTGAGCATACACAATACGACACAGCTAGTTCGGCAGAATCTCTGACTTTTGAATAAGCAGCGTTTGCGAAGTTCACTCAGACTGGTTAGCTGTACTTGGCCAGTGTCATCAGCCTTTAATTCACACGTACCTCGGGCGAAAGACGAGATGGCGGCGGGCGAGACTCGGGGGAGAAGCTGATATGACATGTATATAAGAAAGATCATTCACCCTCATGTCTTCCACTCGCAAACACTCATCGCCCACCTGGTCAGAACTTTGTCCACGTAATTCAACGACCAGAGATTCACCACCCCTCCATAGTTTCCTATCCTCGCCAAACCACACAACAACAACCATGGCATCCTCCACCTCTCCCTCAACATCCACCCCCGCCACCTTAAGCGTCTCCTTCCCCTCCCTACACCCTACAACCGGCCTCCCCATAACCTTCAACAAAGACTACTACTTCAACGTGCATATCGCCAAGTTCGCGCAAACCTGCATCCCCTTCGGCTACCTCGGTTACCAATTCTTCGAATTTCCGAACCCCAGCCCGTTCACAGGAGAGCCGCCCGAGTATGCGTTTCAGACGGTCGGGTACTTTGAGACAATGGAGGGGCTGCAAAAGGCGGTAGAGGCAACCAAGGAGGAGGCTATGAGGGATCTTAAGGAGTTTGTGGACTTGGGGGAGGGGGTGGGGCCGGCTGTGGTGGTGGGGATCAAGAGTGAGGAGAAGTGGTTCGGGAAGGGGGGTTCTTAAGACAAAGGGGATCTTGGGGGTAATCGTGGGGTATGTTCGTCCAGGATGATACTCAGAGGGCTGTTTGCGTTGACGGTCGGCCATGCGACTCGAAGTGTCTCTGCATATTGACGCTGGTTATTTATCCGGCCTTTTTGTTTCGTGCTTGGAGAACATATACACAGCTTGCCCCTCTATGGAACGTTTCTCCGTGTTAGTTGCATCTCTACACCGCGTCAAATCAGGTATTTGTTTCTACCACTTGCTCGCACGAGCCCTAGATTTTTACAGGAAAGCTCAAGATTCAGGAGCCTGTTCGAGGTTCTGGAATGCAAGTACTTATGGTATGGTTGGTGTGCGCTTAGCGACGGCTAGATTATCGATAGCGGCCGATGACGTGAGTACCACAGGTGTGCTATTGGCTAGCTCGTGGTACTTCTCAATGGTGGAGGCCAAGCTGAATTGAGGCCATCGACGCCCCTCAACACATAGCTAACCAATTCGTTTGTACACCATCCCTCTTTGTCCAGCGCAAGGTTCTCATCCGCGAACCCTTCGCAGTCTCGCTCGCTGCGGTCTTCGAGATGCCCCCAAAGAACAAAGTCGTGGTGACGATGCGTCTTCCTGAAAGTGCTCAGAGGCTTTTGGAAGCAGATAAAAGCCCAACGGAATATTCACAGCACAATGCGGAGCAGGTATAGTGCGCTTGAACTTACATCATCTTGCAACATGCTAACGGAGCATTTACGACAGCCTTGTAGCAGATTATGGCTCCTAAATGAAATCAAAGGCGCACACGGCGTCTTGCTTGGGGTCTACGATAAAGTTGATGAAGAGCTACTCGACGCTGCAGGCGATCAACTCAAGGTCATCTCAACATTTTCGGTTGGGACAGACCACGTTGATCGAGAATTACTCAAGCAACGCAACATCCGACTCGGATATACGCCAACCTGCTTGACGGATTCTGTCGCCGATATCAGCGTCATGCTGGTTCTGATGGCCCAGAGAAGGGCCAGGGAAAGCATAGCAAGAGTGACTGCTGGACAGTGGCCCCAAATGCCCTGGCATCCGTCACTCATGATCGGACCTGACATTCGCGGTTCCACGGTGGCGTTTCTCGGTTTTGGTCGCATTGCACAGGCCACTTTGAAGCGACTCATCGGTTTCGGGATCAAGGACGCGCGGTATCTGACGTCCAAACCGGGACAGCCCGTCCAAGAAGATCATTTCGGTCTGATCCGTGACGCGGCTGTCCCAGTTCAACCTGTCAAAGACTTGAAGGAGCTTGCCAGTTGCGGCGATGTTGTTATTGTCAGCTGCGCCCTTACCCCGTCTACTTTCCATATTGTCAACGCTTCGTTCTTCGCTGAGATGAAGAAAACAGCCGTTCTCGTGAACATTGCCCGCGGACCAGTAGTCGACACTGATGCATTGGTCGATGCACTTCAGCAAGAGCAAATCTTTGGCGCAGGGCTAGACGTTATTGAGGGTGAGCCTGAAATAGCCAAAGGTCATCCTATCTTGCGCCAGGAAAGATGCGTCCTTTTGCCCCATATCGGTAGTGCGACTATCAAAACGAGAGAACAAATGGCAGAAGAGTGTGTTAAAAATCTGTGGGCGGGCCTGAACGGAGATGCCATGGTCAACGAGGCATCACTCTGAGGGAGTCTCAGACGTGGTGCCTCAGGTCTGGCAAGCTGTTTCCTTGTAAGATGCACCACCGTGCCGTTCAGTCGCACTGGGAGTTGGACTAGGTCACATATGCGCAACGCCGCTTATTCCGCTGTCACCACTAGTGACGTACACAGTATTCAGAACGTGTGCTTCATGATCGAGACCCACGAGCTTGCGTAGTCGGGCTAGGACATCGAGATTTCAGGCCGTGGTCCTGGAACTGTCAAGGTTTCTAGACGCGGGCGGCGCTTATGAAACATCCGGGGGATTCTGCTGGTAAGGCGCCACTGGCTCCAGCCTTGCGAGTTGCCTGAAAACATAACGTGATATAAACTCTTTGTACAATTTTGTACCATGTCGTTCGAGTACCCTGCGCTTCCGTAATGAATGCCCAGAAATTGTGAAAGGAGGCATGTTTTAGATGTTGCGTTCATCGAGTCGTGTGCGTGCGCAAACTTTCAATATTTTGCATACAGGAGAGCCTGCTTCATCCCGAGCTGTAGAGTCCCCTCGATTTGCGCCTCATCGCAAGGGCATGGCTTGATCAGTGTGAAGCTTTGGCAGAAAAATGGAGAAATGTTTGTTAAGATGAAGGCTATCCGGCTCCCAAGACGTTTCAATCCAAACCCGAATCCGGCTTAGCTTGCATACAGGACGCGTCACTACACACGTCGCTTCCCACGTGCGAGAAGACTAGCTCCACCACAGCATGTACGAAAGACCTCAAAGAAGCTAGAAAGCGGCAGCAACTGCCAAATCCTCCCAGCGTGCTCCGCGCAAGCGGTTTCTCCTGTGAGCGGACAGCTTTCCGCTCACCAGTGAGGCCGCTCAAGCTCCACCGAACAGGGCGTCTCTGGTTCCAGCCAAGACTACACCTGGGCTTGTTTCTTCATTCATCGCGGAACACCTCTTGGCATTGCATGGCACCCGGAGGAGCTTTCCTTTGCGCTATGGCCTACGGCCTCAAAGCAAGTAGCCTTGCTGTGCATCTCGACTTCTTTGGCTTGATGCTCCCGTCCCTCCTACGGACTTTCGTTTCTTGCGGCCTTTGTTTTATCACACTCAGACTTTGAAAGTCTCCGCTTTCTTTATTTCATTTCTTCGGGCAGGCTACCCAGAATCGTTTTTGTCTAATTCAAGATGTCTTCGATATCAATGTCGGGGTGTCCGATGTCAGGCCGAGCGAGTGGTGTATGTCCAAGATCCGCTCCCGGAAGCAAACGAAACAGCAGGAGTGGTAGGACTGGACCACGTGGATGCACTCTCTCTGGGTTCGCACAGCCAGGTGATGTGCATGCTGCATTTGGGGTTGGTATTTCCTCTTCTGCCTAGTTGGAAGCATACTCACAGACACCAGATCCCACAAGGGTCAAACGTGGAAGACTTCCTGCGCCAAAGGTACACTTTAAAGGCCAGGTTCTATTGGTCGTCGTACTAACCAAGCCAGGGAACGGAAAGCCATCAACGAGTTACTCTACTCCAATGTTCCTTCAATGGACGAGATCAAGGCCATCCAGAACGCCAAGGGTGTGAAGAGCCTCGACAAGCTGAACGTGGATGAGCGAGATTTGCTTGCTGTTGCTTTGGGAGCGCCTGCTCGCCAGGTCATCTTACGCGCCGAAGAGGTTGGCCCTAGCACAGGCTGGAGGGATGGCTACCTGAGTGTTGAGTACGGGTTCCAGCCTCCTGACACAAGCGAGGCCCCAGGAGCATTGCGAAATTCACCCGGAAGAGTATGGATGGACCTTTGCGATCGTATGCCGGGCTGTATTGCGCGTGGTCGTGTGCGAGAATCAGTGGCTGCGCTACCAATCGTTGAAGGTCGCATCGACATCATTCCCGACAAGGCACTGTGGGCAGCACTAGTTGCTCTAGGGATGCTGTGCTCAATATATCGATACGAGGAGAGACACGATGGTAATGAGGGAATCAATGTTGCAGCGAAATCTCTCAGACTCGACAGCGTGCCGATGAGCGATGATCTCGGGGACGAGGTCAAAGGGATTCCGCGCAGCATTGGACTGCCTTATGTTCAGATTTGTATACGCATGGGTCGATCGATTCCTCATCTCACTTTCTTCGACCAGTCATCCTACAACGTCGACTACATAGATCCGTTATCGGACTACCCATATGTCGGTCGATTTGACAATACTGTATGCGCCTCCTAATGATCAGAGAACCCAGCTAATTCCATACAGAGACTACGATGGGCGATGTTCGGTGACAGTGCTGAGCGAGCCTTTCTAAAAGGATGTGCTGAGACCTCCGCAAGCTTTCAGCATGGACCTGACGCTATTGCAGCGTGCCAGGAGCACGTAATGAACAGGAACAATGAAGGCCTTTTGCGTGAGCTCATCCGGCTCAAAGAGATCCTCGAGCGCATGCCTCAAGCATTTCATACGATCTCGTTAGCGGGATCGGGAGAGAACTATGTCTCACCGGCGGAATGGGTACGATGGGCCAAGTTTTCCGCACCTTTGTCAAAGAGATGCCCTGCCACTTCTGGTTTACAATTCCCTCCGTACGTATTGATCACCTCTACCGTACTGGGTCACGCCTGATGAATGCCAGGTATCTTGTCATGGACGCATTCCTCGGACGGAAAAAGTATGATTCATTTCTCGGTGCCGAGGGCGTCCATCTACGAGCGTGGCTCCCTTCTAACCTCCGCGCATTTATCGCTGCCATCGAGTATCATTACAGCATCCCAGAATATGTGAAAGCATCTGGAGACCCTCGTCTTATGGGTGTCTTGGACGGGGTCGTCGAAGCCTATACCGGCGAGCGAGGCTTTATGGGTGTTCATCGGTACAAAGTCTTTGGGGTAGGCTTTAATCATTGTTGCGTTCAGCCGTTCGTGTACTGACTGTATTATAGCTTCTCGAATGTGCTGGCAAGACTGGTCGTACCGAGACTAACGGTGCTTCGGGGGCTTCGAACGACATGCGACCATGGGAGCAAACACACGAGGAATTCTCCGCATCTATGAAAGAGCGTCTAGAGCCATTCCGGGGCCAACGCGATCTCGAACCACATGAGATGCGTGGGACATTCGAAGAGTGTCGCTACCGCGGACGCATCCTAAGCCGAAACTTCGTCGATTCCGACCCATCCCGATCCATTGCAATGGTCACTCTCGATATTCAAGAAGCGGGTATTACATTCCAACCTGGCGACAGGCTCGCAGTCATGCCGATGAACTCGTGGACAGAGTGCGCCAAGGTTGCCGCGGCTCTTGGTCTAGATTCCATGCTCGAAGATACCGTCACACTCGATCGCGTCTGGTCGCGCTATGCTGACCATATCGCCAGTGTGACTCGGTCTGGAAAGCCTCGGCTCACAGTCATTGATGTGCTGCGCAAGGGTCACCTGGCGCCGATCACGCAGGGGCTTGCGACCAAGCTGCACACCATGCTTCGTGCATCCTCGAATACCGTCCTCCAGGTCCTTGCCACAAATGAATGGCCGGTGCGTGCCTCATTAGGAGACCTGCTGCAAGCTGCAGTGCAAGATACCCCGACCAAAATCTGGGACCAAGCGTTTGGTCTATCTGGTGATCTCTCATGGCTAGCCGATTTGATTCCCGTCGAAGTTCCAAGGACTTATAGTATCTCCTCCACAAACTCTGACGAGCTCTTACCAGGTAAGTCGTTCTTTTGATTGATGAATATCTCTGATCTATAAAGGCACCGTCGACCTTACCATCTCACGTTCAAACTACGAACTGTGCTCGACCTTCGCTGGAAACTCCAAAGTCATGCGACATGGGGTTAGCAGTGGCTTCCTGAACCCACCTGTAGGCGACGAGTTGGATGTTCTCGATGACGAGGAACTGCTGTTGGGAGTCTCTCGGCCGTTTGCGTTCCAGCTTCCTTTTGACGATACCTCGCCTGTAGCGTTGTTTGCAGGCGGGAGTGGCATTGCGCCATTCCGCAGTTTCTGGCAAGCTCGCTGCGGACAATCTTGGGGTAAAACCGCGCTTTATCTGGGAGTGCAGTCGCGAGAGAAGTTCTGCTATGAGTCTGAGCTTCGCCACTACGTGAACGAAGGCTTGATGGAGGTCCACACCGCGTTCTCCCGTGACTCCAGAGGTCTAGTCTACGATCCAGTAACTCAAGACCTTGTGGAGAAAGAGATTCCGCCACGCTACATTGACGGTCTCATTGTGGAGCAAGGGCATGCTATCTGTGACTTGGTAAGTGCAGCCTCCACACATCTTTTCTCCTACAATACGCTAAGCGTCATGTTTGGATAGGTCATGAGTAAGAAGCAGGGAGGTATTGGCGGCTACATTTACGTATGTGGCTCTGTCGGTGTCTTCGATTCTGTCATGTCCGGCATCCGGAAAGCTCTCTACAATCATCGCTCGCCAACCATGGAGACCGTAGAGTCCATTCTCACCACTGCTTTCGCCGAACGTCGGTTCATGCTTGACGTTTTTATGACCCCGAAGCCTTTACCGTGTAATCAACCAACCATACCGCTCTCCCAACTCGCACTTCACACCGGACACACTCCCGACTCCCGCGTTTGGATCAGCGTACACGGCAAGGTCTACGATGTGACTGACTTCTGCCCTATGCATCCCGGAGGTAAGTTCAACCCTAGGCTAGGGCGCGACCAAGCTAACTTATTAAGGCACCAACATCATCAAATCCAATGGCGGTGTCGATTGCTCAAAGTCTTTCGATCTTCTTGCGCATACTAACAATCCCGAAGTATCGTCACTTCTCACGAAGTACTATATCGGAGAATTGACACCCAAACCAGCCTACCACTCCGAGGAGATTGGCATGCTGTATGATCTCTGGAATAGCTTCCTTCGGGTCGCCACTGAGCAGGTGGTTGCCTCTCACTTCGAAGTCGGGATGATCATGGAGTCATCTATCGTCTGGTTCCAAGGGGAGCTTTTCAATATGGGCGGTGTTCGTCGATTCTATCACTATCAATCTCGGCTACTCCAGGGCGCCTTCTCTGCCTTGTTCGGACCCAAGCTCCAGGAGATGTATCTCAAGATCTCGTTTGCATTTGCAAATGCATCTTCCTCCTCGACCCCGTCCAAGCTTCCCGACGTTCTCGGCATCATTGCTCGCGCCAAAGGATCTGGCGATGCTGTCAAGGCATCGAATGAGATTTCGCAGATTGGGCAGTTCACTTGCAACAGCGAATCTGCCCGCCATCACGAGAAGGGCATTATTACCTATGCGCAACGCTCTGTGCAGTACGATATGGAATTTCTAGAAGCTATCCGTGACGAAGCTTGCGCAGGCATGGATGCTTTCAGTACCATCATGGAGTTTGATGCTGCCTCGGATAGCCAACGCATCGCAGCGCTCTCTGCGTTCCTCATGCAAGTTCTAGAACGTATGGCAAAGCGGCTTGAAGGGTTCTACACAAAGCTTGCCCGCCACTCAGTTTTCCAGCCCGAGTTGGAGAGGAACCCTGCTCGTGCTCGTTGGAATATTCTCAAACGAAAGATACGAGACGGCTCTTTCTTTGTCTTGTCCCGCAACGTCACCATTAGCACTGCTCCAAGCTATCAGCCTGCCGTTGGAGAGCGCGTGGATTTCGACCAAGTCGTCTCGCAAATCGAAATGAACCTTGAGCACGCTGATTTACGGTCGAATCGCAACCTCGACCTGAATGAGCAACATGCCGCGCGGGCCATGGACACAAGCGACGGTGCTCCCGCATACGAGAAACACAACCATACCAGTGCGTTGAGGGCAATGTCATCTTTCATCAACGACAACAAACGCGCCATCCGCCGTCTTAGCAAACTCCCTCAGGACATTAACCTCGAGCAATTAATGCAGGCTTACGGTTCTGTGCATCCAGTTCCCAACGGCCTTCCCACGCCACCATCCAGTCGCTCCACAAGCCGTTCGCCGTCAATCAATAGCGGACGCGGGAATCTGGCAAGGCGAAATACAGTTGCAGACAGCCACTCGGGCGCAGCGCTCCAGCGCCGTCACACTGCTGCTTCTGAAGATATCGTCACAACCCCTACCCACATGTCACCAACCGCCACGATGTCTGCACTGATGACCAAGATGAACACACGCCCAAAGCCGGGCCAAGTTGGACTTGCCTCACCGCCTCACAGCGCTATCGGCTCGGCAAATTTCAGTTTCAACGATCGCGCTCGCTCTATGCAACGCCTGCCTATACGAGAAGAATCGGCGCGTGAGGCTTCGCCAATGAGTCCTGCGCATATGCGCTCAAGGAGTACTACCAACAGCCTAAGAGCATTCCGACTACAGGCCAGCGCAGTTGCTGGTGGTATGAGCAGAAGAGGTGATACCTCGGCACATTGAGACAATCAAATAGTAAAAATATACATGTAGCTTGCAGCACCCACCGTTGACGGCGGGCGCAACCAATCCAAGTCACTTGTTCAGCTGCATTGACCACATGATTCAATGGCTTGACGAAGCCTTCGTATATTTCGAAGTACTGTGGTGGGCGTCTTTGTCGTCCTTTGTGAAATTTTGACCGATGGCGTTGCGTCGCTCTTTGTCTTGATTGCAAACTGGAGTGCTGGCGCACACAAAAGTCCCCCTTTGTGGATCAAGTATAACTGGCCGGCACATGATAGTGAGCTGCTCCGACATTCTCGCTTTGCTCAACACAAGAAAACACATTGTTTATTCTTCTACTGAGTACCGAACCCTTTGATTCATGCAACACAGAGCTATCAAAAATTCAACATGAACCAGATGAACTCCAACGATATTCTTGTCGCTTCTGGTCCAGATGTGGTCAGAACTGCCATGGATGAGCCGTATGAGGTCCATTTCGCTGCTTGGATAATCGTCACATCGGCCGTATTCTCTAGCGTTAGCCTCTTGTTCCTGCTATGTCGTTATTGGTTCTTAATGATGCGATCCGAAGACCAAGCTCAATCTGGAGAGCACAAAGAGTCACCGCTACCGAGGACCGTGAATATTCTCGTCAAATGTCATAGCGATGGGGCGCTGAGCAGATCTGGCACATACACTGCCAGCACTGGGGAAGACCCATTAGTGACGCAATTACGGGATGACAACGCGGCGCTTAGACAGAGACTGACAGATACCCAACAAATCATCAGCGCCAGTGGGGATCAAGGCATGCAGGCGCTGAACACCACCAAGGTCAAGCTTCTTGAGTCCGAAGCCGAATGTAAAAATTTACGGCGCATTATTGACGAAGAACAAGCGCGCATCAACGGGTGGAAGAAGAGTTTTCAAGAAGAACGCAAGGCAAGAGAAGCTCTTAATCGGACAGTGAAGAATGTCGAGACCAACAGCGATTCTGCAGCCCGCGAGCGCGAGGGCCTGCGAACGAACATTTTTCAACTCAATTCAGAATTACAATCGTTACGCAAGGAGCTCGAACAGGCTCTCAAACAAAACGCAGATGATCGGGCTGCCGCTGACAGCAGCAAGTTGGCACGGAAGAAGGCGGAGAAAATCGCCAAGGATGAGAGCAAGATCAGGGCCCAGCTGGAAAAACAGATTAAGAGCCAACAGAAAGAGATTGATGATCTTTATAGAGAGCTGAATGAGAAAGCGGCATCGGCCCAAAGTCAACTAGAACAGAAGGCTAAGAAAGAGATTGTCGATCTGCGTGCCAACAACAGTAGGCTCCAGCAAGAACTTGTCAAGATGTGTGATGACGCTGCAGGCCAGGCAGAGCGGAACGGAGAGCTGCAAAAAGAACTGACAGAAGCTCGCAATGGGGCTACTGAGCAGTCGCAGCTCCTTCAAAAGGAGCGCACAGCCGAGAAAGAGAAGCAGCACAGTGCCGAAAAGGAAGTTTCTGGTTTGAAGGAGCAGGTGAAGAGTTTGACAGACGAGCTCACGGCCGAGAAAAGGAAGCAGCAAAATGCCAAGAAAGCAGCCTCTAATCTGAAAGAGCAGGGGAAGAAGTCAACGGATGAGTTTGAGAAGGCCACAGATCTCAAGAAGAGCGTTGAGACATTAACGTGGCAGCGTGATGACGCGCGGGATGAACTCATATCACGGGACGATAAGATCACAGAGCTCGAATCCCGGCAAGAACTTGGGACAGAAAACGATTCTTCCATTAAATTGAAGGATGCTCAAACCAAGATCCATAAGTTAGAGGAGCATAATGAGACACTCATGAGGAAACAAAAGAATTGGAAAGAGAAGAAATCCGACCTAGAGAGCCTGCTCTCAGAGAGTGAGGACAAGGCTGCGGCTTCACAAACGAGGGAGAGAGAACTTGCAGATAACCTGGCGGATTGTAAGAAGGAAATGGAAGAAGTCCGGGCCGGACTCGAGAAGAATAAGAAGAAAGCTTACTCTGTGAGAGAGGTCTCGCCCCTTGTTCCGTTCAAGAACATGCCTAGAAAGGGTGTATCGTTTCCGACAGTTCGAAAGGGAAATACAAGACCTACAACGGCATCTTCTTCGAAGCCTCCGCTCCCAGATATATCTGGTATGAAGAATGATAAGCACAAGAAACAGGAAGGGGACGAGTTGCCTCGACCAGGCCAAGAAGACAATGTATCACCGGTCAGGCCATCTCCTTCAAGTACCCCAGCGTCCTCTGATCCTCAAAAACCGAGCGAGGTCTCTATGGCAACTTCTTCGAAAACCAACAAAGGGGTCCGTCCGATAGCGCCAGCTAAGGGACCTCGAAAGGGGAGGCCAAACCATACACGTCAGCCACCGACAATTGACGACCGGCCGGCACCAACGGATGGTCAACCATCGACCACAACGAAGCCCCCAAGGGAGCAAGTCAAGCAGCCGAGCCCAGCTGCCAGCGGTGTGTCAAGCACGCCTGCAGCAAAGCAGGAAAAAGTAGAAGAAGCAGGATCTGAAGATGATGAGCGCCCCAAAGTAAGTACATCCCGTGACTCTTTGGATCACTGTCTAACTGCTCATTCTAAGGACGACCGGCCAGCAAAGAAGCCATCGAGAGTAGAGGAGGGACCAGCAGTACAACAGAAACCAGAACCGCCGCGCCGACCGCCTGATACCGAACTTTTTGCGAAGCGACCTGGGGTGTTTACGTCTCCATCAACCGGAAGTATTTTTAACTTGTTAGGAAGGAAAAATTCATCAGGTACACAAGCAGCACCGCTCTTAGGTGCACAACCTTTCCGGCAGCCCCAAGCTGGGATCACAACCCCAGCCCCAATTAAGTTTGAATTCACAAAACACATGGACGTGCTCAATCATTTTGGGGCGTTTGGGTTTGTTCCAAACCCATTGCAGGCCACCGCCACACCGCCTGTGACTGAACCTGCACCTGACCAGCCCAAAACGACCAGTTGGAATCCCGCCAACGCCAGTAAAGTCTTCAAAAATCAGAGTTCAGCTCCCTCACTTGGAGCACCCCCAGCGAATACCGACACAGAGCCGCCGAACATTCAAGGGCCAGTTCACTCGGCTCTGCAGGACCAGCAACCCTCCGCCCCCCGGGACCAGCCCACCACCAGCGCATCCGCAGTAGATGGCCCTCCGGAACAAACAGGCCCAGTCTCTCCGGGCAGCTCCATCAATAACGACCCCTTGTTCACCGAGCACATCAATCAGAGCCCACATTCTCCAAATGTCAGCGGCTCCGACGCCGACTCCTCAATGGAGATCGAAGGTACGAACGCCGAACGCTCGAAAAAGTACGCAGGTTATGAACCATATGTGTCAAGCGGAAGCGGCGATGATGACATGCAGGTGGATGAAAAGTCAGACAATCAGGCAGAGCCCGGCAGCCATCAAACACCGGGTGCTGATACCTTCCAGGACCAGTTGGGCGGCTTCTCACCGTTACAACCACCATCCGCTCCAGCACCTTTGGGCCCAACCTTACCCGTCTATGAACCAGGTCGATCCGAATCCTGGAAGCAAGAGCAACCCGCATCCCCAGGCTTTTCAGGCTTCTCGCACAGCGGCCGCCCCTTCAGGTATGATCCCTCTGGCCCGGAGCTCGAAGGCTTCGCCTCCCACCACAGACAACAGCAGGAGAGAGAAAACAACAACCAAAAATTGGCAAACACCAACGTGGGTGGTGAGCCTCCCGACCAACCGAGTCCTAGCGGGGGCAGGTTCACCGGCAGCGGCAACAAGCCAGGTTGGGGCGGTGAACAGCCAGAGAGCATAAAACACGCACCTAGGTCACCCGTACGAGAGTACAATCCCAGCCCGGCCTATATGAATGGTGAGGACGGCGATGGGAGCATCTACCCAGGTTTCCCCGGACGCCAAAGGAGGGGCAGCGGTGGTTTTGTTCCACCATCCCCATTCCTGATGTCGGGCCGCGATCAACAAAGACGGGGTGCTTTCATTCCATATCCGGAGGAGGATGAGCACGAACGTCCGCACAGGGGTCCGGAGATTGGCGGGGGTAGAAGAGGATCGATGGACACGATGGCCGGGGGAGAGACGCGGGATGGTAGCGAAGGGCGGATGGAGCTAGACGACAAGCCTGCACAAATCCCGTTCGCACAGGGTCAGACGCAGGTGCCTGCGAATAACCCATTTGGACAGGGCCAGACGCAGGGCATCGCAGTCAACCCGTTCACCGGACAGCCCCTGCGGCCCTTCGCTGGTAGTGCACCTAACCCATTCCGACAACACACAACGCAGGCCCCCGACAACTGATTTGCTTACCAACCCCAAACTCGCGCGAACACCACGAATCAGGGTCCCGCGCACAAGCAGGGTCGGGCCTCGACCGGTCGGGCCTTGACAGGAAGTTGGCTGAAAGAACCGCCGGCTGATGCGGCCCCCAACGACGACGGCGACGGTGATGGCATGGAATTGGACTCCCCCGACGACGCGGAAACGACTGCAGACATGCCCGGAGAGGAGGCGGATGAACTGACAAAGCTGTTCATCGAAGGCTTGGACCAGCTCGAAGAGATCGACGATGATGAGGACGACCCCAGGCTCAACGACGGCTACGTTCAGCCGGAGAAGAAGGAATAGGAGGAGATGGAGCACGCTGGGGTAAAGTGGAAGGGGGCGTTGAAGGAGCCTGCTCCGGAGGAGGATAGTGAGGATGAGAGCCCGTGCCAAGGGGGTGAAGAAGCCTTTGTAGGAGCAGGCCGGGGAGGGGACGGTGGGGAGGGCGCCGAGGGACAAGGCTGTGCAGAAAAAGTACTTGAACAAGATCATGGGGGAGTACTCTGATTAGAGGGTTTGCTCGTGGCGGAATTGGAGGGGGTTGGGATTGATAGTGCTGCTGATTTGAATGTTCGCGGTTGATGTGTTGAGCTTGGGATGCAGCGACAATGGAGCGATGCGTGGCGCGGGCGCGGGCGTTGTCTGTGTTTTGTTTTGTGTACATCTTGACCGTTGATTTTAATTAATGTGTGGTTAGTGTTGCGCTGTGCAAAGGTTCTTAATGGCCAATGATCGTCTTTTATTGTGCGAGGCTAATTCGACGAGGTTACCCATATCTAACCTCTCCCGTGCCCTCACGAAACCAGTCATCGTTTGCGATGCTTTCTTCTGCTGTGGCGTAGTTAATGATGGTACTTTTAGTCGTTGTATATGCGTGGTAGGCATCTGTCTCAATATTAGCGCCGTCTTTCCTTGCGGTGAATGGGTATAACGTACCAACACCATTCTCACTCCCTACACCCGAGGTCTTGATCCCGCCCCACGGACTGCTCGGATCGTTCCGGTGGTGCGTGTTCACCCAACAGATACCCGCTTCAATTGCCTCCGAGACACGATACGCCTGAGCCAGATCCTGCGTCCATATGGCGGCGCCCAAGCCGAACTCACTGTCGTTCGCCAGCTTGAGTGCTTCCTCTTCCGTGTCGAACTCCACCACCACTATGACCGGTCCAAAGGCCTCCTCTTTCCAGATTCGCGTGTCCACAATCTTGTGGTCTGGGCTGTCGGCAAGAATGGTCGGCGGGTAGTAGTAGCCTTTGGAGAAGTCGGTGCCATCGAGGGGAGAAGTATCCGTCATGCGCTTGCCACCCGCGTACACCCATACGCCGGATTCCAGCGCCTCGTCGACGAGCGAGCGCACGTTTTCGAGTTGCTTAGCTGAGATGAGCGGGCCCATCATGGATTCTGGGTTTGAAGGGCTGCCCATGCGACGCTCGATGCTCTCAGCCTTCTTGCGAAGCTTTCCGAGGACTTTATTGGTGATATTTTTGTGGACGATGATGCGGGTGGCTGCGACACAAGTCTGGCCGCTCGCGATGAAGCTCCCGAAGGCAATTCCGTTGACGGCGGCATCAATGTTGGCTTCCTCGAAGACGATTAGGGGTGCTTTGCCGCCCAGCTCAGCAGTGAAGTGCGCTAGGTTGCCGCCTGCTATGGCGCCGATAGCACGGCCTGCAGGAGTGCCGCCTGTTACGTCCACTTTCTTGATGAGGGGATGCGAGACGAGTGCTTTTCCGGTAGTGGCTCCGTCTCCGGGAAGGACTGTGAAGACGCCATCGGGAAGGCCCGCCTCCTTTAGCAACTTGGCCAGCTCAATGCTTGTCAGAGGAGTGAGCTCGCTGGGCTTGAGGATGACACAGTTGCCTGCCGCTAAGGCAGGTGCAATCTTCTTCACCGCGATGAGCATTGGATGATTGAAAGGCGTAATCTGGGCAACGACTCCCAACGGCACGCGGTCAATCCAGTTGTGGAGCTTCCCCATGGTAGGCATCACGCTTCGCTCCTCGACGCGTATCAAGCTGGCGTAGTACTTGAACCATTTGGTCAAAGTCGGCACCTGGGCATTCATTTCCCGGATGGCGCGTCCACTCTGTCGAACTTCCAGCTCGATAAGCCGGGATATATTCTTGGTTAGAAGATCTGCAGCGCGCTCCAGGGTGTCTGCGCGGACATGGCGGGGCGCTTTTGACCAGACGCCTGCTTTGAAAGTGGCATGTGCATTTCGGACTGCTGAGTCGACGTCTTGGGGGGAAGCTGCGTGGCATTTTGCAAATATGTCGCCGGTGGAGGGATCCTCAACTGATAGCCTAGATGTGGTTAGATATGGAAGACGCGTTCACGGGCGGGTAGGCTGACTGACTGCTCCGCTTGACCTTCGGCTTCCTGGCCTCGTACCCACATCTTGTAAGTTTCGACAGCCATGTTGTGTATGAAGAAGAGCTCAATGAACCGTTGGTATGATAGGCATGGAAGTAAGCAAGGTACAGAGCGCGGAGATGGCCGACAGGCGTCTTGGCGCGTCTACACAGGCTGGGGCTGGTCTCTGGGCGTCGGGAGAGCTTTTATCGTCGACGGTTGGGATTTGATGGAAGAGTTACAAATGTGGATGCCAGAATGGCGACAGACTGATCAGTGCTTGCTGCTCTCCAACTGCTCCAACCCAACGATGAATGAAGCAGAACGGCGGCTCTGCCAGGCGCGATGTGGGCTGTGAACGGACCGAAGAGCTGGCGGGGAGTGTCAATGGAATGGCATAGCTGGCCGAGAAGCACAGGCTATCAACGCATCCAGACGGTAGCAGACCGCTTTGGGTGGTGCATGCAGAGGCGCTGCAGAGGCGCTGCAACGCATGCACCTGGCCGTGCACGAGTGTGCCCCGCGTAGACGGTCGAACCCCGCCGAAGCTTGGCAATGACTCAACCCACGCCCAAAGTCGGACGCGACGCCGTCGGCGCAAGACGAGCAAAATAGCCCGCATCAGGTACGGGCTGCATCTTGACCCTGATACCGCCAATTCACGCCCCGACGCCCCCCACAATGAGCGTCAACACGCCCACGGCGGAGAAGCCGCTCCCCGGCTTCGACATTGTCTCGACGTACCGGTCCATCCTCGCGGGCGACGCGGAGCTGACCATGCCCGTGGCCGCCATCGAGGCCCTCGTCGAAGCCATCGCCCACTCGTCCGTGTCCACCGTCGCCGAGACGCTCGCGCTCCTCGAGCACCACACGGCCGTCCTCAAGGCCGAGATTGCGAACCCCATCTCCCTCTCCGCCGGCACCGATCTCTTCCAGCGGTACCTCATCACCACCCTGAACAGACCCGCCGCCCTGAACCTGGGCCCCGGGGACGACTTCAGGGCCATCCGGAACCATCTGCTCTCCAACGGCCGCCTGTTCGTCGAGCGCGCCAAGCAGAGCAGGGAGAAGATCGCGAGCTTTGGCAAGCACTTCATCCGCGACGGCGCCACGGTCCTCACCAACGGCGGCTCCAGAGTGGTTGGCGCGCTGCTGCGACGCGCTGCCGAGTCCAGCACCATGCGCTTCCGCGTCGTCTACGTGCTGTCGGGCTCAGCGTCCTCGGACACAAAGGAAGGCGACCAGATTGTCGCAGACCTGCGCGCCCACAACGTCCCGGTCGCCACGGTGCCCGACTCCGCTGTTGCGTACTCCCTGGGCGAAGTCGACATGGTCATTGTCGGCGCAGAAGGCGTAGTCGAGAACGGCGGCATCATCTCCAGGCTGGGAACGTACCAGCTGGGTCTGCTGGCCAAGAGCAAAGGAAAGCCTTTCTACGTCGTCGCCGAGAGCCACAAGTTCGTCAGGCTCTACCCGCTCAGCCAGTTCGATCTTCCCATCGAGCAGAAGGTCCTCGAGTTCCGCGTCGCCGACGACAAGGGCACTTCAAAGCCCTCAGAAGACGAGGGCTTCTTCGACATGCACGGCTCCACCAAGAAGTGCTCTGGCATCAATGCCGACGATGCCGTGGACTTCACTGTACTATATCCCCAGTCCATGTCTAGCAATAAAAGCTAACTGCCCTAATAGCCACCCGATCTCATCTCGGGCATCATCACAGAGTCCGGCGTGCTGACGCCCTCCGCCGTGTCCGAAGAGCTGATCAAGATCTGGTTCTGAGCCCCCCAAGCCTGAGCTACTTTGACATGCCCACAATCCACGCCAGCCGCGTATACGACGCAAACTTATGCCCGGCTGAACTAACGCGTAAAATAGGAGTGATGAGTACCTTTTGCGCGGGGAGAGCTTTGTGTTCCATCACCACAGCCATGCCGGAAGGAAGGTCAGCAGTTCCGACGAGGGCCACGTCCGAAACCGTGATGCGCTGGATGAGACGTGGATGGACATCAAATAGGGATGTTGTCGACACCCAGTGAAGTGCACTAAGGGGTTCTTGGCGAGAATGTGCGGTCAGGTTTGGTCATTGGAGCGCCACAACCATTGGGCAGCTGCCTCCGAGCTTTGTGGTCATGTAGTGACGGACAAATGGCATTTGATACCCCAACGAAGTAATGGAACCAGACCGATCCATTGAGGTCGATGTTGTCATTTTCCAGACCAGCTACCCGTGACAGTCATTGTTGGCAGTGCTTCACCCATGATCTCTATGAAGAAATCGATATCCGGCTTCTATCTTAGACCGAAAGTTCTGCAACCTCTGCCACTTCCGCCTTGAGAAGAGGGAACAAACTTGAGAGATCTAAAACATTTCAGATGAATGGCCACGATTGCTATTTTGTTGGATGTGTTCCCAGGCGATCACCTAGATATTGGCACGCCCAGTTCCCACGGTCCCTCTCAAACTCCAATCCCTGTGCTTATCAACGTGTTCAGCTCTCTCACCTTCACCATCGCATTTGCACTGCCTGGGCACAAGCTCATTTGGACCTAATTTCCCACGGTCCTCGCCCTTTCCTCGACCACGCCTTGTCCAATAACCCTCCAACAGACTATATAAACGCATTCAGCACCGCTCTACCATCTCCCTTTCACCCCCTCTCAAGCCCACCACCCACGGTCACCCTCAGACCATCCGAGTCACAGTCCAATTCCGATCGCCCACCATGTGCAAGTATTTCAAAAAGGTGCGTTCCCTCCCTTTTCCACACTCTCCCGCCCACTCGCTGATCCCTAGGCAGATTTTCACCTGCTCCCACTTCAGCCAAATCTACGTCGAGCGCTGCCTGCCCGCCTGCAAACCCGGCGTGGAAGCCTGCACGACCACCGACGCCTCGCACGACCCTGATGCTTTCAACGCGCAGCTGGATCGGGACGCGCGCCGGAGCTACTTCGCGTGCTTCAAATGCATCACGGAAGAGGCGAATGCAGAGAGAACGGCTGCTGCAGAAGCCGCTGCCGCTCTGGAACAGGATCCCGCCAAGCGCGCCGAGACAATGCTGAGGCAGGCACGCTATACGTCCACTGCGGTCAAGGCAGACGCAAATCGCAAAGTGGCGGAGCGGAAGATCAAGACGGAGCGCGACGCGGATGCTGCGAAGGCAGAAGCCCTCAAGGCAGAGAAGGAGCCCGCGGCCCGCGGAGAGGGCATGTGGATCGAGATGGGCAGTGCACACAAGAAGAAAGGATGGGGTGGGCATGGACGCGGGTTCCGCGATGAGAAGAGTGCGGTGCAGTCTGCGCCGCCGATGCCGACGTTCAGGATGGGTGTCGATGCGGCGGTTGGGGGATGGGAGGGCAAGACGGGAGAATTCAAGAAAGCGAATGTGCCGAGTAGTGCGAATGAGACTGGCACGGGAAGCGGGGTGGGAGCTTGGCCGAGGAAGATCCTAATCAAGCCCGTGCAGAAGCAGCGTGAGAACTGGGGTTGGAAGTGAGGAGTGGTGCTTGGAGGACGAGTTTTATGACTGCAAGGCTAGATTTGTGAGCCTTGCTGGTCCTGATGATTGACATGCGCCGGATTTCTTGGCTTCCCATGGAACGTTTGACATGCGATGCCGTAGGTGGTTGATTTTGTGGCGTGCGTATAGGAGAGAGATTGCGTTACTACAACTAACTGGTTTGAGTATGGCACAGAGCGAGGGCTCGACGTGAGGGAATACGATTATCGTCATTGTAAACGGAATAATCTTTGAGAGTAGCGTCGAAAGGTCGTTCCTTGGAAAATACATATGAGAACATGCAGAATCCAGACATGTTGTCGTTGAATTCTACCTCAAGATGTGTGCCATCACCGAAACCTGGGCACTATCAGACGCCGAGTGATGGTAACTGACTGACCTGTAGAGTCTCGACCAGCACATGTATCTCTCCTAGTTTGTCGTCTCCACATGGTCGTTAAACTACATTTTTAGTGAATTCTTGTGATAGCTCCGATCGCATTTACAGATGGTGTACCGTGGGTTGGCCTGATACGAGATCTTGTTGGGACCATGGTCTTGGCGCTTACGATCTTGTGTTTTGAAGGGGATGTCATATGCCGTTGTGCAGTAAAGATACTTGATGTCTCCGTGTCAAGATGTGACCAGCCAGATGCGCGCAGTAGATGAGAGACGAAAACACTGGCCCTGTTCTACGAGCCGTTGATTTAGGGGACATGGAAATCAACGGAGGCTTCGGCAATGTAGCGCTATTGAGAAGGAAGTACGAGGGTGGAAATACAAAGAATATAGAAAGAATGTGAATGAATTATTATAAGTAGCACTGTTCCAAATGACAAGTACTGGTAATGACAAAGATGAGAATCGATGAAACAACGGTCCCAGACGAAGTGAAGTACGGGGACTGGGCCTGAGAATGTTAAGAACGCCTCGTGACCGAAAGATCATGAAACTCCAATGCCCATAACAAGAGCAGATTTTGTCTACCGGGCCAAGAGCCTTTTGTAATTGCAAAGACGCTGGAAACAAGAGTATCGTGACCGAGAAATACAATATAGGTAGTTAAGCGTGATCGTTGAACGTAAAGCATCGGAAATCGAATGAAGGGTGAACACGAAAGGCGAGAGAGACTAAACGCATGATGCTAACCGACAGGAACATGGAAGGACAAGCGAGGGCTTTCAAGAAGACGGCATTAACGACGACTGCAGATTGTGAGCCCGCCGCTCAGATTTTGAACAAGACATATCCTACCTGTACGCTGCATCGACTTGAGATCGTCTTTTCCGCTTCGTGTGGTCATCTTGCTGCCGTGTCTGACCGTCTTCTTGGTCCGTGTCTTCATAACTCCTCTTGCGAGCAAAGCTACTGTCATTTCGCTTGAGCTGTGGAATGAAATCTTTTTCGACCTGGTGATTTGCTTCCTCTGTGCCAGAGCCCGCCATGTTGCTGGCTTCGGGATGATTAGAACCGATCTGATGTGTCGGAGGAATCGAAGCACAAGAATTTGTGCGCTCATAGGGCTGTGCAGGCGAAGATCGTTGTGAGGTTGCGGAAGATATAGATCCATATGGGCGAGGCCCTGTAGTGCCATACATCGAATTGCGATGACCACTATAAGACTGAGTTTTATGTGGACCAACATCAGGACGTGGAGGGATATTCGCAGAGGGCGGTGCTGGGGGCTTTGGCGGGAGCGAGGCTGGCAGTTGATCATCGCGCGGGAACGGAAGGGGCACTTCTTGATCAGAAGGAGGCTTTGGAGAGCCAGTGACACCAAGCTTCGCCAAAATGTCCTCCTGTACTTGATCTCTTGACGGCTTGCCACATGAATCCGGCGGAGTTGGCTTCTTGACGTCTTCCATGTCGCCTGACAATGCCTGTTCGAGGTTGTCCATGACGTTCCACGAAGGATCATTCATGTCTTCGTCTCCCTTCTCGTCAGGTCGGTCTCGTAAAGAAACGCAGTCTTCGATTGAAATAAGATTTTTCTTCATTTCTTCGTCGGTGAAGATCACAAACGCAGGGTCGTCTTTGATGTTGTACCAATCGTCCGTCTTTCGTACGTCCAGGAAAGCTTCATATGAGTTTTCAGCCGTGAAGTACAGAGACACAGATTCGCCATTGCCGAGTTTCTCTGCAGGCGGCCTGAGCGACTGCTCTTCGGCGTCTTCGAATGTTGCTGGTAGCGCTCGTGTTACTTGTTTGGCCGGTCGCCAGGTAATGACACCAAGGCTCAGATCAGGGTCAACGGGCTCATTTGCCTTTGGCCATATGGCACCGTCGAAATCGAAGTCCCAATCGTCCCACCCGAGAAATAATGGAGCTTTATTATCTGAAGCCGTGTCACTTGTAGCGCTTGGAAGTTGCGTATTCGCTGGAGTAGGCTGCGCAGTCGTAGGCATTGCTGAAGATGGTGTAGGGGTTGCATTGGGATCAATGGTCGGCTGGCTGTTGGCGGAAGATGCACCATATGGATTGTACTGGTTTGCAGGCGGGTATGTAGCTGAGCCAGGGGCTTGCTGCCATCCTTGTGCACTAGGCCAGGCCGACTGCTTCGTGTTGATAGGAGGCGGTGGGTTTGGATACGACTTATATCCAGTCTGCTGCTGTGAATATTGTTGCGGGGCGGGATAGGACGGTGACTGTGATACGGGCGTCTGATGAGGATAGTTCTGCGACGGCCACTGAAAGGTTTGCGCGTGATGGTACCCTTGCTGAGAAGGATGACTCTGTGGTGGTCCGTAGCCCGGTGGTGGATATCCTTGTGCCGGGGCGGCGCTTTGATAAGACTGGTTCGGATACGGCGCTTGAGCAGGATGTGGACCTTGAGGAAACCCTTGTTGTTGCGCTGAAAATTGAACGGTTCCGAATGGACCTTGGGGTTGCGCGGGACCTCGGTAACCTGGTGGGGGAGGATAACGAGTGATTATTGGATTTCCCTTTTTCTTAGGGGGGCTACATACTGTCAGCATATGACGGGCACATATTCCTGCCACGTTTTGAAAAATAACGCGATATTGATAAAAGACTTTAGGACTGCTTACAAGCTCTTCGGAAGTTGCGGAGAAACGCCGGGCTGAGGTGGGAAGCCACCTTGATACTGATTATACCCTGGTTGCTGTCCATATTGCGGCGCCTGTTGATTTGCGTAGGGTTGCTGATTGGAATAGCTGTTGGCATACTGTGGTTGTTGGAACGGCGCAGCACCCGTTGCAACCCCGTTCCACATGCCGGATTGTCAATGTCCGGTGAATTGGTTTATTCGGTCGTTGAATGGGGAAAAGATGGAAGAGTGTGATATAATAGAGAGGGTGAGTCAATAAGAGGTGGAAACCAATAAAGGATAGCTGCAACGCTCAACCGTGGATCCAGAGGCGCGCCAAGGCGGTGAACATGGCCAATGGTCCCAGACCGGTTGAGTGAAACAACCGGATGGAGCGCGGCTATCGCAAAGGGCGACGCGAGAAAGAAGTGCTTGCAGTGACTAGATGGAAATTGAGAAGGAGCGGCGGAGCGACACGTGAGGCTGCTGATGTGAGGGGAAAGAAGCAGCCACAGCAGATGCGGGCGGTTGCAGGTAGTCGGGAGACGCAGAAAAAGACGTGTAACAGCGGAATTGGCACCAATTGAATCATCAAAGCAGAAGGGACGGTATTATTTAGACAACAAGACGCGTCCCGGGCAGCGAAGCATGGGATGTCTTGAAGAGGCTCGAGACATGAGGTCTGCCAAAGAAAATCCGACTATACCGCATCGAGCACAGACCCTCGCGGCATGGAGACGGCAAGCGGACGACAGCGCGACCTTTTGCCTCCCTCGCACGCCCGCCGCCCCCTCGCGCTCTCGCCGCGACCACCACCCAGCTGCGCGCCCCGATGCTTCCCCGAGGATGATTGTACGGTATCGCCATTTGCTCGCGACCAGTATTCACTCCGTGCCCTGAGCTCGAAGCGCACGCAGGAGCTCCCTCGACCGCCTTACAAATCCCACCATGCCTGGTCTTCCGTGTACGCTGCACCGACACTGCCGCCGAGCGTGAGCTTTTGCTGATGCCTTCTAGCTACCGTCGACCTCGACGAATGTATATCGCGCCTGTATAAGAAGGAACTACTGGCCGAGTCCGTCATCGAGGCGATATGCGCAAAGACGAAGGAGCTGCTTATGAAGGAGAGCAACGTCGTGCACATCAGGGCACCCGTCACCGTTGTCGGCGATATACACGGACAGTTCTTCGACATGATTGAGATCTTCAAAATCGGAGGCCCTTGTCCGGATACGAATTATCTCTTTCTCGGTACGTCCCCGATTTCCGTCCCTCATGACATGCGCGCATGGCTAATTGTTCTTCGTACAGGCGACTACGTCGACCGCGGGCTTTTCTCCGTGGAAACTATCTCGCTGCTTGTATGTCTCAAGCTGCGCTACCCGCACCGAGTCCACCTCATCCGCGGAAACCACGAATCTCGCGGCGTCACGCAGTCATACGGTTTCTATACGGAATGTTCACGAAAATACGGCAACGCAAATGTATGGCACTATTTCACCGATATGTTCGACTTCCTTACACTGTCTGTCGTCATCAACGACCAGATCTTCTGCGTACACGGCGGCCTTTCTCCGTCGATACATTCAATAGACCAAATCAAGATCATCGACCGGTTCAGGGAGATACCCCACGAGGGGCCCATGGCAGATTTGGTGTGGAGCGACCCGGACCCCGAACGAGACGAGTTCTCGCTAAGCCCAAGAGGAGCGGGGTACACTTTCGGAGCTCAGGTGGTGAAGAAGTTCTTAGAGGTGAATGCCATGTCCCACATACTGCGGGCACATCAATTATGCCAAGAAGGCTTCCAGGTGTTATATGACGACAGATTAAGCACAGTCTGGAGTGCCCCAAACTATTGTTACCGATGCGGCAACATGGCGAGCGTGCTAGAGGTCAGCGACACTGGGGAGAGATTCTTCAATGTCTTTGACGCAAGTCCTGAGAACGATGTGCATCGGGCGGAACAGCAGCAACAGCAGGGGAGAGAGGTTACGACCGAGTACTTCCTTTGATACCCTTGGCAGCTACAATGAATGATACCCTTCCCAACGCTCAATGCCGTCATCTGTCATGAGATTGCCTCGACCAATGCATATGCTTCCGTGATACTCCAATGAGGGCAAATGTAGCCAGGACCAAGTAGCTTCATATCAGGTCGGCCTATGTCCGACAACAGATCAGCATCCCAGATACTTGGTCTCAATCCACCGCTCCTCCCTCTCATCGCCCATCCGCGCCACCACACACCTGACCTCTGGGAACACTCTCAGGACACGGTTGACCCCGATCCTTCCAGCCATGTACGTCACGAACACGATTCGGTCCTCGGGAACTCCATGATCGACCAAAACCTTCACAGCCATCAATGCCGCACCACCACTGCTCATCTGCGGGTCCAACACAAGTACCAGCCCATGCTCTGCAATGTTCGCAGGCAGCGCGCGGTAATGGAGTTCCGGCTCGCCCGTGCGATAGTTTGTTTGAATAAGAATACGACCCGTCCGGCAGTCCGGAATGGTCCTCCTAAGCCCAGTTTCGAATGCCGAACCACCACGCAAGACAATCACTGCGGACACTTCCTTGCTTTTGTGCAGACCCATATACAGGTGGCCCTGCGGCGTCTGGATTTGTGCCGGAGTAAAAGGTAGAAAGTCGACCGCTTTTTCAATCAGGAGTGAAACGATGCGGTCGAAGTAGAAGATGTAGTCTTCGCGGTTGGTCTTCGGATCCATGAGAAGCGTGTGGATGCCCTTTACCTGGCTCGTCTGCTCAATAACAAGTGCATTCTTACTCAGCGGGCTATCTTCCGCAATTTTACCCAGCCGCAGAAGCTCCAGTTGGTGCTTGCCAGACTTCAACGACAACGTGTTCTTGATCTGCGATGACACCATAGAAATCGCGACTTTGTTCTCTATACCTCGCGGGATGATGATGTCGGCGATGTCACGCTGCGGCTGGACATATTTGTAAAAGTTTGGCTTGACGTAGCCGAACCACTGCTTGATGCAGCCTTCTATGTCGCGGCCGCGTTCTTTGACGTCTCGAGTCAGACGTCGGGAAAGACACAGATCGGCGTCTGCCTCGGCGAAGATCTTGAGGTCGAGCATGTCTAGGACGCGCTGGTCATGTAGGGCAAAAATACCTTCTACAATGAGGACGTGGGGAGAGTAGATGGTGGTAGTTTGGGGGAGACGGGCATGCTTCTCGAATGAGTAGACAGGGATTTCCGCTACTTTGCTGGGTGGATGTCAGTCATTAAGTAGTACATCTCGAAAGACTTGTGTACCCGCTCTTTATGTCCTTCAGCTTGTCCACTAAGACATCGAAATCGATAGCTTCTGGGGAATCGAAATCATAATCATTCCTGAACGCCCTCTCCGATTGCTCTGGGGTTAACGGCTTGTAGAACGAGTCCTAGTCTGACAGTGAGAGGTGCGCACGTGACAGTTGCACAAAGGGTTGTTAGTGGCGCACCATAGACATAATAACGACCCAAGGGAGGTTTAGACTGGCCACAATAGCCAATGCAAGTGATGTCTTCCCAGAACCTGAGCTCCCAGCCACTCCAATAATGGATGCGTCTCCCCATGGTGGGCTGTAATGGATCCGGGATGTCGGTGTGGAAGTCATGTTCGAGAGTGATAGTTGAAGCAGATCACCAAAAATTTGTAAGATCACCTCATGCTTTGCCCAGATATAGCTCTTACAATTTACCTTCCAAAATCACAGTTCACGGGCCAAAAGTGGAATTTCGAAGCTTCGGACTCGACCGAGGCCACCAGCATGCGAGACGAAACAGATTGGGAAAGCGCGATTAGGTAACGGCGCACGGTTGCGCGAAGGTCCCACATCAAAAACTTCGCGCACGCGTCTCTTCTCTGCACACACCTGCATACAATGCCAGAAGCAAACCTCGTGCTTTCTACATGTCTATTCATCATGGGTTGAGGGTGTCGTTTACTTGCCTCAGGGCTTGTACGATTGACAAACACCACCACGCTGGCCCTTATGTAAGCCATGCACGGCCTTTTCGCTAAAACAGAGCTGTCTGTGAGCTCCACCGCACCTCACTCCTCTCCCACCACAGCCGGCAAACTCTGCGCCGCCGCGAGCATCTTCGACTGCGGCCGGGCCGCTTGTCTTTCACTTACTCATGGATGTCGGATGAGGACACGAAGCCTATCATGGTATGTCTTATCGCAAGGCTATGTTCTTTCTTCACACGCTGATCGTCATGCAGAGCTCCTCCACCGTATCAGTGTCGGTCCCGACGCCGACACAGCAACATCCGTTCCAGCGGAAAATCGATGAAATCAAACCTTCGAAGCCGTAAGTCGCCTTGATGAGGGCTGGTATCTGCATATGCTCGTTTACATGATGCGTCAAAGACAAGTTGGGAATCTCTCCGAAACAACCTGTGGAGCATAAGTTAACTTGAGATCTGATATATGAGCATATGCGGCTTACTGAGTCTTGTTATCTGGTGCGTGTCTTCTTTGGCTAACCAGACACAGTAGCATCGACCTGCTCGTTATGGACTACCTTGTCAGCCACGGCTATCCGCGCACGGCCGCAAAGTTTGCGAAAGAAGCTGGCGTGCCTGCATACCTCGTCGAGGAAGAATCGATCGAGGCTCGTGTAGAGGTCCGACATGCCATCCATAAAGGCGATATCGATACAGCTATCAACAAGATTAATGATCTTGACCCTCAGGTATGCTGCAACCTTTTCATCTTCCTTGCTTTATGATTAGATACAAGTTTCATGCACCACGCATATCTACGATGATGATAGTCAAACCTTCAGTCCTCAGTATGATTCGAGCCAATCCCTCTCCACTTTCTTGCCAGCCTATTCTACGATCATAGCTGACAGACTTAAAGATTCTCGACAAAGATCCTGCATTGCATTTCGCACTTCTACGTCTTCAGCTCATTGAGCTTATCCGGAACTGCACGTCTGTACCGAACTCTGACATCACCCCCGCCATCAATTTTGCTTCCTCTCAACTCGCGCCGCGAGCAGCTACCAACGAGACCTTTCTCAAAGATCTCGAGCTCACCATGACGCTGCTCATCTTCCTTCCGTCGGACGATCTTCAACCGCAATTAGCCGAGCTTCTCAAACCAGAGTTGCGCCAGCAGGTAGCTGCTAAAGTCAACGAGGCTATCCTATTAAGCACGGGCGCACGAGGCGAGGCAAAGATATACAGCCTCTATCGGACACGACAATGGAGTGAGATCAGAGCACGGGAAGCTGGCAAAGATCTCCCAGCGAGTCTGCCGCTTGGTCTGGAGCCTAGCTCGGTTCAAGCCAATGGTAATGGCGAGTCTGGAGACGTTATGGTCCAATAGTGTGGCGGGTTGCGAAATAGGTCAATCAATACCTTGAGCAGCCACATCGCACATCAGATTACTAGGACTTACTTTACGTCCGGTAATGGCTTGCATATCAGTTGCTTGCACTCGGTATTTCGCGGCGACATAATGACGTGGATATGACACTAGATTCTAGCCACGTGCAAGCCTGGCCTGATTCAAGGTAGGCATAGGGCGGTTGGGCTTTTGGAGAAACTAGGATGTCGACGACGATTCAATGATTACGATACGATACCATTAATGCATCATCATTACTAAACTTCCTAAAATGCCCCCTTAGTTGCCATTACTATGCGGTTGACTACGTGAAGACTCCGCATGCTCCCTCACCACAACCTCGTCATACGACGGCGGCAGGTCTCCTGCGCGTTCTTCCTGCTCACATAAACTGGCAACTCCTCCCTCGCTTCCCCTCTATCGCCCTGCGCCCTAATCCACAGATTCACAAACAGAAAGCCAGGCCCATTCATGTCCACCAACGGCGTCCGATCCCTCAACCCCATCCTGCGCGGCTTCGCCTCTACCGCGTACTTCATCGCGTCCTGCAGCAGATCCGTTCTTCCATGTTTGTGCGGCGCGAACTGCAGCGTCGTGCGTCTCAGATGTTCGGATGGATCCAGATCCATGCGGGCCCCGGGTGCGTTGAGCTTGACTTTTAGTGGGCCGAGGAGGGCTCATGCAGAACGTGAGGACCGGAGGAGTGGAGGGGGGATGGGGTAGTCGAGGTCGATGGCACGTTCGCTGTAAGCCAGGAGTTTTGGGGAGTGGTAGGATGGGGAGTCTGGGCTGGTGTTAGCGGGTGTGCTAGGAGGATTGGGGTTGTGATCTGGTAGAGAAGTAGAGACAAGAGAGGGGTACAACGCCCTTGCTCCGTTACTGTACAATGACAGCGAGACGTTTGCTCATCATATTTTACCATCCACCCTAATAAAGTCCCGCAACAAACTGTTCACCTCCGCTTCATTTCCCTGCTCTTCCTCGTCTTCGACTCGCTGCTCCCGTGATATCTTACAACTTCCCGCGCCCATAGTAGGATTAGACTTACGCATTGCTTGCTCTTGAATTGTTCCTGTATCCGAAGGGATCCGGCCAAGTACGGATTGACCAGGAAATCCCAACGCCTGAAGTCGGCGGCGATGAAGGGGATGTTGGTGTAATAGGGTCGGCGGGTGAAAGGTGTGTGGATGAGGTAGTGGGATGAGTAGCGTCCGTGTGTGTGCGTAAAATGTTCGCGGTGGGTCATTTTGGTCATGAGATTTGGGTTGTGGTGAGGTTAGGAAGAAATTTCAAGTTACTGGGTAAGAAGAGGACGAGCAAGGATCGTGCAGTACAGATATCGTCTGTATGGTGTTGGCCGATTATTCACTACTTTCACGCATAAAATTGATATCCTGGCGTACATGCTGGTCTGGTCGGCTGGTTGTGTTGCGAGTGACATCAGGAATCAATAGGTTGGTGATTGTTTATTCCCTCGACGTGATGACAAACTTCACACTGCCAGTTCTTCACCACTCCTCCATCAGCCATCATTAACAGTCTTGACGCTCTCGTCAGGATCTCTAAGCTCGTATCCAATGCCGCCTCCAGTAATGTCCCCGCCACGATCTCGATCTCGTTCCCGGTCACAACCACGCCGCATACACCACCACATCTCCATGTCCTTCTCCACTCCAGAGAATGTCGTCCCGCAGCTGTATGAGTGGGTATCGCTACGCTTTCCTTTTTCCGTTGTCGTGCACCGCTACTCTATATCCACTACTCATGTGTCACGATCTTTGTCGTCCCTATCTTTTTTGGAAATACCAGTTCGACTTTCCCATTCGTCATCGAGCCGCATGGACAATGATCCAGACCCCAACGACTCCCTACTTGCCGAGTTTGACCATAATAGTGGCTCTGGAGAGTATATCAGACCAAGCGAGAGTCTGGGGGAAGAATTGAGGAGGCGTCTGAACAAACCGGCTGAGGAAGAAGACGCTGATATACGAGCAGTCCCTGGGAGAGACCCGTGGACAACGTGGTTTCCATCTACGCCGCCATTGCGCAGCAGGGAAGCGCTGCGATCAGAATCTGATACTCCCTTTCTACATTTCTCGAGCCCAGGTGTTGCTCCCTCGGTACTGGTACACATTCTGGGCATGCATCGCTCTGAAATGGACGCAATCGAGGAAGACGAAGTGCAGGTCGCCGAGCAAAAAGTACAGCAGGACCTGATACGCGAGCAACGGGGGAGTTCTACTGCGCGGCCACAGGGGATATGCGAGGGTTTACCGGATGACGAGACCGACTTTGCACAATTCATCGAGGATGAGCGGGATTCTCTCCCGGGATCGTGCTTGTGCTGGGCGTGCAGAGCCATTATCCAGAGGTATGCTCGGGGACGCAATTTGTTTCCGTAGATTGGATGCTGATATGCATGCATTAATATACGCGTCAACTCATCAAGATCTCGCAAAGAAGAGAAGGCAACTCGAGGAGAAATCATGTCAGGAGAGGGTGCGAGCAAAAGCCTTGGAGAAGTGTCCGTGTACGTGTAGAAGGATATACGATCGTGGCCTCGTGTATACTGTTTCGAATTGCAGCTTCGATTCCGACGATGCCTGATGTTAATATGCATTACGGACAGCTGGGTCGGGGCTGAAACATTACCCAGAGCCCACACACACTGCATATCAGAGTCACTCTCGGGCCCGTGTGCGATGGGTCGCTGAGTGAGATCAGGCCTAGGCAGAGGGGTGTGCGACACGGTGCACAGGTGCTGTGATTCGCGCGCATCCGGAACAAACCCATTCGGAAAGCGCAGACGCACGGAAGCCCGGTTCGTGGGGCAGATCAGCAGGCATCGATGCCTGCCCATGCCCAAATTCCATCCGCTGCCTCACGCCCGGATTGCTCTCGTGAAGACGTGAGATCCAGCGACGACGTGCTCTTTTGATTGCTGGACACTCGCCTCGGCGTTCCTTGCCTGCAGTCGCATCCTTCCGACTCCCCACCGACGCGGCGTAGTTAGTCCACGTGCCGCCCCGAGACGGGCGGACGTGGCCAGTCGCACGCATGTCACCATTGCAGGACGCGGTGCTGGGAATGCTGGAAATGGACTGAAGGCGCCGGTTCATCACATCGGGGCACAGTGCCGGTGACAGATAGGGGAGCGCTCGGGTGTCTCGTGTAGCGGATGCACACGATCTCGCACTGTAATCGGTAGGCGAACGTTTCGTTCTCTGTTTTAGAGGCCGGACTCCATCCGTGTTGAGCAAGCGCGGTCCCGCCTCCTCCTGCCTCTTTTATTGCCAGTCCGCCACTGTGCAGGTGCTTCGGCCTCGACTGCGGTACAGACACGTACTCGTACACGCTGCTGGTTAACGACACCTGCGCCGGCCAACAACAGAAGCCATTGGCACTGTAGAGCACACGGCGTGCAGCCAGGGCCAACGCTACACGGCCCAGCGATCAGCACTGCTGCTCGACATCATCCCGCAACACACCGTCTCTGCGCAGGCTAGCACCGCTAAGCAGTCGCGGACGTTCCGGAGCAGAGTGCCGCTGCCTCGACGAGGGCATCGCACACCTCACTTCTCGCCCTTTGCGCAACCGACCCCTTCCTTGCGCGCCCGTGGGCCATGAGAATGGACCCTCAACGCCGCGACGCCGACCTGAGACCGTGCCTCGACCAGCCCTATCCCTCCGCAACAGGATCCACGAGACCCGCCCACCGTTGATCGGGACCCACTGTCCCTGGCACCACTCTCGTTCGCGCCCTCGCACCCTCGCACCGCATCTCTCCCCTCGCGACGCCATGTCGTGGTTCATGAGGGGAGTCCAGTCGGCCATCTTTCACTATGCCTCGTGTGCGCCATGTACCGGCTACATGTATAAGAAGCAGCGGCGGAAGCAGGCAAAGCAGGCCCGGAAGGCCAGAACGAAGCTCGTCGAAGAGCAGCCCGAGCTCTACCACCACCCCGAACCCACAGGTACGAACCCATACTGGCAGGAAGAGATAGGATTGGGTCCTGGTCCACCTCCGCGGCGCGCCAAAAAGACAAACACCTGCAACACACAAGCCACTACGGCCGTGGGAACACATGGCAGTGCGGTGAGCCAAGCAGGGAGCAGCATCGACGTCGACCGAGCCGCAGATTTGCGCTTTAGTGACGATACGCTCGACGACGACAATTGGAACCGCAAGCGCTACCAACGCGAGGACGAAGAGCTTTGGGGCTTCGAGACAATTGTGCCCCTGGAATCGGCCGTGTCCGGGTCCTCAGTTGGCGTCGCCGGCTTCACGCGACCTAGTACGTCACGGTCTGGCAGTTACTATTCTGCTCGGGCACCACCGGTGAACGACCTCCACCCTCCGGTCGTGAGCCTGCCATCACCCCATGCCTGCGATAATGCGTGGATGCTCCAGCCTCCGCCCAAAGCTAGTGTTATGAGTGGGAAAGAAAGAGCCACACTCCGCAGTCGAAGTGGCAGTGGAGCCAGCAGCAGAGTGGAGTTGAGCCTCCAGCGCCAAGTAAGCGCACGACAACTGCGTCACAAGATCGACCGTGGGGAGACGCCTGATCTGCCGTCTTTATCTCGGGGGAACTCGTACAATGACATTTTTCTGGGCCAACGACACGACCGGCCAAAGACACCGCTCACACGACCACCCTCGGCTGCCTCCAGCTACCGGCCCAGGACGCGACGCGACACTGCAATGACCAATACCTCTGCAACAGAACAGCTCTCAAGCGACTCTAGCGATACTGCTGTTAGACGTTCTCACTCTTCTTCGCGTGATATGTCAACAGTTCCCAGCCTCCACCAGGTACGCGTACGCAGCAGCCGACAACAGCTTTCCACCGTGGTATCCAGTGGCTCTGGTGAACTTCCTATGAGTTCTACGAACCTGAGCCCTCCGTCCGAGCTCGAGCACGAAAATCTCCGTGTGTCCGCCATTCGCAAGGTCCGACACTCAACCCAGTCTACCGATTCAGACCCATACTATCTCATGAAGCGCCACGCTCACCTCGTTTCCTCGGATGTCTCATCGCTCAACGCCCTTCAGAACCTTGTGTCTCCGGACGCACTACTCAACTCCCGCTTCGTATCTGCTCCCCTTATAGAGGCCCACATCAAGCTTCCTCCATCGGACCACGACGAGCAAAGGATGCTTGATACGGACCAGTGGTCTGGAAGCGGGTTTGCCGTCAGTCGTGGCTGGGGCACGGAGCAAGTGGATGGAGAGGCACGCGTTCCTTTCGACAGTGCTGGTGCGGCGGAGCGCGATCCCAGGATGAGATGGAGCGTGGACTTCTGAGGACGCCCATCCTGTTACCCTGACATCACCTAGGACCTCCTGAACATCTCCTTATCCTACCCAGGAGCTTTTTGCATCCCTCTACACAGCTGCTACGCTAGCATCATTACCTCGCATAACGAAGCGCTCTGTATTGACGCCCTTCTATTTCCTACAGAATCTGTATACAAGGTTGCTTGATTTCATCTTCCTGTTCTCGCGCATCTATATTCTATGCATGTCACCATTGGTGCTGCGGCGGTGTTGGGTCATCTGGACAAAAGCGGCGTGTCTCACTTCTTGCTTGCGTTGACGTTTTCTCCTCGTTTCGGTTTCAAAATGAGCACTTATAGGGAGTTTGCATATGGAAATGCCTCGGATAGTGCATCGTGAGGTTGGTCAGTCTTGCATTGCTGCGCCTTTCTTTTGTTTTCGACTCGAGGGTGCGGTCTATCTTCCTCCCTCGGGTGGTCGGTCATATCGATAGCTACACAATAAATGAAGATACTCGAAAAAATGTGCACGCTGGAGGTAGTTAGGGGAGGTCGTCGAGCAAATTCTGTTTATCTGTGTCCTGCTGAAGGAGTTGAGTCGGACCTCCCTCTTTTATCACGTGCCTGTGGGCGCTGTTCTGCAGTGTGCCCCTTCCACAACGTCCACAACGCCCTTACCTAAGGTCAAAGAAATCCAAGCACATTTTCTGTGGGTACTAATCCGTCCTGGACAGACTCAATTGTCGAGTCAATGTCTAAGTCACACTAAGGGGAGGTTTCTCGCACCGCACAACCCCAAGAAGTGGGCAATTAAGTCACAAACCCAGTAGTCCGTGCGCAGCGCGACTTCACTTCGGTTCAGCCTCCATTGCCTATCCACCCACTCAGACTCTGCCCCACCCTCCCTCGATTACTCCCAGAAGCCGCTGCGACACCGATAAACCCTGCCTCTCCCCTCGAGTTGCTCGCCGAGTCGCACGCGACATCTGCCATCTCCGCACGTCATTAGCCAGGTTTGAAGGGGCTGTTTCCCCCGCGCCCACCACCGCTACCCACCCAAACAACCCACCCGCCCGCAAGCCTACCTTCCCGCTGCCTTCACCATGGACACCAATATGGAGGACGTCAAGATGCCAGATCCCGCACAGCTGTCGTCGGTACCGGCATCGGAGCCCGCCTCAATCCCTACGCTCGACGGCTGGATTGAGAGTCTCATGAGCTGCAAACAGCTGGCGGAGAGCGACGTACAGAGGTTGTGCGACAAGGTATGCGATCACTTTAGTGCTCGCGCGATAGCTAAAGGAGCTGCTGACGGACGTTCGACCCTAGGCTCGCGAGGTCCTCCAGGAAGAGTCAAACGTACAACCCGTGGTATGTGTCCCGTTTTCTGCGCCGCGATACGAACTAAAGCGGCACCTAGAAATGCCCCGTCACGGTCTGCGGTGATATACATGGCCAATTTCATGACTTGATGGAGCTATTCAAGATTGGCGGACCAAACCCTGACACCAACTACCTCTTCATGGGTATTTCGCCTGCTGCACACTCACAAGCAGGTGCTGACTGTTTGCAGGTGATTACGTAGACAGGGGCTACTTCTCTGTCGAGACTGTCACCCTCCTCGTCGCTCTTAAGATCAGATATCCCCAGCGCATCACGATTCTGCGCGGTAACCACGAATCACGACAAATTACCCAAGTGTACGGCTTCTACGACGAGTGCCTGCGCAAGTACGGCAACGCGAACGTGTGGAAATACTTCACGGATCTCTTTGACTATCTACCTTTGACCGCCTTGATCGATAACCAGATCTTCTGCTTGCACGGAGGGCTGTCGCCCAGCATCGACACGCTCGACAACATTCGAGCCCTTGATCGGATACAAGAAGTGCCGCATGAGGGACCCATGTGCGACTTGCTCTGGTCTGACCCCGATGACCGATGCGGTTGGGGTATCTCGCCCCGTGGTGCTGGTTACACCTTCGGGCAGGACATCTCAGAAGCTTTCAACCACAACAACGGACTCACGCTGGTGGCGAGAGCGCATCAGCTGGTCATGGAGGGGTACAACTGGTCTCAGGATAGGAATGTGGTAACCATATTCTCCGGTAGGCTTCGCATTCAAGAAGAAATTGCATATAGCTGACCATCCCAGCACCGAACTACTGCTACCGTTGTGGTAACCAGGCGGCCATCATGGAGATCGACGAGCATCTGAAATACACATTGTATGTCCCACACCTACCTCAGAAGGTACTTGCTAACGTCGCAACAGCCTGCAATTCGACCCTTGCCCACGCGCTGGTGAGCCGATGGTTTCGCGGAGGACCCCCGACTACTTCCTGTAAACTACGACTGCCTTCTTGTTCCGTAACACAAGCATCATAGAGGGGAATTGCATTAGCCCATTCATTGTACCGCAGGCAACGCTTGGCTCGTGGGTTTGTGCGTCGGGAGCGGGAAAAGTCGCGGACTTGTAGAGCTTCAGAAACGCCCGATTGGATGGGTGACGATTCGCCGAGTCGATGCAGGCTACGCATGTAGTAAGCAGTAGTAGCAAAAGGCTCTTCGGCTTGAGGTTTCCGTTGTAGTAGTAATGTGACGAATGAAACACTAAGCTGTATGACTTGTGGGTGTGAAAGGCCTCTCTTGGAACACGCTCCGGATTGTCCACACCGATGGCTGTGTGCCGGGTTGGTTTGTTCTTGAGATACGAAGTTCCCTTCGTTATCTTCTTTTTCAAGCTACCGGCACAGGAGCTTGAGTTTCCGTCAGAATAGAGATCTGCATCAGCTGTTCCATAGATACAAAATGCGACTGATATTGCACTATTGGTCAACCAAAGAGGTGGACAGGTGGGCGCTGTTGCTGGGGACGTGTAGGCTAAACCCAAAAAGTGTCGATAATTGGAAAGCGCGTCGCGTACGCGCCTTCTACCCCCGCGGCAAAACTCTCCCCGTACCGCAGCGCAGCAACAAACACACGTTGAGTTGCCCCACGCTCCGCCATGTCGTCTCTCCTAGATGCCGCTTTGCGATCCGATGCTGCACCCACGCCTGGCAGCGAACCCGCTGCTACTCCACGAGGGCAGTTCCGCTCTTCTTCTGTGCGACCGCGCGCGCCCCCTTCCGAGAGCGCAGGCGCACACAGTGATCATGAAGGTTTCGCAGACGACGAGATCGTAGGAAGAGGAACCGGGCGAAGGCCAAATGGGCCCCGAACCGATATACCCAAGGTGGTGGACGTGACTGGAGAGACGCTGTCGCAGCGGTTTCAGGAGTTTCTCGAGGGGTGAGGATGCCTTCAATCTTCGAAGAGATTTTGCTAATGCACAATAGGTACACAGAAGATCCCACTTCCTCCGCATTGCCAGTATCAAGTGTGCCAGTGACAGATAAATACTACATCGCGCAGGTCAGGGGAATGAAGCTTTACGGCCTGTCTACCCTTTACGTCGACTATACACATCTGCAAGGGCACGAGGACGGTGTCCTGGCAGCAGCAGTCGCGAGCGAGTACTACCGATTCCTTCCGTACATGACCCGCGCTCTACACAACATCATCGCAAAGTATGAGCCTCAATATTTCCGCGAACATCGTCAGCCCACAGCCGCGGGCACAGCTCCGCCTAGCTCGCGAGCGGAAGCTACCAGTCAAAATGAGAGCCTCAACGAGAAGACTGCGAACCAACAGACCGACAAAGTCTTCACCCTCGCCTTCTACAATCTACCCCTCATCTCGCGAATCCGTCAACTGAGAACAGAATCGATTGGTCGTCTGCTTTCGATTTCTGGTACGGCCACTCGCACGTCAGAAGTCCGCCCTGAGCTTTCCATGGCCACCTTCATCTGCGAGGCTTGCAACACTGTAGTGCCGAATGTCGAGCAGACGTTCAAGTACACGGAGCCGACTCAATGCCCCAACACTGTCTGCATGAATCGTGAAGGCTGGCGATTAGACATCAGACAGTCCACCTTTGTCGACTGGCAAAAAGTGCGCATCCAAGAGAATAGTTCGGAGATCCCCACTGGCAGCATGCCACGCACAATGGATGTCATCTTACGCGGAGAAATGGTCGATCGTTCCAAGGCTGGAGAAAAGTGCATATTCACCGGAACTGCTATTGTCATTCCAGACGTCAGCCAGTTCAGAGTTCCTGGCGTGCGGGCGCAAGCAACCCGAGACAATTCGGGCGCTGCCCGCGGAGCCGACGTCGGCGGGTCTGGCGTCAGTGGCCTGAAAGCTCTCGGTGTTCGCGATCTGACCTATCGCATGTCTTTCCTCGCCTGCATGGTGATTCCTGATATATCCACTCCGGGCCAAAAGTCAACTCATCATATGCAAGGTCAAGCAGGCAACATCCTAGCATCCCTAAACCAAGCGCAAGCAATGGAGTCCGACAAGAATGGCGAGGAAGCTCAAGCTGAGTATCTCGGTACACTCACTGCAAGCGAGATTCAGGATCTGAAGGACATGGTGCACAAACCCAACATTTTCATGCGCTTAGTTGATTCCATCGCACCCACGGTGTACGGCCACCAAGTCATCAAGAAGGGTCTTCTCCTCCAGCTCATGAGCGGTGTGTCGAAACAGACTCCAGAAGGTATGGATCTCCGTGGTGATATCAATATCTGTATTGTGGGTGACCCATCGACGTCCAAGTCGCAATTTCTCAAGTACATCTGCAGCTTTCTCCCGCGGGCTGTGTACACATCCGGAAAGGCTTCTTCCGCTGCTGGTTTGACGGCTGCCGTGGTGAAGGATGAAGAAACGGGCGAGTTCACAATCGAAGCGGGCGCCCTTATGCTAGCAGATAATGGTATTTGTGCGATTGACGAATTCGACAAGATGGATATCGCGGATCAAGTCGCCATTCACGAAGCTATGGAACAGCAAACCATCTCTATTGCGAAGGCAGGTATCCAGGCAACCCTGAATGCTCGCACATCCATCCTTGCAGCTGCGAACCCTGTAGGCGGCCGTTACAACCGCAAGACGACTCTTCGGGCCAACGTTAACATGTCCGCACCCATCATGTCACGTTTTGACCTGTTCTTCGTAGTGCTCGATGAGTGCGATGAGGACGTAGACCGTCACTTGGCAGAGCACATTGTAGGTCTTCACCAGTTCCGCGACGAAGCGATCGAGCCGGAATTCAGCACCGAACAACTACAGCGTTACATTCGTTTCGCACGCACGTTCCAACCTGTGTTCACGGACGAGGCGAAGGAGACTCTGGTTGAGAAGTACAAAGAGCTCCGTGCCGACGATGCTCAAGGTGGCATCGGAAGGAACAGCTATCGCATCACTGTGCGTCAGCTAGAGAGTATGATTCGTTTGTCTGAAGCTATCGCCAAGGCCAACTGCGTTGTTGACATCACACCTGACTTCGTCCGAGAAGCGTACAATCTCCTCCGGCAATCCATCATCAGTGTCGAGAAAGATGATGTCGAGATGGAAGATGACGACGATGAAGCTCTTCTTGCCGCTGCCGCTGCCGCGGAATCTCAAGACGCAGAGGTAGATGCAGACATGGGTGCGGACGAACAGCCAGACGGCGAGACGACTGTTCGCGTTACGGGTACGCCTGCGCCGCCCCGAGAGAAGACAAAGATCACGCACGATAAGTACATCTCCATGCGTAATTTATTTGTCAAGCGCATCAACGAGGATCAAGAAGCCACTGAAGACGGCGTCGAGGAAGAGGACTTGCTCATTTGGTACCTCGAGCAGAAAGAATCTGAATTGGAGACGCAAGAGGACCTGGAGAAGGAGAGAGATCTGGCGAAGAAGGTGCTCAAGAAGGTTTGCAGGGTATGTTTTATCTTCATTGTTCCTGATTTCGTATCAACGCTAACGTATCACAGGAGCAATATCTCATGCCGATCCGTGGCGAGGGCTTGGCTGATGAGCAAGGCCAGGCCGACGCTGCAGCCAAGGTTGTGTACGTGCTACACCCGAACTGCCCGGTCGAGGATATTGTATAGATCAGGATGAGATGGCATGTGTCACGAAGGCCGACATGAAAGGGGAAATGATATCACTGCGATGGAAGGCGTTCAGGCATCATAGCATATTGCGCGTTTGATTAGGCAGTGCACGCCGTTGTTTGGGCGTGGGATCAGATAGTCAGCTGTCGGACAACGTGGCCGACAGAGGGTGTACATTATTTACGATTGACACATTGATATTGCATATCCTCACCTGTGACGAGGCACCGAGTGAAGACTGCACATGCTAAGAAATGTGAAACAGAACCACGTGGTACCCAGCGTGTGAACACTACCTCGCTCACCTCATGCACCCGCCTGTAGTATCTCAAGCCGCAGGGGAAATATCCAGCACCTTATCAACCTGATCAAAATCATACGCATTCCCATACGGCCGATTCAAATAGCTCTTCTCCACCTCCTCACCCGTCACGTACTCCGCCGCAACATACAACCCCGTCCTTTCAGGCGTCAATTCCTCCCTCAGGTCCTCGGCGAACTCAACAGTCATCTGATTGCGGTACCACGGCGCGAAGTGGACTATCCTTTCTATCAGCATTTCACATGACTTGAAGGGCGGTGGGAGATGGGGATGACGCACTCATGGCAAGCATGACGCGCGGCACGTCGCTCAGATTCGGCATCCCCCCATGCCACAGCCTCAAATCCCTCACAATCACGCTGCCCTTGCTGACGTCCGGCTGGCACGGCGCCCTCACGCCCCGCCTCGCTTCAAGCAGGTCCTTCTTGATCTTCCCGCTGGCGCGCTCGCCGTGTGCGCCTTGCTGGTCCGCGATGGTGGTGGAGGCGTGCGTGCCGAGCCAGACTTCCGTGGAGCCATTGTGGGCCTCCATGGAGATCAGCGGGACGTTGATGACGAGGGCGAAGGGGATGCGGGGGTGGTCGAAGTCGGCGTCGTTGTGGGTGGGTTGGGAGGCTGGTGGGGCGGAGGGCGACGGCGGAAGGGCGGTGTTGCCGGATATGAAGCGGAGGTGGGGGTAAGGACCGAGGGCTGTGGAGGTGATTTGGGTGACGATGGGGTCTATCGTTCTTGTTGATTAGCAAAGTTTCAAGGGCTTTTGAAGGGGCGGGGGTGGAGAAACGTACTGGTGAACACCTCCGGAAAGAAGAAGTCTTTGACGAGCGGTGGGTCTTGCTGGATGTTGCCCTTATGGTAGTTGAAGGGACTGTCTTTGCGAGATTGCAGCTCGTAGGCGTCTTGCACCATTTTTTGGTTAAGTTTGTCCAGGATGTCATGTGGGACCAGGTTATCTATCACGACGAGGCCGTCGCGGGAGAGGGCGCGGATGGCGATCTCAAGGTTCTTCTGCGTGAGAGTGCCATTTCTGATTTCCTCGGTGGACGGTGTGATGGAGAGAGGGGTGGATGGGAGAGACATGATAGGCGGGGCAGGTGAATTGATTGGGCGACGGCTCTACTTGGGACGGAGGAGAAGAGATAATGAATCTCTGGTAAGATAGAGATTATGTTGCTCAGGTTCAATTGCTCTTTATACACTGGACTTATCACATCCGCTTTGGGCAGTCCAAGATGCTCGTAGAGAGCGGAGTAGATGTCGAGAGCACTTCTAGAAAGAGCTAGAGGCAAGCTCGAAAGCTAGGCTGATTCGGGGAGCGCGACCGCACTCGTTCTGTACTTCCTACAAGTCGTGCGAAAGAGGAAATCGAGAGATCGGAAGTGAATGTGAGCAAGCGGATATAGTGCTTAATCGGTACATAGGTATGGGTGGGTTGTTGAGTATCTGTGTTTTGCCTGGTTGTACAATATGGTGGACTGTCGTACGGTACCTCGTATCATACCGTAAACAAGCAAGAAGGCTCTACCAAACTCGAAACAATGATGCGTCTTCCGTGTAGGAGCGTAGGTACAGCTTTCTAGGCCTACGTTTGTAGGCATTTGATATGGGCCCCACCTTTTGGGGGACCGCATCACGCTTGTATTGTCACTCAATTTTTCTGTCTCGCATGAGCACTTCCCTCTACGTGTCCGTACTCAGCGAAGCTCTCGCGGACAATCTGCAGAATCTGACTCACAGCATACACGCCGCCAACGATCTGAACGAAACGAAGATCTTCCGATCAACGGAGTAAAGCTTCGTCGCGATACTGCCATACTGGACAATGTGCTAGGCATCTATGGCGGAGCGCAGCTAGTGTCGATGACAACGGGTTTGTAGAAATACCGATTGATGGAATCTACACGGCGATAAGCTTCGTTCAAAGATCATACCAGTGGGCTGGTCAGGCAGCGGACGGAATCGTGTTGGCTATCTTGCTGGCTGAGGCCATCCATACTCGGTGGTGGCGAGGTGAGAGGCTCCCATGCTTAAATTATGCGCTGTATACCGAGTCCATGTTTGCATATTTATAGGACTGCTGCATTTTGACTTGCTCGACTTCAATAGCGTTGTAGCAACGACATCGTTCGGAGGAGATGCTATAGCCATGAGACTACAGAAGCGGCATGCAGAGCCAGGCGGTGTCTGGTTCGGCGACGTGAAAGACGGGACCGCGGGGGCATTGAGGCGCATCTGGAGCAAAATTCGACGAATGTTGCTATTGTGCTTTCAGACAATACTAAATAATCTGAGATGGAGAATTTATTCGCAAAGCAAGGAAGTATTCAGCATTTTCGGGTGTTGTCAGAAGTTCAGCTCTGACCTGCTAGAATACAACACAGGTAAGTGCATAGCGACATGTATACTTTCTACATACCATGGGTATACAAACGGTACGAGCCGTCTTGGCTTGCCATGTGACCTAGGCGTGACATGGGCTCCCTTTGAAAGCGTCTGATCCGGACGCGAAGGTTACTCCGGTTCGGATTTTTGATGGCACTGTGGCGAGAATATTGGTTGCAAGGGGCTGCTGCGGCGCGAAGCCGAATAAGTCGCATAAGTATCCGAGGATTTGCAAAAACGGGTAGAATGGAGTGATGTGCACTGCACATGTGCCGTGTCCCGACGGATAGACAGGCGACCTGTAGGCGACTCTTTGGCATGACAATGGCTGTAAGTTGTAACAATAGCCTGAGACGTCCAGTGGGTCTCTCGAATGGCAGCGAACACAGCGTGCGCGCCCTTGGACCAACGCTCAAGTCGACGTAGGGAGCACAGCTGTGTGACGTGAGTCGTGTCCGTGACGTACTGCGCGCTGCATGCAAAGTCTCTGGCATCGAAACGCCCATGCACGTCATTGAGATGTAATTATAGTTTGGATGAGTTTGCGCGGCCACAATTCTCGTAAGGGCAACGTCGCTGGCGGAGATGTTGTATGTAACAGACCGGAGTGTTTCCGCGGCGCGCACAGTGATGGATTCACGATGGAGAAGGATGGATCCGCTAGCCTGGTACAAGCCCCCGCCGACATGCAGGCCGCTGCATTCCTGCACTGCGCGTGCCCAAAGCTCTTGAAGACCAGCATCCCTCTTCGAATCTTGACAAACAGGCAGCCCGCTTTTGCTTTTGCTTTTGCTTTCCAGATCTGCTCGAGACACAGACGCTGCCGATTCTTCTGGACCGGCAGACAACCAAGCGGCGCAAAGCCACCACGGCGCTCCTTTCCACTTGGGCGCATCCCCTTTCGACGTGTCGGTGTCACCTGGTCGCGCGACCACGCCTGCCGCAATTACCCAACCTAAACTGACCTACCCCGGACGCCACCATCGCACCGCAAGGCAACCAGGGCTTAGCTCTGACCTCCTCCCGGCCTGGCAAGACAAAAGCAACCGCTCCGCCATTTTTAAGGCTGTGTCTACACGTCACAGCTCAACGCCCTCGCTCGAAGCGCAATTGTGGTTGTGCTCCTCTGCCCTTACGCCGCCTCCCCGCGTCTCACACCACACACCACACATCATGCCGTCACAACGCCGAATGAGGCTCTATGTCCTCCTCCTCGCCCTCGCAATCATTATCACTCTCTACATGACGCGATCGAGCTCACAAACACGCACCTCTCCATTCTATGTCAAGACACAGGAAGCGCTCCAGGCGGCAGAGTACGTGGAAGCGTCCAAGCAGCGCGACGCAGAGAAGGTGGGCTCGCGCCTCAAGGCCGCCGCAGACGATGCGCGAAAGGCGGCCGAGGAGAAGGGCAAGAAATTTGTCGATTCGGTTACTGGAGGCGACGCGGACAAGGCGCCGCGAGGCCGGTACGCCAACAGCAAAGACGGAAAGCAACAGCCGCTTGAGGGCGTGGCTGTGGTTGGCGGCAGGACGCAGGACAAGAAGCCGGCCAAGGAGAACGAGACCGAGGACTACCACGAAGCCGAGGTGGAGCTCAACACCATCCTGAAGAAGAGCCCAAGTATGCTGCCTACCCAATTGCACCCTCTCAGTTAGTAGTACTAACGCACCGTAGTCATCATCTTCTCCAAAACCTACTGCCCGCATTCCCGGAAAGCCAAACACATCCTCCTCCAAACGTACGACATCGACCCTGCACCCTACGTCGTCGAGCTCGACGAGCACCCGATCGGCCTGAAGCTGCAGGAGGTCCTCGCAGATACGACTGGCAGACGGACGGTACCTAACGTGATGGTCCTCGGGCAAAGCATTGGCGGCGGAGACCAGATGCAGGAGCTCGACGAGACAGATACCATGGCCGAGACCATCAAGAAGCTCGGCGACACCCGAATTACCCGCGTCACGAGGCGCTCGCAGCAGTCGGAGATGCCTCGTGCAAGGCGGCGCGTATAGAAAACACGTTTGTTCTATCGTTGTGACATTATCGCTTTCGCTTCTCTGTGTACATATATCAATTGGGATTGATGAGGCCACGACGCGGGTTCCCATGAGTGGCGCATCGTTAGGCTGGTTGCATCGGGACCGGAGGTTTGGGGTAGGGGTTCTGTCGTTCCGGACTTTTTCAGTGGGTATACCCGTTCAATGCGATCATGTTGACGTTCTTGCGGTCGCAGTTGAGTGAGTTGGATTCGGTGACGGCCCCGGGGAGCGGCAATTTAACAGTTCACATTTCACGAGGCGAATATATAGTGAACACGTCTGTGTACAGCCAAGAAAAGAGCGACAACTGGGAATTGGCAGCTATGATAGGGTGAGTCATGAGCAGCATGGCTTGCATCTATTCTTGTAATCGAGCCGCCGCAGCACCTCCTTCTAAGAACTTGCGAACAAGCTCCACAGACCAATTGACTAATCTTCTGGAAAGATCGCGTAGTAGCACGACCGTCATTCGCAGCGTGCTACGCTTGCGCTGTACTGTCGATGCAGCTGACGCATTGTCGAAATTTACGAATTGCCCGTTTCGGTATTCACGATGCGAAGCTATTCACAACCCAACTATGACACTAACTTTCGCAGCATGTTGCTTCATATCATATAGCATTATTTTATTCCAATGCCCTGTGAGACATTTTAGCCCATGAGCGCAGCGATCTTGTTCCTTTCATCCGGTCCTGAGTGGGAATAAAGGCCTCCGGTCTTGTCCTTGCAAGTCACGTAAACGTCCCTCATCTTCCTGTCTGTTATAGCCGTTCATTCTACAACTGTGCCGAGTGCATCCGATAATCGAGATGAAACGCCTGATTTTCTTTTTTCTGACCTTGATCGCCTCTCGCCTGCTGAGATTCACAACTCCACGCAGATTATCTTTAGTCGAGGTGAGTTCGATCCCACGTCCAGCACGGAACCAGCGTACTTGCCGCTGAGTACGGATCGGCATGCTAGTCGCGTGTTGCATGCGCCGGGTGTTGTGCACAGAGAGGATTTGTTTGCAGGGAGGCAGGAGGATGGGGTGGGGGTGAGAGGTCGAGGGAGACGGACGCGGACTTTGAGGGTGTGACTTGAGAGTGAGGGAAGGTGTGAATCAGATTGAGAAGAGGTAACGTAGAGAATCGACCGAAGTGGGATCATGTCATGTTTGCTTGGAAAACTACTATGATATTTCAGAGGCGTCGACCCTATTCACAAGACCGAAAGACCACAATGACGACGGGATTCTGCATGTACCTAGAGTGGACTCAACACAGTATGCGCTCATGCCACTTTCTGCGTACCTGCACGTTCCCAGCCGCGCCTTCCCCTCGTGTTTGCCCATAGCAATCAATCCGCCCGACGCGACTACCCGCACCTTATCACCCGCTCACTCACCCTCTCAATCTCGTCACCGTTGACATCACCGCTACCCACGCAGTCCTCGATCGCGTCATCCCCAGCGCCCGGCACCATGTGCACCTTCTTCTCACTCACCTACCAATGCGGACACACGCAGACCTCGCACCGCTGCCCGCGCTCCACCGTCTACGTCCACGGCAAGGACGGCGAACAAGTCCCCCAGATCAACGGCTGCGAGGTTACTCACGTCCTAGGCGGCGGTCTCCCCGATATATGTATCGACTGTAAGATGGCGGAGGGCCACATGCCGGGTGTGACGACGGGGGTGGACAAGTGGTCGCTGTGGGGTCCGAAGGAAGATGCTATGGCTGCGCGGGTGAAGATGATGGAGGCGGGCGTCTCGGAGATATCGAATTCGCCGATAGAAGGGAGTATGGTGGAAGGTACGGTCCAGCACGTGAAGAGTGGATTTTCGGCTAACGGTAGAGTAGCGGAAGGTTGGGAGGAGCAGGTGCGCGCGGTTTTGATGAATCAGGGGCGCGGACAAATGGGGACGCCGGAAACGATGGCGAGCAGTGCGAGGAGCGGGTCGATGCAAACGGAGTGGAGGCAGGGAAAGAGGAGGGTTAAGGAGCAGGACGAGGAAGATGATGACTGGATGTGGGGTGGTATGAAGAGCTTTGGAGGCAAGGAGGGAAGGAAGCGAGGGAAGGCTGCGACGTTGCGGAATACTCGTGCATGAAGCCTGATGAATGGTCGGAGTGGTGAAGAGGATGAGCTGGTGGACGACGAAGAGCGCGGCTATGTGATGCGAAGGACTCGCTTGATCATCATGACTTAATGGATCTATTGTTGGAAAGCAGATACAATGTGAAGGTCAAATAAGTGTCATCAAACCGATTTTTGAGCTCAAAGCATCCAAATCCACGGAACGGCCTGGAGTAAGGAAGACTTCAGCGGGCCATTTCGTCGTATCCAAAGATTGTAATGGGCAAGGAAGTCTGGACGACCGGAGATATTCTGAAGTGCAGCGAAGAGCTTAGGGCGAGGACAAGCGCAGTGGACTGAATACAGGCCTTTCGCCGTTGCAGGCAGGGAGCTTTTGGGTTTCTTTGAGACTTTCACCTTCAAGGGATACTGGTGTACAGGGAAATTCCAGAGGACGACATACCGTTCAACGATAGCGAATGAGCCGAACACTCAACTTTGTGTGATCTGGCGACTCAAAAGACTGTTGCTTGATCTCGGCAGTGCCACCCGGATCTTTGCCAGAATAACGAGAAGCGATGCCGGAAAATGGAGGAGGCTTGACCGACGATCCACTTTGCAGGTCAAAGGTTGTGAGGTGGGACGTTTGAGTAAGAGAAGAGCAGCAAACTGCTTCACCGGCATGCATAGACTCCGGATCCAAGGACTGAGCTTCTCAGGTTCGCGCGTCTGTGCAGTCATTCCTGAGGGCACGTGGGAAGTATCGTAATCAGGACAATGTCAGCCAATCAAAGCCATCGCGTAGCAATCATACCCAGACCAATGCGTATTTCGTAGGAAAGACAACGTGACAATCAGATCGCCAACTATGGGCTCAATCGCTATTGCAGGCAGCCCGGAAAGCAAGGCAGCCCGGAAATTGTTGCGTGCGATGGTGACGACGTGAGACCTCGGTGGAAGAGGCCCCGGTCACTGCGTTGCTGGGAGACGGGCCTCGCTAAGGCTGTGTATACACGGCAGCCGCGAATCATGCCTTCACCAGCAGCAGACAACCCACCATTCGCGCATTGCATCATATCGAGAAGAACTATTGCGAATTCTTTTTATTTCCTGCTTGCGCGAGTTTCATCGTGACAATCCAGTGTGTCTAGCGGGGAGGCACCGGCAGTAGTGCAAAAAGTAGTGGCTGGTACTACCAACCACCTCCCAGCCTTCCACCAAATCTAAGTACTCCATTTCCTCAGCCCGGCAAACACCCACCTCCTTCACTTTCCACACCACGCGCTCACTGCATACACTACCTAGCAATTGCATCTTTCAGACTGCTAACTTTTGCGATCGCGTTGTTGTGTCGCTCTAGTCTGTCACTATCTATCGACCTCCACCTCCGGTACGAGTAGCGAATCAGCGGCTACCCCGCAGACAGCTCCCCACCCTCACCGCCTGGTCGACAAAGAGCTGTCGCATACGCTCAAAAAGATAATCAGACCTTCGTCTGGTCTCCTGCCGACAACATGGTATTCTTCCATGCGCCTGCAGCGGTCTTGAGCCTGCTTGCTCTCAGCTTCCTTCCTTCCGTCTCCGCGACACTGTTTCTAAAGCCCACTCCAGCGGCGCGCCTCAATGACTTCGAACGGCTGAAATTGGCACTCGCCAAACGACAGAACGCATGTGCCGGCACTCCATGTGGCTTTGAGGACGCGTACTGCTGTACAGGTGGACAACAGTGCTTTACCGATGCAAACATGAAGGCCTTATGCACTGCTGGTGATGGTGGATGGATATACAGTACCTTCTACTACACCGCAGCCGAGACTGTTACGAAGCAGTCGGTTTGGAGCACCTACGTCGGGAGCAGCCCGACCGGATCGGCTTGCAACCCTTCCGACATGTGCGGCACCGCATGCTGCGGCAGCGGAGAGTGGTGCCAAGACGCGTCTATCAACCTGTGCAAAGTTATTGGAGGCGGATCAGCAGGATCTCCTGGAGTTACTGGTACCGGTACAAACCCATCCGCACCTGTGCGTCCCACGAGCAATGGAGTAATCGTTATCACAGCAACTGGTTCCGCAACTGCCACCGTCCCTTTCACCACACCAATCCCGACGGGCGTCAACGGAACGCTCGTAGAATCGAACTCGGGAGGAGGGGGGCTCAGCGGTGGAGCTATTGCCGGTATCGTCATTGGTGTCATCGCTGGCATCATTCTCCTTCTGCTCATCTGCTTTTACTGCTGCGCCAAAGCCGCCTTCGATGGTGTCTTGGCCTTGATCGGTCTGGGCAAGAAGAGGAAGCACACGCACGAGGAGACGACGTACATCGAAGAGCACCACAGCGGTGCGGCCGCCGGCGGACGTCGTTGGTACGGCCAAGCTGGATCGGCTCGCCCATCACGTCCAGCGAAGAAGGAGGGCGGTGGGCTAGGCAAGCTCCTGGGCATCGGCGCTGGTGCCGCTGCAATAGGAGCTTTGCTGGGCATGAAGAAGAAGAATGAAAAGCGTTACGACGACAAGAGCACCACGGTTACCGACTCTTCCTACTATTACAGCGACTACACCAGCAGTAGTGAGTTTGACCCGCGAGATCACTTGACAATACAATACTGACTGTGTCATAGGCAGTGCCAGCTCTGACGACCGACGAACGCGCCATACACGACACTCGTCGCGTCCCTCGCGTCGCTAGTCGCGTTTGTTCATCTTTCTTTCTTGTATAACACTTCGAAAATATCCCCGTTGATAGCGCCTTTTTTTCATGCATTATGGCTGGCTGCCTGCATATGACTCACTCTGATGGCGTTCTGGCGACTGGATTATGAAAGACAACTGTGACATGGGGTACGAGAGGTATGACCAAGGGGTAATGCGCAGTATGGATTATGTGAATGGAGGGCCTTTTGGTCTGTGAATATGTGAATACGACAATCCTGGCTTCCTGAGCTCAAATTGCTGTGCAACGTGCGGGTGTGATATGTGAGACCGAACAATTTGTGAGAGCGTTCTTGCGCCACTTCGGATGACATAGGCGCGCCAAGCACGAAGTGGGATGTGCTAGTGTGTTTCGGGAGTTCGGGAGCTCTACGAGCACCTTCTCTTGCTGCCTCATCAACCCGTACAAATCCAACGCCCGCTGCCTTGACTTTCTTTCTACTTGCTCAACAAGACCAACTTATACCCCGATCCTCCCGCACAGGCATATCGCCAGCGTTTGCGCAAATTGTCCACCTCAACACTCCGTCACACGCCCCACTTCGACGACCGACAAGTGCTCGATCGCCACGCCTTACACTCGAGAGGTTGCAAAGGCCGGCAAGCTGGGGAAGAGAAGGTATTCCGGTGAAGACCTTGGTGGTCCCCCTAAGAAAGCTATGGCAGTGAGTCGCCCCAAACACGCGCCCGTTAATGGATGCGCTGGCGCTGTGTATTCGTAAACAGCTACAACAGCAGCACCACTACAACCTACTTCACTTCTCGCGGAGCATCTTTCTGACAAACATTAGGACAAAGACACAATGCAGGTCGACGACCCTGCTGCTGCTGTCCAGCAGCTAAAGCACGCCGATGGCGAGATCGACGAGTCTCTGTACAGCAGACAGCTGTACGTGCTCGGCCACGAGGCCATGAAGCGTATGGGACAGTCTCACGTCCTTATAGCTGGGCTCCGCGGCCTCGGTGTTGAGATCGCGAAGAACATCGCTCTCGCTGGAGTCAAGTCATTGACGCTATACGATCCCAAGCCCGCCGCTCTCGCCGATTTGTCGTCGCAATTTTTCCTCCACCCCGAGGACGTCGGCAAGCCTCGAGCATCTGTCACCGTTCCCCGCGTCTCAGAGCTCAACCCATACACACCAGTGCACGAGTTCTCAGGGAGCGACCTGACGTCAGATCTGTCGCAGCTGAAGCAGTTCCAGGTCGTTGTTTTGACAGACACACCGCTGAACGACCAAATTAAGATTGCCGACTACTGTCATGACAATGGCATCTACGTCGTCATCTCGGATACGTACGGTCTGTTCGGTACCATCTTTACAGATTTCGGCAAGAACTTCACCGTCACCGACACCACCGGCGAGAACGTCAACAGCGGTATCATTGCAGGAATCGACTCAGAGGGCCTTGTGTCTGCGCTGGACGAGACTCGGCATGGTCTTGAGGATGGTGACTGGGTTACCTTTACCGAAATCGAGGGCATGACTGGGCTGAACGGCTGTGAGCCTCGCAAGATTGAAGTAAAGGGCCCATATACGTTCTCCATCGGCGATGTCTCCGGACTGGGTGAATACAAGAAGGGCGGCCAATACATCCAGGTCAAGATGCCCAAGATCTTGAATTTCCAGCCTCTCAGCCAGCAGCTGAAGAAGCCTGAGCTATTGATTTCCGACTTCGCCAAGTTTGACCGACCGCAGCAGCTGCACGTTGGTATTCAGGCTCTTCATGAATTCGCCAACAAGCACAATGGGGAATTCCCTCGCCCACACAACGAGAGCGATGCTGCAGAGATTTATCAGATCGCGCAAGGACTTGCTGGCCAAGGAGAGGACAAAGTTGAGTTGGACGAGAGGTTGATCAAGGAATTGAGTTTCCAGGCACGTGGTGACCTCAGCCCGGTCGCCGCTTTCTTCGGAGGTTTAGCCGCTCAGGAAGTACTGAAGTCAGTGTCCGGCAAATTCCACCCTATCGTGCAGTTCCTCTACTTCGATTCGTTGGAGTCGCTACCTACGTCGACCAAGCGCTCGGAGGAGCAGTGTGCTCCTATTGGCTCGCGATACGATGGTCAAATCGCTGTTCTCGGAAAGGAATACCAGGAGAAGCTCGGAAACGTCAAGGAGTTCCTCGTCGGCGCTGGTGCGATTGGTTGCGAAATGTTGAAGAACTGGGCTATGATGGGACTGGGCGCAGGACCTAAGGGTCAAATCTGGGTAACCGATAACGATCAGATCGAGAAGAGCAACCTCAACCGACAATTCCTGTTCCGACCAGCAGATGTTGGCAAACTCAAGAGTGAGGCCGCAGCGAAGGCTGTGCAAGCCATGAACCCTGACTTGAACGGCAAGATCGTGCACATGCAGGAGAAGGTCGGCCCAGAGACAGAACACATCTTCAACGAGAAATTCTGGGATAACCTTGATGCTGTCACAAATGCTTTGGACAATGTCGAAGCCCGAACATATGTCGATCGCCGCTGTGTATTCTTCCGCAAATCATTGCTGGACTCTGGTACCCTCGGAACCAAAGGCAACACCCAAGTCATTATCCCACATATCACGGAATCCTACTCCTCGTCACAAGACCCGCCCGAGAAGTCGTTTCCTATGTGCACTCTGAGGAGTTTTCCGAACCGAATCGAGCACACCATTGCCTGGGCTCGTGAAATGTTCGATACATTCTTCGTCAAGGGTCCAGAGGTTGTGAACCTCTACCTTACTCAGCCCGATTACCTAGGTGCGTCATTGAAGCAATCTGGCAACGAGAAGCAGACACTAGAAACGCTTCGGGACTTCCTGGTGACAGAGAAGCCTCTGACATTCGATGATTGCATTATCTGGGCTCGCCAGCAATTTGAGAAAAATTACAACCAGGCGATTCAACAATTGCTGTACAACTTCCCGAAGGATTCCACAACGGGTTCCGGCCAGCCCTTCTGGTCAGGGCCAAAGCGCGCTCCGGATGCGCTGAAATTCGACCCCTCAAACCCCACTCATTTCACGTTTGTGGAGGCTGCGGCCCACCTCCACGCGTTCAACTACGGCATCAACCCTAAGGGTGTTACGAAAGAACATTACTTGGAGGTGTTGAACGATATGATTGTGCCGGACTGGAAGCCCGACCCAACTGTGAAGATCCAGGCGAGCGACTCCGACCCTGACCCGAATGCTCAACCTGCAGGACCCGTTGACGACAACGAAGTTTTGAACAAGCTGGTATCATCACTTCCAGCGCCGAAGTCAATGGCTGGGTTCAAGCTTGAGCCTGTGGAGTTTGAGAAGGACGACGATACCAACCATCACATCGACTTCATCACAGCCGCTAGCAATCTTCGCGCTGAGAACTACAAGATTGAGCAGGCTGACAAGCACAAGACGAAGTTCATCGCTGGCAAGATCATTCCTGCTATCGCAACCACCACCGCGCTTGTCACTGGTCTTGTAAACCTAGAGCTGTATAAGCTCCTGGACGGCAAGACGGACATTGAGCAATACAAGAACGGTTTCGTCAACCTCGCTCTCCCCTTCTTCGGTTTTAGCGAGCCGATAGCTAGCCCTAAGGGCGAGTACACTGGTCACAACAACGAGAAGGTACAAATTGACAAGCTGTGGGACCGCTTCGAAGTGGAAGACATCGTCCTCGAGGAGTTCATCGACCATTTTGAGAGGAAGGGTCTCAATGTCCAGATGGTCAGCTCGGGCGTCAGCTTGCTGTACGCATCGTTCTACCCGCCGGCCAAGCTAAAGGATAGGATGGGTCTCACGTAAGTTCATCTCTTGCGACTGACATTGCGAGAATGTGTACTAAAACAAAGCAGGATGAGCAAGCTGGTCGAGTTTATTAGCAAGAAGCCCGTGCCGGAGCACCAGAAGAACGTCATCTTCGAGGTAACGGCTGAGGACCAGACCGAGGAGGACGTTGAGATCCCGTATGTCATGGTCAAGCTGCAAAAGTAAATGCCACTGGCTGGGTATTGGAAGGTTTGGCGTAGTGATGAGACGGCGTATTGCTCGCTTGCAACGGAAGGTTGTGGAGGCATCATACATAGATGAGCATTGAACGCGAAATGAATAGATTACTTGAATCAATTCATAACTTTGACAGTTTCCGTGAGCTTCGTGCTTGGATATCCTTCCTGCCGTGGGCAGAGATTGGTTTCGTTTTCGTGATAAGAACTCATGCCCAATATACAGACAAGTCGGGTGGAATTTCGCGGGCTGTGCGCAATAGAAGCGACTCTTCAATATAGATAGGCCATGAGCTCGTCTTGTTGGTTGCAAGCAATGCGTATCGCTATACGCGTTGCGATATCAAAGCTTGGCTTCGAGACTGTTACCGCGTTTGCAGCTGCGCGTGTACCTGATGTCGAATACGGTCGCATGAACAATGACACACGTCGCTGTTTGCAAGCGCAGGCTGCAGGGTAAACTCGCGTCCATATTGCGTGACTGTGCAGGCCTCCTTCTTGGAGCGACGCACTTTGGTATTGTCTTCTCTGCTATCGCGATTGCCATTGCGATAGGGCTTCTACAATCATTCGCTATGCAGCAAAAAGGGCTGCAGAAGGACTGACATGGTGAATGTATCTCTGCGGATGCTTACCTGCATAGTGGAGCATGACCTTTACATTGGATGTCTTGGTAGTTTTACATTATTTTTGCATTGATAGTGCTATTGTAACATCGCTCAAAGTTTTCACACGACTCTAACTGAGAAGCCAGCATCAAGCTAAATATGCGGAAAGGACGGGGATTCCGGAAATAATGATTAGCTGCTAGATGTACGTTCTCTTGAGCTTCGGAGATTTGGGGTGAACCATATCTCTGGGCAATCTCTCGAGCAAATAGTTTTATGGGCCACTCCGCATAGTACGTCTGCTTTGATGAGTCTCTATGCACACAAATTGAATTATTTCATTCTGCTCCACTTGTGGAGTAATGAGGTCGATTTTGTGCACTTCAAATCGATCCATGGCAGCCTACATCCTTTAATAGTGTTACAAAATTTGAGGGGAGAGCATACCCCCATCACCTCAAACATCTCCATGATTCGGTAATAGTGAGCCGAATCGTCCAGTGCAGACTTGATCCGGACTGCTACTGCGCCAAAGCATGCCCCGATATGGGGAGAGTTTGCTGATACAGCAGATGCTATGCAGTTACCCAGGCACTCGATGGTGGTGAAGATGGTATCCAGCTTGGCGTATATAATCTTGTTTTTGCTATTGAACGTTCGAACGTACCGTTCTGACTCTCAGTCTACTTCCGCAAGTCCGCAGCGGTCTTGAGGCTTACGACCAGTGCATGGTCCAAGGGCTTCCGAGCACGTTTCTTGTACCGCTGTCATCCCGTCTCAAATATGGTCTCGAATCTCGATGCCGCCGCCATCGCTATAGTGCCATGAAGTTGAGGGCGAAAGAGTGATGTTAGCTGGGTCAGACGGGAAGTTCACGCCTTTTTCACGCAGCGGAGCAGTGTATCGTTGCTTGTGCTATCCGGTAAGCGAATATCTTTCTCCGCACAACTTCCTCAACCCGAAATGCATCGCCCGACTGTGACACGTCGCCTCAAATTGTTTGCCCCTCTCCTTGTGACCGGTCCGATCGATACCTGAAGAGGTTCCTCTGCTGTAGCATGTGTCAATAGGAGTTTCTCTCGACATTCTACCCTTCAAGTTTGTCAAGCATCCATAGTTTACCGAGTTAGTCTGCTTGCCCCACGTGAAAATCGTGCAAGAGTTGTGCGCGAAGCCCTTACACGCTCAGTCTTTCCATATCATGTACAGGTGAGGTGAAAATAGGGTGGGAAAAAATATGTGGCGTCCAAGTATCTCGACATTGACTGCGCATGTATCCATGTTACCCTATTTAAGACAAAACTAGAGAGATGTAACCGTCATATCATGATGCGACGCCATCTTTGAGTGCATCGACTGCCACGCTCACTTCCAAACAACCAACATCCTCCCGGGGATCTAGAACCTAAACTATGAAACCAGCTTTCTGTTCTCAAAGAAATGAAGACGTGCCAATCGTAGGGTCTTCGTCCCCTCTGAGGCCTTGTTCTTAGCCAAGCCCACCAGAAGAACCGTCATACTCCAAAGCCAGTGCATCCCATCCCTCAAACATCTCAGTTTCGGGTATGCAGCTCGAGTCCGTCGAAGTAGACGATGTCTCAGACCAGGCTGGTGAAGGCGGGTGTGTGAATGGCAGGAACGGCTCCTCATCTTCGTGTAGCTCCGATGGGGTGGTGTACGAAAGTGTGTATACCGAAGGAGACAGGATTGGACGGTGAGAGGCTGAGCCGTTCGCGAGATCGAGGTATGAGGCCTTGCCCAGCGGGGCCATATTTCGTATTGCGCCAGTGGGTGCGGTGCCGAAGGTGATCCTGGGTTTCGGGCGGGTGACAGCGGAAGAGAAGGTGACGGGTGGGTAGGGCGTTTGTTGAAGAGAAGCCGGGCAGTCTGTCTGCGCCTTGTGCATGTTGCCGCCATCTCGGACATCTTGGGCAGATTGCTTGCTTGGAGACGGCTTGCTTATGTGAAAGTTCTCCAGCATTCGAGTAAGCCTGGGGTCTAAAGACTTCGCACGATCCTCCAGCTTCGCAACAGACTGAGAACTACGCCTGGCTTCCTGAACCTTGGAATCGTCCTGCGCCTGTTTCTTCTTTCGGCAGAGGTCTCGCATCTGAGATGTGATCTCACCCACGAGCGGTTTCAACCCAAATTTTTGTGCCTTGGATTCCTTTTTGTGGCCTTTCTCTTTCCAATCTCCTTTTCGCATAACGTCAGCAAATGCCATGTTCGACGGAGCAAGCTGCTGGCTTTGGGAGGCGATTGCGCTGGACCATGCCATGTTGAATAAGGAAAGACTAGCTGAGGAAGTAGAGGATGATCCATTTCCCGCTAATGGTGCTGGTATATTCGCTTGAGCAACAGGATGCGCTGCCTTGCTGGTGTCTGGAGCGGTTTTCTTGGGCGGCGGAAAGAATGCGACAGGAGTCGAGGCGAGTGTCCCCATAGCAAGAAGCTGTACACCACCGTACATCTGAGTCTCACACCTAAGCGTGCGATTTCGTGCCCTCGTCATCTGTTTTGATTTTTCTGTCGTCAGCTCCTTAACATTAGGCATCCAATTGTATCCGATCCAGTTTGCACGTCCGCGACGCTTGGGCATAGGATACAGTGCTTTCTTGTCAGGCGTGGAAGATTCAAGTACGTTCGAGTGCTCGGAATCTGGCGACGTTAAGATAATCCGAGGGAGAGCATGAGCTTCAGTTGCGAACGTTGCTTCGGCGACGGGGTGATAATTGGCGGTGCAACGTCCGCAGGTGAAGATGTCGTGGCTGGTCTTGTCGCATTTGATTCTGTCTGCTTTCGCTATCTTGTCGAATCGCTTGTGAGTGCCTTGAGGATCGGCAAGGCAGAAGATGCACTTTTGTACTTGCGCGAGATCGGCGGCAGGCATTGGTATTCTGTAGGCGGCGTTTGACGGCGCATCAATCTGCGCGTCTGTGGTAGATTGTGCCTCCGTTTCGGGCAGTGCGTCAAGCGGAGCGACGTGCACAGAATCTGTCTTTGGTGCGTCTTGCGGCAGTGTGAATGGTTGGACGACAAATTCGCTCAAGTCGTTCAAGGTTGAATTGGAGCTGCCGGCGGGTTCAGTATGTGGGCAAAGAAACTGCGTTTGAGGCTGCAAACGAGGTTAGTTCTGTAAGAAACCCTCTGGAATTACGACATTGAAGTGAACGACAATGTGGACGAAAGCAGTTCAAAAAGACTCACTGAAACAATGCAATACAACGCGACTAACTTACACCCTCCATGATGATGAAAGGATCGAAGTCTTCCTTCACCACTGGAAAGACATTCCTAGCGGCCCCTACAACGTCGCCTGCTGTGCGCCAGCCCTCGCATTCTTCCCCATCTGCATTGACACAATTCCGTAGTGCCGACTCTCCACATCCATACAGAAACTCAGGATGATTGCGTTTTCTCTGAATCTTGAACCGGAACCTTACAGAACTTCTTCGCGAGACTCCTTCGATGCACTTATGGAACCGATCCGTGATCTCGGTCCTGCCACAAGGGCTCATGTAGAGCGCCTCGAATTCATCAGACTCGATAAAGCTGTGACTATCTTGGGTACCCCGCTGACACCGCTGCAGGTGTAGCAAGGAGCCAGCAAGAAATCCTTCAGCGGCCGATAGCTCGCCGTAACAGATAGGACAAGACTTGTCCAATTGACCGGCGAAGCAGGTAGCGCGGTGATGAAGCGCATCCATGTCCGAGCAGGTGGAGAGGTCGCTTGCGCAAGTCAAACATGAAGACTCGGGTATGCTCGTGTCTGGGGCGGGTAAGGGTATATTCTTTGAAAGGCTTGGAGTCAGTGGTGGTAGCACAGGTTCTGGGATTTGCGGAGTGCTAGTTGTGGGAGTATCCTGGCGTACTGCGGCTGCGACAAGATCGCCCCAGCAGAAATTGAAATGAGCCGGGCGCTCATGATAGGGAAGACCGCAAATGCCGACCACCTTTTTTTTTTTTGCAAACAGGGCATAGCCGAGCATTCATCTCCGCGGTCATTTTCGGGTCATCCTCCACGTAGTACTCGTGTACTTCCCCGCTGGGCTGAACGATTGAGACCTTTGACGAGAGGATGATTTCGGCGAGTGGTGCAACTCGTCGTATGTAAAAGTACTCTATGCAGTCGGGCTGGCTGATTGAAATTTGTGTCGAGACAAGATTCTTGCCAGAGGGTGCTGCTTGTGTGCAAGCTGCGACGTGGAGAACGGCCGTCACCGGATATTGAGCGCTATACTCGACCTCAACACCGCAGTGGGAGCAAGTGTGCAACATCTCGAAGGCGAGATCGTGATATTGTGTCGTTGTGCTATACGCCTCGTGAACGTTGTTGCGCGCACTCAGATATACTACTATACACGCTGAATGTCGCGGCAACTTGGGCCGTGATCCCCTCATAGGTGGAATGCATAAACATATCGCGTGACTCAGAGCGAAGGTGAGACAAATGTGACTTTGAATAAGGTTGATTCGAAGATATGGATGAGAATGATAGTTTCACATTGGAATATCTTGATATGGAAGGTGCTCGAGTTTCGCTCTTGCCTCCCCACACGCAGCATTACATCTCTGGAAGTCCATGTAAACTTCGACGATTGAGATATTTCCAGGCTGTTTGCTGCAGGGCATCTGACGTTTTTGAGACATGCGCTAATTCGACAGCTTCCCACGTTGGGTGCACCCTGTTGAGCAAATCTATCAATCTTTACGAATGACGACCCTCTTCTTTTCTAGATGCACTTCCACGTGGTTTGTGAAGTATTTTGATGGATCTCGCACGACGACAGCCGCAAGAAGCGCAACGACGCCAAACGGAATCGAAGCTAACCATGTGATACGGAATGCGTATGCGTACGCGTACCGTGCCGCTCGAACAGATGATTCAAAGATCTCTGCAGGCACAGTAGAAAGTTTAGCACCCTCACCCGGAACGCCCAGGAGTGTCAGCGTCACCGCCTCTATCAGCTCGCCTATGGACGACGAAGCTACTCCACCTGCGGTTGCTGTTGCCGCGATCCTCTTCGCCACCTCCTTCTTCGCTGTCTGGTTGAAGATCGACGAAAAGATGACTGAGCCGATGGATCCACCAACAGATCTGAAAGTCCCAATCAAACCAATGGCCACTCCAAGATCTCTTTGAGGGACGTTGAGCGAAGCAGTTGTGTAGCAATTCAGCGTGATCCAGCCAAACGGAAACATAGCGAGAAACTGCACCGCCATGAGCCAATTGATGTTTGTTGGTGTAATGAGTGCCGCGAGGCCGAAGAAGAGCGTCTGCATAAACACAGCAAATGTGAGCTGGTAGTGCACATGTTTGATGTAGTGAACGAGAGCAGGGACGAGACATCCGCCGATCAGTTGGCCAAAACCCGATGGGAGGGAGTATACACCGATCTTGATGGGATCTGGGGTGTGCAGGTACAGTATCGTCTGCGCGTTCAAAGCTGCCGCCGCGAAAAATACCATACCCGCAACGAAGACCAGAACGATTAGCGCTGAGAACTCGCGGAAGTTCCTGAAGAGGTACCAGGGGAAGAGAGGATCCGCTGGCACGAGAGCATCGTAGACAAATGCGCCCAGAAAAGTAACGAGTCCAAGGACTAGAGGTGCGACTGTTCCAGCATCACCCCAAGCATATGTGTTCCCACCAGAGTTGAGACCGTAGAGGAATACCACGAGGCCAGCCGTAAATAGAAACGCGGCAACGAAATCCAACTCTTTGAATTGCTGCCATTTCGTCTTTCGATCTGGTCGTGGATGACTAGGCGGGAAGTATACGAAGAGTGTTCCAATGAAACTGAACGCCCCGTACCCAATACACAAATAGAACATAATTCGCCAGCTCGCGTTGGATACCATAGCGTTCGCGAGTAGTGTGGACGGAACAGCCCATGATGCGAGATTGAACTCTGTCCATGCGAGACCGATGCCTCTGTACTTGTTTGGCAGGATTTCAGAAATCCCTGGAATATATGTGAGTAGATGTTAGCAGTCAATGACAGCTCCACGTACCGGCATAAGCAACAGATACAGTTCCGATGCTCGCTCCGAGGATAACCTCCCCAGCAATCAATTGGTTCATCGTGTTGCTTGTGCAACAAACGATACCGCCAACGACTGTCAGGAACTGGCCGAAAAGGATGACCACCCGTCTACCGAATATGTCCGAGACCTTCCCGGCGACGGAAAATCCAACAGCTGCAGCAGCACCCCACCCAGAAGGAATCCAAAAGTCAATGTCGCCGCCACCGAGCCTCTGCGACAGCTGCACAAGGATGGGTGCGACCAGAATAAAACCAAACATGATAGGACCGGTGAAAGAGGTGCCGAGGAAGAGTGCTGAGAGAAGGACCGGCCATGTTAACTTTTGTGCATGTTCGGGATTGTCTTCAAGAGCAGCCTTGTGCGGATCTTCATAGCCGGCTGGAACGTCAAATTCCTCCTGATGGGCGGTTTTCAGTTCATCCTTTGATTCAGGCCTTGGGGTGTCTCCTTCTTCTAGCTTGGTACCGTTTGACTCCATTGCAGCGCAAGGGCCCCGTTAAGTCAGGACGAGGCCGGTATTTCACGATAATGTCGAAATGTTCTAGCTCCAGAAACCTGGCTGTATGAATATATGCCAGTGTTGTACGATTAAGACATATCAGAAAAGCTTATATTCAAGGAAGGAATTAGTGGGGAATCCTCCGTTGCCGGGGCACGACTATATACGTGTTCTGATACGTGCCAACTGGGCGTCAGGCTATGCTGTGGGGCGTAATTGCAGTACCAAGCGTGCATCTCCATGTGGCTTAAGCTAAGGACTGGTACGCGGCCTCGATGATTGATTGACTCGAGAGTGAGCGGTGTATGAATCAGTTCAAGGTAGAAGGATTCCGCACTAAGCAGAAAGGGCGTGCGGGGAAATGTGGGGTGTCGCATCCCCCCGTGCAGAAAAGAGATCACTTTGACTGTTGCAGGATACTTCTCAAATTAAAATCGTCCATTAGAGAAGGCATCTGTATTCGGATTGTCGCACTATGGTCAATGTCTTGTGGGCGCCGAGACGCCCCTTCCTCTTCCATCTCACTTGCTGCTCCCCCAAGCTGACCGTTCATCAACAACACCTAACCGGTGAGACTAAACGGTGGGGCTCCTACACCAACTGCGTCTTAGATCTACACATTTGTCATCGCACCACTTCCTCGGCAGTTATCTCTAGCAATTCCTGAGTACTGACCTGAATTGCATCGAAGTTGAAGACAAAATGGTTGATCCAAAGACGGCTGTGCTTGCCTTCGTCGTTCTCTATGTACTCCCATACCAGCTATGCATGCTCGTCTATCGCCTCTGCTTCTCACCACTGAGCAAGCTCCCAGGTCCATGGTTTACCCGAATCTCCACCATCCCAGAAGTGAACGCGCTTAAAGAACAGCGAAGAACAAAATGGGTCAACACCCTGTTCGAGCAGAATCCAGGCGCAGTGGCGGTCCGCACGGGTCCAAAGGCGGTCTCATTCAATCACCCTGATGCTGTCAAGGCTATATACGGTACTTGTACGCCCTTGAACCAACAGAACCAGTCCTGATATGGAATATAGGACACGGGAAGGGACAAGAAGAATTTGGAAAGTCGAGCTGGTACGACGCCTTCTCCACAACAGGCGAGTCGCTCTTCTCCACGCGCTCCAAGAAGCGCCACGCCATGAAGCGCAGGATGGTAGCGCACGGCTTCAGCGCGCAGAGTCTGCAACTCTTCGAGCCGTATGTTGACCTCACGATTGAGAAGTTCATGAAGCGTATGGATGAATTTGCGCAGACCGGAGATCCTTTTGATATTTACTTCTGGTTTGAGCTCTTCACTATGGATTTGATGGGCGAGCTCGCACTCGGCAACAACTTCGGCGTGCTGGAAGCGGGGAAGCCGGCGAGGTACTCCAAGCTCGTGGAGCTGTCGCAGCGTTTTGGGAATCTGAGTGGTATTCTTCCGTTCGGGAAGTACAGCAAGAGGGTGCTCAGCTGGGTGCCTTTGCCGTACGTTCAGCAGCTGTGGAAAGCGAGAGTAGAGTATTTGGAATACGCCCGGCATGCCTTGGAAAAGCGCTTCAAGAATGATCGCGCACAGGTTGCGCAGAGTGGGAAGCAAAGACAAGACATCATGCAGCGCTTCATCGAGGCCAAGGATCCCGAGACAGGGAGGCGGATGGACTTTGACGAGCTGCGCGCCGAAACATCATCACTTATGTGAGCACATCTCGATCTGAGAAGTTGAAAACTTTCTAACCAAAGACCAGGGTCGCAGGCGCGAGTACCGGCAGTGTGACCATGAACTGGATGATATACTACCTCTGCAAAAATCCCCAGATAAAAACACGCCTCATACACGAACTAGACACAATGTTTCCCAATGAACAAGACTGCGGGAAACCCCTCCCTTACACGCAAGTCAACACCATTCGCCTCCTCGAACACGCTGAAATCGAATGTCTCCGCCTCCACCCCCCCATCGGGTACGCGATGCCCCGCGATACACCCCCAGGCGGAGCCGTCATATGCAACCACTTCATCCCCGGTGGTGTCGCGGTCGGAGTTCCCGCCGCAACAATCGGGCGCAATGCCGCGGTTTATCCCGATCCAGATTCCTTCCAGCCCGACCGTTGGGCAGACGCTACAGCGGAGATGAAGACGTGTTTCCTGGGGTTTGGCTTTGGCAGTCGGCAATGCATTGGCCGCAACGTCGCGAACCAATTCGCAGTCAAGATGATTGCAAGCTTGCTGGTGAGGTACGAGGTTGAGATGGAGGACCCCGGGTTGGTGCTGGGGACGAAGGAGTTTACGATACTGAAGCCGGATAGGGAGTATAAGGTCGTTTTGAAGAGGAGAGTGGCGAAGGGTTGAGCGGTTTCGTGTGCCTGGTGCGCGGGTCGAGCATTGCTGTTTCAACCCCGTTGGGAGAATCAGGTACTGCAACGCTAACTCACCAGGACAACGGAATGGGATATACCGAATAGTAATAAGTATGCTGGAAGGCCAAACGAGTATTTTGGTATGGTTGTGTGTGGGTTGCAATGTGCTGCGCCGGTGGCCCATGTTTCAAGACATGGGAAGGTGCGCCAAGGCATACAGTATGCCTGATCCGAGCTGACGACAATGGTTCATGCTCGCGTGACGGATACGGTAGAGCGTCTTCAGGCGGCGGGAGATGTCTTCGTCTTTCTTGGCCTGGGTAGGTGATAAAGTCGGCACGTGGTAGGGCGAATTGGTTGACCGAATGATCTTGGTAATGGCAGATTCCTCCACAACAGGACCCCGGAGCCCTTTGACGTGTGCGATGGGCAAGACCACAACTAATTTGTGTGGAGACGAACTCTCGTGTGCGGTGTCATTAGCTGTGGACAGGGACCAGGCCGAACGCACCGCGGAAGTGAAGAAGGCATCGATCTCGTCCTTCTGCTCCTCTTCCATGGCAGTTCTCGAAAGCGCATCTCGCATATTGTCTTCATCGCCATTTTCCGGGCAGGGTTCTTTGTCAAGGGGCAGGAAAAATGGCGAATCTTTGACCACGTCGATTTCTTCGTCGGTCGATGCTATTGCCAAAGACTCTGGTGTCGTGGAACGCGAGGGGTTTTCGTTGTTCAGAAACAAACTCGTGTCGTGCTCTTCGTGGACCGAGTCGTGCTTCTTAGATTCGCGGCTGTCGTTGGCGGAAGCCGAACCCAGGTCTCCTGCCTTCTGCGCCTCGTGCGCCAACTCGTCTGCCATGGTGAAGATGATGGGACAAGAAGTCGCAACGGCGATAGCTACGTTGCTCTCGTCTCGAGCACCACCTACAATATCCCCTTGAACACCCATCTTTGCCTCAATTTCGTCTTTGTAAACCTCAAATGTCTTGGCCTTCTTCTCCTCGGCCTGCTCCATCTCCCACCTCTCAAAAGTTGCAGCTTCATACAGCGAGATATCCTCCTCAAGGTCAAAGTCCTCTTGGTAGGCCTCTTCAAGCTGAATTTCCTCCTGGAAGGTCCCTTCAAGCTCAAGCTCCTGGCGCCAGGCATCGTCAGTCTCTTCTTCATACTTGACCTCCTGTCGCAAGGGCGACCCGCGAAGCAGCATCATCTTGCGACAATCAACCCCACGCTGCACCTTGTTGTTGCGGTATGCGCCAGCGTACGAGTGTGCGTCTTCAAACATCAGCGCTTCGTAGGCTGGCTTCCACGGCGCGCTGTACTCCAGGTCGTGAAGTGTGTTGGGAGGCAAGCCCGGAGGACGGTCGTACTCGAATGGAACCTGCAGGTAGAATTCAGGGGGAGCAGGAAGCTTCTTGTAAGGACAAGCGTGAGCTTCAGCTCGAGCCTCGGTGGTAGCGACGTCGTCGCCGGGCGCCATGCTCCAGTCGAGGGGGTGTGCGGGTAGTCCGGGATCGTCGTCGTCGTCGCCGCGGAAGGAAGGCTCAGGGGTGGATGGGCGCGGCGGGATATCACAATCGCTGTAGTCGCAGTCCTCACCGTCGCTGGTTTTAGCATGAGTGGCAGGGCTGCTGTCGTCTCCATCCCCCTTGTCGCCGGCTGAAGCTGCCTCGTCCGAGCCGGAGGCAGAGTTGCTGTAGTACTCGAAGTTCGCGGCGGTGGCCTTGAAGTGCTCCATGTCGAACTCGTCATCGTCGTCGTCGGCCCAGCTGTAGCCGCAAACATTCCTCCCGTAACAAGCGTCCATTGTGTGTAATTATATTAGAATAAGTGCAGAAATGGGATGGCCGTTTAGGGAGAATATGGCTAGCAAAGCGTGTGCCTGTGTGAGAGCGTCGGTGGAACTATTGTAGTACCGTTTTTGCGGGCGCAGACTCAATCGTTCTGTGGTATGGCTCAGTGTTCGCCGGAAACAAGCTGTAGCGGTTTATTGGTGTTCACGCTGTGGCAGGTATGACGCCGTGGATCAAAGGCGATGTTTAAATATATGGGAGTGAATTATTACTTGTCGTGGGCTTTTGGAAGGCGCGTTTTGTCGCGATGCTATGGGGATTGCTTAGGCCAGGTGAAACCATATATCACGTGGTTGCCGAGCAACCTTCATATTCAACTAAAATGGTCGCCTGCCCGCTCGACAAAAGGCAATGACGAGGAACGCCCCTTCGAATTTTTAATGCCCAATGTCAAGTTTCGTGCAAACCAATCTCTCTGCGGCATTGTATTGCTTCGTCCTCGGTTGCCCCTTGGCCATCTCGTTCACTCGGGTCGGCATCCTTTTTCGCCACGGGCCTTTCATCCCACATCAGGCTCTTGACCCTGGCCAGCGATGCGTGCCCGATATAGCTTGTTCTGATTAACGCTCAAAAAGCTATTGTGGAACATAATCTGGCGCTCGCACCTGAGATGGCGATGCCATCGCTTGATAACACGCACTGACACGTCGCCGGATCGCGATTGAGTTGCCCCTCGCCTTGGCTCCACATACTGTATGAGGCTTTTCCTTGCGGTCGCTTTGATGGCTTGACGCCGTTCACTGACCTATTGTCGAGGTAGTTCTTTCTTCTCTTTCGGGAATGATCAGTGTCGCGACGGATCCGCACACGCGAATGAGCCATATAGAACAACGTCAGTGACTAGGAATCCGGCGTGTCGACTTTGGTAACCGATCCATGAACCAACGTGTTGCTCATATCAAACCCAGAATGCTCAACCCCTTCCCTCTGTTTTGCGTAGTGTCCTTGTTCATCTCTCCTTCCGCTCCTTGCGCAAGCAATAGTTCAATGATCATGCTCCTCTCTCGACTGTCCACCCTCGAGGGTCCCAGTGCCATTTGGAAAGGTGTAGTTCCATCCATTGCCTCCCTATTTACATCCGCACCCATCTCCAACAGCCACTTCGCAATCGGGTAGCCACCTGGAGTCCTGACTGCAAGGTGCAGCGGCGTCTCTCCCTGTTGATTCGGCGTATCGAAATATATACCGGCTTCGACGAGCCACTGAAGGTTTGGGAGCTGTGATCCGAGGACGGAAGCGTGAATGGCGGAGTAATAAGCGGAGTGCGAGGTCTGCGTCATGTCTGCGCCGTATTCGACGAGGAGGCGGAGGATGGGGGTAGTGAAGGTATGGGCAGCGCGGATGAGGACAGTGCCGAATTGCAGATCGGCAGCATTGGGGTCTGCCCCCTCCCAGAGAATTTGTTCGAGTTCAGCTGATGTTGTCTTCTTCGAGATGTTCTTCAGGATCCAGTCCAGTCCCGCCCTTTGATCTCTACTGAGACAACGTCTGGTATCTTTTGCTACGGCGATCTTGTCGTTCGTGAGCCTGTGGTGAATGATTGACCGTTCCTCTGAACTAATGACAGTCGAGGCGATGGTACATATACCATTCTTCTTCTTCGCCTTGGGCATCTTGGGTGTCTTCATCGCTAGTTGGGGAGAATCTATTCTTTCCAGGTTCTCCAGCTTAGGTGATCTTGGCTTTGCAGAAGACGCTGTCTGTGTACCCGTCGTAGCGGAGTTTTCCGTGAGAAAGGTGCCTACCGATGGCGCTACATCGTCAGAGAATGTTTCTGCAACGCTGTCACGCGGATCTGTTAGCGCTAGAGACGGAGGTGGAGCCCTGGGGTCTTGAACAGCTTGATTCACAACGTTCGCTATCCAGGCTCCAATCCCACTCGAGACAGATAGTGGCGATTGCAGTGGAGGGAGGCTCTCGCCACCCGTTCTCTGTGCTGCTGAGAGACGGAAGGGAACAGGTGCGACAATTCGGCCAGTCTGCAGCTGCGGACGTTCTGGTGATGCCTGCGGTGAGAGACATTCTTCTAGTTGAAACGTAACACATGCTCTAACTTTGTCCAAGGCAGCACTAAGTGTTGGTAACCTTCTTTGGGTAATATTGTCGATGTGATCTCGCTCGCTGTCAATTCGTTCCAAAAACTCTTGCCAGACCTCAGGGTCAGTGTCATCGAAAAAAGATTGCCTGTTTGGTGAGGTTATCTCGTATGAGGTGTTGTTTGGCAGGGTAAATCTGTTCTATATTTAGCCTGCGACCTCCCACATTAGGATTGCATGTACTTACGAGTCGACCAGATCAAGCAGGAGATCCAACGCACATCGTACGGCTTCCAGATTATTTTTCAACCCAGTCAAGTGGGCAGCCTTGAAGGTCTGCCAAGGCCCCGTGCGATCCTGACTCGCGGAGAGGCGGACGATGGGTTTGTGCCACGCTTCCGTCGCCGCGGAACAGCAATCCAGAAACCCTGAGGCTGCCTCGAGCAACAACGCGGGCAGATGGGGGGTTGCGGAAGAGAAGTCATCGCGAGCGATATCCAGGGCAACCTTGATGGCAAGCAGGTCGGCACAGACAGCATTAATATTATGTCTGGCATTGCGAAGGCCACGCGCGATGCTCGTGGTATCCGTGATGATCTACAAGCCCGCTTGTCAATATGACGATAAAATACAGGGGGAAGGGTAACACACCTGAGCAATGCCAGACCCTATCGCGGCGCATCGTGCCGCAACAGTACTGTGTCCGGGCATATATCGTGATAGTCTTCACTCGCCGCTTTGCGGTTTCGTGTGCTGCATTAGGAGGATAAGTGGAGGTGTCGTCGACGCAAAGGGTGCTGTGGGCAATGATGACTGCTGACACGCGCGTGATGGCAGCCGCAGCTGTCAATATGTAAGGTAAGAAGACAGCAATCTACACATGTGGAATGGGGCGCCGACGCACGAGGGATCTTCTAATAGGAAGGCAGTCGTGCCGCAGCAGTGCAGACAGTTGTGCTGCTGTACCACCTACAGGGCGGCGCCCGAGCGCGCATTGCATGCCACAAGTGCCGCCGACGGCCGCCTTGCGCTGAAAGGGGCCAGTGGAATGGTACTGGTCTCGAGCTCGAGCTGCATGGACCCACGCGAACGTCACCGTCCTGAAGCGAACGCGACGGTGATTGTCAAGCCCACGGAGACTCGTGTGGTGGGCTGAAACAATCCGATCGCATGCTCGTTGTGGCTGGTCGTGGCGAGATCCTCCTGCCAGCCCAAGGTGGTGTGGGCACAGCGATGAATGGCAGGAAAACACCGGCATGCAGGCAGCCTGAGCACGACGTCTGTTGGCCCTTGTCCGGCGCACCTTTGGTGGAATGCTCGCAGTCCGAAGTTCCGCCTCGTCAAACTCGCGCTTCAGGATGATGCGCGCTGGTGCCAATAGCGGGCCCGCATCTTTCGAGGATGCACGCGCGCATCCGCCAGCATCGGCCCTGCACATCGCCCGCACCCACCCAAGGGGTCCTGCTAGGGCGAACAAGGCTACTCAAGCGTCAATCATTTGCGAGTCTCCACTTCGCAGCCCTACAGGCCATGCCTGGACCACAAGCACACGAGCGGATCGCATCGAAAGGGATGCAGAAGCATCAATACACGGCCGCGAGCACCAGATGTGCGCAAGAGACGTCTTGATTTGCCAAAACTATCATCATGCCAAACGAAAGACGAGAACGCGCATTTCCTCCCACCAACTGCTCAGTCGACCACCCCCGGCGGTAGAAAGGAAACATAATCGATTGGCGCTGGCTCTACGCCATCTGGTCGCCCTGAGATTTTAAGCACATCTCCCTTGCCCACCGTGATGTTTCTGAACGTAATTCGCGTCGCTGAATGCCCGTCAAGATATACAGACGGCGCATGGCCCAGCTTGTCCTCTAGATCACCTTTCCAGCTGCCAATCGTCTTGTTGTTGATGTGCAGCTCGTACTGCGCTTTGCCTCCAATCAGATCATAGTAGTTGACCGCTATATCATACCTCCCTGACTCAAAGGTTACCTTTGTTGTCGCGGTACCTTCCGTAGTGTTCGATGTAGTGACGATCGCCTTTGCGCCGGACGCTGTATGGAAGGGGTTCACACTATACGACCTGTAACCGTCCAGAGTCATTTTCTCGGCTTCAATCCGGTAGGGATGGTTCCCGACTCTTCCAGCTTCGTCCTTGATTTCGGAGAGATTATAGTAAAACTGGTTGATGGAGTCGCGCCATACAAGCGCATGTCCAGCTTGATATTTCTGTCTGAAAAGAACGTGCTCGAAGCGTTCAACGTCGATTCTACCTTCCAGAGAATTCCATTGTTCCACCAGGTCTTGCGCAGTCGCTGCACCCTCGTAATGTGAGTCGTAGAAGTGCTGGATCACGGTCTTGCCTGACTTGAGACGATGCGTGTAGTTGACGTGATGGAACCAGAGCAACAAGTTGTCAGGAGTGGTTTCGATGCTCTCGTACACCTTGGCCACTTCCGACGGATACTGTCCAGCGTTTCCAGTTCCGTTCTTGACGGTGCGGTCCATGCCAATGCTGAATTTGTCGGCCCTGGTCCACTGGCCCCACCCGTTATTGTCCATCGTTGCTGGATTAGGCCCAAAATGGGTATATAGGATGTCCGTGAGGGTTTGGATGCCAAGGTTTCCCGTGTAGTTTTCGTACGCAGGCCATGACTTCATTGACATTTCGGTAACAGTTTCAATCACTTTCTTGTCGTGGCCAAAAGTCAATCGGATCCAATCCTGCAGGAGTTCCTCGGCTCCAAGCGCCGGATCCCATGCCAGTAGCCCGTAAGCGTAAAGATTCTGCAGTATTCAGTATTATATCAGAGTAGACACATACTGGCGCAGTCCCGGTGCAGGGTCAACCTCAGATGGAATAGCATGTACACAGGGATTCGATCGGACAATAATGCTTGAACACGTAAAGGGATAAACTTACCGACATCGAGAGATGACTCCCCAGCCAGGTCGTATTGGTGCCTACATTCACTACCCCAGCCGATCCACCAAGTGGCCGCCTGAATCGCTCACCGGAAATGATGTCCTTCACCTTGGAAGACCGATTGTCGGCTTTCATGTCGAATTCGAGAATCTCTTTCCACAGAGGTGCAAGGTATACAAGATGCGTTTGTTGACCAAGGTACTCTTGAGTCACTTGAAGCTCGATAGCTGTACTCGTGTTTCGAAGAGTTGAGAACAGTGGCGAAACAGGTTCTCGAACCTGGAAATCAATTGGACCGTACTTTATTTGTACGACCACATTATCGTCAAATTTTCCATCCAGATCCTGGAAAAACTCCACTGCAGCATTGGCCCGGTCTGCCTTCCAGTTACTCTCGTTGATGTGATTGTCGTAGACAAAAGCTCGAAACATGACGATACCTCCATGCGGTTTGGCTGCTCGAGCAAACATGTTTGCTCCTTCTGCTAATGTTCGATTGTACGTCAGGGGTCCGGGTTGGCCCTCGCTATTGGCTTTAACCAAGTAACCTGCCATATCAGGGACGCGTGCATAGATCTGGTTTGTGATGTTCGCCCACCAAGCATCTACTGCAGGATCCAACGGATCGAATGTGCTCAGGCCCCCGAAGGTCTGCGGTGATGCAAAATTGAGCGAAATTCCCAGTTGCACTCCATACGGCCTCATTGCGTCGGCCAATCGTCCTAAGCCATTGATATTTCGTGGACTCAGGAGTGTTGCATTGGCGTTAACGTTATTGACAATCATGCCATTAATGCGAATAGACGCAAGAAGGCGTGCGTATTCGGCGACGCGCGTGACATTGTCCGTTACGAATCCATTTTCGAAGAAGATGGATGGTCCCGCATATCCACGCTCAATACTTCCGTCCATGTTGTCCCATTCGTTGGTCCATCGAATAGACGCGTGGGGGTTCGAAACATACGAGACGGCGCCGAGTTTACCCTGAGCAAGCCGTGAGAGGTAGTCGAAAGAACCATATAGAGCACCTCGCTCATTTTGGCCGATTATCAGCACCTGGTTGCTTTCCGAACTGAGGAAGTAACCGTCTTCCTCAAGCTCTTTTGCATCATCAAACTCGCCATAGCTTTTTTGGTATGCCTGAGCCGTCCCAACTATGATAGCACCATGCTGATTTGAGGAGGTTCCATTGTTGAGTGTTTTTCCAAAGATGCCCTGAATACCCCGGCGAAGCTCTTGCTGCGCAGTATACACCGGGCTGCCTCTAGTGCTGTTCAAGGTGATGATGGATGAAGGGAGGGAGCTGTGGCTACTATCATGGGGAAGTGGGGCGTAGCGGAGCCATGCCGCTGATCCATCTTCACCGGAAGCAAGTCCTAGGAACAACCCGAAAAGAACACCAGAGAGCAACATCGTGTCGCGATGCAGTTGAAATATTGCTCTCCCTTGGCGGGCGTCTTAGTCCTATATGTAGCCTCCATCAATTTGGGCTCACAATTGGAGGATAAATGAAGCATTTCCAGTGATATCATGGACGCGAATGTCGTTCATTCAGCCTAAAGCCCGGTACAAGGTCGGTTTTAGCGTGCAGCAAGAGGGAAAACCTCTAGAGGATCAGATCTGCAGTGCTAGAATCGCGATAAAATGGGGGACCCTCGTCGGTGGGGTAGGCGGGTCGCCGGTCCTCGAGCTGGGCCGATTTCGCACCTATGGCATTACGCAGTTCATCAGTCGTCTTTCGTTGGAAGAACAGGCGTGGCCCAGCTCATCGACGAAATTCAAAAATTCAACGGATGTTGATCAAGCTTGCTGCGATGATTTGGAAGAATTTTCTGGGAGGGGACAATGGCAGGCGCGACTCTGAGGGAGATGACAAGCGCATCATCCCTTTCAGGACTAGCGCGACTTCAAGACGACGACTATGTGCCTTAATTCGCTCGCCCATCTCCACACGGCTACGATATGTCCCAAGTCTAAGGTGGTCATTTTTCTCTCCTTAACACACATCTTCATAGCAAAGCCATCCGTCAAAACGCAGCTTTCGGTTCTCAACCAGCTACATCCAGTCTTATTATGCAGAGGGCGGCCGTGTCAGCCTTGTGATCGCCCTGGCAGCCTGTTCCGTGCTCTCGTCAATATCGCGCCCCATCATGGTCGTGGGCTCCAGTTGATGGACCCATCACATACGACGGGTTTCGATTGCACCAGGATTCGAGTTTCCAATTTTTCATCTACGCTGTACTCAAAAATCAGCGCATGCGACGTACGCAGAGGTCCCAGATGGACATGATTTAGTTCGGGGTAGTGTGCACAAGGGAGGGTGAGTGCCCTACCCGAATCTTCAATTCGGTCAGGTGGAGGGAGGTTTTCAGACAGGACCGGGAATTAAGCCAAGAAATTCTAATTAGATATACCTAGATTTCCCAGAACATCTTGGTACAGCTCTCAATTTTCTACCTCTGACCAAAAGCCCCAATGAAGGCCTATGCACTGGGCTACTGCTTGAGATCGTTCCCGGACATACTTCAAATTATCGACGTGTAGGTCATAGATTGGGAACGCTTTGAGTCCCAGCTTGCGTTGAACATTTTGATCGTCTGGGATGGCCCGCCTGGTCTCAGAGCGATTGACAATTTCACGTGAAGGGGTGAGTCGTTGTCTGGACAACTGAGCAGCTGGGTAAATACAATACTAGAAGAGTAAAATCTCAATAAGTTTGACATGGAATTAGTCTATCGTTCCAGCTTGACGCTCATAGGCGTTCATGAGCTATCACGTGCAGGTATCGCCTTGATTACGCTAGACGAGACTCGCCAGGTCTGTGCAAGAACCGAGGAACGAACATTCGTTCTTCTCATAAGAAAGAAAAGGGATGCAACATCCGAGCTACACATTATGAAGCTGGGGACGGTGCAACCTATTCCTCCGGCTGCTCCTCCAAAGTTTTCATCTCAAACTTCTCCTCTCTCGCTCTCTGGCTCGCCGGACTTCCCATCCAGGTGCCCACCGGCGTCCCTACGCGGAAACATGTTCTTGTTGAACGGTGTCAACCTTGGGGTCCCGCGAGGTGTCACATCACGCTGCTTCACTTGCCTCAAAGTCTCATCCGAGAGGTCCCGCGAGATATTACTGAGATGACCGCGAATGTTCTCCTTGGAAATAATGTGCGGTCCGATTAGTGTAGGGAAGGACGGAGGAGTGGGAAGATCGGAACCAGCACTGCTGCGTACGCTTGCGGTACGCGCGGGATGCTTGGGCGGCACCGGTGGCGGAGAGTCTAGACCCTGGAAGCGTGAAGCATGAGGCCCTTCCGTCGGCGCTGGGGAGGTAACGGTGGGAGTGTGGCCTGGCCAAGGGACAGGCTCTGGTGTAATTCCTGGTGTCATGCCGGGCCAATGGACATGTTGTGGATCGTCACTGTCCCTACCCTCGAGCATGCGGATCGTCTCTGGGTTCTCGGCAACCGTATGATACTGGTGTGCGCCTGCAATCCGGTCTTGACGCTCGAGAGGGTGCACCATTTCCAAGATCCCCGATAATGCAAACGAAGTCTCGCGGGAGGATGGTTCGTACGCGTTGTGTTCCAATGTGGAATTCAACTTGTTCTCGACGAATGGCGGTTTGATCTCGCGATCGTATCCTGTGCCTGCGTAACTCGGCATCCGGGACGCCTTTGAATCATGGCTCGCTTTCACTGGGGAAGGGCTCTCTGGGATGAAGTCATGGTCTCGCTGTGTGTGAGCGTCTTGCCTCTTGGGAATGTTAAATAAAGGCTTAGGAATTGCACTTGGGTATCCGCTCATAGGAAAGAGAACTTCGATAGAGGCTCTGTGCCCAGGAGTCTTCCAAAATCTCGCCGTATCCTCCAAAAACGGGTTAGAGTTGCGAATTGAGCTGTAAACGCCGTCCGAAGGCTTCCTCTCAGGATCTGGTCGAGCATAGGCTGGCTGAGGCAAGCCGCATGGATGATCCGATTCTCCAGGAATTCGACCCTCTGCCTCTAGATAGCTGATAATATCCTGTGTAGTCTCTCCATCGGCCTCCGCTCCAGTCTCGTCATCGGGTAGTTCGATAGGACGAGTGATTCCATGGAGAGGGCTCTTGTCTTCGGTCGGGCTGGGCATGAATCTATACATACCAACAGGCACCACACCTTTGTTCTTCTGGCTGGGCTTAATGGATGACTTTGGCGAGGGCAGCACTTCCAGAGATGGTCGATCGCTCAGTATGAGCGAGCGACGTTTCGCGTCTACAGCAGGATCAATTACCCGTGCGTCGTCGATACCCTTACATCCAAACATCGGGCTCTCTCTGCCGTTTCGACTACGTCCAAACAAAGCGCCTGTACTCTCCTGGATGTCACGATTTTTCCGCTTGATCCTGGCTTTCTGGTTTGCCAGGAACTCGCTCAAGTTCGTTTTTGGTTTCTCGACAACTTGTCCGTACTTGGGGTAAATGTCTCTGAGCTCTTGATCAAAGAAAATCTTGCTCTTCTTGGTGGCTGGACTGAAAGATGTGAGCACCTGTACAAGGACATAATATCTGCTCCTTTGACTTACCATGTCTTGCTAGGTGTATCTGCAGACGCAACTCCGATCAAGCGCTGTGCTGAAACAGCAATGCCTCGCTCTCGCGTAACTGACACCATGCGATGTGGGTTCGCGCTCTGCGGCACTGACACATTGCTTTCGGGAAACGCGACCCGACTTGGAGATCGCAACTCGATGAAGTTTGCCAACCGTCCATAATGTCTCCTTCCCTTCGGATCGTATGAGTCACGCACCGCCTTCACGATTGGCACGAATACTGTTCTCCACGCCGTGCATACATTCTGTAGCTCGAAGTACGCGAAGCCGAACGGGTTGCGCGCCTTGCCCACTCTAAACTCCTGCAACAGCCACGCATACAGCATCTTCTCATGCTCCTCGACACTCCAGTGTGTAGTATCAAAGTTGCCATATTGTGTCTCGTCGGTGGTAAACAACGAGGACGCATCGTCAGCACGCGGGTCGTATCGTAGCTCGCCGTCGCTGAAATTTGTGTAGAACCATAAGATGTCCATGCCGCGTACTTTGTTCGTCTCGGAGGAGCGTGGGGCACTGCCTGGTTGAATTAGCAGAAAGCTGTCGCGATACTGCGACCATGGCTTGAGAAAGGGGATCATGCCGAGGAAGTGATGCTCAAGGGCATCGAGGTCCTTGAGATTGAGGACGTCGAGTGCCTTTTTGAGATTGGGGGAGATCTTTTCCTTAGGGGTGCGCGGAATAAGGGCGTTCCGAATATTGTTCATGCTCGGGGCATTCGAGTTCGCTGAGGCACGGCGGTCATCCATGTTGTTGACAGGCGGTTTGCAAGGTCTGGGGACTCGATATGAACATTCAGTATGCGATATGGGTCCTCGGATAGATCAGAGCCGTGAAGAATTCTGCGGCTGCTGAATTGTATACGCAAGTTAGGTATGCTGCTCTAATGATCGGTTACTCTGGGTAGGCAACGGCGGTGCAATCAGGTGCGGCAGCGCAAACGGAGCAAACGCTCCATTGAAGATGCGATTGCTCCGACGACGGGGCAAGATACACAAATTTGCTCACAAAAACTGAGTGAAGGTTGATAATATGCTTAATTTGTTCCGCGAGACAATCTTAGTGCGGTCAACGTTCCGTTGCTCATTGAGGTTAATTCACATTTAGCTTCATGGTAAAGCTTAGACCTGGCACACAATTAGTATGCTCTCGTTAGAGTTTGATATGACTTTCATGGGCCGTTCATGTTACTTGGACTTACAGAATCAATGTCTGCAACTGATCCAACTCGAAAAGCATCACGTCACGCGAGCAGGTGCTGAACCTTGGGGTTCTGTACCAAACGTTCACAGTCATTGTTTTTCATTCGCATGTCGCGCCCGTAATCGAAGCCAGGTAACTGAAATTTTCACCATTCAATCTCTGACGAATACTGTTGAGCAGTATCCTTCTCTTTATGCCGCCTTGTGATTGTGACCGGCTTATATATCAGGAATTAAGATCTCGCATTGTGACAGATAGAGCAGGACATATTCTGTCCTTGGACATCGTTAGCCATAACAGTTTATACTGGCGCAGCCCCCATTCTGTTGTGCAATTGCACTTGAATTCTCTAGTAAATTAATGTTAAATTCGATGCATTGCAACAATTCCAGTACCTTTCAAGAACCCGAAAGAGTGGCTTTTTGTTGTCGCAGACCTAGATTACGTGTTGAATACTCTGGGGCAGTAGTCCAAATCACCGAATACCTGCAAGTTTAGACATTGATCAAGGAAGTTGAACTGGTCATACTGACGCCCCAGGCCGAGAGGGACCATCTTTCTTCATATGGTGCATATAGATGGGTGAGTGACTTCTCTAGGGACGTTAAAGGCATAGCAATTCGAGTGTGTCTGAATCGTCCTTAGCCTTTGACGGATTTATGTTGTCCTTGTCCTGATCTGGCACAAGACGTGAGCATTTCGCTTTACGGTTTTGAGGTATTATACGTAAGCAGCACGTGCATGGAAAACCTATATTTATGGCAAGTAGACTCCGAACTCTTAGATCAAGTATACAAAAGTATGTAGATTCTAAAGAGCAATATTGGCACATGTCTCCATATGTACAAAGCCGTTCAGCAGCAAGGCAAGTGCGGTGAATCAACAGCCAATCAGCTTTGGATGTAAAAATCGCCACCCAAAGATGGATGGGTGATGACTCGGACCGACTTCGGATCTTCTTCGCTCAATTTATCAACAGCCGAGGTCCTTCGGTGAGTTACTCGCGATCGCATTGTCGACCATCTGCGTAATGTCAAATCACAATACATCATTGGCTCCGCTGTCTACTTCCGTATGTACAGTATTCAGCAATACAGTTGTCACGATCATACATGGCGCCGCGATCATACTACGATGACCAGGGTCGCGCTCTGCCTTTCGACCAGGTGATGCAGTTGGAGAAGATCGATGACGGAACGTTTCGATCTGTGACTAAAGCATACTCACCCACTGGTGGTGAGAATGGGACTTATGGCGGGCATGTTTATGCGCAAGCAGTGTGGGCTGCTGCGCAGACAGTCGAGGATGGATTTCTGATACATGTGAGGGGACCTGTCTCAAACCACATGTACATGGCTGACGTTTGATCAGAATGTTACCGGCTGGTTTACATTAGGAGGTCACCCATCGGAGCACTTTGTCTACACAGTGAACAAGGTTCGCGATGGGTACAACTACTGCACCAGGAGCGTGACTGTAACCCAGGCAGCCGAGAAAGGAATAATGTTTACATGTACATGCTCCTTCAAGCGGGAGGAAACATCGCCCGTCGATTACCAAGCCATCTGCGATATCAGGGAACGATTCCGGGAGGTCTTGGAAGGGAAGGAGGACGAGCCAATGGGACACGAAGCCGCGCCCAGTCAAGATTCGGCCTTCTTCCGAGAAACATACCTGCCGCAACACCCAGATCACTTCAATCCTATTGCTGGGCTACATCTGAGGAAAGTAGACATGCGGAAGTATAACGAGCCACGTGCGCCAATTGACCGAAGACAACTCACTTTTTATACACTCAGAGGCTCTCTTCCGTTACCAACAGCGCCGTATCCACCATCACTGCAAGGGGCTTTCAGACTTGCAAGAGAAGCAAACTTACATGCCTGTGCGCATCTATATGCGTCGGACCGCAATTCGTTGTTCATAATTCCGAACCATCTCGGCCGCGCACGAGAGTTTACCAGGATGGCGTCACTTTCACACACAGTGATCTTCCATGTCGGAATCCGCGATCTTATCATGCCGCCCGAGCCACGCATTCCTCACCCGAATGCTGTTCCGACATTGTTCGAAGATGGGCCCTTGCCACTGTGCAATCTGGAGGGAAACAGCGGCGGTGATAGAGATGGGCGCAAGTGGTTTGTTCAAGAGTCGTGGCTGACTCGGGCCGCTGGTGGGCGCGGTCTGCATACTAGTCGTTTGTGGGACTACGAAAGTGGAACGCACCTTGCAACAACGATCCAGGATGGACTGATACGGTTCAAGCCCGAGACTAAGCTTTGATCAGGCTGCGAGGCGGTGAAGCAGTCCGAGACAGATTCGCAAGGGAGGATGCATGCTCGACAACACTGATTTACACTCAAGCTCGATGGACGCTTCGGCGGAAATCATGTAGTAGAATTGAAAGAAGAAGCTCTATGAATAGCTCTATCTGCAACTTTCTTTGAAGGGTATAATGACAAAGCTCGTCTACAGAACAAGACGCGCGCAATCTGCACACATCTATCGCCAATCTATCGTGAAATCATTTATCATTGCTGGGGTTGACGAACCATGCGTCGGGTATCTTCGCAATGCATTTCCAATCAACGCGAGCTTGCAAGCAAGCTGGTGGGTATCGATCATTCGTCTCGCGACGCCAAAGCGCACGCAGCGCGCTAAGCTCGCTCCTCCACCACTATACGTCTATCGTCTATTCGCTTACGCCTGCGCATTGCGCGGCATCGTGAGGTTCTCGTTGGTGACGGGCTTCTCCTTGAAGGAGCCCTCGGGGGTGCTCTCCTCATCACCTTCCAGGTAGCCGTGCTCGCGGGCGTACCGGGCAATAGCGTGCTCGTCAAGAGCGGGCAGATCCTGGGCGGCCTTGACGTAGCTGATCTTCTCGGTGTAACCCTTGGCGAAGATTAGGTCAATCTCCTCAAGCGAGCGACCGGCAGTCTCAGGGTAGAAGAAGTAGATAATGGGAATGAAGATGGCGTTGAGGGCACCAAAGAAGAGGTAAGTGCCCCAGCCGATCTGCGAGACGAGGACAGGGGTGATCATGACAATCTGGACATGTCAGCTAAGGGCGAATAACAGCTATTGAGATAGACTTACGAAGAAGTTCCATAGCCAGTTCTGGATGGTGGAGGTCGCATTGGCCTTGGCGCGGGTCTTGAGGGGGTTGATCTCGGCCGGGTACAACCAGGGGAGCGGAAGCCAAGTGGCACCGAAGAAGGCAATGTACAGGAACAGACCGAAGGCGGCCCCGTTGGCAGCACCGGTATCAGAAGGAGGGATAAGGCAGGCGAAGGTGATGATCATGGCAACCATCTGTCCGAGAGTACCGATCAAGTAGAGCTTGCGTCGCCCAAACTTCTCAACAAAGTACCATGAAGTCGAAGCGAAGATGGCGTAGACAACCATGTTGATACCGCCCAACAACAGAGCCATGTTGTGCGAAGTGCCAAGCGCAGACTGGCACAAAATCGGGAAGTAGTAAATGACAGCGTTGCAACCAGAAAGCTGCTGCATCATTTGAGATGAGGCACCCAAAATCGTACGGCGGCGATGCTGAGTCTTTCCACCAGTCCACAAGTCGGCGAACTTCGTCTTGCCCATACCGGCAGCCTTGATGGCGTCCAAAATTACGTTCATTTGCACCTCGACATCGGGATCATCGCGCGGCAAATCGGACAGACCAGCCAGAATCGTCCTGGCCTCATCTTGTCGGTTATGGCTAAGCAGCCAGCGAGGGGACTCAGGCATCTTGATCATGATGACCAAGACAATGATGGCAAAGACCAACTGGAATGCAATGGGGAAGCGCCAGGTGAGCTCATCGGGACCGTAAGTACATCCGTAATCGAGCCAGTACGCAATTAATGTACCGATGGCAACGCAGCCACCCTCGAAGCAGATGACTCTGCCGCGGTTCTTAGCCTTGGAGCACCTGCAATAGGATTAGTATAAGTGATATGCGATATCAATAATCTGGGGAAGCTTACTCAGCCTGATATGTGGGGACCGTCGAAGTGTTGATACCGTTGCCAATGCCTGTGATGCATCGTCCGATGATGAACTGTGCGGTTGCGCCGCTGTTCGGAGGCACGCAAGTAATCTGGATAATCACACCAATGATCATAACGCTGGCTCCCAAAAAGATGGCGTTACGACGACCGAGCCGGTCTCCTGCGACGAAGATGAAGCAAGCACCAAGGAAGCATCCGACGGCATAGATGGCGGTGACGAAACCCTCGTAGGTGCTGTCGTCCTTAACTTCGGGGAAAGCCTCGGTAAAAGGTCGAGCGGAGATGATTCCACTCATAACACCCTGGTCATAACCAAAGAGCAAGAAGTCGGTTGTCGCGACGATCGCAACGAGGAGCTGGAGCTGCTTTCCGGACTTGCCCCAGTAGGTGGGAACGCCAGAGGCGTTGTCCTTGTGTTGGATACCTCCCATAGTGCCGAAATGAGTCTGGACAACGTGGAGAGTTGCTTTGGGGATTTGGGGAGGGGTCCCAGCGGCTGAGGGGAACCGTCCTTATATGCCCATCACTAGGGTTCTTTACCCACAGGTATCGACACGGCCGAATGTTGCGAGGTTTCGCCTTGCGAACCGAAGGGTCCACTCCTACCCACACTACACAGCATACCATCTCACGCGTGGAGGAGACTAGAGAACGAGTTTTTCCAAACACCTTGTATTCATCGCGGCCCTTACGCTACGTGATTGAACGACGTCAGCGAACGTGGGTCCTGGGGTGGAGATAAGTGTGATAAGTGGCTTGGAGTGTGGAGCTTCTAATCTTGGAGCCAATCTTGGAGAGGAACGGAGGGCGCTTGGCTCGGCGCCATTCCCGTCGTACGTCATATGCAGGATGCCCTTACCCTACTGTTTCGCTGAGGCCCGAAGGGAAATTCATTGAAGTAGGTAGACCGGTGTTGCAGATGTATCGCTGGCGGCGAAGAGAATTCGGTGGCTAGCCGTATGCGGCTACAAGACTACCCCAATGATTCCCCAGGATCGTCCAAGACACTGCAAACTCTTCGTCCATTGAGAAAAAGGCTTGAAAAATGATCGAACCAGCGGCCACACCGACAGCCCGTTTGACGTCACTGACCGGACGTGTTATGCAGGGTGTAGAACCGTTATGGGGCTCTGCGGTAGTGCGCGATCCGACGGGTGATCTTCGCCACTTTGGGCGTAGTTCCTCTCGGCCTTGCCCCAGAAATCGGGCATGGTCACATGACAATACCCGAGAAACGATCGACATGTGCGCTTCTGCCGTCCAACTTCACCAACGCAACTACAAGTTTATCAGTGCCGCCCCGTACCACGGCTACGATGTTATGCATGCCGGTAGGAGGAGCGATGAACGCCCTGGCGGCACGGCGAGCCTCAAGTGGAAGGAACATGCGCTTAAGTCGGCAGCGAACATACAAGTGGAGCCTGGAAGATACGTGCGGAACGAGTGTGTCGATCTTCGGCGCAAAAGGAGCCTCAAAACTTGGCGCACATTTGGCATCGCGTATGTTGCCATGTGGAAACATACGACTGCATCTTATCTACCGTCAGCCTGCACCGAAGCGCCAACGATAGCTAAGCGATCGCAATTGCCAATGAGTTGCCAGCCTCCTCGCTGTCCAACATGTTGGCCCCTACCCTAACAACCCGTAAGTGGAGAATTCGGCAACTCCTCTCCGCAATCAATCACAGTACTCTCAACATTTCTTGCACCACCAGTTTCTACACCGACTTCTCATTCCTTCCGGCATAGCAATGGCAGCACGCCTGATATGTACTCTCTGGAGATTCATCTCGCATGATACGGGCCTCCACTCGCAAAATGCTGTTCTCTCAACCCTTTGCTGTCAACCAGACTTACCATTCCCCAGGTTTCCTAGGTTTGTCTTGACCCACTGTTCATCTCCGTTCAATACCGATATGAGCCCCATCTCTTACCCCGTCTCATGGCTTTTGCACAATTCCAATTTTCCGGCACAGTCAGCGCATTGAAAATTTGACAGTTCAGTGAAGCAGTCAATTATGCTTTACGAAGCGCATCTTTGGCCTGACAAGATGACTTCTGACCCACGAGTCCAATGAATGCGCACCCTTCAGGTTCAGCTTTATTTGCTTGTGCGAGTCTTCTAGACAGAAACCCGCACTAAACGTACAGGCGGGATAAGGCGCGCATTCACATTGCACAACACCTCAGCAACATCCGCAACCCCGGAGAATACCCCCAGGTGTGCCTGATCAGCTGCGTCCACAGTCCGTTTCCCCCACAATTCGCGACGTGCACCTGATCTCTTAAAGATGGGGCCCCCACAGAAACTACCAAACTCCACTTACCCAGGGCCGTGGACGTCATGCACTAGCAGCCGTTCGACAGCCTTCGGGATGCTGCAATAGGTTAATAACGGGTCAAGGTTGTAGTATTGGAATTGTTTAGTCTTGTTTGGCTTCGACCTTGGGACTTCTATGCTAAAGCTCCTGGTGGGAATGGCGGAGGGCCGCAGATGGGACCCCTTCAACTTGCGTGTGCATGTGATTCGCAGCATCACCTTGCCGTTCACATGAAACTTTGGCCTCGGAACGTAGCACTGGGAGGTGTTATTATCACGCCAAGGGCACCCCAGGAAGGAGTTACAATCTTCAGGAACCCGATGTTATGATACCATAGCCTAAGGACACATGTCGATATCAGGTAAGCGCAGGTGAACCCTTCACTAGACGCTGGAAGCGCCAAGTGCGGGAAAGTTTCTGGCTAAGCTGGTGAATGCTAGACTGAGGGCAAAGGGTAACAGGCGACGGGTGAGTTCATCGGTGATGATTGATGCGTCAAAGCCGCATCGGGGGCGATCAATCGTGAACATGGGGCGTAAGGTAAGGCGGTATGGAAGCTACCGCACGGGGCATATTGCCTTCCCGAGCAAGCGACTACCATGTCCATCGGTTGTTTCATATTGTATATAAAGCACGTGCGGCGGTCAAAGCGATAACAACTACGCGTGCATGACTGACGAGACGCTCAAACCTAGAGCAGGCTTTAGAACCGTCATCTGGTATAATGATAAACTCTTGAAGACGCATATCTGCTAAGGACTGGTTATAACGGCCCCAAATTTTACTCCTTCTGTGAAGAAGGAGGAGGCAGCGAATCAAAAGCTCATTAGACGATGGAGCAAAGGAGAGACGTATGGGCGTGAGAAGAATTTCAACTCCAAGTGTTTTGTGAAAAATGGTTACTGGGCTCAGGTTGTCGGAGAACCCTGCCGATAGTTTGCTTGTGAAAGGTCTTCTACAACCTCGCCACAGTCCTCTGCTTGAGCAAAGGAAGTTCCAAGCTGGTGCAGAACCCCGCCGCACTCATCCCATACCACAAGATCCGCGCTACTATACTTCGATGTTTACATTTAGACGCTTCCGTAGCACTCTATCGAGACGCAAATCAAGGAAATGTATATGCTACATTCTAATTACCTCAACTCCCAGACAATGCCTGAAAAACACCAAACTCCCAACAACTATGTTCCCAATGCCTTAAGACACATGCGCCTGGACTAGCGGCCTAGTCCCACTACACTTCAACATCAATCCTCCACAGTTCCATCCACCAACCAGAACAGCCTCCTGCGTCCAGCGCACCACGTTGCCATCGCTGCTCATTGCCTTCCGCGCCAACACAGGCTTAGTCAGCACCAGGGGCTCACTCTTTCCCTTTTCCTATTGAAAAACTGAAGTCATTGTAATCACCACATCGCACCCATTCTAGCACACATGAGATACAATGTGTCAAGATACCGCATCGCATCGTATATAATCTCGCATTCGTCAAGTGATCTAGCTTTAACGATGGCCACCTAGGTCGCCGTACGTCCTGCCTCGCTTTCCTGCTTTCCCAATTCCCGTGAATCTCGTTAAGTTCCAACATTCATTTAACTCCGGGAGAAAAAAGAAAATTCTAGGCCGCCGTATGCACGCCTCCGTGTTCGTGACGTCGTGGTAAAACCCCATGCTGCTAAATGCATGCCTGTGAACCCGTGCGAAATCAAAACGTAAACATCTGATTTCATGTCGTGTATCCAAGGACGAGGCATAGGCAGCTGTTTGCACGCCTCCGTGTTCCTGACGTCTTGCTCAGAACCCCGTACTGATTTGCATGCTCAAACTCCATGCTAATAACTCCATGCTCGTGTCCTGATGCTCAAAACTCCATCTTCGCAAATTCAAGCTCGTGAGTCGTGAGCGTGCCGTGAAACTTTTTGGTTTGAAAAGGATAACAGGGATGTTAGACGAGAAAACGGAGACTTCTGCAAACCGGAAAATACAGCATGGATAGGTGGGTTGCAGGCCAGCTGCTGAGTCGATCTGACTGGATAGGGAGATGCGATTAGACATCTGCCCAAGAGGCGGGAGCCTCGTGGTCGGGAGCGGTGTCGTGAGGGCGCTCCTGAATTTTGTCGTGAAGGGGAACCTGAGTGGCCTCGGAGGGACGGCTGTCAGTGCGGTTGAAGCCTTGCGCTGAGCGGACACGATTGCGGGGTGGTACCAAGGCGTTATGAATCGCTTCCAGGTGGAAGTTGACGTTGGAACCCTGAGAGACGTTGCGCTGTACCTCTCGAAGCTCGTAGTCCAATAGATTCGCGGCTTCCTTCATATCCTGCTCGTGTTGGCGGCCGTCATTGCGCTGGCTGGTGCCGTGGGAGTACTCCTGAGTATTGCGGGCGAGGGGCCATTGGGTGGTGTCGGAGCGGCGGTTGTTAGTGGTGTCTCGGCCTGTCTCGTGAGCGATGATATGGCTGAAGTCTTGCTGGTTGAATCCGTCTGCTACGAAATCTTCGATGTGGTCATTTACAATCTTAGAGATGATGTCCTCTTCATTCTCAGAATACTTGTCCTCGTTAACATTGTCGTCATCGCTCTCGTTATTATCAGCGTCGGAGGAAATCTCAATAGTCCCTCGGGATTCGTCCTCAAACCCATCCAGATCGTAATTATTTAGAGATTTGCTCGCAGAAAACGAAGTAGTGAGCATGTCATTAGCCAAGTTGACTATTGATTTCGAATCAACATCCATTATGTTGTTGCTTGCACATTTCCAGACCTCCAAAGGGTGGCAGACATTCTTCCTCCACTGCTTGCAAGAAGCGTACTTGTCCGATGAGAATTTGTGATCTTTGTCGCGGGCCCGATCCGTGAAATGCCCCCGAAAACCATTAACGCAGCGGTCGATGATGGCAAGGAACAACAAGCGGCAGTTGCACTTGATCCTATTCGACCTACATAACCTCCAGCGCCTGTTGTAACACATGCCGCCTTCCGAGTCGAGTTATCCTGAATGCCTTCATTGTGGACAGCGAGCAACATCTGTTCGACCCAATGGTCCTCCTGAACCATGACTTCCTGACTCGTACGATCGTCCCGAGGATCTATGTCAGGCAGTTTCATGACGCGGTACCGATATAGTGTCCCCTCGTGTCGAGTTACATCAGGAGAATCTTCATCCTCGTCGGCATCGTTGTCGTGATCCGGTATAATATTCTGTGGATGCCGAGTCCAAGGCCGGAATGCTCCATTAGCAATGGAAATGGAGTGGTAAGCATTGTTGCTAGAAGGAATGAGCCCATTGAGACGTAGCATGGTGTTGGGAGCACGAGCTGGGGACAGCTCAATGCGATCCTGTTCACCAAAGTCGATTATCGTGCACCGCTTCATCTTCTCCACATCCGATATCTTCTCCACATCCGATATCTTTTCCACTGGGTCCGTCATGGCTTGAAAATGTCCTCCCTTCACCTATCCCAGGTCAGTAAGCCAGTACACCTTAGACCCAAGCTTATACTAATATCACCAGAGAGTGGAGAGCAGCGAGCGAGCGAGTGGTGGTGAGGTATTGGGTCTTTTCTTAAGGGCGAGGCGGGTGTGGAGCAGTGCGGCGAGAGCGAGGCCCTTGCACGAGGCGCGGAGCTGCACATGGGTCGCTGAGGTTTTAGCCTTTTGATCCATGGCGTGGGTTGAAAAGGCTTGTGGGTATGGGGACGTTGCTGGACTGTGGAAGTCGGTTGAAAAGTGAGTGCTGGACTGCACCAGACACCCAACGCCTGCCGGGCTTTCGTCTGGGAGAAGGTATCGTTGCTGGTACTCGAAAGCACTGAGATGCTCTGGACCGTAAGAGTCAAAGTGCGGTCACTGACTCGGTCGTGATATTTGGCGGCTCAAGCTACTGGGCTTGAAACGATGTGCTGAATGCATTGATCGGTAGGCACGATGGATTCAATCTTCTAAGACGCTACAAAAACCATCGAAAACGCAATCATCAATGACAACAGCAAACAGCCTACACAATTTCATCAGCGAACGCAAAGCAGGAATGCGGCCGTGATCGAGCATGCGCGGTAGTGGTATCATTTCTCTCAAAATTTCTGCATTTACAACTTCCAGTCCTTGTACGACCACTTCTCCGTAACAGTGACCTTCTTCTTCTTGGCGTACGGGATTTGCTTGCGCGCCTCGATCCTGCCGCGCACCATCATGCTGCGGAAGCGATCTTTGAGTAGGTTGCCTTCCGGCTTGAGGAGGCGGAGGGAGTCCTTCAACTCGTCGGGAAGGACGACTTCGAGAGGGGCTTCGGGAACGCTTGGGGGGTGTTAGTAAGGGTAGTAGTGGTATTATTGGGGAAAAGGATGACTCACTAGTGCTTTCCAAAGCGCTTTTTGCGGAGAACCTCCTCGCCTTCGTCGTCCTCGGATGGCGCCTCATTGGTTTCAACGAGAGTCATGTTGCGGAGGGCTTCTCGTGCTTTCTCCTTCTGTTCGACAGACTTCTGAAGTTCCTTGATGCGCTGCAATTGCTGTTCCTTCGCCTTCATGCGGGCCTCGTGCTTTGCACGGCCCTCTGCCGCCTTCTTCCGCTTGAATTTGTTCCGCTCGGCAGGCGTCTTGCGCTCCGGCCGCTTCTGCTTGACCTTGTTCTCGTCGTCGCTGAAACCCTCCCATTCGCTCTCCCACGCGCTCTCGTTCCCATCCGACTCCTCGTCCGACTCGGCCATTGCACGCTCCATGCGCTCCGCCTCCTCCTGGGCCTCCTTGAGACGTTCCTTCTCCGCTTCTACCGCCTTGTCGCCTTCTCTTGTGACAAGCGCCTGCCAGTCGTTGAAGTTGGGGTTGTAGCTCTTTCCGCCCTCGGGCTTGCGCACCGCGGGTATGGCCTTTCCGGATTTGGCCAACGAGACAGGCGCCTGCTTCAGCGTATTCGGCTCTCGCTTTGGTTTTTTCTCGTCCAAAAAGTCGAACTTGGGGTCCTTCTTCACCTCCTGCACCGCCCATGGATCGTAGACCGCCGCACCGCCCGTCTCTATAATGTCCTTTTGCACCTGGTCGCCGCCATATGCGATCGACCTTAGCCTGTCATAGTCCTTTTGCGAGACCTTTGACTTTTTTCGCCTCTTCTCCTCGGTGAAGTCTGCGAGTCGCTTCTTGGATGATACCGAGGGGATAGCGGAGCGCTTGTTGAGAATTTCGTCGGCCTTGAGCGGCTTGTAGCGTCTGGTCACAGACTTTTGGACTTCGGCATCACCGGTGGTGTCGACGGTGAAGAGCTCGTCAGACGGCTTTTCCGCGATAATGCCACTGTGGAGTGTTAGATTTATTGCACATTGCGCTTCACGTCGTGGTGCAGTTACCCTTGGATTATCTGGTCCCGCACTTCGTCGAGGCCAGTAGACACTTGGGTAACGTCGACATTTTTGCGCCAGGCCTTCTTGCCCTTGCGGCTGGGCTGCTTGTACTGGGCAGGTGCTGCCGTGGACTCCGCGCTTGCCATCTTGCCGATGTGCTGTGTATTTTCGCGAAATTCGATTTCACTTCTCCGAATCAGAAAAGTTCGGACCCTGCCAAAAATGCGCGGCGGTAGGCTGGCCGGCTAGCGCTGCACGTGATGCGGGCGGGATCCGCTAGGCGGTTCGGCTTATTGGAGGTCTGGAGAGCAAGGCTCCAGAGAGTCTCCTATTCACACGACCACCACGTCGACACCGCTCCCGAACGCTACTTTGTGCGCCCGAATACCGCTAATTCTTCTTCTTGCTTTCACGTAGGGGGTCTATCTTCTTTCACATCACAATGGCGCAATCAGGGTACTCGAATCCGCTGAAGAAGTTCAAGTGAGTGCGGTTTGCTGGGGCGGGGACGCCATGGGGCGTAGTTGCTAATGCCGCGCAGGCTGGTCTTCTTGGGCGAGCAGAGCGGTACGTCGCCCTGAGGTTGAGCATGGAGAAGCGTGCGAGTGATGCAATGCTGACGGCGAGACAGTGGGCAAGACATCTCTCATCACACGATTCATGTACGATTCCTTCGACAACACATACCAGGCCACTATCGGCATAGACTTCCTGTCCAAGGTGCGCAGCGCTTTCTCCCTCCCCATTCGCATATGGGATCCTAAAGGAATGTCTAGACAATGTATCTCGAGGACCGCACCGTGCGCCTGCAGCTCTGGGACACCGCCGGCCAGGAACGCTTCCGCTCGCTGATCCCTTCCTACATCCGCGACTCGAGCGTCGCCGTCGTCGTGTACGACATCACCAACAAGAAGACGTTTGAGAACACGCGGAAGTGGGTCGACGACGTAAGGGGCGAGCGCGGCAACGATGTCATCATCGTGCTGGTCGGCAACAAGACGGATCTGAACGACAAGCGCGAGGTGACGACGCAGCAGGGCGAAGAGGAGGCGAAGAAGAACAACCTCATGTTCATCGAGACGAGCGCAAAGGTCGGGCACAACGTCAAGACGCTGTTCAAGCGGATCGCGCAGGCGCTACCGGGGATGGAGGGCGAGGGGCAGCAGGGGCAGAGCCAGAGTGCGTTGAAAGGACGCAGACATGTGAGAATGCAACTGACAGCAGCCAGTGATCGACGTCAACATCAACCCGCAGCCTACAACCGACGCAAACGGGTGCGCGTGCTAGTCCCGGTTCCGTGATGCTGTACCGATACTTGTTTGTCGTTGGCTAGACTTTTGATTGTAATTATTTGGGATCTGTCTTCTCGGGGCGAGAAGAACATTGAGCAAGGCGTTTGGCGGTCAGGGAAGCATGCAGTAAACGACTCGAGTGTCAGATCCGTAATGTGTTGTATACCAAAGCATCTTTCGAGGCGCAATTAGAAACATGTCTACGCTGGAGCATCACCATCAGTATGAAAGCGTGGTGCATGACTTCCAAGATTAGATGATAGATACGAGCGAAATGTTCGACTGGGAATCCTGATCTATGCCGCCCTTGGAACCGCGCATCCATGCCAACCCAGAAAGAACGCCGGCCTGATGAAGGTCCTGACCTGGTACTTTTACATTTACAAGAATAATACAATGGGCTGTATCTGCGCGTGGAGAGGTGATGCGTTCCCGGAGATCACACAGTATGGCTGCATTTATTCGATGCCGCCCACGGAGCCGGCCTCGGACGGCGCTTTGCTGCCCACGGGGATGCTGGTGTCGACGGCGATCATCTCGGCGAGGATGTCGAGCACGGGCTGGGCGGGTTAGCTGGGAAAGAGTGGCTGACATGGGAACAGGCATACCTTGGGCACGGTCTTGTCGTAGATGTTGATGAGCTCTCTGGGGTTGGGGTAGACCTTCAGCGCGCGGTAGAAGCACAGGGCGGCCTCGACGGGATCTGCGCCTGTTGCCCTGGTTAGCATACGGTCCCATCACCACGTCGATGGAAGCTGCACATACCCGACTGCACCATGCCCTCGCCCTGGGCGACCTCCTGCATGAAGTAGGCCTCGACCTCCTCGGGGTCCTTGGGGAAGCCCTCCTCGTTTGCGCTCGCGACGGCCTCGCGGATGGCCTTCTTCTGCTCCTTGCCGTGCGCCTCGGCCTCCTCCTTTGCGGCGCGCGCCTGGCGCTTCGACTCCTTCTTCAGCTGCTTGCGGAACTCGGGGTCGGTCCGCCGCTTGTGGTCGAAGTATACGGCGTATGCGGCGAGACCCGTGACGATGGTGCCCACGCTGATGGCGACGATGGTCGCGGGCTTGAGCGAGGACGATGACGACATTATGGCTGGGGCGTGTGGTGGCGCGGGGGAGCGATCGGTGTGTTGTGCGGAAGATGGGGGAGGGCCCGGGAGAGTTGGATTGCGTCGAGGAGCGCGGCGGACAAGGAGTGATGGCGTCGATGGAATGGGGTCGACTTTTTTTGGTAGCAGGGACGGAACGGCACCACGGGAGCTCGGGCCAGCCATGGATGGATGCTGGACAGTGTAGCGCCATCTCCACGTACGTGCCTTCAGAACAACTACACACTCTACAGCCGCGCCGGCACCGCGACCGTCTTGCAGGCAAGATGTCAGAAGAGAAGGGCAAGGGAATCTCGCTGCGCAAGAACAAGAAGCGCAGCGACAAGAGCAAGAAGGGAGGCCCGCCCGTCATCAGTGCTCCGCGCCAGATCAGTGCGCCCATGCCCGCTGGCCTGGGTGCGACGACGCTCTCCAGTGCCCAGAACAGCGGGCGCCCGTCCAACGAGTCGAGCAGGTCCGGGCCACGCCTTCCAGATGCGCCGCGGCCCAGAGAGAGGCCGCCGCGGCCGGGCCAGGACAAGACGGCGGACCTGGTCAAGCGGAGGTACTCGCAGAAGATCACCCAGCTGCCCAGCGACTTTGGCAGTGGCATGCCCTTGCCGGACCTGCCGCAGATGCCAGCGCAGTTCCGCGACGCACCGCCGAGCAGAGACGGGAGGCCGCCGGGGAGCTCCGACGGCCGCAGCTTCAAGCCAGACAGACGCCAATTGGCCGACGACAATCTGAAGCCAGATCAATGTAAGCGCTCCCCAGCCACCAACTCGATGCGAGTGCTCATGTGCCTCAGATGTCAGCCAGCAGCTCGCCGATGCCTCCGAAGACGACATCCGCCGCTTCCAGGACGAGCTGCGCAAGCTCAAGAACCGCAACTCGACCGACCTCCAGCACAGCGTCTACCAAAATCGCACCCAGTTCATGAAGATCAGCAAGGAGGCGGAGAAGCTCAAGAGCGAGATGCGCACCCTCAAGCAGCTCATGTCCGAGCTCACCGCGACGCTCGAGCAGACGACACCGAATGCGAATGCCGACGGCGACTCGCTCAGCGCACGCAAGGCCGCCAACCGAAGCTCAGTCGCGAACCTCGAGGCGCTCTGGAACACGCAGCTGCATCAGCTGTGGAAGAGGATAGAGGGGTCGCAAAAGTACCTGCCGGCTATCCCTGGGAGGCACGTCATCTGGCAGTCGGGGAAGTGGGTCGAATTGAACTCCGCAACATGGAAAGCGCGCAGAAGGGTGCATCTGATTCTGCTGAACGACCACCTGCTCGTCGCGGCGGAAAAGAAGCAACGAAGCGAAGTCTCCCAGAGTAATCGAGAGAAGAAGCCAGCTCAAGAGTGGGTGGCGCAAAGATGCTGGCCGCTGCAGGAAGTGCAAATGGCGGATCTTGCGTCCAAGTCCAGAGCGGGAAGCAAATCAGGCGGCGCCAACGCGATTAACATCCGCGTCGGCAATGACTCTTTCACGTACGCTGTCTATCCTGGCGAGGATGCCGACAAAGTGCAGCTGCTTTCTACGTATCGCAAAGCTGTGGATGACCTCAGGAAGAGCCAGGAAGTTGAGACGCAGGAACGAGGCAGGGCGCAGGACTCATACAATTACTTCGCTACCCGGGACGCAAACATATTGAAGAAGGCTGACCTGATGGAGACGCTGACCGAGAACGTGGTCAACAATCGCGCCAGCATGCTCGTCGACATTGACGGGAAGCAGCATAACATCCGGGCTGTGGAGACGGAGTTGGATCAACTAGACATGGACATCGCGCTGCAACGCTTCGAAAATGCCGTCATGAAGGTCGAGAAGCTGAAGGCGCTGGCAAAGAATATTAGAGGAAACACCATGGCGCAGAGCATCGTCACGTTCAAAGTCAACGAGCGGGCCACGAAACTAGCCAACGTCCTCATTAAACAGCTTGTAGAGAATAACAACTGGATCACGTCGGTCAAGCGCCACGTGACCTGGATCGTCCGGCTAGGTTTCGAAGACCGCGCGCGAGAGGCATATCTCGAGGCGCGCGGAAATCTGATGAAGACGCGGTCTCGGCATGTTTTCCCCCTTCCACATAAATAGCCAAGCTAACATCATCACCAGGCAATGCAGCTTCGAAGGCAACCTCCCCGAATACATCTTCCAAATCTCCTACATCTACTTCACCATCATCAAGAACACGGTCGACATCTACCAGAAGTGCTTCCCGCAGGTGCTCATGTCAGCGTGCGTCAAGTGGGCGAAGGAACATGTCGATGCGTTTAACGTCCTGCTGGAGAGGCAGCTGAGCAGCGTGGAGAGGGAGAGCAAGGTCTGGCAGGACTGTATGGATCAGGCGCTCGCGCATGCGGGCATGTTGACCGAGGTTGGGCTGGATTTTACGGAGCTGGTTGGGAGGGGGGCGGGGGAGGTGGAGAGCAGACCTGTAGGACTCGGTGTCACAGCGTGAGTGGGTCAGTGACGGGGGCAGTGGAGGTGTGTAACCGTGGCTTGTAGAGAGGTGCGTTGCTTAGCGAGGCGTAGCGTTTTGGTCGTCACGTCAAGGCGACTTCTTGATGACCAAGTGTGGAGTTGAACAGGATGTGCGGACAGCAACTCGGTTTCTGGCATTCGAAGACGAGGTCACCTGGCGATTGACATGTTTTGCCAATATCAGATGTCGCACTCATCTCTCACGTTCCCAGTGAAGCCCGCTCGCAATGCCCGCCAAGATCCGACCTGTCGTCGCGACAACAACGACCATCTCTCACCTTGACCCCGAGTCCCGCAGTATAGTATAAGCCCCTCCCCGCGTCCAACTCTTGTCCATCCGACACAATCTTCTTGACAATAGTGTCTTACTACCAACCACTTCTCGACACTCTTGTCCAGGCTCAGCCCAATCCAACAGAGAGACACTTTCCCAGGAGTATAGCAGGCCAAGCAAACATGCCCACCGAGGAGGAAAACATCCAGTACATTTACCTCGTGCTCACGCATGCAGGACCGCCGACGGTACGTCTCCTTCTGCCACATTCCGTCTCCACCTCCCCTCCCAGATATTCTCCTCCTCAAACCATACACAGACTATCCCCCAGAGGAGAGTTGACACACGGAAAGATCAATTGGCCCCCCGTCTCCACCGCGCTGTCCCTCTCCCCCGGCGCCACCTCCAAGCGCTGGTCGCGTCTGCGCATCGCACTTGAAAACGGCAAGCCCGCGGGCAAGGGCGCGTATGAGTTGCTGTGGCTTTGTGTGAAGCACTCGAGTAGGGAGAAGGTACGTATCCCTGGATTCTGTTGTCTCTGGGGCTGGGGCGGGCAGGCGGTGGATGGGAAGGACAGCAGGGAGGGGGAACGAGGAGTGGCTAACGGGGAGACAGGCACTCGACTGGAAAGCCATCGCGTCGGCGTGCGGGACCACGCCCGGCGCGGCGAGCAAGCGGTACAGCCGGATGAAGGCGGCGTGGGACAGGGCAGACGCGACGGCCCCTCCGTCCTCGGCTGCTGCGCCTGCGACGCCGAAGAAGACCGCAAAGGCAGACCAGGACGCAGCTACGCCCACGCCGAAGCGCAAGCGCGCCCCCGCCGCGAAGCCCGAGAAGGCGAAGAGAGACGGCGAGGACGAGGCCCGCCCCGAGAGCGACGACGACGACGCAGACGACGCGTCGCCGTCCCCCATGAAGCGCGCCCGGGCGCCCACCCGCAAGATCAAGTCCGAGCCTGATGCTGGTGCTGATGCCGATGAAGATGCTGCGCTGCCCACACCCGTCTCGTCGGCCGACCAGCGTCCTCCCCGCGACCAGAATCGCGTCCAGATCCGGAACCAGAACAAGGGTCATCAGCACGACATCGTCTTCCAAGGCTTCCCATCAGCCCCGCATCACACCTTCGAAGCCCAGGTCGGATTCAAGGGCTTCCGCGACCTCGGCGCTGGACAGGGGGAGGGAGGGGCTGAGGAGTGGCACGAGAGCAGCGAGTATCTCGATGGCGACGGTGTTGGTGCGGCTGGGGGGACTGATCGTGAGTCCCTCCTTTCTCATTCTTTTCGAAGCCTGTTAGGGAGGCTGAGGTGGTCGGGTGGTGAAGAGAAACCATAGGATGGGCTGACGGTGCATAGGGGTTAGTGGGTGGTTGGATGAGATTTAGGATGAAGGGGATGATGGGAGAGCGCAAATTGAGTTGAAGTATGGGGCTGGGCTTGGGTTGAGATCCGGGATGTGGGGTCTGAGGATGGACGGACACTAAAATATTGCTGGGGAGTGAAAGCGAGGCTCCAGGGAAACGGGTGGGGCAGGAGTTTTAGACTTTGCTTTCTTTCCGCGCGAATAAAGCCTGGGAGGTCGTGGGTGTCTCGGACACCCCACCCTGGACGTTAATACTTTTAATTCAAATTATACCAACGGCGATTTCAAGGCCGCAGAAGCAGCTTCCCTGTGGTCTTCCGACTCTGGATATCTTCCGTCGCCCTGACTACATCTTTGAGCGGATACACATCGTGAATCGCGACATTCAACCCGTCCTTCTCAATGAACTTCCACACCTCGGCGGCGTACTGCTTGAGCTCGTCGCGCGTGTAGACGTAGTTGAACAGCGTGGGGCGGAGAAGTTTGACGTTCTTGGCCGAGAGCCGTCTGTTCCATATTAGCAACTCCCTTCTATACATCGGAGGAAGGAACGCAAAGGAGAGAAGATGAAAGGAAAAAGGGGAAAACAGAGCCACTCACCCCAGCGCAAATCCCGTAACAGGGCCACTCGCATTCCCAAAGCTCACCATGCTCCCCTTCCTCTTCACAGCGGCTAAGCTGCTATCGAACGTCGCCTTGCCAACACTATCAAACACGGCGGCCACGCCCTCGCCCCCTGTAATCTCAATAACCTCTTTCGTGAACTTCTCCCGGTCCTCCTCGTGGTAGTCCACCACCACCTCGGCACCGTTCTTCTTCGCGAGCTCCCGCTTCTCAGGCGAACTCGCGGCCGCAATCGTGCGCGCGCCCACGGCCTTGAGCAGCTGGCACAGCCAGAGCCCAACTCCGCCCGCGGCCGCGGTGACGAGGACCCAGTCGCCCTTCTGCACGGGGTGCGCTTCACGGATCAGGGTTACGGCAGTGAGCGCCTGGAGGAGTGCCGCCGCTGCTATCTTCGCGTCTACAGAATCCGGAATCGCGACGGTGAACTTGGCGTCGACAGGCGTGTACTCGGCGTACGCGCACTGTCCCATGTACGCAACCCTGGTGCCCAACTGCAAGTCATCGGGGACATTGGAGCCGAGCGCGGCGATGGTGCCGGCGCCCTCGCGGCCGAGGATGTAGGGCGTGTGGGGGAGTGGGTAAACGCCAGAGCGGAAGTATCTGGACATTCCCCGTGGTTAGCATGGGGTCTTGGGACATGCAGGGCGGGAAGGACCGACGCACGTGTCGATGTAGTTGATCCCAATGAACTCGTTTTTAACCAGCACCTGCCCATCCTTGACCTCCGGCACGGGAATGTCCTCCTTATACTGCAGGACCTCGGTGCCGCCTGTCTTCTCGATCCACACGCCCTTCATTGTTTTCGGGAGGCTCGCCATCGTGCGGAGAAAGCTACGACTATAGACCTGGGATGTTATTGCGGAGAGGCGCGTGGGTGCGATTGAGGGTGCGGCGGAAAGTCGAGTTGGAGCGCGGAGGGCTGATCTAGCAAAGATGGAGGACATTCAATTGGAGCTTGTGCAGCTGGGATATAGGAGCATTGGCGGTGTGGGATGTGCTTGTTGATGATAAATACCGCGGGCTATCTCCGAGTATGCCCCGCTTCCCCGCACACGTCATTGAAGGGCGCGTTTGGGTGACATTTGGGATGGAGAGGCGGAAAAGTGCTTAAGCGGGCGCTCACATCGTGCGGAAAGGGAGCGGAAAAGCACGCGAGCACAGGGTAAGATCACATTCGTCGTCACTGTAGAATCGACGGATAAGCCGTGGATTGATTGGTAATGTCTTGCATTCGGGCAACACAACGGCCATCGTAGAGCTAGGCAGACAAACACTCTGCCGCTCCTCCAACAAACAAAAGAACATCTCTACGCTACATTCTCATCATGAGGGTATACAACGACCGATGCCACCTGAACACTCAAAAGCAAAACCAGAATACAGACCAGGGGGTATGATGAACTCCGCCCAAACGCCCAAAACAAGGGGTATGTAAACTCCATCCAAACGCCATGCATAAGCCATCCTGCCTCGGCCTGAGAAAAAAACGCTTGCTGGGTAATCAAGACAAGGGTAAGATAAAGTGACGTGATCGAAGATGCAATCAGTCTATGGAGAAGATTCGTTCTCTAGAACGGGACGAAGACCTTTTCCGTGGAGGCGCACACGGTACAGGCAGGTGTGGTCAGCGCCCCAGTTGCTTGTAACTCGCAACATGACTTTCTTGATCGGTTCCTGGGCTTCTCCGTCAAGCAGAAACGTCTGCACGTGGTTGGCGCCGTTGCGGTCGTAGCGGACTTTGCCAAGGCACTGCCAGCCCTCCGGGCCATCTTCGCAGCGTTCGCCGTCAAACGCAAAGCGCTCCATTGGGGGCTCGTTGGACTTGACCCATAACTCCACGTTTTGCGGTGCACTGCGAATGTCTTCACTGGGTGCCGAGGAGCGAGGAAGATGCTCGATGGTGAGTTGTGTTGGGTACATGGGCTCGCCGAGTTCGATGCCCAGCTGTGCCTTGCCTGACTTGCTCTCGTCTGGGGCCGCACACCAGCAGTCGCCGGGTTCGTCCCAGGTCTGTAGTGCGGTCAAAGGAGGATTGATCTTCGGTGCGACGACTCTATGGTATACGTTCTTCAAAAAGGCTGTCTTCGGCGACAACGTTGGAGATGTGATGCGTTGGATAGGCCTGGCTCCCAGACCCGTGGAGAAGTAGTTCGCTTTTCCATATTGGAGTTCTATGTTGGCGATTAAGTTGCTCAGCGCCATAGATCGGAGGCGCGCATGTTCGACGGCGACTTTCTTTGCTTCCCTGGACGCGGTCTTTTCCACGTCTTTCAGCAGGATTCTAGTGTGTGCCTCGAGCTTCTTGTCGAAGTCGGTCGCGATTGCGTTGAAATTGCTGTCGATGGCTTCAAAGAGATCCTTCCTAATGACTGCCGCTTCGGTACCGATCGCGCCTCTAAGTTTCTCCTGGTTGTTCTGAACGAAAGTATCCCACTCAATGCTGGGTCCCTCTTTGCGAATCCTGCTGATGATGGCGTCCCAGAACTGTTTCGGCACGTTGATGGTACCGCTCGGCGAACGGCTGACCACGACGTAATCCGGGACCTCGTCGCCGAGACTATGGATATAATTCTGTATGTCCTTCAGAGTGAGTTCCATATCGTCGACGCGAGCTTTCATGCCGCTGTTGTCCACAGGCATGGTGGGGATCCAGGTGCTGGGGTTGAAGCGGCCAGTGAAGCCCTTCCAGCTGTCTGCAAAGTGCGTGGGGAGAGCGAACGCAGGTGGGTTCTTTGCGGCCAGGCCTCCTGCAAGAGCAAGCAGAGCGACAAGAGCAGCAATGGCGAAATAGTACCAAGGAAGACCTTTGATCCTGTCGAGCAGCGGCACTCCAGGTGCGGCGTCTGATTGGACTTTCTGAGGCATGGGATCAGCACGTGGCGGAATTGGGCGATTGGCAACGGGGACGCCATTCGCCGCTTGGGCTGGTCGTAGAGGTGCACGAGAACTGATGCCTACGGCCGCCGGAGCAGGTCGGTCCGCAGGCACTCGAGTGAATCCGCCGAGTCTGGATCCCAGGTCGGGTCGCATGAGGGGCGCTCGAGGGGTTGCGCTTGATTCTTGAACTGATTTCACGGCAGGAGCTCGGGGAGCGAGGCTAGCAGCAGCTGAATCCTGGCCCGGCCTGGCGATTGGAAAGCGAGAGGCAGCTCCGGCTGCTGCTGCATCTCGGAGAGGAGGACGTGTCGAGCTCTCGGCGGGTAGCGCATTGATAGGGCCAGCAGGCGACACGCGGGCTGGCTCCGGACGGAGTGTGCGGGTTGTGACAGAGCTGGTCGCAACATAGCTGCTCGTGACAGCTGTGCCGGGAGTCGCGGTGCGATCTCGCCGGGCTGGGGTCTGGTTTGTGGGTGTTGGTCCGCGCAGCATGCCGGCTTCGACGCCGTAAGATTTGGAGGTTTCGTTGCTGACATCTTCCTCGTCCTCCGACTCGTCTTCGCTCGGAGGGTCTTCGCTCTCGTAGTCCATCTGCGATGGGGTACCCCGCTCGCTTCTTCTTGACGGTGTGCGTCCTGCGGGACTGCTGCGCGCGCTGCGCTCCTCTGAGGTCCTTGCGATGGCGGCGCCTCGTTGCGACTCAAAGGCGTCGGCGAATCCGGTTTTCGGCACTGCCAGCTCTTGCGCGGCACCGATGCGACCGCTTGCGCCGTATGCAGTTGACTGGCGCGACGCGACTTTGGGCAGGGCGCGCGGGCGACCTGGGCCGCGTTGTGGGGTGTCTTGGGTGACGACAACCGCCGAAGCAGCAGATTGAGACGCGATGGAGCGCGCGGTAGAGCCGAGGCGCGTGGAGCGTCGCGGCGTAGCCATTTTGGTAGGGTTGTGTGAAAAGGTAGTTGCGCGGATGGTGTGGAGAGTACGAAAGACAAAGGGCTTGCGCCGGACAAAGTCGCGAGCTGCAGAGAGACTTAGTTGCTATTGTGACTACTTGAGCGCGCGCAGCGCGGTGGACGCCAGAGAAGAGGACGCCGGTGAACGGTGGGCAAAGCTCCAGGGCTAGAGATATGAAGCATGCGAGACAGTCGGGAGCCCTGGCGAGTGCCGTGCTGAGTCTCCACTCGAGGCGTTCACTTGGGCGTGCGGGCGCCAAAACGTACCTTTGCAGAGGCAGCGCGGAGTGTTGCTCCACAGCCAGGCTGGTGCAAGTGTTCACGCTGCTTCCTGGCCTGGTCGCCTCGAAGGTCGAGTGCCGTGGGCTGCGTGCGCGGCAGTCGCTGCGACTACCCGGTAAACACGTGGAACAACAGAAGTCGACGCGTCGAAGGCTGCCAGTGCTGCGCGCCTTCTTGACTTTGGTATGCGCAACCAAGCCCGAGTGCTGTTCCCGACGAGATGCACGCGTAGCGCAGCGCAAGTGGGTGTCCTGCGTGGGCGAGCACCGCGTGGAGGCAGCTTCCGTGAGTTGGTGATGGGAAGGCGGGCAGGTCGGGCGCGTCGCTCGTATCGCTCAAAGGCCGCGCTGCATCCGGTACACCATCTCTGGTGGGTTAGCGACGTGGCCGCCGCGGTGCCCGTGCCACAGGCCTGCCACCGTAGCCTCGAGCCTCATCACAGAACGCTCCGTCGACAAAGACAAGGACGAGGTCCAGTTCCCCTCTTATGTTCAGCCCACGGCACCCACTTCGGTTTGCTTCTGAGGCAAGCTAATGTGTAGCCGTCCTGCAAGGGTGACCCGGGGCCTGGCATTAGTGTAACGACGCGCCCAGGTACTCCATCAAACAAAGGAGCCGCCGTCTCCTTTTAGCACGAACAAGAGACAGAGGCTTGATCGAGGATGCGGTCCGATCGCCTGCGACGGCCCAAAGTCCGCTCACATGTCTCTACTAGCACGTTGCCATCTTGAGCCAGCCCTACGTTGGAGAGACCAGCCATCGCCGCTGTGTGACGCTGGGGTGGTGATATCATGACAGTACATGGAAAGCAAACTGCAATCTAACACACCGACGTCCTACATGTCATCTCTCAGACCGATCCTATTACCTCGGACGCTGCGATTCCTACAACTCCCCATCCTCTTCATCCTCCACCTTCTTTTCCACCGCCAGAACCTCCTTCTCACCCACAACCCCATTTCCAGGCTCCGCTCCGTGCACCCTCTTCTCCTCATCCACAATCCACCATTCCCTCACCTCCCCAAACACGCCCTCTCCGCTCTCCGCCTTGCCCACCCCAAACCCCTTTGCGCTCCACGTCTCCACACCCCGCGCCCCCTTCCACGCCTCCTCACCCCCAAACTCCCTGAACAAACTCGCATTCAAACGCTCATACTCTGCACGCGGCTTCGGCCATCCACCCACGCGCTGGAACGCCAGCTTCAATAGGTGCAAATGGCGCAGCGCGAGGGCAGGCTTGTTGGAGATGGACGCAGTGGACTGATCTAGCAACGACGACGACGCAAAGCGGCCATCCACGCTGCCATTGACGCTGCTGTGGTGCTCCGCAAGCAGCGCCGCAGCCGTGTCGTCGTCGTCCGAGTCGTCATCCGCATCGTCGTCCTGGACGAGGAGCCGCAGGATGTCTTCGTGCACGATGAGCGCCTTCTTGAAATGCTCTGCAGCCAGCGCGCCCGTCTTCTCTGTTCCAGCCTTGGATTGGTACGTCAGGCCAGCGCTGGTGTATAGCTGCGCGAGAAGCTCATACGTCTCGATGGTGACGGGAGCCCTGGGGCCGTGTGCACGACGCATGTTGTAGGCGATGTCTTCGCAGAGACGTATCGCTTTGACGGTGTGCCCAGCGAGGTAGCGTGCGCAGACGAGGCGGCGGCCCAGACGTACTAGGACGTCGGCAGGCCAAGAGCGTTGGGCGTCGCGTGTGTTCCAGAGCGTTGTGAGAAGCCATTCCAGCGTGGCGTAGTCTGTCTGTTCGCCCAGGAGTGCAGTTAGATGGCTCAGCTCCTCGACTTTCACTTGAGCTAGATTGATCTTCAAAGTCTTCGTGATCTCCAGGATCTTCTTGACAATGCGGTTGGAGAGCTCGAGCATCTTCTTGCGAAGATTGGCATCGGGCGACTTCAAGCCTTCCCGTCCTACCAGAAGCGAAGCGAGCTTAAAGCCATGACTGATGGAGTGTATCCCGTTGTACCCATCGTGGTTGCTGGCAAACAAGAACGCAAGATTGGCAACGTCGTAAGCTTCGGCGAACCTCTTGCTCTTAGTAAGAGAAGCCACGTGCTCGTTGGAGGCCAGGATTACGGCCTTGTTGAAGTTGGAGCTCCTGCGGCTGCCCAAGTACTCCAGGATGGACACGATGAATAGACGTGGTGACTCTTTGCTCAGGGTGTCCAGGTCGGCAGCATCGCGCTTCATGAAGATTCGGAGCACTTCGTCCTCCACAAAGACAGCGGAATCGGACAAGTGATGCCTAATCAAAAAGGTTCGCAGAGGCGCTGCGACCACAAGCAGATTTCGCACGCTTCCCTTCGCCAAAGCTTGCCTAAACTCCTCAAAGTAGATGAACTCGGCAGTCAAGTCGGCCAGAATCTCCGAAAAGGTGATTGTCAAATCCCTGCGAAGGTTATACTCGAGCGAAGCCACGAAGACAAGTGCCCTACGGCCTGCCTTTGTCAAATCGAAAGACCATTTGGAGACGTGGCGAATATCGTGAGCGCAAACCTGAACATGTAGCTGGCGAATCAATTGCGTGCAGTACTTCTCTTGCTGGATAGCTTGGAATGAAGCTGCGATGTAAGAGGCCGATTCGATCAGCCTCTGGGAAGACGACTCGTGCGTCACGATGGACGTGACTGCCGTGGTCAACTGTCGCACAGCGAATTCCGTCTTCTTTTGTCGAGAGTACAATTGGACGAGCTCGCGGAGTTCTGTGAGCGACGACTCGTGAGCGTACCCGTACTTCTTCGTCACTTCACTGAATCGCTCCTCATGAATCGTGATAGCACGCTCGAACGTCTCCGACTTGATGGTACTGGACGACGTCGACTTGAGCTGGCGAACATATAAAGAAGACAGCTGTTGCTTAATTTCCGTGACGCTCGTGGAGATTGACTTGTACTTGGAAGCCTGCTCATACCACGAGATAGCTTCAGAGAAATGTTCCTCACTCCGCTGGGTGACGCGAGCAAGGGTCAACGTCGCCTCAGCGACGATGATGGACTCAGCTCCAAAGATGGCGAGAGAAGTCTCGCGGTACTCTTTCGTGGTCTTGTACAAAATTGACCAGCTGACGCCAGTCTCCTCCAGACACTGGAAGTAGCGCTCGTAAAGAGTCTGCACGAAGGAGCTCTCAGTGAACTGCTTGTACTCCTTGGTCTTGAGAACAAAAGTCTTCCAAAGTACTCCGAACACCGTGACTGCCTCGGCGTAGCGACGGTCTTCCCAGTACGAGGTAGCGACAATGATTATTGCGTCCATAGCATCGTGATGGCAATGCTGAGAGTCCTTGTTCAAGCTGTTTACGATTTGTTGGTAGTAGTCGATCCAGTATGGATGGTTCCGAGGATGAGCCTTGCACCGTGAGCCGAGTATGTACAGCGTCTGGATGGTCAACTCGTGAGCCACTCCGAAAACGTTTCTATACACAACAAGAACGTCTTGGAAAACGCTGATCGCATTGTCTGGGTATCCACGTTTGTCATAGAAGGTGACCAATAATGTTTTGGCCTTCTCGAAGATGGATTTGTCCGTGGTCGGCGAAGAGAGAACAGCTCGGAAGAAGCGAATGTAGATGTCCTCAACTTTGTCGATACGTCGCTGCTGTCGGAAAACCTCTGCCAACGTTTCGATGAGCTCGATAGATTCCTTTAGGAAGGTAGTCGTCAAGGTGACTTCGTGGACAGAACCCGAGAAGAAGGAGTGCCAAGTCCTATCAAGAGTGGTTTTGACGACAGTTACGGCTGCAGACCAGTTACGCTGCTCGACGTACTGAACCGTGAGTTTCTTGGCCAAGGTAATTGTCGAAACGTCGAGGGTCTTGCTACTGATGAGAGACTGGAAGATACTTTGGAAGACAGAGTCCGATACAGCGCCGGTCGTTTGTGTAATGGTCGTTGTGCTACTGAGGCTCTGCTGAATCAACTCAGTCGAAGTGGAAGAGATTTCACGGCTGATCTCGGTTGAGTGAGATGACTCCTCCTTGCGCACGCTCTTATAAAACGAGCTCGCAAACTTGAAGATGGACAGAGCTATCGTATAATGGCCTTGTGACTTGAGAGTTTTGGCGACGATCGTGAGTCGAGTCACGATGCTTTCGGAGTACGCCAATTGATGCGTTTCATACTGTTGCCAAACAGTTATGAGGATAGACGAGGACTCCGACGTGCGCTTTTGAGAGATCAAGAACTGGGAGTAGGCTGTTGTGACATCAAGGTGCTTCTCATGCCATTCGACCGACTGCACGGTACGGCATCGGTGAGAGATCTGTTGCCATAGTTCAACGTAGGTCTTTTCGGCCAAAATGACATCTGCACGAGCGAAGTACTCTTCGGCTCGGCGAAGCCAGATGATGACCTGGTGCGTGTCAAAGACATCGATTGTCTTGTCTTCGTCATCTTCGTCGGTGAAAAAGGAATCCTTGTACGTCTCGAGCTCCCGATCGCCTTTGCCTTTGCCGAGAACCACGCTCAATCGTCCGTGTAGGTCTTTGGCTTCATGGGAGTGTTTGCCGTAATGCTCGATAGTAATCTCCTGAATGATTCGGTAGATCTCCTGTGCACGCTCTTCCTCCTTGATGGAAATGTAGAGCTGAGCCAAAGCTTCGCGGGTCTGAATGACAAGGTTGGAGGAGCGACCGTATTGCCTCTCATAAGCGGTGATAAGGACAATCAGGAGCTCTTCCCTTTGCGTCATGATCTCAGTCCTCGTAGTGGTTGTAAGGGTACTTGTGATCTTCAGGAAGCGCACAGCGCACTCAATGGTTACTGGGTGGACCTCGCTCAAGATAGTGCAACTGATCTTTGTCGAGATGAAAAGATACCAGCGTGCATCATTGGGTCTTGACAGCGTCGTGTACAGACTGGCGCATGTCAAGTACGTTTGGAGAACCGTAGGGTGGTTTTCTGTGAAGACACCCTTACGAATGCGAGCCACAAGTACATGCCTGTCGATAGCATCTAGTGCAGGGAGCTGAAACTCCCAACAAATCTGCTCTAAGAGTGTGAGCGTCGTGGTGTCCGGGAACACGTGTTGAAGTTCCGGCGACGGCTTGAACTCTGTAAGATCGGGAGAGTAGAATGGGGTCTGGCGGAAATGGTCGACCCAATAGCGAACAATGTATTCAAGGAAATGGTGTTGATGGAAAAGACGGTCAGCGTGGTGGGGTTCAAGCCCACCAACGACTGGCGCACGCTTCTCGCGCAGAGTGGCCTTGACGTAGGCTAAGATTCGCAATAAAACGCCAGTGTTGCTATCCTTGACGGGTATCTGGATCTTGTTCTGATGTGCAAGGTCTCGGAGGGTAAACTGGATAAGTGAATGCTTGAAGCGTACGATGTGCTCTTGGGTTGTAATGAAAGGTCGAAGGGAATGAATCGTAGAGTGGACATCAACAGCAGTTTGCGATACGGTCGCACGCTGGATGTCTACAGAGAAGAGAGAATGAACCTCTTCGACTGTCAGAGGGCGTTCCGTAATTAGCAGCCACGAGAGTAGGACTTTTGCATCGTTAGTTAGTTGGAGAGTTGCAAATAGCTTTAACACCAATGCCTGGACGTCACCCGACAATGACTTCAGGGTTTCCAAGGTCTTGTTGAAGCTCTCATTGGTCTTGCTCAGGTTGAGGAATTCGCACGCAATAGTGGCCCACAGAAATGACCCTTTCGCCTCATGGACAAGATGGTCAAGGACTGTCTCTTGCTCTGGAGGGTTTTTGCCGTGGAAATGGTGGTTGTGGACAAGAGCTCGGAGGATAACAGCGTGAATGTCATCATGGATGTCTCCATGGGTAATCTCATAGTGTGCACCGTGGCCTGAGGTCGATACTGCCGACGTCGACAGCACGACGAGCCGTGTCCTGACTCCTTGAGTTATGATTTCCAACAGCTTCTCGAGAGTATGAGTTGCCTTTTGAGTCCCTTTGAGCTCGTCGATGCCGTCGAGAACGATGACAAGGTCGTTTCCCCCCTCGATCGGCTGCTTGAGGATATCAGCAAGAGCTTTCCACAGAAGCTCTTCGTATTCAAGGCCATTGGCGGCGTTGATAGACTCGCTGTAGGCCCAAGCCAACGAGTAGTACATTGCAACGTTACCAACCCTCAACTTCAGGAGCTGGAAGAGCAGTGTTTTGACCAATGCAAGTGATGTAGCTTCACATGGAATGGAAGCATCTGTACCCTTGTTAGCATCCCCATCAATTTCCAACAGGTTTTAGTCACACTTACTGATAGAAATATATGCGGTGTCGTATGGCTTCTTGTTGAACGGGCGTTGAAGTCTATCTGTGATAGATCCCGCCAACGTACTTTTCCCAGATCCTGGAGGACCAGTGATATGGAGGAAGTTTTCCTTGCCGTTGATGAACCTGGTGAGCGGCTTTTGAAACCATAAACAGGTGAACTCGGCCTGTGTTTCCGCAACGATAGTATGGTCACGACTGAGGGTTGCAAGCACCCGGTCCTGAGGAGCAAGCCATCTAGTGATCATGGCGATATCTATACGTTCGCCTACCTCCAAGCCTTGACCTTCGATCTGGGAGTTCCATAGTGACTCAACAATTTGCTTCCTCCGCATATGGAAGCTGTCGATAGTGTCGCCGAAAGTCTCAAAGATGTCGATACTGACTGAAGATGTCGACATACCCTTGACGGCCTTGTAGAAGGTGATCGCAACGTCAACCACGAGAGACAACAAGTCAGTGTACATTAGGCTTAGCTGCTCTCGAACATCGGTGGTAGCTGTAGGAGCGAGTAGCTCCACGCGCTGATGGATCGTAGAGAAAGATAGCGAGAGCTTGTAGAAGACAGCAAAGGCACGGTCAAGAGCTGCGGAGTTTTCCGACCCAAGCTGAAGACATTAGTAGATTATCTCCGTTGCTGTGTTTGGACTTACCTCGAGAAGAAGACGGGCATGGTCGTATCCCAAGGAGGCCGCGGCGTCACTGTCAAGAGCATACCCTTTAATCGCAATGTTGAGATTGTGCAGCTGTTCTGCAAAGAAGAGAGCCCTAATCAGAACGCGATCCCATCGACTCCCCTTATGTGGCAGAGTGGTCAGACGTTCTGTTCTGATCCATTCCAAGAAGTGGTAGAACGTTGTGCCTGCAACGCTCTGGTGCACCCCAGCACCAAGCTGAGTGATGCTCTTCTTCTTCAAAGCCCCAGCAGTCTCTTGAACGAAACCAGCCTTGTGTCCATGGCTACCGTGATATACAGCCTGGTTGATGGTGCTGTGATTGTAGCTTGCGGAGCGGGAGCCAGCATAGCCGTTAATTCCACCTTTCTTGTATGTAAATGTTTTGGAGGAATCCGGAGGGGTAGAGAAGCCGTTGATGCTGGCGAACGACGAGGTCATTGTAGGGGATTGCATTGCCTTAGTGGCAGGAGGTTCACTGGATTTGGGGTTCGTGGACCGAGGTACTGGTGCAACGCCAGCGTTGTCTTCGAAGGTTGTTGTGGATACAGGTAGGGTTGTGGTTTCAGGATCTGTAGGAGTGGTGTGTGTGTGCTTAAACCAACGTTTGCGCTTTCCTATGAGTCCGTTAGAGTAATGTACGACAGGTGCGATGCAATGACAGACCGAAGGGATTGTGTCTTAATCCAAGCATGTGGAGAATGCTGGCCAAACAAGTACAACAACAACAGAAGGGCTTGCCCATAAATGATATCGATGTGGGTTTGCTAGGAGTGCTAGAAGTGTAAATAGCACGTCGCTATCGCCGATCAGCCATGGTTCAGGTGGCTGGCTGTTAGCGATCACGGAGTTTCCGACGCAACACTGGGTTCAATGAAGTGCAATGCAATGCAGATCCGCTTGGATTTCTCAGCGTCGGCTCAAGAATCCTTGTGAATGCGTCCCATAGTCAGAGAGTCCAAGCGACCGCCTGCACGTATCAATGCTGGACAGCGAGCTAGCTGAGAAACAACCAAAACCTTCAACACCCCAGATCTACAGGTGTCTGCCCATTGCAGCTCTGTGCAGTGGAACAAGCGAGCTGTACTCATGTAACAATTGTCGAACGCACTTATTGGTTAGGCAGCGGTTACCCTTTCCGTCTATTCAGCTTGCGTTACTCGTCAATCCGTGCGTGTCTGTATGTGTGTGTGGAGATTGGACGCCACCGATCGACCTATGCCAGATTAGGAAGTGCACGCAGTCTGCATATGAGCCCCATATGCTTTTATCTTCAGCGAAGCAGAAGTGAAGAGGGCGTGATCGTTTTCTCGCTTGCATTGGCTTGAAGCTGATCTTTGCAGCCCGAAGATGTGAAGTCGGCGTCTAAGAAGTCCGGGTGTCGAATCAAGCAACATTGACAATGGCAGTCGGTGATGTACTAGACATCCCGGGGTCGATTACTACTGCATCGTGTCGCAAATATAGGATAGACTCGATGGAACTCATCACAACCTGCTCACTCATGTGCCATTTCCGGAGAGTAACTGTAGAATGGTAGAGCGGGAGCAGTCGGCAAGCCATGGTTGCCATCCCGGCCACAGACAGGTGCGACAGACCCGAGCCGAGCCGATAGCGTACCGCTCGGAGTCCAGACCATGAAGATTTCACGCCATTGAATACGCACTTCATTTGCGTAGCTGCGTGATGGTGTCTAGGTAGGCGGAGAACCATAGCGGGGTCGCCGTTGGGCTCCAGAAAGAGATGCCCTCAGCCAGCCTCGAGAAAGCAGTAGGCGATTTCGTTATTGGGCGACCAGGCCTGGCGAGATTGCGTACGTTGGTGGTGGTGTCGGTGGGGGCTGTCTGGGGAGTAGCCGGATCAACGGCGCTAGCATCAGCCGCAGCACACTGGTACTGCCCCAATTCGGTATAGATACTGACGAATCAAGTAGGGTGCTATATTAGACTCAAGCCTTCTCGTCTGATTGAGGTGCCGTTCAGCTTGCACAGCAAGTGCACACATCCATTTCAGGTGAGGTGGCGGGCTTCCCTGTGGGCGATCCCGCGGAACTGTACGGTACCGGGAGGTAGGCGAACGCGGCCCGCCATACTGCATCAAGTCGGCGACCACCTGCGGCTTCGATCTGCTCTCCGCTGCAGGAGACCATTATGCGAACCGTCTTGCTCACACGTGTTGAATGTTATATGGAGACAGGATATAGCCAAGGGTATGCAATACAACCTCACCTCGATCGAGCGGAGACATCAGGTAGGTGACACGGGATTCAGCAGTGTGTATGGTGGGTAGCTCCTCTGCGTTATCTGCCCGAGCTGCAAGACAACCCAAGCATAGGCTGCCTCTCATGGCAATCTGAAGATCGGGTCGATGGTGAAATGCGAACTGAGGTTAAGTTATTGAAGTGTGGTGTACTGGTGATGGATTGGTTAGCTATGGCGGAAATCCTGTAGGCTGACCCTAGTAGGAAGCCCCTTACACTCACTTTGAGCCACCTCCTCCAACAAAGGGGACATATATGTAAATGTTTCGTGAGCTTCTCCGTAATCTTTTTCAAATGATAATAGACATTAGTCGAGGCTGGCCAGCTCTCTAAATGCACACATGCAACGCCCATACGAACCGAAACCTTGAGCTTTCACCGAAGCCCAACCATATCCCAAGACAATGGCCATTTGCACAATCGAACCCCTCACTTCCGCTCAATGACCATGCCACCACTACTTCCACCTGTCCCATCCTCCCACCTTAGCACCCCTCGGCATCACCGCTGCCATCATTCTCCTCCGCCCCAAGCTCCACCCTGGTCTCCTCCTCAGGGCTCTCAATCGTCTCTAGCCCGGTCAATGCCGTGCCCCTCCTCGCCCTCGGCGTCCTGCTCGCATCCTCCCCCCGGTCCATCACCCTCGCTACCCTTCGATCATCTTTCTCAAGCTCTAACCTCGACCGCGCCATCACGGCCTGCGCCTTCGCCCGGTCCGAGCTACTCCCGCTCGTCCTGCTATGTGTCCCCACATTCCTGCCCGCACGCATCATGCTATCTCTCCAGCCCTGTTCCGTCCGCACATGCGGCGTGTCTGGATTCGCTTCTGTGTTCACATGGTACAGGACATCGCTGGGACGCGCGCGTGAAGAGACTAGCGCGCCGTTGGAGGGAGGAGATCTGCGCCACCAGACCAAAGACCCAAGGAATGAGCCATCGGAAGAGGGAATGTGACGCCAGGGACGCTCGCGGAGGGAGAAGATGAGGCAGTCGATCGCGCCCATAGAAGTCACGCAGATGACGTTGATCATAGAAAGCCAGTAGAGTGGATGTGCGGCGAAATGGTCTTGGTACGTCAAGCAGTGGTTGATGAAGGGGACAAGCCAGACGAGCACGTAAACGATGGGGTAGATGAACATGAGGCGGAGTTGGCGATGGATGCGGGCCCTTTTCTGGGCGAGTTGGCGTTGCAGGTGCTGCGAGGGCGCGTCTGAGAAGGGAGAGGTGTTTCCGTCAGAGTTGTCTCCGCTGATGTTGCGGGGAGGCTTGTTCCCCTTCTCGACGCTGGGTGCATTCGCTGTATTGGCGGTGTCGTAGGTTTGTAACTGTGGGAGCATGTACCAGTGATCCACTGTATGGGGACTGCCCGGGATCGAAGAGCCGTGAGCAGTATCACTAGCGGTATTGGTGTGAGAGTCCACCGAGGCGACACCAGATGCTCTGCGTGATTGCCCGACCATGGAGACCACAGAAGAGTCTCGACCAAAATGGCTCACTTGATACTGTGACATTTCCGGACCATTTGCAGAACCATCTTCTGGGCTTCCGACAGAAAAGATCGGAGTTGTGGTTGAGATCGAAGGCTTGGTCTCTTTGACTGAATTTGACAATGCTCGAAACTCAAAGCCAACATGAGCATAGATCGCAATCGCAAGACCAAGGATTATTATGGCAATCAAATAGCGAGGGATCCATTGCAATGCCAGTCGGTACCAGAATGGTCTCAACGGAAGGGAGCAATAAGGGCCCTGCGACATGTAACCCCATCGCGGGTTGATGAATGCCAAAGCGGCCATCATGGCGGGAATAAGAAGTGAACCGGCATACACATAGTGCCGGTGTGGATACAGTCCGTCCGAGTGAACCGTGTTGGAAGGTCTGAACACTTGTAACGCGCTGTGTAGTGCAATGCAGAGTACGGCAAAATCTGCGATGCGATCTCAGTAGATGATATGGAAGCCACTGTCATGTTTACTGACCACTCTCTTCAGTTCCAAACTGTACGAAAAACCCACTGGACTGGCAGAAGGCACTTTCTGTGATTATCGTGCCGCGTGCAAGTGACACAACAGCCTGTAGAAACAACCACAGTGCCTTCATCAGATCCCCAAATATCAGCAGCATAATGAGTCTGGTCAGAGTCAATGGAGGCGATCGGTGTCATTGTGGCCACACACACCTGTGGCGAAAGCGCTTCTCCATGCGGCAAAACCAGTAAAAGACGGTGAATGCGGCCACCATACTGGTGGCGGCGCAGGCCGCTGAAGCGACCCTTACGTTGTAGTTTTTCTGATCGTCGTACAGCTTGGAATATGAGGGACCGTAGTAGTGCGCCACGTTCGGTAAGGGAGAGGAGATGGCTTTGGTGAAAAGCGAACCTGCTGTAAACAGCATGGGCGCATAACGGTAGATAAAGGACGAGATATAGGAGGACCGTCGCATGTATTGTGTCTTCCTGACGCTCGGCATGCTGATCTGCTGCTGCTCTTCATCTGCGAACGGGTACCAACTGACTCCTCGTAATCGCGACAGGCGGTATCAATGATATACAAACGTCTCGAATTGCCTGTCGCGCGTGGTTGGATGCTGGTTCTCCGACAGCAAGTGAATTAGTCGTACGTGTTTCTGATAACGCCTGATGCTTCGTTGATTCATCAGTACTGGCAAGATCGGGGTCCAATGGAATCTAGAGGGAGGATGATGCCGGAAACAGTAAGACACAAAGGAATGGCCCACCCGCCCCAGAATTTGGTAACGATCCCGCGTCAACAAGTCAACACCCATGAGGTTGTCGCAAATTGAATTACATCGTATGCAAGTATCTGCCCAGTGCTAGCTTTCGGGGTGTTATTCACATGTTCTGCGAACGCGACTGGTGGTCTATCAGGGGCCATTTGTTGGTATTTTCTCTGCATCGATTTGCTGACGCTTCTGCCCCACGTGCAATGAAACTTTCAGAGACATGACGTCAGTTCCGAATGTACTTCGGTATTCATTCCATCTGCCGTAGAACAGCTGATAAACATTGCCGCGCGGGAGTCTTTAAGACTTGCCGGATTCGACAATGTCTCCCACCTTCGGACCCATGCAAGCGCTCTCCTATGCTTTCAATCAAACGATTCAGCGAGGACAATCAACGAGAAGCGCAGGTCGCCCCCGCCAGCTGCGGCCTCGCGTTTGAGGAAGCTCCGTACGCCGAGGTCCAGAGCCTTGTCGCTAAGCACATCCTCGTCGGCAGCAAGCTGGCCACGGTTTAGGGGGCCTTTGCGGCGGCCATCCATCTCCCAGAGGTTGTTGTTCTTTGACTTGACGAAGCACACGTAGTGCAGGTCGACATCAGCTTCGGCGGCTGGCGCGGCTGTGTCGCCCCTGGCTCCGGCCTCTTGGTGTGCAGCTTCCAGCGCATCGGATTCGTAGAGGAGGTCGGCTCGCTCTTTGGGCTTGAGGGGAATGGCTTCCCGCAGCAGCTGGGCCAGGTTCGAGTCAGGATCTAGAGCGTGGGTGAGAATCTACGAGGCCGACACGACTCAGTGAAGGGTGGTACGAACCAATATGTTCTCGTGCCGTGCCATTGGAGACTCCATGCAGCAGGCCCATCAAGCCGCAAGCGTTGCTAATCGTCTGCTTGTACCAGACGACCTCCTCCTCAGGACCGCTGCCCTCATACTCTGGGCGGTCCTTGTCTTCTTCGATGCGGAACTTTTCGTATGTCTCATTCACCGGAAAGATCAGGAGTAGAGCATGGGCGGGGCGGGGCACAAAGGAGAGCAACTCGGGCTCGTCGATACTGAAAACATCGTGGAAGTCGAGCTTCTTGCTGAGACCTAGCTTGTGCACGAGTGCGCTCATCACCTCGGGGTTGTTCTCTAGCAAACCGTAAGCGGGGCTCTCGTGCATGCAGCAAGTGGCGTACCCAGAGGGATGAAGCTCTTCTTCCCTTGGCGGGAAAGCGGTTCTAACGCCATGGCTTGTGGGTGAGTTGGGCGAAGGTCGGGGTGGCGGGGTGGCTACGAGAGTGCAGCGTGCGCCCGGAGCTCTTTCTTGTACGCGACGCGGCGGCGGGGTACCTGCTGCCTGCCTGGCAGTGGCGTCACACGCCTTGCCCCTCCAGACGCACACCCCATGCCTGCATCGATGTACGGGCGCAATGACAATGGCACCATGGAAGGCGTTTGCACTGCATCTGGAACCAGCGCAAGCGACCGCTGGCCGTCACCGATGAGGGACGCGATGGGGCCTGTGCGCGGCCGCGGTGCGTGTCTGGCGCGTCCCAGCAGCCCCTCGGTGAATTTTGATGCTGCACATTGAGTCACGTTGGCGGCGATGCGCATCCACAATCTTTCTGCTGCTCGCCTACGGAGCGCTCTTTTCCAACCCTCCCGCCACAGGCACCCACCAAGCCCGCGCCCGTCATACGCAGTCCCCACGCGACCTCACAGCACAGCTCTCGCTCCGAGCCACTTTGTGCCTGCCTTCTTTACCCCACTGCAGCCACTGTTGCTCGACTTCTTCCGCCCCGCACTGCCCACCATGGCGACCGCGACCCTCGACGAGAGCCTTCTCGCCTTCCTCAAGACCCACGCGCCCAACAATGCCTCCTCCGAGACCGACGCCGTCAAGGCCTCGCAGGCTCTTTTCCCCTCCGTCACCTACACCGACGCCGAAAAGGCTGAGCTCAGCCAATGGCTCACCTCCGCCGCGCACGTCGCTACTGACGGCGAGGACGCTGCCAAGGCCGCTGAGCGTCTCTCTTCGCTGAACACCCACCTGGCTAGCCGGACCACAGTCCTCGGTGGAAAGCCCTCCGTGGCTGACATCGCCGTCTACCAGAAGCTCGCGCCCGTCGTGTCAAATTGGAGTGCCGAGGAGCGAACGGGAGAGCAGGGTTACCACCACATCGTCCGCCATGTCGACTTTGTGCAGAACTCACCACTCTTCGGTCTGAAGCTGGACAACAAAGTCAACATCGACTTGGACAGTGTCATCTTCAAGATCAAGCCCGTGGACGCAAAGGCCGAAAAGGAGCGCAAGAAGAAGGAGAAGGAAGCGGCTGCTGCCAATGCGGCGGCATCAGGCGGTGCTACGCCTACTACCCTGACTGGCGACAAGGCGGCTGGGGATAAGAAGAGCAAAAAGGAAAATGTCGTGGACAAGGCTCAAGCAGCCGGCGAAGCAGTAGCGTCAACGGTTGCCGGCAAGGCTGGAGGAGCACCCGACGGCGCGCCCACCCAGAAGAAGGAGAAAAAGCCAAAGCAGCCGAAACCCCAGAAGGCGTGCGTGTAATGTCCCATGTAGGAGCCTTCCTGTGCTGACATAGTCGTAGACCTCCGGCCGAGAAGCCTCTATCGCCCTGCCTCATCGATCTTCGCGTTGGACACATCTTGAAGGCTGAGCGGCACCCCAACGCCGACTCACTCTACGTGAGCACCATTGCCTGCGGTGACCCCGCCGGCACCGACAACACATCCGAGTACGAGGGTCAGGTCGTGCGAACAGTATGCTCGGGTCTTAACGGCCTGATCCCGCTCGAGGAGATGCAGAACCGCAAGATCGTAACGGTCTGCAATCTGAAGCCCGTCACGATGCGTGGCATCAAGTCTTGCGCCATGGTGTTGGCCGCGTCGCCAAGGGTTACTGAGGGAGAGGACAGCCACAAGGGACCTGTGGAGCTTGTGAATCCCCCAGCAGACTCAAAAGCTGGTGATCGGGTGTTTTTTGAGGGCTGGGAGGGCGAGCCCGAGGCGGTGCTAAACCCCAAGAAAAAGGTTTGGGAGACTATTCAGCCCGGTTTCACCACCACCGATTCGCTGGAGGTTGGGTTCAATGTGGAGGATGTGCCGCAGCTGTCAGGAGAGGGTGCAGACAAGAAGACCGGCGTTGCGAAACTGAAGACCGCAGCGGGTCTTTGCACGGTGACCACCCTCAAGGGCGCTACCGTGCGATAAAGAGTTGATCGTCGCAAGCAACGATAAGTTCATTTCATCGCAGGACCATCCCATCCACCCCGTTGCAAGGGGTTACAACCTGCAGCGACCCTGCTTCACAGGAGAGGCGGGGCACATTGTTGGTTATCCAGATTATACACATGCATGAGCTTTTAAAGCCAATTGTAGTAGATAGATCGAAAGAAGATCATGTCTTACACATCTTGCTCGACGTGCCTTGCATAGGCATGTCTCGTCCTTCAAGGGATCCGGTGTACAGTTCCTTTTGAGTCACGAAGGGTTGATAGCATTTTCTTCAGCTCGTACTCGTTTCTTGCTAAGAATAGCATGCATTATGGCTTACTTAAACAACACGCACGATGAATGCATAGTCGTGGCTAAGGTCTCAGGCCGCAATGGCATGCTAGAAGAGTTCCTCATGATGTCACATAGGGCAAATTGGTCAAGTTGCAGGAAGACGGTCACGACTATGCTGCCAGGAAGTGTACGAATTGCAACGTGACGATGAAGCACGGCAGCCGCTAGTTCCCAAAATGGCGATCTTTCCGCCACGAAAACCCTTGGTGGGGCGGTGAGCTCCACCATCGATCACCGTACTCACGACTTTAATATCAGTGAGACCACGCAGGCACGCACGAATTGATTGTCCCACTCCTCCTCACTCCACTAATTCTGCAATCCCCTCTCCCACCTCTCTCCCACCGTAGATCTACACAATGGTTGTCGGCTCCGTCCTCGTCACTGGGTAAACATCAGGTGCCCCGCCATCATGCCTACTAGAAGGCTAACAATTCACAGTGGCACGGGCTACATTGGCTCCTTCACGGCGCTGGCGCTTCTGGAGGCTGACTACAAGGTCGTGATTGTCGACAACCTGTACAACTCCTCTGAGGAAGTTATCAACCGCATTGAGCTCATCAGCGGCAAGCGACCTGAGTTCTACAACGTTGATATCTGCGATGAGGCTGCCTTGGACAAGGTGTTCACCGAGCACCCCGACATTGACAATGTCATCCACTTTGCCGCTCTGAAGGTACACCTTTAGTCTCCCAGATTTTGAATCACCATGCTGAAACTGCTTCAGGCTGTAGGCGAGTCTGGCGAGATTCCCCTGGAATACTACCGCGTCAACGTAGGAGGCAGCATCACCCTCCTCCAATCTATGAAGAAGCACAACGTCACCAACATTGTCTTTTCCTCCTCAGCAACCGTCTACGGTGATGCCACTCGCTTCCCCAACATGATTCCCATCCCTGAGCACTGCCCCATCGGCCCAACCAACACCTACGGCCGCACCAAGTCTACCGTCGAGGGCATGATCACCGACCACATCGAGGCCGAGCGTAACAAGGCCAAGAAGGCTGGTACTGACGGCGGCAAGTACAACGCCGCTTTGTTGCGTTACTTCAACCCCTCTGGTGCGCACCCCAGCGGCATCATGGGCGAGAACCCCTTGGGCGTCCCGTACAACCTCCTTCCTCTGCTTGCGCAGGTAGCAATAGGCAAGCGGGAGAAGCTTCTCGTTTTCGGCGACGGTAAGTCAGCTCCCTACCCACGTCTCGTCACATGACTCACACCCGCCCACAGACTACAAGTCCAAAGACGGCACAGCGATCCGCGACTACATCCACGTGCTAGACCTCGCGCGTGGCCACGAAGTCGCACTCAAGTACCTGCGCGAGAACCAGCCTGGTGTCAAAGCGTGGAACCTTGGGTCAGGCCGGGGCTCCACCGTCTTCGAGATGGTCAAGGCCTTCAGCCACGTCGTGGGTCGCGATCTGCCGTACGAGGTTGCGCCGCGCCGCCAGGGCGACGTGCTGGACCTCACGGCCAATCCGACGCTCGCGAACAAGGAGCTCAAGTGGAAGACAGAGTTGACGCTCGAAGATGCGTGCGCGGATTTGTGGAAGTGGACGGAGAACAATCCTGAGGGATATGGGCAGGCGCCACCGAAGGAGTTCGTCGAGGCTTTGAAGAACAAGGCGTAGGGTGCTTGATTGAGAGATTGTCTCTTCTTTCGGGGAAATGTGATGATGAAAATCGCGTTCTTCAGCTTTCGGATACGACCTTGGGGAGGACATAACGCATGCATATAGCGTATATATATAGATCACGACAAAACCCATACCGGTATCGTCTCGTTCGGAGACTCAATGACGACAGTCTGACCGATATGTGCCTCGTCCAGTGCCACATTTTTGCCATGTTCACCCTTATCAACTCCTCAGCCCATGCCTCAGAACGCACCAACATCCGGCACCCGCCCCTCCTTCAGCGGTCCAAACACCTTCTCCCACAGCTCGCTCGCCTCGCCGAGATGATACGTCAGACTAACATCCTGCATCCCCGCGTCCTCATCCCCAGCCAGATTCTCCAGCGTCGAAATAATGTTGTCGAGTCCCAGCGCCTTGCCGACCGACTGGGTAGCCCCCGCCTCGAGCTGCACGTGCACGATGTGGATGTGGAAGTGGTGGTATGTCGGTTGGTCTAGTGGTGTTAGCCCTCTCTGTTACCCTGTCCCTCCCCCTTCCAACCCTTCCAAAAGCCAGTAATGACGGCGGAGAAGAAACTCACAGTGCACATAAAGCTTGACCTGATCCCTCTCCACCCCGTCATACAGTCCCACCGTCGCATCCAGTAGTTTCTCCCTTACGTATCGTAGCCACGCGACATCCCCCTTCTTCAAGTCCCTCACGCTCCAGATATCCCGCCGCTCCACCAGCCCCAGCAAATGCAGACCCCCCACCGTCTTTCGATCCCAGTTTAAGTCCGGCAGCAGCAGAAACCCATCTTTCTCTCCAGTCTCCCGATAGATGACGTCTTCCTGCTCCGTGCGCCCCTCGATGATGTTGAACACCCAGTTCAGCGTGCCTTTCTCGCGCTGGCGGTTGATCCAGGGGCGGATGTAGGAGGTGTAGATGGCGGGTGTTTCGGTGACGATGCGAAGGGGTTGGGCGGAGTATTTCTTGATGTGTTTGGGGGTGCAGGGGTAGATGAGGTTGAGTTTGTAGTCTGGAGGGATGGGGATGGTGGGGTCGGGATTGGTTGGAGGGGGCGCGGAATTGGCGAGGAACCATGCGTAGATATCATTTGCGCCGAGATTTTTTATGTTGGTAAGGGTGGTGGGGAAGACGGAGAGGTGGGCGTGGCTGGATAGAAACAAAGTTAATATCATGTCTGATTACATGAGGAGATTTGAGACCATGGACTTGAGTGAAAAGCTTCGCGATCTCGAATAGTCTGAAGTATCTTACTCAGTAGCGAAGGCGGCGCGTTCGGCGATCAGAAGGGCATCCTGGCCGTCTACCGTGCCGAGAAGAGAGATACGGCGGCCTGCTTGATCTTGGTTCAGGAGCCGAGTAAGTTTGAAGCGGGGAATATACGCTTCAACTCTTGCGGCGACGTCGGGCGGCGTAGTTGATGTCATGGCCCACTACTTGGAGGTGTTTGAATTCAAGGGAGAATACTGATGTTTGTCAGAGTCTCCAGATTGGAGCTTGATATTGGAGGGTTGACGGTGTATGTGCAAAAATGCGAGAAAGTGGTCGTTTGGAAGCAACACATGAACCAAACGATGCGAGTTGGTGTTTGAGGGTTCTTTGGGTTCATTCGACCCAGGAGATGGACGAATGAACGGTTGCGTTGTAGTCGAGATACTTCTATAAGAGCATTTCTTCCAAGCAGATACCCCGCGCAGAAACAAAACTCTTTGGATCGTGGAAGAGATAGGCAAGGAACTTCGACTCCACTTACAAGAGTATGAGCAAGCAATAAACCAGTAGCTGGTCCTGTCTCTATTCCGTTTTAGGGACTTTCGTTATTGCGGGTTTGGGTTTGAGGTCACATGCTCACGCATTCTCGCGTGTCACCCCGCCAACCCCTTCAACCAATGAGAGCGCGACCAATCCCGCCAAGACCCTGCTGTGTCACGAATGATATCACTGCGACAAGTGCAGCCCTTGTCTTTGACCCACCCATTAACCTCATCGCACTTTACCTACCTGTAATCAACTGTCGCATCGCTCCCGTTTTATCTGCAATGCCTCCCAAACGCCGCAGTGCCGGCGCAACCGCCAAATCATCCGGCCAATCGACCCTCGCATTCCACGGAGCCTCCAACAAAGTCACTAAGCCCGGCGCGCGCGCAACCAACGCGAAGAAGAACCTGCTCACAGAGAGCGCGAAGAAAGATGAGAAGCCCGAGGCCGTCGATGTGAAGGTTAAGATGGAGGAGGAAGCGCCCACAACCGCCGAGGCAGCGATCATCAAGCAAACAGAGCAGGCGCAGGAGCCAGCGCAAAGCACACCGGAGGAGGAGGAGGCGCGTCTGGTCAAGCCGAAGCAACTTCAAGCGTACTGGAAAAATCAGAATGCTGGGTCGGCGCCGAGGTACCACCAGGATGATCTGAGCTTGGAGGAGAAGATATTGAGGAAGTTTGACATGACGGGACAGTTCGGGGTGAGTAGGGTTGAGCATGCTCCAATCCAATGCTTGTGCTAACAGAATGGCTTAGCCCTGTGTCGGTATTGCTCGCCTCAAGCGCTGGAAACGAGCGCAGCGCTTGGGTCTTAACCCTCCGATCGAGGTCCTCGCGGTGCTGTTGCAGGAGCAGGACAACAAGGACAAGATTACGGTGCAGCGATCAGTCATAGATGAGATTTTGAACTCGCGCAGTGAAATCGAGGCGTGAGGAATGGGCGGTCATGTGAAATCCATTTGAAAGATGTGAAGCCAGGTAAGGCTCACCTTGAAACACCATTTGCGCAGAACATTAGATATCCGGGAGACATGTCATGGGCGTTAGGAATTTTGGAACTTATGCAACGATCTGGGAAATTAGGACATGAGCGCCTCGCTACCGGTAGCGAAGTGTACGATATGCAAGGTAGCAATTCATGTACGAGACACATTACCTCCTTCCTGTCGTCAATCAGAATGCGTATGTTTTGCGAACACAATGAGCCCAGTCGGACCCGACGCAAAGCAAAGCCCCTCCATGTTGCTAAGGCGACTGCATGCTCACTTGAGCCGGGCTACATACATCATCACGCGGGGCTGGGCTACTGCGGAGGTATTCACAGATATGCGTAGCGCAGACGCCAATCTGATAGTGAGATCCCCACCAAAGCTAAAACGCATAGCGTACGTGTGCGTAGTGAGGTTCGCAAGCCCTGCGCGCGCAGTCCCGCTCGCGTTCGGAAGAGGCAGTCAGCTGTGCATGCTCTCGGAGACTTGGACAAAGGCAAGCCACACTTTCGAAGCAGAGGTGCTCGCAAAGGAAATCGCGAGCGGGATTGGGAAAATGATGTGTCGGAGGCCCTTTGTGTGCGGCGCCGGTGGTGAGGATAGGCGGGGTTCAGTGTGGATCTCGATGGTTCTTTGGGTGGTGGAGGGTGGCGAACGGGCTGCTTTGGCTGGATGGAGCGCGCGTGCTGTGGGGTTCTGCAGCACCTCTCGGAGTGCCATGCTGGCTGGATGCAGTTCCGCCTGGGCCCCGGCGACAGGCCGAACCCACCCTCGGCGGCAGCACTCGGCTAGCACAGACGTCGCTCGCCAGCTCGGGAGGCATGGCCGTGTTCTGCGCGGCGCTGGCGGTGCCGGGGAAGACCCACTGGCGTCGCTACAGGCGCAGGCTGTCCTGCGATCAAAGCGAAGCGGAAACAATCGATAAGGCTGCGCGCAGGTGGAGCAGACCGTTTATCGCGAGCACGTTCACATTGAAACGCTGACCCTGCGCGGTGGAGGCCTTGCTTGTGAGCCACCATGGCCACCTGCAAGCATCGGTCCAACCGCACGACGCCGTCGGTATGGGCTTGCAGCAGCGTGCATGGAGCTCGAACCGGACGGGCTGATTTAACGGCGCCTTGATCCATCAAGCTAGGGTGCGACCGATAGCCACAGGCGGGGGTCGAAGCAGCGTCCACAGCATTCCGCCTGTATCACCACCTCGTTGCTCCCCTCGATCCTTCTTCGTCCTCCCTTTCGTACCCATCAATTCACTCTCACCCTCACTTTCCCCCATTCACTGTCACCATGCTCGCCGTCGCTGCCGCCGTCGCCGCGCTTTAAACTCCGCGACTGCCACAAGGGCATCGCCCGGGGTGCTCTTTCCTCGCTCGCGTGCGCTGATCAACTCAGCCTCCGATCGCCAACGTTTTCATGCGGATAGCCACTCGGTTGTAAACTGCACGGCATCGCCTCTGTTGCTCGGTTTGGACCTCTAGATTCGCCAATTGCTCCTCCCAGCAGCGATCCGGCATCTCTCCACTCTTCCGTGACACTTTCACCCCGCACTTGCCATTCGGACGAACCGCCTACCCGGCACTCAGTGTCTGTGTACGCAGTTGACGGCACCTCTCCACCATTGGACTTGCCTCCCTTTGGACGGCATTCGAGTGCATTGCTTCCGTCTAGCGGTTCATCTTAGCCACTCATCGCCGTCCTTGCCTCAGCAGGTCGCTGCCCTCACGTTGCGTGCCTTCAACTGCACCTATACGTGACAGCCGCCGTCCGCTACCATGGCAGCCGTCGTCGCGAGAGCACCGCCCATGCCGGGTCGCTCTTCTACGCCCCCGCCGCACTTGACGCTGAATACAACCTCGCGGGGTACTCCCCAAGCCATCCCGAACAAGCACATTCCCGTGTGCCCGCCTGGCCCTGTGCCCGATCGCGGGCTGGTCACACCTCCTGCATCACCTCCTACCAAGGACAGCGTGATCGAGACCACGTCCATCACTTTCCCGCCGACAAAGTATGGCTGCGAATACTCGGAAGATCCTCCGATTTTCACCATCAATGCGCAGCATTTTGCAGAGGCAGTAGATCACATGGCGACACAGCCGCTACCTAACACCGAACACGTATTCCCATGGCTACACGGTCTGCACGCAGAGAATCAGGTTCAGTTGGCTTTCTTCACCAATCGTCGGAAGAGCGTTCGCAAGGTGCCGCGGTGCCTCCGAAGCCTCACAATCGTCAAAACGGGCGGAAACCTTGCTGCTTCCAAGCTGAAGGGTGCTATTGCACCCGACGAACTTCTTGCTCCGGGCGACACCAGATTTATTGAGTGCGACCCCAAGGATGGGTTTTCCGTTCGCAACTTTCAGATTCAAGCCTGTAAGCTAGCTACGGTCTCCGATATCATTGTGTACGGCGACACCAGGACCAGCCCTAGTGACACCATTGCCCTCGCGAAGCGGCTTTCCAAAGCGCAGCGACATTACGAAGCGAGGAACGGCTTCCCGCGTTGCTCATTCAATACGTTCATGCTGTCAGACCCTTTCAACCATGTGCAAGAACAGTACCCTCATCTAGTCGCCATTGACTCTAAGGGTGGCATGACGGGCAACGTCGTCGACTTCTTCTACTGGGAGAGGTACGAGATGTGCGCAATGTCGAAGTCATCTGAGATATCCGGTAATGTATTCCTTGGACCGACACCGGACCCCGCCCTGGACCCATCTTGTGTCGACCAAGTCTACGATGTACTCATCGAGGCGAGCGACATTGCACGCGTCCCAGATATGCCGACGTTACGGAAAGCCCGTGCTATGTTGGAGAAGAAGGATCGTAGAGGTCCACTTCAAATGGATTTTCCATCTTCTGGAAGCATCATGCCACCATCGTGGTCTCATGCTGAGGTGGATGGTCTGATGGATACCTGTAGATGGATATACGAAATGGCGAATCCGTCCGAGCTACGACGCTCCAAGCGCAAGAAGAGCGAGACAGACGAGGCTATTGAGTTAGACGACATTGCATCACCGAAGAAGATCCTGATACACTGCACAGACGGGTATACGGAGACATCGTTGCTCGGTATAGCCTATTTCATGTATGCTGAGGGTGTACCCGCGCATGAAGCTTGGGTTCGATTGCACCGGGATAAAGGCCGAAACTTCTTCGCTTACCCGACCGATGTCTCGCTTCTCACTCAGATCCAAGCCCGTATTCTTCAAGACTCGCCACGTTTTCAAGATAGCCTTTTCCATATCCAGGAGCCCCGGTGGTTGCCGCGCATTGACGGAAGTCTGCCTAGCAGGATTCTTCCATACATGTATCTCGGCAATCTCGGCCATGCAAATAACCCCGAGCTACTTCGTGAAATGGGTATAACGCGTATCCTCAGTGTGGGTGAGGCTCTCACCTGGCCGGACGATGTCAAAGAAAGCATCGATTGGCCGACCAAGAATCTCATGATGATCGACCGTGTTCAGGATAACGGTGTCGATCCACTCTGGGACGAGTTTGACCGCTGTCTGAAATTCATTGGTATGCGCCGACGGATCTGATATCAAATACTGGTGGCTAACTGTACGCAGAAGCAGGAAAGCAAGACGGAGGAGCTACCCTTGTGCATTGTCGGGTCGGCGTGTCTCGGTCAGCTACTATATGTATCGCCGAAGTTATGAACGAGCTGGGCCTCTCATTTCCAAGAGCATACTGCTTCGTGCGGGCGAGGCGCCTCAATGTCATTATCCAACCTCATCTTCGATTCACGTAAGCTACGTCTTCCCACATTTCCGAGGCGACGCTGACCAGGACAGGTACGAATTGTTGAAGTGGGAAGAGTACCAGCGTCAGCGACGCAACGAGCCTCTTCGCCGCGAACTAGAGTGGGCGACTATTGCGCGCGAGATCGCGCTGATGAACAAGCCGTACTCCAGGTAATATGTTCTTCTACATGTGATCTTCACTACAATACGAGTTACGATATCATGATACGGTAATGTTACGATTCACGGAAACGATATGCACCAGATTTGTTTGCCAGGCTACGACAATGGTCTTCGCGACATGGGATCATGGCCGCTGGCGCTGCGATCTGGCGTTCTTTCCACGCTGGACTGTTGGGTCCAACGTCCGGCTGGACGCTTCCACGCAAGGATGGGATATCCTGGATTCTCTTTTCTTTCTTCTCGTATCTCTTAATGTTAGTATTCTTCTACTTTCTTTCGCTTTCTATGTATCGTATCTTGTCGTTGCATCTGCGCATCTGGTTGCATGGGAACAGAGTTGGTGACGGCGAGGGTCGAGCGGCCTGCATCTTCCTTTCTGCTTCCCTTTTAGCAACTCTTTCTACATGTGTATTAGTCCGGATCTTGGGCGGGCACGGCATGGCGTTTGGGAATGGGTAGGGTGAGGGAGGGATAAGTACATAGGAATGGAGTTGGGATTACTGCATAAGTCCGATGGGAGTGTTGTGGTGTTTCTTTGTGATAAGTGACGTGTTGTTTTGATTTCGTCAACTCCGTGAGGTCGGCTTGAACTTCGAGAGGACAATTACATTGCTGTGCGTTGATCCAGACCCAACAAACTCTCGACGGACTGTCTTTCTACGCATGTGATGTTGCTGTTCGCGTGTACCTTCACCTGCAACTGCCATGCCCCTATCTGGGACTAGCGTTGTTTATGCCTACACTTTCTGTAGTTCCTAGATAGCTACACCACAGTTCAATCCCACAATCCATTCCGCTGCGTGCAGCACGTTACCGTCCCCCGCGACAGGAGATCCAAGTTCCCAGCCAAGTAGCGTAGAGTCACGTGGGCAATGATTACCCGGCACTCAGCCTGCTAACTGGGCCTCACACACATCGCTCGCTGCTCTTGACTTTCAGATCTCCCTGCTTGCTTCTACCACAATCAAGCCCGCAAGCGCTCCCTTCTGAGAGCATGCGGGGATGCCATGCGCCTTCTTAAATGCCTCCCGGACGGCGGCTTCGGGCTAACCTCTTTTGACGACGACGACTCCGTGACAAGTGTGCCGGAGGCTGCGAGGCATGTCGTGGCTCTTCCTTTTTTTTCTTATCTCTCTTACGCGATGAAATTGTCTGAAAGGGCAATGCCAGAGGTGTCTGCAATCGCGAAGAGATGTGTTTGTCTCACTATATAATATGCCTCACGCGTGGGAGCGATATCCGCTCGGCTACGCATCCAGCCCCTCGACTGATACTAAGAGATGGAAGGTGTAGCAGATACGGAGTGAAGTTACTCGTGGGATATAAGAAGCTTCAGCCATGCCCCCTTCTCAGGAAACGCCTAAATGCAATGCAAAATATACAAAGCTATGCAAATGTAAAAGATAGCAAAAAGGGCGACTAATCTGCAAGCTCTTGCGAGCCTCCCGTGAGCTCATTAGGCTCGATAATGCTGCGGTTTTTAGCGAATGCGATTGGAGGAACTAGAAGAGAGAAACGTACTTGTATCGCTTGAACAATGTGCCCTCGCCGCCCTTCTCCAGATCAATATTGAAGATGTAGTAGGTGCCATCGCTCGTGACTACCATGATTTGAGGCCCATCGTTCCGCATGGCGACCACGGACTTGACAGGGCCGGTGGAGGAGCTGTTGGAGTTGCGCGGTATCTTAACCCAGGCGAAGTCGCGCGACGGCTCCCACATCTCGGACACGGCGCTCGGGAGATACCCGCCCACAGTCGCAAAGACAGACTTTCCCACCGTCTGGGATGTCCGTCGTAGCATGCTGGCAAAAGTGGGATTCAACGGTTTGCGGTCCGGCTCCGAGGCCTCAGCTGTGCTACCATCGTCCCTAGAGTAAATTTCCGACGAATCTTCGCTGGCCCGGCTGCTGCTGCGGCCTCGCGACGATGCCGGCCTTCCCGACCCTGAAGAGGTGCTGCTACTCCTGTTCTTGTGTGGTACACCCAGCTTGAATATGTGCACGGTTTCGGAAGCGGAGGATACGCAGAGCAGCGTCGAAGCAGAGTTGAATGACATGCTGTAAATGCGTGAAGGTATGGAGCCACGTCGGAACTGGTAGAGTTTCTCTCCACCAGGCACCGAGAAGACTCGTATTATAGTTCCTTTCTCAGACGCCGTTGCCAGCAATGTACCCTCACTGTTCATGGCGATGCAGGATAGTGGTGAATTGTGGGCTTGTATGACATTGACGGGTTCCAGCTTTGTCGCATCGTATATCAGAACCTCGCCCTTGTCCGGCGCAGTGTGTTCGGGTTTGGGTGGGGCATGGGAGGGCGGGTGGAAGGGAGCGGGCGGCGCAGGTGAGGGTGTCGGGAAGGCTATGTAGTTGTTCTCCGAGGACGGGGAGAGAGCGCAGATGGCTAGTTGGTCAGAAGATATAGATAGGCAAGGTACATGCAGTGGCAGTGCATACCGTTAGGGTTCGGCGACGTAGGCTCAGTCTTGATCAATTCCAAGTTGCCAATGTCATAAATATAGAGCTCCGTCTCCAGCACGACGACAAGCCGCTTCCTGTTCAGGCGTATCGCGAGGATGGCAGTGCGGAACGTCATTTCGCATATGGTCGAGTGACGCTGGTACGTGTCAATAAGCGTGCCGTTCTCGCATGGAGCGGAACCTGCCTTGATGTTGTGGACTCGGAGGATGCGCGGCGAAAGCGTGAGTGCGACCAGGGACGTGGAGAAGAGCATCTCCAGGCTCGAGACATCGCCCTCGCGCGACTCGGATGTCTTGTAGAAGGAATCGGTGGCATATATGCGGTAGCCTTTGGTGGTACCTGACATCGTCGTGAGCAAACCGCCTCTCGCTGCGAAGCCTAGAAGCGCGCTATCTCACCAACACCCAGCTGGGTATGGTCCTGGTTGAACGTGACAAAGTTCATGGACGTCATGGCGAGGGCGGGCACTCGCTGTGGATGCGGGGGGAGCCTGCTGTCTTCGTAGAGCTCTGTTGGGAGCTTGGGCCGCCCGCGGGGTCGGTGCTGGTGCTGGTGTGGGCTATCGCGCGGTGCGTAGTCGTGGGGAGGAGGGTTGCGACGAGGGTAACATGTGTGACGGTGTGACGAAGAGCGCGCGCGCACTGTATTCCAGGATACGCGCCGCTTCTGCCTTCGCTGCCGGTGACCTCGAAGCTCACCAGAACGGCGAACCAGTGGCACTAGCACATGCCTTCGCAAGGATCACGCCCCGCTTGGAGGCCGCCATCTACGCTAGCCGGATTCAGCGACAGACGAATTTGTCGAAATTCCCCGTCGAGCTCTCCCAAGAACGTTGGCTTGGGCACGATTACGATGCAGCGAAAACCAAAGATGCAACCCAAAAAGGCCGTGAAGAAGGTGTGGAGCGCCCGATCGAAGCAGGAGAGGGTTGACGATGCTATCATGAACGTGAGTCACATGCCCAAGCACGACCAAGGAAACATTAGAAACTGAAGGCTGGCAGACAAATGATAGTAGTATTGTTTCGAAGAGAAGTGTGTGCAAGCTGTACATGCCACATGAACCGGACTTCTACGAACCATTCACCACCAAATTCATCAGAAGAAATCCTCTAATTAACCGCGGATACTGGCTGCGAATGCACGCAATCGAACAAGTGATTCGCCGATTTCTCGAGGAGGATAATGGAAGGTCCAAGGTCGTGGTGAATCTGGGTTGTGGATAGTGAGTAAGAATGGCCGCCCAGTGGCTTTGATCGGCAACCAACTCACAGTGCAAAGTGATCCCCTACCATTCCAGTTCTGGCACCGACACCCAGCGCTTTCCCAAAGTGCTACTTTCGTGGATGTCGACTATCCGCAGCTTATCGCGAGAAAACGTGACCGCATGCTAGGCAATGAGCTACTACGCAATGCACTGTTTGAGACAAACTTGTGTCCATCGCAAGCACCCATCTATGTCCGCAGCAGCCGCTACCTAGCGCTCGGCTGCGATCTCAGGGATCTGGAGACGCTGGATCGTCTACTACGAGCCGAAGTAGACGCTACAAACGCTTCATTCCTTTTTGTTGCCGAAGTGTCCGTGACCTACATGCCGACCCCAGACGCTGACTCGGTCATACGGTGGGCGAGCACCCTAGAAGATGGTGCGTATCACACCCAGAACCCACGTGCATCTTGCTAAGTATACTTTGCAGCTCGCTTCTGCCTGCTGGAGCAATTCCTTCCCCAGGGATCGGAACACCCTTTCGCACAAACCATGCTGAGACATTTCGTCAAACTGCACAGTCCCATTCATGCCGTCCAGCAGTATCCTCTCTTGGACCAACAAGTATCCCGGTTTGCAGACGCAGGTTGGTCACACGTGGAGATTGCGCGCAATCTGTGGGACCTCTGGTCGGACGATGGGTTTACACCTCCGGATTTGCGGCGAGAGCTTGATACGGTCGAGCCGTTTGAGTAAGCTAAACCCCCGTCTACGGGCCGCATCACACTGACCTTAGGTCAGCGAATGGGAGGAATACGCTCTATTTGCCGGTCACTACTTTCTCTTGGTGGCTTCAACGTCCAACAAGGGTATTCCCCTCGAGACAGATCGTGCCGTGCCAAGTGCCGGACCGGTCGACGTGCCGCTCAAAGTCCACCTGACACTGACGCACCACGCCCAATCTCAAATAGAGCTGCGTCGGTTCGGAGCTGCAGTTGCCCTTGGTGGAGACAGTGTTGCTTTTCACGGTGGACAGGGTGTCCAGACACGTCTGGCAAGCATCGACATGCTGGCACGGGACGTTCAAGGAACGCGCTTTCAGCCCTGCGAATCGACGCCGCCGCAAGCACGCATATGTCACACTGTCACACCTCTAAATGACACTTGTGCGTTGTTGGTAGGTGGTCGCGCATCTCCATCCCACGCACTTGCAGACTGCTGGTTGATCACTCAAGGAAACTGGACGCAAGTCGGCGACTTACCTTCAGCTCGCTTCAGGCACAGTTGTGTGAAACTGAATTTGCCATCTCAAGAGTCCGATGGCCCCGCAGTTGAGGCCGTTTTGATCTTTGGCGGCAGAAACAGCGATGGCACGGTATTGGACGAATGCCTGCTGTGGACACGCGAAAACGGCTGGAACGCCATCCCGGTTGACGGCCCGCGTCCTTCTGCACGTTTTGGCGCGGCACTGTCAGCGATGGGCGAGGCCCAGAGTTGGGGCGTTGTGTGTGGTGGAATGGCCCCCAGCGGCGTAGTCCTGCAAGACCTCTGGGAGTGGCACATCACTGCGGCGCCGTACCCACAGCTAAAATTCGTCGACCGCACCAGTCATATCCTGTGTAATACGGGAGTATCTGTATTCGGGCGGCTGGGAGCCAGTCTCCTCCCGCTTGGAGAGCACTTGCTGCTCATTGGGGGCGTTTCGAAGCAGGGTATCTTGAAATTAACGCAGGACGTCCTGGTTATATCACGCGACTGCACTGGAGGTGACACTACATACACTGTAGAAGTCCCGGCTCTGGACCTGCCTCAGCCGACCTGGCCTCTACTTGTGGGGACGAGCGCAGCTGCAGCGTCCGGCAATGAGATTATTCTCGCCGGCGGTGGGGCCGTTTGCTTCTCCATGGGGAGCTTCTGGAATACAGGCCACTTTTCAATCACCCTCCAAGGGGAAAAAGTGCGACCCTGGACCGTGGTTGTGTCTCAGTTGCCAGAGCCGAGCAGCGCAGGAGACCCACAACGGTCTTCTCAAGCTGATGGCAAACAATCGGCCAAGAAGAAGGGGGTCCGGCCCGCTCTGCCTCGCAGCATTGACATTGCTCGTATTCGCATCGACTCGTCTGAGGACTTTGCAAAGGTCCTTGCCGCTTCTAAACCTGTGATCATTGAAGGCCTCGATATCGGGCCATGCAAGGATCTATGGACTATAGACTACCTCAAGGAGAAGCTAGGCACAGAACGGGAAGTCGTGGTCCACGAGTGTGCTTCAGACCGGATGACGTTCAAGGACAAGAACTTCTCCTACGTGAAGAAGCCCCTGGGAGACTTCCTCGACGGCATCGCGGCCGGCGTCCAAACATACCTGCGTGCCGTATCATCTGCCCAACCCAACAAACTCCCTACCAAGCTCGAAGACGACTTCCCATCCATAGCAGGGGACTTCAAGATTCCCGAAGCCTTTGAAGTGATTAAGACTACTCTACACAGTTCACCCCTGCGCATCTCAGGCCCCGTAGCTCTCTGGCTACACTATGATGTCCTTGCGAACGTCCTATGCCAGGTATTTATGCCTTCTATATGCTCGCTCATCGTTCACTAACGTAAGCCTATAGGTACGAGGCTCCAAAACCCTCCATCTCTTTCCACCCGCCGACGCAAAGTACCTATCCTACCCTCCCGGGAGCTCCAGCTCTAATATCGATATCCTCACCTCCAAAGACACGCGTCTCGCCCGCACGCACCCGCATACCGCGCACCTGCGTCCTGGCGACGTCCTCTTTATCCCGCCCATGTGGAGCCACACTGCTGTCCCCGAGGACGGCGTGAGCGTCGCCGTCAACGTCTTCTTCCGGAATCTGGACACCGGGTACGCAGCGGGGAAGGACGTGTATGGGAACCGGGATCTGCAGGCGTATGAGAATGGGAGGAGGGATGTGGAGCGGATATTGAAGGCGTTTAAGACTGTTCCTGATGATATGGCAAAGTTTTATCTTGATAGGTTGGCGATGGAGTTGCAGGAGAGGGCGGATGCTGTAGGGAACAGTGCGCAAGGCGGAGAGTGAGGGGTAAGGCATTGTGAGCCTGATGTATGCAGTGTCCTGTAGAATTTATGTAGTAGCTAGACTGCCATTTATCCTTCGCGTTACACATCTGTGCATCTCCGTCGCACCTCGCATCCACCACTGCACCTAATACGGCAGGCTGCAGGTCGAATGAACGAACCATTCTGCTCTTCTGTCTGGCTTAGTAGGAACTCGGGATCCCGGCGTCTCACTACGCAAGCATTGATGATGCTGGCTTACCCCACGACCTCATACTTCGAATGTTGAACGCCCGATCCATACGTGCTTACCGCGCATGCTTACGCTTACTCTAGGGCTGTATAAACACATTAACACGATCCGCTGCGCTCACCATCATACTATTCTAGCCATTATATTGAAGAACAACTACCATGCACTTTACCACTGCTTTACTATCCATACTTGCCATCTTAGTCTCCGCAAAATGGTACGACCGGGATGCAAAAGACAGCATTATGCAAGAGCTAGGCGCGAACCTATCGCCCCACGCAGAGATGATACTAGAAAGCGACGACATGCTTGCCAACAAGACGAAGCCATGGCAAGCGTGGGCGGCGCCGCAGTTCCGCGCGGTTGAGTATCACGATATCGTGGAGACGGTGAGCACATTAGACCGCCTGTTCCCACGTAGCAAGACGAGCGCATTGCGAGAAAAGAGAGTATACAGTATAGCAAGAAACTCAGCTAACAACGCATGAAAGTTAGGTATCCTAATGCGACGATATTCCGTTCCTCGCTGTCTCCGGGACCCACGGCTCAGTCACCGCCGCCAGCGGCCTTCGGAAAGACATTCAGATTTCCCTGCGCCATCTGTACTCATTGTCCATCGCCATGGACGGAGACTCTATCACCGCACGCGGCGGCACCAAAGCGATATCATTGACACCCTGCCTCTGATTTGCAAAGGGCATGACAGGAAAGAGGTTTCTGGACCCGCGGAATGCAAACCGTGACCGGCGCTGGCGAGTGCGTAGGCCTCACTGCCATCGCGCTGGGCGGCGGCCACGGCTCCCTGCTAGGCTACTAGGGTCTGCTGTCAGATCGGATTCTGTCTCTGAACGTTGTTCTCGCAAGTTGCACACACATAACCGCATCAGCGACCCGGCACGCCGACCTATCCTAGGCGATGCGCGGGGCAGGCCATGATTTCGGCACTGTGACGAGCATGCGATATAGAATCTATCCTGTGCCTAAAGGGAAGGAGATCTGGAGCTGAGAGGTGTTTACACTGCCTGCTATGGCGGAAACTGTTCGCGCACTGTATACGATAGTGGGGGATATGCTGGACGAGCAGCCGCGCGAGATGATGCAATGCGGGCTGGTTGTCATCAAGCCAACGATTGGAAAGACGCTGGTTCTCATGCACATCGTTGCATTTAATGTGCCACTGAGCGAGATCAGGGAGTGGACGCGGAGGTATTACGAGATGGATGTTGTGGTGGCGGAGAGAAACGAGGGCACCTATCCGGATGTGCCCAGATGGATGTAAATTGATGCTGAGGGGCTACTGTAAAATCTCCAGGACTACATGCCTAGCGCGAGCGTGGTGGGGTTCCCGGTGGACGTGCAGGCGTATATTCTTAATGCGCTTACGTTTGCGGTAGAGAAGTTTGTAGAGATGACGATAGAGCTGGAGCTTGAATCGTGCGTCTTTGTTATCAACCGAGTTTATCTAGATGGTTGTCAGTAATTGCATTTGTGGCTCTGGTACAGATACGCACTAAGCTTTTTAAGCTTGGAGGCCCATTCATTGTGTGGTCAAGTCTTGTCAATGTATCATTAGAGCACTGTGACCCAAGGATCTCGAGGGATGTGAGTTTCGGACACGACACGAGAGAGTAGGGCACCATAGTATTGGAAATGCCCTCCTGTGGAACATTTTCTCGGAATGCGAGAATCGCACACTATGGCCCGCATCGGTCCCTAGTCGCCGGAATACCTACGCGTGGGCGTGCCCAGGTAAATTAAGGTCGAGCACGTGGGTATCTCCAGTTGGCACTTGGTCGAACGCGCCATCACGTGGCTTTCCCCGCGCCACGTTCCCCACTGACGTACTCGAGCTGCAGCCTGGGTTAAGCGCGTTAAGCTCTCTCACTCCACATTTCACACTCCTTATTCCACACTCCACGACACATCCGCCGGAGCCTCACACATATCATCTGAACCTGCATAAACAGAACTATGTTTCCAGCAAACAGCGCGGGCAGTCCGCTGGGCGCTGCGTCGCTCTCTACCTTCATGGCGGCTAGCTTGCCCAAAAGCACCGAGAGCAAGTTGACCAGCGCCTACGAAGCCGTTGCGCTGGCGGCTCATGCCGGCATGATTGCGGTAGGCTTCCGCCTTATCGGGCTGGGCGAGGACGACAGAATTGGTGAGTAATATTCTCTGCTTGTTCACGCCGACACCCTGTATTGACGCCTGATAGACGCGTCCGCAGACGCCGAGAACCCCCAACCGCTACCGACAGCTTGGAACGCCCACAACACATACGCCTTCCGCTACGCACACTCACAGTCTGCCCTCGAGTACATCATCAAAGTCAATCGGCTAGGAGGCAAAGCGGTCGTCTTCGGCCTCGGTGTAGGCGACGACAAAACCGCGACCTTCGATGTCGCCGTCAAGGACTACATCTCAGAGGGCTCCCTGCCCGTCTCAGTATCCAATGACACACTGGTGGAAGACCTGGCGAAAAGGCTGCAGGACGTCTTCATTTCACAAGGCCGCCTCTCCGACTTTGGCACCCTGCTCAAGCTGTCCATAATCCAGAAGCTGGCGCCTAGTCTGGACAAGGAGGGTTACGAGGAGACGCGCACACAGGACGAACGCGACGCCGGCCGCGTGCGCGAACAGCCGCGACAAGGCGAGCCCTCACAACCACGCCGTCCACCCGAGGATCCCGAACCCGCTCGTCCCTACCCGATCGTCGACCCGCTCGCGCAGCCCCGCCAGCCGGGCCGCCCTCTCCCTGAGCCAATGCCAGGCTTCGAAGACGAGTACGAGATTAATCGCCCACCCCGCGGGGGCCTGCGCGACGACAGACAACCCAGAGGTTACGGGCACGACGACCTCTATCCGCAGGGTCTTGGCCCACACGACCCTCTCCGTCCTCATTTTGGCGGTGGACTGCCGCGCCCTGGCGGTATGGGCGGCGGCATGCACCCCACCTTCGATGATCCAATGTTTGGCGGTCAAGGCGGTGGTCAAGGCGGATACGACCCTATGGTGCCGCCTGGCTCGAGATACGATCCGGTCGGACCTGGAGGCGCGCCGCGCGATAATCGAGGAGGCCCACGATTCCCTGGCGGAGGAGGCTTCGGGGGCCTAGGCGGTGCTGGCGGGCGGCCGCCGAATCCCTTTGGTGGGTATGGCGATGGGGATTTCATATGATCCTGTTCGGTAGGTAGCCAGGATGCTCAAAAATATAAAGAAAAACGTGGTGCGCGCTCAGAGTTGAGCGCTGGTGGGAATTCACGAACTATCATGATTAATGCTGTATGATTTAGACGAGGATTAGGGTGCATAATCCTGCTTTGTATACTCTCGAATTGGCATGCAAACCTTCCAGCTTGGAGCTAGAAACCTACTATGTAGCAATCAACTGGTTGAGAATGCCACGGTCGGGCTGCGACGCTAATACCGAGCACAAATTCATGCCCCTGCCAATCTCGGACTATCTACTTCGTACATTCGTTTCCCACTTCAACGCAAACACCCCTCCAACCCTCGACCCACCGCCCATCCTCCATCCACAACCTCACCACGCCAATGCCCACGCCGCCGCCTCAACCGCAACCGCGAGCCACAATCTCCATGGCGTTACGATCCAACGCCCACGTGGCGCCAATGCCGCACCGTAGCCGCCGACCTCGCCCGTGCTGCCGTTGAGGCGACTACGCCGCAGCGAGCCTTTGCGGGGTGCGGGGAGCATGTAAAGTTGCGGGAAGCCATGCAGAAGCGCGGCACGGTTGGAGGTTATCTGGACGACGTCGGTCGCAGGTCGGCGTGCGTGAATTGAGAACGAGACCTAGACTTATGTCTAGAGAGGTGTTGTAGATTTTAGGTTGTGCTCTTGGCGAAGATTCAAAACTTGGGTAGTGCAATGGCATCGTATCCCTCAGCCAAGCGCCTGCCGCTCACACAGATAAGTCAGCACAGCGGTCATCATCACAGACGGTTCATTGGGCTCTTTGATGATCGTCAAGTTGATTTTCCACGTGAGCTGTTTCGCAGTGAACTGTGGATTCCAATGGGCACTCATTAGCCAGGCGCCTGTCGCGGCAAAATTCTGCCGGCGATGACCAGCGTATATGCGACCGCTTGGGGATCGTGAACGATGAACTGTTCCAGGGCTTGCATACACGCGATGCGGTTCCAGGCTGCTGGATAAAGTGGACATATCTAGTGACGGCCGGCAGCGCACGCACTGTCGGCAGGCAAATCGCAAGCCTTGCCGTGCGCATTACATGCCGTTTTCGTGCGAGTCGCCGTACTTCGCATGTGTTCCGTCTCGCCTCGATAGCCGCGCAGTCCGGCTCGTACTGGGGACTCTGCGGCACAAAGGCAAGCGATATCAACCGCGACGGGGAACAGCCGGCGGCCTGATTCATTCATTCGCTGGGCCCCTCTCCGGCGCCGCGAGTGCCTAGAGGCTTCGCAAATGTTGCCCGCAGAGACGTCCCCCACGTTCGGCCTTGCAGTCTGCAATCCTATTCCACGAGCCGCGCGCGGCGATCACTTATGTTCTGCGCCATCAGTCTTGTGAGCTCGGCCGAATGTAGTGAATGCCCCGAAGTGAGATACCCCATATTGTGAGATTATCGTCGCGCAAGTTGCTTCCGTGCAATTCTAGGCCAGCGCTGGGGCCAGCAGTTCGGCGAGTGTTGCGGGAGGATTGATGATCGGGGAGGACAGTCAGTGGAGGCGATCTTTAAGCGCGGCTCGCTCGCTTCCTACAAGCGCGCTGCCTGAAGTCACCCGGAGCGGTGCGCTTTTGTGTGCGGGCGATCCGACTGCCTTGCGCTCGTCGCCAATCTTCTGGTGTAAAGCATCGAGGACTGATCTTCGTAGACCGATATTTAGATCGATTTGTTGCCTTTGCGCCCGGTGTGTATCGACACCGATCAGGTTTGGTGCAGTAGAGACCTGTCGTACCAGAACGCGTCCGCCGTCGTACAGCTGCGGGGTTGCCACCGCATGTTTGCCTGATAATGCATCTCAGGGCCTGGCGTTACTTGGTTACCGCGGTTCAACAGGTTCGAGAAACCCCTAGAAAGAAAGATTCTGAGTGTAGATTCCTTTTGACCATCCATTGGAAGGTGATTGCAGTGTCGAGTTCGACCAGCTCTACCTTGAAGTGCATTGTACCTCAAGCTATGATTCTTAGTCTACAGCTCTGACAGCGAAGATCTCGAGCCCATCCAAAGGAGGCAAACAGTGTAGTCGCGTTCCGATGATTGCAGTTGCTAGTCAAGAGAGAAGCATGCCGGAAACGGAAATCAGTCCGGATGGAGGCATCAGCCTGGGAAGAGAAATCAGTCCAGAGAGAGCATTCAGTCCATCCAACGGTGTAAGCTGTATTCTCGCGCTGCATACCCCCGAACAATAGCAGACGTCTGCTCAAGCCTTCCAGGTCCGTCTTCTCGGTCATTCGCGAAACCCCGGCGCCTAGAAAAGAGGCAAATGAACGGAAATAGAAGTGATCCACAGTGCCGTCACCACATTGCAGGCGTGTAATATCGGTTATACGGAACACACTTCGGCCCGTGATGGCTTCTTACTGCGACAATTGGCTAGCTCCGGCCATGCTGTGATTATGGGAACGCAAAGTTCATCGGTGAAATGATGATTAGGGCGTCTACATGGCCATTCAATGTAAGACGCCGCGATTTCGAGTATCCATCCCTGTTCAGCCCTTTGCAAGGCGGAGATTGGTCATCAGATATCTGTTTACCTAAATGTAAGTTCGGAGGTATGTTTGACCGATGACTCGTAAGGCTGCAGGTCAAGACCGCAGCGCATGTCGTCAGGGCGCAGCATGTTTCAATTCGGAAGGTTGTATAGCCCTACGACCATCAGATAGGTACCGCCACGACCACGGTGCATTCTTCCAATAACCTAATTCGATCCAGTGAGGCTGAAGAGAACCGAGACATGCACGCTGGGGAATCTGGTGTTTCAAGTGTGGTAGTAACCTTACTAAACTCGAAAGGGCGATTTGAGTAATATCAGCGCAAAGCTAACCTCGTCCTCTGTACAGCAGCGACCAGGAAGGGTGGCCACAGCTCCTCGTGAATGCAGTGCTTACTGTTCCTGCGCTCGTCTTTGGGCGTCGCACGAGCCTACTCTTAAGCGCCGATATGCGCCTACGAGATGCGCGGAACGCCCCGCAGTACCCCATGCCTGGTGGGACCCGTAGGATTGCTGACAAAAGATGCCAGACGATTCGTTAGATTGTGAGCCTCGTAGTATCTTGCTGACATGAGCGCGCGATTGCCAAGACTGCGAGCTCCAGGGAATCTCGGCCCTTCGGACATACTGGGGTTGTGATCCGCAATCACCAAAATGATCGTGTGCAGCCAGGCATCGACATGTCCAAGTGCCAAGTGGAAAGACAGTGCAAATTACTTGGTTCCGTGCGCTGAAGAAAGCTCTTAGATGTGGCAGTATCGTAAGAAGAAGGGATGTACTGAGCTTGACGTTAGTTTAGAGCTTTGTAACACAAGCGCTAAAACGAGTACCCAGTAGCGACGACGGCGCGGTGTGCGCCACGCGCGCGTTCCCCGCGGTAGATCAGCCAGGATATAGCCGCCGGACGCGTTTTCCGCCGGCTGCGCGCTTACACCCCGGCACGGAACAAGGCCGATCGCGATAGCCGTCTTGCGCGATGTTTGGCGAGCTTGAGTTGCGCTGCCGCGCGATAGATTGTTCCAGAGGCTCTTGCTGCATCTTCTGGAAACCCAGGTCCACAAGGTCGGTGAATCGCGTGCATCAGGGCACGCCTGAAATTCTTATCTACGATCAAGCGATTCAACAAGTAGACTTCGGTCGCTCATTACGACCGTAAGGAGTGTGCTCAGAAGTGAGCTCTTCGCCCCCAGTGTCGGACTACACGGGGAGCTTTCGGCAACCTTCCTGGTCAACAAGACGAAATGAAGCTGTCAACTGCTCGAAACGACCCTCTGCCGGGCGGGAGGTTTCAGGTTTTGCAGGCGCATTCGCGTTGCATGCTTGCTCCGCTCAAGACATCGAAACAGGCGTTGGATCTTACGATTGAAAGGATCTTACGATTGAAAGGCCACGTGTGATGGGCCCCAGCAGCCCCCAATGATGAAGAACGTGGAGAAGACACCTGTTCCACTTGCTTTGGTGAGAATTTTAACAGGCGTAAGCGTGTTTCTCGCGATCCTTCCGACACTCAGTACGTTCATGTCCTTACACGGCGTTGCTAGAGCCGTCAGTCATTACGGCAGTTTGATAGCAGAACAGCTACGTCACGGAGCTGAAATGGCGTTCCGCCCTGGAGAAGACTGCGACGTGAAGAGCCCCCAATGATAGATTGGCATGGTGTCTGAGTGAATCGTCGGCGTCTTTGCGCCTCGCCTGCCCCTGCACTACGGGCATCGAATTAAATTGTCCAAATCCACAGTGCGGTCGCACAGATGCAGGTGCTCCGGGGGGCCATGTGCAGAACGTTGAGCCGTTCCCGTTCAGGTCACTGCAGGGCTTCAGTAGACGAGCGTCATGCCCGGACTGCAAGGCGAGTGGTCACAGCGCTGCGATGCAGCTCGAAGACGCCCTGAGTTGAGTCGGGCACGGAGCAATTCCAATACCAGAGCTTGAAGGTTCTTATACCCAAACGGCCAAGCTGACAGTAATACGCAGTGTATATCCGACGACCAGTGAGCGCGGATGCTCGTTATATCAGTGGCCGGTAACAAAGGGTGGGCAGCGATTTGCAGGCCATCACTGCCCAATAAAGAAGGCGGGGCTCAGAGCTGAACATGCGCCCTGCTGTGTACCCTCCGTGATGCAATGGGCTAGAAGGCCCAATCTCGAACTGCGACGTGAAAACCGAAAACGACCGGTGCAGGTGGGGCATGTCTCAGTTGACGGGTGTGGTCGACTGGCAGTGGTGGGACACTCTTCTTTCAATGATGCACTAGCCGGAGACTCAGTGCCGAAGAGAGAGATGAGGGACGGTCCGCCAATGCGGCGATGATCGAGTAGCCCGCATACCCGTACAGTCATGTGCTTTCGCCCGGCAGCAGACAGCCAGCAGCCCGTCTTTGACAACTTCGCGTCAATGGACAAGCGGGAGCGCAGGAATGGTGATAGCCGGCAACGGTGAAAGCCACCAGTGAAGATTGCACGTTCTCCTGGGGGCAGACAAAAGCAGCAGCTCGGCGCATGCGGATCCACGCAGTCGGGTTAGGCAGCATTGATTGCCGTGTACAAAGGCCAGCCCATGGTGGACGCTCGAAGCGGAACAAGACGCGCTAGGCGTCAAAGCGCATTTGAAATTCGCAGCAGATAAGGGGTTAGCGTGGCGCGTGCCGGTGGTGAATGTGGAGGGCATGTGCATCTCTCGGGGAGTGAAGGTCCCTGCCTGCCGCGGACGGACCGACCTTGTGCTGGCCCGCAAGCGAGCTACCGACGCCCGCGGAACGACGTTAAGCTTCGCAATCGCAGGACACGTTGTGTGAAGGCTACATGAGTGCCGCAGATCTATTCCTATTGGACCCTCAAACAGACGCTGCCGTGGATGTAACTCAGCGTCTGCGCCTCCTTCGTTTGAAAGGGCGCTCGTCGGTCTGCAGCACGCACGACATGCTTTGCAACAGCCGCCCCGCCGCGCTGCTGCGGAACTGCTAAAAGCGACACCGCAATATAGCCAGCACAGCAGACGGTGCGTCTAATAACTATTGACGGGGGATGGGCTGGTGGCGACGTTTGCCGTGCCGTGCAGACGTGCATGCATAAGCGCCAGCGCCCAAAATGCCCTCACCCTACTGGCTCTCATATGCGCTTGAGCAACATCGCGCATCTGCAGCAATCTGCTCAGACAGAAGGTGGTCCGCGACCCTTGCTCGGGGGGCGGGTCGCGCACGCTGGGCTGACGGCTGACGTCCCGTACGCGCGCTTGCACGCGAAAGACATTGTGTATGGACGACGAGCGCGAGCCTGCCTGTGTCTGTGTCAGGCAGCATGGACCGCCCCCGCTGTTGCGCCCGAGCCGTTTGTTTGCAAATCTTGCAGGGTTGCTTTGGGCCCTGGTCGTCAGCATCACACTCACGGGCTTGATGTACCTCCGACTATGAGGGGGGAAAGGACAATTGCATTATGACGATGCTACAGCCGAGTGGCTCTAAGTCGCTGTTCCTGTCTACCTTTGACGCCGCGCATGCTTCCTTGCCTGCCAAGTCACATAATAATTCCTCCCATGCGCTTTGTTGTAGCGTCCATACCCTACCAAAACGCCTGTAGAAAAAGTTCTCAATCAACGAGCCCTCCCAGACCTGATATTGTTCAAAGCCCATGGGGGCTGTGGCCAAAGTCTGCGTTTGAGAACCGCGAATAGCGGGCTTCAAACACGCCTCCATCGGCACCCTGTTGATGTCTTGAGCCGAAAAGGCCCTGCTCGGCTGGGTGGAAGCCAGTGTACATTTCCGGCTGCGGCGAGGGTAGATAGGACTGCGGGAGAGCGGGACTGGATTGCATTGACCGGCTCCGTGCAATCAAGGTGGGCACGTCAATTTCGTTGCGTCTCGGACAGCCACCCTGGACATCATGTCTGTGCCTGACTTAGTTAACTAGGTTTCGGTTTGAGTTCTGAAAGATCATACCTGTTGAGTGTATCTTTGCGCGCAAATCGCTTGCCACATAGCTCACATTGATGAGGCTTCTCGTGCAAGTGAACGCTGTTGATGTGGCGTTGAAGATCTGTCTTCCTCTCGAACTTGTTGTCGCAATCATCGTAGGTGCAACGGTGATCTCTTTGACGATTAGGATCATGGCGCAACATGTGAGTCTTCTTGTTGTATGCGCGGACGAAACCGCAGCCACAGATCTCACATCTGAATTTTGCCTCTGCATCAGGGACCTTGGTTCGACGAGAATGCTTACGACGAGCAGGAGAGATCTTACTGTCGCTTTGCGAAGATCTGGGGCGTCTGCTGTCAGGGGAAAGTTGCCCTGTAAACTCGGCCTTGTAGGAGGGTCCAGATGTGCTGTCACTCTCGTAGGGAGACATTGGGGACCCATATGCCCCTTCGTATGGTGTAGCGTTGGTCAGCCGCTCCGGTGCAACTGTGGCGGAGAATTCATTGTCGGCAGCCCAAGGTGCACTGCTCTCCATTTTGATGGCAGGGAAGCTGTGCTCTGAGCCATCACCTGAGAATACAGACATCTCCCGATGTGATGATGTGGACGATCGATGGGATGAGTGGTATTCGGGCCACAGCATGCTCGATCTGTTGTCGGGGCACACTGGATGATCGTATGCTCCAGAAGTCCATGGGTTGACGATAGGCGCCGAGGGCATTGAGGACGTGCTATTCCAGTCCTGGCTGGGTCGTGAGGACGAGAACATAAGTCTGTCTGCGGACGTAGGGAACGCCTGAGAATATTGATACAGCCCTAGTCCATCAACTGGATATCTTGCTGGTTCCGTATCGCTTTGAGCTGGAGAAGGATACGCAGGCGACTGTAGCATGGAGGCCGAGTTGGATACTTGATTGAAAGGCGTCAAAGGCCCTGTCTGGTCTCGAGAGTTCATAGAGGTGGACAACGATTGCACTGACACTATCGTAGTGCAGTGTGTGGATGTGGAGGTGTAAGTAGTAGATAAAAGGCAGTAGTACAAGCTGTGGAAACAAGTATGAGTAAAGCTTGGTGAGTGTGCAGGCAATGGGCGTACGAGGCACGGGATATATCTGAAGAACGGGCTAGGTACAACCCTGGCAGGCTCGAAGAGAACTACGTTTTGGTACTACTGAGGCGGTGCGTCTACTAGCATACCCAGATAATGGGGACTGAAACGTGAGAGTGTGAGGCAGATTCGGAGATTGTACTGAAAAGAGGCGGCGCTGCCAGACCAGGCATGAGCAGGCGCTTGCCGCCCGCGCATGTTTTCTGTGCGGTGCGCGCATGGGGCCGTGTCTTGTTCAGGGCTCAGAGCTGTACAGTGGGGACATGCACACCAGCAGGGATCTGGGCTAGGCGTTGACCGACAAGGGTAGATCCTAGCAATTGGTGGCGTGTGGGTCGTGTTGTGAACTCATCCAAGCTCTCGGGAGCGCCCGCGGGCCGAGCACAAATCATACGAGGGTGCACCGGTGACATTGACGCGATGAGCACGACCCCTGCGCTTTGATGTCTACTGTGAAATAGGTCCAATTGAAAGAGGCTTCGATGGGCTGCGCAGATCGCGAGTGATAATCAGCCCGTAGGACTCCGCTTTGTATGCTGCCATATCTTGTCAAGAGGTTCAGCTTTGAGGTCGCTTGAACAAGGAGGCCAACGCACATTATTTGATGCGACGCGCTGTATGGTCTGGATGTAAGACATCCACGGCTCGCTATCAAATTTGCCCTGTCCCGCTCAACAAATGTTTTATTATGATATATCCTCTGTTTTACCGGGCTTGAATAGGCCAAGCTTGGGGGTGAGAGAAGCTCACGGCTTGGAGAAATGGAAGCCATGGCCATTAAGTGGCCACGGTTGCTTCGCGCTGCTCTTGCAGCTGTGACACGATGGACGTGAGTTCCTCGACCTGCATGCTGAGCTTGGAGACCAATATTTTTAGTTGCTGATCGGGGTCTGTTGGTCCATCTCTAGCCCGGGGTGGACAGAACTCGGGTGCTCTGCCTGATGAACCGTTGCTTCCGCCCGAAGAAGCCCGAAAGCCTGCAGCTAATGATTGAGCAGGCTGGATAGATGACCGAAAGAACCCTTTTCTTATCCTTGCGGCTTCGGGTCCAGTCATTGACAACGCTCCAGAGTTACGCCCCTGGGAACTGAATAGTTGTTCGTAAGTCCATATGGCTCCCACAAATGGTAGATGAGTTGCTTTGAGGATGACAATGCGAGCACTCCGTAGTCTCTCTGAAGGCAGTACTAGCCTGAGTGGACGAAGGAGAAGCGGGATGAGGTTCTGGGTGCCCTTGTCAGCCTCATGCTAAGGTCGAAGACAGGGCAAGGAGTCTCCTTGGACACGTGGAAAGCTTTGGGGTTTGAGAATCTGCCTGAGCGGCAGTTCAAGGCTTGCACCAGGGAAACTGGTCCCCTTGCAAACCCAAACCCCACAAACCTGCCTTTCGCGTCAAGATGACGGCCAGCAGCGGGTGGGCCAGAAAACTTCTGCTGCGGCAGAAGGCTATGTTGACTGGTGGGTGCCGGCGCTTAATTCCGTTTCACACGACCGGAAGCGGTTTAGGGCGTGATGACTTACCAACGGTGGAAGGTAATATGTTAAGCGATTTGACGAAGACGCTTCAAGTACGTAGACGGAATAACTGTCGCATTTGTGATTAGTATTCTTGCATCATAGTAAGTTGCATATCGACGTACATGAACAAGTATTCGTCACGTGCATGGTCGAGCACCTGCAAACGTTAGCCTTCACGTCCCGCTTGCCTGTGGGCTAACTAAGCCTAATGAAGATCATCGAGAAGAGCTCTAACAGCCCCAAGACAGATGCCTCAAATCCAACAGCTCGTCTACGCGGCAACAGCCTTAGAGAGACTGCGCAAAACTCATAGTCTCGCACTGTAACAATGGTGAAGTCGATGGTAACCCATACTGGCTACTGCGACAAGCTGACTGCGGCTGGGGTGAGGCGGTGCTGCCGCCCGAGTGGCTTCCCATAACGCCGCCATTAGCGCACATGAAGGCGCTTAAGTCAGGCGGTCTTTGTACTTGGCCAGCCGGACATGTGGAGATTCTAAGAATTATCCGACATACCTTGCTTAAGCTGTTGGATAACAGCGAAACCAGCGAAGTGATTAGAAGGATGTTTGTTAGCGCCACAAAGATGAGCTATCAGGCTGGTTAGCGAGAAGCAGACATTCAGGGATCGACAAACAGACCATGACGGGCGGACCAAAATATGGAGATCTTGCATGATTGTCAGTTTGCGTTTCATGCTCTCGAAGCGTTGCCCTACATCTGTTGCGCCACGTCCTAGGATGATCAGTCAATAAACTCAGCCACTGTTGCTTTCATTGATGCACTCACAAAGCCCAAGTACGAAGAACCAAAAAAGACCTTGATGAGTATCCAGCTCTGCGATCTCGTCAGCTCGGAGGAACTTTGGTCTGCATTGATGGTACCGACCATTTCGCTGGGTGTGTAAGTTCCCCTTGCGAGTAACACAAACGTGGTGAGGAATCCTGCAGGTCCAAAAAGTAAGCCATGGACCTGACAACTCGGCATCGGAATATTCGCTGACCAAGATACAGGATGACGACAAGAGACAAGAATTTGACAAAGTCTTTCGTCTGTGTCAACCGGAATTAGCTCATCCGATCTGGCTTAGCTACTGATCAACCCACTGACCATCTCCTTGAGGCATGGGATCTGTGAACCAAGTCAGTCAACTCACACAGTCACTGATGGGTTGCGACAGTGCAGATCATACCAACGTCCCGAAATAAGGATTCAGACTCAGTAGCGCAAAAATGCGAGGCACGAGGAAAAGAGCTTCTAGGCCGAGAACGTCGTACGCAAGGTCTAGGGTCCCGCGAGAGGCTTCCCCCTTTGTAGAGAGACCCACGATTCCTGCGCACAAAACGTGAGCAAAGACACGCTCTGTTTTGATACTATGACTTACGAAGTGCACAGAACACGATGCCAATCAGGACGATGCTCTATTCCCTTGTCAGCCGCGTTCGGATTCATGGCATCTACTCACCAGATCCCACGCTCCCCAAAGCCCGGCCGTATAGAAGCTCACTTGTCCCGCGTCATGAAACTCTCCGAACTCATCGTAAGCGAATCCCGCGATCCAAACATAGAGCAATGCCTCGGCGGATGTTACGTGAGAGGAACTCCGATGGGTGAGGACAATATAGTACAGGATGAGGAACATCGCGAAGTAGAGAGTCTCATAGATCTTCAAATACCTTGGCACTCGAAGGCGGCAAACTGTACAAGACAAACGATGTCAGCAAAAGCAAGATGTTGGAGCCATCCTATGTACAAGGGTTCAGAGAAAGTGGGTGTGTTCGCGGGCATGCAGGCGTGAGTGTTAAACGCTCGAATTAAGCCGCCTTGAGACTACAATGTGATCCACGTCTCCGGCTGGAAGAGCTCATCGAGGCAGTGCGACACGGCTTCTGAAGATATCATGGGAGACACTCACACGGATCGGCTCTGCGGCGGTTGTAGAGCTTTGGCTCCTTCACTGAGTTCACTCCGAGAGTATCCCAGAACACGATGTCACCCTGAGGTGAGGATGGTAAGGACTCTGCCAGTTTGGAGATTAGGACTCACTTACCCTCCACAAACCGTCGATGATCTTCTGAACGGGGCGCTGTCTGAGGAACTTCTTGCTATCCGACACGGCTGCAATTTCCAAGGCACTCAAATTCTCAAACTGGGCGGTGAATTCGTCGATCTGGCCTGATGAAGCCATACCGCCATGAACGCCATCCGTTCCAAAGTATGAAGAGGTACGTCCATCATCAAGAAGTGCGCTTCTTTCAGTAACAGGCGCAATCCCATTCTCCTGCTCACGCCCTATATCCGAATCGCGGTCGCGAGTCGATGCGGACGGCTGTATCTCATGCAGGAGGAAATCTATTGTGTCGCGCTCGGTGAGGTTGGTCAAGAATTGCCAGGCTACGTATTCGCAAGCATATCCACGGGCTTCGTTAACGCCAGGTTCGTCGCTCGATTCTTCCAGCGCGGCAAAGTGGGCCTTCAAGGCTAAGAGTGCGTGCACGATAGCTCGGTGGTGACAGCTTTCGGTAAGATATAGAATGAGGGGTGTCAAGGTGCGTGCGGATGCTGCGGTGCGGAGCTCTTCGAAGCTATGGGGGAGTGTGATGGCCTCGACGATGTAACTATAGCCTTGCGATTAGCACGGCTCTTGCGATACGATAGGGCAGACCGGGTCGTCGCGAACAGCAGCTACATGAGGTGGTGCATGGAGCAGTTGTTTCGAATTACGCACAAGGAAAGTTTTCTCACAAGCTCTCCCAAGTCGTCGGTTTCGTCAATCCGTGGCACGTCTATGTCCTGGGGACCTGCGTGCCATCGCGGCATAGGTGACGGAGACATGATGTCTTACGAAGAACGGATGCCACCCTCCACAGTGTGCGATTCGACACTGGAAATCTTGCAAACGTCCTGTCACGTATTCGTTCAAATGGTATACAGTGTGTTGGCGATCGTGCCAAGCTTGATCCTTCTGGACGCGATGACGCTAGTCCGCCGCGGCTTCCCCACATCACGTCCGGCGTCCGCCATGAGTCAGTGTTCTCTATCTCTCCCCTCACACACTGTCTCCAACCCCAATTGCTCGCCTTGATCCACTATCCTTGCTAACAACTTCACGCACTGACCCTTCAGTTGCCTTTCATTCGCCACAGCGCATCTTGACCCACAAGTATTGGTCGAGCGTACCTTCCATCACTGAGTTTCGCTCAGCATACCATGTTCGTGGATGCACAGAATTCTGCTTGCTTCACATGATGGCCCATGCTGCCGATTTCCATGGGGACCAATTGCGACTGAGTGCATTTCTTCGGGTTATGGGAAAGGTGCCTGAACGACCGAAACGTCTTCGGCGAAACAGGCAAGCGCAATGGCCACTAACGGATGAACACGATCCCGTCAGAGGAACTCACTTTTCGCTCGCAATGCCGGCACTAGCGGTAGAACCAGTGCCAGATGATAGCGCAGGCCTACCCGACGATTCCATGCCGGAGCCTGAGTCAGGTGGTAGAATACCCGCAAGGTTAAATACGGCCAAGGCCAACAACGTATCACAATCTGTGTCCGCATTAAGCGCCAATGAGCCTTTGGATATATATGCGCGAAAAGGTTCGCATGCGGAGCAAGTAAATGTACATACTCCCAAAGCATCGTCAGCGGTCAAACGAAAGACCAAGGTCATCTACACCGCCAAGAAGAAGCAGATGAAGCAGCCCTTGGGGATTCTAAACGCCCGGCAAAAGCATCCACTCGTGTTTGTGCGAGCGTCGACGGAAGATGGTCTGCCTTTGCCTGGTGTAAGGACTTGAATTTTGGAGCCTCCAAAGAATGCTAGATACGGCTAATGATGCTGTGACAGGATGCAGATGTCGTGTCGGTCGGCTTGATGGAAGAGCTTGACCCCATTCAGGATACTCAGCTTGGCCGCCCGCCGGCTCAGTTGAACACTGTACGAGTTGGTTCTCACGTCAGTCCATTGAACGTTTCGAAGCAGTCCAGGTTCGTTCCCACGGCCAAGAATGGCCCGCAGCAATCAAAGAGATCAAGACTACCTGTAGATCGTATCTTCACTTTCTCGGACGCTCAAGCACCCAAGCGTCGCCACGGACGCCTTCGATTGCCTAGCTCAAGCTCGCTATGTGATGGGTTCGAAGGCTATGAATTGTTGATTCCGGCGCCGAAAGTGCACAGCCGAGGACGGCAAAAAGAGAGACTCGTGGGTATGTGAAGATACCCTAATTGGATTCACTACTGGATTACACTACATTTTTTCAACTCCAGACCCCCTCCCGTTCTACACTCGCAGGGCCACCGTTTCGTGCACCCATCAATTCTTTGGTTCGACCCGCGACTCTTACTTACATGTGTCCTTCCGATAGGTACGCCTAAAGCAGGAGCGAATGCCGACGAATCGAGAGGTGGGTTAGAGCTAGCGTCTGGATATTTCCCAGTGTCTTGTCCGATCGAACCTAAGTTATCAAAATCAAGCGGTACTATGTTGACCGAACATGGCTCTCAACTGGAGCTTGTACATCCTTCGGTTGAGACTGATTTGCGGAATTTTCGACACGATTCCCTTCCACTTCACCTTTCCGTCGAGGCCACTGTCCGGAGCCAGCTTGCCGGCATTACAGCTCCGTTGCGTGAAGAAGATGAGTTCCATTCTTCCAGCTTCGATGAAGGGTTGAATACATATCTCAGTCGGTGGGGCTTGGAGGAATCTTCCAGAAGCTCGGACTCCGGAGAGTCCGACCTACTAAATTCAAGCTCTGATTCAGATGGGGAGGAGACGGACTACTTCGGAGAAGCCATGTACAGGATGGACAACAGAGATGAAGGGGATTTCTGGTCACAGTACCCAGGACTCGATTGAGAGGACGGGAATTGTTGGCAAGAGACCCTCAATGTGAGTAGCTCCCAACTAGGATTCACCTGAGGCACAAATACTAACAAGTCTATCGAAGAGTACATATGCAATGAGCATTTACCAGAAGCATATTAAACAATATGTCCAATGCGGATGCGCACGATGAGTAATCAGCACCGCAGCATCTACCATATGCAATTTATTACCAACGTATGTCATCAGCTCGTCGAGGCAGGACTCGAATTATTCACCGTTCCGACACTCAATAAAGTAATTATAAATTATTTAAAAAACGTGAAATTCTTTCCGAAGCAGTGAAGGCCTGTCGGAGCCGACATAATTTCACTTAGTTGGAGAACGTCAACAGGCCCCCGACATCAGCACCGTACGCAAAGCTGACTTCTGGAGATGGTTCTGGAGGAAGAATAAACGCCCTACATGTAAGCAATATTGAATCAGCAAAGTATTCGGCATTTTCAAAACTCGGAGGCTTGAATCTGTCCGCAGAGGCCGCTGAGAGCGAACGACCGATTCCCGCTAGCCGTATGTGGCGATCGCGCGGCTCGCGCCTCTGTCGGAGCAGGCAACCACCGACCCCGAAGGCCCGATGCTCCTAGTATCCTTGCTCGCGACGTCAGAGAACAGGGGTTGAATGCACGAAATGTGCCAGTTCAGGAAAGCTTCGCTTTTACAGATGTGATTGTGGCAGATTAGGCCTTCCAGGCTTGGATACATAAGGGAGGGGGGCTAGGGCTGGGCAAAACTCACATAATCTTCTGAGCACTCAATACTACTTATTCAATTGAATAGGGATATATCGAATACCCCATTCTACATACTCTCGATCTTCAACTTCGAGAGTCATGAGCACACAGGTGAGCAGCTGCAGTTCGGTTGGGAGTTCCAGAACGTTGTGCGAAGAGCAAAATTGGCCTATGTGATGCCTTTTCTAGGACAGCATCCAAATATTCTTCTCACTATCTGCGTCAAGCAACGTATTCGTACTGAGCGCGAAAACGCACAGAATGCTAATAAACAGCTTCAGTCAACATCAGGTCCCTATCGGCCCACCACTTGGGCCCTTGGAGGAGTACCTAAGAAGAATGTCGATATCCCTGTTACAGCAGTTTTTCTGTTCTTGTATATCATTGGCGCAGCGACACATATGACAATCTTTCAATACAACAAGCGAAGAGGGCATAAATTTCTGTTCAACGGGATGATCTTCGGTGAGCTATGTGCCCGCTCTAGTTGAACCATTCACTGACTATCTTGCCAGGTTTCTGCATGGCACGAATAACAACCTGCACCCTGCGCATCGCCTCCATCTCCCTCCCCACCAACATCCGCCTCGCCATCGCCGCCCAAATCTTCGTCGCTGCCGGCATCCTCCTCATCTTCATCATCAACCTCATCTGGTCGCAGCGCATCCTGCGCGCACATCACCCCCTCGGCTGGCACCCCCTCGTCCGCTGGGTCTTCAACGCCCTCTATATCGTCATCATCTTCACCCTCGCTATCGTAATCACCGCCGTCGTTCAGAGCTTCTATACCCTGCGCCCGCGTACAAGGACTATCGATCGCGCGCTGCAGCTGTATGGCCAGACGCTGTTTGCCGTTGTTGCGTTTCTGCCGATTCCGATTGTCGCGCTGGCGCTGGCGCTATCGCGTGTGGGTAAGAGAGAGGTCGAGACGTTTGGAAAGGGCCGGCACAGGACGAAGATCGCGGTGTTGATGGCGGGCGCTACGCTGTGCTGTCTTGGGGCGGCTTATCGTGCGGGCGCATCTTGGATGAGTCCTGTTGCGCTGTCGCAGCCGGAGCCGGCAAGGTTCTATAGGGGGTGGTTCTACTTCATGAACTTTGGGCTGGAGATCCTGATTGTGTATATGTATGCGGTTATGCGGGTAGATCTGAGGTTCCACATACCGAATGGAGCGAAGGGGCCGGGCAGCTATCGGGTTGCACGCAAGAGCGAGGGGGATGTTGTGGATGTGGAGAGTTTGCGCGCACAAATGACAAGGAACAGCGTGGAGTCGGAAAAAGAGGAGGTCGACGAAGTCTAGGTAGTTGTCTCCGGAAACATTGATTTTGTGCAACGAGAATTGAGCGAGCATAGGGATGGCGTTAGGATTGAGCCGACTTTCAGGTCAGGCATGCATCTGTATTATAACTTAGACAACAGCATTGATAGACTTCACTAGGAAGACGTCCAGCACTCAGGATAATTGACAGCAACACCTCTCACACACACAATCGCATGAACACTTTGAAAGACTTATTTCACTTATGTAACATTGCTATTCATCAATTCGTCATCGTGGTATCATACTCATCTCCAGAATGTCATGCGGTTCCCAATCTCGCTCAGCATCAACCCCGCTGTAATCCTACTCCGTGCCGCAGCATCCTGGTTCTCCTCCGCTCTCCGCAACATATACAACAAGCAGTCCTCCAGCGAACCCCACACACTGTACTTGTACACACTCACATCACCTGCGTTCACTGCCCCATCCATGCTCTTGATTTCGCTCGCAAGCTTCATCGAGATCTCATCTGCCATACCCATCAGCTGCGCAAACACGAGCTTCTGCACGGGCTGCTTTCCGGTCGGCCGCGAGCGGAAGAGAGACATCGCGGTGTCGACGCTCTGTGTGTTGTGTGTTGCGAGCATGACCTCGGCCGTCCAGGGTTGCGCCGCCGTGGTGTGTGTGCCGCGGAGGAGCAGGTCGACGGCGGAATCGTAGGCGTTGTCGGTGTCGGGCTTTGTGTCTTGTATGATGCCTGCGCGATCGGGCTCGACGTAGATATAGGCGCCGCGGACGAGCTTGATGCCCATGGTGTAGCCTTTGGAGCTGGCGATGTTGAGGTGGGACTTGAGCTTGTCGAGGGAAGCTTTGAGGTACCTATGCGACTTAGTTGTCGAAGTCATGAAAGTGGAGGGTAAACTTACATCTGGTAGGTGTTGAATACCAGAGCGCTGCCATCAGTGTTGTATTTGGCCATTGCTTCCAGTGTGAGGTAGTCGATCGCAGGCTGGTGCAGCGACGACTCAGCATCCACCATGACCTTGACACCGCGCTGCTTTGCAAACTCGCACACCTCGAACATGCCCTCTTTTAGAGCCTTCAAGCCATCGATCTTGCTGGAATCCGTGTACTTAAAGTTCTGCATAGCTTGCACAGCTTTTGCGCCCGCTCCCGTGAACTTCACCGCGATGTAATCGCTCGAGCTGACCTGGGCGATGGTCTCAATATTGGACGCCACCCAGCTCTTCAACCCAGCATCTTCCTTCGCAGATGTAGAGTTTGTTTCATTACCGTCCAGCTTCGCTTCGCGTGCAAAAGAGAGGACTACGCCATTGATGCCCCGAGATCGAAGAGTGGCGATGTTCGCGGCAATCTCGGACTTGGACTCGCCGACACAGAACGCCTTGTAGAAGGTCCGTCGTATAGGCCATGATAGGATACGTGATGAGACAATTGCGCTGCTGTGTCTCCGGACGAAGCCAATGATTGCTGAGAGGAGAGGAGCTGGGAGTGCGGCTACAGAGAGGACGGATAGTGTGCGGACCAGGTCGGAGAGTGGTAAATCCTTGAACACTCGATTCCGTGGTTGTCTGTGTACCACGGGATGGGCAGATGTCTCTTTCCGGCTGAATGGTGAGGTGACAGGTGTGGTAGTCATCGGCGCACACGCATTAATGCGTGGTACACTCAAAGGCCGCGCCCGCGTAACTATTCGTGAAGGCATATTGTGAGTAGAAAGATAAATGACGAGCGAAAGAGAGCATTTGGCCTCCTCAAATATGTACCCGTGACATGTTGCGTAAACCATGATGCTATTTGCAACCAAAACATGAGCCGACGGAAGCCGCAGGTGGAGAACGATGTAGCATGCGCGCTAACCACGGTTAGACAAGTCGAGACCATGGTTCTCCGGTTTCGCCTCCAAATTACGCTGTGAAAAAGCATGCGTCCCTGTAATTCTATTCCAGTATTGTCTGATGCGTGGGGAGGTAACAGATTCGTGCCGATAGCGGACAGTGGATTCCTGCGCCTTTCACCGGTACTCGCGCAGCCGAGTTGCAGAGACTAGTGTGGACCCAACGCCGAGCAATCGCGTACTACCAAACTAGGCAATCGAGACACTTCTTCGACCTTTTGTTCGCGTGCGGCTCGCAGAACATCGGCCGACAGCAGGCACCCAGCCTCGATCCTCTGGAAAATATCCGCTGTGCTTTGCACGTATCGCTAACAACACATTTTCAATCACGTATGCTTTGGAGTTCACTGGATCTCGGCTTACCAGCTCGGCTTGACACTTCATTGAGGGGTACAGTCGTGACCTCCGGCCTTGAATCCGTTAGGTAAGTAAGACAACGCCAATCAAGAAACTACGTCCACACCATAACCATCCAAATGCCGCAGACATGCTGAACATGAGCCCATCGCGATCTCTTTTTTTCCTTCTCTAGCACACACTGTAGTGTCCGCACTTCCACTATCACAGCCTAAGCTCCTTCTGTCCCTTGAGCGGCCCTTTGCCTCTCATCCTTGCGCCTCCTGACCTTCCCCCATACCCTCCCAAACAACCTCCTCATCCTCCCCTTACCCTTCGTCAACGCAACCTGCTGCCTCTCTGCCGTCGCCGCCTCCGTTCGCGCGCGCGCCTCTTCTAGCTCCCGCTCAGCTATCCTTCTCGTCTTGCTGCCTACAGGGATGTCGTTGATCGTGGCAATACTCCCGATTACATCAGGCTTAGAGACAGGTACGCCAGGTACGATCGTGTTAAGACCATCTGGTATGGACTTGTAGGCGTTTGGGGGAGAGGGTGGAAGGGTGGGCATCGGTTGGGGTCCGGGCGAAGATGTGAGAGTTCGGATCCAGCGGTCGAGATCGGGACATATTGGCTCTCGCGTTTGTGCTGGCTCTGTAGATTCTTCAGCAGGGTGGATCGGAGCGTCGTCGTCGGTGTTCTCAATATCATCTGGACTGACGGTTGTCGGGTGATGCTGGCTAGACTCAGTGGCGTTTAATATGTCGCCGGCCTTCTCAATATCATCCGGACTTATGATTTTCGGATGCCCTTCAGGCATAGCGACGTTTGCTGTGTCGTCGTGCCCGTCTGTGCTAGGAGGTGTCGCGTGCGACGTTGCTTCCGCATCCTCGTTCGTACCATCATCGACGCCTTCAACGTTAATATGCGCTGGCATTTTGTTGTCGACCAGAGCATCTGCAGGAAAAGTGATGTACGAAGCCACAACACCCGCATCGCTAACGAGGTTTTGCGCAGGCTCACTTTCCAGTGCGGTGCGACTGGCATATGTTGCGCGCGAAACAGATCTGAAGCCAAAAGAGGCTGCAGGCCGTGGCAAAGAAGATCCAGAAATCGTATAATACGGAAAACTCCGCTTGGGTGTCAACATTCCCACGGTGCTGGCACTACTGGCTGGCCGTCGCCCCCTTGGCTGCGGGCTGTCATACCGCGTGTTGCGGACGCTTTTGATACTTTTAGCTCTCTCAGTTTTATCAGTAATATCTACCGGCATAGGGTAGGCAGAGGTCTTGCTTATATACACAGGCTGTTGCTTAAATCGAATTGGCTTGGGCAGTGGTGGTGGCTGATCCTCTGAGGGCTGACTGAGGCGAGATCTGTGTACTGTCAGTATGAAAAGCGCAAGCATGGTATCATTCCACTGACTTTGTCCTCATGCGTAAACTCTCACTCATCCACTCGTCCGGCAACGTCGCTCTGCTCAGCGGACGCTTTCTGAATCGCTGCACCTCAAGCTCATTCGGCTCCGCAGTGCTATCGTGCTGCTCAGTACCAAATTCTCTTGGACGGCTCACCAAGGTATTCTCCGCATCGCCAGCGTCCCGTTTCTTGCATTCCATCTCAAAGTAACGCTGTATCTCGTGCATGATGCAGTTTCCGATGTTTGAGCGCACAGTCGCGCTGACCTTGCGCTTAATCGTGACTCCATCTTCGATGGCGGTAATTTGGGGAGGGCATATATTTTGCAGTCTGTTGTCCGCATACCGATTCCGTAACGCCCAGCCGTTACCGACGAAGCTGTTGATTGTCGCACGGATTTCTTGCGCCGACTCAACAGCCAGGCCCCAGCCTGTCCTGGTGAGAACATCCAACAGATATGCTTTCACCGCTCTGTTGGTTGCATCGTCGCCGGGGAACGCGATGATAGGCGCAGACTCACCCTCCGGAGGGTGGTCTTGGACATCTGCATCGGTGTACACGAATTTATCGGTAGCTATGTCCTAAAGAACGAGTGCAAAGTCAGCGTAAGTCGAGTCAGGATCGTATATACCTCTACTAAGCAAGAAAGACCATCCACTTTATTCCGGGTGTCTGTACATTGTTGAGCATAGCTATTGGATTCAAGCTTCTACCACGATTCCTGGAGGCGGAGTATCTTGTTGCTGACGACATGATGATGATAATGTAGGGTGGGAAGAGGGTGGGACAGATAGATGATGTACGGAGGGATATGCAGAGGATATACAGAGGATGTGTAAATAATGGTTAGAAATGTATGGATGTTCTACAACGTTCGCGAGGTAAAATTTTCGACTTCATCTCATTGTTGCCCAGTGCACATGTCTATGGGTTTATTCAAAATTGTGTGGAGCCCGCTGAGGTTGGTAGCCCAACAACCCCAAAAGGCGGGTGTGATTGGGAAAACGTACACGCCTAGCTGTCAGCACCAAGATTGTCCAGAACGAAACCATGGAGATGGGAAGAACAAAGCCTCAACGTGCGGCGGCGAATGAGAGCCCGATAATTTCATAAAATACATTAGTACCCACGCTGCCCAGCTTTACATATCACAACATCCGAGAGCCATTGCGAATCCAGAATCTCTGAGCTCTTGATCCTCATCTGAGGATCTGTCTGCAGTATGGAATATATGAGCTGCCGCCGGTGCGCCTAGCAGCAAAGTCGTCAGCGAATGCAAAAGCCCGTAAGCTTGTCCACTTACACCTTCGAATTGTTCTACTGGGCGATACCCTTCTCCGGACCCGCAGCTGAGCTTGAACTTCTTGAACATGCCTATACTCGCGGATACAAAGTCAGCCGAGTCATAAAAGTGGGTTTGTGTACAAGTCGTCTTGTGTCTAAGACATAGCGACCTCGTACCGGGGAGGATCGTACTGTCTGTATCGTCGGCCTTGGTCCACATCAGTCGTGCTGTGCGCATGGCAACATACATAATGCCCGTAGCCCAAACGTCGATGGCTCTCGCGTCGAAGTGCTCGGTGATGTAGATCTCGGGTGCCATGTACGGCTTGCTGCCTTGCAATCCTTTCGAGCGATGACCTGTAGTCTCCCATGCGTACTGCACGCACTCTGCCATTCCGAAGTCCGATATCTTGAGACATCCTGTTGTCGTCAACAGTATATTCTCAGGCTTCAAGTCCCGGTGGGCAACGCCTGTCTCATGCATGAATGCAACGCCACGAACAAGTTGCTTAAACAAGCAATCTGCCTCTGTTTCGTCAAGCTTTCCTGCAGAGATGAGCAGCGCGCAAAGATCACCTGCAGCACAGAACTCCATAACTTGACACATGCGGCCATGGTCGTCGCTCAGAAGGTCTATCGTGTGTACTATATTCTTGTGCTGCAGAGTCGTTGCGATGCAGAATTCTGCTGATGCGCGCTTGTGGTATGCATTGTGTGATTCGTTGGCGCGTTGGCGGAACGCCTTTACAGCATAAGTGTATCCTTTCGGACCGTGGTGCGGATTGGGTTTGTACGCCATCTTGACTGTGGAGGACGAGCCCCATCCCAAGACCTCTTTGTAGCGACCGTATTTCGACTCGATTGTTCCCCCGCTTTCAGCCGTCGAGAAGATGTCGTAATCGATCGCCAATGGTACACGGTCGGACGGTATTGTCTGGTTGCCTTTCTTGATCCACCGGATAAACCGTGTTATGGTGCTGTCGTTGTCGTACAGGCGTACGGTATTGGCGAGGTGGTGCTCATGATCGCCATTGACGAGATATTTGATGCGATCGGGACTCTTGTTTTGCAGCAAGTTGGAGGTCGTAGGTGGGAAGGTGGGTCGATGCATTGGAGCCAGACTGATCGAACGAAGTCACCGTCAGGTACGGCTACCAGAGTAGACTGCGCTGAAAGTACTTCAACAAAGAGCACGAGCAGTGCGGAGCACTTGCGATAAGGCACTGCTTCGTTACGCAATACTGCTGGAGAATACCCCAAGATATAAGCAGTCGCAACTCATCGCTGGATACGGCTGTCAGCGATATGTTGAAATACGACTGCTGTGCGACCTTGTGAACTCGTCAATCAGGGCGATCCTCTGCGTAAGGGGTTCAATGTCGAGATGCGCATATATCGCTCAAGTTACGTATTAGAAATGGCCAGGAAAGGTATATCGCTTAGGTAACAGACAAGAATTGGCGAGTCGCGAAAAGATGCTGTGGTGTTGTTAGGCAGATTGTCGCACGTGTTGCCGTGGCTGGGAGCAAGGACCATGAGGGATATTCCCCCTCCTCCACACGGAATTGGTTCCTCTTCCTCGGAGACTTTGCTGTGACCAAAGCAACAACGGCACAACAAATAGATGTAGTAAGAAAACCGACGGATGGCGAAGTGACATGCATCTCCATGGGAAAGCATGTCGCGAATGACGGGATTGATCGCCTAGAAAAGCGACACGCAAACGATGTGCCTCAAGTTGTCGGACTCAAATGATGTCGTATGACAAGACCGAAACCAAGCACTTCCGTACTACTCTCGGAGACAATTATTTGCTGCTAAGAGGTTGATTCGTCTTGTACGCTGGAATTCTTTCGTCCGCGCAGGTACAGTGAGTTTCTCCATCTTTTTTGAAGCTAGATTATAGGATGACCTCGTGACGGATCCGTTCACATACAATACAGTCAAGGTTTTTGCGATTCCACTAGACAGGAAAGGGACATGCTGAACTTGATCCCTTCTTTGTTTCGAGCAGTCGAGGCATACATCGGGAGGTGAGGGAGGATGCCGCGATCCCATGGGCGAGGTTGCCTCGGCGTTAGCTCGCTCCGATGCCCCGCCACGAATCCCCCACACGTCGCAAAAGTTCATGTTCCCAAGAGCACCGACGTTCGCTGCAGCACGGTAGCCATGTCGCTCGATCGCTTCTTGGTGTTGCCAGATGGTAAGACTGCTTCCAAGAACATTGCTATGCATGCGCTGACTCAACTGCAGAGCTTCTGCTCATTTGGCATGACCATCGCGTGCCCCTGTTGCTGTCGGCCGTTTCCCTCGCTGTACTCGTACATCTCGCAATCTACTTTCGGAGTCGGCGCCACAAGATCTCAGCCTCGCCCGCACCTTCTTCGCCGATTGAGAAGAAAGAGATTGAGCTGAGACCTGAATGGCTACCAGAGAACACAACCATAGTCACGCCGGCGGTAAATGTGGACAATCGTGCAGAAGACAGCGTTGTGTCTGTACCAGTCGTAAAGGCCAAGAAGGGACCCAAGACGGTCAAGGGCAAGAAAGTGCCGAAGAAGCGCGCACCAGCTGCGGCTAACTTCAACCACAAGACGGACAAGATCCAGCCACTGGTCTTCTTCCAATCACTCTCCGGCACCACCGAGCGCTACGCCACCCAGCTCACAAAAGTCTTCACCGAATGGACTGCTGGTTGCGACCAGTCTATATCGTTTCTCGAACCTCAGATCCACGACCTATCCTACATCGAGTTCGACGACTTCTTCCTCAGCCCCCCAAAGAACGATTCGAGCGTGAAATACTTCTACATCATTTTGCTTCCTACATACAACATCGACACCGTCTTGGACAACTTCATCGAGAACCTCCAAGAAACGCACAATGACTTCAGAATCGACACTGCGCCGCTCAGCGGACTGTTGGGGTACTCGGTGTTTGGGCTTGGAGACAAGGAGGGGTGGCCAACGGAGGAGGAAGGCTTCTGCAGTCAGGCAAGGGAAGTGGACAAGTGGATGGCGAGATTGACAGCTAGGAAGAGAGCGTACCCCTTAGGCATAGGAGATGTCAAAAGCGACGTGGACACGCGATTGGGAGAGTGGCGCGTTGGTGTACAGGAAGCACTCGTGGAGCTGGCAGAAGGCAGAGGCCTGGGCGAAGGTGTTCCCGGCAGTGGCGATCCAGCTGAAAGTGACGAGGAAGATGAGGATGTTGCCGAGGACAGCGAAAGCGAGGGAGTATCCCCAAAGCCACGGAAAGCAGCGCGGGTAGACGATGTCGAAGATCTCGGCGGCATGGTGAAGTCTGATTCTGCCGACCCGATACCCGTCGACTTCACCACCTACAAGTCCAGGGTATCTAAGCCCGTTTCTGCGCCTAAAGAGATGGTCCCAGTGTCCTCCCCCACGCATGCCGCCCTCACAAAGCAAGGCTACAGCATTATCGGATCCCACTCAGGCGTCAAGATCTGCCGCTGGACCAAGTCCGCCCTCCGAGGTCGCGGCTCATGCTACAAATACTCCTTCTACGGCATCCAATCCCATCTCTGCATGGAAGCCACGCCATCTCTCTCATGCTCAAACAAATGCGTCTTCTGCTGGCGCCACGGCACCAACCCCGTGGGTACAACATGGCGCTGGATCACCGACGCCCCTGAGCTCATCTACGACGGCATCACCACCGCGCACTACAAGAAGATCAAAATGATGAAAGGCGTCCCCGGCGTCCGCGCTGAGCGCTTCGCCGAAGCCATGCGCATCCGGCACTGCGCGCTCTCGCTTGTCGGCGAGCCCATCTTCTACCCGCACATCAATGAGCTCCTCGCCATCATGCACAAAAACCGCATCTCCACCTTCCTCGTCTGCAACGCGCAGCACCCCGCGCAGCTCGCCTCCCTCATCCCCGTCACCCAGCTTTACGTCTCCATCGACGCGTCGAACAAGGACTCCCTTCGCAAGATCGACCGCCCCCTGCATAGAGACTTCTGGGAGCGCTTCTGCGCGTGCCTCGACATCCTCAAGCAGCGCCGCTTCGAGCAGCGTACCGTTTTCCGTCTCACGCTGGTCAAGGGCTTCAACATGGCCGAGGAAGCCCGCGGGTACGCCGACCTCGTCGAGCGCGCGCTCCCCGGCTTCGTCGAGGTAAAAGGCGTGACGTACTGCGGGACGTCAGCAGCGGGGTCCGCTGGCCTCACGATGCAGAACGTGCCCTTCTACGAGGAGGTCGCGGCGTTCGTTACATTGCTTGCGGAGGAACTCGCGAAGCGCAACCTGTCCTACGGCATCGCGGCCGAGCATGCGCACTCGTGCTGCGTGCTCCTCGCAGACTCGACGCGTTTCCAGAAAGACGGGAAGTGGGCGACGCGCATTGATTTCGAGCGGTTTTACGAGCTGAATGAGGGGTTGGTAGAAGGAACGAGGACGGATGCGGATGGCAAGGTGGTCGGGTGGCGGCCGGAGGATTACGTGGGGCAGGAGACGCCGGAGTGGGCGCTTTGGGGGAATGGGGGATTCGACCCGCGGGATGTGAGGGTTTGGAGGAAGGGGAAGGGGCCGAAGGAACAGGCTGGCAAGGATGCAAAGGTCGTGGAGATGTAAACGTGCGTGTTCACACAGTCGATAGTGGATGCCAGCCAATCTATTGAGCGAAATGTAGCGAGGAAATGGTATGGTATGTATGCTATGTACAATATGCTATCTATCTCGTCCGAGTCGTTCTTCGTAATCGTCGACCAGCTCGTATGCGGGCCGGAACTGGGGCTTTGGCGTGCCGTTGGGGGTGCTGGGTGCGGTGCCGTTCAGGGGCGGCTTTGCGGCTGCGAGGGCGGGGTTGGGATGCGTGTCGTCGGTACCGCCGAGGGAGGTGTAGCCGCGGTCGTAGAGCTTGCAGTAGGGGATGTTGAGGTGGCGGATGAACTGTTCCTATCTGTCAGCATATATCTTCGCACCGTGTCAGCATGAGCACCCACCGTCCAGATGTCGACGTAGTGCCAGTCTATGACGGGGTGTATGCGCATGAAGGCCGGCCACCCCGAGTCGGTGGGGTCAAAGTGTCTGAGGTGCTCGCCGTGCGGGTCTGTCCGCCGGGTGCCCACGAATATGGCCTTGACGGAGGGCGTGTCGTGCAGGTAGTCTGCGAACGCGGCTTTCATCGGCTTTGCATATTCAAGTAGCTGCAAGGAGTATGTCTTGACGGAGACTTCCACAAAGTCCTCGACCTCGTGGAAGGGGTGCGGCGCCTGGATGTAGACGCATTTGATCGCGGTGTGGGGATTGCGATTTGGGTCGGCGGGGCAGAGGCCTTTGCGGTGGAGGGCGCAGAGATAGAGGATTAGGAGGACGAGGCAGTCCTTGCCGCCGTTGTAGGCGAGAGAGAGCTCCGACAGGCTGCGATGCACACGTCAACTATGCTCTACTGTGTGACCCCGGGGATCATCGCGGGTAGTTCCTGGGGTTGCACGGCCACGCCTACCTACCTGTACTTGTCCAATGCCTCTTCTATGACGCGCAGGGAGATGCGCGTCTGCTCCTGCACGCTCTTCAGGCGGTCCGAGGCGGGCTGCTCGTCGAGGAAGGCCTGGATGCGGGCGTGGATGCGGGCGCACACGTCCGGGAATGGCAGCGGGGCATCGTGGACGAGGGGCGAGGCGGGCACTTCAACGTCGCGGGCTGAGGAGTCTCCAGCGGTCATTGCGCGGTAGCAGCACACTCGACATGAGAGCATACACTATACAGTAGGCTATGGCGCGGTGATGAGCGTAAGCACGAACAGTACACGGACGGGGACAGGCACGGAGGCACCAGCAGCGAGCCGCAAGCCGCAAGCCGCAAGCCGCATTGCGGAGCCTCGCATGTGGCCGAGGCAGGGTAGCGGGGCATCAGATCACGCGCGGGGCGCAGCTCCGACGATGCCCTCGACGCGCATCGGCCTTCACAGCGAGCAGACGCGGGCTGTCGCTGATGACCTTCGGGCGGCATGACAGTCGCTGTGAGTAACGCGAGTGGGGGCGCTGGGTGCCCTCGAGTGCCTGACAAAGTGGTGCAGCCTGACTGGCGCTCCCGCTCCAGGCCCACGCGGTGTATTCTCGGAGCGTGGAGCAGTGGATTGCGTGCTCGACTGCCTCCAGGCCCATTTCGGCCACCCAAAGAAAAAAGTAGACGACATAGCTGCCGTTGCCGCTCGCGCTGCATGCCGACTGCGCCTATTTCAATCACTCTCCCAGCATCCGCTGTCCCTCACACTCCTCATAGCTACTCTTCGACGCTATGGGTGCCATCAAGACTGCTGGAGAGGCTGGTACGTCCCCCCCGCCCAATGACACCCCCGCATGTTCCCCAGACCCGTGCATCGCCAAACACCCACCCTCCGACCATCGGGGCCAATTGCTGATGGTGTGCCTGCAGTCGCGCGCATCGCCCATCTTGCGAGCGATGTTGTCGTCTCCGTCCAGCCTACCCTCGCCACTCCGTCCGAGTTCTCAGACCATCTGAGGAAGCTCGAGACGAACAAAGCGCAGAGCATCGTCGCGAAGCAGCAGCCAGAGGTTCGTACAGTTGTACTCGATTTCTTGGGGGTTGCAATCTGACTCAATGGCCAGATTGTTGCTGTGCAGGAGAATGCCGACCCGCTCCTGTCGTGCTTCACGCCCCTCCGCGCAGGAAAGCTCACCTCGGTCGCTACTTCCTCGTCCATCCTGATCAAGTCGATTCCCCACCTCTACAAGCTCGCACAGTACCCCGTCGTCATCCACGTGTCGGTACAGCCTTCATCCTACCCCGACTATTCAGACATCACCTCCATCCGCCAGTGCGGCTTTACATTCCTGCACTCGGAGACTCTACAGCAGACGCAAGACATTGCATTGACTGCCCATGCCCTCGCCACCAAGTCGGGCAAGGGTGTCATTCACTTCTTCGCCTCAGGATCCACTGCCTTTGCCAATAAGGAGATCCAGGAGGAGGATCAGGAGCTGGTACGGCGCATCCTCGATGTGAGCAGCGCGGCCGACTACCAGAACACCAAGTCTGAGGAGACTGGCCTCTACGCCGATGACGGCAGGAGCGCCACCATCTCCTTCGCCCGCAGCCAGGGCCCCAGCGCCTCCTTGGCTCCCCCGACTTCCACACAGAACAGCCAATCGCTGCCAGTGTCCGAGAGGAACAGCACACGAGCAGATTCGTCATCGGGCTCATCACAGCGTGAATCGAGCACCGCCAGCGGCGTATCTGCATCGTCAGCTACGACAGTCGAATCCTTGGCTTCCAAGCCGGTTTCTTCAGAGGACATCTACCGCTTTGCATCTCAGATCTGGGCCGACCTCAAGGAGGCAACTGGCCGGTCCTACGATGCCTTCTCCTACACTGGTCCCCCCAACGCGGAGGCAGCCATTTTCCTCTTCGGTGCGGATGTAGCAGTTTTCGCCACCGAAATCGACACGGTTGATGCCTCTGTCGACTACGCCAACACCGGTGTCATTTCCTTCCGTATGTACCGACCATGGCTTGGCGCTTCTCTCGCTCCCTTGTTGCCTCAGTCGATCAAGCGGATAGCCGTCCTTGAGCAGGTCCGCCGTCAGACCACCCGTTGGGGTCCCCTTCTATTGGACGTTTTGATGTCCCTCAAGTCTAGCCAGAACTCGCCTTTGGTCGTTGGCTACCAGCTTGGATACATCAACAAGGAAACGGTACAGCAAGCGATGCGTGGCATCTTCCAAAACCTCATGAGCGAGAAGCCTGTGCAGAACCTCCAAATTGGTAACCTCGAAGGCCCGACCGAGAACAAAACCAAAGCTGAGCAGCCTAGCCTGGAAAACGCCTACGTAAAGATCCTGGACCAAGTGTTTGGCGAGAAGCTGCACATTGCGAACCAGCTTGGCTCGCAGCACGCTGGCGTCTCGAACGAGATCTCTTCGAGCCCGGAATACGGCTTCGGATCTCTGATCGCACGCAAGGAGCATCGTCAACGATTCATTGAGGAGGTCCGTGAAGCATCGAAGAGCAACGACTTCATCACCAAGGCACCTCTAGAATGGTTAGCCAAGTGGGCTCTGGATGCTGAGGATAGCACCAAGGCGAACGCGCTTGCACAGGAAGTCATTTCCCGCCTTAGCAACGATGGCTCACCAGCGGCCACCCAGCTCCTGTCTACGAAGAAGCTCTTCTTCCGGGAGTCACCCTGGTTGATTGGTTCAGATGCATGGGCATACGATTTGGGCAACTCTGGTGTGCACCATGTCCTTGCCTCGGGCGAGAACGTCAACATGCTCATCATCGACTCTACACCCTACTCGGAGCGAGCTGCGGCTGACGCCAACCGACGGAAGAAGGACATTGGTCTCTATGCCATGAACTTCGGTAACGCGTATGTTGCGTCCGTAGCGGCGTACGGCTCCTACACTCAGGTTCTCGAGGCTATGATTGAAGCCGACAAGTTCGACGGCCCCTCGGTCGTTCTCGCCTATCTGCCTTACGAGAAGGAAACCGATTCGCCTCTGACTGTCTTGCAAGAGACCAAGAAGGCGGTCGACATTGGATACTGGCCGCTTTACCGGTGGGACCCGCGAGGAGACGAGAAGGGCGAGCCCAACTTCCAGCTTGACTCGGAGCGCATCAAGAAGGAGCTCGAGGAATTCCTGGCACGCGACAATTACCTTTCCCAGGTCATGAAGAGACATCCTGAATTCTCCGCCAATCTGTCTGGCTCATACGGCACCGAGGTGCGCCAGCTACAGAAGCGCAAGGCCAAGGATGCGTACAGCAAGCTTCTCGAGGGTCTTCAAGGTGACCCAATGACAGTTCTTTTCGCCTCCGATAACGGCAATGCAGAGAACCTTGCCAAGCGTCTAGCTAGGCGAGGAAAGGCCCGAGGCCTCAAGACTATCTGCATGGCCATGGATGACTACCCCATTGAGGATCTTTCTGGCGAGCAGAACGTCGTTTTCCTGAGCAGTACTGCCGGCCAGGGTGAATTCCCTCAAAATGGACGAACGTTCTGGGAGACGGTCAAGGACTCTACGGACCTGGATCTTGCTACTGTAAACTTTGCCGTCTTCGCTCTGGGTGACAGCCACTACTGGCCTCGTAAGGAGGACAAGATTTACTACAACAAGCCCGGAAAGGACCTTCACGCTCGATTGGTCACGTTGGGTGGCAAGCCCATGACCGAGTGCGGTCTTGGAGATGACCAGGACCCTGACGCGTACCAAACCGGCTACAGTGAGTGGGAGCCCAAGCTTTGGCAAGCTCTTGGTGTCGACAATGTCGAAGGATTGCCCGATGAGCCACCGCCAATCACCAACGAGGACATCAAGGCTGCCTCCAACTTCCTCCGTGGCACCATTGAGGAGGGTCTGCAGGATACTTCTACTGCAGCCATCTCGGCCGCCGACCAGCAACTTACCAAGTTCCACGGCACATACATGCAAGATGACCGCGACCTGCGTGATGAGCGAAAGGCTCAGGGTCTTGAGCCAGCCTACTCCTTCATGATTCGATGCCGCCTTGCGGGTGGTGTTGCAACACCGAAGCAGTGGCTCCAGATGGACGAGATCAGCGACAAGCTCGGAAATGAGACGATGAAGCTGACCACCCGTCAAACCTTCCAGTTTCACGGCGTCGTCAAGACCAAGCTCAAGCCTGCTATGCAAGCCATCAACAAGGCTCTTATGACCACCATTGCCGCTTGTGGTGATGTCAACCGCAACGTCATGTGCTCATCCCTACCCGAGCACTCCGCCTTCCATGCGCAGGTCCACAAGATCTCCCAGAAGATCAGCGACCATCTCCTGCCATCGACGACAGCTTATCACGAGATCTGGCTAGAGGATGACGAGACTAAGCAGAAGCGCAAGGTCGCAGGCGAGGCTGTCCAGGACCACGAGCCGCTCTACGGTCCTGTCTACCTTCCCCGAAAGTTCAAGATCACCATTGCCATTCCTCCGCACAATGACACCGATGTCTATGCTCACGATGTTGGTCTCATTGCTATCAAGGGCAAGGACGGCAACCTCGAAGGCTTCAACATTCTTGCAGGTGGTGGTATGGGTGTGACGCACAACAACAAGAAGACCTATCCGCGAACTGGTAGCATGCTTGGTTACGTTTCTACTGACCAGGCACACATCGTTTGCGAGAAGATCATGCTCGTCCAGCGCGACAACGGTGACCGCAAGAACCGCAAGCACGCTCGTCTAAAGTACACAATCGATGACATGGGCGTCGATGTCTTCAGGAACGCTGTCGAGGAGCTATGGGGCCAGAAGTTTGCTGACGCGAAGAGCTTCAAGTTCGACTCTAACATCGACACCTTCGGCTGGCAGAAGGATGAGAATGGCCTCAACCACTTCACATTCTTCATCGAGAACGGTCGTATCGAGGATACGCCTGACTTCCCGATGAAGTCTGGTCTTGTCGAAATTGCTAAGTTAGACAAGGGCGAGTTCAGACTCACTGGTAACCAGCATCTTATCCTGTCCAACATCAAGGATGAGGATCTCGACAACGTGAAGGCGGTGATGAAGAAGAACAAGCTCGACAACACCAACTTCTCTGGACTGCGTCTCAGCAGTTCGGCATGTGTCGCCTTCCCCACTTGCGGTCTCGCGATGGCTGAATCCGAGCGTTACCTCCCCGAGCTTATCTCCAAGCTGGAGAGCACGCTCGAAGAGGCTGGTCTCCGACAAGACTCCATCGTGATGCGTATGACAGGTTGCCCCAACGGCTGTGCACGACCATGGCTTGCTGAGGTCGCATTCGTCGGCAAGGCTTACGGCGCATATAACATGTACCTCGGCGGCGGCTACCACGGTCAGCGACTCAACAAGCTGTACAGGAGCTCGATCAAGGAAGACGAGATCTTGGACATCATGAAGCCTCTGATCAAGCAGTGGGCTGTCGAGCGCGAGCAGGGCGAACACTTTGGTGATTTTGTCATCCGGAAGGGATACATCCAGGCGACGACGCACGGAACGAACTTCCACGACAACGTAAGTTTATTCCATCGCTCATCCATATGAACACTCGCTAATGTGCAATAGACCGGAGAAGAGGAATCAGACGAAGAGTAGATGTCGGTCTAAAACTTAGGGGTTAGAAAAGGGACTTGATACCCGTCGTTGAGTTCGCTTGTATATATGGTACGGCTTGGCATTTAAATAACCTTATGTGTGTGTTTTGTAGGGTGGCGGGTTCATCAGTTAGCATATCCTGACCTGGCGTTTTTGGGCCAAGGAAAAATTATATCATTTTCAATTCATCTCAGTGAAGAAACTCTTCCGTGTCTTGTGGTGTTGGAGTCTATGGGCATCACTGCTTGAGGAGTAGCTGAGATATCTGCTTATCGTGATACTTTGCGCACTTTTGCAAGGCTGCGATGTCTACAAAGACAGTACATGGATATTTTCCAGTCATATATGTATATATAGCTGGGACTACGCAAGGCACCGACCATTTACATCTGAAGTCCAAAAGACCTCGTTGCAAAACACAAGAAAGTCAGGCAAAAAGTTGCAACGGAAAAAGATCACCACGAAAGCATCCCCAGGTCCTGGAAGCCCAACTCGTTCCTCCCAGCATCACTCCAAATCTCAGGCCTTTAGCGCCTTGTTGCAGCCCCAGACCACACGCGGCTGGGTCATCAAAACTTGACCGCAACCTTCACGCCCCTCTTCTTATTGTTCGCCTCATTGAGCTGCTGCGCCGTGATATCCGTAAGACAGCGGAAGTACCTGGCCCCGGACAGGGTCTGCACGCCTAGAGGAAGCGGGTAGTTGCACTGGAAGTCGTCGCCGGGGAAGGGGATGCAGTTGCCGTAGGTATTACCGTCGAGCCCAATCATGTCATAGTTGCGGTCCTTGTAGATGGCTGGCATGCATGGTCAGCTGCCCGACTGCTCTCTGGATGGATTTGGAGACTGGTGGCGTATCGAGACTTACTGAAGTGGTAGACGGGGTCCGTGTCGTGGAAGTTCATCTCCACGCGCGTGGCTTTCCCGGGGTCTTGCGGGTCTTTGTCGCCCTCGAAGACGACGCCTTGTTTGTCGCCGCTGACCTGAGGGGAGTTAGTGGATAGCCCAAAATCGACCATGTATACATGGCCAACATTCTTCTGGAGGACGCTCACATCATCGCTATCGTTCCAGTTGGCGGCGTTTTTGGCATCGTCGCAGTCGGGTTCGGCTTCGAAAACCCTCCATTCGTCGATGGCGGGCTCAGGGTTCTCGTCCGGGACAACGGTGGTGTCGAGCACGGCGTAGAGGTCGAAGTTCGCGGAGGCCAGGCGCAAGAGGCTGAAGGCTGCGAGGGTTGTTGCGGTTGCGGTGAACTTCATGGTGTAGGACGTTGAATTGAAATTTCAATATGAAGGGTTGTAGCTGATGGATTGTAGTGAAGAGGGAAGTCTGAAGAGATTGATGGTGTTCACTTTTGACAGCTCCTTGCTCGACTCTTTATAGTTGACGTCTGTGTTCGAGAGTCGCCATCGCGATTGCAGTCCTGATGCCATCACAATCATGAACCCCTTTGGAGAGCCACATGACGTCGATCTGCATCTATTTGACTCGACTGGGGGAGTCTTTGAGACCAAAATGTCTCTCCATTCCATCTCGCGCGAGCGCTTTGTCCTCTCTACGGTCATTTTGAGCTTGGCATGAGTGTCTTGTTCGACCATATGCATTCGTGTAGGGAAGCACGGCTGACTAGGCCGGTGTAGGGGTGTCACGGAGGCATTTGTGATCCTAACAGCACTGTCAGCATATTCAGAGGAGTTGCGTCCTCCCATAGGTCAGATTCTCCATTAAACACGAAGCGTTGCTTACAATCGACTGCAAGGAACGGAAAAATAAGAAGTTCCAGTTGGCGATCACTGTGTGGCTCAGCTCAGCACTGTATTATCTTACATCTTGGCTCCGAGCTATTTGTCCCAAGTGCGCCCTGTTTACGCCCGATGCGACGAAAAGGACAGCAACCTATCCCGATATCGTCATGTTGCCTGTTTCATCCTTTGTACATGTTCTGCGTTTGAGCATGAGTCTGTGGGTACGTGGAAGCCTAAGCGCCACTTACCAGGTTCTTGCAACACTGAAGCCACACACGGTGGTTGCAGCGATGAGCAGCCGTCTGCCTTCATCTTGGCAACTGATGAGTGAATGGAACGTAGTAAACGAACGCACTAATGCTGCCTTCAAGATTGTCGACATAGGAGGACCTCAAGTCAACAATGTTTCCGCCTGCTGCTAAGCTTGTGAACAACTGAGCTGCGTTAGGCTGCTTCTCATGTTGGGACGAGAAGATGATATCTCGTACCTCACGCAAAATAACAAGTAGGCTAAAAGGTGTATACGTGCTGAACCATGCAACAGTATCTGTAGCGGGTGAATCGCCAGGGTCACAAGAAGCCCGCTTACTGTGCTCTATGTAGATCATTGCACTTATTAATACATAAAAGCGAGGCCACTTGCCCAATTGAGACATAAATTCGACAGCTTATGCAAATCAGATCACCGTGTCTCAGTTTTGCAACCATTAGATGTAGTTTATGTGGTACCGAACCAGATGGTCCTGCGCTAGCCCTTCCAATTTGGCCCACTATTGATGATGTTGCCTTTGGAAGTAAGAACGGGAAAATGTGGGCTCAAGAGCGCTCTATACCTTCGCTATCCTTCTTCTTAGAACTGTGACACTACCTCGAAATGTAAAAGGTAGAAACTTGCCGTAGGCAAAAGTACTGGCAAGGCCAAGCCTGCGAAAGGGAAATTAATACGGTAGTGGAGTCTCCGGGAAGCGGCGACACTGAGTCCAGCAGCATACCTTTCATATTATGGTCAAATAGTTACTTACTTCCCGCCTGGAAACAACAACCCATTTTCCCTCCTCACCTTCTCCAAAACCTTTAGCACCGCCCGACTATGCGCCTCCAGCTCACCCGCCGCCTTCCAGTCCTCCTCAGCAATAATCCTCGCCTGCTCAGCCGCCTCCTCCTTCAAGTTCAGATCCTCCTTCTTCGTACCCAGCTCCTCCCTCTTCTTCGTTCGCGGATCGCTCAACGTAACCTTCTCGATGTCCGTGATTGAAGGTACGATAAGTGATGCCTTCTCTCCGTAGATCTCAGACGGCGCATCGCTGGTATGCATCTTGCTGCTCGACAAATGGACTGTGAAGTCCTCATACTGCAACGTCAAGATACCTCCGCCGTCAGCGCCCGTGCTGACGATGACGGGGTAGTAGTGTGCGTCTTTTGGCGCGCCGAAGAGCCATACTGCCGCTGCGACGGTGTAGCACCCCATGTCCACGAGCGCGCCGCCGCCCATCTCCAGGTTGAAGATGTTGGGCACCTCGCCCCTAAGAACGGCGTCATAGCGGCTGGAGAACTGACAGAACGTGATGCTCGCTCCGAGGACGCGACCGATCTTGGGAATCGACTCCTTGAGGATCTTAAAGTTTGCTTCTTGGATGTGGCGCCATGCTTCAATGAGAAAAAGACCCTTGGACTTGGACAGCGCAAACAGCTCGTCTAGCTCTTCGCTTGTGGAGCACGAGGGCTTCTCAAGAATGACGTTTTTGCCTGCTTCGAGGGCGGTTTTGGCTTGCTCGTAATGCAGGATGTTGGGCGAGGCGATGTAGACGGCTTTGAGGTTGGGGTCGGCGTAGAACTTGTTTAGGTCGGTGTAGAGCTCGATTTTCTGGCCTTCATATTTTGAAGCAAATTCCTTGGCTGACTCTTCTTTGCGCGAGTAGACGGCGGCGAGGTTCCACTTCTGGGTCGCCTGGGCGCACTCGACGTACGAGTGGGTGATCCAGTTGGTTCCGATGATGCCGAAGTTTAGGACCATTGTGAAACTTACGTCGAGAGGAAGGTTGAACAGAGAAGAGCAGGAGAGAGGCCAATGTGCGAATATCTGTAGATGGGAGGTAGTGTTGACTTTATATATCGTTGCGGTTGCAGTCAACGCAGTACCTATGGTAGTGTTGGGGAAGAACTGTTATAGCTTCCAAATCGGGGAGAGCTCGAAACCCCACTTGCAAAGTCTTCTTTGAAATTGAACAGCCACTGCGAGTTGATTGACAATCAAACCTGTGTGTCTCGGAGCTGACTTTAAATACTGTTTTCTTGTGCGTCAACTGACATCGTAGCCTTGAGCTGCAGGGTTACACGCTTGCCTGCTGAGATGTGTCGTTGTGGGCAGTGGTTTGCGAGAAGCGCCGTGATGTCACCGGAGCGGGGAAAGTTGCTCCTTCTGTTCTCGGCGGGGACAAACTCCGCGAGCAACACACACAACCTGGATGCTCACGATACACCACAGTACCGTTTAACAGAATCAATATCCTAGCACACTTATATTCCATGCGCCCCTTCATCAGCAGTGCGATTCTATTCTGGATCCTCGATATGTGACCTCCCGGCCTCGTCGCCACTGGGCAACTGCCTCATCTCAAGTATCGTTGACCTTCACCCCTACCCAGCATTCTGCAATGTCGACACAAGTCCTGCCCATGTCTCTCTGACCGTGGGCTGAATCTGGCTCGCCGGTAATTGGAATCCGTACGTCCCGGTATCCCTCAGCTCCCAAGTGTAGCTGTACGTAGCGTTACCAGTTGCATCGATGTAATCGACAGAGCTACCCGTTGTGGCGTACAACGTCGAACAGGACGGACCAATCGTATAGCTGGTTCCCGAGACAGCTTTGATGGCGGCAGCGGCGCTCGTGGCAATGCTGCGGTGCTGCGCGCTGTTGTGTACGACGAGCGAGCAGTCGTAGCCGTATGCTGTGTATCGTCGTCAGTACGGTCGAGAAGAGAAGACAAGATAATGCGGGCGGCACTTACGCCACAAGATATACTGCCCATACGAGTGGATATCGAGGTATAGACGGATACCTGTGCCAGCGCGCAACGAGTTGACCTGCGCCACCAGCCCCTTGTTTTCGGGCGCATCACCAGCAGCCTGTCCCTTGTATGTCTCCGAGCAGGGACTCGTCGATGCTCCACCGGTAACCTCCCACTTGAAAGGCCAGTTACGGTTGATGTCGCGCCCGACGCAAGTGCTGCTGCTGACAGTCTGGCGGTTCTTGCGCCAGAGACGGTCGTTGGTCTGGGAATAGACAAAGCCTAGCCAGTCCGAGTCAGATTCAATTCGCAGAAGAGATACTGGCATGAACTTACCATCAGGGTTGACGGCCGGAATGATGTAGTAGTCGTATTTGTCGACGAGAGACTTCACGGTCGCATCGGAAGCGTACTTGGTAAGCAACTGCCACGCGAAGTACTCGGTCGTCATGGTAGTGATCCATTCGCGCGCATGGACAGTGCCGTGGATCAGAACTGCAGGCTTCGAACCCTTGCCGCCCGATCCCCAAATATGGATGCCAGTCAAAGCGCGACCTTGAACGGACGTTCCCGCTGTGAAGATCTCGGACTGAGAAGGGAACCCGCCTTGCAGGTCGCTCAGGAACGTCAGATGGTCGGCATACGGATGATAAGCCGTGAACCTACAAGGGCGGGGTACAGAGTCAGTAAAATGCATGAAAGAAGATACATAGAAACGAGTAGGTTCTTTTTGCTTTAGCTCATAACCTAAGCCCGACATGTTCAGACAATTGTAGCCGAAACAGCCACTTTGTGTCTTGGGGGTTCTTACCATGTCTCGCTGGGGACTTTGCTGTGTCAGTATTAATATTCTAAATCAGTCGACGGCGCCGTACCTGCAGAAACGCTGAAGTCCGGAGACACCAGTTCACCCTCTTCAGCCAACGACGCGCCGAGATCTTCATTGATAACGATACTCTCCGGCACGAGTGCCTTCACAGCAGCAACCGAGTCAGGCGAAACAACGACATCGAGCGTCGACTTCCCAGGGTTGAGAATATGAGCGGCGACTTTCTCAATCTGCTCCTCGATGTTGTTGGTAGCCTTGTGAAGCGACAGACGGAGGACCTTAAAGCCCGTATAGTCGACCTTTTTCTCGGCTCTTGGTACCGCCGTGCCCAGGACGGTAGTGGCGAGGAGCAAGCTTTCAGAGAGAAAGAATTTCATAGCTAAAATGTTCCAGCTCTGTGGTCAACAAGACCTCGCTACCCAGCTACATCACCTCTCACAACCCTTTATACCCAATTTCTATTTCGTTGCGAAGTCTTTCACCTTCCCATCAAGTCCCAGCTCCGGTATCTTCACGTTCAAGCCACCGCTGCCCAGAGACGTTTATCAGGCAGGTACCAAGGCTCATGCACCGGCGGGAGATCGCTTCAGTGGATCTAGAGGGCCCAGACGCGGATCTTGCGTGATGTATGGTGCTTTCATTTATTTAAGCCACGATGGTTGTCTTGGCTGCGATTCGTCCTGGTCTTGACGTGCTATGGCGGAAGTCGGAGGATATACTTGGCAAGTCCGCGATAGGAAGGTGAGTTAGGCAGTTGTAGGCTCGTGAGCAAATATACGAATACCGGTACCCTGATAACCTTGTGCCAAGCGACCTATAGACCTTTCGTCGATCTTATGCAATGGCACGAATAACAGGTTACGCTAGAGGTGCCTAGGTGATGTTATCGACTCCTTGTAGCCGGTTCTAACCACCTTATGTATTCTGAAGGACTAATGCATTCCGTTTCTTAGCGCAAAGTAGACAGATGACTGAAAGATCCTAGAATACACGCCACCCCAATGGATCGCATTTACCACCCATCGATGCCATTATCTAACATACGAAGCCCCACTTCTTCCCTCTCGTCCCCAACCTACCTCCAGTATCCATTGCTTTGGACACCCGAAGAAATACACAGATTTAGACATACAACATGGCGTACATCAACGCCACGTAAGTGCAAGTGGTCGTGCCAAAAACGTGTCCAAATGATTCGATACCGATGTGGTCGATTGCAGCAGTATTGACGTGCGCTGCGATCATGCGTAATGTTCCCGCATGTTTAGCAGTGGCTATCGGCGCCGCGAGAGTTCATCAGCAGGGCAACGATGAGACCGTAAAGACCTTTTTGTCTGATTAGCACTTGAAGAGTTCGATCGTCATCAAGTTGTACACACCCAAGACTTCAGCGAAAATAAGAATCAGGATCATGCCAACAAACAACCGGGGCTGCTGGGCAGTTCCTCGCACACCAGCGTCTCCAACAATCCCGATAGCGAATCCAGCTGCCATACCGGCAAGACCGACGGAGAGACCAGCACCAAGCTGAATGAAGTTGGTGAAAAGCGAGCTGCCCTGCTTGAGGTCGTTGCTGATCAGGACTGACACGACGAGACCGTAGATACCAATGATACCAGCCATGACAACGGGAATGATGTCTGCATCGCGTTAGCCGTCGTGGCCACAGCATGTTTTCTCGTCCCATAGGCGCGCGATAAGGTCGCAGCTCAGGATGGAAATAGCGGTACAAGAGACATACTCTTGACGATGAGATCTGGACGTAGGACACCCATGGCGCTGACACCGACGCCCGCCTTAGCCGTGCCGTAGGCTGCGCCGAAGCAGGTGAAGATGATCGCGGACGCGCAGCCCATCGCTCCAAAGAACGGCTATTCAAGTGTCAGCGGTGTGCGCAAAGCGGTGCATGCGTGTAAGAGTGTTTCCTAAACACCCTTACACTATTGACGAGCATTTTCAGAGGCTTCTGCAAACGCCAACTCCTCAAGCTGAATACTCGATGGTGTTTTAAAGTGGGCGCTGCACGATGTGTATGACGCCACAGGAGGCGAGCAGGTGTGGGCGACTTACGGCATACACGGGGCTGCGAGCACATAGGTTAGCTATTATTCAAACCAACTTAGAACTGTGAGACGTCTCCCAATGGCGTGTGGGCATGTGGAAGCTCGGGTGTGTTGTGAGGCAGCAAGCTTGCCTCGACCAGAGAGCTAGAGAACTCACCAAAGATCCGTAGGGGAGTCGGACGACATTATGGATGTGTTGACGAGATCGCGGTGCTTCTGGAGTGCAACGAGGGGCGGATCGAGATGGAGCGACGTCGTAGACGTTGGAGGTTGGGCGAGGAGGTGGTCGAGAGTATGATGATGAGGTCGCCGCAGGCTTGCTTCGCTTCGCGGAGCTAACGATGTCACGTGGCTGGCGGCCGTGCGCGGACGCTAACGATCTTATCGAGAATTTTGAATAGACTCAACCATCGAATCACCACCAACTCCACACGCACTTTTGGAACGGACGAGCAACGCCGTGTATGTCGCCTTTCAGTCGCGCACAACTGCGCATCATTTTCTTTCGCTAACATACGCCAGGAACCCTCTACCGGGCGAGCATCGCAGTGAATCCTATCCATCCGTCGTACATTCTACACACGAAGCTTCCAAAATGTCTCAGAACGATACTTCCGCTGCGTGGCCCCAGGCCGATCAGGCCCTTTCGACCGAGATCTTGGACTTGATCCAGCAAGCGACGCACTTCCGTACGATACCCTTACTCCCCAGTACACTGTCGCTTTGTCGTAGACATAGACAGTTGGTACATGAAGCCGCTGTAGACATAGCTAACTCTGTACCAGGTCAGATAAAAAAGGGTGCTAACGAAGCCACCAAGACGCTCAACCGCGGTATCTCTGAATTGATCGTGCTCGCCGCCGACACGAGCCCTCTCGCCATCCTGCTCCACCTGCCCCTCCTTTGCGAGGACAAGAACGTTCCCTACGTCTACGTCCCCAGCAAGATGGCGCTCGGCCGTGCCTGTGGCGTCTCTCGCTCCGTCATCGCCTGCTCGATCACGACTAACGAGGCGTCCGACCTAATGCAGCAGATCAGGTCCCTCAAGGACAAGGTCGAGCGCCTCCAGATCTAAGCAGCATGTCTTGATCTAAAATCATCGTACAACCACGTCTGGCGCCACACCTTCCAGCTTACACTCGCGCGCGGTTTTTGAGTTGGAAGTGGGCAACATTACAAGGACTTGGGAGTGAAACATATCTCAATGGGATCTTACGCCGGACAGAGAATGAAGTACTAGATAGCGAATTCCAGTGCTGACTCCACACATGCATATTTTCACTTTCCTGGGCTATGGTGAATTATCATACATTGGTGCTGTTCGAAGAGAAAGAAGGCCATTATCAGCCTTCAAGTGCCCCTAACAGATCAGCGAGGTCGTCCGCCGCAGACGGCGGGGGTCGATGATAGAGTTGCCAATGAAGGTGTCGCTTTCGTTGTACTAGACACGTCAGCAGCAGTTAATTTGCTCTTTAGGGATTTAATGTTTCTCCACGAAAAGTAGCCGCAGCTTCTTTCGCGCGTGAAGTTGAAGTCTATCAATTCCAAATATTCGGCCTTGAAGGCGAGCTCCTTTTCCAATGCTGACACACGCTCCTGCAGTGTAACGAGTTGCTCCGTCAAGGGCATAATGTTTCCTGACGTGGCTGCCATCCATAGCCCAGACAGCCATACATGTGACTGCACGGCGCAACGGCGATGATCGCGACGTTCTCTTATAGACGTCGCTGATGAGCGATGGAGCGAAGTTACACCTCTCCTTCTCACTGAGATTAGAACACTTGTGCTTCAATGCGTCTATCATGTGGTTCTGGAGCTCTATATTCTACGCAACATATCGATGAGCTTTGAATACGAACGAGGTAAACAGACTCATGACGCACGCTCCGGTCTTACGCTATGCAGAAATAGATGCTTGACCGACACATATAGAAAAGTGATTGACATATCTGATATTTGGATGCCAGCAACCAAAGATCGCACAGTATCTTCCGGATAGTGGATTCGTCCAAGATCGACAGGCCGAGGCTCCCACTATACATCCGTGAGAGGACCCTAGTGAAGAGCTTTGAATCATTCTTGAATGTAGCCAGGAATCAGAAAGCTATCTGCCTATGGAAGAATGAAAAAATGTGCTTACGTTACGGGCATACACGCAAACAGCCATCTTCCTCGAGCGACAGTCGTAGAGCACCTACTACCTCGAAGCGGTCGTCAAGAGCTTCGTCAAAGTGGGGAGAGTGAGCACAGAGGAGCTCAATGTGTGCATCGAATGGGACATCATCGGAGCCGACCGCGGTGCTGACTATGCCGCCAGTCAAATTGCTGGGCATCTACGTTGACCAGACGTCAGACAACGATGCTGTGCGAGTGTAAATCATTGCATGTCGCGACGGCCTCACATGGAAGCCGCCTGCCACACCAAGAACGTAGAGCTGTAAGTACTCTAGAAACTTACTCTTCACTCAATCTAAACACGTTGCACCCAGGAATATCCGCAGTCAGTATGATGTTTCTCTTCGCTTGTATCACATTCTGGCCCGTCGTGCGGCATTACGCGGTGCGGTACCTGGATGTCTCGTCCAGCATACCAAGCTGGTTCATCCCGTGGTGGTACATCGGCGTGCACGGATCAACCGCTTCTGCCACCCAACGCCAAGCTGTCATCTCAAACACGAACTCATACTCTTTCAAGCGAGGTTGCCAGTATGCCTCCAATAACATCACTATCCGCCGCCGATCGCGTCCGCCATGCGGGCTGTGTCCTTGCTCACTGGGACTCTTTGTCTGCTTCGTGCAACAAGCGCAGAAGTAGCGCCTGAAGTCACGGTCGTGGAGGAAGGCTACAACTACATTGCAAAACTCCCTTGCGCAGGATGCCCATTCTTATTTCAGGACACGTCTGAGGGTTTGAACGAACCGTGGAGTGAGAGGGTTGACGACAATGCTTTGGTACACTTGATCCTTGCGATACGATCAAATTTTGTAATCCCATACAGAGGCACTAACGTGGTGCAGCTCCTCAACATCTCCCTCCCCTACGACAGCGCCTTTCTCGCCATAAACAACGCCCCCCTCTACTCCGGCAATCGCATACTTCCCCTGGTCTACGCGAACCAAGTTGTTCAGGATTTCTCCGCCGACCAGCTCTCCACGGCTCTGGACGCCGGTCAGCTTGAAGCAAGTCACGAGAGCAACCTTGGCGGCGGCTTCTTTGGCCTGTCTTATCGCCACTCGCTTCGACATGTCGAGACCAGCCAGACCCTCGAAGCACTTCTTTTCCAATTCGACATTGTAGAATTGCATTCTGATCTCACGAACCCAGCGCTGCGATTCAATCTCGACGACCCAGCGCAGAAAATGCTCGAAGTCCTGCTGATACAACGCCCTGTCCTCTCTGCAGGCGATCCTTCCCCCAGCTTCGAGATACTCAGCGCGAAGCTTGTTCCACGTATGTCGCTCAGTTATGAACGCACGATGCACTTCCTCACCTGGGATACCCACGGCGAGAAAGGCACTACCTCGCACGCCGTTAGCTACGGCACCTCCTCCTTGATTGGCTTCCTCTCTTCAAGTTTCTGGGCGCTCCTCGGTTTCGTCATGGCTGTCATTGTTGTGTCCATTGTTGTGCTCTTGATGTGCATCTTTGGCTGGGAGTTCTGGAAAGACGATTATGAGAAGGCGCAGCACGGGAAAAGGAGGAAGAGCAGTGTGAAGAGCGTGAGGGCAGATGTGGAGACCGGCGCGAGTATAGGGAAGATGAAAGGGAGGTTCAAGAGCGCGGAAGAGTTGGGATTAGGGTTGGCTAGCAGAGGCCAGATTGTTGGAATGGGGAAGAGCGATTAAGACAGCAGTTGATGCACCGCACGATCAGTTTCGCTTACAGGGCTATTCAGGATACTTGTTAATCAATACAATCACCATGTACTATGATGGCCGGGTCCCAACGCTAGTCTATTGGCTAGGTGAACCGAAGGCGACAGTATTTTGGTGGATTGTGGCGCGGTCACTTTGCGCATATGCTACATTCACAAGTTTACTCTCGCACTCCAATTCGAACCCACGCTCTAGGATGACTATACTGACAAGCATCCTCCTCGCAGTTCTTATAGCACTCGCCGTTCTTGTCCTTCGCTGTCGTCATTAGGATTCTTCAGCAACGCGCTAGCATCACTGCGCTCCGCCTTAGAAGATATAGTCTAAGGACATCTTCTTCAGCATGGATTTCAACTTCGAGTCGCACTCCCACCTGACTATGATGAAAAGGAACCCCGATCGCTGGACTCCTTTCTCGGCGATCCGGTGCTCACCACGCTCGCTCCAGGAAGTTTGCTTGAAATCGACCCATCAGAGGATACGGACGAAGCACCCTACACCCCGGAACAATTCATCGAAAGCTCCCACTCCGCAGTCTCTGGTACAGGGCCTCGAGTCCTGCTGGGACGCTTCAGAGCCCCTGCGCGAAGGAAAACGCACGCAGAAGCATGCAGAATCGCGCACGAGAACGTTGAGTTCTACATCGGATTGGCTCTCCAAGATGCGTCTTAAGGCACCCACGAGCCATCTCACAATCAGCGAAGCATGGTCCAGGGTTTGGCGACGCAAACGGACGACATGAGCTTCACTGGGAGTCAGATGTTACAACGCATGCTGGCTACCCAAGAGACGATCTCGATACTGGTTTCTCACACAATATTCTCGCTGGGTCGACACCTAATTGAGTGGACACATCTCCGGCCTGATGCCCTGCGCTACGAAGAAGACCTCTTTTCCATTCCACAACGTCTCTTCTTTCAACCCTATGGAGAACATCCTAAACGAAGGTACTTCATCCATATGTCGCAGAATGCCCATATTTTATGATTTATGACTTATCCATAATGCACAGTGCTTCGGCTGGGCACGGTATTCCCAATGATGGGCCGGACTTGTCGCCGAGATATCATGATGCCTAGACGCCGTGGGCGGAGGTGGTTAGGATGACAGCAATGAATGAGTATGAGTATATGGTCGGGCTGTGGAAACGGTAAGTGAGACGATGGTGTAAGCAGGGCTGCTGAGGTCTGAAGAATGATAATTGAGGGAAGTAGGATTCCTTCAGTGACCGACAGAAGGCAGTGACCGACAGAAGGAAGGTAATCCTTGAGGCGGATGCTATTATGGACACCTACGCTAAGTTATACCACTGAAGATCTGCAAACGTATAGTAGACTGGGTTAGCACAGGACGAGGTACGCGCCTAAGTGCCTATGTTTGTGTGAGCCACTATGGTTCATGAAGCTGATTTATGTAAATCCCAAAACCAGTCTATGAAACCCCGTTGCCCATGCAGTTTAAACTAGGAAATATCGATGTTAGCCTGGTTCGACTATGAAAATACCACTTAATCCTTCACATGTATATTAGGAAATGTAAATAGCGTTGTTCGATGGCTGCTGGACCTTTGAGATGTTCTTGCGTTTCCGGACCTCCTAAGGCGAGGAGAAATCCCTAAACTCGCGCATAAATTCCTCGTCGGTCAGCGGGCTACCCTCGTCAGAGGAAACCGCCTCGGAACCTTCAATCTTAATGTTTGCTTCATGAGCATCTCCGTGACTGTTCTCAAGGTCAGCAACTCCCTCAAACACACACCTCAAACCATACCTCTCGCCCCCCTCTCTTCCACCGCCCTTCTCCCCCATCTTTCCCAACACCTCTCTAATCACCTCGCACCCCTTCAAACCCCTCTCATCTTTTTCACCCCCTTCGCCTTCCTTCAGCATCTTCTCCATCTTCACCAACTCCCTCAGCATCTTCTCTCTTGGCTCGTCCCTCTCCTCCACCGCCTCTGGACTCGGCGCACCAATCTTCTCTCCTGCACGGCCCTTATATCCCATCAGCAGCAGTCTTGGATCAATATTCTCCACCTTCCCATTCGTGTTCGCAGAAGCCATATTCAGCACAGCCATCGCCCCAACCTCGATGATTTTCTGACCCGTCTTCCGCTGCTCGGTATGCGACATATGTACTAGCTTCGGTGGGCCTGTCAATTGTAAATTCCCTGACGTCGGTACCGCGTGATTCTCGGACCCGGATGAGAGAGGCATCCCGATGCCCACGGGTATGCTGGTCCGCGGATTGCCGGTATGGCCATTTTGTCCCGCGTGCATCTGGGAGTGCATGTAGCAAGCTACATTCTTGCTGTCTGAGGCGGTTCTCGATGTGGGAGGCCGGTATTGCCGTGTCTGGCAAAGGCGGACGAACGTCGGGTTCGCATTCTGGTGGTGAGGCAAGGGCGGCTGGTGCAGGACACCAGACGGATATGGCTGCGGCGCGAGATCCGGTCGGCGTGAGATGTCATTCTGGCTCCAGGAGCGTCGATGAGGAGGATGATGTGTGCGATTGAAGTTGTGGACTGCACTGGGAGCGCAGCTTGTACCAGTATCTGTCCCAAATCTGTATGACAGCGGGCGCCCGATTGGCTTTTGGTAGAGTGCGTGTGGTGTGTGAAGTTGAGGCGGATACGGGTTTATTCCTCGATTTAGGTCGTCGAGGACAGTGTAGCCATGATGGCTTTGCTCGAAGGTGTATGCTCCAAAGTTGATCTCGGGTGAAAGCCCATCCACCGGCGTCGCCGTGCCGCTCTCAGCCCGAGAGCTGGCCGATGCAACCCTTCCATCCTGCAGTCCAGGGCCCAAGTCATTAAGGGCATCTTGGCTGAACGCGGACGAAAAAGTAGGCGTGTCACCACCATCGTAGAAATCTCCCTGACCCCCGAGCCCCTCTTGATACAAAGGCAGGTACAGGTCTTGGCCCGCCTCACTGAACGGCGCATTCTCCCGAGACATCTCTCCCACCCCTGCCGACGTACTCAAAAACAGAAATAATAAGACGGTAATAAGGTTGGTGTTACGGAAGCGTGTGTGATCGTATCAGGAGGGTTACACGGATCGATGAGATAGGACGTGTGGTTCTCCAGATATAGATGTGATTCCCGCGCGCGATGGTCTGGGCTGAGACATGGTGTTTGGTTGTGCTGGCGACAACGCGCCACCCGTCGGGCCTAGCAAATTAGTAGCACCAACCGGGGAAGCGGGAAAAGAGCTGGCGTTGACGTGCGTCGAGTTTGTTGTGGTGTGTCGTGATGTTTGAGTCGGATGCTGGAAGGAAGGGTGGGGAATCAAGACAGCTGTGACTCGCATCTAGAGTCAGTTACGATACCAAATCTCGGGAGGAACGTTTGCACAGAGAGCCTTATCTCGTTATAGATCATGAACAGAACCTGCACTCGTCAAATGCGTTCATTCACACTGAAATTCAAAACAAGCTTTAAGATCAAAATCACAGTTGCTACAGTCCAATATGAGCATTTTTGTCTTGGCTACGTACGGGCGTCTTGCCCCAAAAAGCCGAAGCCAAAAATTACAAAATAGTCGTACACGCTCTATTGCCCGTCTCCCTGCAACCTGAGACGAGTAAGTGGAATGACGGGGAGTCACCTACGCCATGAAGGGCCAACAGAGTGATTAGATAAGTGTGTTCATGACTTCGTCACATCGTGAGAACGCCATGCCAGCCCGAAAGAAAACCACCACGCCTGCAATGCAAGGAATTATAGATAAACGGAAACATGTTGTTTGCAGGGAATCTTGGTTTCAGGGCGGGAAGAAGCCGCACACTGTGCCAAATATGATATCAGAGGTAGAACATCCTCGATGGTGACTAGACCAGGAATCCATAAACGCCATGAACAGCCGATGGGAATGAGGGGGTTGATGACCTAACCGGATGTTCTAAAAGGTCGCCAAAACGCCGTGGATCGTGAAACAATAGACAAGAATGGGGAAACTGTCGATGGTGGTGTTCTCGAGTGTCCTGATGAGATGACATGAGGTAGGTCTGTCTTGGTATGACAAGTCCGTACCTAGACCTCTTGTCAGAAAGGAGCGCACAACAGCCGCGGGGCTACTGTATTCACTTTCGCCTCCAGTTCTGGCTGTGGCCGACAAGGCTATCCCTAGACACGAAAGGGAGCTGGAAGCCCTTGTTGAGTTCTGTCTCAACAAAGATAGAGGCGCGTTTGTAACGCTTATCGGTGTACTTGTCGTAGACAGCAGCGTGATGCTTCTGCGGGGCCTCGCAGCACTCGAGCATGACAGACAACAACGAGCGAAGCTGCTGTAAGGTATATCCGGAATAATGGACGTGAGCTTGCGACTACTAGTGTATTAGCGAAGGACAAGCTTGTTAGAGGTCTGGACACTTACCCAGTCACCCTTCTTCAGCATGAAGCGGGCCAGGCAGTGAGCGCCAGCGGCAAGGAAGCTCGGTGTGCATCCGACGAAGCGCTCATCCATGATGGTGATCTCGAGGAAGTATTTGGCAAGGGTGCGCGTTTCAACATCATAGTCATCAGCCTTGCTGACGCGTCGGAGGAAGCTCATAGGCCCCGGCCAGCCGAGCTCAAACTGAAGCATACTGAGCATAAAACGCTCCGCCTTGAGAACTTCGTCAATGGTGTAGGCACCATCGACCATGTACACAATCTCTTGTACCGAAGGGCAGTTGATCTCTTCATACTTGGCGGCAAGGAAAAGTGCGGTCGCGCCAACTAATTGGAGCTTGCCGAGAGAGACAACTTTGGCCGACAGGAAGCGGTCGACGTAGTTGACGCTGAGGAACAAAGTCTCTGGAAGAAGGGTGAAGCGGTTGTGGACTTGCACCAGCCAGTCCATGAGTACTGAGCGCATTGACCACTGAATCTCAGCTTGGAGGTCCATATACTGAGCATTCGGCTTCATGCGCTCCTCTAGAGAGTGCATGTACTCGAAGATCTCGTCACCATATTCGGCGACCATGGACGTATCCCATTGCTCATCTTCAACGTCTTCTTGTGTCTTGTTGGCTTCAACGAACAGCCTTGCGGCTTCCAATTCGCGCTTGGATTTGGTCGTGACGCGAGGAGCCAGAACAAGGGTAACGCCTCCCGTTGTATTGTCGCCACGGGACCGGATAGACCTTGCGGTGGTATAGCCGTCGGCTTCAAAGTATTCTTCATCGTCCTCATCCCAGTACTCTTCCTCGTTGGGGACGTGCAACTTGGCAAGCTCGTCGTTGCGCTCCTTCTCCATGACAAGGGCTCGCTCCTCCAGAGCATCAACATACTCGAACCTCTCTTGGATCTCAACGTGAGCATGAGCGTGTCGCGTCTCGGTCGTTGACGCCTCAACAAGTCTCTGGTGTTCAACAGGCACGCTGTCGTGTTGCCTCCGTGTTGTCTCCTTTGTGACTGGCTGGACAGGGGCCTGTTCGACGCGAACATTGTCGTGGAGAAGCTCGGCAGCAGGTTTGGTTGTAGCAACCTCGGGGGCTGGGTCTGCGTGTGTTTCGCGGAACACAGTGGTGGCCTTCTTCAGCAAGGCCTTGCGGGTTTGTGTGGGTTCGATTACGGGCTTGGTTACGGGGGGAGCTGCAGGTTCTGAAGCAGCAGTGCCGTTGGTCTTCGTGTTCAACGGGCGTTGAGCTGGTCGCAGCAACGCGTTCGGCTTGGCGAGTTCCTTTGCAGAGACAATGGCCGTGTCTTTGATGACAAGCTGCTTTGATTTGCCGACCTGGATGTCGTCCTTGGCTACTGCTCGTGTTACATTGCTGACATCGGCGAATACGGTGCGCTTGGCTCCTTGTGCCTTCATGGCTGCGACGTTGACCAGGGTGGAAAGCGCCGGTGTAGACTTGTTGCGCTGATGGATGGTCTTGCCAGCAGGAAGCTGTGGTTGCGCGTTCTCGTCGCGGATGCGAAGACTCCTTAGAGGACGTTGAGGCTAGGAGGTGTTAGCGACGGCAAACGCTTAGACCACGCGCTGTTGAGGAGCGCAAACGGCGGCGTCACAGGAGTCAGGAGCAACGGCGTGAAGGCGGAAGTGTTTGTTGCCAACGTACCTTGGCGTCCATGGTGATGTTCTCGAGGCGATCGGTACCGATGGCTGCGGTGACGGGAGGAAAGGAGCTCTTTGGCAGGAGCTCTTAAAGGGGAGCGGTCGGTCGCAGCGAAGAGACAATGGCCGTGAGTGTTAAGTTAAGGGTCCATCTATTGGAACAAATTTCGCGACAATGAGATACACGAGATTGTCTTTTTGCACGACGAGGTGGGCGTGGATGTGTAGCTTTAAAGGCCAAACACTGATTGTTGTTTACAGACAAAACACTAAACAGTTGGAGCGCGATTCGCGCTAGGCCAGGGACAGGGGTGCGGGAGGCTAGGCTGCATCCGCAGTCATCTCCTCGGTAACGCCGGACCATCCTGGCTCCCGGCCCTGCGTCATCTGGGCGCGTCCCCCATCAACACTGCGAAGACAACCTTTTGCGTGCGCACCACGTAACAGTAGCCGCACCAGTTCGATACTGCATCTCGAGCATACTCGAGGGTTCTAGAGACCGAGACGAAGACTTGGAGCCTATGCGCCCGCGCGGCGCAGAGATATGGCGACTTCAAGTTTGGTCTCGTGCACACGTGGAAGGCGCCACCGCAGGACGCGTCGTGGCTTCCTCCAGCCCGCGCTATCACGTGACACCCACCCACCCTCGACCTACCTCCTCACACTCCATCCGGTGCTTCAGATAGGGCGCAAGACGTCCAGAACCGTTCGCAAGCACTGTGCGACACTGCTGCCCATCCCTCACCGGCGTCGCGGATCCCATGGCCGCCCCCGCTGCGTCGTCGGACTGGCGCCTCCCAACGAATCAATTAAACGCACCGCCTCCCGTTTCAAACCCTCTCGCCTGGACTTGCTCAGCGCGGGTTGCTGATGTTGTCGCATGGCCTCGAAAAGCGTCACGCTGGCCCGGAAGGTCTGGCTGCTGCTCGGAAGTTGGTACCCCATCCGCCGTGTGCTCGTGCCAATGGCGTCTTTGTCTTCACCGACAAGACCCGACTCAGTTATCATGGGCCGGCGCAAACCCCACACAACAAAAGCTCGCGCGAACGGCGGGAGAGCGAGTTTTGCCGATCCAACTCCCCCTCCCGCTTTGCCCGGCTAACGCTCTGCTAAATGCGCAAGTGCTGGAGCTGAAAGAGAGTGCGATCGATGCGATTGCGCCCGCGGCTCGGTCGTCATTATGCAGGGTCGCATCCTGTCAAGCGAACCGCCGGCCAGCGCATCTATATCAGACTTTCACACAGGAGCTAAAAGCCATGTCAGGATTGCGCTGCTCACCTCATAAACTAGCTCCCCAGCGGCGGGGTGCGAGAGCTTGCCTGAGAACGGCGTTTGCGCATCTGGCGTAACACCGGAGTTCAACAGACGCCGCAGTCCCTGCTGCCAACGAATCCAACCGCTAGCAATGCGAGAGGGGGACTCGGCGCTCCAGAGCACCTAAGTGAAGCATTCGCCTGTCCATCAATGTGTCCTGGAGCTGGAGGTACTCGCTGGCCCTCGCGCAAGTGAATGCGCCGGCGTGCTTATTGGCCAAACGTGAGCGCATCGAGGCGGTTATGGCATGACCCAATCCGTCTTGATTATTAGTGGTTTGCCCGCTGCGGCATGCACTCGTAGCCACTCTCTGGCGCCTAACCCGCACCCCGGAAGCAGGCCTGTGTCAAGACCCGGTAGCAAGTAGGAGGAGGCCTTCGTTGTGTACATGCATGTGTTGTGTCAGTGGGCGTACCGTCCTGATTCAAATGGTTGTGGTCGCGCAAGCAGGCTTGACAGAGGCCGCGCGCATGCGCCCTTGAAGGCGCTCCACGCAGTGACTCTGCGCGTAATTCCTGTGAAACTGCTGCCAAAAGCGCATGCGATCGGAATTGTAGTCTTTGCGCTCAACGAGACTGCGTTGGCGCTCTGGGGTCGCTGCAATCTAGGTTGGCGTCCGTGTGGTCTGTGACAAGCGAACAGTCTACTCAACCGCAGCATCATTGCCCTTCTCCTCACTCCCACATCCCACAAACTTCAGCGGTAAGCTCCCCCGGCTTGTGGATGATGCATATGGACCTTTCATCGTCCTTTGCTGCTGCTCTGTTTACGATTCTGCGCATGCCCGCATGCTAACATCTCCTGCCGACCAGCACTCAAGCGGCGGTCTACGGAACGAAACCAAGCCCACTCCTCCGCCCAACTGGCCTGCGCAATATTCCTGACTGTGAGTATCCTTTCTCCAGAGCTTTGCGACCGCATCTGCTGTTCCTTGTCCCCCTAAGGCCATCAGGGCTGCCAGGCGAGTGCTTCGGCGCTGCCTCTGCCTGGCTCCCTGCAACCCGGGCGGTGACGAGGACCAGCAACAGCCACTCCGTTTTAACCCTCCATGCCGACTGCCCAGACCACAATGCACCTCATCACTCTCATCAAAGCACCGTTTGCTGACTGATGCCACTCCAGATCCCATCGCCGCTCCCCTTTCCGATCGTCTCCCGCGCCGAGCCTTTGCGACACCGGCCGAGTCGATCCAGCGCTCTACCATCGCCTCCCGTGCTTGTCGCACAGCCTTCGCCCTCATAGAAACACATCCAGAAACACACTGCCACTGTGCATAGCTGAAAACCGGGCTGTTGTCGCTCGTTTACCACATTGCTGTTCGAGGGTCTGAGAGTGGGCCCACAGCACAAGTGCACACCAGCGACCCTGGAGCACATCATGAACTCTCACGGCGGCGACACCGCCATGATGGACATATACCCAAGCACGGAGACCGGGTCAGCGCATGATTCACTGTCTCCGACCAAGTCGCCACAACCAAAGCAGATATCCTTCGAGTTGCTGCTTTTGCCCCAATCCCCGCAACACAAAGCACGCCTCCCCATGCGTGTGAACATCTACCCCCACGATACCACCGATAGTATCATCACGACGGTCAAGAACTTCTATGGGCTCTACGAGCGCAAGGGCGTTGTGTTCGAGGACCGCCATGGGAATACACTGATCGCTCGCTACGAGAACTTCGCTCACAACATGGTCGTCTATGTGCGCGTCACTGCAGAGGACCCAGACATGGAAGAGTTCCAAACTGTTTCGCATCACTCTATGTCTCCTCGCCGCCCGAGACTGGATGAAGCATTCCAGATGCTCCCTCCCAGTCTCGCCAGACACATGCGACAAAGCGAGTCGCCTCAGCCAGGCCGCGGCCGACGCAGTGCTTCTACCATGTCTGCCAGCAAGCGTGCCCGTGCTGCCGCGAAGAGCCGCGGCCCTAGCTCTCATGGAAGCTTCGCTGACAATGGCGATGCCAACGGCTACAGCGACAGCGAGAACGGCGACGCTTCGGTGACCTCGCGCCGCTCGAGGAAGGAGCAGGTTGCCAGCGCTGAGATCAGCGTCGATAACATCGTTGAGGGTGGCCGTCGCAAGCGTGCCAAGTTTGACAGCTCTGTGAGTAAACCTTATACAAGCTGCCGTGCTGGGAATGGAACTGACATACTGTCTCCTTTAAGGAGCTTCCCCTCTTCGTCCCTCCTCAAGTTCCGATGACCGCGTCTCTCTCCTCGGCCTCTCCCCAGAGACGTATCAGTGGTAACAACGCGGGCTCCCCCTACGCCATGAGTAACCAGCAGACGTTTGCATTCTCGTACCCCCTGCAGTCACCACAAAGCTACGGCCAGGGCGATGCCACATACAACCACGGACTGGCAACTCCCTACTCTGCCTCGAGCGGGCAGGTGCCAGGTTACCGATCGCGCACCCGTGGCACAACACAAGGAGGGCCGTATCGGCAATCTGGTGCACCAGGAGGCATCTTGCCTACTCCTGACCCGACCCTTGGTAGCGCAAGCGTCATCTCAGATGAAGACGTCGCTCGTCAGCTGATGCGCTTGGGCGATGCTTCCAATTTCTCTACGCACGGTCGAACTTCTACTTCGACGCTTGATGACGCATTGAGCGGTAAAGCAGAGATCGCATCCTCTAGCGAAGAGAGCGATGATGGTAGCGACGAGGAGCCGGAGCTTCCACCGCTTCCTTTCAATGTCGGACGCACCAATGGTCTGATTGGAGAGCCTCTCATCCGTGGATACGAAAGCGCCGACAGCAGCGGCGAGGACTACGACGACAATCGGGATGATTCCTTCAAGGGCGAAAGTGATGAGATCATGCCTGATGGACATCACGACCATCTCCAGCCTCACGTGGCCAAGTCTCGTGGGTCTGTCTCGAGCAAGACTGATCTCTCAGCCAAGCCTCGCGCTCTCTCCAAGTCGAAGGGCAAGGTCGCAAAGGCGCCCATGTCCCCAACTTCCCTTCCGTCTCAGTCGCGCAAGACATCGAGCGCCTCTACCAACGGACAGCACCCGATTGGAATTGACGAAGAGGATCTCTCGTCGAAGCCTCGCTGCCAGCGATGCCGCAAGAGCAAGAAAGGTTGCGATCGCCAGCGGCCCTGCGGACGTTGCAAGGATGCAGGCATCGGGATCGAAGGTTGCGTCAGCGAGGACGAAGGCAATGGCCGCAAAGGGCGATACGGACGTCACATGGGGGTTCCTGTCAAGAAGCCTATGGATCCCCCTTCGCTGCACGACCACGTGCATGCGCCGATTGCTACGAACAATTTCCTCATCGACAGCAGCACAAACGATAAGAGCAAGAAGAGGAAACGGTAACATGTTGCTAACCTATCGACCCCAGGCGGTGCACTACTGCACACTCGTCATTGCGTTATCTTTCTTGTTGCTTTTCACCGGCGAACTCTCAACTGCTTTACTCAGCGCAGCCGTTTTTGGAGATGACCTTTACGACGTCTGGATGAATTTCCTATGTTATCAAGCTCGAGTTCGTGTCTGCGCACTCTCTCAGTCGTTGTTTTGAAGTTGCTGAGCGCACACCACTTTGGATAGCGCTGCAGGGAGGCCATCTCCGTTCCGCTCCTTTTTATCCCAAAAATGCTTGGTGCTCGTCACTCTCTGCAACGGCGTGCGAAGGGCTGACGAGGGGAACGAGGTGCTGGTTTCAAATTGTCTGTCTTTGCTTTAGGGGTCACAGGTGGGCGGTGGATTTGTACTGGAGTGCAAGTTAGACTGGAGGACGGGGTATATGGGGATACGGGCGGGTCGGTCACGGTCTATTTCATATGTTGGCTCTGTTGCGTTCTCTAGTGCGTTTCGTTTACAATTTTTGGCACAGTAGCAATCTTTAGTTTACGACAATGAATGACTATACTACTGGATAGGTGTCGGGGCTAGTTGGGCTGGGCGAGCTTCTGGGCTGGTCTTGGGTGAGGCTGGCTGACGACAGGGACAGGCGAACGTGTCGGTCGACGGCAGCATATGTCAGACGAGTGATGTCGCAGGCCCTTGGAGTAGGTGCGCCCAACCGAAATCATTGCGCGACGCATCGCGAGAGATTGCGTGCATGTCTTCATCGCACTGTTCTGCGTCCCACTGGCCCCAAATCTATTTCCGGACGCCATCGGGCCAGCCACAATGCCCCGCTCCGAACCGTCGTTAAACCTTAATTCGGCGGCGTGGCTGTGTTCCAGCGAGGATCGCACAGGGCCTGGGATCCTGCCGTTGTACATGCGAGTTGTCCCACCAGGCTGCCCTGCTGCCCTGTGCTGTGACGACGTTAACGAACATGTCGGGCTGTGCCTCCGGAATCGCGTGGGGTCCCTTTCGCATTCTCACTCTTCACGCCGCCCGCCCTCACCCAACAACCTAGATATCCTCGACGCGCTAGGGTAGCCAGTCGCTCGCTATGGCTGCCTCAATCAAGGACCGCATTGCCGCGCTCAACATCGAGCAGGTGCATGCCCCGTCGCCCTCCAGCCGACCGACCTACACGTACGAGCAAGCCGCGACGGCGAAGAAGAAGCCGCCGCCACCACCTCCTCCGTCGCAAAGACCACCCGCCGCGCAGAGGCACCAGACCGTGAACAATCCGCCTGTGTATGACGCGCCTACGTCGGCCAGGCAATTTGGCAACCAGCCTGCGCCTGTACAACCAGAGGCGCCCAAGAAATCACCGGCGCTCCCTCCGCGCCCGCCTCCACGCAACAACACGCCCAAGCAGCCGCCCAGTCTACCGCCGCGCCAGCCCTCGCAAGCTGGTAGTCTCAGGCGGAGCGGTTCCAGAGATTCGGTTCTCACGACTTCTTCCAGCATATCTCACCTCTCTCTGGACTCGACCAAGACCACAACCAGCAACGGCACCAGCAATGGCGCGCGCATGTACACTGTTCGAGCACCGGCCTACGACCCAACGACTCTTCCCCCGCTGCCTGCGAGGAAGGTCGAGGACCCCAAGGCGAACAGCTCCATCAAGCGGGCTATGCGATCAAACACAGACGTGACAAGTCCAAAAGCCCTACCACCTCAACTCCCATCGCGGCCTAGCTTACCAGCTCGGCCGGCTTCAAAAGCTCACAATTCCGAGAACGATCAACCAGAGAAAGCACGGAGGCTTCCTCCTCCTAATCTACGTCCTGCGTTGGAGCTGGGCTTCAACAATACCGCGAAACCGCCTTCGCTACCTTCAAGCAGGCCGACGCCCCGTCAGTCCAACGGAACTACGCCTCCCCCTGTCCCCCTTGCGTCGCGGCCGAATTTGGATGCTATTCTGGCGTCGAAACCGAAACCTGGAGCTGCCCCTGCTTCGTGTCTGATCTGCCGAGATTTTTCAGGGCCTGATCAACACGCTGCTCAGTTTCCTCGCACTAGCTTGCCCTCGTCCGATGTGACATGGCTGGCCACACAGTTAACGGTACGTGAAATGTGGCGTGTTGATCAAAGTAGTGCCTCTTCTGGAGTCACCATTTTTTTGCGCATACTTGAGCAAGAACATTATTGATTCCAGCAGGCTCCATTTCCTTCACCGACGGACAAGGCGCGTGCTATCTTTGTCTGGTTGCACCACAATGTGGATTATGACTGTCATTCTTTCTTTTCCGGAACGATTTCAGGAACCACGCCTGAGAAGACGATCTCATCGGGCCTCGCAGTATGCTCGGGGTATGCAGGTGAGTCATCTTTACATTGCAGGACGACAGTGATAGTTTTGGCACAGTCGAACTGCATATGCCCATTGTTCATGAACACAGGCTGCTTAACTCTCAGCACGCGCAAGCCAAGACGAGGAGACATGCTAACCGAATAACGCAGGTCTTTTCGCTGCTCTTGCCATGAAAGCTGGGTTGGAAGCCGTCGTAGTTGGTGGTCACGGAAAGGGCTTCGGACACTCTCCTCTCAACCACGGCGATCCTTTGCCACCGTTTAACGCGGGTCATGCATGGAATGCCGTTCGCATTGACAATGGCCAATGGAAGCTAGTCGATGCATGCTGGGGCGCAGGTAGCTTGGGCTGTGGTAACCAGTACAACCGGCACTTTACTGCATCCGAGTTCACAAGGAGTAACGAAGACTTTGGATACACCCACTATCCGGAAAATAGGGACTATCTCTTCCGTAACGATGGGCGAGATTATACTTGGGAAGACTACCTCATGGACGACATGGGTGAGCGACTCCAAATCTACGGCGATCCTGAAGGCGACCACGGCGTCAACCGACGCACTTTTCAGCCGGCTATGAAGCACATCAAGGTCCAGGACCCACATGATCCTGTAATACGTTTCCAGTTCGCTGTCTCATGCCCGCACTGGGACCATGAACGCAATGGAAAGGGGAAACCGTACGTAATGACGCTGAATGTCGGCGGTCGCGATGGTAGAAAAACGCAGCATATACCGTTCAACACTGACGGCAAGAGCTGGTGGGTTGACGTCAATCGAATCGACCTCGGTGCTCCTGGGCAGAAGATAACTGTTTGCGCGATTACGTCTTTCGACAATAAGGATGGCAGAGGTCTTACGGTCCAACAATACAAGGCGAAGCAGGGAAGAGTCGCTTCTGGATGGGGTTCTGTCTGCTGCTGGGAATTGGTGTAATGTGGTACGATGACAAAAACCTGAGTACCCTGCGTTGCCTAGCGCAGCGGCCGACGCTCGTTACTCAAGGCTCTGACCTCTAATGCGTGCGTATAATGCGGATATGGATACCCCGGGAGATTATGTCTTGGTATTGGAGGAATGACACGGCTGCCACGTGTTTCTTGTATGTTCTGTGACTATTTGGCAGGATGTTCTGGGCCTGGCGACGTAGTTCCACGTTACATGACCTTTTCGTTTTACGTGCATTGGGAATTCGCAAGAGGGATAATCAGCATCTTCATATCTGTTCTGGCGGAGCGTAATTTTCTAGTCATGTGTATATGCTCCTGAGTTCGGTACTGGCGAGAGTACCCGACGTGATGATGTTGTGGGTCGTTGGGTTGGACACGCCCTTCAAAGGAAGTGAGAATAAACTCCACGTGACGTAAGGCTTGGCGAGCACCTGCGGCACCCCGACGCGAAATGTAGAGCTTCGGGACGCGCCTTCGCTTTCACGACCTGCAGCAATCCTCTTTCGTCCCACGCCCGCCTACTCTGAGCATGTGTCGCAGAGCCTTGTGATCCGAACACCCACAACCATGGCGACTGCACTCATTGGCATCTCCGTGACGGTCACGCTGCAGAACCCGCCGAACACAGTGGTGGAGGGCCTAGTCGCAAATGTCAACGCGCAGACATCCACGCTGACGCTGCAGAATGGTGAGGCAGGCTCCGACGCACAATTCTCTCCAGGAACGCTGCTAACTGACTGCATAGTCTTCTTCCCTGCTTCAGGACACCGTCTGAGCAGCTACCACGTAGAAGGGCACGCCATAGCCGACATCAGAGTCAATCACGCTGCACCTGCTCAGCCTCGTGCTCAACAGCACAACCCTCCACCCGTCCAACACCAGCACTCGTACCCTCAGTATCCCCAGCATGTCCCTGCGCCAGCACTTCCGCCAGCGCCTCCCGCCGTGCGACCAGCGCCGCCGCCCTTCGTGGACCCCGCCATCCTGAGCATGGGTAAACGAACCTCTGCAGCACCGACTCCTGCGCAGCCGCCGCCAGGCCCGCCTCAGGAAGCACCTGCCACGCCAATGAAACCCATGTCAGCAGTCAGTGCTGCGTCATTGCCTCAGAACACATCACCGTTTGTTGGCGCATCGAAAAAGCGCAGTGTTAGGAAGCCGAGCGCGGCGACGCTGGAGGGTCCGTTCTCGTCATTGGACATTGCAGATGCGGAGGAGCAGGACAGCGACGATAAGACAGTCAAGTCTACGCTTCGCAGGACGAGCATCAACAAAACGCGCACTGGGAAGCCAATGGATGAGCCTGTTGCGCAGCCGGGAGCCAGGAACGAGGAGAATGGCAAGCGCACAAGACGTGGCGGCAAGTCTCGCAAGAAGGAGGTCGCTGCACAGGAAAAGCGCAATGGGAACGACATCTCGTCTCCGGACGCTAAGCGCAAGACGTGAGTGTTTCCTTGATGCCAACTCCTCTCCCATGCACTGTTATACTGCAGTCAATTTCAGGAACTGACAAATTGTAGCAAGGACAACGGCTGGAGAAACACACCGATGCTCCAGGACCCCGAACCGCAAAACAGGACTCCAGGAGTTATTGGCGGGAGCGTTGGGATGCAAGCAGCAAGTGCGTCAAATCGCAAAACACGGCGCCAGAAAGCGATGGATGCGACTAACGGTTGGGCCACCGAGGATGCGACCGACGTTCAAGACCTTCCTGAATTCGACTTCGCCGCCAATCTATCCAAATTCGACAAGCGTACGGTGTTCGACCAAATCAGAAATGAGGACACGACAGCAGACGAGGATCGCTTAGTTAGTTTCAACCGCTTGGCCAGGCCTGGTACACATGGTGGGAAGAATTTGCACCCTACGGAGAATGTCTTGGACGGTCGCAAGCTCAAGAGCGCTTCGGGTTCAGAGTCAGATGAAGAGATATCCGACTTCGGCAGCGGACGCAACTCCAGGAGGACCATGTCACGAGCCTCTATCAAGCGGATACCTACGCGGCAAGGGAGCGGTGTCCAAGGGGACTTCGACACTCAGAGTCATGTCGGCGCGCCGACGCTGATGACACGTGCGGGTAACCGTTCGCTCATCAATCGGCCGATTCAATACGCTTCGTCATCACATGCCACAGGAAGCCCAAAACCCGGCCGGATAACTACACCTCCAGACTCCCCTATGCTTGATTCGTCATTAAAAAGCTGTCTGCGACTTGCTAGCAGCAATCGCAAATGTCATACCATCACCCCCGGTGGTATGCTCGCTGTCGAGGAGATCGCTGAGGTCGACTACGGACTCACCGAAGAGATCATGGCCGAGAACGCTGGCCGCGGCATCGCTGAGGTAGCCCTCTCAGCCATCAATCCTGGTGGACGTCGTCTCGCCCGCGACAATCCCAATGCGCGCCCCGTCGTTGTCGTCCTCGCCGGTAACCACCGTGGTGGTGCCCGAGCCATTGCTGCTGCTCGCCAACTCAACGCACGAGGCCCCAGGGTCATGGTAGCACTCCTGGGCTTCGAGCGCAACGCCGACTGGGACCGTGACGTCAGGAAGCAAGTTGACCTGTTCAAAAAATTCGGCGGCAGCGTAAGAGCCTGGTCGGACACGGAAGACGCGCTCAAGCGACTGCAGGCGCCGCCCGAACTCATCATCGACGCGCTGCTCGGCCGCAACCGCGAGTTCGACGCCCTCGGCGACGAGGACAGACGCACCGTCCTCGCTATCGTCGGATGGGCGAACAAGTCTCGCGCTGCGTGCCTTGCCGTCGAATCGCCTTCTGGTGTGGGCGGGAGCACGGGCGAGGTCGCTATCTTGGAGGGCGAGCCGCTCGAGGTGCGGGCAAAGTACATTGTCTGTCTGGGCGCACCGCGGTCGGGGTTGCTCAAAGCTCTACAGAATGGAGCAGGTAGGGATCCTCGCTGGGCGATCTGGGTCGTTGATATTGGCGTTAATCGGCCGTGGAGGAATGCGGGGGTTGGTGGTGGGAAGGGGATCAAGTTTGGAGAGGAGTGGGCTGTGCAAGTTGAGTTTGTGGAGGGCTGAGGGACTGGAGAAGGTATGAAAGTGAAGGCGGAGAAACCAGAATTGAAGAAGAGAGGAAGAATAAGCATGACTGTATGATAGCATGGCTTCTGATGCATTGCGCGGCGTTACTTGTTCTTGAAGGATAAGCAGCAGTTCTCGTTAGCTTTCAAGGGTGCTAGCGAAAGGTATCTACGGATTTACATTGTGCTGTGGTTTTGTGTGAGTGAACCAATATTTTAATTAGCATTTACTTGCTTCCTCGTGTGGGCCAAAGATTGCAGTGCAAGTGGTAATTCCCGCTCAGACTCAGCCCCGGGACTGCCGTGCGCATGATCATACAGTCGGAGCGATAGAGTCGTACGGTCGGAGCCAAAGATTGCCATGTCGGCCCGCGAGGCTACCTCTCTGCGCAAAAAGCTGTACAAACTCATTCTCCCCCTCGCTGGGGCTAAACACTGCAGTGCCGACGCACGCTGATCGGCGCTGCTGTACGACACGATATTCACGGCATCGGTGCAGCTAGAAAATGCTGTGTCTCCCGCTATGGGTCGGGAGGCCCACGTGCTGCCAGGGACGTTTTCTGGCGCGGGGAAAAGGAGGGTGTGTTGTTGGGCGTGTGGGTGGATGGGGGTGTGAGCTAGAGTTGTGGAGTGGAGGGATGTCCTAGCCTGGGCTAAGGGCAAGGTAGGCCGTCTGCAACCGCGAGATGTGAGTCTTGAGATGGCCGAAGGAGGCGTGAGTTATCGCAGATATCCGACTTTCTTGACCGAGTACTTGCTTCTGAGAAGTATGAAATTTTTCCAGTGCTTTGAACGCTGGGAAAAATTAATTTGGCGAGGTGCGAGAGTGTGGCGGAGTGAAGTTGAACTATGGCACAGGAGTTGGAAAATGCTTTGTGTGTGCGGAAGATATTCAGACACCCTCGAACCTCGCACGCACCTCGCAATTTGTTTTTCCGGCAATGGGCGTTGTCAAGTAGTCTTTCATTCCGCTCAGTAGCTGTACGAGCGGTATAGAAACTCTTTCGGAGGGGAGAGGCGTATGTTTGGGCTCGATGTGTCTCTTGTTGCATCAAGATTAGACATTTGCTGATGCCTCGTCACAAGTTGAACACTGTACACCTGTCACCCAAATGCAATGCTTCTACTCCCACCCCAGCTAATTGTTTCTACCACCCCATCCCTCCACTCACCCCATCCCCCGCCCTTTCCACATCCCTCTTCCACTCATCCCTTACCCTCCTCAACATTCCCTCCACACAACAAACCTCCACCGCCGTCCCCGCCAACGCTTTCCCAACCCTCACCGCTCTCCCAAACGCCTCCCTCGTCCCGCTCGCAACCTCGAAGTCTCTCGAGTGATTCGCTCCGCCTTCTGGGCCCGGAGGAATGGAGAAACTCGCATTGATGCTCGGGAGGACGTAGCTCAAGTTGCCTTGGTCTGTAGATGCCTTCACGTACGTGTATGTGTCTAAAGAGGGGATAGGCGGGTCGGGGATATTAGGTAGCGCGTTGAAATACTGCGTGTACGAGGCAGCAAGGACGCGGTTGGGGATGTGGTCTGCGTAGCCGGGCGTTACTTTGACCTCCACGCGGGCGCCGGTAGCTTCTGCGCCGGCGCGTAGACAGGCTTCTATTTTCTGCTGGAGGACGAGGAGGCGGGCTGAGGACGGGGCGCGGAGAACGAGGGCACCGGCGGCGTATGCGTGGATGATGTTTGGCGCTGCGCCGCCGTTGGTAATATGCATTCCCACGATGTCGTCAGGGCGTAGTTGCTGGCGGAGCAAGCCCACGGCGTTGTACGCGATGATAAGGGCATCGAGGGCATTGATACCGAGCCAGGGGCTATTTGCGGCATGGGATGCTTTTCCGAAGTAGGAGACTTCGAGGCGCGCGAAGGCGGTGGTGCGGACGAGGGCGCTGTTATTGGGAAGACAAGGGTGGGAGATCAGGGTGATGTCTAGGTGGTCGTAGGCCCCTGCTTCGAGGAGGAGAACTTTCCCGCCTTTGGGCGAGGGATTCTCTTCGCCGGGCGTGCCGATGAGGTGGATTGAGCCGGGGAGGTTCTGCGTGGATAGGATGTGTGCTGTTGCGAGTGCGGCTGCCACAGAAGCAGTTGCAATGAGGTTATGGCCGCACGCATGGCCGATACCTGGGAGAGCATCTGATTGCGTCAACAACGTGCAGGTGGCGAGTGAGCGGGTCCCACATACCCATCTCGACATTGAATGAGATGGCCGGACCATCCCTGCCAGTATTGAAGATTGCTGCCCATGCCGTTTCTATTCCAAAGGCATGGGGAGTAACTACCCATCCTTTTTGTAGTCGCATGAAATTAGTGAGAGCATCGTGTGCTTTGTGTTCATTGAACGCGAGCTCAGGATGATCATGTATGAATTTATTCAGCGGCCAAAGTGTGTCTTGCAAACTTTCAACGTAATTATCTATCTCAGACAAATACTTCGGAGAGGTTGCTTGCACGCCGTTACGTGGAGGCTTGTTGGCCATGGATATGAGAATGTAGTCATCTGTTTCCAACTCTTTCACATCCATTATTGGAACGAGCAGAACGGAGAGGTACAATGCTGGCGCAATGATGTGACCTAGACCATGCACGATAATGCATCTAATGCAGCAGTATGCAGTCGGCGCATGGCCAACGCTCCTCGCGTGGGAGGTGCCCATGTGCCATTTCTTAGCCGGGTAAACTCCCCACCGGAATACGAGGTCCCGAGAATTATGGGCTACTTCATGTGGCGATGCAAGCAGCGACGTTTGTGTAATCTGTGTAGCGAGGGGATTGTATTTACCGGCATTTGATCAAGGTGCAAGGGAATATTCGATGCCGGCAGTTCCACGTTCTCGCCGCATTCAAGCTCGTCGTTCGTAATCTGCAGAAAGGGCTTCTGTCCGTTCTTACCAGTTACCACAGAAGCATACTCAGGATGTACGAGGAAGCACTGCCAATCGCTGGTCGCCCCGAGAAACACCATGTGCAGACGACGTTCAATTACTGGGACGACCCGGGAGATGGTTCCAAGCCGACCCCGATAGTCATCGGAGGAGGCAGGATATCGAACAGGCGCCCTCATCTTCCTCACGATTTCGTTGTCACGGACATATCTGGCGATGAGGATAAGTACACCCTTGACGGCCACGGGTTTCAATACTGCCGCCACAAGAGCCTCGAGAAAGACTTCGTCGATGAGCATGCCATACAGACGCTGTACTATGACGAATGTCGGCAACTGCTCAAGGAAGTTACCGGAGCTTCTCGGGTTTATATCTTCAACCACAAAGTTCGTCGCGGACCGACGCAGTGGCACCATCTAGGGTTCAGTAACCTTGCCAATCGGGGCCCTGTGACCCGAACGCACGTGGATCAATCGTACGATGGAGCAGAATTGAGGCTACGATGGGAGTTTCCAGAGAAAGCAGACGAATTGGTGAAAAGGAGGTACCAGATCATCAACGTATGGAGGCCCATCGCAACAATCTTGAAAGACCCCATTGCGACGGCGGATTCGACTTCAGTCCCAGATGATGATCTTGTCGCAGCAGATATGACCGAGGACGGTTTTCAAGGAGAGCAGTGGGTCGTACGACACAATCCAGCTCATCGCTGGTACTACAAGAACCAATTGACGCCCGATGAAGTGCTCTTGATCAAGTGCTTTGATTCCAATACATCGGTAGCACGAAGATCGCTTCATTCCGCCTTCGAGGATGCAGCTCATCGCGACAAGGAGCCTCGGCAAAGTATTGAAGTAAGGTGTTTAGTTCTCTACGATGCTTAGCTAGTTCTTGGAAGCGCAAGTTCTACTTTCTTGTTGGTATCTCTGCGACAACCAGATATTGATAAGTTGAGGGGTAGTGACCATCCTACCGATATTATTGCTATGTACCATCCAAGATAGGTTAGACAGTAACACAGAGTGCGGGGAGCTTCAGCTGTACGCATGTGACTTCCTACAAATTCGTTCCTCGAACGCGTTAGCTGCCCCTCTACTACTCATATAGAGCGATTTACCGGCTTGGCACAGCTCAGGGTAGTATCTGCCGCTCCAGTCAATTCAGCCAACTCACATGGACCGTCTTTGTGGTGCAACAAAACGCATCTGTGGCCTTTCCTGGGTTTAGTAGCGATGTGGAGCTACCACTCTGGGAGAATGTGGTGCACCGTGGGGCGCGGGGAAGCGAAACAAGACCACCATCTATCTTGTGGCAACCGTTGATTCGTACAGGCGGCGATTGACGCGCTCGCCGGCATTGAGCCACGTGAAGTCGAGGTATATAAACGGTGTCTCGAGGAGAGTTGCAGGTCGTGCGTCGAGGTCTGGTAAGAGAAGAAGTGAACTCCCCTTATCGATATCCAGCCATCATCAACTCTTCCTAAACATCATGGCCCCCCAAATTGACGCCCCAAAGACCGTCGAATGGCAGGGAAAGCGGGTCCCGGTCTGGTCGATGCGAACTGTTGACTACGGCCTACTGCTTTCGCAAGACCCTGCCGAGGTTGACAACGTGCTCAAGGCCTGTCTCGAAGACGGGTACTTCTACCTTGACCTGAACAACATTGATGGTCGTCGCATGCTTGGTGACCAGCAAGAAACACTCAAGCTCATGCACCGCTTCTTCGAGTCCCCAATCGAGCAGAAGAATGAGTTCGGATTGATCTCGTCCCATCTCGGATACGAGCCACAAGGCAGTCGCACTGGTGCCTTCGGAGCCGGAACCAAGGACGGATACGAAATGCTGAAGGTTTCCCGTGACGAGATTCAGAGGGGTAGCCCCAAGGTACCGTCTCCGATCAAGAACAGCGGCGACCTTGGCATACTCGAGAACTCCATCGGCAGCTGCAACACCATCACCAAGGTCATCCTCTCGGCCCTCTCGACTGGTATGGGCTTGGTCGGAGCTTCGCGCTACGAGAACCACCACCGGAACGACAAGCCATCGACCACCACGGTAAGTGACCTCCAGAGTCAAATGCTTGTCGAATCTCACTGACTATGGCCAGTTGTCGATGATGCACTACCTGCCCTCAGAGATCACAGGCCCGAAGGAGGTCGGTCACCAAAAGCATACCGACATCAGCTCTTTGACACTGCTCTTCAGCGAGCAGTGGGGTCTCCAAATCCGGCCTCCAGGGACATGTGGAGCGCGCGAGATGGGTTTCGTTGAGCCTAAGAAGGGCTGCGCTTTCGTTCACGTTGGCGACTCGTTGCGCTTTGCGAGCGGAATGAAGATGCAGTCGTGCATCCACCGTGTTGTGCCTTTCGACCCCAAGGAGCACCGCTACTCGATCGCTTACTTCCTCCGCGCAGAGGACGACACTATGTTCATGGACAGCGAGGGTCGTTACGTGACTGCTGGGCAGTGGCACGACCAGAAGTTCAAGGCTTTCACTGACCCTTGGATGTACCAGCTTCAGGCCCCGAAGACGATGATCTTGGGTGGCATGACTGAGGATGGCGAGGACGACCCTCTGCAGCAGGAAATCGAGCCTGCATCTGAGCCCAGCCCTGTTGGCGCAAAGGCGCAGCTTGCTTCCGTTTCCGTCCATGCATAGTACCTGAAACAAATTTTACACATAGTATCACGTTCATGACAAGTTGCACAGCGTGGTGTGACTAGATGAATGAAGGAGCAGTCGCGACGTAACACTTGATGGGTGGCCTAACCGAATCAGCTGTAGTGTACCAGCTATTCACAGCATGGAAGGGTTACACACGACAGCTGCGCCTCCAATTCCTATCTGCACTCATACACTTCGCGGGTGTGCTCACATACCTCATGCATGCCACTATTGCTAATCACCGATAGGGTTGGCGGTCGGTTCTCCACGTGCATTCTTGTTGACTCTCTCTTGTTGTACTCGACAAAACAGCTTGAGATCTATACAATGTTATTACATAGTACACATCATTCTTACATGCGCAAAGCAAGACAGGGAGAGCGCGCAACTCTTCAAATGCCCCGTCTCTTCCGACTCTGGTCCCGCGAAACCTGGGTATATGTGACATGGCTCATCGAGAGCCTCCTTTTCTAGAATCCGTGTGCGCCAAACGCATCTGTGCCACCCTTGGCGTGGTCCATCTGTGCAGTACGCTGGTTCTTGTTGAACCTTGTCTTGCTCCGCGGTATGATATCCTCGTCAGGTTTGGTCTCCTTTGCCGGATTGGTCTCCTCTTCTGACTTGGTCTCTTTCTCTGCGTTTGTGTCCTCTTCCGAATTGGCCTGATTGTCCGGCAGAGCCTTCTTCCCCGTATTGGTCTTCCGAAGATCTGTCCCCTGGAACACAATGGTAAAAAAACCGCCTACATCTCCCTCTCGCTTGACCTCTCCAGCGCCTTTGCAAGTATCCACAAGATCAGTGACAGCTTTCAACACGCCCTTGGCCTCCGCTTCGGTTGCCTTCTTCCCCCTCTTCTTGGGCTTGAACAAGACCTCGACCTTCTTTCCCTCTATCAAAAAGCCCTCTAGCTTGTTCAGCCTGTGCTTCAGATCCCCGCCAGCAATAGCCCAGTTGAGCTCTAGGTTCTTTGTACTGGGGCCCTTTTCAAGTTTCCTTGCGACCTCTATTCTTCTGTTGTATTGCATTCGAAGGTCGATCTTGCTGATGATCTTGCATGTTGGGGGGTGCTCCGGATCCGGCTCGCCATACTCGTTGACCTGGCCTTCGGAGATGAGGAGGAGGTGATGAGTTACGCGGTTGAACTTGCGCATTGCATCCTGGAAGTTTACGTTTTTTAAGAAGGTGCCATGCTTGTCGATAAGATTAATTGTGTCGGCTTGGATAGCATTGTCAAAGGTGTAAAGGTCGGACAGCGCTTGTCGTACTGCTGGCTTATTGGTTTTTGTGCGCACAGCGGTGATGGGAAGTAATGGTATGTTGAGGGAGAATGTGGGCGCGCATCGAAGCGGGATCTGAAGACGAGGAGCGAGATTTGGTGCAACGAAGACGCGGTAAAGGGCGCGGGAGGTGCTGCTCAGGTGATAGCGCGACATTGTTCCGGATGTGCGACGACAGCAAAAAGAGCGACAGGATGAAAGAAAAGTAGACACAAAATCAGATGTTGCCAAGGGTGAAATGGAAGATTGGAAAGAAGGCAAGCTCCACTGGACGAGCGAATGTCGAAGCTTTCGGGAAGGCGCCCCGTGCGTCAAGACCTCCGAGACGCCCCCGCCATGGCGCATTCACACGCGTGAGCGTTATGGCTCGCCGAGGGCAGCTGCAGCCTTGCTGGACACAAACCGCATCATGAGAAGACAACACACTGCGTCGCACAGATTCATCCTCAACACCAACCTCATCCGCTTGCCGCCATGACAACACCGGCTTCGGGCTCTTCCAAAGCCCCGCCGCGCGACCCGCTGGAGCAGTACCTGAGAAGCCTCGAGTTACGCGACAGGCGCGAAAAGAAACATGAAAAGTACATCAACATTAGTAAGTATAATCTCTCCACTTCTGATACCTGACGCCCGCATACTGATTGATCGCAGTTACCGACTACGCCGACAAAGCAGCCGCGAAAGAGAACGAGCGTCGCCTCGCAGAGCGTGATGCTCCCGCAACTACAACTCCTGCAGCTACCACGCCCGATACCAAGGCCCGATCCAACTGGCGGTATGGCAAGTCGTCCCCCGGACCTTCAGTTGCATCGCCTGCAGACCCGGCCCACATCACCCAGCTTCGCGCCGACCTTGCGTCCTCGAACAAGATCCGTTCGGAACAGCAAATCGAGCTGAAAGCCGTAGAAGAGGAAAGGAACATGTTAAGAACTACAACAACCACACAGGCCCGCCGCATTGAGGAGTTGGAGAAGAAGACCAAGATACTCGAAAGGAGGGTCAAAGACACGACCGAGGAGCTGAAGGGTCAGAGACAGCTGGCAGAGCAGGCGCAGGACGAGATGATGGTGATGCAGATGGAGGTGAATGCGAAGGACAAGGACTTGAAGAAGGCCGAGGCGGATGTGCAAATGTTGACAAGCAGGTGGATGCAGGAGAAGGGCGAGGACGCCCGGAAGATGAACGAGGCAGTGGAGAAGGCTCAGAAGAAGCGGTAGAACGAGTGACAAAGCTCGGCCTCGTCGAGGGAATTCCCGGATCCTTTTTCAACGTGTAACCTGTCTGATATACCACCACGACTGATGTCTTTGGGCAAAGCTATGGCTCGGCGTTGTATACCTACCAGAACCAACTCGAAATATATATCTCCTGTCTTCTAACTGCTCCTGCTTTGCTCTTTCACTTCAAACGAAGATAAGTTGTCTACATTGTTAATGGGTACCCGCCCCGCGCTGGTGCCTGGTCTTGGCGTGAACGTGAAGCTCCCCGCAACATCTCAAAGCTCCCGCTCTACGCCCACCTAACACCACTCTCGCCACGCAGTCCTCGCGCCGACCACAAAGATGGGGACCGCTCTCAAAACATGGGGTAAGCTTTAGTACCACCCAATGCTCTCTAAACCCAGAGCATGTCTCCATACCCCGCCACACCATTTAATACGACCCTAGAGCTCGAGAACTCCATCAAACTCGTCGACCCCACTAAAGACGCACTCTACACCTACTCCCAAAGCGAGCAGAAAGCCGTCAACGATGCGAAACCCTGGAGAAACGACCCGCACCACTTCACCTCCGTCCGCATCTCGGCCGTCGCGCTCCTCAAAATGGTGATGCATGCCCGCAGCGGCGGCTCCCTCGAAGTCATGGGCCTCATGCTCGGCAAGATCGAAGCGCACACCTTCGTCGTGACAGACGCTTTCCGCCTGCCCGTCGAGGGCACCGAAACCCGCGTCAACGCTCAAGACGAGGCAAACGAGTACATGGTCGAGTTCCTGACCCGCAGCCGCGAGGGCGGTGGCCAGCCGGAGAACGCCGTCGGCTGGTACCACAGCCACCCGGGCTACGGCTGCTGGCTCTCGGGCATCGACGTCAATACGCAGAAGACGCAGCAGAGCTTCCAGGACCCGTTTGTCGCTGTGGTCATCGACCCCGACCGCACTGTCTCCGCGGGGAAGGTCGAGATCGGCGCGTTCCGCACATTCCCTGACAATTACATCCAGGAGAAGGAGAAGTCCGCGGGAGGCAAGAGCGGTGGTGGCGGCACCGACGCAGACGGCTTTCAGACGATTCCGCTGGGGAAGATCGAGGACTTTGGCGCCCATGCAAATCACTACTACCCGCTCGAGGTCTCGCACTACAAGAGCTCGCTTGATGCGAAGCTGCTGGATAGCCTCTGGAACAAGTACTGGGTTGGCACGCTGTCGAGCAGCCCGCTCATTTCCAACCGCGAGTACGGCACCAAGCAGATCTCGGATCTTGCGCGCAAGGTCCAGCAGGAGACGGCCAGTGTGAAGCGGAAGGGTGCGTTTGGCCACGGCCCAGATGCAAAGGGCCAGCTGAGCAATCTGGGACTCGCCGGTGGGAAGATTGCGCGCGAGGAGGAGATGGGGCTGCTGAGTGCGAAGGTCAAGGAGAAGGTGTTTGGAGTAGGCGTGGGCGCGGAAGAGGGACCAGGGGGGAATGAGGTTGAGATGAAGAGCTAGAGGGGTGAATTGTTGGCCGCGGGGTGCGGATGCATTAACGACTACGAAGTGAAACTCCAGGAAGGCATTGCTCGGTGTTATGGCGCTATAGAAGGCGTGGGGTTACGCCGCGATTCGACATGGCGTTTACATAAGGAAGTTCGAGCAGCTGAGATGTGTCAAGCATGCTCCTGGGTATGAGTTAGCTACCATCAAGACGAGGACTCAAGGCTTCCTCTTGGTTGGAGAATTACGAGGAACGAACCAGAGCCAGAATTCAAGTCAATTCGCGGATACATTGTGAAGAAGCTACAGTCCACGACCCATATCCTACATGCCGTATTTCCTATGCACAGATATCCCGTACACTACTGATACAAATGGCAAACAATCACTCAAGACTCTTCGTTGCTCATGCTTACTGCTTCTCCGCCGCCTTCTTCGCTTCAATCTCCGCCGTCCTAATATCCTCCTCAGTGTACTCGGACTTCTCGTCTACCGACTCTTCCTCCGCCTGCCTCCTGATCTCGTTCAGCCGCGCCTGCAGCTCCTCAGCCTCCGCCTCGTACTTCTCCGCCTCGACGACGTCGCCCTGCTCGGACAGGGTCTCAGCCGTCGACTTCGCAAGGTGAATCTTCGCGTAGAGCAGCGAATCCTCAGCCAGCGCCATCTCCGTCCTCAGATTCCCGGCACGCTTCTCCATCTCCTCTGCCCGGCCCTTCTTGCCCCGGAAGCGGTACGCATCTCGGCGGTGCTCTGCGGCCTGAGCCTTGAGCTCGAGCCCGTTCACCTTTCTCTCCTTGATTGCAAGGTTTGCCTCCGCGGCGTCTACCTGAGCCTGGCTGAGGGCGCCCTCAGGGTCGCCGTCCTCCTCGAGCTTGGCGACGATGGCATTCTTCTCCTTCCGGATGGCCGAGAGGGTTTCCATAGCGGGGAGCTGTTTGCGGGCGAGGTCCTTTGCTTCGGCAAGGAGCTCGAAGGCGGAAACGGTGAGCTGCAGCTTCTCGGGGTCGGACTCGGGGAGCGCTTCGGCGCGAGTCCAGCGCTCGTAGGCGGTGGACTCGTAGGCTTCTGCGCGGACGGCCTCGCGCTCGGCGTGGGGCGCGGTCATTAGAGCGTGGAACTGAGTCCAGCCTGGCATGAAGTCGTGGGAGGCGGGGTCCTCGGGTTCGCGCTGGAGGTCTCCTGGGACCCGGAGGCCCTGCAGGTCGGATCGGTGTTCCTTGAAGATGTTCCAGAGGGCTTTGCGCTCGATGATGATGCGCTGAAGTTCGAGGAGATCTTTGACGTCGACGAGGTCCCAGGTAAGTGCTTGCCTTCCACGGTCCATCTTATCCAACGCCTCTTCGAGAAACGGACGGTCCTCCGACGTGACCAAAAGACTCCTGCCTTTGCCTCTTTCCCGCTCGTGCACCTCGAAGATGTGGTTCAAGAGTCTTTGTGATGGGCTTTCCAACTCTATGGCATTATCCACAATGATAAGTTCGCCCTTACGCCATCGGTATGAGAGGGCTGTCCGCCATGCTAGATCGTAGACCTTCTTGGGAAGTTCCGTGGAGAAGTCGCGGTGCCTGGGACCGTGTGATAGACCTCCTCCTCTTAGCATAGGCGAATTTTTGTCACCCAGACGCGCTCTTCCTGATCCTTTCTGCGGTCGAATCTTTTTTGCTGAACCTCGGACTTCATACCGGTTCTTCTTGTGTGCGGTACCTAACCGGGTCATGTCTCCCTCATAGACGACTGCGCGGTGGAGAATGTCTCTGCGGGTGGGAAGATTGAGGTAGTTTGCGGGATAGCTTTGGAGGCGGAGGGGCTCGAGAGACGGGAACTTGTGGATGGTAGCGAGCACGGTCTGCTCTTCGAAGGGCTTGACGGGAACGAATCCATCGGCGGAGGTGGTTATCGAGGATACGGTCGACGTCGTTATTGAGCGCGCAAAGGAGGCGGAGAGCGATTTCTGGAGCTGTCAGCCCAACTCTGCGCAGAAGCCGGGGTCAACACACGGGAACGGCATCCTGCCGTAGCGACAGTCTGCTCAGCTGATACGAGACGCCGCGCATTGGCGACGCTATCCTGGGGGAAGCCATGCCGGAGGGTGTCGTGCTGAGATGGCGGAGCTGGTCGCGGAGGTCTTCCAGAGCAGAAAAAGCGTGGGCCCGTGCACGCGACCCGTTGATTTTCCTCCTGGACAACATCGAGCATTGCAGTAACACCACTCGCATCCGTCGCCATGGCGCCTGTCAAGCCGTCCGTACGGCAGTTCAGCGCGTGTTTTCGGTGCGTGCGCGGCGATGCCACGTTCAATGGCGCGCCTCGCCGCTTCTTCTCCTCCTCGACAGCTGCCCGCGAAGAGCTGCAGACATCCTCGACTCCACCACCTCCGCCTCCGCCCGCCTCCACCCCGGGAGATTCCGCGAAAGATGCGGCCGCACCAAAGGAGACTCCCGAATACATGAAGCAATGGGGTGAATTGGACCCGAACGCTGTGGAGCTGAAGCGCGACGAGCGTCGTCTCATCCGAAGAGAAGGAGTCCAGCCAATTGGGTCTCGACGTCGCCGTGCCATCATCGCTCGCGACTCGGCAGCGAAGGCTGAGCAGATCCCTTTTGAGCAGCTCCCGTACCAATGCTTCCAGGAGGCCCGAAAGGTCTTGCTGGCGGACCGCGAGGAGAAGCTGAAGGACATCAAGACGCAGATCATGAGGATAGAGAATCTGAAGGCTCAGGACCCGGCTGTGAGCGGGGGCGAAGCCAAGAAGGCGACGAGGCTGCGGAGCATGCAGAACCACCTGAACGACCTGATTGTCCTTGCTGACATCAACGACCCAATGGTCAAGAAGAAGTTTGAGGATGGAGAAGGTACGTTGAACAGTGTTTCTCGGACAGATGAACTCGTGCTGATTGGTTGCAGGTGATATGAACAAGCCCATCTACCGATACCTGGCCGATCAGAAGTGGCGCAAGTGGAAGCGTCTCGTTCTCGAACAGCGTGTAGAGCAGTTCAATCTCGTTCCCGATCTCCTGCCCGCCCTCGATCCCATTGCAGATGTCGATCTTGCGTTTGGTCGAAAGAACATACCTATCGGCGATTTCGTCGATTCAGCCATCAGCGAGAACCCGCCGCGTTTGAACGTGCAGACATTTGAGCGAGGCCAGAAGCTGGTCACGGTGGTAGTGGTAGATGCCGATGTGCCCCTTCCGGAGAAAGACAAGCTCACCTACCGGTGCCACTTCATCGCTTCCAATATTCCTATTGCGCCTGACCAAACATCCATCCCGTTGAGTCGCATCCAGCAGCAGTCTCGAAAGACTGAGAATGTGGAAGAGCAGCAAGTAGCGTTGGAGTGGAGCCCGCCGTGGGCTCACAAGGGCGCGCCGTACCACCGCCTAGCTATCTTTGTGTTGGAACAGCAGGACGCGAAGGCACTGAACATCTCACGGATCAAGGCAGAGAAGAGGGACGGCTTCATCTTGCGGAGTTTCGTCGATAGGAACAAGCTGAAGCCCATTGGTGTAACTTTGTTCAGGACCAAGTGGGACGAGAGCATGGAAGGTGTCATGATGAGAAATGGTCTGGAGAAGGAAGTCAACGTTGAATTCAAGCGCAAGAAGATAGAACCGCTTCCGTACAAGAGAAGGACGGAACGCATGCGGTAGTGGAAGGCAAAGCTGCGTGTACGGTAAGCGCGACTGGAAGTGTTCTATAAGTGTACAACACCACATACCTTCAATGTATCATACCATGATTCGGCATTTGTGCTGAGCTGCAAAGTATCGTTCTCTGCGCGGGTATGTTGGACCGGAGTGCTCCTTCCACTAACCGCTCCCCACGCTCCTTCCTATGTCCACAAACCCGGCCTCAATATTTTTCGCTTCGTTTTTCCCCACCACCCTGTCTTTTCTCGCGAACCACGGATGAGCTTTATCTTACTTCGGCCTGTGTGTTGATAGTTTTTCCGTTTGAAACCGCAACCAACTCTACTATGGCTCCACGACCCTCAACCCCAGGCGTGAATCCATTCGCACCTTCCGGTTGTGTACCTCCGACCCAAACAGTTGCTCTCGCCCTCGCCATCGTTAAGGCAACACCTCCAGGGATTCCAGCGAGAGGCCAGTCCGCTGTCACAGTTCTTCAATGGATTCTGACGAATCTAGACTATGTCCTTAAACTTCGAGCACACCTTAAACTTAGACGGCAGATGTTCACCGAGAGTGAACAGAATCGCTACCTCGATCTTGTGTCGTACTGGCAGCAGAGGTGCGAGACTGCCGAGCATGAATGCAAAGAGCTCAACAAGAAAATTGCTAGCCTTGAGCGCAGTGTCCATTGCCTAGGGAATTTAACAGTGCGCCCTTCCAATGAGGGAGAGCAACTTTCCCCCTCACCTTCCAAGAAAAAGGGGCCAACTTCTGCGGCGGCGAAACGACCGAGAAATCACAGGTTGCAGGCAGCGAATCCACCCGCTCCTGATGAGATACTCGAGGACGACCTGCAACTCCTTGAGAAACTTGGAAATCGTAAGTCATGCCCTCTCCTGCCGGCTTGGTAGTCCCTAACTAGCCACACCCAGATGGTACGACGGTAGCGCAACACTACTGGACCGCCCAAAAACTCCTCAGAAGACCTGGAGCCAATGTCGACAGCATCTGCGGCAGTGTTGTAGGAATTGCGAGCGCCTTAGGGCAGATCTTTCCCATCATTGCAAAGAACCACGATCGCCTAGCTGTTCGAACAGTTGACCAGCCTCACCTACGTCACATCGGCCAAAGCAAGTCTGAGCTTTCATGCTTGATGTCCGCGTGCGCAAGAGCATGGACCTTGGTCATCGTGGCTCTTGACAGGCTCGAAGAAGATAGCCCAGGATCACGTCGATCGGGCCTTGTCATCTTCGAGTGTGTGAAGCTCGTTTCCGCGGCACTCGATGCGATCAGACTATCTGCGAGACATGCTGCGTGGAAGAAGGGCAGCAGCTCGGCCCAGGAAAATATTCATGAGTCTATTGGTGCCCGCAGCATAGCGCATCTTCTCGCAACTTTCATCGGTCATCTGGAGAAAGACAGTGGAATCCACCACAAACTGTTCGATGGCATCGCGTATGTCCTGCTTGAGCGTGTCGGTGATCAGCTGTACTACTGCACTTTCGAGCGTGAGCGCGGTGCCACCATCGAAGAGCGAATTACGCCAAAATCAAAATCTACGGACCCACACGAGGTTGCCCGTCAAGCTACAGACGCTGCAGCCATCCGGCTCGAAGTCAAAGCTCTAGTTATCATTTTGGAACGGGTAATGGGGGTCGCCCCTCTGCACTCAAACGAGCAGGTTGCGAAGAAGAGCAAGACTGCGCTTGCTCGAACAGTGAGCCTCAAGAACATTTCATCCACCAGGATCAAACTGAGCTCGCTTGCGCAAGAGCGGCTGCAGAGGACCTTGATCCAATGTACATTCGGCCACCAGGTTGACGACGACTTCAAGGACATACTCACCAAGCCGGTCAGCATGGGACGCGCTCCGCCGGCGCCGAAGGTCACGGATGCAGACGTACCGGAGTGGTACCAGGCGCAGGTTTGGAGGCTCGTGGGCTGGGAGATTCTTGAAAAGGACGGCGAATGGCTGGGTTAATTGGGATGTGAGTGATTCAGGGTACGAAGATGGATGTTCTGAATTGCTTTAAAGGTCTCTCACAGTACCAGAGCGAGAATCGTCTCTTCCGAAAAAATGATAGACCCCGAATCTCACAGAGTTGTTTTGAAGCAAAATTAGTGGCCTCTGCCTAGACTCAGCAGTCGGTAGCTAAAAGCAGGGTGATCATGCCAAGACAAAGCTTCACATGTTTGCTACCATTGTTGTGGGATGTCGACCGCTTGTATCGGGTGGAGGTGGCACTCATCCGGCTAGCACAGTAACATACGCTCTAGGTGCCTTACCCGAGCTTCCGCTTAATATCATCTTCAGTTCTCATGATGAGTGAATAGGTGAATAAATCTAATATGTCAGAGCCAATCACCTGCTTGCAGTAAAAGTTGTAGAAAAAGTGTGAACTGCGCCAAAAACAGATTGCACGGAAGGGTCACGGTTCGAATGTGTTACTCACGCGCGAGAAAAAAAAAAGAAAGAGACAGCACCTCGACAGTACCTGGCTTAGAAGGCCCCTCTAGAAGAGAGACTTGATAATTTTCAGTAAAAGCATCTACCTATGCTAGACTCGCCACCGGAGTTTCTCGAGAAACTTTTCAAATTCTTAAATAACTATTCACCTTCAAAAGCAAGATGCGGGTAGCGAGTGGCCGTTTGCACCCCCGTTGGCGACGTCACTCGTCCGGTCCATCACTCACTCAACCTTTCTCTACTCAGTATCACGACTGACCACCGTGGACCGTGGACCGTTGCCAGCCGACGTCACCCGTTCACTCATTCAACCTCGTTCCCCCACCGACCTATCACGCAACAATTCTGTTCCAGGCAGCAATGGTATTGGGCGACATGAACCTGGTGGGTGCAGCGGTCCGGAAATTCCAACATGTGCTCCGCCGAGCGTCGGATGTCGCTTTCGCTCAGGATGTGTTGGATAGTCTGCAAGGATCCTTTCGGATCCCAAGATAAGAAGTTTCGTTTTGGAAGCCTCGTAGTTACTTGGGCGCATATTTGGGAAAGCCAGTGGATGGATACAGCACAATCGATCTAATGCAAGATGATAGAGCAGACGCCGGGTTTCGCATTAGCGATGAAGGGAGTTGAATACCAAAGCAAAGCGCAGCTTCAGATCGAGGCCTGAGTGAGTGAAGTTCCTCTTTTCCTGGTTAGGGCGTATAACGGCGTCGGGATCACACAAAATAGGTGTCTGGTACGGCATGGAGTTGGATTATGAATCCTTCAGTATCTTGTTTTTGATTTGGAGTAGGACTCACGGTGTTAATAGAAAAAGCACTTGGTGGCTATAATGAGGGAGATGTCAAGGCAAACCGAATATTCGGAAATATCTGCAGATTGGGTCGTTGACTTTGTGGCATTCGACACCTGCGGCAAGTAGCCTTGTCGATGAAAAGAAATTGCATATCGTTGACCCGCTACTAGTAATACATGCGCTGCCACAAAGGGAGCATTTTGATGACGCCCTGCCACTCCTTAACGCTTCCAGAACGCCCACTTGCTTCCCCTCGGAGCCTCATGCTTGATGTCCTCCTCCGCGTTCGACAAGCTTTGCTCGTCAGTCAATCTCGGGTTCCGGATCACGCAGGCGAAGAAGATCAAGATGGCGGAGAGGCAGATCCCGGTGACGCAGAGTAATCGCTGCACGTGCTGGTACACGTCGATTGCGGCATCGCGGTCGGGATCGCCGGGTGGGTGCGTGGCGAGGAGGTCTAGTGGGCTGGCATACCACATCACCGCCTCAGTTTGGTTCGCGATACGGGAACTGAGTTCGCTTGGTACGACTGTGATGTATTAGCATGCTTGAAGAGTGTGGAACCGCCGGTACGTACCTTGGGTCCAGATGGCGCCTGAGACGGTGTTTCCGAGAGCAGATCCGATGTTGTAGCACGCAAGGTAGATACCGGTGATGACAGCAACGTGCTCGTGCTTCGTAGCCGCTTGGATGCTGGCTTGCGCTGGGTACGGGAAGAAGCCTCCAGCAATGCCGAGGAGTACTTGCGCGCCGATCAGGCCGTTGTGAGCAGAGCCCGACACGCCTCCGCGGTAGTGGATGAGCAGCCCGAATGCGACCATGAAAAGGCATGTGCCAAACAGGATGAACGGCTTCAACTGGCGCACCTTGTATACCACGAGACCCAGCAGCGTACCCGTGATGACTGAAGCGAAGCTGTAGAGAGATGTGATGCGCAGCGCCGACTTTGGTGTCTCATTGAAGCCGACAAGGAGCACGGAGTAGAGGTAGTCGCCCTGGCACGTCCAGGCGAAGTTTAGGAACAAAGCAATACCCAGGGCACCCCAGACAGCGCGGTCTTTGAATAAGTGGAAAGGCAGCATGGGGTGCGGTGCACGCCTCTCCCACATAATCCACACGGGGATGCACAGGATGCCGATGACGAGGGGCGCAATGATGTGGGCTTGTCCCCAGGTCGTGCTCTCGCCGCCCGCGAGGGTGAAGGGGACCAATATCAGCCCGAAGACCGTGATGAGGAGGAGGATGCCGATGACGTCGAGCTGCCAGAAGAGGGCTATGGCGATCTTCCTGGGACCGTAGATCTGGTAAGGTGTCTTGTAGTCGTCCAAAGCGCCGGACTTTTTTGCTTTGCGGCCGAGCCAGAGCAGCGAGAGGATGAGTGGGAGGGAGGCAACGGGGAAGATTATGCACCACATGCCGATGCCCCATCTCCATGTCGTAGCGGCGAGGGTTGCGCCACCGACATCGCCCGCGACCCAGGTGTTTATGATGAAGGGGGTTGCGGGGATGTAAGAGAAGAATAGACGGGACCGAAGGGATGTAGTGTCGGCGATAATGACTTCAACTAGCAATAGAAGGGAGGTATAGCCAACCTGGTACAGGAAGGCACCTGCGGCAAATCCCTGAACATTTGTGCAGGATGCTTCGATGATGGTTCCTTTGGTGTTGTCAGTAGGTACAGAAAATCGTGGATACGCCAGTCTTACCCAGAACATAGAAGAAAACAGAGAAGACGATCAGCTCCACACGACCGAACACATCTGCAATCTTCGCTGCGGTAGGCTATACGTGTGAGCTCTTGGTGGACGATTCGATAGGAACATTTCTGACCTGAGCGGCAGCAGCGACAACAGCCCTAACAACGTTGATTGTAGAGAGCAGCGAGTGGTTTCCGAATCCAGAAGTTGCTGTAGGTTGATACGCATAGCGTAGTGTGCCGTCCTAGGCCGCGGGTAAGTATGCGTACCGCACCCCCGGGCTACAGGATCAACTTTACCAGACCATACGCGTAAGCAATGAAGAAAACTCCAATGAAGATAGCGATTCGGTTGCCAGTCGTGATATGCTTGCTCAGCGCCTCAATGCGCGCAACACCGGGTGATTGGGTGCCAATGAGAGGCTGGGATCCGCGTTGCTCATAATCTTCCGGTATTTGGGGCCCGTCGCCTTTGCGAGTAGGGCTATAATCAGACATTTTCCGGGGCTACAGATCGATTCTCCACGTACCAGGGCGAAGTGGACGAGACGCAGGATTGGTGGGCAAGCATACTTTATGTGATTGATAAGATAAGATCTGCCAAGCCCTCCCAGGTGCAGGATTTCTTCGACTTCGGACCCCGCGGAAGAACCTTCATTGGTCTTCTGTTTCAGTAGTGCTACTAGTACAGGACCGCAAAAGTGCAAACCGATATCCGTCGCGCTTGGAATGGCACTAAGAGTACTCAGCCTGGAGAAAATTTGATTTCGTACGATCCGACCGAGTTACGAGCAATGCTAGGGTCCTAATCTGATAACCGTTCCATCAGATTGGCTCGGCTGTCGAATTAACGAAAGAGCTCATGGCGCCACTGGAGGTGTAGCGCTCATGTCTGGTTCGGATAGGCCGACTTGGCCTTGGCCACGGACGGTTGCATCTTTGCCCAGCAACCCTTTGCGAGTACATCCATGGGACCGGTACGTGGTTATACCTGCTCAATGGGGCTCAGGAATGCGCCGCAATGCCGATGGGAGAAGAGATGGATTCTCAGCCTTTCTAGAAGATGACTAAATTACTGCATGATGATGTTGGTGTCATCGAAGCTTGAACACGACCTTAAGCACGGACCCATGCCCAGATGATCCCAAGAGTCAAAAGAAACGAACTGCTCCTTCCTCCGTCAAGTAATGGCACGGGAGACCCTGTACTCCGATATCGCGTACTACTCCTCGGTCGTGCCTGTGTCATACCCGCTATCCTCCTGAAATTCGACGAAAGTCGCCATCTTTCTCCGGAGATAATCGCCGTAAACTATCGAGTCTTCTTCACCTTCTATGGACACTGAACAAACCTCTCCTGGCTCAAAGAAAAACGGAATACTGAAACGGCCAAAACGAGCATCTGCTGCGTCCGGATTTGGTAGTGGAGCTCGCACACGATGCATGGTCGCCTTGAACCGGGATCCTGAGACACGAGCCATCAAATCTCCTATATTCACCACAATTGAGCCAGGGATGTAGGGCGCTGGGATCCATTCTCCAGCTGCATTGAGAACCTCTAGTCCTCCAGTAGCATCTTGATGCAACAGGGTGAGGATGCCGCTGTCCGTGTGCGGAGTACAGCTCAATCGTACCGCTTGCTCTGCGTGTTTAGTTCCGGGGCTGACTGTTTGTGCAACTGGAGGGTAATGTAGCAAGCGCAAGGTACTCAGTGAGTCGTCTATCCATGATGAAAAGAAATTCGGGTCTTTTCCAAGCGGGGCCGCAAGTAAAGAGAGTAAATTTGCAGCGAGCCTTTGGAGCTCGTTGTATATCTGTTCAAGTCGCTCTTGTTTCGCAAAGAGCTGAGCATCAGGCCAGACATTTGATTCTGAAAGATTGATTTTCTGGGCTTTTGCAGGAGTCGCCTTGTTGTGATCTGCTGCAGGGTTCCCAATTTCGAAACCTGCATCATCGGTACGCACAAGTAAGTGTCTTTGCTGGAGTCGTATTACGGGGTGACTTTACCCTCCTTTAGATTGTCTGGTGTCAGGTGCGGTTGAGTTGGGAAATATCTGGGAGGATAAATGACCTGATCGTCTAGATTGGATTCCACATACCCCCTGTAAGTGTTGGTGTGACTTTGACGGAATGACTTCTTTGCGAGCTTCATCTTTTGGCTCAAGGGTAATGCGAAGAAGTCGCGCGAAAGCTCAAAAATTTCATCTTGGCCGAAGCTCAACGGTGCGTTCTTGATGTAGGCAAACCCGGTTGTTGAAAGCGCGTCGTACAGCTTGCGGCTTAAGGCCTGGTGGTCGGCAGTGTCCAAAGTCGAAGCTTTGAGATTGTGGATGTCTACAACAGGAAGTGAGGAGAAAACAGTCGACATTTCGCAGCGAGTAATGAGTTTGTGGAAGATGAGTTTTGCATTGGTGGGTATGATTGCATATAACAAAGAAAGATGTTGCGCAGTCCGGCTAGTCCATCCTGTTTGGGAAGGAAGTCGTGTGCTGCTGATGCGGGGGTGCTGCAATCACCACTCTGCCCTTGACCAGGCGCGTTTTTATTCGAGTGATTGTGCGAAAGTGTGGAAATTGTGCTCATCCTTACGCAAATGGTGGGGTAAGTAGTCCGCCAACTTTCCGATGTGCTGCACTCTCCCCTCTTTGCTCGAGCATGAACTGCAGAACGATCTCGCTAATAAATTCAGCATCGTCATCCGCATCAACATCCTCAAGACCGTCTTGAATCATTTGTTGAGGCCAATTCCCTTTCTCTCCAAACACGTGGATGAGCTCTGTGTTCACGAATCGGTTGAACTCGAAGTGGCCTTGCAAAGTGAGGACGCGCCCAGGAACGTACATTCCTTGTACAGCACAGTGTTGCGTGGCTCCAAACACAATCCATGAGTCTGGAAGCGACTCAGCGGCAGGCAAAACGACATGATCTCCATGTATCATCTGCACACGCAGGGAATCCGGCATTTTTCTCGAAAAGACACTTCCATTTCCTAGCGTCTTACGGAATTTCCCGTTGAGACGAATCTCTTTTACACCCAGCTCGTAGCCATTTGGATCTTTCTGTACATGCACGCCGTACTCTCGCAAAAGGCTTTGGCATATCAACTGGTGTCCAAAGCAGCTACCAAACATCTTGACGTGGTGGTGATTATTGTATACATCCAGTACGTAATCGTTGAGGCGCCGGATCCACTCATCTGCATCATACGATGCAGCTGCAGAACCTGTGATAAGAATAACGTCGATGTCTGCCAAAGAAGACGGGTATTGGAATCCTTGGATATCGTATTCTTCTGTTTCTATTACCAGGTCTGGAGTGAATCGTGAGCCAGCCGCAAGGAGGAGGTCCTCAAACATTTTGCCGTATGTGTTCCATTTTGGCCGAACAGTGGACACTGGCGTGTCGGTGTTGAACATCGCTATACGTAGCTTCGACATGATGGTGAGTTGTATCCTGAAGAAATGTTGAGGTAGCCTTGGTGGTACTTCTTTAACAAGAGTTGTTCACGAAGCGTGACCTGGAGAGAATGCCCGAATTAGGAGATAGCGTTTCCGGGAGTGTAAGTGTCGACATGTGATTGGCTGCTTTAGACGCCTAGCAACAGTTGGTGATTGACAACCGGCTATCAACGGCATGAGCCGATCCAGTACGACAGATGACATCGATTCACAGTCACTACAACAAATTTGTTTTTTACGAAACAGTAAAAAGCAATTTCAAACTTATGGAAAGATTTTAGCACGAGTTGTGACTAGGTCTACTGAACATGTCGCGGTTGGTGAGAAGCGACTCTTTGAGCAGAAGCCTGATGGCTCAATGACAGCGAAGCAGACTGTTTTATTGACAGATATAACTCAGAATAATGCACTGTCCATGAACGCTGTTATTGATGTTAAGGAAATTGACTAATAGGATTCACATGGCAGCCTATCGCTGGCAACCTCTAGGCTATTATTGCAATCTGCCTTGATAACGTTAACCACAATGTGGAGCTTGAGCTTGAATTCAAAACCCTCTTGCAGAAGAGGACAGCAGAGCACGAGGCAAGAACCAAGCCATCGAAGTATGGTGCGCAGATACGAAACTGTTTGATAGGCATGGCACCGTCATCAGGAGTCCAAGTAGCCTAAAAATATCACAATGTCTGTGGATTATAAGTATACCAAAGCTTTTAGTTGCCACACTAGCTTGAGGGCAAAGGCCGGTGCTACGTATCTAATAGCGAACCACGCATCATCTCTGAAGATGCGTCCCATGTCGCACTTCTTTGCCGGCGCCATCAACGAGAAACATCTCAGTTCACACTACCTGGGAGAGGCGAAACGACACATGAACGCACGACTTGAGAGTTTTTAGGTCCCATATTTGCACGGACGAAGCATGAATTGCTTATGTTGATATTGGCCGGCTGCACCTCTGATCGTATTCTCCTCCAAGCAGAACATGCCTCACAACAAATGCATCTTCCTATATCAGGGGCTGACGCAAGAGAATGGAGCCCCAGTGCACACCTACTCCTGCGGTATCTCACTATACAATACAATCACACAATTATAACTTGATAATCTACCCGAATCTCAACAGCTAAGAATACATATTTATTGTCAGCCACTGTGTGTCAACCATCTTGATATGCATGTTCTCGAAATGTGACTTTAATGTATGGATTAAGCATGCTAAACGGTCAATTTGTATATCAACTTGTCGGGTCGCTTTGCCGACAGTATACATCATACTTCCAGGTGATGGAAACGAAGCGAAGAACACAAGAGATTCAGCGCGGGTGCGCGATCACGTTCGATTCGAAGATGCAATTGGCGTGACGAATGTAGGAGAGATCGAGATCGAGATCGATATGAACAAACGGCAGGTAGTTGTTGAAGGGGTCAAAACGGCGGGAAGTTCGAGCTTGGTGTGTGTGCGTGTGTGCGTGTGTGCGGTCCAATCGACGCCATTAAGGGCTACCGGTAACGGTCAGCAATCAACAAGCACCTTCCCTGCGTTCTTCTGCGAGGTCGTTACGAGAACCTCGCCGCGCTGCGTACGGGACTAAAGACCCACATCTAATGGCAATCTGCGATTAGCATAGCGAAGCGTGCAATATGGGTACTAGAACAATTTCAAACTTCGGATCGGGAACAATGGAGTCCTTGCAATTGAGTGGACGCATCGACACTCAAGTGCAGCTTAGGTATGACACTTGTAATAGTTTCAGTCCTCAATATTAGACGTTTTCGATTTATCAGATCATGAGACTTCGACAGTTCAGAGTGGAAATGATTGCATGCTAACTCTATACAGTAGTAAAGGTTGGGTGCTGCGGCATACTTGCCTCTCAAAGCCCCGAGCCGATCACCCTGAGCTCATGTTTACAAGCGCGCCGCCACTTACTTCGTTTCACGCCTATGCTAGCCCTAACGGCCGGATGCTCCCATGGCCGAGAGCGAACCCAAAAGACTTTTGCTCTGATACGTACAACCCATGATCTTTGTGCTCTCGACCATTTGATGCGGCAAGTGTTCACCTTTCCTAATGTCTCAGAAAACTTCTGATTATTTTGCAGTTGCCTGCCGACTTGGTTCCAGGCGTTTCTTCGGAGATTGATGAGGAAATAAATAAGCTCCTAGCTCCACGGGTAATCAGACTTTGCGTCTTTTGGCTGACCGCTGAATATGCTTCGAATGAATCATCTGAAAAAGAACTACGCGACCCCACTTGCACACGTAGCGACCCATAGCGCCCGATCCCGCAGATCCGGATCCGTCTCCGCAGTTGCTGGATGGATCGCGCCTAATTGAGCCCAATAAAGTTCGCCATCAAAACACATCATAGCTTGGGGCACCCGTTAAGCTCTCACATATGATCGTTCAACAATGCCGTCCCATTCTATACCTTGCCACGAAGACACAAAGCATGGTCGTCATGGCTTTCCTGTGGTCTTCCTACTTACAATCTCTACAACTGAGCCATGGCTCTAGTGCATCCCCTGTTCATCCTAGAAGTAATTCGGTGTACACAGACCCAGATTATGGCACCTCCATGCAGGGTCGCTTGGCGTATGGCTTGGTTTCATTCTTCTGCTTGTTCTCCCTGGCCTTTGTCTTGGGTATGCTCGTATGCAGCAGTGTCCGACACAAGCTGATCGCTCCCAGGTATACGCGCGAAGAGATTCGAGAAGAAGAAACTCAAATTCACATGGCTCCTGGTTCATGTACAAACACTGATAGCTCTTGGCCTTGTAATTTCTTCATCTATTCTGGTAGTCACATTCGGGACTACAACGCAAGAGCAATGTTTCTCTGCAATCATGGTATGCGTAGTCTTTTACATCACCGCCAAGATGTGCCTGTAAGTGGAGGTCCCTACGTGTCATACAAATCGAGTGTAGCTTATAGCATTAGGTACATGTTTCTCCTGGAAAGAGCCCATGTCGTCCGAGCGCCGTTCATTCGCAAACGCACCGATGACTGGGTGTGGGTTGGCGGTACAACTTTGATTTGTGTTACCTTTGGCGCAATCTCCATCTGGGGCCTCATTACCCCTCACGCTGAGCTCAGTCTAGACGACGGACAGTGTCGCATCGGATTAGCGAAAGTCCCGGCCTATCTTTTGCTCATTTTCGACGCCTTGATCAATGCCGCCCTCACTGTATTATTCGTCGTTCTCCTTCGCCCTGTCCTAGAGTTCCGCGAGCGTACATCGACTTGCTTCGACGATGGGAATCCATCCCCATCTGTCAACCGTTTTCGTCAAGCTCTGCGGCAGCTGCGATCCTTGGGCTTCAAGGAGGATGAGGGGACGGACAATTTCTCCACCAGCATCAAGATAGTGCTCTGGAAGAATGTCGTCGGCAGCGGCATCACATTTATGGCATCTGCAGCCAATCTCATTGTCTTTTTCTCCGAGAAGGGCAGTCAACTGGCTTCTGTTTGTCTTGTGTCTTGTATGGCTGATGGTACGCCCTGTACCCTCGACTTTGCTAGCTTTCATTGCATACTGACTCGCGTACAGTGACCTGCGGTGCCCTTGTCGTGCACTGGCTTACTATCGGTTCGAACGAGGAGATCCACGTTCCTCCAAGATCGACCCGTTCAAATCATACGCCGTCACTGTCTTCCTCATCAACGATAGCAGCCATCTCAAAACCTGAAGACATTGTAAAGCCGTCCAAGCCAGAGAGCTAAGAGACTCATATGTCGGTAGAAATGGAGGATCATATATACCCTACCTATTTTCAGTCATTTCGGGTCCGGAACATAAGACTCCATTCATCCATGAAAGTTATTGGGACGAGAACGACTCAGCTCCGCCTATTTCTGAATAATCCATTGCAGCCCAAAGCACATCCCCGTCGGACACATTGTAGAGTTAAGATCAACATCCACTCCATTCCACGCTCTCTTGATACCGCCCCTTGGCTAATTCGATCCTGAGGATGCGGTTGATTCACAACCCACGCATCCGCCAAAATCTTATCTTAACATCACTAAGCGTACGAGGTCCCCCGGGCAGCGACGCTGCAAGATCCGCGGTTGAGGCAGTAACCTGCGACGTGCTCGATCCGATACTTTGCATATTAGGATTATCGCGGATGCAGTAGACGTCTTCGCCCGCTGCGAATATGTGCGGGAGGTGCTTTGTGTCGTCGAAGTTGTTGTTCTTATTAGATAGGAAATGCAATCAATCATTCAGTTCAACACTTCTGGTACATGGCGCCCGTGGTGGGTTTTGTCGCGCCGACGACGATCATATTGCGGAGATGACGGGCGCCGGCGCAAAGCCGGCTGGTTAGCCATCTATATTGTTCTGGGCATTGCAGTTGGTCAGCTTGCGTGCGTGTTCTTTTGGTTTTGAAGCAAGAAACTCACGGTGGTGGGCATGTTGCCAATGAAGTCATTGCCCATACCGACTACAAGAACGACACCAGCCTCGTCTAGGAGCTTGAGGTTCTCGTCCAAGGATCGGATCCAGTCTTCGTCAGCTCGCTTCTTGACGGGAGGATCTTGGGATTCGCTTGGGCTGCCTATTCGCCCACTGGAGCCCCCTGGTCTGCTTTTGTGGGGCTTCGGATTGCTTGGGTAGGGGCTAACTGCTGCGGCTTTCCTGGATGACATCGACTTGGACCTCAGCTAGGGGCCAATACCTGTTGAACTTATGTACCATGCCTCAGCTTGCGTCAAACTAATAATAAGGAATGGAGCACTTACAAACTGAGACTAATCACAGCCTTTCCAGGCCTCTTCCTATAAATGTCCTCAAGAATAAGCGAAAGCCCAGCAAACCACCTCGCCCGGCCCTTCTGTTTACCATCTGCCGCTGGTTTAGTCCCAGGCTGTTGGGTTCCCCCCACAGATGTGACCTTGACCAATACGACGTCAGAGTTCTTCGCAACACCATGCACGTTCCTTACTAGCCATCTTCGATAGCATGCAAGTCCCATGGTGCAAGTCGGACTCTTTGTTAGTAGTCTCCGCAGGGAGCGATCGGACCTCTATTCAGTAAACCTTGCACAGTTTCTTGGAGCGGCAACGCTACGATGGCGACGATTGAGTCTCCCGGTGCAAGGTCAGGCGATCCTGATACTTAAGACGTCCGACAATACTGTTTCTTTCGTCTATCATAGCCTCTTAAACAAATCCACCCTCTCAGACGTCAATATCAAGCTGCACTACAAAGCTTCCGTGCACGATTACATGCCCTTAAATTGATTCTGGCGAGGGTCTGATCATTGCCAGTCCCTTCAGTGCCTATCAACCATTATAAGCCGTAGTCAATTCAGAATGAAGGGAGTTTGAGTTTGTGAAATTCATTACTTTTGTTTTATATTTGTTGTCCGGCAACGACAGCATGTATGGTCAACCATCCATGCTCGGCCTACCTATGTCGGCGAGGAAGGCGGTGATACAAATACCTCACCTCCACGTCGATATCATACAAATATCAGTAACATTGTCCGATTGTTTGACCAAGCAGAACCGGAACAAGCCTCAGGTGAAGCTTACCAGGCGCCACGCCGCTCTCCAAGCCCCAATTATTTCTTCTTATACACTCTCCCCTCCTATGACAATGGTAATGGCAAGCCTCTCGGAGCTCAGGCAATTTCGGATAGTTGGAGGAAAACGTGCTGGTGCCAGACTTCGCAGAAAGTTTCGACCCAAGATTCAAGAGAAAACCACGGGGCAGCTCTCCCTTGCGGACCATGGCCAACTTTTGAATCCTAGCGTCGGTGAACTTCAGTGAGACTAATTCAGATATCAAACGGCGTAGGGGATTGTCCTCAGGCGAGTCTTTGAGCGCGACGTAGATCTGAGGAATGGTGTCCACGACCATAGATAGATCATAGGTGCAGTTCTTCGTCTCGTCCAGCCATTCTAGCATGCTATCGATCACCCTATCTCGAAAATCCATATCGGCGAGCTTGTAAACCAACAGATACGATTCTGTGAGCTTGCTCCATTCCTCGCGGTGTGATGGATGGAAAGGTCCAAAAGCTACCTCCTGACCACCGTCTTAGTATGGAGTCCTCTCGTGTGCAACCATTGCTGGTTCATGCTGAAGGCCTCGGATTGTGCATCCGGCAACGAAATATAGGTGGACATCTGATGGCGAATGCTCGCAAGGTACGGTGATCGATATCCTAAATTTTCATGGACGGTGAACTTCTTGTGATCATTCGGCTCACGACCAACACGAACGGCCAGAACTTTCGTACCGAAGCTGTTGACATCGAGTCAGTGTATTCTATATATTCTCCGAAATGTCTCCGCACATACTCAAAGGTTTGTGCATGAGAGGAACGCACGCCTACACGCTTGGCCGTTTTCGTGTTAGCTTGACCGAATAGAGGAGTCGCAGCTTGAAGGCGGAGGCGCAGGAGGCAGGGAAAGCCATCGAATCAGTCAACAAAGGTGTCTTCTCATTCCTTGTACTTCCCATCGTGGGAGCGTCTCGCTCTGCAACTCGTATAATACTAACGAAGCCACCCTCACAGGTGCCCGATACCACCTCCGCTCGCTCGAAGCCTCGCAGCCTCAAAAAGCACAAACAGAAAGAAAAAGAAGCGAACGAAGACGTGTCTGCCAGAGCCAGCAACAGAAGAGCTCAAAAACGCCAACTGGGTATCGTACAAGATAAGCCGTGCCATGCGTAACATTGACAGACATCCAAAGCCGAAGCAAGCCAAAACGCGAAACAAGAAAAAGGAATGGTAAATAGGCACAGCCTGACCGGCCGTGATGTATGCATATCATCGCTCATGCGCGTTCGTCCGTGTTGATCCCTCCTCGTCCACCACTAATAGAGTATGGGTCTCCAAACTCTTCAGAAAAAGCCACTACTCACGCTCTCCTTTGGCGTGGCCCAATCGTCCGGGCTTACCATATCGTCTCCATCGTCTGTCGAACTCTCACTGATCGCCCGCTCCCGCCCTCTCAGCTCGCTCGCTCGCGGCGTGCTCGCCTCGTTGCTCGCGATGATCGCGTCGGGGCTAGGCGTGGGGTAGCTGGGGCTTGCGGCGCTGACGAACTTGTGCACGAGGTTGTGCAGGTCCGCGAGGTCGCGTTGGAGCGTAGAAACCTGCGCTTCAAGGGCTTTGCGCGCGTAGCGCTCGTGCTGGAGGGAGGATTGGAGGGCGGCGAGCTGTGCGTGTATGTCGGCCACGCCTTCTTGAGCTGCGTTCGATACGGGCAGTTCGTTGACTGCGGAGAGCGGAGGATGGGCCGGCGAGCCTGGCGCGGGCTTCTCGTCTTCGTACTGTCGGAGGTGCAGTGTGTTGTGACTGCCCTTGCTGGAGTGGTGCGAGCCCTGGCGCTGGCTTGAGGCAGACGAACTTCTGTTGCGCGAGCGCCGGCCTTTGGGTGCGTTGTCGAGGATTATGGTTTGTCGGTTGCTGCGGCCAGACATGCGACGGACGGAGGCGTCGAGCGAGCGCATGTTCTCTTCGAGATGCTTCACGCGGTCTTCGATCGAGAGGCGGCGCTCCGGGTGTGCGCTCGGAGCTGCGGGTCCTTCCGCAGGTTGTTCCGAGTCATCGTCGTCGGAGAAGTCGCTGCGGAAGTTGCCGAAATTGAAGGCTTCGACGGGAAGTGGGACCTGCGAGGTGTCGTGGTCGTGGTCGTGCTGTGTAACTACAGTAGGAGCATGCACGGAAACCGCTTTCGTAACCATCTCACTTAACTCCGGGAGCTCTCCCTGCGCTTCGATGCTCCGAACAGTCTCTACGGTCTGGGCCGTGCGCGGTCGCGGAGTGTTCGTGCTGTACACGCTTCCGGAAGCGTAGCTGCTCCTCCAGTACCGTATTTCAGCGCTTCGCCGCCGCTCCACAGACGGCCTGCCCTTTGTCATCTCGCGCAAGTTGCCTGCACTTCGCGATCTACGCTTCTCTTGGACGCTTTGGGTGGATTGCCGCTCTCCAGGCGGGCTGGAAAGAGCAACGCCAATCTCAGGCGAGGGAATGTACTCCCCAGATAGCCTTTCTTCCCACGTGTCGAGTCGTTTCTCTGGTCCATTCAAGCTCTGGGTTTCCGAGATCCCGTGGACGTTGGGCAGAGTTGCTCTTCGGCGACTTAGGTTTGGCGTGGGCATTTCGAACCTGAGGTAGTCATGCGGTGGGCTGACTTCTTGGGGTGCGTTTACATTCATTGGAAACGGCAAGTGCTGGCCTAAAGGATTCATGGGCGTGGGCTCTTCAACATCTAGATCAGAGATCCGTCCACGGCGCATCGCTGGCTTCTTTTCCGAGGAGGCTCGGGTGATCGCAAAGTCCTACTAACGATTAGACTGCATCAAAAGTCATGGCAAAAGGAACATACACTAGCGCGTTGAGACTGCCGCTGGGTTTGCGATCGCTGCGGTAGCTGGCCCTCGTCCTCGTCCAATTCCTCCCTACTCTTGCGCCCAAACATTTTTCGAAATACATTTCGGAGACCGCTCTTGCGCTTCTTCCTGGTTGCCGCTCGTGTAGGCGTTTCCGGCGTGGGTGGAATTGGGCTGATTGGCATTGGCTCGGTGGCGCTTCTCCGGTGTCGCTCAGGCGTGGTCTGCATAGGGACGGACAACTGCTGAGGCGGCGAGCTACGAAATTTTTCTTGTTTTTCTGACTCGTCTTCTGGCGCGATGGGTGTCTGTGGGTAGAGTTCCCCCTGGAGAACGGGGGCAGCCGGTGGAGGGGCCAGAGGTGGTCCCGGGAAATGCTGGGTAGGGTGGGCCACGGGGATATCCTGCGGCAGCTTTGGAGACAGCGTTCCATGCTTCTCGAAGTCCTTCACCTCCTCGTCGCTCAGCGGCACGTCCTCGGTGATCGGTATGGGTCCAGAGATCTTAAGGTCGCCCCGCCGTATGGCCTCGGCCTTCCAGCTCGAGCGCCGCAAGGGGTTGCCGTCCACGCTCATGTTGGGCGTGATGGAGTCGTCGTGCGTGAGCATGTAAGCGAGGGTGTACTCTCGAGAGCAGAGCAATCAAGACCAAAACGCTGGCAAGGAAAGAGAAATCGCCAGGGGCAGCCTCAAGCTGTAGCTCGCTGAATAAGTTGCACAGTTCAGACTAGCATTCCATCACCCTAAACAGCTACGTATGGGCAACTAGACATTAGACGGAACTACGATTCCCAGCATAAAGCCGCGCCACGCTTCGAGAAAGGCCTCCGGTATGATAATGCACCCCAGCAACGACCCCACAGTCGAAAGCGGGCTGCGCAACAGCCACACTGAGGCTAAGATCGTAAAGTAATGAAGAAAGAGTGAGCTGTGCTGAGCGAGCGACGAAACTGTGAGCCGAGGGCGAGGAGAACGAGGGTGACGACGGCGGGAACAAAGTATAACTAAGTATCAAACGCAAGCGGCATGTGCAGGGGCGGCGGTGTGGAGGGGCGGGAAGTCATGCCGTTGCTACGGGTTGAGCATGGCGAATTGAGGGGAGTGGGCCGTGGGCTTTGAGCGCAGGGCGGGACCAGGAGGGAGGGGGCAAAGACTATAATAGCAGCAGGCTCGGGAACGGCTGGCAGACGACGTCAAGCAAGCAGATGCGTGGGAGCAGAGGTGGGAGCTGCTGCATGCATGTTGGAAAAGGGTCGACAGGCACGGGCAACGGCAAGGTTCAAGCTAGCGGGCTGCATGGGCGCCGCGGGAGACGGGCGCGTGCACGCGTTTCAGAGATGGATAGCGGACGTGGTGCGATGAGATGGGCATGGTGCAGACGGGGTGCGCTTCCTGGCGAGGCCTGGCGAAGCCGAGAGCGGTTCCGTGGCGGGCAGGGGCGCTGCTCTGGCGGTGCGGCGGACGAATCCAGCAGCGGTCGCCAGAGCATGCCGAGCGAGAGGTTGCACGTTGAGATGGCTGGACCCTGAGGTGCAGACCTGAGGGGCGACGCGGCGCCGCGTTCAAGCGCGTCGTTGCAGTCGATTGGCAGCGGCTAGCGTGCCTCTACTGCAGCCGCCTGGAGCGCGCAGCATCGCGCCTCGGGGCCTGCGACGTCGCTGGACGAGAGCAGCGGCCGCTGGAGTCTGCGACGGCTATGGACCATCGATAGACTTGGATGGGATGGCAACGTGGCTAGCCTCGACACGGGCCTCCAGTTGACATGGCGGTCCTCCGCTACCGTACGCGCCAGAGATGCCGCCGGCTGTAAGGGTCGTCTTTCTGGAGCAGGCCCGCGAGTCGACCGCCCGCTCGTTCGCCGTGGTGCCGTGGCTTGCAGCAAAGAAACTTCGGCGCCATCGGCCAGAGCAATGCTAAGATGGCGCGCAGGAGTAGCGGCTAGCACCTGCTATGCTAGAGCACGCCAGAGTATGCCATATATTGCGAGGGTATTGGACGTTTCGATATCTGGCAGCTGGCAATGCGCCGTTTGAGTGCGGGTGCGATGCCTGCAGCCAAATCACGCCGCATGCAGGTCAGCGCTGCCTCCTTACGGGCTGTACGCGCACCGATGCGTCGACAGAGCGCATTACATACTGCCGCAACCCCGATGGCGGATTCGGCGCTGCAGATTCATGAGCCTCAGGGCGCGCTGGGCTTTTCAGCTGTAGCATCTGCGCCCTCCACCACTCCTCATCCCGCACCTGGTTCGTCCACGTAGCTATCGCTGATGTTGGGGTACCGCAAGTCGGCATTCTCTTCCAGGAAGTCCATCCACGCCTTGAGAAATTTGCTGCCCCTGCCGTGCACACATGTCAGTTGAGTCAGGGCGGGGTCTGCGATACGTTGCACGAAGCGTGAGGGGTTGCAGCGCCGTGCCGTCGCGTGGAAAACAGACCATATCCTCGGGACGCTTCAGGTTGCGGCGACACAAAACAGCACGTACCTGCTAACAGTTTCTGAATCCCCAATAACGCAGAGATGCCTTTTCGGCCGCGTCATGGCCACTGCGAGCGCGTTAGCCTTCAGCGCTTGTGTAAGATCGTCTGCACGCGACGACATGCACGCGCGGAGCGGAGATTGTGCTTGTACGGTCTGTCTTACCATTCAGTCGTCTCTTTTCGCCCAGGAACCCAACTTCCCCGTCCGCATTGCTCCGGACCAAGCTCACAATCACAGCTTCCTTTTCGCGGCCCTGAAACCCGTCCACCGAGCCCAGCTCAATGCCCGGATATGCTTCCTTGAGCATTCCAGAAAGTAAGGCCACCTACAGACGGCATGTCGTCAGTCCAAGAATCAATGCGGGGTCACCGTGCGTTCAGGCACCAGATGTCATGCATAGTGATCGCCTTACCTGGGCATTGTATGGGGTAACGACCGCTATATCTTCAGCTCTAACCCCGGCTTCAGTGAGGTGGCGGACATGCAGCTTCACAAGTGCCGCTTCTCCCTCGTTGGACTTGCTGTCGCCGAGACTCATGCCTTTGCCGCCCTTCCTAATCTCTTCATCCTCGGTTTTCTCCGGGAAGTCGCCCCCTTGCGTGTCTAGAAACAATATAGGCTCGCGTGTATCGTCGGTATCCTCGACCTTGTAGGGGAGATCCTTGAGTAATCTGTGTTTGACCGCAGCGGCAGCGATGAGTTTGGAATCATATAGCTCCGCCGAAGGAAATTGCATAATGTTCTCATGCATGCGATATTGGGTAGTTAGCATCCGCTTGATAGAAGGACCGTGAAGGGCGAGTAGTCTGTCAAACAGTGTCGTTTCCAAAGTCATGTTGGAGGCCGCCGGCTTTACTGCATCGATCCTGGCATCGCCATTACTTACGAGAACGCGATCAGTATCATCCTTCTTGATTGTTTTCTTAGCAGCTTTAGCTTCCTTGGAATTGAGTGACTTGATGGTGGGCGGTAATTGAAGATGGTCGCCTGCCAACACCAGCTTGGATGCTTTGACCCACATCAGTGGAACCCAGCACTGCGCTTCCAGAGCCTGACTGGCCTCATCGACTATCACGACGTCAAACTCCTGACCTTTAAGATGGAAACCACCGGCTCCGTGCAAGGTAGCGAGTACGACCTTGCTGCCTCGAATCAGATTGTCGACGCACCCCCTCTCGCGCTCTCTGAATTCCTTTCGTAGCTCTTTCAAGTCTGTGTATATCTGCCGTCGCTCCTTCGCATTGCGAGTTTTACGGATGGATGCCTGCTTATCGTCCATCTCCTTCCGTATGTCTTGTACGAGAGCCGCAGCTTCGGAAGTGCGCGTGAGTACATCGAGGGAATGATTCAGCACGGAAGGCAGAAGACGCGCTGGATGACCTAGTCGTATCATTGACACTTTATGTGGGGCAAGTCGCTCAACGATGTTGTCTACGGATATGTTCGACGGGCCGCACACCAGAATACGAAGCTTTTGCTTGAGGAGCTGCAAGATCAGTTCTATGATTGTGTGTGTCTTTCCGGTCCCAGGAGGACCGTGAATCAGGGCGATCTCGCGAGATGCAAGAGCAAATCTGATAGCGTCTTGCTGGCTATCGTTCAGTGATGGGTCGTTCCATTGGAGCTTATGCAGAGGATTCGATGGATCGTTCAAATCTGACGGAACAGGCGATGGGGAGCCTTGCCCGAACAAGACGCGCATGAAGGGAGTGTAGTCCTGGTCGGAAAGCTTCTTCAGATTGCCCATTGTCTGGTTCATCCTCTTGTAGGTGATATCGTTGGCCAACTTAACAAGCCATAGTTTCCCGCCACTAGGAACATCGGCATCCTCCTTGTCGAGGATGATCTCGATGTTTTCTCGCTTTACATGAAGAACGACGCCCTCGACGCCTTTCTTAGCAAGATCTCGCTTCTCGGACTTCTTCGCGCTTCCCGCAGGCTGGTCCTGAACGGCGATGATATCACCGACCCTAATGCCATGCTCAGGAATGTCTGGTTTCTCGCCTTTGCCCACGACGGCAGGGTCGAGCCCGAGCTCGACGACTGTTTTACCGCCAAGGCCGGTACGTATAGAAGAAACATTAAGGTTCAGGATGGCCAGCCCTGCGCGAGACAGCGCCGTGGGCGTGTGAGATGACAAAAGGGCATTTGTTTCCGCTAGCTCGGCCTGGAGTTCTGCATCCAAAAGAGTAAGCTGCGTCGCCGCAAAAGTAGGGATATCTGTCGGTTTCGGCATGGTGTCGAAGTTGGTCGGCGAGGCCGGAATCTGAAAGTTGATATCGAATATTGGAGCTAAACTGATGGCGGGGCATGGGTGGGGTTTCAGTTTGCTCCCACGGTTTTGGTTTGGCAGCTGCGCCCAAGTCCCATCTCTAACTCGCACTGTGAAACTCACGGGCCGCAGACGATCGTTAACAGGGACAGGTTCGTGACTGATTGTGACTGGCCTGCAGTGCCGGCAGATCGTGACACGGTCGCTATATGGCGCGGCTTAAGGACATGCGGCGAGGACACGACTCCCGCCGAGCGCTGATTGGCCAATGGCCACGCGTCTATTGTGACGCGGTTGCGCTTCAAACAATATGCGTCACTACTCCTGCAGCTCCCATCCCCAAGTGCTCCCTTACGCTTCCTTTTTCACTCTCGTATCATCCCGCCCGGCTCCCCGATGCGCACCTCGCGTATAGCCCGAGACACGTCCAAAATCCTCGCCGCGACGACTCGTGGTCCTTCATTACGTCGCACGCGAGCCGCCACAAATACTCTAAACGCGGTCGAGGCTGGTGGTGTCGCAAAGGTCGGGACGCGCGAGTCAGAATCAGCTGTTCACGATGAAGCACCCCACTCCGACTCGGATTTGAGTTCTGTGCCGGACGATGCCTTGTCGGAAAGCAGCGATGCAATTGTGGGCCAGAAGAGAAAGAGGAGAGAGCCAGTTACCGTGAAGCAGGAGGTCAAGGAGGTGAGCATAACGGCCATCACGTCTCCGAAGAATGAGAGCAAGTCCAAGAAGGCGCGACGGGTGCCTGCTAAGAAGATCACCGGGAAGGATGGTATGGGCGATGTAATCTGAAAGCTACTCTGTTTACTGATGTTACACCTCAGGCATTGTCAAGGTCGAGCCTCCGCCTAGCTGGGAGGAGATTTACTCTCTGACTAGGGAGATGCGCAACGAGAATGTTGCTCCTGTAGACACAATGGGTTGCGAGAGCCTCGCAGACCGCACCGCCTCACCCCGAGATCAGAGATTCCAGACGCTCATCTCCTTGATGCTGTCTAGCCAGACAAAAGACACAGTGACAGCCGTGGCCATCAAGGGGATGCAGGAGAGGATGCCGGGTGGTTTTAACCTTGAATCTGTGATCGCCCTCGAACCACAGGCCCTAAATGCTTTCATCAACAAGGTGGGCTTCCACAACTTGAAGACGAAATACATCAAAAACGCCGCAGAGATATTGAGAGACAAGTTCAACTCAGATATACCAGACACCATCCAAGGGTTGACTTCGCTGCCCGGTGTCGGCCCAAAGATGGCCTACTTGTGTCTGAGTGCTGCATGGGGAAGGGACGAAGGGATTGGAGTCGACGTGCATGTGCACAGAATCACTAATCTGTGGGGTTGGCACAAGACAACGAAGCCTGAGGAAACCAGAGCAGCCTTGGAATCGTGGCTGCCTAAGGGGAAATGGCACGACATCAATAATCTACTGGTCGGCTTCGGGCAGACGATCTGCTTGCCGGTCGGTAAGAAATGCGGCGAATGTAAGCTCGCTGATCGAGGATTGTGTCCGTCCGCGGTCGTTGGGAAAAAGACAAGAGTCAAGAAAGAGAGTCTGCTCGTCAAGACCGAGGAAAATGACGCAAGCGCAACCTTAAGTGAGACCACAGTGGTGACTCACAAGACCGTCAAGGCCGAGGAGATCAAGGGTAGTGTGGTTGACATCGAGGATATTGGACGGCATGCGCGGTAGACACATCGATGGTCGGCATTCCCTCAGTTTATTTATTGCATTCACCCAAATGTGCAAAAGCCTACCTAGGACTGAAGAGCAAGTGATGGCATACCTCTTCATAGACAGACCAGACCAAGTTAGTCCTGGGGAAGGTAGGCACTAACAGAGCATGAAAATGGCCGCCCAGAACATTAGAGCCCAAGGCCGCTCTCGAACGCGTAGTACCTTTCCAATATTCCGTTGTCCATGCCGAGACTGCTTGCCTCCGACTTCCAATGCGGATTGCAGGCGTTGGCAAGTGCACGTGATTCACGCGGACGCTCCTTCCCTGTTCGCGAATTTCCGTGTCCAACTTCCGTAAAACACTTTCAACCCTCTGCCCGTGGCCTGAACAACTGCCTAGCCGGTGCGCGAGCCCTGTGCAGTGGTGCATCACATACTTTTCTGCTGCACACTACTTTATATAAACGCCTTGTCTCCGCGTGCCGCCCTTCTAATGCAACCCGGTTCCACGAAAGGCACTGCAAAGGCGGCAGCCAACTCTGGCGCTGACGGTCGAATATCCACTGCCATCGCGTCACAGTTCCCCCCAAGACCGCCCGTAGTGGCTCTTGGCTTTCTACTACAACAATTCCAGGCAGACGCGTAAAGTGGTTCCTTACGCTTAGTTCCCGTGATTTCAGTCTGGAATCATCTTCGCCTTCTGACACCGATCTTTAGAATGAATGCCGAGAGCGCAACCGACAATGTCTGGGCTGACGCTGGCCACGCTCCGCCCGGCAATATCGCTTCCCAGACCAAATCTTCCCATGTTCCCGTCGAACCTCCTAGGGTCCCCGTCAAGCCGACTGTGCACACTAAAAACGTCACCGACGATGAACAGCCGGTGGAGAAGAAGTCCAATTTGAGCACAAAGATCTACAAGGGGTGCAAGACTATAACAGTAAAAGCTTGGCGAGCGCACCACGCACTGCTTGTAGCCTTTGGCTTCGTCTGCTGGTTGGTACTGACTCTCCTCACAGTTCACAGCGCTGCCACTGGTGTCCGTGGTATCTTGATGCCATCGTATCGAACGACGATGCATCGACTCAACAACATCAAGTCCGAGCAGTCTCTCCTGCTAAGCAAGCTCGAAGACCTTCAAGATATCCATCTACAGAAGCGGTCCTTTGAGACACATCTTGAATGCCTCATCCGAGCCACGAATATAGCTCAGGACCACTACGATGACTTGCCGTTCCAGTCATACCCGCTCGTTGCTGAGTACACGACCCAATGGGCACAGTCAGAATGCGATAAAATCCTGTTCTCCCCAGTTCCCATTCCGCGAAGTGGCTGGCATTGGTTCTGGAAAGCTTTGGTTGACCAAGCAGGGGCCGCCTTCTTTCGCTGCAAAGATATGGTCGACGGTCTAATGAAGGCCAAGAAACAACGCCTCCAGAAGTCTTCCAGCAACGCGCAACAACTCACGCTCTCGCTACCATCAGGCTTTCGCCTGGGTTGTAATGAAGCGGAGTCCCTCTGCCACCTTTTGTTCTTGCCACTGCAGAGCCTTTCGACATCTGGCAGTCCATCCACCGAAGAGATGAACCTGATCGTCCTGGGACGCCGCCTTCTTCGGATCATCGACGTTTGCAAGCGCGTGAGAAAATTGATTGCTGTGGTGTGGTGGCTGGTCCCCTGGGTGAATTTGATGGTCCTTGCACTCCAGCTTATTATCTATGGGTAAGTGACTTTTCAGTCCATTAGCCTCTGGTTTGTGCTAATTGAGATGTGATAGAGCTGTGTCGCTCATCGATGAAATCCCGGATAAAAGCAAACAAGCCCTGAGGCTAAAGATATTCCGACGCTCACTTGCTTTCTACCTCTTCTAGGGTGTGCTGATGTCGACATATTTCTGGCATGAGCAGTTCGCTTACAAGGACAACTTCTCCCGGACTATCACGAGGACCGCGTATACGGTACATTTGGGTCCAATTTCGTGTTCTGGGCGCAGATTGCTGCGACATGGCGGGCTCGCGAGTTCTTCTCACACTGTTTTCCTTGGGCATTGAAGGACCTTCGTACAGCGTACTCCGAATCGCAAGAGATAACAATTCGAATAGTCCAAATGGAGTATGGCCGCGCATCAAAACTCGAAGACGCCAAAGCTACTTCGGGTCCTGGTAGAGAATTAGTCGACAAGCAGACTGTTGTGGTGGAGGAATATGGAGCTGTTGACGCTTCAACGTTTCCTAAACTCAGTATCTCCCCGGGATCTCCTTTCCCTGATGACATAAAGCTCATGCGTGAGCACCTGCATCGTCACCAGGCTTTACCAAGGCTCCAAACCCAACCGATCGAACCGCAAGGTGCCACATTTCTGAACTGCGCTGGCAGTGGATCCTCCGTCAGCCCAACCAGCGATTCAGGATGGTCAGTACTCACTCCTACCGAGGCCGAGGCTGTGATGTGCCAAAAGACGAACGATTTGCCCAACGAAAAAGATCTTGTGGACGATGCAGCCGAAGGCGGCAACGCGGTGGAGAAGGAGACAACTAAGGAAGGTACCGAGTACGATGACGATTAGTCGACCTTATGCTATTGCAGTGTCTGTGGAGCTGAGGACGAGAAAGGCAATTTTCTTTGCTGCGTCAACGCCGATTGTCCTCTTACCTGCTATCATCACTATTGTGCGAGCATCACCGAGACTGAGGTTGACATGGCTTTGTCGTGTCCCATGTGCGGTGAGCCATAATGTGAGTCGTCGGCATCTGCGAGCTCAGGCTGCCATGTGGAAGCCTTGTGCTGCCTTCCAGTGCGCTCGCAATGCTATCAAAGGCAGTTACGAAAGTTTGTATACTTCTGCAGGAAACGGCTTACGGTATGGTACAGGAGGGATCATCTTATGGAGGGATTCATATTTCGATTGAGTTGTCAGACATGCAGAAGAGTTACACAGTATGAAGGAATACACAAACTATGATGTACGCAGCGTATTCACAAGAACAGTAGCGGCATCAACTCGGTGTTCTCTCGTAATGATGTGTAGCACACGTTCTCATTCAAATCTCCCCGTTGCTTTCTCCATGTCTCTTAACATCTATTGAATCGACTCGCACTCGCTCTTGCCAAACAGCCCCCATACCTGCTGTATCCATGGGAACGTCTCACACTGAATTTGAGATTTCCTACTTACCCATTCACGTTCCTGAGAAATGTCTGTAACCATCCACACCAATTCTTGTTGTTTTCGTTCAGTCCTGCTAGATAAAAGCTTCACGAAGAGAGTGCTGCGTCTAGCGGAAAATGCATGTTTCAAAACGCCCCAGAAGGGCTAAAGATGGTGTTGCACTGCAATGGACTCCCCCCGTCGCCTTTGAACACCACCAATTCGTGAAGCGACATCAAACATCATAGCCTGCAAGACCGAGAAAGCGGCGCCATTCCATTCCAGCCCAGACCAAATACGTACAGCAAGAAAAAGACCGTCATGTAACGAAATCGCTGAACGCACGCAAAAGTCAGATAATACACATAGTACACGCCCTCTCGAGAGCAGTTGAGTTGAGACGCAGGCCTAGTCCTCAATCGCATTCTCATTCTCTTTCCCGATAGCCGTCCACCGGTCGCTGAAGTCGACGTCAGGACTCGCGTTCTTGAGCGCCGCAATCTGAGTGTCCCTGAACTTGGCAAATTCTTCGGGACTCTCCTTCTCCATGCGCTTCAGCTCCTCGGCGTTCTCGACGATGTCGTTGAATGCCTTCTCCCAGCCAGCACCCTCGGTCATTTCGCGGATCTGCTCGCCGCTGTACGACGCGAACTGGTTGCGCAGGGCCATGACGTGCGGCGGCAGGCCGAGGTCGTTCATGCTACCGGAGAGATTGGCCTGCTCAGTGTGCGAGGAGCTGGGGCGCGAGGGGTTGATGAACTCGGTACGGATGCGGTGGCCGAGGCGATGGAGACGGCCTTCTTCGAGGGTTTGTGCGCGCGAGGCGAGGCTGACGTCCGAGTTGTGGCGGGAGCGGAGGGCCTTGGGCTCATCTTCGTCGGAGTCGTGGAAGACGTTATCTGCGTTGTCTGTTGCGCTTGTCGAGAGTGTGGGGACGGTGGAGAGAGGCGGTGAAGAGCTAGGAATGGAGCTGGCTGTGGAGGCGGCGTCTGAGGACTGGATGCGTGTCTCTGGGTATTCATCTTCGAAGCGTTTGATCATACCCTGCAATGTCTGATCGAGGAAGATAAGGCGTCCTGGGACCGTTAGACTGGGAACGTGAAGGAGAGTTTTAGATGACCTACGATATGGAATATCATTGCCTGCTTTTGCCTCACGAGCGAGTGCCACCTGCAGTCTCTGTCTGATATTACGCGCGTTCTCCAAGAGGTTCTTGGACATGATTCTGGCTCTGTGCGATTCTTCAGAAACTGTCGCCTGACTGCTTTTAGGCGTTGTTGTGCCACTTGCTGGGAGCGACGTTCTGCGTAAGTCTGATTCCTTCTGTCGCAGGCAGTAACTGAGGGCTTTTGCAACTCCGGTGCCACCGACAATATAATCATCATTAGGCGCTGCATCGTCGTCTGCTGGAGCCACACTTGTGTCGTCTGCATGGCCAACCAGATGTTGGAGCACATCAGGCAACACAGCATCCCTCGAAGCATTCTGGAGCTCGGGAACACCTTCGATGTTCTGCATGTTGCGAAGACAATACGCAATGACCTGCTTGGCTAGCGCCTTGACGACTTCGTTGCTCTCAGGTCCAGGCACATCGACGCCGAGGAATACGATGGTCTGCGAGACCTTGGCAGCTAGGGTTAATGAAGCATAGACAGCGGCTGCTTCTTCTTGCTCTTCTTCCGTTGATGCTGCAGCCAGAGCAGAAATCTTGGGATTTCCTTGGATGTCAACGTGCGCGATCACCGGACATTCCGGAATGATCTCCGCAATGCCAATCACGTCTGCTTGGGATAAAGATACATCCGTGAGATGTATGCGCTTTAGCTTCTTGAATTGAGGCATGTACTTCCGCAGAAGACAGAGCGACAATGAATTAGAGAATAGATCGCGGTTGTGTGAGAGATCCAAGAAGATGAAGTTCGGTAGATTACCCAGAGCCGGAAATAGAATCCTGAGCGACTCAGGTGTGAGGTCGGTGTCAGCAACACTCAATGCCCACAATGGACAGTCTTTGGTGAAACACTCCGTTAGACGAGATATTGAGTCGCGAAGAGTGTTGCCGCCAAGATCTAGTCCTTGACACACCCCGGACTTGATGTAGTGAATAATGTGTTCCAGTCCTTGCTCATCAATATTGTTGCCCGCAAGACCTAACCGCTGCACCCCACTAACGATGGCCCCATCAACGACTTTCCTGATGCTCGATGAAGACAGGCCGCATTCAGAGAGCAAAAGTTCCTCAAGTTTTGACCCTCCCAGTCGCTCTGAGATTGCTTTCAACATGATTTCAGCAATGTCCTTCGAAGCAGCTTTTTTCTCGGCTGATGCGCCAACAGCGCCATTGGGTATTTGAGGAACCGGCTGTGGAGAGGATGATGGAAATGGTATCATGGAGACATCGAGCGACATGAGCGATTTGCACATGTATATGAAGAGGGCGATGTGTCTCCAGCCCTCTGCTGTTATCTTCGGGTTGTTCTTGAGAACCAGTTTCTTAACGACACCGGAGCGTTCTTCTATGTTTTCGCTTCCATTCTTTGTTTCTCCTGGAGTGGACTTCCTCCTCCTACCGGCTTCTGGGACTTTGGCAGCGAGTAAGCCAGCAAGTATGACTCTTATCTTCTCGTCGTTTAAGTCTGCATCGTCCAAGAACAGCTTTTTCACAGGGACCACGGCTAGCCAGTCGGAAAGGGTAACGACGTCGGCAAGCTGTAAGCGAGAGCCTGTCAGATCTAAGCATGTTACCGTTCCCGGTGCCGAAAGCGCAGTCGTTGCCGGGTTAGAAAGCTGATCGCTAATTCTCTTCAAGATAGGTGTTTCTCTCAACTGGCAACATCTACGGTAAATTCGCAACGGATCCGTGGTGGGCCGGTCCTGGTGCTTAGGTGAGGGTTTGGAAGAACCCTCAGATGCACCGTCAGCACTCACTTCGTCATCGTCTCTGGTGATCTCGAGTGGCACAGATCCGTTCTCCTCGGCCTTTCTGCGCTTCTTCTCCTTCCGCTCTTTACGTTCAGCTTCAGACCGCTTCTTCTTCTCTTTCTTCCTGCTCGGCTCGGACTTCTCGTCGGTGGTCCCGGTGCCCTCTGGGTTGGGTCCTTGTTCGGCTCCTGCTACTTCCTGCGAGAGAACAGCTTCAACATCTCGTTCTTTGTCTTTTTCTTGGGCAGCGGTCTCTGGGTGCTTCAACGCTTCTCCTTCACCCCGCTCCTTTATCTTCTTGTCCTTGCGCTTCTGTTTCCGCTCCTCGCTGTCGGCCTCGTCCTTGTACCTCGGGCCACCTGCGATCTCGACGTCGACGCAGAATGCGACGCGGCGCAACTTGCTCTGGTTGAGCTCCGGGACTAGACATCGCGTTCTATTGGGATCGATGTTCATGACCTTCCTGGGGCAGACGCCGCCATTTGGTACAGCCTTTCCAAGGGAACCACCGACTTGTGACCCCGACGATAGTCGTCGCAACGCATTTGAGATGAAGGATCCCTTGGGTTGCTGCGGAACATATGGCTCGTATGCACTATGGGTTTGGGAAGCGGCGGCTTGGATGCCATTCAGCGCGCCGTTGGCGGTCGCAGCCACTCCTTCAGCGGCATTTGTATTCGCCGACGATCCTTGCGCCTGGACCTGGGTTGTTTGCGCGGGCGAGTTCTGTGAGGAAAACTTGGAGCTGATGCTCGAGATCCACGAGTTCTTGCGTAAACTCGTCTTGGTCTCCGGTGGCGTAACACTACCTGGCTGCTGTTTTTCGGAGCCGGATCGGCCCAGCAAGGTCGGGCGCTTGGTGGGGATCTTCTGGACTGGCGTCGGTGTCGCTGGTGCGGGAGTCGGGTTCGAAGGTGCGGGAGACGGTGCTGGTACGTCCTGGACAGCCGACGTGGCGGACTCCGGGGTTTTGCGCTCGCTATGGGTGCCGTTCGAGGGGAGGCCGCCGTGCGACGACGTCCTCGGTTTGGCGTCCTTGGGCAGGCCTGGCGACGAAGGCGCGTACTGGCGATGGTGATGATCTGGAGAGCGCACTCTGTCAGCCACAACTACCTTTGGGATGCGCGACACCGAAAACAGTGGAGCCGCCGCCCTCCGCTCACCTCGCGTAGAAGAGTGGTGCAGCCACGAGACGTCGACGCCGTGGACGTCCTCCATGGCAGGCGACAGTGAAGGGCGAGTCGCAGGCAGTGCTATCTCTGACAATATATGAAGCAAGCCATCGGCGGTCGAAAGCGTAGGCGACAAGGTAGGGGCGTTCGGAGGAAATGTCAGCGGGGCTCGAGGTAGAGGTTAGCCGGACAGATGGGGGGTTCCCGGGAAAGACGATTGAACGAGTGCTTCAACCAACGGCTGCGGCCTGACTAGCACGCAGCTGAACAAAGTAATGTAAGACACGATACATAGACGCAGTCAGCGATTTGGGACTGCGCGGCGCTGAAAGACGTCTCCAGATAGCAGTAATTATCGCGTCCTGCGAGCATCGGACCCTAGGTAAACCCTGGGTATGACGAGATGTGGAGCCCACTCAACTCTCGCTCTCGGCTCCTTTGAATGTGGAACGTGACGCCGGCTCCTCTCTGATCCCGCTTCCGGATCACGACACTCGCGAAACATTTGCAAAAATGAGGCGCCCCCGTTGCTGGGTTCTCGAGCACCTGCTCTCGCGCATTCGTCATCCTTGCCACGCAGCACGAAGACGTGCAGGCACTTTCTCTTCTCATAGCTCGTCGCTTGTCACTCGCTGCTGACATCCCTTTATCTCATTCCAAAGCGTACTATAGCGCTGCGCCAACTCCTCAGTACACTGTGCCACCACAGGGTCAGCAATGTACGGGCTGACTCTACTAAACTTTTGGCTTGGTGGTGATTACAAAGTTGTTCTAAAACTTCCAACCAACGGTGCCGTCCACGAATAGAAGGCTGACAGAGCGCCGATGCGATCTAGACCGTTGAACGAAGGCCATGGCGCGCTGGTGGCGCTCACATATGCATCGCAAGGTATTTAGACGCGAAGTTTCAGGTCACATGCAGCCAGTTCACATTGTTCCATCACGCATATGAGAGCACAACCAAGCGATTTGAAAAAGGGTATCGTGAATCATTCATAGTAGCATCCGGTTCATTCAAGGCTGCTTAGATATCCTGGCAGGTACAGTATCCATAACCCCATGCATCCCCAGACGCCGTTGAACCTGCTTTTATCATGAAGTGAAGAGAGGAAAAAGAAGCACCAGCTTAAGCAGTGAGCGTCTTGATCTTCTCCTGGACGCGCTTCTCCTTCTCGGCCTTGGAGAGCTTGGCAGTCCTGTACTTGAGCGACTCCTTCTTCCACTCATCCTTGGACTTCTTAGGAGCATCGCCCTCCTCCTTCTTCCAGGGGTCCTCGCGAATCTGCTTATGGGCATCCTGGTACAGCTCCTCAAGACCGTCGGCCTCCATGTCGTCATCGATGTAGCCGCTGAACTGGGACTTGTAGCGCTCCTCGTCGTCATCGGCGAGAGTCTCCATGTACTCAGCAACGTGACCACCGAAGATGTACTTGCGGAGAGTCTCAGCATCAAGTTCCTTGGACTCGATGTCATAACCGGGGAAGCGGTTCTCAGAGTGGGGAACGTAGAGACCACCGTCGGAAGCACCCTTCAGGGCACCGAAGACACGGGCACCAGTGGAGGTACGGACAAGACCGACGTCCAAGAACACCTTGAAGGGGCGGCGCTCCTCACCATCGACCTCAGCGGCCTCAGTGAGGGAGAACTCGCCGTCAGCCTCCTCAACACCCTCGAAAGCCTCGTCGAGCTCGAGCTTCTTCAGGGTGCGGCGGGCGAGCAGAAGACCGACAGCGTAGGCGGCAGACCAGTTGGTGAGACCGTGCTGGACAAAGTTAGCTTGCGAAAAGAAGTGCTATAGATACACATACAGTGATGCCGTAGGGCTTGAGCTCGTGGGCGTACGCTGCCATGAAGACCTTGTCACCGCCAATCTCAGAGGTGACGATCTGAGCAACGATGTCGCGGTTGGTGAAGCGGACGACGAGGCGGTACTTGGGCGCATTGTACTTGTTCTTGGCCTGGGTGGTCAAGCGCTTGCGGGCATAGTAGTCGGTCTTACCCTCGCGGCGGCGCTTGTACTTGACTTGGTACCGCCTGAGAGATGTTAGCAGTCGCAAATTAAGGGAAAGGAGAATGGAAATCTTACGAGAAGTACGCCTTGTTCTTGACGAGCTTAGACTATTCCCCAGAGTCAGCAATTGACGCTTCAAACCCATTTCGAAGCAGCTTGCAAAGACTCCCACACAAAACGTCGTCGGCGCACAAGGCCTGCTCAAACAGAGTGTGGCTGAATCATAGCGAAGGCGGGCGCATGGCAGCCTTGACGAAGCGCCTGCGCGGTGGATCGAGGTTAACTTACGAAAGGCATCTTGATTGTTGGACCGAGATGTGTCGTTGGCTGGTGTTGAAGCCAAAGTTCGCTGGGAGATTTATGTGTGCGGTGCTAAGCGAGCGGTGCCAAGGCTATTTTTGGTGTTTCAGCAAGGGCGGAGATCGCAAATGCGGGTGGGTGACCACAGAGGAACGTCGGCCCCAATGCTCGCATTAACGCGCACCACGTGTTTTCAAGGTTCTTGTGCTGTTGAAGGTTCGCGAATAATGTTGTATAATAGTAAATGTGTAGAATACTGTAAAGATTCACAAGTGTATTTCACATCCTTGCTCTAGTCATGGCCAAATCAATTGATCGGAGTATATATCATTCCGCTAACAACTGACGACTTGAAAGATTTGGAACGCATACCTTGCTGCTCATATCATATTGTTAGATACATTTTATTCGCGCGAAGTCTGGGGAGCATCTGAGACTACCCCATGAAGCTGCCCTGGAGATGGTGCACAGGCCACCCATGGACGTAGCTTCCGCAGCCCCTCCACGTCAACTGGTCGCTCCTGCCTACGACTCTGCGCATAAGCTACACACCACCACACGCTACCTCCTTATTCCTCATCTCTTGACATATTGCGGGCAGGATGGCGGAGGTTCCCATTGGTACGCCGGATTGCGCATGTTTAATTCTGATCTCGGCTCTGCTGACGCGCCCCAGTCCTTGACGGCGGAACTGGTTTCCTGAAGGCGGGCTATGCCGGACAGGTTGGTTGCAACTGTGAGGATTCCATATGTGTATCTAACAAAAACTCTGTAGAACTTTCCCGACCACCAGTATCCCTCGATAGTCGGCCGACCGATCCTACGTTCCGAAGAGCGCGATGGAGATATCGTGGTCAAGGACATAATGTGCGGAGACGAGGCGGCGGCGGCCCGGTCGATGCTTCAGATCACATACCCTGTACGTCTTTGCTCAGCAAGTGTTAAAGGCGCCCTCGTTTTTGCTAGGCTGCGCTAACCTCGTCCCACCGCCGACAGATGGAGAACGGTATCGTAAAGCGCTGGGATGACATGCAACACCTTTGGGACTACACCTTCTTCGAAAAGATGAAAATTGATCCTACGGGCCGCAAGATCCTTCTTACCGAACCACCGATGAATCCTCTGAAGAACCGTGAGCAGATGTGCGAAGTTATGTTCGAGCGCTACGATTTCGGGGGAGTGTACGTAGCTATACAGGCTGTGCTCGCTCTGTATGCCCAGGGACTTTCCTCGGGAGTCGTGGTAGACTCCGGCGATGGTGTCACACATATTGTCCCGGTCTACGAGAGCACGGTGCTCAACCACTTGACACGACGTTTGGACGTGGCTGGTCGCGACGTTACTCGGAACCTGATCGCTCTGCTACTACGAAGAGGATACGCTCTCAACCGAACTGCCGACTTCGAGACTGTTCGGCAAATCAAGGAGAAGCTCTGCTATGTGTCGTACGATTTGGAACTCGATCAGCGCTTGAGTGAGGACACCACCGTCCTCGTGGAGTCCTACACTTTACCCGATGGTCGCGTTATCCGAGTCGGTAGCGAACGCTTTGAGGCCCCTGAGTGTCTATTCCAGCCGCATTTGGTTGATGTAGAACAACCCGGTATCGCCGAGTTTCTTTTCAACACGATCCAGTCCGCCGACGTCGATGTTCGAAGCAGCTTGTACAAGGCTATCGTGCTTAGTGGTGGAAGCAGCATGTACCCCGGCCTGCCCAGCCGTCTGGAGAAGGAGCTCAAACAACTCTGGCTCACCAAGGTGTTGGGTGGCAACCCCGAGCGATTGAACGTACGTATGCAGCCACCCGGCGCAGCCCATAACTCACGCAACGTCTATAGAAATTCAAGGTCCGCATCGAAGACCCGCCGAGGCGCCGACATATGGTTTTCCTGGGAGGAGCGGTGCTTGCGAACATTGTAAGTCACTTTCTATCGCCCTTCTTGGAGAACGGCAACTAACTCTAAGTAGATGGCGGATAAAGAAAATATGTGGATATCAAAACAGGAATGGCAAGAACAGGGCACGAGAGCGTTGGAGAAGCTTGGTGCTAGATAATGCAGCGAAACCCAAGAGAGGGCACAACGTAGCATTGAACAAGAGAACGAACCGACAAATACCATCATCAGATGCAATTACCAGTGTTGTGCTACCGAACATTGTATACTACCCATTGCCGGTCACCTCCCCCACAGCCTTTGCCGGTTGCGGTGAGGTGGAGTGGGAGTCGCCGGACAAACAGTCTGTCTTTTGATAACATGAAACTGATGAGCGGTGGGTCCTGTAAGAGGCTCCTTTGTTTGCGGTCATCGTCCAGTGTTTCGAAATTCTATGCTCGAATTACAAACTCAACTGTCGATCTGCGTGTTGTGTTTGGTACGCACAGGTTGAAAAGCTCCAATGCCACCTGCCTCGTCAACAGCCGTACCCAAGCTGTCGGGACACTCAAGGAAAAATTGCTGCATCCGAATGTCTCCGTGTCCGGCGGCTGAAGGAGAGCGTAACTGCATCAACGGGAGATCGACCGCGGGACTCGTGTTGCGCGCTCTCTTGAAAGTAACTACGCGCCCATTCTACTCCACGCCTAGCCTTCTTCCGAAGGCACATGCATGTATACCTGCTTGAATGGGATGCGTTCACCTTTGCCGGTATTCGCGCCGTTCCAATGCTGTTGCTCCATGCCTCCAAAGCTTTTCCAATTGCAAGTGTGAAGACGGCGGCTCAGCGTCTTTAAGTTAGAAGCCTAGCGCTGGATCACTTCCCTTTGTAGGATGCATGACGAAGTTAAGAAAGCATACATTCCTCGCAGTGTTTGGAAGCGCTTTGTGGGTCGCGCTGGTGTGAGTGTGAGCATGAAAGAAATTTGACAAGCAATCAATATCGGGCTGCGGCTCGATGTCGCGCTGCTTGGTAGTGTTCATGCACGTAATTCCGGAAAAGGTTGCACAGAGGAAGGAGGAGTGCGCGCTTTACGGGCGGCAGTGCTGAGAAGGGATAGCTGCAAAATCAGGCAGGATATTGTGAGCCGTGGCGATCACGATCATGATCACGATCGAAGCCCTGCTCGCTTCAGGCGCTTAAAGCTGGACACAGGAAAGGGAGGTTTTGCAGCGTCGGGGAGACAAGAAGTCGCATGCGGGAAATAGCCAGTAAGCTTCCGGAAGCAGGCATTCGTGCAATAGGCGTCAACTGGGCGTCAGGAGGCTGGCTTTCCATCACTCATCGCGTTTAGGCCCAGGACGCAGATATCGGAGCAAATTACGATTGTGGAGGGCGTCAGTAGCCCGCGCCAGTAGGGCACGTGAACATGCGCTATAAAGATCCGCCGCCGGAAATTCGGCTCTCACGATGTCAAGGTGCAGGTGCGTCATGGGCCAACAGACAACAACGAGCGAATGCGACGATGCCTCGCTAGCGGGCTCAGATTGAGCCCGTCTGCCAGCCAAGGCAGTAGATGACGATGTGCACCGGCCGAGTCTACGAGGCCTCAGTGTGCTGGCGCTTAAGTACTGCGCGGGTCCCCTCTTCCTCACTCGCAATCTCGCGATACTGAAGCGACTGTGAGCTCCACAATATCCAACACTCACACTGCCTGTGCCGAGTGTGCGCATCGGGGGTGTGTTTCTGCAGAGAGAGCCGCCGTCTTCTTCTTGCGCAATTCCTATCAGTTGCACCGATCTCCGCAACAGTCCATCAACGTTGCAACTTCGATAGCCACAAACATTGCCCTCTGGGGACCGTACAGCCGGTGTCAGAACTCCCCAACGCCTACCCACAAAACAGGGTCCACGCTGCCTTCTCTGCCGGAAGTAGCGCGACGGCAGTGCACCAAGCGGAAGATCGACTGTCTTGCTGCCGTATCAGTTGCCCTCCAAGATCCAAGCATTCCAGGACCCTTCCGCTGCCAATATATTAGTGTCGCCTGGCGCCTGCACTGCCGGGCTGTCTCATTCACGAGTATTGTGTCGAGTTGCGGGCTTTGTTTTAAGTTGTGCTGCCCTGCAGCAAAGGCTCATTCTCGTCGACTTTGTTGAAGCCGACCCACACACAAACGTCATTGCATACCGGAGCCCGCTTGGATTTTACATTACTCAATATCCACCTCTCCGCAACGTCACCCACTCCAGGTTTCCGCACTGTCAACTGTGGCAGGTCACGCCCGGGTACCCTGACAGACCGGTTATAAACTCGAGCGCGAGTACCCTCATGTCATCTCGACCTGATCGCAACATGCCAAGCTCTCCGCTCTCACCCAGGATGGACTCGCTCAACATTCCCTCGCAGGCTCGCCGTCGTCCCCCTCTCGCCCACATGCGTCAATCATCAGGAACTGCAGCCAACTTGCGCCTGCCCTCCCTGCCGCGTTTCCACCCAGCCAACTTTGCCTCGCAAGGCTCCAGCGCCGCAGGGACCCCGACAACGAATCCAAATTCGCCACAGCCCCCGCTCTCTCCACGGGCCCACCAGAGGCACTACTCTGAGGTTCAGCGTCAGATGTACTCTTACCAACAACAACTCATGGTCAACGCAGCTCGCCAGGCACGCGCGAACCCAAAACCCTCGAGCCCCAAGCTTGCCCCTCTTGATAGCCCTGGACCTGTCACTCCTATGGAGCTGGAGGGTGCTGACGGCTACCTCACGGCTCGAATGAGCTCTAACGACGCGGCCGCCCATGTTGAGAAGCTGATCCGGGACGAGGCCGCCCGCCGTGGCGACATCTCACCGGGACGAACCACTTCTGTTGGAGGTCGGTGACTCGCCGACCAAACAATGTCACGTTCATGCTTATACAAACAAGAAAAGGATAAAAATGAATCAAATGGACACGGCCGAACCCCCAAGTGATACCGTTCCTGGTGAAGAGGACAGGCCTTGCCATGATGCAAGAGTTTCGATTAGACCCGCTTCTTCACTTCACACACACTCATCTTCCCGGCGTTGTCGAGCATCACAGGCGTTCTATATCACCAAACAAGCATCTCAGCATCGGTGGACTCCAACACAACAAAAATGGGTCCAAATTACTTCTCATGCCGCTATCATTGCACTAGATTCACGTTGAAGGGACTGCACGAAGAACGTGGAACGGGGGCTGCACGGCGTGTCATCTCGGCTCTTTTGACGGCGGGCGTTTTTCGAACAATGGCGTTTCTCCTCTTGTCTTTCGTTTGTCGCCACACCCAAGAGCTGGACGTGTGGGCGTCGACATTCACTTTACCCTTCTACTTTGATACCACAAATTTCCATACACTCAATTTCCCCGCCTGTCCATAGCTATGTACATAGCGCTCCGCCTCCGGCGTAGAGCCGGGCAGATGACGGGCTCAGTGGTCTTGGATGACCTCCATGTATCCAGTTCAATACCATACATGCCCCATATCACAACCTTGGCTATTGAAATGTGATCCTATGCTTCAAGATTGATGACTTTGTGATGTCTCGAGGTTGCCCAGCTAGTCGCGCCTTCCTAAAGCATGCACAGTCATGTAATGTCTTGCCGAGACATCCGGTGCCATCGCCACCCATCCACGAAACACAACCGTCCAGTCTCTCCTCAACTCACCGACGATCTGCACATAAAGCGTGCGAGCTTGCATTGCGCTCCAACATCTCCTGCTCTCCACTCATGCCCCAAATCACCCTGCTAATCCCTACTACTGGTTAGCCAAACGCAAACACGGACGCAGCGCCAAACAATGCGAGATCAGCATCTCGTGTCACTCTCGCTAGACACGCCAAGTACGCGAAGCACTCGACGACGCCCCGCTTTCCTCCTACGCAGCGATCTACACGACAACAACGAGGCCATCTTACGCGCTACGGCCCATCCACGAGCAAATGTCGCGAACCGAAGGCGCATTCTGCGATCCTTTCACACCACTCTTGCAGAAAACGCCTTGGCAAGTTACACAGAGCGCGTGGTTACGTCGTTGTGCATCAAGCCTCTCCCGTGTGCTAGCTTCCTGCAGGTGCCCGGTGCGGTCCCCATGCGCTTCCACTTTTCCGCGGAGATCACATTCCCCATCCATGCCAGAGAACACTCATTCAGGCGCGTCAAATGAGAGCGTGCCGCGATCGAAAGGCATTTATGGCACGATGATCATGACTGTTGCTATATTTTCAATGCACAGCGAGGGATCGACTGTCAGCGAAAGCCATCTTTTCATGATCGGACGGCAGAGTAGGATATTCGAAGACCGAGCTATGCCGACACGGGCGTAGGATGGCGCTATTGGATGATACTGCGCAGCGACCTCACCGTTAAGTATGATCCTTTGCGATGCAGCCTTGTCTTGGGCTTTCTCCGCGTTCCGTAGGGCTAGCAAACTCGAGCTGCAGATGAGGCTCTCGTCTCGAGCAAAGCAAAGCGACCTAAAGACATATTGACGAATAAGCTTCTTAACGTTCCTTCACGGGCAACCTCATGGAAGACAGCGCCGTATTACGGTACGCGCTGTCCCCACAGAGTGTTACCCTGGAAACTTTTAGCAGCAGCACCGCTCCGTTCCGTCACCGCCTCTACACTCCACAATAAAGCCGCTAGATCAACGAAGATTACATCTAACCGCGTACCGGCAACAAGGACAGCTAACCGGAAGCCCCCGCAGGGTCCTTGAAGCAACCCTAACCCTACACTACCAGGATCCGTCGGCAGAACAAATATCAATTCACATGTCACTGCGTGATTCGCTTATAGAGAAAAAGATATTCGCTGTGCAGCTACTGATCGAGCCACCATTGAACATGAAACTTGAATAAATTTCTGCGACGTTGCAAAACGATTGGAGAGGATTCGAGCTATGATGCACGCGCTACCAGCGGCAGTGCACGAGGCCAAGTTTATCGGCGTTCGCTCGATCCCTTCGCCACCAACTACCGTAGCACAGAAAACAACGAAGAAGACGGGCACCACCTTCGGGCTATCATTTGCGGTCTGCCAAACCTGCCAATGAATGAGGAGCTACTACCCTTCCCAAGCGGAACTACCAGTCCCTGCTTCTCGCCATGTGGCCCTGCCCCGCAACAAATGTGGGAACGAGGGCACAAGCTCATATTGGCACGGGGGTGATGCTGAGAGATGCGCATGACGGGCACGGCTGTGCAGCTTGCTGAACTGGAAGATCCACGGAGTACGAGCTCACTCATCAGTCATGGCCATAACAGCCGACCACCACCGAGGAGATTAAGAATCTCACTGACTCAGATTGACTTTGCGTCCCCCACATCTCTGAATCACATAGTGAAAGGGAAGAGTTGACGCCATCTTGCAGCCGGCATGCACGAGAATGGCGCGGCACAGTCACAGTACGAATGCGAAATGACATCGTTGGCGACACTGCATCAATGGCGCCGTCACATTAACCGGGACGTATAAATGCATTGCAAGTCCTGCGAAGCTAGCCTTGAGAAGTAATAAGGCCGATCATTTGCGTGGAAAGAGGGGAAATGTGAGTTTGGGGGGATCGCCGGTTCTTTCAGATCGCTACCTCTCCACCTCTCGAGCAACGGTGGGTGTGCAATCGGATGGTAGGCCCTGTGCATATATTGGCAATGTTTGCGAATTACCGTACTTCGTCATTACGATTCCATATCTCCTGTTATTTGTTCCGTTGCACAATATTTTTGCTTAAGGCCACTTTGACTGACTGACTGTGACAGATTGTCTTAGGACAACTTCTCTCGTCGAGGAGTACTCTACGCGCATTTTATGGATCAAATTCGAAGCTTCTCACTCGAATAGAAATGTCGGAGCAGTTCATCACTTAGCACTTTAGCAACACCAACTCTGAACACGGCACTCGTAGCCTCCAGTTCCAACAGACATATCATACTAGACTTCATGTGTTGTCTTGAAACCGCTAAAATGTTCCAATATTGTATGCAGCTCCATGTCCCGATTCCCTTCGCCATTTCGATAAATATCGATTCCTGGGGGATTGTCTCTCAAATCAGATCATTAACTGCCGCTCTGCGACAGTCCTCCTCCATCCGAGGAACAGAACCAGCTCTTTTGAGACAGCAGAGGCCCAAGCCTGTGCCGTAGGATTCGCTTTGTTTCTTAGTTCACCATTACCTCGCAGCTCATGATACTGCAACCTCTGTTCGTTCTGAGAATCATCCAAAGCCAGGTATAGAGGCTTCTGGCGGCGACTTCGTCTTGGAAGGGCGGTTCCACTCTCGCTGCATTAGCCGCCATAGGCTGGATGCAACATGTTCACGGACCTGTACGATTCATCCTGATCACCGCTCAACTTGACCTACTAATTCGTCGGACTCGCTGGCGATTCCAGCCAAAGCTGTTGAGCCCTTGGTCTCCGAGGCACGACCCCGCTGTTCAGACAACCCGCAGTCTCGCTCTCACTTTGACAAACCTTCAGTCCTGTTAGATGCACAACCAAACCCGACGTGTGGGCTCTCATAGATGTGTAGAATACGACATCAGGATGACCCTGACTCGATTCCCCTGCCTAGCAAGTGCTCGGCTGAGCACATCTGCGCTGCGCGACGACAAGCGTCCACGCCCGGGGTTCGAAGTCCGAAAACCGGTCCTACAAGCTCCACTGCGGTTGCAGATGCTTAGACCTATTAGATCGTAACAGGAAGATTCGAGCCAGGCACATAAGGTGTCTCAGACGCCTACGTGTGGAAGAATTCGCGGGACTCGTAGGCTGCGATTCTATAGCAATGTGGCAACCTGTGGGAGTCCTGAAGTCGTGAGGGTTGAGATGCTCAATCCACATTTGAGACCGCTGTCATGGCTCAATAGTAAGACGAGCGACTCAACAGTAGTTGGTCAGCCTTTGTCAAGTTTGCTACAATTTGTGGTTAATGTTTTCAGACGTAGGCTGTGTAGACTGTGTCGGCGTGGGAAGTGAGCTTCGCAACGATGTAATGCAGCGGTAGAACTCGGATTACTCATCGTGGAGAAGCGGTGATAATATGCCATATGGGTCGCCTGAGTTGATCACTACATACAGCTTGGTGGGGGACATTGGCAACTAAGTGGTGAGCATGCTAGCTATTGAAAAGCAGAGATGTATCTCAATTGTGACGTACAATTGAAGCATTGTGAAATTTCAATCATTCGGAATGCCTTCAAGATAAAAGTCACATATCTGATCAGCGGCCTTCCTCCTAGCTGTCAACACTGATGAGTGCTTCTCCCAAATGCTCGAGCCCAGGCCTTCCCGAGGGAGCCTTCGTCCATCTCTTGTTCACGAAACTCTAATCCCAGTCACAAATTCCGTTTCTCACAAGCTGAGACTTCCCCTCTCCCTCAGCCTCCTACGCCCTCCCCACCTTAAACGACAAGATATCGTTCTTCCCCACCTTCACCAAATCATCCTCCGCAACCCGCACGCCCCCCTCCCGCTCCACATACGCCATCGGCGCATCCCCCATAACCTTTCTGTACACATCGCCCACCGTGCTCCCCTTCTTGACTAACACACAGTCCCGAAACACCGCCGTCGAACTCGCGCTCCCGCTTGAGAAACTGCTGATATTCCGCACCGGAAAGACAGGTACCAGCCCGAGCAGATCCGCCGCGCGGGACAGCACCTGCACGACGCCCGTCGAGCCAAACCGGTACAGCACCATGTCCTTCAGATTCTCGATCCTTGTGCGCAGCTTCTCGTCCAGCTCTTTCAACCCCCCGCCATCCGGATCCCCCGCCTCGATAAGGTCCTCCCTTGTGTCCACAAACTCGCTGCCCTCAGTATACCTCACAAACCCCTGCTTCGCGAGCTTCCGCAGAAAAACCTCGGATATCGCGCTGCACAGCACGATGCTCTGGGGATCCTGCATCTTTGCGATCTTTGCGATGTTCTTGTCTGCGTCCGGGTGGTCGATCTTGTTGAGCGCGATGACGGTGGGGAATTTCTCATCTGTGAAGGCGTTGACTACAGCCTCGACGGTGGCGTCGGACCAGTCTTGGAGGGGCTCCTTGAGGGCGAGCTTGTCGAGGCAGCGCGCGACGACGGCGGAGGTGGAGCCGTAGCCTGAGAACTGGTTTTGCAGCGTTTCGACGGCGGTCGCTTTGACGGCAACGTGGCGCCGTTTTATGGAGCCCCTGGGGCGTGTGGATTAGCACTGGACGAGCACGGGGAGGCGGACAAGGAGAGGTACCATTTCTCCATCAGATTTCCTTGTATCCACCGCACGATCTCGGAGCGCAGCCAGACAATGTCCTGACTGGGATCGTAGCCTCTTGTCGCCTTGCCTAATCATCCTTAGCCAAACATCCCAATCTCACCCTCCCTTGAACATACCTTCCGCGTCCGTCGTCCCACTCACATCCACCACATGCACCAGCGCGTCTGCATGCCTGAGATCGTCCAAAAATCGATTCCCCAGCCCCTTCCCCATGTGCGCCCCAGGAACCAAGCCCGCCACATCGAGCAGCTCTATCGGCACGCTCCGCCGCCCATCGACGCAACTCCCGTAGTTTGGCTTGCACTTGCTCTCCAGGCCCACGCGCTTGCACGCGCATTCGATCTGCAGATATCCGATTGCGCGCTGGGGATCAATGGTGGTGAAGCTGTGTGCGCATGAGCAACCGGCGATTCGAGCGGGGCGTATGTCAGGGCGGTCGGCTGCTCGGGGTACGCTCAGAGAGCTATGCGCCGTGGGGGGAGGGGTAGCAAGATGCTGCACTTACGGGAAATTGCCTGTTGTCCAGTCAGCTTCCACATTTCTCGCGACCAGAGACAATGGACGAGTATTCTACGGACCAACTTTGGAGGTAGCATCTGTCAAGCTGCCAGGGAGACATGTCTTAGACGGAGCAGAATGGAAAGGTGAGGGGCAGACCGCACCTGTTGAGTGTTGTTGATTTTCCCGACGAAGGCTTGCCGACGAGACCAATCAAAGGATCGCGAGGCATGGCGTACTGGTATAATATAGGTTTCAGCGAACGGATAAGTTAATGTGGAAAGTCGTGCTGACGACAATATGTGATGGAATTCACGATGCGCTTTTCTTATCGATAGGTGAGTAAGCGGGGTTCAAATGGGCCCTGACGACTTGGCCCGGTCTCATACGCCCTGCTGCACGCATTGACGCCGGGAACCATTATGGCGCGGCAGTGCAAGGTTATTCGAACGTCAAGTAGACTAACACGCAGTTCTTCACTACTTTACCCTGTCGACAACATACGAAGGTAACATGTAACATTCAGAACTGCCTTACTATTATGTACTATGCAAAGTGTACATGATGTTCTATCAAAACGCCAGCCAGCCCGACCAGAAAAACTGGCAAACGCCGAACGAGATCCATGAACTGATTACCGCAAAGAAAGGTGACCATATAGTAGCAGCTCGAGCCGTGGGTCGCTGATCATGACAGACCCTCGGACGCGGCACGCTGACTTTACAAAAGAAGGGATCCACCGAATAGGGAGGAAACCAAGACCACTAGGCCGCACGCAATAGGTGCGAAAGAGAATTCAGGCGCAAGAGGACCAGCAGCGGCACCCTTGCTGTCTGTGGGCTTGGAGGCGCCACCGGTCTCGGAAGCACCAGAAGTAACAGCGCCAGAGGCAGCAGGAGCAGTGTCGACCTTGTCGGAACCAGCGTCCTGGCTGCCGCCCGTAAGGCCAGGGGCCTTGCCGGCACCGTTCTTCATGTAGTCCGAAACACCGTCAGGCGTAGCGGGCAGCTCGTCGTCCTTGAGATCGACGTCCCAGGTGGAGGACTTTTGTGGGCACTCGGAGATCTTGCCGTCGGTCTTATATCCACCATCTCCGGTAGGAGCCGGGGTGTTGGATAGGGCCTTCTTGAGAGCGGTGAAGTCGTCCTTGTCTTCGACCTCAGTGGAGCTCGTGATCTTGACCAATCCAAAGCCAGCATTGTCAGCTTCCTCGGAATACTCGTAGACCAAGCCACCAGAGTAGACCGGGGTCATCTTGGAGGTGTCGTAGAGAGCGCTGACGGCATTGAAAGTACGGGTGTTGGTCTTGCAGCCGTACTCAGAGAGGCTACCACAATCAGTACGTGTTCACATGCGACCTTACGAGTCCACTTACAAGAGAGGAATGCTGTAGTCAGAGAAGTTCTTAGCCTTCATGCCCCAATCAGTCTTCTCAAAAGTGTTAGGATCACACCAGGAGTAGTCGTTGAAGGCAAAGAAGTCGCTACGCGCGCCATCGGGACCACAGTTCATGTACGCAGCCATCTGCATGCGGTTCTCGGAGACATCGGCGGCTGAGTAACCGACGGGGATCTTGCGGTAACCACGAGCGTTGATGTATGACCTCATGTCACGGTCTGTGGCCTTGACATAAGGAGCACACTCGGTCGTCTTGTCATCATTGATCACCTCGTTTCCGGAGAAGAACATGAGCGTGTTGTCGTACTTCTGGAATGCATCGATGGTAGCGAAAACGCTCTGCAGGTAGACCTTGTTGTACGACTTGGCGGGCTTCGCACGATTGATGGAGTAATTGGGGTTGTTGACGTCCAGTGCCAGGTAGATGCCGGCATCGGAAAGTGCCTGCATGCACTCATCGTGGTTCTTGGAGTTGTCGACGGTGTAGACACGGATGGTGTTCAGGCCAAGCTCCTTGAACTTGGCGACGTCACGCTTGCACGTCTCGGCATTGGCAATGGGATCCTCGTTGGCGGACGAGCCCCCGGGCTGGTAGTCGACACCACGGATGTAGAAACGCTTTCCGCCAGCGAAAAAGGCTAGGGTATGTCAGCAAACAAACTCTCGGAACAACAGATTTCTCGGGCAACGGACCATTTCCCTTGATGGAGACAGTGGGCAACGACGAAGCACGCGGCGCCAATGGCGCAGCCGGAGTGGCCGCGGCACCGGCGGCGAGGATGGCCACGGTGATGGCGGAGGTCTTCATTGTGAGTTTGGGTAAGTCAGGATATTAGGGTGGAGCGAGAGTTGTGCGAAACAAACAAAAGCGTGAGCGAGAGTTGCAGAATAAAGCAGGCGCGAGCCTGGACAAAAGAGTGTAAGAAGCTGCAATTAGTACGAGTAGTACGTGGAGCAGGAAGGGAGATGCACGCGGGAGGACGCAGGCAGACTGAAGAGCAGAAATAGGAACGACACTGCGGGCGTCGCAGGTTTTAGGGGCGCTCTTGCCATCGGTTTTGGGGAACCTGGATAGGTGCGCGCCAGCGATGATTGGGTCCTGCGCAACATTCCATTTGCACGAACCCTGCAAGCCACCATTGACAACATCCAAGCAGCGGCCAAGCAGCGGCCGGCGCACCGAAGCGAACTCGAGCAATGCTCAGCGAGGCTTGAGCGCCCCGGCGATCGCCCGCCGTCTGCAACACATGTGGACCGCGCTGTGGAGCACTGCCGCGCCTGAAACGCGCAGTGCTGTCATTGTGTGCGCATCCATAGCGATCCAAATAAGACCCGTCGCATGCGTTGCCCGCCCGCCGCCTGAAAATCTCCTCAAACCTGCCTCAACAGGCGCTCCTAGCCCGCGCCAGTGGAGCACTCCTTGCACGCAGGTCCCACACCCCCCGGCGTCCCAATCTCGCCATCATCAGCCAGCTGGGATTACACACCCGGCAATGGATGGCAAGCTTATCAAACTGTGGAGACGGGTGCTGTTCGTAATAACAGTGGAGCTTGCAGCGAGGCAGTGCAGTTGGCAGTCACAGAGTAACGAGGCAGTAGTTCAACGGTGGTTAGGTTGTTATCTACAACAGCGCTGCAGCGCAGCTAAATTAGGCATTAGAAAACGACAATAGTACGTCAAGGTTATCCTCCATCTCATGTTCTTCACAGGGTACTCGTGATACGGCCGCAAGGAAATCGACCTTGGCGGCCCTTTCCCACGTGGTGCCAACCTTCCAGAGTACGACTACGGGTTGTTGGTCTTGGCCCGGGTGCCAAAGTAGCCACCGAGGACAGCAGCGAGGATGGCAATGATTAAGACGACAATGCCCAACGTCCACCACTTAAGCTTTCGTGCCCGGCGGGCAGACTTGATACCCTGGTCGAGCTGCTGGTTTGCATGTGTCGTATCCTTTGTCACATTCTCGGTCTGCTCCTCAACCCGCGTTACCTGTTCCTCTTGGTACACAACTTGCTCATTGAGCTGCTGGAAGAGCAGCGCAAGCTCGCCCAGCGTCTTCTCAATGCGCTGGATATCGTTGTGACGAGCGCGCACAGCTCCGAGCACACTGTTGGCCTGACCACTGCGGTTGGTCTTGAGCTGCGTGGGTGTCAGCACAATCACCTGGCTATCATGATGTCTACGGATACTTACAGCTTGCTGGAAGATGCCCTCATCGCCCCAGTCAGCATTGGCTGCCTCCTGAACCTCTGACTCGGTCGCCTCGGGGTTGACGATTCGGTACTGTCTCGCAATGGCATCGCGGTACCGTTTGGAGTAGTCTGCCTCCTCCTTCTGGAAGTCCTCGAGCTGGCTCTTGAAAGTGCGCTTCAGCTTCTCCACCTGCGTCCTCTTGAACGAGTTCTGCGGCTCCCGCGATGCATCCTTTTCAAGGAACTTGATCTCATCCTTTATCGACGTGTTCCTGATCTGTGTTTCGGAGACGATGCTCTCTAGTTGGGCCGAGGAGCGGTTGTCAGGCGACGACAGCATGCGCTGGTGAATGTTGGCGATCTCGGTGATGTTCGCCGAGAGCTGGTTGATTCTACTCTTTGTGCCATCGATGCGCGCGAGGAAGTCCTGCTGACTCAGTGGCGTTGCGGCGTGCGAATACGTCTGCTGGGGCGGTTGCGACGAGTATTGCGACACCTGCGAGTACTGCGAGTCCTCATGTTGGAGAGGCGGCGCGTTCAAATCCTGGCCCTACGCACATTAGCGCCATCACGAAGTCGATGATTCCGGGCTGCTCACTGTGCCGCCGTACGGGTTCGACGCTCCATAGCCCCCGGGTGCGACTTGGCCACCTTGACCGCCATAGGGATTTGACTGCCCGTAACCGGACTCTGCCTGGCTCGCGCCCTCGTAAGGGTTGCCGCCGTATTGTTGATACCCGTGAGACATGGTGCTTGCCGCAAGAGGTGTTGAGTGAAGCTCGCTCGGGAGTGTTTGCTTAGTCGCCGCGGAAGCAACGGAAACCTGCGTCAACTGAAGATTCCCGATAAAAATGTCCCTGGCGGATCGCAAGAGCGTGAATTGTGCAAAATTGCGATGGTTGTGGGCCTGTTCGCAACCAACAAAACAAGGTGTTGCGTGAAGCCAATTTAAGAGCTCGGGTACTGCAGATGAGCAGCGCCGTGGATTGCCCTGCCTAGCTCCCCAGCCCTCGCAAACGTCACTGGCCGAGGCGGAGCACGTGCTGCGCTAACCATTGACGGCGCAGTTTGCGGTTGTTCATGGCTGAGCACTTGCTTTCCACAACAACACAGCGTGTACAGCCTATGTACAGGAGGTTATTTTGTGAATCTACTAGCTGCTGCCTAGGGAGGATTCCGGTGTAGGTAGGGAGCTCCACCTCAATGCGTCTAGTCTACTCACCTCGATTTATCGAATCGTCGAATCATTGGCATTTGAGATTCCATAAGCAATCTACGAAGGCAGCACTATCGGAAATCTAGCAGTAGATACGAACTTTGTTGAAACCAGACGGTCTTCTTATGTCTCGTCGTAAGCATAACACTGCCTTTACGGTGGCAGCGATCAAGTGGTCCGTGCCGCATCAGAGATAAGATCGATCTGATAACTCTCAAACACCAGTCTCCGCATTCCGAACCTTCTCCCCACGCCCACACCGTCCCAATTCAACAGCCGTCAGTTGTCTCAGGCTCCTCGCAAGCTTAGAAACGAGCAAGAGCTAGCATATACGGCACGTGGCCAACCTCGCACGCAAAGCTTAACAAGGTCAAACGCCTAACACCTCATCCTTCACATTTCCCACTATCCCCTCAACAACGACCCTTCGTAGTTCACGCTAGTTCCTGCGAGACGCTGCCTGCTCGCACGTGCAAATCGTTCGGAAGGGCAGATCACCATCTCCGTACATAACCTAAAACCCCACCGCCCAACATGGCCCAGAACGGAACCTTCCACCCCGGCACCCTTCACCTCTATACCCCCTCTCTGACGGCCTTCGAGCACAGACCCCCGCCCCTAAACCCCAACTGCTCAGTGTCCTCCTCCTCCACCCCTCAGAACACGATCCTCTTCATCGGCGGCCTCGGCGATAGCCCCCTCACAGTGCGCTACCCGACCCTCCTCTCCCGCACCGTCCCACCCCACTGGACTATCGCCGAGGTAACTCTCACCTCCTCTGCTGCCGGCTGGGGCACATCTACGCTCTCCCGAGATGCCGCCGAGCTCGGGGAATGCGTCGCTTATTTCAAGAAGATGCGGCCAAGCGGGAAGATCGTGCTCATGGGACACTCGACGGGGTGCCAGGATGTGATGGAGTACCTTGTCGGGTTGTCCAGCTCCAGCCGTCCAGCTATTGAGGGTGCGATTCTGCAGGCGGCCGTGAGTGATCGGGAGGGCTGGGATACCATCGTCTCTGATGATGCATCTTTGAAGGAGAGCCTGGAGAAGACGGTGGCGATGGCAGGCGCGTGGGTCGCGCGTGGGGACGGCGATGCGATTCTGCCCAAGAAGGGCAACAAAGTCCTGGAAATGTTCGACAGCCCGTGTACGGCGTACCGCGCGCATTCGTTGCTTGCGAAGGGTGGGGATGATGATTATTTCAGCACGGACTTGTCGGACGACACGCTGAAAGGCACATTTGGCAAGATTCCGGCACGGACGAAAGCGATGTTTCTGTGGGGGAGTAGGGATCCGTATATCCCTGGCCATGTGGATCAAGAGGGGACGCTGAAGAGGTGGGCGAGGATCGTGAGGGAAGGGGGTGGGAATGTGGATGAGGCGAACGGCGGTGTGGTGCGGGGGGCTACGCATAACTTGAATGACGATGCGGAAGATATTGTCCAGGATCTCGTGGGAAGGGTGGTAAGGTTTATCAAGGAACTGTAGAGAACCCGAATACTGGAGCGCGTGGAAATACAAATCACACAGCAAGTCAACAGACAGTGCACAGTGTTGCATTGTGTAGTGTATACTACTCCAGAGCCCATGTGCTGTGGATAGCCATGGCCACGATAGGCTAGTCTCAATTAAACAAAAGAGAGCCATTCTACTTCTAATGGGGATCGGTGCTGTATACAAAAGTGAAAGTGAATCAATCCTAGGACCAACACCCAGGTCGGCATACACGTGCCTGACCAATACGCCTGAAAATGCAACACGTTGGCCGTCCCAACCCAGCCTATTTGGCCCGGGCATATCTCCAAGACAAAAGAAACAGTATACACTTGTACTCAGTGCCGAATCCTCAGCTGCTCCTCCCAAGCAGCTTCCCCAGTTTCGACTTCTTCTTGTGCCTATAATCAGTTAGTCATTGTCCTGTCAGCAGGTTCCATCCCGGGAAATAACTCACGAAGCCGCGTCGTCCTCGTCCTCCGCCGTCTTCACGCTCGAGCCATCCCCACCCCTACTCCCCAACCTCTCCCTCTCCCTATCTTTCATCCTATGACTCCCAAACGGCGTCAACTGTGTGACGTGCCTACTCAAACTTCCAATCACACCTGCATGTCCCGGCTCGGTCTGATCCACTCTGGACAGCTCATCTGCAAAGGTCCTGCCATCCTCAACCTCAATGCCTAAGCCCTGGGTGTCGTGCCAGCTACTGCCGAGTATGCTGCCGTTCTCTGTGGCGGGGCGGGTGTTGCTGCGGGACGAACGCATGCTGGTGGATTCTGAATGTTCGGAGAGCGCGGAGAAGGTCGAGGGCGCACGCCCGGATGCAAACGAGCGACGTCCGGGCAGCTCGCCGCTGGCGTTGGAGTCCGACTCTCCAGGAGAGTGATCGCGTATGGAGGCAGAATCCGTGCCGGAGAGATCGGGAGAAGTGCTCATGATGGAGCTGCTGTTGGCGATTTGGCGGAGGCGGGATTGGGTGTGTTTTGAGGGGCGGTGGTGACTGAACTTGTTGCCTACGATAGCGCCGGCATGGGATATGAGAGCTCGGATGACGTCCCGTTTCAATTGTAAGACGAGATCGAGATTGGAGCAGGTTTTGTTCCTGTACTCTAACGTGGGCAGCTTGAAGACGAGGTCGTGGATATCCTCAAAGTTGCGGTTCCCTTTGCCCTTGTAGCTGAGACAGAGAATCAGACTAGGTATACGCGCATATGCGAGAGTCATGTAGTTGGATGCGCGGCTCATCATTTGTGTGAGGTCGTCGTTCCGTTCCTTTTGGGTACCCGCTTTCTTGTCGCCAGTGCCGCTTCTGTGCAAAGCAAAACGCCGAGTAGTACGGTCAGATTCCGCGGTCGACACAGAAAAGCTTGAGTTTGTGCGTGAAACGGCAGTTCCTGGCCGAGAGACGTTGGTAGAGGAATTTCCAGGCGTACTCATGGCGGAGCTAGGATGAAGGGTACGTCGCATCTCAGTCGCAGACCGCGACTGCGTCTCGCGGAACAAACGGAGATGGTGAAGGTTTGGCCGGGTTTTAGACGAGCGCTGCTCCGTTTTGGGCTGGTGCGTGGGCAAATGCAAAGTTGGGGTGAGACGTAGCTTCAGGCCCTCGACATCCTCACCATTGGTGGGGAGTTGCATCGTAGGCGTATCCGTTGAGGAGAGGTTGCCAATATCGTCGTCGTCATCGTCATCCAGAGCTATGTGCTTAACAAGCAGGGGCGAAAAAGTGCCATTGCCGTTCTCTCCAGATTTGTCCTTGATGCCAGGGAAGATGTATTCGAACAGTTTCTTGCCGATTTGCCATTCCAGCGCAACTTTGAGTGGGAAAAGATTAATTTCGAAGTGATCAACGACCGGAATGCCAGCAATTGCTTCGAGCATAACCCAATGCACCCTGAGCATCTTTGTCTCTAGTGAATCTTGCCCATCTGAGGTTTTCGGGCGGCTTGCTTCAAGGTAGGGTGAGATCATCTTGGGGTAGATGGCGTTCGGCATAAGGTTGAGACCGACAATGTGTTCAATCTCAACTGAATTCAGATTTGAACCGTCGTTGTTGTCTGTTCGGTCGAAGAGAGCATTCTTGATCTGGAACTCGGCAAGCGAGGTCTGACCCTCCTGCAAGAGATGCCAAACAATCTCCGAAGCGGTAATGTACCATCTCAGAGTCCCGGTCAGTTCTTTGGCCTGTGCACGGTCGTCGTACCTTCGCTGCGCGGTCGTAATCGCTTTCATGACGAAAAAGAGCTCATCTTCAAAAACAGCCAGATCCTTCTCCACCTCGATGCGATCACTCCAACCCTTCTTGTCTAGAAATTTCTCGTTGATCTGGAATACGGACTTGATCTCTTCGAGTTGACGAATTCGTTCCTGCAAGCCAATGACCAGATCCGGCGCGCCGCTGAGATTGCTGAAGTCAGACGCAAGCATGATCTTTTCAAGCCTTTCGTTGCGTGTCTTTTCCAGCGGCTCGTTATAGAGCAGAAGGTCTATGACGATGATATACATGGCGTAGTACTGACGTGAATTGCATAGAGCACGGATATGGGGAAAGTCGACCCAGATATGATCGATTCGGCTCTCCATGCTTTTTCGTCTAGAAGCTGAGTCGCCACCAGACACGTCGTCATTATACTTTAGGCGCAACGGGTTGTACTTGTCAAGTCTCATGCTGGCAGATGTGCGCTCTACCACGCGCTGAAAGCCATACGGGTGAGTCTTGAAATCGAACATGACTTCGAAAGGTACCCATGGGGGCCAAGCAGTCCCGGCTGGTGCTCCATACGTGCTGCCCGAGTACATGTGGATATCTCCGGATCCGAAAATCTTCGAGTTGGTAACGAAGATCTGCAAACTGTCCATTGAAGCTGTGAACCGTCTTTGGACCAGACCAGAAACGTCGTCCATCACCCGATCTTTGTCCATGATTTGGATGACCTTGAGTTGCATACCCTTCGCTGTGACCAGAACAGCCGCTTTGGTGTTCTTCTCGCTTTGAAGTTGGATTTGAGGGGCAATTAGGCGAACGATATACGCATTTTGAGCGAGGTAATCGAGGGAGACATCGTCCCCAGCGTTGTTCGGAGCGCTTGACTTGTTTTGTTCTTGCTCAGCATTGTCGGCCTCGATGAATTTTTTGCCGTCACTCAGCAGCTGTTGAATTTGACTCTCGATGGTGTCTTCTTCATCTTCTTGAGGCTCCATAGGTCTGTGCTCAGCCCCAGGGGTGGATGAAGACTTTCGCAGCTTGTCTTGCTCCTCCACTATGTCTAGGATAAACTTGACCGCGCGTCGTGACATATAGTATACAAAACCACGCCGCTGGCTGACTTGGTGTATGTAGCGCAGAATAATATTGCGAAGAGAGTTGTTCCACTTCAGATGCACGTTGTGAATGATGAAGCGGTTGTTGAAGTCACTGATAAAGTCGGCATGCTGTGCGCCTTCTGAGGTTTTGGTACCACCCTCATCACCTGCACCGTAGTCCTCGCGTGCTTCGTAGTATTCGTCCTCTCCTTCCGCTTCTCCGTTTGGTACGGCATGCTTGTCGGCTGACTTCAATCGTTCGATCAAGCTTTGGTGCATGGCCTGGAGGAAGTTCATCTTTCTCCTCAAGAACTCGGAATGATTTTGCAAGGTGGTAAGCTGGTGGCGTAGCTCTTCCGAATTTTCAGGCTCCCGAATGATTTTCAGCTCTTGATCACCGATAGCGCGTTCGTTGTGTGATGTCTGCTCTTTTACACGCTGGATCCGCTGCTCAATGAGATAACACTGCACCCGCCGCGGGTCGTTGCGAGCGGACATGACACAGTGATGCGTCGGCTCCTTTCCGAAAGGACTCGTGCGATGAGGATCTCCAGATATGTTGTCTGCGTGGTCCGTCTGGCGGAAGTAGGTAAAGCGCGGTGCAAAGGCTAACGGTAGGATCTGCGTCTCTGGGTTATGCTCCGAGGGTAGAACCCATCCCAATTCCACGAAATCGTCCATGTCAACCCAGCCCCAATCGTTATCTGGGATCGTAAACTTGGACAAATCTGCTCTCGCGTTCTCTTGGTTATAATCCGCAATTGTCTCGTCATTAGCGTTTTCCACATCATCTTCTCCCGTGCCGCCAATTCTTGCCGAAACAGCACGAACATCGGTCCTTATGAGGTCGAGCTGGACCTGATTAATCCGCATACCCGTCGTTTGATTTTGCTTGCTGTCTTCTTGCGCCTTAGGTGCCTGCACAATGGTTCTGAATTCTTCTCGTCGCTGATGCAAATCAAGCATGAAACTGTCCAGGCGAGCCTTCAGCCCAGTGGCAGCAACGTCACCCCTGCCGTAATCTTCTGCATCTTTATGCTTGTATACATGGCTCATATACAAAGGCGAGAGTAGAAGATTGTACTTGATCGTAGCCAAATGTCGTCCAAACTTCTTGCTTGACTTTTCGATGCCCGGCCACAACGAGCCCTGTCTGATGGGCAGAGACATGGCGCCTGAGAACATGGACCACCAGTTATAGAAATGTGTGAAGAAACGTGGAGTCAGGTGAACACTGTTGTAAGTCTTGGAAGGTTCCAGGTTGCCAACGGACCACTCGCGATCGTGAGGAGCTGCGATGGCAATAGACATATGGATGTGATGGCTGCGGAAACCACGGAACGCATCATACTCCTGTTGTGGTCAGTGATGAACCAATCTGTAAGCGCACAATTTCTCACCTTTCCGTCTTTTGGATGAGCATACTTCGGATGCTTCAAGACGATGTCGTAATGAGGATTGAACTTGAACGATCTACCGCCTCCGTCGAGGTTTCGCTCGAACACCAAACCTGCTACCCAGCGGACATTGCCATTCAGCTTCATGATGGTCTTCTTAAAGATCGCCAATTGCTTGTGGCTCGAGACGCTAGACGATCCGTCGAAATGAGTGGTGGGCTGTTCCAGTTCGGCTTCTTGACGTGCATAATGGCCGAGATCTGGTATTGCCAGGACGTAGCTACCGCTTTTGACAACCATAAAGTTTCGTGGATCTTCGTCTTCGGCAAGGGTCAGCTGTACGTCGTTCTGCCAACACATGACAAAACCTGCGCCATGTCCAGTGACCATGTAAGGATCGCGAGAGCCTGGGATATGTTAACATTTGGAATCATTAGGGATAAATGCTACTTACCTTTCAGGATTAGATGCACATCGCCGTCGCCTTTCCACGACACGCTGATGCGCGAATGGAACGTGAGTCTGATCTTATCCCAAAAGCCGACCCTCTCTGAAGGGTCAATCGCAGGCTTAGTGAAGCTCTCAATGACCTGCATCATGTCCTGAATCGCAGGCTGATACGATGTGCCCCAGGTGATGCGAGTTGGATGGGACGAGTTGATGTCGATCTTCATATCTGAGTATGTTTTGACTGGTGCCACTGTACGGCGGATATCGACCTCGAAACCTCCCGTCTTCGCGCCCGACGGGGTGGATTCCTCTGGTACCACGACTACATTGCACACTCGGGTGGACTCTATGTCTCTAAACTCTTCCGCAATCACAAAGTCAGTCTTTAGGGAAACACTGGGTAGTCGAGATGACTGCAAAGGATGCAAAGCAGGGAAATGGAGCAACGGGAGCGGGTAGTCGCGCAGCTGGATTTTGGCCTCGCCCATGTTCAGTTGCACATGCATCGGGATAAGAAGAGAGTATTGCATATCAACAGGCATGCCTTTCCCGACCCGGTGTAGGAATCTTGGATATTCGGAGAGAGGGAACGAAGGTTTGTCAATGGTGAGATCCAGATCGCTGACGATGAGGCTTCCGAGTGCAGGCCGATGCGGGATAGCCATTATAGTCTCCTTTGAGTATGCATCGTCCGGAACCTCATCAAGACCCCAGAAAATGGAGCGGATATCGTTCATAGAACGGGTCTGGCAGGTGAGAGCGTGATCTATGCGCTTTCTCCATGTCTGAGCATTGAGACGATTGAGCCTCTCGCGTGCCTCTTCGATACTGGTACGCGCTTTGCTACTGAGACCAGTGTAGCCATCTTTATCATAGCGCATTGGATGATCCGAGCCACGTCTGCGCACGGAATCCGGAGATTCAGGATCGCTCAGGTCTTCGCTCTTGCTACGAAGAACGGGCTCCTTCTTCCGCACCTTGCTCCGTCCTCTATGTGTGTGAGCAGACCTGGCGCGCTGGCGAGAATTTCCCCGTCGTTCTTCCTCTTGGTGAAGCTTCTTCACCTTCAGTTCGAAAGCTTGTTCTCGGGCTAGCCTCTGTTTCTGCTCCATGAGACCGTATCGGTAGACGACACCCAGTTTCCATTCAAAGGAGCCATCCTCAATCTCAAAGAGAACAGCTCTACTTCGAAGAGAGATTTTGGGTACATGCTTGGGACCTTCAGGCTCTTTGTTTAGAACATATCTGTTGGAGCCAGTCTGGAAACGAAAGTGGAGTTGCTGGATGGTTTTCGTAACATTGACGATGTTGTCGAATATTCTGTGCATAACCAGCTGATGAGGGACCGCGATACGAATTGCGTCTGCAACAAGGTCGAAAGATTTGTCCTCAGTGATCGTGTTGCCATATCTTCTCTTTGATTTGCGATAATCCATCCGCAAGGACTTAACACTAACAATCCGACTCCACACTCTTTTAACATGCGGGCATTCTGCATAAAGTCTCACAAGCCGTGACCGAAAGAATGGATTCGTCCATCTATGTCGGCCAGCTTCGAGACCATAAACGTGTACCATGAGTGGTGGATCTGCCGGCATGTCGCCCTTGAACTGAACAAAGTTCGCTTTGATGTCCAAGGTAAGGATTTCACGTTTAAGTCCCGTCTCGGGATCCAGGTCGTCGATGTCCATTGATGGGATAGCGAGGTGACGAGAAGCGCCTGGCGAAACAGGAACAGGCTCTTCCTGACTAGTGAACGCAACATTGAAAGAGTGCTTCAGTACCATAGTGGCGACACCCACAGCGAAATGTCGATAGAGCGAATAATGGAAGAACAGACTCTGGCAGAAAGAGTGGATGTGAAACACCGGTCCCTGCTTGTCTGTAGACGTACTCCAAGCCACCTCCATCCGTGGAACACCCAAGAAGGGATCTGCTTCCCATTGCTCGTCGGCCTCCAGTACGAATCCTTCGAATCCTTGCCAGTGCACGGCAAGTCGTCTCCCATCGGTGGGGTCACCAGCTGGTTTGCGAGGAGACTTTGGTGAGGACGGAGTTGTTGGTCGAAGGAGATACTCATCCCGGTTGATCGTCCGGCTTGCGGCCCGCCTGCGCACGGGACGGGCTTCGCTATCATCTCCCCTACTCTGGCGGTACTCTGCAGTCCAAGATTCTAGGTGCAGTCCGATCCCCCTTGCATGTTTGGACACTTCCGGATCGATGCCTGCGATTTCGATGTTAAAGTCAGAACCTTGAAGTTGTACATGCGACAACCAAGAAGGCAATCGTCGCAAAAAGTTCAGCCCTTTTTTTCGAGGTCCACCGCGCCTACGCCGCACGTCTTTCTGAACTTGAGCTACAATCTGGCGTAGACCCTCGCTGATTTCTGAGCGTACGATGAATACAGAAAAGGTCTGCAAATTTCCATTGACGACCACTAAAACATCGGGTGAAGCGCTGAGCTGCACTTTGAGTTCTACGTGGTCAGTCAACAACAAATTGTGTTTTTCACTAGAAGCGGTTTGGTAGTAGAGCCGCTGCGAATTGATGCGAAACGTTGAACTGAGGCCATAGTGCAACTCAGCATCGGCTGCATGCGAAGATTCCATGTCAAGCGAGACCGACGACGATGATGAGATGAGAAGGTCAAATTCATCACTGTCCTTTCTTGACGGTTCTGTAGGGGGCAGAGTAACGCGAATAACGGGCTCGTGAATGGATAATTTGATGCTAGCCTTGGGTAGTAGCCGTCGGACCAAGCTGCGTTTTCGATCTCGCAATTTTGGAGGTTTCCGTCGCGTCTCGTAAGTACGAGTCATGGCAAGTAATATTGGTAGATGTTTGGGGTCAAGGTCGATGGACGGGGATGTAATGACTAAGTTGGCGAACAGGATGTTTGTGTTGCGCTCGGCCACATTTTTGTCCTTGGTGAATTGAATGGTTTTGGAAGGGAGTGTAGTATTCAGGGTCATGGTCGCCATGGGGACGTACAGAAGGCGTTCAGGGTGACCTTGACCGCTATCAATGCCGACCGAAATGGATATTGCGGCGAGGAGGGCTTGGTGAGCAATGTCGTTAGGAGAGAAGTACATGAGGTGGGCAGGGCTCCGAGGGTCCAAACGGAGTAGATCGATGCTGACCTCCTTCATGGATGCGTTCAGATAGACAGGAGGATCAGAATCCGAGCCGGTCTGGATGCGCCTGGTGAAGCTGAACAGACTTATGGCAAACTGGAATTCTTGGATACCACGGAGGATGGAGCTGGCAAATTCGCGCGAATCGGCTACGGTACGCACGATCTCTTCCTCGGGACTTCCAGGCTGGCCAAGCTCACGGAAAGCGTCTCCAAGCGATGTATTGGACCTTGCGTGCCTGATAGGGGCAGCGGCACGACACTTCCTGGCACGCTCTGCACAGAGCTTCACTTCGTCATATGGGATGCTTAAGCGACCAAGCTTTAGGGCAATGGATGCATCACGCAAGCCGTCCAGCTCCTTGTACAACATGCCGTGGACGTTGAGGGTGCATTGGTCGAGGATTTCGACGGACTCTCGACCTTCGGGGGTGAAGAGGATGCTGCGGACGGTGAAGAGCCACTCGGCGGGTCGGTGCTCGTTGTTCTGCTTTGGCTTGTGGTGGTTGAAGAGGCGACTTCGGTCCACCGTCTTGCGGCGCGTGTCCACGGCCATGGTGAAGCTGCCAACCTGCAGCGACCCGACGTCTGCGATGACCAGCGTGGTCGTTGTTGCTACCAAGTCGACCATCTTGATCCATTTGATTTTGCGATGCAGCCGCTTAATGTGCTCCTTGACGTTGGTCAGCCGCTCCCACGTGCGACTTCTCTGGCCTTCCTCGTCGGTCGTATCCTCGGTGTCTTCCCCATCCACGGCGATGTCTGGCGTCTTCTTTTCGTCCCTCCTCTTCTCTGCGGAACCGTTTGCCCATTTTGCCCACGCACTCTTCTTCCGCGGTTTGTCACCCAATGTCTTCAAGTCCACGGTCACAGTGAGTTCGCTGAGCACGACACTGAGCCAGGTTGGCTGCGCAAAGGTCGGGCGGTGGAGGGTAAGGCCGAGTCCGCGGATCTCGATGCGCAGGCCATCCTTGGGTGCGAAGGCTATGCGACGGAGCCCAGATACGCCCAGCCTCTGGATGGAGACGCCGGTGACGACTCGGATGAAGGCAAAGAGCACAAAGGACAGTAGGTAGACCAGCAGGAGCAGCCCCGCGGCTAGTTGCACGGTCGGGAGCACCATTGCGCCTCACCGGGCTTCCATGCGTCTCGCGTTGGATTATGGTATAGCAATAGCGCGCGAGCACGCGACGTGCGTCCGAGGTTCGCGGAGAGACGGCCTGGACATACTCGAAGGCGCCGTTATTGCAGGCCCAGCGTGCGGGCGGAGCAGACGTGCAGGGGCGGAGAGGCGCGAAGAATGCGGCGGCGAGCGGAGGGTCCGGACGGCTGTCTTTATGTGCGCGTTCCCTTTGCGCAGGCGCCGGCAGCGAACGCAGTCAAGGTCCGCGTGCCTGTAGCACTTGTGCGAGCGAGTGCGGGCGGCCGAGGGCGTATGTCCGTCGCTGGTGGGCTGGGCTTATGGACACTGTACTGCGCATGCGTCAGACTACAGCGGTCGTCCCTGCCCCAAATCGCCATGGCCCTGGTCGCCCCGCGCTCGGGCCATCCGATCGAGCATCCGCCGGTACCTCACCTTGCCCGCAACCATCGCATGCTTCTCCATCCGGGGCTTGTCTCAGCCTGCCGAATCCTCGAGCATCCCTCCTCGTCAAGCTGCCACTACGGGTCGTTCTAGAGGGATGGCCCGTCGCCATGGCCCACTAACCCGGGAACCACCACCCGGGTCAGGGACATGTACTTGAACTAATGCAACCAAGATCGGTGGCTTTTGTTCCGTCTGCGCCAAAACACCAGCAACGGCATGGGGCATGGTTGCATAACATCACCAAGCTATCTGACCACGTCCCTCCCACGTACCAGGCTTTACTCAACGTCTTGTACATTGCCGGTCAAAGTCGTCTGCTCGCTCGCCGTCAGCTTCTACGCCCAGTCATCCAAGCTCTACTCCCATACCGGACCGGGATCAACAGCAGCGGGCGCCTCGTCCACCTCACAGTATTAACTTGACGTGTTGCCTCTTATTGTTGTCGATCGTGAAGATATCCGTGGTAAGTAAGTCTGAGAAAGAATAGAGTGGATAATCAGGCCTGGGCTTTATATGTACGAGAGAGTTTGACGTAGTACTTGATTGAAGAGCAAATTGGACCGGGACTGGTGGGCATGTGTAGTAGGACACTGTTCAACAGAGTCATGGAGCGATTGTGTTGCAGCCCCATGATTTGAAGTACAATCTTAGGGCTGCGGCGCAGCATCTCCGCTGAAGTTCATCTCGACATATTTTGAACGCCGAAGCAACAATGTCTAGCTCTTAAACTGTGAGTCGCGGGTAATCAATCTCACTATTCTCAACTACATTCGTTTGACTGATGGAGATTTAGGCTGCTGCTGTTCAGTTGTGGCATGGTCCCATAACACTAGAACTTCATGGCTCAGCCTTATAGACCTCTACAGTCCCTCAATAGCTCTCGGCAGCAAGACCTCATTATAAGCCCACAACACGGTGGAGAACCCTGCACTGAAAGCCGCTCCGGTATACCACGTTGCTCGTCTCCCCTGCAACGCATTCTGTCTCGTGATGAACCCCTTCTTCAACTCCTCCCCTGACACCCTCGAATGCATAAGCCCATGATTCGCAAAGTACGGGAACGTCGTACTGCCATTCTTCGCGCTGACCGTCCCGGCCTTCACCATACTCTCAACTGCCTGCGCAATCAAACCTTGAATGCTCTCCGCTCCATCCTCCTCCGTCCCCACCGCCGTAAACGCAAACAAATCCTCTCCACCCCCAGGCTGATGCGCAATCCTCCCGACCTGCGCCGGCAGTGGATAAGCAGAGAAATCCCCCCCGGCCGCACCAGGCACCGTATTCGTCCACTGCTGCAGTCCGCCCAGACTAGGATGCTGCACCAGTCCCGCATGCACACTTGAGAACCGCAATTTGAACAGCACATCCGCCTCTTCATCGTCCAAGTCAAACGGCGCGAGCGCAACGGGCGACGGCTCGAACGCCACAAGCAGCCTCTTGGCCACTATTTGCGTCTCGTTGCCGTCCCGGTGCTTCACCCACACCTCGACGCCCGAGTCGTTCCGCGTGGCGCCTACAACGATGCTGTCGTACAGCACGTCCTCGCCTATCAAGTCAGCCACGCGATCGTACAGCTCGTGCAAGTTCCCTGACGACGGCACGATAGCCCTGGACTGGCCCAGCATCGCACGCGCCATGACGAGGCCGGAAGCTTGCATCACGTACAGCGTGGGCACGCGCAGGAAATCGCCGACGCCCATTACCGTGCTGGTCCAGAGTTTCGGGAGCGCAGCCTGCAGGTCGTACTTTTGCACGAAGGCGCCAAAGTCCATGGTAAGGTCCTCGGGTATGTTGCTGCCTGCGGAGGGGAAGTGGAAGAAGCCGGGGAGCATCAGGTCTGCGTATTTCTCGCAGAGTGAGAGGAAGTCTGCAAGTGCAGCTTTTTCGGCCGCTGGGGAAGGCGGTGTGTAAGAGACGGGGAGACCAGTGCTGAAGTCGACGTAGTGTGGTGTAAGATTCTCAAACTGCATGGACCCATTTGTGTCGACGCCCATGCGGTGCGGAAAGGACGTTGTGTTGAGGTACTCCATCCAGGCTTGGACGCCAATATTAATGGGCGTGCCAGTCGAGGGGTCGTGGTAAACTGCGGTGTGGCCTCCCTGAAGAGTTGCTCCGTCAGTCGAGGTGGAGAGAAGTACATGGATTCGTGACGTACCAATCTACTGCTTCTTTCGACGACAGCAACGGTCTTGTTGTGGTCGCGAAGCCAGACCGCAGCGTGGGAGCCTGCTGCTCCGCCGCCGACGATGACGACGTCGCGGGATATGACATCCACAGCGGAAATGGGGACAGCAAGCGCGCTGAGTAGAAGCACAACGCTTCTGATTATTTGGCTTGACATGTTTGGCTCGCCACAGTACACAATCTGCCCTTAATTCCCAATGGCCCGCGGAAGAGGGTTCAACTGGGAAGGTCTTTTCGAGCTCTGTTAGCTACAAGGTGCCGATGACAGACTGAGCAAACGCCGAAGAACCAAAGACATATGTGGGATCCGCGTAGGATGATATTACCAAACGTATAGACATTGCTGATAAAGTATGTGGAACCATGTAAATGTATTCAACTTAGCCTAATGGCACCTCTCTGGCTCGGCGTAAGTGTGGAAGAGCAAGGGTGAGGAGCCCCACAACAAGCGAGGAATTCAGCAATTCGTTCATACCACAAGTTCTCGGCCTGTGTGGACACTAATGTGTGTGTTGTTGTTCTGATCGCCGGTATACAATAGATTTCCGTGGGTAATCTTAACACATGTATTTGCTTTTCTGCTGAATTCATGGAATGGTTGTGTTTTCAGGAGAACGCTTGGGAGCAAGAAAAAACTGTACAGTTGTTCGTGAATGCTCTATCATAAGCGTCGTATGTCGTCTATGCCCCAAAGCTTTTATCTAGGCCTTTTTGTTTTCCGCCGAAACTTCTGCGGGTACATTTCCCTTCCCAACGTTGTCCAGAGCAATCTCCCCAGTGAAGTCCCCTGGCGTATGCATGAAGTTTGCCCTCAACGGCGTGACACTTGTGTACCCCTGCGCAACCGCCCACCCATCGTTCCCCGGCGCGCTCTGCTCCACGCTCTCATACACATCTTTGAATCGCGGCGCCCACTTGAAGTGCTTATGCGTATATCGTATGTGCCCCCCAACGGGCGTCTCCCTGCCACTGTCGCCTCCCGAATCGCCACCCAGCAACTCCTTCCGGCCCAGCTTCTCCTCCTGTTTTCGTATCTGCGCCTCGATGTCCGAGGCCGACTCATCGCTTTCAGAGGGCACTTCGATGGGCTGGAAGCACGAGCCCGACTTCCACGCATTTTGCAGCATGTTGGTGTACAGTATTTTCTTTTCGCCCACGTTCTCGACCAGTGGCACATTGACGCTGTAGAGGTGTGTGTCGGGGTTCCAGTTATCGAAAAGATGCTGTATAAGGCGGGCGGAGAGCTCGGACGCTCCCGATATTATGGCGGCGTCGTGGTTGCGGTCGAAGAAGGCATAGGACAGCGCAATCGACTTGTATCCACAGACGGCTGCTTCCATGGCGCCGCCAATGGTTCCGCTGGACAAGCTGAATACAGCTGTGCTGTTGCGTCCATAGTTGGGCCCCGATACGACGAGGTCTATTGGACCTCTGCTCTTGAAGTAGTGGAACAGGCCGATCTGGACGCAGGATGCGGGCGTGCTGTCGACGAGGATCCACTCTTCCTCTGTAGAGGCGTCGGGAAGGGGGCGCGTGTGTGTCGTACCATCGTTCAGAAGGCGGCCATTTTCGCTGCGCAGAGGTAGTGGTCTGAAGTATGTGGGTTTGATCGAGTGGCCGACGAGATGTGCTTTGCCGATCCAAGAACGCTGTGTATGTGGGAGAACGACGGAGACGGTGTGGCCATGCGATTGGAGGGTCGAGACTACTTGGGGTCAGCATCGTTGAGGCAGGATTAGACACAGGCGCATGTACCTAGTGAATGCACGTAGGGCGAGGACTGGTCTGAGGGCGGACCATCGTCATTTGTGATCTGCAATTGGCTATGAGCGAGCGACTACGACAAAGTATCAGATGCTCACTTACGAGGATGTGCATATTGGCTTTTGAGGTGTTGTAGAAAAGACGAAAGATGTGTTTGTTTATTATGTGGGGTCTGTGAAGGCGGAGGCGGGAGAACATCGACGTGGGTTGACGTGATTAGCTTTCCGAGATCGTAATCGATAGTCGGAAAGGTTAGCCGCTTTGGCCACGTGGGAAGGAGAAAGCCACCGCAACTAGTCGCTGGCTCACATCGTGTACAGGTGGTTGGACTATCGGGTTTCCGCCAGAATTAAGACGACGTCGAAATGCCTCGCCGTTGGCGATCAGCACAGCACCAGTGAGGCTGCGGTGACTCGTATGCACGTCATTTCGGCCGCCGTAGCCCCCGACATGGAACCTCCACCATGTCGCCGACAACGAAATGGTACCTTAACCAACATCAAGCGGAATCCAGTGCTCGGATTGCTCCATCATGCAAACGAAACGATATCGAGATGAGCTTGTTCAGCAGCTATAATGCCCAAGAGTCTCACCATCAGTCACACAATGGCCCCTCTCCCGTACTACTCCTCTATCCGACCTCCGATAACACACCCTGACCGTTCCGACTTCAATACTCCGGCAGTCAAGGGCTCTGTTGCAGGAACGGGGAAAGAAGCGAGGAGCAAAACGTCCGATCCGGTCTCATAAGGCTGCGTGCCGTTCGGATCCCCGCCCACCTCCGTCTGTAGAAGCGATGCCGACGACAGGCCTGACTTTATATGCGAAGAGCAGACCACAAACGCAACTTTCATTATTCATATCGCAGCTTCTTTATTGTTCGATACCCATCGCAAGTGCTTTCTGTCTACTATCGCTCTCTCGACCTACCCGCAGGAGTTTGCATCACTGATTCCGAACATTCGAATCCAAACAATAGGACTGTTCCCTCCCACATAATATTAAAATGGTCATCAACGTCCCCACCGCCTCTCTCGAAGGCAAGGTAGCCCTCGTCACTGGTGCTGGCCGCGGAATCGGTCGCGGCTGTGCCATTGAGCTCGGCAAGCGCGGCGCTTCCGTCGTCGTCAACTACGTCTCCTCGCAGGGCCCTGCCGAAGAAGTCGTGAAAATAATCGAAGGCTTCAACAATGGCGCCAAAGCCATCGCCATCCAAGCCGACGTGTCCAAAGTCTCAGAAATCAACCGCCTGTTCGAAGACGCGAAGAAGGCGTTCAAGAAAATCGACATTGTGATGAGCAACTCCGGGACAGAGAGCTGGGACAAGACGGAGGAGATTACAGAGGAGAAGTACGACCATGTCTTCAACCTCAACACGAGGGCGCAGTTTTTCGTGGGCCAGACGGCGTACAAGCATATCGAGGACAACGGCCGCATAATTCTCATGTCGTCCATTGCCGCTGGTCTGCTGGGAGTCAAGGACCACGCGCTCTACAACGCATCCAAGATGGCTGTCATCGGTTTCATCAAGGCGTTCGCAACCGACTTTGGCAAGCGCGGGATCACTGTCAACGGTGTGGCACCCGGTGGCATTAAGAGCGACATGTTCACGCAGAACGCTTGGCACTACATACCTGGGGGGTCGCCCGACTGGCCGGCCGAGAAGATTGAGGATTTGATGGCGAACCACTGCCCGTTGAGACGGTGTGCGGTACCTGAAGATGTCGCCAGGGTAGTAGCTTTCTTGGCCAGTGACGATGGTGGATGGGTGAACGGGCAGGTCATTACGATTTCTGGCGGTTCTTCGCAGTAGGCGATGATCGTATTTGGGTTTCAGGCGATTTTGCATAGTTAATAGACAGCGGAAAGTCGGGGGCCATGAAGGATATCCAAGAATGAGGCGATGGACCAGAACAGTGATATGCATGCTTTCGAACATATTCAGTACCTGCGTGACTTTGATGAGTTGACTATGATGCACGGAAACTGATATATCCCCAGACTCGCCCTCAATGCTTTGGTTTGCTTAATTAGCGTTCCTATGAAACATAATCACTGGCGTGATTTGGGGATTCTAGCAATGTTGGTGCCGAACTGGGACTGAAGACCAACCCAAGTCAAAACCAAGCGACATGTGCATGCACGGTCAACCTTATTCCTACTGAATTAAGAGGTATCACGATAAAAACCCATCGCCCCCACTCCTTCAGCTCTTAGATATCGAAGACACCCCCCATCCCCACCCTCACATCCACAAAGTCCGCCCTCCACCCCTTATACTGCCCCAACCCCCTCTTAATCTCCCTCACCCTCTCAAGCCTCCTCTTACCCTCCTCCTCCTGCGCCACCCTGAACGCATCCTCATCGAACTCAAAGTCATCCAAGCTCCCCACACTTTCCTGCCTCGTCTTCGGCGCCTCCCCACGCGTCCTCGAGGCACCCGTAAACGCCGAAATGCCCGACTGAATGACATCCTGCAGCGAGGACGTCTGGCGGCCCGAAGCGCGCCTTGCAGTGGGCGTGCTACCCGAAAGATCGACATCGTCGAAGTCGCCCGCGTGGTCGTCGATGCCAGGCTGCAGCGCAGCGCGCTTGTCGCGCCAGACGCCGCGGCGTAGCTCGAAATTTTCCTCCTCGAGCTCGCGCACCTTGGCGAGGAGGCGGTCGCGCTCTTCGTCGACGAGCTCCTGCACGCTGCTGTCCTCGATATTGCCCAGGTCGGCTTTGCGGCGACGCTGCTCGGCTTCGCGGAGGCGCGCGTTTTCATTGCTAAGGCCGGTCACGCGGGTGCGGAGTTCGGCTGCTTCGCGCTCAATCTTTTTGTGATCCTGGAGGCGTGTTTGGTTGCGTGCGTCGTTGTCGCGGTGGAGCTGCGTGAGGGTTTCTATTTTTCGTTCCAGCAGCTCGGCGCGGGATATCGAGTCGGATGCTTTGCGGTTGGCAGCGCCCAGTTCTGCTTCTAGCTGGGCAATACGTGTCTGCGCGGAGTCGCGGTCAGAGCCTTCCTTGGCCGCCTGCTCGCCTGCCTTCTCCAGATTGGCCTTGAGGTCGGAGAGCTCAGTTTTAGTGGAACTAGCTTCTTGCTCTGCCTTCTGTAGGGATGTCTCTAACGTGGAGATCCTGGCCTGCAACTCACTCTGCTTGCTCGTCTGGTCCGCCGCCTGCTTGTTGAGGTTCGAAATCTCCAGCTCCAGTGATTCGATGGTCTCGGATTTGGATGCAACCTGAGCATTGAGATCATCAATGGAGGCAGACTGGTTAGGTGTCGGTGCTCGTTTGGTAGACTTTGAGGATTGAGTCTGCAGGTGAGACAATTGTCGCGTGAGCGATTCGACTTCAGACTTCTATTCGACATGTCAGTAGCCATAACCCTGTTGCATTGTTTCCAAGAGACTCTGACGGGGGCAACTTACCAGCTTGTCCGCTTCCTTAGCCTTTTCAGCTGCAAGCGCTGCCTCTCCACGTCCCTCTCTCAGCTCCTCCAGCTCCTCCTCACCCTTCTTCCATCTGGTCTCGCCCTGTTCCACTTCCGCTGCCAGCCTCTTGTTCTCCTTCTCCAGCTCCTCAATGCGCTGCGCCTGCTCCCTGTAAATATCACTCGAAACCCCTCCTCCCGGTGTAGTAGCTGTCGGAGATGTAGGTCCTCCTGCAGCGCGGTAGAACGAGGCAGACCGCTGACGCGACTCCACGGCTATGGAGGGCTTGCGATTGTGAGATGGCGTCGTAGAGGGCAGCTCGGTAGGCTCGTCGTCCTCAACATCGACAGGACCGGGAAATGCGCTTGTTGTTTCGGGTGCTTCGGGTGCATCGGTTGCAGCGGCCGTCTCTTCGGGCTTCTCCTCTTGCGTCTCTGCTGCGGTCGCTGCTTCTGGCTTGTCGTCCTTCTTCTTTGCGGCGCCGCCTGCCTTTTTAGCGTTCTTCTTCTTCAGCGCTTCATACTGGGGATGGGATTAGCAAAGCTACACGTCAATTTTCCAACATCACCGCTAGACAGAAACGGGCTCATGGCAGCAGCAGCAGAGCTCCTGCTCATGACAGCTATGCGCTCGGTGGTCTCGGGGTCGCATACCTTCTTCTTAGCCGCAGCTACCTTGGCAGCTTTCTCTTTGTCTTCGTCGGCCATTGTGACTGTTTAATTCAGGGTGTATAACTTTATGGTGAGTCGAATAGCATGCAGGTCGCCATTAACAGCTCCCTCGCGCGGGTCGCTGATGCCAAGTGGAGCATGACCAAAACAGCGCTAGGCTCGCATAGGCAACGCTGCAGGTACCTTCACAGTGCTTGCTCGAACATGGCCCTCTCTCGGTCCTTGAGAGCAAAGTGACGTCTATGGAACAACAAAGTCAGCATCTTAGACAAGTTTCAGACATATCATTTGTTTCTCCCTTCAACGGTAGCCTCTTAAACAATGGCATGCTCAGCACAAAATTCAAATCTCACCGTGCCAGTCACCAACATGTCGTCTGTCTTCCACGAACATGATGTACTTAGCACTCAGACCTCGGCTTGGCCTGACATCGCAGAACAGCGAATACAACAACGCAATGTTCCGTACCCAAGACATGCACTGTACACCCAGCACCCCTTGATCCTTAAACTTCTCCTCCATCCTCTCCTCCATCCCACCGACCCCCCACCCACACCCCACGACCACCCCCAGATCGCACAAACCACCCGACCCAAGCTCAACCCGAAACGCACACCACCATATGATCTCCTCTTCAAACAAATATCCCACCAGTGCTATCAATATCAGCACCGGTATAGATTTCAGGGGCACTGTGCATCCATCCCGTGCTGCATGGCATGGGTGTGGCGTGAAGCGAGATTGCGGAAGCATAGCTGCTCGCGATATCGATATGTGCCTGAGTTGCTATGGTTATCTCGCCTCCAGGAACCCGGAGACGGGCGGGGTCTCGTCGTTTGAGTGTTTTGAGCGAGCAGGCCCAAGCCAAAAGCAGTATGATACTCGAAATTGACCTGCAACGTCGTCACAAGCACGCAGTCACTTCCGTCACAAAGGCCAGAATACAACTTGTAGATATTGCTGAATGTGCATGCATGTTTCATCTGATTCACTACATACTCGCGCCCGCTTGCTCGCACTAGATTGACAGAACGAGATGGCGCCTCCCAACCTTCCCTTACAAAGCTGCATATGCACGCTGAATACGGGCCTGTCCATCGCTGCCCTGCTGCTAGAATAAACGAACAAACAAACATGGTCATCCGTGAGCGTGGTAGCTCTATGCGCCCATTGCATCTCAATAGACCCATCGGCATAAAAGTGTGCCACAAAAAAGACATCAAGGAAAGATCAGAAAAGGAGACGAAAGGGTATGTGGGTGGTATAAAGCCTCAGCACCGGTCAAGATATTCCAGGATTTCGCTCCGCCTCAACTCGTCTAGATACCTGTCCTTCCAGCGTGGTACAAAAAGAAAAGTATTGTGCAAATGAAAGTGGTTTATGTAGTGTGTTGATCCGGTTCACGTTCCAAATCGCAATATGCGCCGTGAAAAAGGGTTCGTAGAGGGCTCGCTTTCAAAAACTCCGTGTCATGCGAGAGATATTAAGGGAATGGGGGTTGCGCTTGATATGCCATGAAATCGTATGGCGGTCATGTAACCAGTGCGTTAGGGGAATGTAACGACGGAGGGAAGTCATGAACTTGGCCTGTGACATCAAGTTCGAGACGACCCTTTCGATTCCTTGGTCTTCCAGAACTGCATGAGCTTGCTGAGCCGCTTATGCTTCTTCTTGGACTCCTTCTGGGTAGCGTCGAGGCGGTTGAGTCCATACTCTGACTGTGGCCGAGTCTCAATCGATAGCTTGCTCCTCTCACCGAATGACCCAGTGTTCATTAGACGGGAGAGGCTGGCAATGCTCGAGCGCTTGCGGCGACGCGATTCAACATCGCTTGGAGCGGAGCAGAGAGAAGCAGACCGATCACCTGGTTGCCGGGGGCTTGGGAGCGGAAAGGCGCTCTGCATTGCGCTCGTCATCGTGGACCGAGAAGAGGTCAACGAGGGAACGTCGTCAACCGATACGCGAAGTTCGGGACCTGGTTCGCCGAAACGAGGCGAAGGCATGGCCTGGTAGTCAGTCATGGACGATGCAGCTGTGCCTAACCTCGGTGTATCCAAGGAGATCTGGCTAGACCTAAAGTCTGGTGATGAGAAGGAGGAGGCGAACGTGTCTGGAGTCATTAGGTTTTGTTGTCCTAAAGGCAGAGACAGGTTCATGACATTGTGCGTCTCTTTGGTGTCGTCTCCAGAGACTTGAGCCGTGACCGTAGAATCAGAAGAATGGGTGAGAGACGATGTCCGCGGCTCTTCAAAGTCTTCCACAATTTCTACCGCGTCCGCAGGTGTAGATCGAGTGGCTTCTTCAACATCTGGAACAAATGCTGGAACAGCACGCGGGGAACACGGTTCGGACGACTCTTCTCTCCGGGATCTGTCGTTGCGTTGCAGACCTAGACCATCGTTGAAGTTCCAGTTCATGGATGAACCATTGTGGTAATCGTCAGTCTCCACGACCTGTATCTTTGGCTCTTCAGCATCCTCTTGCTCTTCATTTATCGGAGGCTCAGAGTGTGTGCTTTTGCCACTGGACACGGGTGTGTCGTCCTCTGGTTCATCTTCTTCGAACACATCCGCCATAGTCGAAGATGTGGCAGCCGCAGTGCTTCGAAGTTCGAAGGGCACTAATGCTGGTGCGCTCTCCGTCCGCCGATGACTTTGGAGCACACCCCCGGAGCTATGCATAGCTCTGCGGTGCGCAGCAAAACCGCGCTGGGTACGGGCATTGGTGCCGTTGAACGGTCCAAGCGCTGCGTCCAGATCAATCACAGGGTTCATCGTATCAGAGTCAACGCGTTTGAGCCCGCGAGGCTCCCAAGAGGCGTAATCAGTCTGTGCTTTTGGAACAGTGATAGCATCCTCGGTGGGTGACACTATCGTCACCGTATTATCAACGTCGAAATTGGCTTCAAAATCTGGGTCCTCAGAAGCATCCGAATCGTCTTCCCCTGTGGATTGCGGAGGTGGTGTGGAGGCTCTATCCTTGACCTTTTTGCTGTGCTTTGTTTTCTTCGGAATGATCGAACTTGCCCATGATTTGACTTTCCTTGGGGCCTTATTGGATTTCCGTGACTTGGTCCTGGTACTCTTCTCACCATTCTCTTCTTCATCAACCATAGGGGAGGGCAGAGGCGACTCGACGGGGACATTTAGAGCCACATCAGAAACACTAGACAGAGTCGGCACAGGGGGATCACTGCGGCGGGGCTCGGACTTGAAGAAGCTTCGACGTTTGGCTGGAAGAGATGTAGTCGTGGGAATCGTCATCGCGGGCGGAGAAATAGCGGAAGACGGAGGTGTGTGATTGGCGGCATCGTCGCCAGAGTTGCCACGACCACCCAGGATTGCGCCGGCAGTGCTAGGGCGAGACTTGTCCTCAACAATGCTAAGCGTAGGACGACCGTTTCTAAACGTCTGGGGGCTCGATGTTCCGGAGCTAATGACTGACGACAGACTGTTCGTCGCCGAATGGCCTCGGAATGTCGACATAGACGTTTCAGTCTCCGAAGAAATGGTCGAAAGCGGTCGGATATATTCGACTTTGTCGGAAAACCCGACTCGCGCTCGGGAGGGAGGTCGTGGAGTCTCATCTGCGTCTTGAAGTGATCCAGCATCTCGCAACGACGGTTGAGACATGGACTTGTTCACAGAATGGCCGAAGGCAAATTGTGGTCCCTCTGAAGGAGTGACGGGCGCACTGCCGGCTCGAGGATGCGCGGGAGGATTCATGATCGAGGATAGATCGTGTGATGACACAGCTCCGGAGCGGCGATGAGCATGGCCCCGTCGTCCAGCCGGTGGTCCTGGTCGTAGAGTGTTGTTCGGTGGTGGAGGTAGGATGTCATCGCCCTTGGTGGGACTAGTGCTCAAGAGTGAAGCGCCTCCTGACCGCCCGTCTCCGCCGATGAACTCGCTCCCACCGCGCCTGTGTCCTCCAATTGGTCTCGAGGGCGTTGCCGGCGTTACGGGCGTTGTGGGTAGTGCCATTGGAGACAGCTGCGGTGAGGTGGCTGTCACGGGCGGCGCGGATGTCCCGGCTGGGTTGAAACTAAAGTCAGGCAGCGCATTGATTGACTTTCCTCTGGCGTGAGCAGAGCCTCGACGGCCGGTAGGATAGGCCTGGAGCGACATTGGGCGCGCATTGGCAGTGGGAGTGGGTGCTGACGAGGTCGTCTCCGGGTCTCGCATGGGGAAGGAGAAATCGGGGTTCGGCAGCAGCTCGATGGGACCAGCCTGGGAGGGACGGCGGCGCTGGTAGAGCGGTGAGCCAATCTGGGCGGATTGCTGTGTCTGCGTCACCTGCTGTCGTGGCAGCGCGATCTGAGCCATGATGGAGCAGCTGAGGGCCCCCGAGGGACGCGATCGACTGCGACGGGCAGCTTGACGAAATTAGGGGATTGTGATGCAACGCTCTGCTTTGGCGCTTGGTGGGGTGTGCCTGTTGCGTTCCAGAGGGCGGCAGTTGCGGGAGCCGTGGTTGGACGAGGTGGTTGTCGAAGTGCTACAAAGGCGGGCACGGCGGAATCGAGACGAAACAGGCGCGCTCGAGGTACAAGGTGCTGGCGGGATTACTACGGCGGCAGGCCAAGTCAGCAGGCAGATCCAGAGGGGCGTCTGCTGGAAGGCTCGCGCGGCGCATACAGTATATGGTGGGTAGTGGGCCCAGCTTGCAGTTGGGCGAGGGCGCGCAAGAACAGGGTCGGTGGAGTGAAAGCCAGTACACCCACGGCAAGATTAAGGAATGACGGGAAATGAACGGACAGGTACCGCCATCGACTGACAACGTGCGGCGGCCGCTGTCGAGTGCGACTTGGGTTCCAAAGCGGAGGGAGGGAGGGGAGAGGCGCGTGGGGAGGACGGCGGTGATGCGAGCAGCAGGCGGCCAGAGGTGAGAGCGAGGCAAGCGTCGCTTTTGGGAGAGCGCAGCCGGCTAGCCTGGGGCCATCCTGGCTGGCACACGGACGCACACCGCGACCCACATCAAAACTGCGGTCCATGCGCATCCTTGCCGCAGTCATTTTACACACATGCCCCGTCAGGGCAGGCGCCTCATCTCGTCGCAGCGAGGCCTGCACACGCTCGCTGCGGGACGCTCGCAGGTGCTGCTTGCGCGCCTTCTGGGTGGACGCCGCCGCGACGACAGCTGCAGAGGCAGCAGGCTTCGACGCTCACCACAGAAAGGCTCGTCATGGCCCGGCGCTCCAGCGTTCGCGGCTCTCCCGCCATCACGAGGGCTGCGAGCAAATTTCGCCTAGCCGGCGTCCACCTCAGCAGCGAGTGCTCGCTCCAGCGGCGTCGCCCGCCACCAGGTCGACGTCCTGGAGCTCTCGTGGTGCTGGCCCAGGCTGTGTCCGTGGGGATTGGCAGGCCACTGTGAACGCGCTGCAGTGCGACCCTGCAGCTTATGTTCCGCCCTGAGCCTCCACCGCTGGCCACTGGCAACACGCAGCAGCCTGGCGTCCAGGACAAAGAACTGCCACGGCGAACCGTGGCTGCTGCCCGGCCACCGCTTCGAGCGCCCTCACTCGCTGGGGCCGGCTGCAAGCGATGTGCAGCGGAAATGCTACTGCACTTCGAACCATCTCAGATCATCTTGGCACCATGCCGCATCCCGCGAACGCTCGCTCGCCGCGGCTCAGCCATGGTTGTCGCGGGTCGCCGCGGCTGCACTGGTGGTGATGAGGATCAGCCAGACTGTCACTCGAGCCGCACATGACCCAGACGAGGCCACAGCATGCCGAACCACCACCGCACCGCCGTTGCTACGGCGTCCGAGGGCTGCATCAGTACATGAAGATTGACGCTGTTTCACCGTGCAGACGAGCCCTGCGCTAGCCCCTTTGGGTCTGCTCATTTGCATTCCATCCGCAGTTCGCGACCAATGGACAGCCGAGCCCGCCATGCAGCGCTACCGCGACCGCAGCCACGCAGGGGTCCATGATCCTTACCCCGACCGTGAGGCGGCCGACAAGCGTCTGATTGCCACGCAGAAACAGGATGCGATAGACGAAATGCGGAGAAGATGGCGAAAGAGCATGCTGATCTGCTTGCGTGATCCGAATCCGAGTGAACTGTCTGTCCTCTCTGCAATGCCCTTTGGCCATCCTAGGCTCACTTCTGCACCAGCGCGCCACGTCGGAGCAAAATCTTGCAGACATCTCGTGGAAGCTTCGGTATCCCGGCGAGACTTTGAGCGGCCGTGATCGTCTTGACCATAACAATCAGCCGCTAGATACCGTGACGTCTCTTATCGTGCACCGTCTGACCCGCTTGGTCCTCTTGTCCCCGCCGGCGAAGCGAATTACCAAGAGCCCAAACATCCCTCAGTGGCGCCGCACGTCAGATGCCACAGCAGCTGTGAGGGCTCCATCGAGCTCTGGTCGACGCGTTCGGCACTCTGGCTTGCGGCCTAGGCGGCCATGGAGCCTTGTCACACAAAAGAAATAGCCCAGCGCGCAGAAGTACCACGCCTATTTGAGCATCTGGACATCGAAAGCGGACTCGAGCTCATGCGCCACGCAATTGAAACGCACCTCGAGATTGAACCGTACCAGAATTGCGATGCCCACTATTACCTCCAAGCGCAGCGTTACCGCCGTCGCACGCTGACTCTGCAGTTCTCAATTAATCTCAAGCGCAAGGAAACATGCTCGCACGGAATCGTAGGTTCCATTCACCGGCAGCCCTGCGAGGAGATCTCCAGGGACCTCGGCAAGCTAATTTGCCGGAGCCGCCGCTGGTCCCAATCCAGTAATCCCAATGTCACGAACACCTTCAATTTTCTTTTCTTGCAATTGAATCTCCGCTCCTCCCGAGTCAGAGGTAATAACGTCTGCCAGATCTCGGGCCGTGCTGAAGAGATTTCATGAGCACCCGCGAACGTCACACATGATCCGGTACCACGGGCTGATGTGGGGACGACAGCTCTTTGCATCCGTGCTTTCAGGCACGTACACATGCATCATGAGCAGGCGTCGAACATGTTGAGCTGTTCAGCGTTGTATATGGCACCCGGAGACTGTATTCCCTTTCCGACTGCTGCAGAGAAACCTTCCTCATTCATCTGGCGGCTGGACGGCGACAGACACCTCCGAGACGGCTTGACGGCTTCTTCGGCAACATTGAACTCTGAAGCCAATTATGAAGTATGGAGAACAACAGAGCATGCGCAGAATAATAAAGTGTGGGGTTCGCCACAACGTTAGAAACCTGCTGCTGTGGCAGTGCTGCACCCGCTCGCTCGGCGCTACACGTACTGGTTCAATGAGCCAAGTCCTGTTAGTTGCGAACAAGCCACGCGGTGTCCTCGCGGCCAGGTCCGGCGCAATTGGATTTGTTTCACGTCGGCAGAGTTGACGTTTCTTGCCCGCAGCAGCGCTCGCAGAGCCGCAACCTGACGTTTGTCGTTGATGACGGTCGCTGCGCCCCTGAACTCGGTAAACAGGGATTTAAAGGCGCGCCGGCTCAGGCTATAAGCTAGGGAACGGAGAAATCCCCACAACAAAAAGACAGACTGTCCGAACAATGGACCCCGGGAGATTAATCCGCAGCCTACTTTTGGCAATTGGGAAGTCGTCTATGTGGATGCTCGCACCGCCGGACATTTCTTGCTTATTCTGACAAAGTTCTATGTAACGGAGGATACCAGCCAAATTATCCACGTCAAAGCCCTGCATGCTACAGTGACTACACGGATGCCATGTACGTACGCTGCAGTCGATAGGCTGGCGCTATCGACTACTGTGCAAGGAAGGCTCGCACCCAACGCCGAGGACTGCACCTCTTCATCTGCTGTCCTCCGACCAGAGCGTACTTTAATGCGGCAGTTGTCAAGTGCATACAGGCATGCTCCCAACACCTACTTACCAAAGAGGCGTATAGCAGTCCTGAAGGACCGACTGCAATCTCGATTTGGTGAAATTGACAGCGACAACAAGCATCTGCCTCGTGTAGCTTGGGTACCCATTCAGAACACAGGCCGGGGTGCCGTAACTCCAAGATTGCCAATTCAGATGGAAATTGTCAATCTTGACAACGACCGCCTTGCAAAGCCACCCAAAATAAGACGCAAACAACTCGCAAAGCCACAGCAGGGTCAAAACGTCTGGGCAACCCATGTTGATTGTTGTTGCCCATGCGTCAGACCGTCCATGTTCATGACAGCACATCCGCCTGCCAACCTCCGTTTACAGTAACCCCGCCCGATGGTTGGCCTGCACCGTCATATTCCTTTTCGCAAGTCCGATCGCGCAGCGTTCTGACCCCACGATCGGTCCACAGGCCCAGACCTTCGCTACGGTGCCAGACGCGCGCTTTTGCGGGCTAATCGACAGCCTCCCCGCCATGTGAAGCGAACGGGTACTCCCTCGAGTGGAGAGGGCTGGACTAGGCTGGATCACCCAGCCAGCCAGCACTCGAGTCTCGCCTCAACAAAAGCATGCACTGCAATCGGTCCTTGTTCAAGAGCTACACACCACCCAGCTGAGCGCGGATCGTGCACACACAGTGGTGCACGCCAGCAACGGGTTCTAGCCGAGTATTCATGAGGTGGAAAATGTAGCGGGGTACACTTTGGGTTCGCGGCACGCTCAGATCAACGCACTGCTTCGGCCGTTACTCCGCGACGCAGGAACCGACCCAGCCGAGCGAGCACGAGACACGGTTACGCAACCATGGTAAAGGAACTAGGTACGAACGGTGAACCCAAACTTCAAACAAAGAAACCATCCCACGAACCCTATCCCTTTGTACGCCCGTAAGAAGTCTCGACGTCTACCAAGCCAGCCATTATATCCGGCGTGTCCGCCGTGGCTGTCTAACAGCGCGCTGGAAAGCCTATCAAATAATGAGGGTGTTTGACTCGTGGTGGTGGGTGAGGTAAGAGCGCCACATCAGCGCTACGTGTTGCTAGCACGCCCGCGCACACCGTTCTTCAACACCAGACCGATGACCTTCAGCTCGGATGCTGCCGTTGCGCGATCTGGTGGAGACGTGGAGCTGCCAAGATGGTGCGGTACCCCGGGTACGCCGCTGGCTCAACAGAAGTGGTTCTTTGGGAAAACGCTCGAAACGCTACAGATGTGGAGGCGTCTAGGTGTGCTGCTAGTGTTCGAGCGGAACGTGTGCATTTGGCTTGGAGGATGACCATCGGTCTCTGCCTAGACCTCACGCCTGCATCATCTTCGGGAGTGCACCATCTGTCAGCCCAGGAGATTAGCTTGTGTAAGGCCCGGCACCATGTGTCACTTCGAAGTCTTTTGCCACGCGTGTGCTCGTCCAAGCCGACTTCTTTATGCCAACCGAAGAGGCCCCTATACGTGCTCTGAAGGTTCAGTCTTCATAACAATGACCATAATCTACAGAACAAGGATGTTCAGCAGTCATTGTTGACGGGCAGCAATCCAGCAAACAGTACATATCGGCGATACACACATTCCGGTCACTACTCGTGACTGCATAGTATGTCTGCGCGGTTGTATATGTCGTAAGATGAGGAGTCTCTCGATCCTTAGGAACCTGGTCTCCTTCTTTATCAATCAATTGCTAGAGCTATATCGCCGGGGCCATTGTCGTTCTGGCTGAAAATCTACCATCCAGCATACCTTCGATGGCCGCTACCAGACACCGCCAGCAACTCAGACAAATCCTAGAACTGTGCCCAACTTACTCAACACACGAGCCAGCTAAGCTAAGACAGACTACCATAGGTATCTTCCGCACCACAGCATCGATTTAGTATGTCCGTATGCATCCCCGGCAGCATTCGTACAAAGGACGGCGACATTCTCGCTCCTTTTTCAATATGTATCACGCCGTCTGATCTCAGGTCATTGCCTTGCTCGCGTATGCCACATGCCTTGCCTCGCATGCTACGCAGACCCATCCTCTCCTTAGCAGCGCGTACTGAGATCATCTCCACTCTCGTCCACTGCCCAGCATCTACCGCAGGCCTTCCCACACTACCCAGACGCCATTCAACAAATCCAATCTTCACTTCTCTCTGGGGTGACGTACTCCAACGCAACCACAAGCTCTGCACTCAGATCGTCAGCGAGTCAACGTGCACTTGCCTCACTCACCGCTCGATCTAGCATACTCTACCCTCCTCCATATATACCCCCAAAGCTGTCCTATCTATCTACGAAACATCAACAGACATGCCAGACGATTCCGAAGCCATGCATGCATGGTATCGCGAAGGAACGCCAGCGGGAGTCTATGGGCCCCGCTGTACACACCCCTTATCTCCTCCATCGTACATGTGGAGCCTCTGCTCAGATCTGGCTGGAGCTGACCCTTTCTACCACCTTCGCAGGGTGAGATGTCTTCCCGAAGCAGTGATCCGTACATGACATACATATCACCCTGCGCCGGCGCGGTACAGCATCCAGCCATTCGAGCAGCAACTGTTTGACCGATGGGGACCAACGACACGTGTTTGTGCGGCCGGACGCCCCCATACCATCCCATGCATACCCGAGCGCAGACCCCAATCAAACAAGCGCGCATCCTCCCTCGTCACTCTGTACCACCGATCGGCATGACAAGGCGCACACAAATGACGAGCATGTGCGTCGGCGTTGTTTCGAGGGATTGCGCGGACGGCGATCGTTATTCGCGCGTTTCAGCGCCGTCGGACGGGGGATTTGTAGGGATTGGGATCGGCGGGGGGATGTCGGACACCGATGTGCGGGTTTGAATGTGCGTAACATGGTCGTCGGGGTCTACTCAGTAATGAATGCGTGTTAGTACGGCCTGGTGAGCCACAATGTACTTGCGCATGACGGGTTTTGATCCACGATGGTACGTACGCACATGAGAGATGATGAACACAGCGTCAAGTTGGCAAATATGCATGGCATTCATATACCCGTACCGGCATCACATTGCTTCCAGGGTGTTTGGCCCATTACCACCCATCCCCCGTCCCATAGCAAGCCAATTCCCATGCGCCTATAAACGATGAAGGAAAGAAGGAGATAAAGGAAAGGGTATCTCGAGTCTAGACGACAAAACGGGGACGTATCAGAGAGCTTCTCACAATGAGCGCTCCCACCGCCCAGCCTCCGATAACGCCCCTACGCCGTCATACTCAAGAGCGAAATGCGTGAACCCCCAAACGCCATTCAAGTGCACGCCCATAGCCAAAGAGACCCCCCAGTCGTAGATTAACATTGCCGTACTGCGTACACACGAGGCGACGACATATGCTGCGTTTAGAGCTCCATCTTCTCCATGACGCCCTCACTCCAAGCTCGCACGTTACTTGGCTTGCGACTTGTCTCCCGGGACATTTCGCGTTCCTTGAGACTCTCAACGTCACTGTCGCCATCGCTAGACCAGTACTCGGCACCCATGCTCGTCTCCCGACCTGCCTCCCAGTCCTCTTCATCCGCGTCAACAATGTCTCCTGGGTGGTCGATGACCATGTTGTCCAACTCGTCACTATCACCGTACTCTTCTAAACCCTTCTTCGCCCGTGCGCCCAACCAGTACTCGGCACGCTTTCTGCTGCCTGCGTTGGAGCTGGTCTCGTGCTGGGCCTGCTTGAAGCGCGTGATGAGAGACATGGGCACGGATGGCGAGTTTGAAAGCGAGGAGATGCCGCGAAGGTAGAAGTAGCAGACCCGCTTGCGTTCCTTGTTGTACAGGAAGCAGTGGTGGCTCCAGATAGCGCCGTCATCTGCGAAAGGGTCGTCCGAGGGCTCCCAGGCATAGTACTCGCAGTTGGCCATGTCCATTTCGCTGTCCACAAGCTGCCACGAGCGTGGGCTCCATATGGGCGAGCCGAGCGGGGTTAGGGCACCGGCGGGGAGCCCTTGGCTGTAAACTTGCGGACGTAGGTAGTACATGGTCGTGTCCACTCTGTGAACGAACGACTTGCGCGTTTCGCGACGGAACTCATCCGGGTTCAGTGTGTTGGCGAAGTCGTAGTCGATGTGTGTCGCATTGAGCGTTGCGATGAGGTAGGCGAAGGTATGGCGATTCGCGGCCTCGTTGAAGCTGCCAAAGGGGGTGTCGCGGGCGATGTTGAGTTCATCAGAGAATTGCGCGGCGGATCGTTGCGGGAGGTGGGCAACTGCTGCGAGCAACTCCTGGTGGCGCTCTTCGAGTGTGCGCTCAATGCGCTTATAGAGCTTCTTATCGCTGCCTGCGGCCTTAATGGTCCACACGTCACAGCCACCGATGACAGCCGAGTCAGGCGTGTCGAAGTTGAGAGCGAGGTTGACCTATGGCTGATTAGTTCGTGTCGCAGATGCATGCTGCGGTTCATGGTACCCACCTCGTGGAGCGCACAAAGATCCAGGTACTATGCAAAGTCAGCTACATGATCGACTCGGCTTATCGCGTCCAGAGCTCACCTTCATCGCGTCGGTGTCGGGCGCTGCGCTGTCGTGTCTCTAGGAATAAAGCGGTCGCCTACGGAAACACAGCGTTTACTGACGACTGTCGGGTCAGCGCAAGCGGCAGCTCGCTATCGGGGTGCTTTGTCCGGGTGGGGTTGTCCTGCGCGAGCCGGCACAACGCGTACACACTGCTCTAGGCTGGCTGCGGAGAGTAGAATGTGCTTGTTGTACGGCCAGACGTGCGTCTAGCAGGAGGAAGGCATGTAGTATCAAGGGTCGTCGTGGTGATAAGGCGGGCGGTGGTGTGAGTCGCAGCAGCGTGATGTGGAGGCGGTGATGTTGGCAGTCGGGCCTAGCTCGGTCGTGCTTGGCCCCGCTTTCGGATTGGCCAGCTGTCTGACCAACGACGCGACGACAGCGCGCCAGATGGGGCCTGCGTGGGAGGCGATTCGACCTCGATGGCTGCGTCAGTATCCGTAGACTGCGATAAGAGTGGGCATCGCCGGCGTAGGCTGCTTCGTCGGTTGGTTTGGCCGGCGACGGTTCGGGATACAACGGAATGACCTGCCGAGACAACACGATGGACGGTGCTGATCTACTTTCGCTGCGAAGTGACACTGTTAGACCACATACAAGTCATCAAGCAGTGTCAAGGCAAGGGTGCAAGTCTCGATGGCATGATGTGAGGATCACGTTCGAGTCTGATAGAACCACTTGTGTCAAACCTTAGCTGTTGCGACGTAGTCGCTAGCCGTAGGTGTATAATTCGTAGATAGAGTACATCCACCGCTGCCTGCTCATCAAGGCAAGGCAGCAGGTGGTGCGTTCTCCGAGCATCCCATGGACCCGCGCTTCGAATGCTGTGCGCCTTCTTTCCGGGCCCGCCCTTGACAGAATGTGTTTAGCAAAGTCCATGTCGCAGTCAGCACAAATGGTATACCCTCGCCAGTCAATCCTCTCCTCGCCATTCGCCAAACGCCTTCAATGCAATCCGTGATGGGTGGTCGTTATGATGGCTCAGAACATGCCGCTGTCCTTCAGCCGCTTCTTGAACTCGTCTGCATCCTACGCACCGGGCAGAGAGTGTCAGCATAGATCTTGATTGATATGGCCAGAGCTGTCGCGGCCCCCGAGCGGATGGTGTATGGTAGTATGCGCTCCAGCCCGCACACTACATGATCTTGGTCACGATGTCGTCCTCGGCCTGACACGGAAACGGCGTCAGCAACCGGGCTAAACGTGGAAGGAGAGTGACCTGATCTTCCTTCAACTGAGACCTGCATCACTCACCTCCATGTCCTCTAGGCTGTCTTGCTGCCCTATGCACCTAAGAACATTCTTCTTGCTGCTCTCCTGCAGTTCGCCAGCGATTAGGAGCTCGTCGAGGATGAAGTAAGCCTTTTGGAAGTTGAAGATGATGTCCAGCTCGCAGACGTTGCCGTAGTATTTGTCCATTTGCTCGACATATCGATGGACAATCTCGAGGGCAAGCAGTTCGTTGTCGGCAGAGTCGCAGCCGGCGATGAAAAAGAGGGAGGCGTATCGGCGGTACACAACCTTTGTGTCTGAGCTACCTGTCAGCTCTGAGCGAGGACAAGTGCTCAGCTCACCGACCTTTGTACTCTAGGAAGTTGCACATGCGGGTGCGGCGAGCAAGCACGAGCTGCGAGACATCTTTCACGATCTTGGCCTTGTCCTTGGGGGCAAGTGTGGTAAACCACTTGGCAAGGCGCTGCAGCTGTTTAGCACACGAGCTGCATAGCTCCTAGCGACGACATACGACTTTGCCCTGCCGCGAGAGCAAAATAAGGTATCTGCATACGTCAGTAATGGCGGCATGCTGGGCTTGGGCAGAGAGACTCACTTGATGGCCATGGCTGTGGTCGTCGGGAGGAGAGTGCTGAAGGTGCGCGGTGGCCTGTAGAAAAACGGAGGTTCGGGGGCGACCACAGACCAACCCCGCGCAACGTCAAAGCGCTCGCAGTGCACCCCGCCAAACGCTTGTTCACTGCATGTCAACGTCTTGCTCTGAACAACAAGTCACATTTTGTTTTTGGAACTGCTCCACTAGCTCGAGGCACGCGACGAGATCCACCGACACGACTTCGATTGGTCTTGCGTCCGGGGGCTGCTTACAAACACCCCTTCGACTTTGCGACCGCGGCTCCAGCGCGCCTTCCTCTGATCCGGGACATAATTCGCCCAAGAACATATCAAGTAGACATACGGACCTCAAGGACGCGCAAAGGCTCACACGAGTCTACACAGACACAATGAAGCTCATCCTCTCCACCTCGTACGCCATTCTCCCATGTCTCCATAGTACCCACTCACCTTGCTAGAAACATAATGTCGGGCGGCCCGTCCGTAATACGGCGGCATACTTTCGAGAAATCAAACACAGAACTCACGTCCTCCCTCCGTGCAAACTTCACCGCGCACCGGTCCTCCCCTCCCACACCCACTACCAACGGCGACACCGCCGCGACACGCCCACAACCGCCGTTCAAATCATGGACAACACAACAAGAAAACACTCTCTGGATACCCACCCACACGCCCTCACCGCTCTCAGAACCCCGCGAATCCTACGACATAACCGTCAAGCTCTTTTACCTCCCCAACGTCCCCGCCGACACCCGCTGCGTCCAAACGCGCGAAGCCATCGACCTCGTCCTCAAAGAACTCGGCACCTCCTCCATCGACCTCCTCATCGTCTCGTTCCCGGGCATATCCTTCGATGCCGACGACGACGAAGAATCTGACCTTGACGACCCGCCGTCAGCACCCAACTCCCTTGCCGACGACGGCGACGCAGACGGCGCGCCAGAAGACATGGACACCATCGTTACCACCTGGCACACGCTTGAGAAGCTGCACGAAGAAGGCCTCGTCAGCAAGCTTGGCATCTCCGAGTTCGGCTGCTCCCGCCTGGAGAAGTTCCTCCCTCGGACCACCGTCAAGCCCAGCGTGGATCAGATCAACGTGCGCGACTGCTGCGTTGTGCCTAAGCCGCTAATCCTGTACGCGAAACAGCAGAAGATCGAGCTGCTGACGCACAACGACTGCACGAATGTGTTGCCGAGGGGCACGCTGCGAGATATCCTGGGGTCCGGGGAGAAGGGCATGGGTGTGTTGGCTAGGGAGAAGGACGAGGGCGAAAGATTACAAGGGGAGGTGCAGCCCCAGTGGGTGGTCAAGTACACGGCTGTGGTCAAGGATCGAGGGGTCGTGGAAAGTAAAGGGTATTTCGCGGTTGCGGAATTGAGGGAGTAGAGGACATATATATATACCATTACGACTTTCAAGACTGGCCATGATTTGTTTTCTAAATGACGATGCTCTAATACACAATCTGATCCGCCCAACATTCCATGCACTCCTCCCCTAAGCCCTTGCGCACTAACTCGCTCCCGCAGCACCAGCACTTACCGGCAAACATATTCGGATTGAAGTCTCGCGGGAACTGCATAGGCCCCTTCTGATCAGAACCCTGACCTTCAGTTGCAGCCTCTGAACCTCCCGCCGAGTCTCCCTCTTCGCTCCGCGCCGTCGGAGGATGCGACCGCAGCCGCTCGAGTCGCCTCTCAGGCTCTGTAAACGACGCACTTCGCCCGCGGGAAGTTTGTCCAGGTGTAGAGCTACCGTTGTGCGATGTAGACTGTTGCGTATAGTCTTTCAGGGTTATTTCGCTTTGACTATATAGGGGCGGTTTGTTTGTTTTCGGTTTTCGTAGTTTGGCCATATCTGCAATTAGGACTTGTGGATCTGGACGTGGTGTGTAGTATACGTTGAGTGGAAGTAGTGGCATTTTTGGGTAAGAGGTGGTTAAGTAGGGCTGTTTGACGAGGGTATTCACGTGTAGGTGGTAGTTGAATAAGTTCTTCACATCTAGAACATGGAGAGAGGAGGGAGGTGCAGGGTATGATTTTGGATGGCAGAGGTGCGTTGCAAGAGGTATGAATGCGCAAGTGTCAAGAACTGAAGTCTATTATGTCTTAATCTGTCAAATCCCAAGAATTGAAAACTGTCAAATGAACACGGTCTCCCAGGTATCCAATGCCCACCTACCACCTACCTCTTCACGTCCCTCCCAATCCTCAACATCTCCTTCCGGTACTCGGGTAAATCCTCCTCCCTCTTAACCGGAAACCTCCCATTCACCGCCTCATTCACCTTGATAATCGCCTCCCGTGCCCCATCCCACGTCTTCCTCTTTCCCGTCTCGAAATACCGAAACGCATGCGCCGTCTCAACCCCATGATTCATCAACCAACTCATCTTCGGATCCCGAATCCAAAACTTCCACCCCTTGACCCCCCACCCTAGACTCTCCATACCCGTTCCCGCAGCCTCATGCAAGAACCCCTGGAACTCCCAGTTCCGCACCATGCTCCGGTCGAAGCTGCCTTCCGTTTTATCGGCCGCCCAGCGCGTCGCAAGCCACGCGTGGTGCGCGTCAATGTCGGATTCTCGCGTGGGTAGGGAGGGCAGTGGGTGCGAGCCGCGGAAGATGTTGGACACAGCCATGGACTGCACGTCATTGAAGGAGAAGCCGTTGTTCTTACCATACGCGGAGTGGCACAGGAGCGCCATCGAGTCCGCGTATTTGGGTGGGAATATGTTGTGCCAGAGGCGAGGGAGCTCGGGGCCGGCGTAGTCGGGCGGTCGGCTGGTCTCAAGAAAGGGGGCGACGGTGAGGTCGGCGGCGTAGCCTGTTGCGCAGATGACGGCGTCGATATCCTCGAGGATGGTACCGTCGGTAAATTCGATGGAACTGGGCCCGAGGAAGCGTTTTATGCCATGTAGGGAAGTGATTTTTCCGGTTTTCAGGAGGGGGATAATGTAGTCGCTGGCTCCAGGGAGGCTGAGCGAAACACTGGGACTAGGGAGGATACGCCATTCAGGATCTAAGTACCCCCATGATTTGTGCACGAGGTAGTCCAGTGCTTTGTCGCCGAGCCACTGAGCTACGGATGGGAAATTGCGTTGCAGGAAGAACCCTGTTTGGCGTCGACGCCAGGTGAGCAGTAGGTCTGCGGGTTTATTGTCGCGCCAGGTCGGGAAGATGTACATCCCGCGCCGATGTGAGACGTACATTTTCGACGCGTGGGGCAGGATGTTGTTGATTACATCCGAGGCAGTGCTCGACATCCCAACCATGACGACGTTCTTGCCCTTGTATTTCCCCACGCTAGAAGGTCATGTAAGCTCGCGATGACCTTGCAACGGTGAGAGATTGGACGCTTACTCTTCTGGTCGGAACTGCTGCGCATGCATGAGAATGCCTTCGAACTTCTTCTCATCCTCGAACTTGGGCATTTGCGGATACGTCTGGTAGCCATGGCAGAGAGCTACTTTGTCGAATTCTTCTACTCTGATCTCTCCCATAACCAGGAGCTCGACGCGCCATTTAGTGTCGTCTTCGTTGCGGCTCACTCTCTTCAACGCAGCATCGAAGACAATGTCTTTGAGCAGATCGAAATGCTTTGCATACGATTCCATGAATTCCTGGAATTGTGCTTGCTAAAAGCGGCCATCACAGTAAGTTTATACTACCCTATAATCTTGCAGATATCCACTAACCGTTAGATGTGGAGGATAGTCTGACAGTAGTGTCAGCAAGCTTCATTACCCCAGTTATCCGGCTTCGAGTCTACATACGGTCTGGCATTGGGAAATCCGACATGCCACAAGTGTACTTGCTGATCAATGCTCTAGTAGCTGTACAAGATGTTAAAAACTGGCCTGCATCGCGCTCTTGAATGGAACTCACAAGGAAGAGCCGTAGTCATAGTGGCATCTTTCGTGTACGCCCATAAGCCACCGACTTGCTTCCTTCGTTCAAACGCAGTAACTTTGAACCCATCCTCCCTCAGCGTTTTCAGCATAGATAGCCCGCAGGCCCCTGCGGAACTTCAGTCAGCCATTTCTGGTGAGTATCATTCCAAGCTACACACTAACTCACCGGTACCTACGACGGCGACCGTTTGTTGCGCCATATCAGTGGGCTTAAGTCGCGCCGCGGTTTGCAACATCAAGTGTTGATATCACAAGGAGAGCGGCATCGGGACGGAGCTGTCCTTGTAAGCTTCGAACAGGGCGATAATAGGAGTTATTGATAGCGCTTACTGTGGCGGGTCGGTGCACATGTATACACCCAAGGCGGGTAAAGATCGCTCCATGTCATTGGCCAACCACATTTCGCGGGAATGTTATCCCCCGAAGGTGCACTCAACCACCAAAACATCAGAATATATACACTAGAAGCCATTAGAAGTTGTCGATTACCTACGCCACACAATCTCTTGATGTCTCTCCTCGTTGAATCGCTAAAAAAACAGTTTCGAGCAAAGTTTAACCATACGACAGTCAGTCCACAAGTCGATTGTACGACAACATTCGACGCAGCTCTAATACCGTAGTTTGTGATGGGTTTCATTATTCACAACATGATATTTGGGTAGCTTGAAATGCCTGATAGAATATTTGGTTGTTCCCGAAGGTATTGGTTGTGTCAACAACGACGCGGTGCGAATCTCTCTCGTACTATGTACTTCTGACAAGATGGGTCGTCGCTGCTAATCAGGCACTAGGTAATCTGCATGCCAACACCCGAAAGAAGATAATCGAAAAACTTGGTTTCGCAAGCATTCACCTTTCCAACAAAACAAAGGAACCATGTTAATACAACCCTGATGATCCCAGTGGTCCGGAGAGATCGTCACGCTAAACGAGGTTCATATATGTGCGAACCTTGGTAGTTAGCTCAACTTCGACCTTCATCCGTGAAGATCCGCCCCTCGAATTCTCTCCCAGTTTCCTCCTTTGGTAGCTCGAAATAGCGACAAAACAATGGCCAACACCACAGCACTCCTCTTCTTTTCCTTGGCCGCTTTCGCTGCCTGCTCGCCTTCCACCTGCACCTTCATTCCCTCCACCAACGCCACCACGACAAACTATCCGGGTTCATCGTTCATAAAGACATCCGCATACCCTTACAATATTTCCGTTCTATCCGAAGTCCCTATCGCCACAATTTGCACTTCCCCGACGGGAAACCGTACCGCCGAACTCGCCTGCGCGCGCATCTACATCGACGCCATCGACGAGCAACTAGCCTTCCTGTACGCACGCAGACTGGGATATGCGGCTGTGGCGGGGGCTAGTAAGTTTGCGACGAACACGAGTTTGAATGATCCGAGTAGGAACGATGTCGTGGCGGCGGGCATGGCCGCGAAGGTGTTAAAGGTAAGTTAACTGAGTGGGATATAATTAATATGAGTGCGTCTTGCTGATTATTGGCTGACAGTACGGTGCGACGGAGGCTGCTGGGGCGGTCATGGGTGGAGAGGGGTGTATGATTTATGCGGCGCTGAAGTACGAGGTGGAGACCATACAAGAGGAGTGCAACAACAAGTTTACGGTGGATGTGGAGAGGGTTTGCAAATAGATGATGTTCTATGCATTCTCAAGAGGACGACTCGTTTCGACAAAAAGGGTTGCCTATACTCTTCAAATTGCTACGGACCCGAGCATGCGACTCAGAGTCCGAATCGATGATTCACAGAGTCTCTATGGGCATTGGGGGCTCAGGAGTCGGCTGAGGGTGACAGAGGAGAGCACTTGAGGTACGTCAAGGTGTTAGAATTCGATTTTCGATGTGAATAGATTCCAAGATTCAAGTCAGCAATGCTGTCAAAGACAAAAAATTCCTAAGCCGCTGCAAAGGCTGGCCTAAGCCAGCAACAGCTGACATGCGTATATACCAAATAAACGATTGACTCATCGAACCCGACGACACCACCATCGGTCCATGGGTCTTCATCTTCTTTTCTGCACAGTTTCATTTTCGTTTTCTCTTTCCGCATTATCCGCCCGTCTTCCGTCTTGCACATTAAACTCGCGTTCGATGTCCTCCTAGGTTAACACAGACCACAATGTAATGTGGCCGACGCAGAAAAAGCAACCTAGTAACTTGCTCTGCAATACCTCTATACAAACACAACATAACAATGTGTCGAGAATGTTCACATGTGGGGGCTTATTATAAGATTTCCAGTATCATCGATTGGCGTCCACGGCGATCAGTACATCGACAGGTGCGCACCTCACTGTCACCATTCCGCACTGTGGCGCTACAGTCCACGAACCAGGCTCGTGGGAGAGCACGAGGCTCATGTCCCGGGAAGTACAGCTGTTGGCGGAGGATGTAGCACTTCGAAAGTGCCAATTTTGGGGCGAGGTAGCGCCTAGGGCACAACGGTTGTGGCCCACATGACGGTGCCGTATTCCCGCGCAGGGGCTTGTGCGCCAACCTCACGTCTACGCGTTCACATTGTCGCAGCCATGACAGACTGTAATGCACCAGGAAGTATCGTAAAAGTCACAGAGGAGAGATTCCGCCGAGCGTCGATGCGCGCCGAGATGGACACGACACGCACGCACCACGGTCGCCAAGCGCGCTAGCCAGCTGAAAACATTCCGGGCACCTACGTCACGTTTCCTTTCCTTTCCTTTCCTTCCCGTTGCACGGTTTCCTACCTATGGCTCCAGCTCATCCGATCACTCCATCCGCCAGCTAGCCTTCACAGGCCATGCAGCCCTGCCATTCCGGTGGATTCGCCGTCACCTCTGTCGGCTTTTCAAAATGGGAATCAACGGGCCTCTAGTGTACGGCGCCGTTGTCAACGTTGCGACTCTCATCATTTACTTCATCTACTTCTGCATCGCGGTATGGCTTGCCATCCGCCAGGGCCTGGGTCACAATTTCCCATGGATATGCATGATCATCCTGTCTCTCTGTCGCCTCACTCAGGTATTAAATTCCCGCGCGGCCCCCGACCTCAAAACCGCTAACGTAATCAGGTGGCGCTTGATCTTGCAGCAACCATTATATACCCAGAAACAAAACTTACCAACACGACTCTGGAGACCGGTGTTGCCATACTCACCGAAATAAGTTTGACGCCGCTGTTTATGTCAACAGCAAGCATGCTCAACATGACTTCCGGACCGAAAGGACGCCGCATGCAGTGGGTCCTGCTTCTCTTGTACATCCCTCTCATAATATCACTTATTCTGATCGTCGCTGGAGGCATCGACCCGAGTTCCCGCGACTCACCTACCTTTGCACCAACCGCAGCGACTAAGGCGGGCATTGTTCTGTACTGCGTTTGTTTCGCTATACTGGTCTGGGCGACCACCATCATAGCTGCGCGCCTGTATCTTGCAAGCTCACTTGAAGTCAAGATCTTGACCACGGTAGTCCTCAGTCTGCCTTTCTTTCTTGTGGACGTGGTATATATGATGTGTTTCGCCTTCGAGCGTACGGCACCAGTAATGCGTTTCAATGTCATTAGCGGAGACGTTACGATACAACTTTGCATGTAAGTCAAGCATTTCTTGGGAAGCCTGTAGTACCTATCCTTGTAATCACCGCCCTGTTCCCTGTTGCCCCAGGCTGATAAATATGACACACTCGGTCTATGTCATTCGTTCCTCCCTCGGTATTCAATGCTCATCGTATTATAGGCAAGTTATCATGGAGTATATCATCGTCGGTCTGTACCTAGGATTGGGTTTGAGAATTCCGGACAAAGCCGCCAAACTGAAGGAGATAGTTCTGGGAGACCGCGACTATGAACAGCTGAGAGAAACTTTCCTCTGGAAAATGTATGAGGCAGGCTCCGCTACTGTCGCCATAATCGTAATGCCGGGGCTACGATTTGCACATTGGATGTTGGGCAGGATTCTCCGTGCGGGTGCGTCATGACATAGGCCCAGAACACCGCTATTCGCAGCAACGCCCAAGATCTTACCGTGGGTGGATCACCAAACACGAGATAATCTCATGATTGGGCTAAGCACCTCTTTGGTCTACTTTCGCCGCCACCTACAAAAGATGCTCGAAGTCTAGAGGACTTCGGCGTGGCTCTCACACGATACTACAGCCTCGGATTTCGGGAGAGCTCTCCTTCACCATGCTGGGATCTTTGAGCCTCACATTAATTTCATCTTCCATCATCGCCACCAGCAGGATTTCGTCATACTAGGATGGAGAGACCATGTCACAGAGACTGGCTCAAATGAATACAGATCAGCTTGGCACGCTCTTCTACCTATGAAAGCAGCAGAAAACTTTCTAAGGCTTGCATCAAGGATCAATGATGACCTTGGCTGTATTTCTTCTTCACATGACAATGCCACGTAATGTGGCGGCCATGGGATCAGCGACACCTATAGCGGAGTCACAAACGCACGGTTCCGCCAATTCTTCAAGCCTTCAGTGTCCAAATTGAAGGCGCTCTCCTTCATCGGCTCAGACGCGGGCTTGTGTAGTCTAAGGAACCGGACGGCTTAATGCGTTAAGCCATTTCGTCAACGATGACCAGAGATTAGCAACACATTTCAAGACGACTACAACGACCATCTAAACACAGATCATCACGATGAAATGGCTGGCGTCAATACACTTGGATGCTTTGCCAAAATCCAGCTGACCTTGACTTCCACTGCGGTCGCTGTGGTCGACCAGGCAGGCAACCTGTACTGACTTGACACTAGGCTTCGAGCCAACATGTCATTCGACTTCGTGCATCTGAGCACTCGGTGGTTCGCCTGGCAACGAGGCTTGAGATATTGTATCCACTAGATATTTGCGTAGGGGAATCACTTGGGAAGGCTTGCACGACGCTTCTTTCTTCGACAATGCGCAGCTTGGGACCTAACACCCTTCGAAGAGTCGAGATATATCTTCCTCTAAATCAACAGCCTTATCACCCTATCGCTGGCTACACTTAAGTGCGCTGTGGTGATGTTCATGTTCGAGGGATGAATGGGTACTTCCCGATTAGTGGACTTCATCAGACGAGTACGCTTAATGCTTTTGTAGATTGTAAATTCCACAATATTTGGGGCCTAGCTGTCTGCACGAAGTCTTGATAAAGATATGATCTGTTGATCGAAGATCATCCGCGCAACCACTCAGCTGAACGATATCGAGTCTCGTAGACTCCTTTACACTCACACGAGCCACACGAGATGCGTCTGCGCCAGCTTTCTAAGAAGAACTGGACTATCGAACAGTGGTTCAGCCGCGCGCTAAAGCGGATATCGTACTTAGTGCCTCCCCAAGAGCGGCCGCGCATAGCACTACCCTTGACCTAGGGTGATAAGGAAGACTGGATGAGATCTGGCTGGGGTACGTGTGGGGTGATTAACCCTAGTGCATTGATTGCTAGTAGGGTTATAGTAGAGAAATGAACAAAGCCTACTAAATGTCTGGGTTTTGAATAAGTACACTTCTTACTACACCTCGTACTAGAGGTTTGCTGTATGATCTGAACGTTGAGACCCCTATGACGCCCGAAAAAGAAAGGAAGATTGATGCGAAAAACTGGATTGAATTGGACTGCAGCCTGCAAGAAAGCATTATCCAAGGAGATATTCTGGTTGTAGAGGTTGAATTCTCTGATGGTTATAACCGAAAAATTCCGTCGAAGACTGATAGGTGAATGTGGCATCTTTGCTTGACGCAGGTCTGCTGTGGCACACTGCGAACCGACAAGGCGTTCCTCAGCGCTCAAGCTGTCATGCGTTGAGTTCTGCAGGATGAAGGTGGGTTCCAAGGATGTTGGCAATTCTACTGTAAGCTTGGCACTTGTCACTGTCAGGTCTTGGGTTTGCCAACTCTTTGCCAGGCATTCGGGAAAATCGCCGCAGAGCGAAAGCCAGCCGTGAGCAGGATATCTCCGAAGAAGAGAGCCAACGGCTCGGGAAGAACAACACGGGGGCTGATATGACCGATCGAGAGAACATACCCTTGTGTACCACCGGGCACGCATGGCATTGATAAACCCCGTGTCTGAGGATGCTAAACGCCGCTCCGTGTGAGAAATCTAGACCTTGACGCGGCCAAGCGTTATCACGCGAGGCGCCAAGGTTCGGGCCCAAATCGAACACTTGGTCGCGGGGATGTCCAAGGCGCCAGCGTTATCGCCGCGCCAACGTCCGCACCAACAGTGGGGCCCGGACGGATAGGCCGGAACGACTTCGAGGATCATGGAACCTTATTCGCCGCAGCGAGGGTGCTGAGTTATCGGTTCGCAGGGTAAGGTGGAGGGTTTGGTGATGGGTGACTGGGACAGTGGACATCTGATAGGCTCAAGTCGGGGGTTAGGGTTTTGGGGCTTAGGAGTTTGCGTGATTGTTGCACATCTCCGACTCCATCCCCGCACCTTGGTGGGCCAGACAGTCTGGGTGACGGTATATGTATAGGTGCGATGCCCACAATAACTGATATCACAGCCGACCAGCTTCACAAAACATCAACAATTAGTCATCGACCTGTCCATCTTCAGTCGAACATCCACGGACGAATCTTCACAACGTCGACCATCGCAAGTCCAGACTAGAATCGCTTTTCAGCCAACGCCACGACTTCTCAAATCCACAACGCACAAGCACTGCACTGGACAAGAACGAAGAGCTACTAGTTTACCGACGGCCACAATGTCATCTCCTCAAACCGAATACGTTTACATCCCCAACCTCATCGGCGGTCAAATGCTACGCATCCCAGTCCTTTCGCTGGAAGCCGATTACGACGAGGAAGAAGTAACCATTCCTTCACCCTCCGACCTCACAATCGACACTTCCGCCCTCCCTATACCCGCCCGCGACGCGTCACCAACACCAAGTGTTGACTCCCATGTGGAGAGCGTGGAGGGGGTCGAGTGAAACCACTGTCGCACCAATTTCAGTATGGAGACTAGCCTAAGAGGCGATCTGCAGATTGTCGCCTACCGTGTGCATGTGTGGGGACGAGTCGTCGCGAAACAAGCGACGCGGCAGACATCATACCGCATAACAACACCAGACCCGACCGATTCGCGATTGTGAGGATCGCCGGTGCAAAAGTTAAAATCGGATATCAAAGCCAACCTGGATTCAGCAATGCGAGATTGAGATGCACGGGATGTGAATAGGCCCAGAGCCAAGGTGGATGCAGGATGGGGAACGGGATACCTTTTTCTAAGGCATTATCTTTGAGATACCACATACAGTTTTTAATACCAATACACGGACTAGTTCACATCGTGCTTCGCTCTCTACAGTCTACTCTTCATGCTGCCTGCTTCAGATCTTGCCTGATTTCTCAACTCCCCTCAGAATCTTGCCCACAGCGTTCTTCGGAAGCTCATCTTCAAAACTCACACCCCTTAGCTCCGCCGGTGAAATCTGCAAGCCCTTGTGATGGATCAGTTCCTTCTTCCTATCGACAATGTAGAGAGCTTGCCCCTGGTCTCGATGGCCATGTCACCAGTGAGGAACGATCCATTGCGAAATGTAGATTGTGTCGCTTCAGGATGACCATCCCAGCCGTTCGTCACGAAGGGGCCGCGAACCATGGTTTTACCAGGCTGTCCAGGCTTAATGTCGCAGTAGTCTACGATACGCGGTTCCATGTTCGGCATGACGGGAGATATGGAATCCGTGGCGGCAGAGCTGCCGCGTGGCATGGCTGTCACTGGATCCTGTACAGCTGTCAGCATTGTCTCCACTACAGAGTTGTCTCGCAAATCTGTTAGTTTGTCTCGCCTTGCTACAGCCGCAGCAGGGAACAAGGCGGGGGAACAGAACGCGGGCGTTGACTCACAGTCGTCTCGCTTACACCCCACGTCGCTCCGATCGTTACATTGGCTTTGCCCAGGTTCGCGATGGCGGCGTTCTGTTGTTCCTTGTCCCCTACTCTTCCCTTGCTTCATCTGCCTTGCCAGCTCCTCGGGCGTTAGACTGTGCGACGCCGCGCGGAGAACGCCCCCAGCAACTATGATACCCCAGAATGCTACGGGAGCTGCAGGTTGTCCGGAGGAGCACACGACTACAAAATCTTTGTAAAGCCCATCTGCGCCAATAGAGAAAGCCTTGCAAAGGAAATGCGCGATACGTTCGGCGAGGAACACGTCTGGGTTCGCGGCCGGGATGTACACCGGCGTGTCGTCTTCGGGAAAAAGAACTGTTTTGAACCTGAAGATGTGGTTAGCAACGGGTTCTGGGTCCCAATGATCAATCGTGTGTGCAACCAACATGATAGCATACCGAAAGCCAATCAACGAAGATCTGTGAAAGGAATACCGACCGAGCTGCTGGTTTTGTAGACTAGTAGATCCTATGTTTAGCAACCCTCCATGTTACAAAAGATGGAAATGAACATTGCGTACTCCGTACGCCATCCTGGGTGACGGATCATGTAATGGCCGACATGATGTCCTTCGCGGTTGATGACTTGTCAAAGAAGAAAGCACCGAAGGAGTTGCACATAGATGCGTTCTGAAAGGAGCTCTCGCGATTTCGATGTCATATGTAGCCATGGTAATGAGTCAAGTCGGGCTGTAGTCGTCACTGTGTAGGATTCTGTTGCAAGGAGGATGTGCGTCGGGTGGGGAAGGTACCGAGGCGCGAGTGTACCATTGTAGCCCTGGAGCTTCCCTGGAGTTGTGAAGCCAATAAAAAGCTACCGTAGGGTTGGTCAAGATAGAAGCTTAGTCATGAGCCTGCGTCAATGTCAAGTTGTATTGTAAAATGGATTGGGCTGTACTGTGGCAGCTCACTAAGATCATGTCAAGAACGTGAGGCCAGTACCGATTCCGGCGAACGAAAGGTAGGTATACGGGCCTGGTTAAAACCGGATTTTATTATCTAGCCAGACTTAACTTGATTCAATATCCAGATGACCTTGTGCAGACATAGTGATCAGGATCCGTGAAACTTAGGCTGCCTTTTATTACAATCTTCATGGTTGGCTGCTAGTTCCTCGAAAGTGCTTTCCTTGGGCTACAAGACTAAGACCTCTGGGACGAAGAAGGCGTGGTCGAGAGGATTTCCAACACAAGACCTGTGCACGAGGAGACTGGTCATCCAGGCCGAAATGAACGACTGCTAGCCTGACCCTCTCCAGAGGCTCACGTGCATTGACTAGTCGGACTAGCAAGCTTAGGTAGACTGAGAAGGCACCGAAACAACAGATGCTGTGGAAGGGCCCGGTTTGGTGACTTTCTGCTCGAGCTGCATGATGTGGCTATCGGGGGGCATGTGAGGGCCTTGGGCCGATGGCAACATCTGACTACACCAGTTTTTCCTGCAATGCGCATGCCAGCCATGTGCATGAGCTTACTTGGATCAACGGACGAAACTCGCGCAAGGTACGTGTACGATAATTGTAGCCGGAGAGTCGGCGGATACGAGCTCAGCGCGTCGGAACGGACATCGGCCCCGCGCCACGCGGAGATTCCGGGCCTCTATTTCTGGTCAAAACTACAACCCGTCAGTCACGCAGCATCAGGTTTCGAAGTCGAGTATGTAAGCGTATTGTGCATGGAGTGTCCAGAATCATAGCTCGCTCAACCCTGCAAAATGCTGTCAGGTGTCGAGCTTACAGAACACCATCCTCTTGAACCGGCGAATCGCAGCCGGGCGACAGCAGCTCCGAGTCGATGAGGGCTGAAGCCAGACCACGTGCTGAAGTCCAGCTACCCAGCCTCTGGTATTCCCGACTGGCCGCACGTTTGCTAACGAGCATCTTGGATGTGGCTGGTATTCGCTGCTCGCCCAGAGCAGGAGAATCTCGATGGCAGATCAGCGGGCTTGACAGATCGATATCAGGTTTGTCGATTTTCCGGATGGTGTCACGCTGCATCTAGGAGCCAACTTGGAGGTCGTCACTCAAAAATCAGGGCTATCGGGACGTAGCTTGGCAAGGGGAATGCTACGCCCGAGCTGGCAAAGGCGAGCAGGCACTCGGCAAACCATCGAGATGGGTTCATGGCCCCAGTGCGACGGATGCGAGGTCTGGAAGGGCTCTACCCCACAGAGCGTCAGAAGAAAAGGTAGGCCAGACGGCTAGGATGGATGTGTTGGGCAGGATACAGTGCCATGGACAGGGTGATGTCATGGGATGCCGATGCAGCCGGCGAGGCAAAGGAAAAAAGCAGGACTGGGGCGTGCGAAAAGCGGTGGGCGCGCTACTAGGAGAAAACAAAGCAGAATATTATTGACGCGCTGAAACGTAGGCTTGGAGGGCTGGGCGATGAACGATGGTTTTGCGGATGGTGCGGGTGCGGGTGCAGGGGCGTTATTAGCGGACAGCCGCCGGGCTATGTTTGTGCAGTGAAACATTGCGGCTCTGGGAGGCGCGTGGGCGGGAGAGGTACTTACAAAGGTACACACGTCTTGCAGATGGCGTGGCGCGGCGCTGCGCGCACGGCAAGATGGCCGCAGTCAAGGCCTGTCTCGCGGCTCTGCATGGCGAGCTGGCCGCTGGGACGGCGCCCGTTGAGCACGCTGGCACGCTGGGCTCGTCGCTGGCAGCGCTCGCAGGTAGCCTGCTTTCGGTGCGTCACAGGCCCCCACACAGCGCGGCGGAGGCGCTGACGCGGTGTGCCGGGCTCCACTCGCGATGCGCAGGGAAGAGCGAGCCCACGCCCTCGCCCTTCCGCGCACTCCCACCGCCTGTCGCAGGCCCAGCAGACCCTGATGCACACGCTGCTCCAAGGCGCGAGAGGGCGTGCGTGACATCATGAGCTGCAGCGCCAGCCGCCAGCCTGCGTGGCCCGCGGCCCCCTTGGCGATCCCGCTGCTTCCCTAGCCACGCGCGCGCCCGGGCGTCGCCCAAATGGGATCCAATAATGCTTGATTAGCGACCCGATGCCAACTACATGCGAAGTTTGTTGCTCTCCTGCGCGTCCTGTCCGTCCTCGATCCCGCCTCCCTCCCCGTCCTCTCCTCCGCTGCAATTCGGGGCGCCGTGCGGACTCCTTCACACGCCATGCCACGCTCGCCATGTGCAGCATTCGCCTGCTTAGCCGCCCTTGCTCCCTCGCTGTCCCTCGCCGCGTCGCTGTCGCTGTCGCCCTCGCCTAGTCGCTCCGGCGCCCAAGTCTCCGACAACCTCGACCCTTCGTTTGCCGGCTTCGGCATCGAGCCCTCGAATCTGTTTTCCTTCACCGGCTGGAACGAGCCCAATGAGTTTTCCATCCAGCTGCTGCAGAACCTGGCCGACTATTCGGGCGCGCCCCCCCACATCCGCGTGGGCGGCAACACCCAGGACTACATGATCTACGATGCAGACTACGAGGATTTTGGCTGGAAGAAGAACCCCCGTTCCACCGCACAGGGCGTCATCGCCGCAGACTCCATGATCATCGGGCCCAACTACCTCGCTGCCCTCGACCGATTTCCCAAAGACACCTTCATCACCTACGGCCTCAATCTCGCCTACAAGGGCGAAGACTACCTGGACAAGATTGTCAACCACTCCAGGGCTGTCGTGGAGAACCTCAAGAACACCCGCCTCTACTCGTTCGAAATCGGCAACGAGCCCGATCTGTACCTCGAGAATGGCATGCGTGCTGCCCCCTGGGACGGCCAGACCTTCACCACCCAGTTCATGGAGCGCGCCGACACCGTCTACCAGAAAGTCCTCAAGCCCAAAGGCATGGCTCCCACGTTCTTCGAGCCTCCCGCAACCGCCTCCACCATCGGAACCACGTTTGAGATCGCAATGTTGAACTCGGACGGCATCTTGGATAGAATGAACGGAGAGTACTACGTGGGATGGTGGAACCAGCACGACTATTTCTACTGTACGTTGTTGCACAGACCTGCCCTCTCGTCATTTGCTTACTTCTTCTAGTCATTGGTGTCACCCCGACGCCCATAACGTTGAATGATCTCATGGACATGGACCAGACCAACACCCAGTTTGCGTACTGGGAGAAGCAGATCAAGATTGCTCTCAACACTGGCGTTCCCTATGTTCTGCGTGAAATGAGCTCCATAGGCCCCATCGGCATGCACAAAGTCAGCGACACGTTTGGAGCCTCTCTCTGGACACTCAACTTCTTCCTCTACATGGCCACGCTCAACGTTTCTTCGGTCCAGATGCACATGACCGACAACTCCAATGCCAGTGCTTGGCAACCCATCAACGTGTACGGCAAGGACCCTTTTGTGCGGCCACAGTACTATGCTCATGCCGCCGTTGCACAAATCATCGGAAACGGCAACGGAACCACGCAGATAGGCGCCCTCGATGTCGGCGGTGCCGGTGGCGACTACAAGGGACGCATCCGCGCGTATTCTGCCTACGCAAACAGCGCTTTGCAAGCTGTTATTCTCATCAACTCCAAACAAGTCAATGCTTCCGAGTCGAACAAGGCTAGCTTCACCTTCAACGTCCAAATGGGTGCCTCCAACGCAAACAAGAAAATCTACATTTCATACCTGACCGCGGACGGCGCTGATTCGTTGACTGGCACCACCTGGAACGGCATGACCTTCTCCGACGAGGACGGCCAGGCCAGTGTCGTTGATGAGAGCATCTACCAGTACTCATTAGATGGCAACGGTGCCTTTTCCATCAATGTGCGCGACTCCGAAGCAGTCGTCGCCAATCTCGACTGGCAGCTCGGCTCTAATAAGGTCATCAAGGTCGACGGGTCCACAACATCTGGAAGCAGAAGAAAGAATGCTGCAGCACCGTCAGTAACCGGAGCCGGCCCTGCCATCTGGGCAGCGGTTCTCGTTTCGTTCCTCACCTTGGCAACCTCGCTCGGTGCGTTCTAATTGACCACCAAGACATGCATGATTTTCCTATCTGTTGCTACTATACCAGCTCTCCTTTCCCTTTCCTTTTGTCTCGCATAGGGGTTGGTACCATCCCCCTCCAACATTGCACTGCATTAGAATGGCGTTCACCATGGCACCGCATTTGACTTGTCTCCTTGTTTTTCCAGCGACAACCCTGCACTTCCGATTTTGGACATGACCTGGGCCATGATATTTGGCACCCCGGGTATGGACTTTGTTTCCGATGTTTATATGTCGAGGGTGAGGGACGCATTGCGGGATTGTATATATAATTCCTGCTATTCCTTATTGTTACAAGCTGGCCACTCTGAGATAGCCAGAGGGCTCTGTATACGTCAGTTGTATAGATAACTGCACATACTTAATACAGTGCATACGAACTTCATGATGAAACACTCTCCAGACGTGTGTAAACAGTGATCCGCAGGCTCTCAAGGGAGGTAACGCTCTCTTGATGAGTCCATGTACCACCGCAGCACGGTGACGCTTGTTTATTCTTGCGGCGAGGACAATGTGTCCTGTCCTCGTTATGAACTGCTCTGTCATATGGTCCTTGCAATCGGACAACGTTTATGTAGGGATGCTAATGTCCATCCCTGCGTGCCGGGACGCACGGTGTAACGGGACAAACGACCATAATCGCATGTGACTTCGCGACTTAAATAATATGCAAGGGGAGCGTGTCTTGGACTCATCATTTAATTACTCTGCTTGCCAACTGCTCAGCGCATCATGCGATAACTGCGTATCAGGGTGGTGCTTGCCAAGAATCTGCTGGCGCGACTGGAAGCATCTTTCCATTAGTGCAATAGCCTCCTCTTGACGAGCTTGTGACTTTAGTGTATAGGCAAGATCATTCATGCTGGTCAGCGTGTCTGGATGCTCGTCTCCAAGCACTCTCTTCCTCGTTTGCATCACTTGCAGTTCCAGCTCTGCGGCCTCGCGCCATCGCCCTTGTTTGCTGTATGTCGCCGCTAGATTGCCCATGCCGAGAAGCGTAAGCGGATGCTCATTGCCTAGAATTCTTCTCTTTGTCTGTAGTACTTGCACAAATAGTGCTTCTGCCTGCGCCCACTGCTTTTGGTTGCAATACGTTGACGCCAGGTTATTGATGCTGGTCAGCGTGGAAGGATGTTCACCGCCAAGCACTCTCTTCCTCATCTGCATCACTTTTACTTGCAGCCCTTCCGCCTTCCGCCATCTCCCTTGACTGCTGTACGTTGCCGCTAGATTGTTCATGCTGGTCAGCGTGTCAGGATGCTCGTCGCCAAGCACTCTCTTCCTCGTCTGCATCACTTGCGCAATAAGTTCTTCAGCCTCGCGCCATCGCCCTTGGTGCTTGTATGTCGATGCCAGGTTGCCTATGCTGGCGAGCGTGTGTGGATGCTCTTCGCCAAGTACATTCTTCCTTGTTTGCATCACTTGCACTTCCAGCACTGCGGCCTCGTTCCATCGCCCTTGGTGCATGTATGCCAACGCCAGGTTGCTCATGCTAACAAGCGTGTCAGGATGCTCGTCACCAAGAACATGCTTCCTCGTCTGTATCACTTGCAAAAATAGTTTTTCAGCCTTGTCCCATTGCCCCTGTTGCACATGAGTCGATGCTAGGTGGTCCATACTAATCAGTGTGTGCGGATGCTCGCCGCCAAGCACTCGCTGCATTGTCTGCATCACTTGTACTTCCAACTCTTCAGCCTCGCGCCATCGCCCTTGGTGCGCATATGTTGAAGCTAAGTTGCCCATGCTGATGAGCGTGTGGGGATGCTCGTCGCCAAGTACATTCTTCCTTGTTTGCATCACTTGCACTTCCAGCACTGCGGCTTCGTTCCATCGCCCTTGGTGCCTGTATGTCGATGCCAGGTTGCC